TCATAAGTTCTTAGCCGCAAAGCTCCGTAGAACATTATCTGTTCTAAGTACAAGCCTCTGCCAGTGTGCCGCTCAGCGTCTTCGAACTTCCACCAACTTCGTCCCGTTGCCTCAACGTCAACAAATAGACAGCTCGCTAGTAGGGTCCGCATTCGTGCAGTCTGTGAATCTTGAAGGCTTCTCGCAAACGGCTCCCTCGTGAAAGAATTGGTCCTGTCCGTCGAAACTACTGCATCATCACCAATGATGATGCGCCGGGCCTTGGCGCGTTCGCTCGCAGTATCAGTATCGGTTCAGCTTGTGGCACGCCGCTTTGAGGAAGCGCCATTCGATCCAGAGAAACAACAAGCAGATCCTGTCAGCAAGAGGGGTATCATCGACTCTGTGACCCGATCGTCCCTGAGGACCGGCACAGAACATCAGTTCAAGACCGGCGCCAGATGAGATACGCTCTGCCGACGTTTGTGTCTCATATCGCATCAACGGAACGCCTGCAAGCTCACTCCTTGCCCCCTGACCGACTTCTCGAAAACCCAGCAAGGGAAAGGCTTCAACGCCGATATGTGGTACCCTTCATCCTCCGCTGTCACATATCGGATATATCATTCCACGAACGTGGGACGCCAGCATGAGCACTGGCGAAGCCAGTTGGGATTGTTGATCTCCCCCTCTCACGCATCCTTGCGTATGGATGCTCTGTGGAATCAAGAAGGAGAAAGCAGAACATAATGCAGTACGGCCTTCACGATTTGGATCGAGGCGACATCGATTCCTTCCAAGTGGGCTTTTAGGACCAGGTCACAGGTAAGTCGGACTGCGATACGATAGTGGGCGAGTCAACATCGCCAATTGGAGAGTGTACCAAGTCCTCGGGAAGACGGTTGCTCGAATCAAAAATGCGACTAGTATGAAGCCTTTGCCGGCTTGTAAGGCTTGCCATATCGCGGGACATGGCGCGTGTGCCCGGAAGATCTTCGATGCTGGTGCATGGACCATCTGACCACGAGGCACTTTGGTCGGGATGGCTATGTGCTCGTCAAGGCTGGTATAGGACGATTCGTCCGCCTAAAGACGCAGAGGTTGAAGGCAGACGTAGGCCTGCGATGGTTCCATGTTCGGGTACATAATCCTGGAGCTGATGTTGATCACCTCAAGATGACCAGTCTGGACATCCTGGTCCGAAGCCCATTCCCGACGCGCAAAGACTAGAACGGGGCTTCAACATCGACGAAGAGCCCGTCACAGAGATCCCGCCGTCATCGCTCACGAAACGGCCCTTTCCGACAGCCTAATCAGTCGCTCAACAGTTCGGAGCACGTTAGCGACGGGATGCATAGTCGTTTATCACCATCCTCGCCTCTCAAACCATCGTCATCGGTTTAGCATTTGTTCTGCGAAACCCCAAGGCTGCTTTCTATGCGTCTTCTGTTCGTTAAAGCATATTGGTAGCTCAAGCACATCTTGGAGCCCTGCCAGTGCCAGCCTGTCGAAGGTAAATTTCCCCCAGGATGCACTCGATTGCATAGATGGCAATGATTACTGGATCACTTGTGATCTAGAACAGATACTGCGTACAGAGAGCCCGGTTCATACTTGTGGACCTTGTTGTGCGATAATTTTCAGATCTGAGCCATTGGTTTATGCTATCAGGATGGGTGCTTCAGGATATCGTGGCTCGCATGCTGACTGGTAAACAGTATTTCGAAGTCCGTCATTTGGGATGATCTGTCGACAGTGGTGTGCGGCTGTCCTCTACGCTCGAAGAGGTCAAGCACGTATGAGCACTCGTCTCGCACTTCAAATGGTTCCACGATCCTTTCCAAGGGAAAGCTATATTTGAGAAGATGCAGACAGCAGCTTCTTCCGACAAGCGCCGCTGCGTTCTAGCGATGGGCTCATTGGATCCAGGCGTTGGCCATGGATGATGTGCTGCCTAATTTTTCGATAACCAGCCCGATAAATGATGGTATTTGGGTTAAAAGAGATATGTTTCGGTATTTGGGTTTTGCAGTACCCTCCCAGCACCCTGCAATAAGAGCGCTACGCAATGCGAGACAGGCGGCCTGTCACACGGTCCGTTCGAACAGAGCAAAGAGGATCCCTCCCCTAGGCAATCATGCTTAGAGCTACCAGCGCTGTTTGGGAAGAGAAGAACACTCCGAGTAAAGCAGCCCGCTCACTCCCAGGATGTTCCTCGGAACGAGCTGCGTGTTCAGGATAGCACCCAGCCTCTTCTAAACGGCCTTGGACCCAAGCGTCGGTTTGCACACGCAATATTGCTTTGCCGGTTGTATGCTGCCGCTTTCCCTGGAGACATGCCGTACTCCAAAGCATTCGGTGCCACCATGCCAGCTTCGCAGTCGCTCGTTGTCCACTCCGCCCATGTATGGCCTCCAGTTCCAGGGCAGGGTAACGCATTCCCTAGTCACGCGTCGTGTTCGACAATCCGATTCGTTTGGGCGAACTGGACGACCTGCAATACTCCGATTCCTAATATTTTGTTTATGGGAATGCGCTGGCGCCATGTACGTCTTCGACAAAAATCGCTTCTTCAGTTAAGGGTCTTGTTCCGCGCGTCGATCACGTACGGCATGATCGCGCCGTTCTTGGCCAGTCTCTCTGGTGGCAGCAGTACTCGCTAGTGTGCTTCTGCTCCGCCGCGCTCGTGGAGTGTGATGGCATTTGCTTGCAGCCAGCCTCATCTGGTGCCGCTTGTTGGTGTCGTGCTTGTGGAGGCATGCGTTCTACGGTCGGATGATGGCAGTCTCGGGGGCGTCGGGGCGCGCAAAACTCCGCCGCTTTCGTTGAGCCCTATGTTATGTTAGGGAGCAGCTAAAGATACTTATGTCTCGACCCGTACCGGCATTTGCAAAGCTGCCCTCGAGGTTTTACCGTGAGACTCGGTTGGTGTCGGCGAACATACGAGCTGCGGAGCACGAGTCGGGTGTACGTCTGAATGCCGGAGGTGGACGTAGGCTCCTCGGTATTTCCGAAGCTTGCTCAAGCCATGTAAGGCCCCTTCATCGCTGCCTATCCTCGTCAAGGTGCTGTCGAACGGATGGTGTGGTCGCTGGCTTTTCACGTGGACGAACGCCGCGGCGGTGCAGATGTAGCAGGCAGGGCAGCTGTCGGCGATGTAGACAAGCCTTGCTCATGTATCATCTTTCCGGGGCTTGCTTTGCGTTGCGCCTGCGATTTGGTGGCAAGAGCTGATGTCGAAGCAATGGTGTTGCGGTGAGGGCGGGGATCTCGACGCGCAAACACCGACGCTCAAGCCCAAGCACACCACGAATTGCACGGCGTGCAGAGGAAGCTGAACGGTACCTCGCGTGGGTGTCATCAAAGAATCTTGAGGACGTGTTCAAAGGTCGAGGGTTCCTGAGATGCCTCGAGAGGAGTTACGTCTTCCCCTATGAGAGAGCTCGAGCTTCATGCCGCCTACATCAAGATCGTGTACAATCGAGGAGTTGCACACGGTTGTCCTAAGTGAATGCCCCGCACTTGGAAGGTTGTCTGGCCGGAGAGGGGAGGGTTCGCCAGACGAAATACATGCAATATTCGGCAACCACGTGTGAACCTCCGCTTCGTCAAAGGCATACACACACTTGTCGCCATGGACATCACGAAACTATCCTCTTGGTACGTCTATATATATTTTAGAATTATCGGCTTCTTTTGAGCAGTTACGGTAACGTTCACTTTGCCGTGGCTGCTCATTTGGGGATTTACTAACAGTGTTATAGGGCGGCAGTTCGAACACCGCCAGCGCCGTTGTTCTAACGCCTGGGCGTAACATACCCACCGAAACAGGCTTTCTTTTTTTTGCTTTCTTTCGGTCATTGTTCCAGCCTAACGCAAACTCAAGGTAACAGCTGCACATTTTGAGCTTGCGGCTTTATCGCCGAATTTGCTGCAACATGTCCAAGGCTACTATCCTTTTCTATTCTCCGGAGTGCTAGTCTATGGTACGACGGCAATATGGCCGTTGTTGGCTGCCAGCGTAGGATGGTCTACTCCGAATATGACAAAGCGCACGAATCTATGCTGAGGAGACGCTCGTGATTGCTAAAAAAAAGTACCATTAGCGGCCAACTGGATCCTGTACTCGAGTACTCGAAGAAATGCTCAAAATGGCTAGATTCTGTAAGCTGCTGTACGGTATAGGACGCAGGATTTCCTGATCAGCGAATATTACGCCGAGCCTTGCAATTTGATCGTCATGAGCAGCATCAGCGCCAGGTTGGGATGGTTCTGCCAATTGCAATTGTGGAGACAAGAGACGAGCGGCCCGAACAGATTAGGCTCTGGATTTGCTCGGTTACGCAGATGTCACTCGGAGGCATTTTACGCAGCTGCAGCGGGCATTGGACAGGGCCACCGTCACGAAGGTCAGAGCGTGTTCAAGGTCAAACATCAGGATCGGGACTAAACCTCCATTGTCTACATGATGATACTTGCACATTGGCAATGTATGATCCCTTGGAGCCGATCGGCTTGCTCATCGCTCACCCGAGTTCAACACACTACGCAGCATCCTGGCCTCTCCGTCGCCTTGGCTTTCGCCGCTCTCCGGTGCTTCTTCGCCTGTCGACGCTTCCTTTCCTTCTTCCCGCATAAGCTTGCGCTCTTGTCCCCCTTCCGCCGTCTCTTGCTTCTGCACCAGCTTTAAGAGTCCACCAAGCAGAGACGTCAAACCGGCAAGAACGGCTTGAAGCCAACGCTCGAACCCATATATCCTCACGCTTCTCGAAGATCGTCTTGTACATTTCGCAATCCGTGCGGCTCATACGTCACGCTTCCGTATCTTGAGCTCCTCTTATCCGTGACCGAAGGGTTGCGTAAGACTCATACTGCACTCCCACAGTTTGGCTGAGGTAGTTCATCGCGAGACGCGTCTCAAGCGGGTTCTGGTCGGGGACTTCATGCCGGCTTGCCTGATCGCAGTCGAGCTCTCGAATATAGCGTCTGCTTGTATTGTAGTTCTTGGGGTCCTTGCAAGTCTACTGGGTGAGGATGGCCAAAGGACCATCATGGACTGTACCGTTAACGATCTCCAGCGTGAGTCGCTTGTTCTCCTTGCCGGTGTAGCCGAGCCGGAAACGGTACTCTGAGAGGGTAGACTCGCCTCGCGAACGAGACGAGGCGCCGTTCTCCGGCTCTACCTCCTGTGTGCAGTGGAGGTCCTATTATCGCGCATTGTCGAGGCCATCTCCAGCGCCACGCCACGGTGGTCTCCATAGTCTCGTCGGCGCATGGTTGGAGCCTCATCTTCAGGATATCCATCTCCCGCCGTATGTCATCGGCTTGTGCACGGGACTTCCCGCGGTCGGTATTCGCTGAGTACTCGGCCACGTTATTAGGCTTGGGCACTTTGTCGATGGAGTAGGGTCGGTCGCGGTATGAAGCCTTGACAGACGGTCAGCGGAATCTCTAAGGCTCTGTGGAGTTGCAACGCCTACCTAGCTATATCGCGAACATGAGCTGGCGAGGATAATGCTGTCGTGGTGATGGGGGTGACCGGAGCTCAATCACACTCGCCGCCCCGCACGTATTTGCGCCAAGAGATATTACACACACACGGTCAGAAAACGATTATACCCAGCACGGACGTTCCCTCTAGCACCGCAGCTACGGAACAGTAGTCCTACGATTAGGCGTCCGTCCCGGGATAGCACGGGATGTACAGACATTTGGATTGTCCCCCTTTCTGGTGGCCGCCCTTTAAACGCAAAACAAAAGTGTGCGATTTAGCGCAGATATTGAGCTCTAGGGGCATCATAAACCATTTCTAGCTTGCGGAGGCATGGGATCTTCTAGATGCACAATATGCCTCCAGCCTGGTCGTGCGTGTCCTAAGTCCAAGGAGGAATATCACCTCGTGTATGACAAAGGAGATGTCAGAGTGCATCACAAAAAAAAAACGTCACAAGCATGACACAGGACGTATTAGAAGTTCAAGCCGTATCAAAAGCCTTGTACGCTACCGGGATTTCCCAGGACAGCATGCCGTGTGTTACCGGCCTGAGCTACCTACTCTATCTTCGGTATCAAAGTCCAGAGTCAAGCCTCCGAAGGGTGCGCGGAGTTACCTGCGTGGCTTGATGGCTGGTTTGTTTGCGACGGAGTTCTCTTGCGCTGCGACTTCGCTGTCGTTGTCGATGTCGCCGTTGCCATCATCCGGGGCTATGTTGTCCGTTGAGGCATTCCTCGCTGCTTCATTGCGCTTCTTCTGCCTGAGCTTCCTCCCATGCCTTGCCACAGGCCTCTGCTGCTTGTTATAGTTCAGCAGCACAGTACTGGCGAAGACGGCGCCGGCAATGAGTATGTTCTCGATGGCTATGCTGGCGCGCACAACGAGGCTGTGCTTGAAGAACATGCCAAAGAGCACGCCGAGGAGCACGCCGGCGAGGAGTATAGCGCAGTCGGTAGTGATGCTATCAAGTATAGAGTCTCGGTCGGAGAGGGTGCCGACGAAGAAGCGGATGAGGCATATAAACCTGAGCGCGACAACGTTGCGACATACGGCGGGGATCTTGCGAAGAATGAGGCCTGCTTTCGAGAAGACCTCGCCAACGCACAACCGGCCTACGGCGAAGGCAAGCAACTTGCCAAATGCGAGGCCGGCGTACATGAGGATGCCGCCAAGCCACATACCGATCGTGAGGAAGTAAACATCGCGGAGCTCGAGGTTGACCTGAAGGCATTCGACGGCCGCGGGAAGTGCAGCCATTTCGGCGGAGGCTGGTGTTGTAGGTGGGTGTGGGCAGGATTGGTGGGGGGAGGTCGTGGTGTTGTGGTGAGAGCGGAAAACACTCTGCAACTTCCCCTCCAAAGGCAGCCACGCCCCCGACCAAGATCCGTTTGCCTCACCCCACAAGCCACAACTCTAGAATCTGAAAGTCTACAAGGTCTAGTGGTGGTACATATATTATACAATTAGCAATCAGGTTCGAGCAAGTCCACGGTGGAGTCAGACACCGTGGGCTTGCTCGATGAGCAGAATTTGCTAACTCGAGGTTCACAGGGCGCAAGCACGGCAGTTCGAATCCCACTACCGCCTAGCTGTGGTTCCAACGCCTGGGCGTAACATACCCACCGATCAGGCTTCTTTTTTTGTCGAATTCGACCTCGCTAGCTGCCATCCTGATCTTGCAACCACGGTAAGATGTGAGCTTGCTATGCGTCCAGCAACGGAGACAGCTGCCGTAGCATTACGAACATTACCCTTCTTAGGCCTACAAAGAGGATACAGCGAGTTGATTTTCCCCTGCCAGAGCAGGTTGTGATACCGGGAAGACTAACACCAATTACCCACCCAGCGGTTTCAGGTACTACACGTAACACCCGTAAGTTGCAACGAGAGTTAAAGCCCTCGACTTTTCAATCACGGCTGTCAACACGTTGAACTCATGAAGCCAAATTCAGCGTAAGCATACGGTTCGATTTTTACTTCAGCTACTACAGGCTTGAGGCTCAGATAAGTCCTCAGGTACCATGAGCATCCTCTCATTCTGCAATCCTGGCAACCAGCGAGCGGTACTTACGGAAGGAGACCGCCTGTATCCCTCCCCAGTCCTGCATGTGCGCGGGTTGTTCTCTCCAAGCTCGCCGTAGCAGCTTCAGACCGCGAGTGGTGCGAAGTGTGTTTCCTCGCGGTCTCACCGTTGCTTATGCAGGATAGAGAAGCCTCATTGCTGACAGCAGCTGGGGATATATATATTTATCACCTGCATCCACGTCCAATATAGGCAAAACATATCCTTCATGCTCGCTGGTGTTAGCCTTAAAATATTGCTGCGTGAATACCACGAAGGAACTTGGGATGTGGAGAAAGTCGCAAGCAATGCTAGTAGTCAGAGACTAGCAATGTTACACTCCAGACCGTTCACAGGATTGGCGGCACTAGACATGCAAAAGTGAGCTAGGCCAGTATTGATAGACGTCAGAGGCACCTCGAAGAGCGCCGCGTAGGCTGGTAGACTTTCCAGCCGGCAGCTTGGCCAGCTTCGCAATCTCGTCTACCGCATCAACGACTTGTACTCGAATCCACAAAACGAATGTCGCCCAGCCAATCGAAGACACAAAGAACTAACTTCCCACGCTTATAATCTTCGATCTCTCTCTGAGATTAAGTAACATCCAGGCGAGGAATTCCTCTATCTTTAAGTTATTATAGATGCGTTTACGAAAGCAGTCTCAGTCCCCCAAATGATAAAGAATATCCTGGGCGTTCTGCATTTGACGTACTTTAGCCGAGCGTTTTCTGTTTACTTTTGAGCTAAAATGGGCGAACCAATACTTCGTTTCTGCCGATCTCAGGTTGGCTTATGCATGTACGGTGGGCCTCGGCAGTACATTAATTTTTCTTAACTCCCCAAGGAAACATGGCCTACAGTGAAGGGCAAGATCACGTGTGGCCCAATCTCGAGGGCTCACATAATCAAGCACGGAAGAGTATTATCCTGGTAGTTACGAAGAATACTCCCACGATCACTCACTAAGGCAGGTCCGACTAGAGATGTTCGCCTCCCGTCACTGCAATCTGAATGGGTATTTTGATTAAGGAGGCAATACACTAGGGCGTTCATTGTTCGTCAGCAGCCTCAAAAGATAGAAGCTATAGGTAAATATCTGACCTCAGACCCATTACTGAGTCCAGAGGATTGTTTAGCAGTGAGGCAATAAGCTATAAAGGTTCCTTGGTGTGAATGGGTAATTTACTGCGGTTGTAGCTGTCAACATCACAAGTGGCCGCATCGGCGAAGGCTTAAACACCTATATGGCGCAAGTAATTTAGATAGTAAGCCATGTTGATATTACAGATGTCTCCTGAAGCTGACACAAACGCGAGCCACAGTGTTTGTAGGTCGTACACTTAGAAGTGAAGCATATCCCCAGCACTTCCCATCATCTTCAACTGCCATAATCGCAGTCGCTGTGCTTCGAATATAAAGGTCTTTCTTTCATCCTTGTCGAGCAAACAACCGCAGTGTCATCGGTCGCGTCGACTAAAAATCATACTTCCGAGACAGGATTTCCAATATGTGACAACCATCTCTTCAGATCCCCCACGAGACGATCCGCCAGGGCATCTTTGACCACTGTGTCTTGCCAGGTGCAGGTGATAACCAATTCTCCTCCTCTGAGTGACACTGCAGCGATCAACAGCGCGGCATCAGGTACATGCGCACTCAAGGTGAATTGTGCTCTTTGAATGCTCCAAACACCTTCTTCACTGACGGGGCTGGCCTCACCCTTGGCTGTACCATCCATCACGCCGAGATTTGATATCGCCCACGAAAGCGCCCGTGGCTTTCGCGCTTCCTTCTCGAACAGCGCTCTCGCATTTGTCACGAACTTCATGAGAGCAAGTCGGTCATCTTTGAGACCTTTGCTCAGGCGCTTATGTATGTCTTCCCGGACCTTAGACGCGGCAGACCAGACGAGGTTAGATTGATCAGTCGATAGGCGATTAGCGGGAAGTTGGCCACCAAGACAGGACCGTATCTGCTCTACAAAGGCCCCATCAAATTCATGAGATGTGTTGCTCACGTAGTTCGCCATGGTGGTGTTTGGGTCCAGCCAAGGATACTTTGGAGGATGCGAAGGCAGAAATCGCCGCTGGTCTATGGCCGTGAGACTAGCGAACGCTCGTGCGGCATCTTCATCAAGCTGAGATGCTAACGAGAGCAGGACCAGGCCATGGGTTAGGGCTGTGAGCGTTGTTTTGTGGCCACGACAAGCTTCTAAAACCTGAGAAAGTGTAGCGTTGTCGACGATGCAGGTTCTGAACTTCGTTCTGTATGAATCCCGCCGGATGGGTGCCCATCTCGCGGCACTCGGGTTTGGAAACAATGAGATTGGCTTAGCCTCGTTCCATGCCTGTTGCAGAAGGAATCCGGGCGACATTGACAAATCAACGAACAACTCGGTGGCCGGAGGGAACCGCTCTTGTGTATTCGTGAAGTCCAGCTTGACATCGGCATTCATGTGAATAGCTGCATCGCTTCGTGTTTCCGTGTCCAAGTACTGTAGTAGCTTGTCATGGAAGATCTTACCCCCCATACCATCAGTATGTGCATGATTCCACGTGAACACAACATCGAGCAGCTTATCGTCAGCGTGCTGTAATACCACCACTCTCCAGCCTGGCCGGTCGCTCAGCTCCACGAACTTGGAATCCAGCTCCGATCGTATCTTTTCTTGTACAACTGCTTCTTTTTGTACCGATGAATCGATCTCGATCCATTCAACATGTTGTCCCAGATCCACACCGGCAATCTGCACCCAGACGGGCCTCTTCGATTCTGCGTCCTTGATGGCGGTGTGGAGCATAGGTGAATCGGATACAACGCGTGCAAGCGCTCTGTAAACTACATCTTTGACAATAGTGATGTTCGGAGGAACTGCGTAGCGACAGACTGTGGAGACGCCGCGGTGGAAACCGAGGGTGTATTGCGCAAGTTCGTACTGTTCACTGCAATATATAAGACACAGATACTGCTCTCGTAGCAACGACTTACTTGTAACCCAACGTTCGAATCACTTTACGGCTTTCTCCATCGTTCGTAAATCCGGTTTCTCCGCCCATTGGCGAGCTTCGTTGCACAAGCCTCACCGGACAGCGTCAGGTACCGAAAATGTTGACTCTCCATAATCGAAGCTGCTTCCGGAGATATATGTGTCTTGCTGGGTTGCGGAGGAGCTTGCAAAGTGGAGCTGGTGTTGCAAGCTGCGTCTGGGTGACACATGACTCGGTTGGTGTTCAGCCTTACAATCCGTTACGCTAGGTGTCTTTCAGGCCTAGCATCGCTCCTTCCAGCTCTGCAAGCTCCAATGTATCGCTCGCCGCAGCCCGCGCTCTCCGTAGCTGGCCATGCGTAAGCATATGCCACCTGTATCCAGCCGCGCCTGGCCCAATACATCAGCCATCGCTGTCCACGCCTCCCGGCTTTATGTGCTCTCAAGCTTCCTCGTTCGTGCAGTCCTGCAATGGCTTTCGGCCGTACCGGTGGGACCGAACAGGTCCCTACAGGGGACAGCATTTAGATCATATTAGGTCAACGACGAGATCACACGTTTCGAAAAATTATGCGATTATGCCAGGAATACAATCAATCTGAAAAGCAAACTTGCAATGTAAGTAATACAACTGAAAAGAAGTAACCGATATGCAAGCATGGAACTGAACGCCTTGAGCACCAAACAAGCGACATGCCGCAATGAGATGGCGAACGATTCGAAAACAGTGTGAATAATGATCCCTTGTGCCATCGGCAACATTGAGACTCATAGTAAGAAAATTTTGACGGATACTAGGTGATATAGTCCATGTCATGTCTGCGGAATGATGCTCTAGCCTCATTCCTCCCTCTCTTTCCCTGTCTTTGTACACTCCTCCGTCTCCTCCACCCACTTCTTTACAGCCTCCTTCTTCCTATTTTGATTCTCCTTTATCTCCTCCGCCCACTTCTTTTCAGCCTCCTCTAGCTGCTTTTTATCCTTCTCCCTCTCGCTCTTCTCATTCATCTTCCGCGCGTTCATTTTCCCTATGGATATGTCTAGAGCCTCTAGAGCACCTTCTTGATCCTTTTCCCACCCCCCCTCCACCAAACATTTCTCGTGCGTCTTGATCTTTGCTTGATATTTGTAATATTTCTTGTAACATCCAAGTTTTGGGAAAGCTTGTTGGTAATCTTTGTATTTTATTGTTATGCGAAGGTCGTCTTTAGAATAGATACCCCATTCTACTACCGTATCTTCAGTAAGTTAGTACCACGTCAGAGCTAGTGTCGGATCATTGGATTATACCTTTGAGATGCTGAAATTTTAATGTCACGGCTTGGTCAATCGTGGGTTTATTCGTTGTTGGCATCTTTTCGGCGACGGCTGTGAAATATGATGTGGAAGCGCTTGTCCGGCTTGCTAGTGAGAAAATGCTCTTTGATCTAGACTTGCTGGTCGGTACGTTCGTCAACGGATTTACGAATAGGGATACAGATTCGCATGATTCTGGTTGTTCGTCCGTCAGGATGATGTAGAACCTTCTGGGATACAATATAATTGTACAAGACACGGAGGTAATTTTTTAGCGAGGCAGAAAATGAATGTGGTGGGAGTTCTCAGTTCGCCTTTTTATACAGTTACTCTGTCTGAGTCGTCCTTCTCGTCTACGCATCTGACACGCACGAAGTGAGACTCAGTCTGAGCTGTATATGTATTAGTATGGCTGCATCTTTGTCAACGAGGACGTCCATGAAGATACATATAGTCACCTATCTTTACGGTTCTATGGGTTGTATCCGACAATATTTCGTGGACTAAGACAATACTCACTGTTTTGAGCCATTCTTCGAGACTTTGCCAATCGAAACACAGCGTTCCTCAGCCGTCGACCACGAAGTGGACCTTAGTCATGTGCACAGTCACCTTTGATGAGTCAGTGAACTCGTCGCAGAACAACGCGTGGCTTGGTCTTTAGCTGACTGATTCAAGGATCAGAACCCGGATATCTAAGCTTTTGAAAGGATCATGGCCAGTGTGACTCAAGCATCGAATCTCGCTGCAAGCTCCCAAAGTCACTTTAACACTCTGTCAAGCTTTCCGTTACATTGGGAAGTGCATCAGGTCCAGACATCGCATTCGGTGCAGTTTGCGTGCTGAGTCCGAGCTGACACGTTGAGCGCTTTGCCAAATTAAACAGCGAGAAGAAGAAGAAAGGTGCCTTGGTAGAGGCGCAATTTGTGGAGTCGTTGCCACGTGCCGGTACAATGCGTTGGTGCAACCGTGACGAGCCCCAAGGTTCCGGTGTGAGTCCTCGGGGTGTCCACGCAGAAAGGTAGTGACTGTGAAATGACATAATCACTCAACAAAACACCCACAAGTCACATCACGGCTATTCCCACGAGCGTTGCGTAACAGCACGTTATAAACTGTCCAAAGATCTCAACTCATATTTTGATCGCACGACGATACCGCGACAGAAGCCCCAAGAATAAGACCGCCGAGGCTGCCAACCGAAGCTTATTGCTACCCCGTGGGAAAGTACGACAGGGGCGGAAAATCATTTTTCTCGGGGCATCGTGGCCCGAGACGTGTCATTGGACGGCCATGCGCCCCCCAATTTCCCCGTCGCCTTGGCCATCACCCCCGCAACTTTACGCATGCAAGGTTAGTGTCGTCCCCATGCTTTCGATCCCGCAAGATTATTTCTAGGATCTTCAGGCACGATGGGAAATGATACCCCATTACCCGACATACGGGATAGAACGAGAACACGCGAAGACACGGGAGACGTTTGCTATATAACCGTCATGCAAACCTCGATGTACGACATTGTCGTTCAGCGCAGAGCACGCGCTGATATCTCAATTTCGATCCCATGGTGCGCATCGACACCGTGCGTGGAGCGCTCCTGCTCGCATGCATTGGCCATGCCTCAGCACGCCTGACCGCCAACGAGACGTCCGCATATCTCCAGCTAGAGAATGACCACCTTTTTGTCTCGGTCAATAAATCTATCGGACGAGTTGATCTTCTGGTGCTTGATGGACAAGATCTGCTTGGTTCAGCAGCTTACATTCCATACTCTCCGGGGGGCTCTTCTGGCGACGGCAGATATGGGGTCGGCCCATATCTTGATTGCTATTGCATCCCTGCCAGCGGCCCTTCAAGCACAGGCTCTGGTTCCTACACGCCAGGTACTATCGCGCCAACCTACAAGCTGTTCAAAGGCATGGACTCCCAACATGTCGCCTATGGTGGTGTCATGATGAGCGAAACGTACCCTCCTACGGGTCAAGTTCTGCAGCAGTATTGGTTTCTGCGGGATGGAGAAACTGGGTTGCACACCTTCAGTCGCATCGCCTATCACAACTCGACTACTCCCTTCTTACGAAATTTGCAGGAGTTCAGGACGCTCTTCAGGCCAAGCACAGAGTTGTGGACCGACCTGATCACCGACGATAATCTTGCTAGCAAAATGCCGGTGCCGAATCCGGCTTCAGGCAGCACTGCAAATGCGACAACCGTTCAAGATGCCACCTGGTATATCGGCAACCGCACGGATGACCCGTATGTCGAAGAGTTCGCGGACTACTTCACCAAGTACACCTTTTCGACAACTTGGCGCGACCAACAGGTTCATGGACTCTTTGGCGACGGAACGAACAGCAAGGACAATTCAACCTTCGGTGCTTGGTTAGTGATGAACACTAAAGATACCTATTATGGCGGTCCGACACATTCAGACCTGGTTGTTGATGGGATTATCTACAATTACATGGTTTCCAATCACCACGGCGATGGCACACCAAACATCACCGATGGCTTTGATCGCACATTCGGTCCCCAATACTATCACTTTAACAAAGGCCCTGCAGGCGCCTCGTGGAGAGACTTGAGGAATGAGGCTGTGAAGTACGCCACACCATCCTGGAACGCGGACTTTTACGATTCAATTGCGAAACACGTTCCAAATTATGTGCCGAGCTCAAAGCGTGGCTCATGGAAAGCCAAGATTGACTTGCCGAAGGGTGCTAAGAACGCGATTGCTGTTTTGGCTCAAGATGGCGTCGACTTCCAAGATAATGTTCTCGACACCTCAGCTTATCAATACTGGGCAGATATCGAGAGGGATGGCAAAGTCGAGATAGATCGCATCAAAGCGGGCAGGTACAGAGTGACAGTCTATGCCGATGGCATTTTCGGGGATTTTATACGAGATGGGATAGTTGTTCGAGCTGGAAAGTCGACCAACAGTGGGCTCCTGAAGTGGAAGGCTGAATCCGCTGGCACCGAGCTCTGGCGTATTGGAACCCCAGATAAAGCTGGTGGAGAGTGGAGACATGCGGCGCAAAGGCTCGATACCCCGCAAAACCCTGAGGAGTATCGCATATACTGGGGTGCATACGACTATCTCGAGGACTTCCCTAACGGTGTGAACTATCATGTAGGGAAAAGCGACCCAGCAAGGGATCTCAACTACATCCATTGGTCTGTTTTCGGTGGTTATGCAAATTCGAATCGGCCGACTCAAGTTGCGGGACACGGCGAGATTAACAATTGGACGATAACATTCGACCTCAAGAAGCATGATCTTGATAAGAAGAAGGGTGCGACATTCACAGTCCAATTGGCGGGAGCGAAGACAGCAGCCGGAAATACTGATGTCTTCAATGTCACGCAGCCCTGGAATGACCTTCCCCTTACAGTTGTCGTGAACGGGCATCAACTTGAGCCCTGGATCATCCCGTAAGTCCTCGTACTACCAACAGCTAGTAGCTGCAGGTTTCTGATACATTTCTAGGTATAACCAATCGTCTTCTTGCGCGACTAGAAGTGCAATCACTTGCTATACGTTAGGTCACAAGTACACGTTTCCAACGGAGTACTTGTCCACCACAGGGAAGAACGAACTTTTACTGAGTCTGCCATACAATGCAACAGACTACGAGTCGGCGCTGCTGCCGAGAAGTGTGTACGTTCAGTACGATGCGTTGAGGTTGGAAGTCAAGTAGTGTACTAGCGTCAAATGTTCTTCACCGAGATCGGCAAATAACCTATATTTCCAACACTTCTCCAACGCGCGTCCCCGTTCTTGGTTGATGAGGATGGATCGGTGCGAGGGTCGAATGATCCAGGCATTCGCCCGAGCCGAAGCTTAAGCCCAACGGTCCACTGTGGCTCAATCATGGTCGATCAATCTGTCCCATGGCCCAGGTACACGTCCCTGTCATGGCCAGCAAGCGTCTCGTGGACCATGGTCGTGGGTGTTGCTGCCACGCTTCGGAGGTGGGCCCTATCGGCCCGATCAAAACCTTACTCGCTGCGATGGATCTTCGATTAGCGAACCATTCCCGGGCGGCGGGCGGCGGGCGGCACCATGGTTGTTGGTGCGCGACGGCGGTGCTTTCTTGTGCGTTGGTTCCTTCAGACTGGAAAAAAGGTTCTGTCAACAACAGTGACCGCCGTAGTTGAGAGCGTTGAAGCCGCCACGCTGACGGCACCTCGCATGAAGTCACCAGCCCAGAGAATGCGAGTGCGTGTGCGTTCAGCGTATTGCCACGCGGAGGAAGCGAGCTCTGCGCTCAGGCAGCACAAAATGCCCCTATGGCATCTGTGGGTCTATGCGCGTATGATTAGTTTCTTTAAGTTTTGAGGCAACCCGACGTCTCGTGAGGACATTCTATAGCGGCCCAAGGTCGGCAGAGGGCACGCTCTGCATTTGTTGTGGCGATGATCAGGAATCTGGACCGTAGAATCGGTCGGCAATTATAGCTCCTGCTCTACAAAGTAATTACAGCGAAGAAAAGCCAGCCAAGCGATGCTCACGCTTTCAGCAAGTACCGGACCGGCGACTGGCGAGTCAGACTTATCTGTGGCTCTTCGCGGGGTACATCCCTGCACTTACATTGTATGCGCAATCACCACCCTCCTTTTTAAGGGCACAAGCTCCGGAAACAGATGACGACACCTACCGATTGCAGAACACACGCCGCTATGTTGGCCATCACGCATTGCCTTCCGATGCCTCTCTGCCTACCATTGCCATGCGCCTCTTCGATCTTCTCTACAAATCCACTTTTCTAGTACGGGGACATGGTTCCGCATGGCTATGAAACATGTGGGAGTGGAGGTGCCGCTGCGAACTGTTGGATGCTCAGACGGGGCTTCACACAAGTAGAGCATAGCACAAGGGACGTCCCGGCGCCGTCAAAGCACTTGTGCCAGTGGTGCGGAAATGGTCACACGTGTACCAAGTGGCGACGTGAGGTCGTGTTTTATTGCCCTGCTGCGCATCCTGTTCTGGCAGACTTGGTTCCTTTTTTCCTTCTCCAATGTATTGTCGCCGGTTTGTGCACGCCGATCGTACACGTATGCTGGCGTGAGGGCGTTGTGCAGCACGCTCAAGAAAACCGAAACAGTATTCGCACTAAGAAGATAAAAAAAATCAAAGGATCACACCATGGAAATCAGCAAATTGGATTGCAGTAGGATGGATTGTACTGGAGATACCGGGCCTGTGGTGGTGGGCGTAACGTGGATGCTATGCGCCTTGTCTGGTGGGTTTCTGGGACTGAGACTTTATGCGAAAATTAGTCGACACCAAAGACTTTGGTGGGATGACTACATCATATCTCTTGCCTGGGTATGTAAAAACCGCTTCCCCTTCGCCTCGACCAGGCACGGACTAGCGGGGCTGACGCTGACCTCCACCAGCTCCTCCTCGCTGTCGAGTCTGCCATAACTCAAGCCGGCCGTGAGCTCGGCTTAGGAAGACATGTCTGGACAGTCGATATCGAAGATGTGTTTGCCCTCACTCGGAACATATACATAGGGGCTACTGTATCATGCTTTGCGGCCACTCTTTCCAAGATCGCCTTCGGCGTCACACTACTACGACTCACCAAAGGCAAGCTCAAGGCATTCGTTTGGGTGTGCATCGTCCTACTTTTCGTCGTCATGTTACCGTCCGCGTTCCTTTCCTGGTTATCGTGTCGTCCCACCGCAAAATTATGGAATCCATTTCTTCAAGGAACTTGTTGGCCCGGTTCAGTGACAAGGGACTACGGCTATTTCAATGCTGCACTCTGTGCCGTCGTGGACTTCGCGCTTGCTTTGATACCATGGAAGCTGTTGTGGGGGCTGCAGCTACAGACAAAGGAGAAGATCGGGCTGGGCATCGCAATGAGCATGGGTCTGCTTGCAGGAGTCTGCGCGATTATCAAGGGCGTGTACCTCCAAGACCTCACCGCCATAGACTTCTTCTGTAAGTGTGCTCAACTAAGCACAAAAGAGGCGAGACATCGCTAACAGATCAACACAGATTCAGGGAAAGACGTTACAATATGGACGGCCGTCGAAATAGCTACAGCCATCATCGGCGCATGCATACCCGTGCTCCGCGTTTTCTTCAAAAACACAATCACTTCGCTCCACGATCGGTATCACCGCACCGACGGAATTGGTGCGACCGATCGCGTCACCACTAACGGGAGTTCTTCTGTCCCACTGGAATTCATCCAACAAAAAACGGCGCGGACGAGCACCTCAAGCATTCCAGGAGCAGAAGAGCTTGGGACTGTGATATCGAATGAACATGGTGGCATTCTACAAACTAATACCGTGACAGTGGAATATGCGCCTAACCCGCAAGGTCGAATTGTGGAATGGAGGAGGACATAAATGCTATCAAGCTGATTTTATGCATTTGAACAGTGCATTCCTGGTACACTTGCATGACTCCAGTCATACCTCATTCGCTATTGCCCTTGCACTTGAGGGGAGGTCCAGACCAAGGATCCGTCACATTTCGCTCATCTCCATATGAAGAGAACAGACAGGTCGTTGGTGGATGTCTACCACGCTGGGGAGGAACGACCGGCTAAAGTGAGGAACATGGTAACCCAAAGCCTAGGACCGGACCATCCACTCGAGAGGCGCAGAAACTGCGCGCCGGTGACCACTGGGAATTGAACGCTCCTGTTCGATTATTAACGCTTTGTTCACAAGCAATTGAAGTGATCTCACTCACCGCCTGGACGACACGCCTAGCAAGACTCTTGAGTTCCTCGAGTCGAGCGCGTTTAGGAGCCTACGAACAAGCATTAGTAAAGAAATCTGTTCATTGAGAGTCCGGTTCTGGACACATACGTCCGGATAGCAGAAGCCAAGGTTCCAGAGCTGATAGTCAAGCGCCCGGCGGTGCCACACCGCATTACACACTGCAGACGTTCCGAAGCGCTTCTCATTGGAGTTGACAGTACTTTGGGCCTCGATAGGCATATCCTCTATGGAGCAAGAGTTGATGCGGCGAAGTTGAGCGTTGGCAGTTTCAGCCGTAGAGTTGCCTCCAGGCACACGAGACGACATTGTGGTGGCAGGCGAATACTTGTCGTTCGCTGCTACGAAGGTTCAGCAGCTTTCAAGCTGAGTCAAGATATTGTGCGGCGTCGCGGAGAATAGATTCGTTCGAGGACTTGCTCGACGATTGTTGTTTCGCAGAAGGTGTACGGTGTGGAAGGTCGAGGTCGAGTCGAGGCAGTGGGCCGAAAATGTAACGTTTGAAATCACCGGAATGGTACCGGAAAGAAACCGGAATGGCCACGCGAGCTGTAACTTCTCTGTATACAATCGGACGTTTTCCATGCTCATTGCTACTGCATTATGCATCCAAAGAAAGAGGTCAGCTAGTGCTCAGGATCGCGTTCGGATAGTGACACACAGCACAAGCGATATCGTGACTCGGTTCGCGTGATATATACGGAGTGAAAGAAAGTAACATATTACCAAGAGCAGGACTTATAGTACATTGGTAGCTATATATTCTCGAAAAATAACGATTAAAGGGATCACGTGATGTTCTATTCACGACTTGCAACTTGGCATGCTCCTCCAGCAATGCGTCGAGGAAGCGCAGCAGACATAGCTAAGATCCTGAGTGATGGGACAATCTTTCCGTAGCTTCCCACATTCTTGACGCAGAGCAGGAGTTGGATATATCACAAGCCACAATTATCCGCCAATGAGGAGAGAGGAACTGGGGACGAGAGTCGCGTCAACTAAGTCTCTGTACAGAATCCAATATAGGGACACCCAGATCTCGAATAATGGCACCGGGATCCGATTGGCGAACTACAGTAAGAATACCTATAAGTAGCTGTGCCAATGTAAATGTTGGGTGCTACTCAGAATCACAACGCCTTCCAGAGTAGAGATGTTTACGCCGAAGAAGCTGTTTTCTCTCCTCGCTGCCACCTGTGGTGTGGTCACTGCTGCTTCGATAACCGATGTCTGTATGGTGGGATATTGTACACTCGGCTCTGGGTGAGTCGGATCCGCTTTCCCAGCGATTCCAGATTTGCTACCTTCTATCTGCGTTCTGGCTCTTATTATCCGTATTCCTAAAACATCTTCACTGAAACCGGATTTCACTTCGATTGAACTCGCTACGTTCGTTCTCTATTGCTCAACGTACCAGTGTACGATTCTCATTAACATCAAACAGTACTTCAGGTGGTAAAGGCGGCGAAACAGTGACTGTCACCTCACTTGCTGCACTCACAAGTGCCGTTGCCGATAGCACGCCCAGAATAGTGGTTGTATCTGGAACTATCAGTGGCGCTGTCAAAGTCCTCGTCGGCTCTAACAAATCCATCATTGGTCGTAACAGCGGCCATCTTCTCGGCATCGGTCTCTTTCTCAATCACTCCTCAAACGTGATCATTAGGAACACGATACACTCAAAGGTGCTTTCAACGTACGAAGATGCGATCACAGTCAAGTACTCCACAAATGTTTGGGTCGATCACGTTGACTTGAGTAACGATCGCGATCATGACAAGGATTACTACGATGGGCTGGTGGATGTTACCAGAGCTTCTGTGAGTATCCTCCTGCTCTTGAACACTGCAACAGGTGAATATTGGGAAGCAAGTCTAATTAAGCCTTCTGCAGGACTATGTAACCATTTCGAACTCCTACTTGCATGATCACTGGAAAGGCTCGCTCGTAGGCCACAGTGACAATAACCAAGCGGAAGATACCGGACATCTGTATGTCATCGCAATATCGTAGTCATCAGCAGATTGCTAATGATCCTCTTCTCAACGCAGGCGTGTTACTTACGCCAACAACCACTTCTACAATCTCTACAGCCGCGGGCCAATGTTCAGAATCGGAACAGGACATCTTTTCAATAATTTCTGGCAGGACTTGGACGATGGAGTCCGAACGCGTGCCGGCGCACAGCTCCTCATTGAGTCCTCGGTGAGTGCTAGTAATTAATACCTTGATCCGCATCATACTAAGACGTTTGGGCAGGTTTTTGAGGGCACCAACGATGACATTATCGCAAAGGATGGCTATGCTGTTGTTCGGGACGTGGATCTCGGGCAGGGAACGAACGAAGCGCCGACCGGAACACTGACGAGTGTGCCATACTCTTACAGTCTCTTGGGAAGCGCGAATGTCAAAGCTGCTGTCGTCGGAGTCGCTGGGGCCACGCTGACTTTGTAGGTACCTATGGTAGTGAAGGCGGCCACTCTCAAATGCTTGTTGGTTACAAAGAAGCTTTGAGGCAAGATTCGAAGGATCGCTTGAGGAGGGAGATTGAAAGCTTGCTAGATGCTGATAAATGTATACTCCTTTGAATAGGATACTGATTCAAGCATGGAATACAGCCCTTCTTGGGTAGGACACAATGTTCCGGTTCTCCAAGTGCGGAGAGTATGAAGACACGCCTAGAATGATATCCAGAGTTGATGTAGTGGCAACACACTTCGATTTGAATTATGCGAATCTATCCTGACAAAAATGCATGATGGTGGCACAGTTATAAAAGGTGCGCAGAAGTACATGTACCCCTGCTACCTAGGTACACAAAGAAAGGTAGAGAAAAGGATGATGGAAAGCAGTATCTGTCACAGGAATTACCCAATGCGACAAATGTTCATGACCAAGAATCTAAGCTATACCGCTTACAAAAACACCGCCATTCCTTGTGCGGAGCTAGTTGCAAATCCAGACAGACTGAAGCGCTGAGCTTGCTTCGCCGAGCCTTGACCACCCGAGACATCCAAAACAGTGATGGCTGGGTCTGTCGTCCCGTTACCAGGCGACAAAGCATACACGAAATTACCAGCGCTTGCCAGATCCAGCAGCCCCGGGTCGCGATTCGCCGACAGATCATATTCTTTGATGATGCTGGCGTCCTTCACATTCATTTCCACGATGCGGTCAACGGCAGCGTCAGTGACAAAAGCGGACCCTGTAGCAGGTGAAATGGTCGCCCAGCAGGTGGCCGCTTGGCCGTCGATCTTCTGCTCGTGCGGAGCGGTAGCTTGGCCGCTGTGGTCAACGTCGATGATCGCAGCGCCAAAAGAAGCGTCAGTAGTGAAGAGCGAATTGGTGCTACCAGGAATGCGACTCGTTCCAAACAGTACGGCCGTTCCATTTGGAGAGCTGCGGACATCCTGTGTGGCAAGAGTCGCTTGGCGACGCCAACTACGTTTGACTTCGAACACAGAGAGATAGCCCGTCTTGTTGACCATAGGGTCGCCCTTCACCATTGTGAGAAGCTTCGTCTCGTCGGCCGAAAACAACGTCTGCGAGACTGTGTTGAGAGGACCCTTCGGCGGTGTGGACTGCCCAATGTCGAATGGACGAAGCTTGTCCATGGGTCCTATGCCTCGGTGCGAGAATGACGCGCATGATACTCCGGCTACGGCTCCGGTCGTAGCAACGCATACAAGGTTGTTCTTTGCGGAGGCGGCGACTGTGTTTGGGAATTCACCGGGTACGGCGACGGGTTTACCGACAACAGTCAGGCACAATGGATCGGCCGGATCGATGGCCAGCATAGACACAGTGTTTGAACCGGGATTCACAGCGAAAATGTTCTGCAATTATGTTAACACCAGTAAAAATGTGTGATGCGCTTCCACTTACGTTGCCAACAAGAGTGAGTGACGATTGGCTAGACAGGCCATCAGGAAGCTCAAGCTTCCCCGTTGCTGCTTGGATCATGACTGCTCCAGCGCCGCCAGTCTTGGTGGACTTTCCAGCCGCAAGGCTTCCATCTCTTTTAATTGGCAGTGCTACGACTGCATTCTCCGCTTCATTGGTGATGTAGTAGATAGCTTTTCCGGTGGTACTTTGCTGATGCCAATGCGTGTTCTTTGGAGCCCATGGAGCTGTCTCTCCGAAGGCCGCTAGAACAGCAAATAGGAGAGTGACTTTTGTCGGGAGTGCAGTCATGGTGTAGTGGAAGAAAGTGTTGTTCCTAAAACACGCGTTTGCGGGAATAGCAGAGATTGAAGATTCCAAAATGAGGTGGTGAACCGTGGATGGGCTCTTACGCTTGCACGGGATATTCTTATATACTCAAGCTCATTTGTTTGTCGTAAACTCTTGATATTTGGTACGCTTCCGCTTCAGCCATGATTATTCGATCGCGGCTCCCGAAAGAGGCAAGGCAGGACATCGGTGGTCCTCACAGAAGGAAAATCCATCTGATCTTACCCGCCGCGCCCAAACTAACAGCGAAGATCAAGGCCGACAGATGATGGCGGCGAGTGCTAATTTCAAGGGATTAGACTTGCATGCCAGAGGGGAAATTGATTCCATAACACTTTCCCTAACAGGTTTTGGGGGCCGTGCCCTGTAAGCCCTAGTCGAACCGCTGTGATTGGGGCTAATTCATCGTATTCTCGGACAAACCGCAGACACCGAGCGAATGAGATGAGCCGACGCCTCAGCCCCAACCATTCGAGTAATTGCTCGCATCATCAGCCACAATCCCTGCCACCCGCAACGCACAGTGTTCCAGCTGGCCTCAGGCGTTCGAATATCCCCAAGCGTCCAAAACGCTCGGCACGATTGTGCTAGCGACCTCCATCGGAATCCAGTAACTTGATCACTCTAACATTGTACTTCCGGTGCAGATTCACTGGATCTCGAACACTGTAGTGGAATCTCAAACACTGAAGTCGGAAGTATCGAGTCACTTGAGAGGCGCGCATCATGGTTAAGTTTACCTTTAAGCCGTTCAAAAGTCAGAAGGGGTCTCCTCCAGGTGCGTACTCTCCGTCTTGATATCCTATTGCCCAACATACAACCACATGACTGCGCTACGAAGTGTGCCGACCCACAAGCGTACCCTTGCGGGAGGAATATCACGCAGACCCAATCTGGCCTCTGACTATGGGACTCTCCTTGGCAAACTTTCCAAACATTACATGCCCTGGAGGATGCGCAAATACAGCATGACTAATGACCTGATCGTCCCAGACCATCTGGCCAACGAGGAACCCCAAAATCCTTATCAGAAGCGTAGAGAACAAGTCCGCCGTGCCCAGAAGTACGTCCTCATATCCTTCCCTCATCAAAAGAAGTCTGGCCATTGTCTCGTCGTCTTTCTGTGAACCCCTTGGAAGTCTTCTTAAACTACATACCAGCCTACAAGCCTTTCATAACGAACAATATCACTTCTAACGGCCGATGCTAGGACTCATCGCGAACGCAAAGAAGCCTATATCAAGTCGCTGGAGACCGAAGTCGTACAGCTGCGCGCCAATGAAGCAAGGCTCTTCCGAGAAACGAAGACGCTATATGCTGAAATTAATGCAATGAAAGCCTTGCTAGCCAACAACGGCATTCCAATCCCATCTACGACCCCACTACCACTACCATCGCCAGATCAGACGACGACCGAGGTTGGATCGGGAATAGATGAGTTCTTCGAGTTCAGCATTCCAGCGAAGGCGCCGAAGCAGCAACATGAACGCATCCAAGTTAGGGATCAAGATCGACGTAGAGGCAATCAAAGTGGAGGAACACTTACCGCTCAAGCAAAACTCACATCAACCTTCGACACCATACTATCTGCCTCAACTACGACTCTCGTCAGCCAGCAAAACCCCACAGCCATCGGCATGGACTTCATCCTCAGGTACCACCCCCCTCTCCCTCCGGCCTGGGAACTCCGCCACTAACCCCCTCTCTAGTCTAGAAGCTCCCTGCCTCGGCCACATACCATCAACTCTTGACAACGAGACACCATCAGGTCATGCGCTCTTGGCTAGTGCCACCTTACTTCACCACCAGCACCACCAACACCACCATCACTACCCTGCTTCTAACGGCCACGACCAAACCTCAAGCCCGACATGGACGGTTGATTCCTCGTCTGTTGAGCGCCTCCTCGAGCTCTCTTCCAGCATCCCACTCGACGGCGAAGTCACGCCCGTGCAAGCGTGGGATTATATCCGACGGCATCCTCAGTATTTAACTCTCGACTGTGCACGACTAGAGAAGTTGCAAGCAGCGTTGGTGGATTTTGTGAAGTGCTATGGCTTCGGTGGTGTTGTCGATCAGAATGTGTTTGAGGGGAAGGTTTGGGATATGTTTTCTGGGCGCGGGATATTCTAAGGAGAGTAGCTGGGATTTCCGCATTTCGCGATCAAAAGAGGGCATGTGTTAGGAGTACAGGGGGTAAAACTTTCGTAAATCGAATCTGTATCTTTCTTTGCAACTATGCAAGGGATACAAGCTCACCTTGGACGCACGACCCGTCCATGGCCCCTCTCTCCGAGCATCGGCTTGCGCAGAATCGGCCCATGTGGTCCCTTTCCAAAGTCCTCTTTACCATCAGGAGGGTTGCCGCTCACTGCTCCATTACTCTCTTCCTTGCCATCTTCAACAGCCTTCCCATTCTTCCACTTCTTTGCAAACTCCTGCGCCCCACCGCCGACCGCCCGCATCTCCTCATTATCCTTCCCGTCCTCACTCGCCACATACTTCTCCGCCGTCTCCAGCAGCTCTTTCTCGCCCTGCTTCCTCCTCTCCTCGGTCCACCGCGCGAACGCGTCCCACCACCAGCCATGTGTATCCCCATCGTCGCCCTTGTACCCCGCAACCTTCTTCCCGTCGGAGGACATCTGAACTCGTGCGGCCCACGGCTTATCAACAATGTAATGCAACACCGCGACCTCAGCGTCGCGCCACATGTTCGCATGCCAGTACCTCCACGTCTTGAGCGCGTTGGTGCGCCAACTGAGACTCTTCCACCGTCCATCAAACACGATGTTTAAGAAATCCTGATCTGGGAACTTCAACTTCCTCAGCTCCTTCGACGGTGTGCTTTCGAACTTGCCGAACACGAACGAGCGTAGTTCAGCAGATGGGTGGAACACGAACGTCCCCGTGTTCATCTCGCCCATGGTACTCGGCTCGCTCTTAACCTCCGGAACGTCGTCGGGCCCTTGAACATGAGTGTGCGCACAGTTTTCCGGGACCCAGGACTTCGGAGCCCAAGAGTCGTGGTCGAGATTGCACACGCAGATGTGTGTAGCGCACATCCTTTTTCCGTCACCACCAGCCAGATACGCGTCGTTTTCTGCATTGAAAATATACGGCGAGGGGTCCTTGAAAATCATCATATCGGCGTCGAGAAAACACAGACGATCGACCCTTTTCCCGTTTAGCTCGAGCAATTCGAAGACGCGGAGTTTCGTCCAGGTGTCGATGAAGCGCTCAGCGACCATGCCGTGGTTGCCGTCATCATCTGAAGTAGGCAGACGGAGGTGCTCCACAGGGTAAAGGATAGTGTTTGAGTGTTTTGCTTCGGCGCGGAGGGCGTTTATTGAGGGCTCGGACATAGTTTCTGGGGTGTAGAGGATGACCAGGGGGGTGCTGGGGGAATGTTGGTTGAGTGTATACGCGAGGAGGAGCGCGCCGGCAAGGTAGCTCGGCCGTGTGAGTAGTGTTGCGTATGCGTTGAAGCCATTGCTATCTCTTTCTTTGGTGCTCATGGTTGCTGTGCGCGCAGAGGGTGCTGCAATGTATGCCGCGACTGCAACAATTCCAAAATTTTAAGGCGCCCCGTGCTTGCGGCTGTTCAACTTCGGAGAGGAAACCACTGCGTCCCGAGTCAATTCAGTCCAGTCTCACAAGAAGCGATGCGTGCGAAGACTTCGTCCTTCCGCGTTCCACTATACGCTGTGACGTCATTGACTACGCCTGCTCACGTGTTAGCGCATCGCTTTGGTGGCATTCGCACCGAACTTTGGTATAGACGAACGAACAGTGGTTGCATCTCTTTCTCATATACGTATCACATTAGAAATAACTGTGCGCGGGTATCTGTCATCTCAACCGTCCAGCCCTCGGCAGCATCAAGCTCCATAAATCTTAATGTACTATACAAGAAGTCTTGATCGCAACACGGTGGTCATACGCATACGTGGTCGTCCTAGACAATCTTTCCATCTTCTTTCGCCAACGCTTTACCCCAAGCGCTCTCAAAACTAGGATCGGCCACGCTTTCTCTCGCAGTCGCAGGCTGACTGAATCCTGGCGCAAGGGGGTCCACACTATTTGTGGCCAGGCTCGTCCTGTTGCTCTCGTACACCGTACTTGTCGGCCGGGTTGAAGTGAACTCTGGCGACTCAACTTCAAAGTTGCTCGAATACACGACCGCAGCGAAAGCCTCTAGATCACGCACTTGTTCGATTGCCGCAAGGTACTCATTGTTCGCTCCACTGCCGATGTTGTGCGCTTGTCTACAGAACACGGCGAGCGAGCTTGCGACCTTGGCCTTCACATCGTTGCCCACTATTTCTTGTACGCGTGCAGTGCTCTCGGAGATGGGTGGGATCTTGTACGAGAGCTGAGACATCTTGACATCGATGAGATGTGAGAAGGCGGCGTCGAGGAGGCGGGTGAGCACATGAGTGAAGGCAGGTGAGTCGATGAGGTCGGAGGTTTCGTCAATGAGGCGGCGGAGCGACGTGGATGTGGTAGGAGAAGTGACCTCTTCGGAGGTGGTCATTCCGCTTTCGCGCAGGACGTAGTCTTCCTGGTCTTGACTGGGGAGGAGGTACGGCAGCCACTTGCACGTTCTATAACAGTTAATGGGATACATCTAGATCGGAAGAGCGTAGACCAACCTTCGTTCTTCCTCCGTCGCACCCTCTACTCTCTTCCGCACCTCTAAAGTAAGCTCAGAAAGTCTTTCGATGGTGATCTCTTCTCTCGGGTTCAGTGTGCCAAAGACTTCCTTCACGGCGATCCGCACTTTCTCCATGAGGTTAAGACATCCCTTGTGCAGCAGCCACCAGCTCAAACTCAGGTATCTCCGGTTCGTCTCGAAGTCGTTACCGTAGGCCTGCTCAAAATTGTCATCGTCGTGGTTCTCCAAGTTTATCCGCGATTCTTGATTTGCTGGAGGTGGAGATGCAAGGGAGACAACAGACGCGAGGTAGTTGCGGCGGCCGAGGAGGTTCAGTTGAATGCGGGTAAGAAGGGTGAGTAGTGACAAGGTGTATAGGAGCGTAAAAGCTCGTGTTATGGCTGTGCATGTCAGCTGCCATTGGGAACACTGCAGTTCTTGGTGGTAACTTACAGCTGATCTTCATCTCGCTCCACAGCTGTGCCTTGGTTCTCTTGCTCTTGCGCTCTCCCGACTCAGCACTGCCTTCTGCACTGCCTGTCGTTATGACGCTATCACCCTCACCAGCTATCTGGCTGGCATGCACATAACTCTCGCTCTGGAAGCTGGAGCTCTTCGCATCGTCTTCTGTGGTATCTGCGACACTCGGCGGTGCTGTGCTTGCAATCTCACTAGGTCCTACACTCCTCGATAGCCTTTCGGCCTTCTGCTTTTGCAGCTCTTCCAGCACTTGTTCCACAGGTACGGCGTCTAGGAGGTTCTCCGTGGCGGTGGGCAGAATGGCAAGTACGGTGAAGGTGCAGTCTTCTTGGTTCTGCTCAAAGCGGCGACGTAGGCTGTATCGTTAGCAATGTGCATCGTTCCAAGGTTGAAAGTCTCACTTCTCCTTCGCGATACGATCATCGCTCATGCGCTGACGCGCTTCAGACAGCTTCCCGAGTGCATACTGCCCCGCAAGGTACCCGGCGCCCAACACGCCTGCACCGATGGCAAAGTTAGTGCGATTTCGACGAAGCCAGCGGCGCGTTGCGCCTATCATCCTGCCCGTTGATGTAGCTGCACCACGGTCTGAGATGCGAAGCGCGGGGATGGGTGACTGTACGCGCCCGCACCCGAGGCGAAGATGATGTCACGGTGTGGGGAGAGATTTCGCTGGGAATGTGTTTCCCTTCAACTGACGCGGATATGCGACGTAGAAACTGAAGTAGCGTGCAATTACAATTAGAATAGATGCATTCAAAAGTGTCGCATGGCGAGGCTGGTGATGCGGTTTGGCAGGTCGCGCACGGATCACATAATCCTGGGGAAGCCGAGGCAAAGGCCGGCCTCCACGTCTTCCCTCAAGGGGGAAAACTTGCCGCATGTGCTCTTAGCAATAGTATTCGGAGCCCTTCGATATCGTTTGAGAGAAGAACTACTATCAGTCAAGATGTAAGATCACTGTCTCAACAGCACGAATCATAGAACTCGAGGTTTACAGGGTCACGATTCTGCCACGCCTCTATGTATGTATACGGCCCAGTGAGGGATTTTGGAGGGAAGAGTGGTTTGGTCAAGTATTAAGATTGCTACCTGTAACTCCCTGAACGCCTGTGTAGATTGATTGTGCTTTTTCACTAACAAAAACCCTACCTCGGACGAATCTTCACTGGCTGCGCCTGTCTGCTAATGCACGGCAAGAGACAAAGCCCCCCACTGCTATGTGTTCAAGCTAGATGCCTCAATTTGCCTTCGCCATAGATGTTCAAAATAAATCGCCAAGTACTACCCTACCAGAGCCTCGTAATCAGAGGATGCAAGTGTGAGATGATAGGATTCCAGGCGAGCCTCGTCGGGTAGGCTCCTGATTGAAATCGATCGGCTTGAACTCAGTGCCGACAGTGAACTAATTCTGTGTTTCTGTGCGCACAACTTGACTGAGGAACGCGCTTCAGGTACACCTAGCACAAATCTATCAGATTCACCTGCTTGTCCTCTTCGTGCACCTTCTCATCCTTGGACACCGGCCGACCATAGGATAGGAGTCTCCTGCCTGAGAGGAATGTGGGCACCTCGTTGTTTGACCGGGCAGTGCCGCCATCGGTGCGGTCGCCAGTTGTGCAGTTTCCTTCCGTGGCATCGCTGCCAGAGGTCGGTGTCTGAGGATTTTGGACATGAACTGATGAATTCAGGGGTAGAGGTGCGCTCCTGGCGCTATACTTAGGGACACCGAAAGTAGTGTCCGCCGTGGTGTCGAGGTCAGGTGACTGGAGCGTGTTAAGCCCTTCTAAACGATCGCGAGGGCTAGCACTGGGAGCCTCCATATCGTTCGCGCCATTCGTGTGTCCATTAGTGTACCGCTTGGTGTTAGCGTAAGGGTGCGATTGCGTAGATGCAGGGATACCATTGCTGTTCGCGGTTTCGGCGTGCCCATCAGAACGTCCATTGAGCTGTGCCTGAGGGTGTGGCCTTGCGGATGCGAATCTTTTGCTACCGTTACCATTCACCGTGCTAGGACCGACTCGGCTGGGGAGACCAGCAGGTTGCGAGCGAGGCATCGGATAACCAAGCTTGTCCAAGACGAGAGACTGTTGGGGAGACATCGCCGAATGCCGCCGGCCGATCTGCAATCCAAGAGTAAAGGGGTTATCCGGGTGGCTTGCATCAAAGAGAAAAGCCAACTCCGGGCTGTCGTGCGGCAGCAGACCAGCTTGGAACCTCTTTAAGCGATCGAACATGTTATGACAAGCTGCGAAGCCCTGGTCGTAGTAGTTGTCTCGTAGTTGGTCATTACCCTCAGCTTGTCCTAAAGCCTTGCCTTCAGCGAGCCCCCGCTCGTACTCTGCGTTTTCCCGGGTGATCATCATCTGCTCTAGCTCGGCTCGAATCTGGATTTCTAACCTTTCGTGAACTTGAACCTTATGCATGGTGGAATAGGCTTTCTCTCGCATCTCGATGGCACTCTCGCGGCTCTTCAACTCCTCCTTCTTGATAGCGAGCTGGGCGTCGACTTTACGATCACGACGACCGATCTCCTGGATGACTCTCTCGCGGATGATCGCGTCGTTGATATCAACGAATGTCTCTAGGTCTTGTTCATCTGCATCTGCGCCTGCAAATTGCTTCTGCCCAATCGTAAGAAGGTGCTCAGTTTTCCCGATCAGCCTTTCACGGGCCTCCAAGTCGAATTCCTTCTTTTTCAAATGTACTGTCCGTTTGACGATTGCAACCTGCTGGCCCAAGATGCCGCTACAAATCTGTTGCAGTGTTGCCTCACAATCATGGCGGACGCGGGTCTCTGTATGCTCGAGTTCGGCCTTATGAGCCCTTCGTTCATCTTCGAGGGTCTGATTGGCTTTCTGCAGCTTAGCTTGTAGCATCCGGGTCTCGTCTCTAGGATCAGTACGATCGTAGTACTGCTGCCCGTTGTTAAACTGAGGTCGACGAGGAGCGCGGGGTAAGTGCTGGAACTGTCAAATGTTATTAAACTATACCAATCGGTGATAGACATAGGGTCCTTACCTTCTGCACAGATTCGCCGGCATGAGGAACGCGGCTGTGCTGCGGCGTTGACGGGGCATACTTCGCGGCATTAGTTCTATAATATGAAAAATCAGGAAAAGATGGACCTACCTTTGAAGTGTGGATACTCTGACTCAGTGCAGTAGCCTCGCTGGAAAGGGCAAACCTGGCTCGCGAAATGGATGCCTCATCTGCATCTTGGTGATGCCCGTTCGTGGCACCTGTAAAGCCCCCGGATCCAGCTGTGTTCTCTTGTGAGGAAGTCGTAGCTATCTTGTCAGTTTCTTGAGACCATTCGTCTGCCCCGGGGCTCACGTTCTCTGACTGTAGATTACAATAACTCGTTGCGTTTCAAACAATAAGCGGGTGCAGAGAGTACAAAATACACAGTGGTACAGTTAAAGCAGGGTAAGGTGGGGTGGTAGACTCACTTGCGAAGGATGTACGAGTATTCGCACCTTTACCGTCGGAATCGTTTTTCTTCGCAGGCCCCTTCGAATCATCGTGGTCGCTCGAGGTCAAGTCGTCGACTTTCAGAACTGGAGCAGCCAGACCAACTACCGGAGACTGATCATTAGTAGGCTTCGTTGGCTCACTATCTTCGAGGCAATGAGTGACACTCGAGGCATCTACCGCTTCCGAGAGGTAAGTGCTGGAAATTTGGTAATTCGAGCCAGATGTTTTACTGGAGGCCGATAATGTGCCATTGAGGGTGCCTTTTCCAGCTGCAGAGTTCGCTGTATTCTGCATGATTCAATCAGCCTCGAGGTCTCTTGGGAAATATTCATAGCTTACAACAAGACGCTTTGCATCCATGCCCTCAATTTGTGGCTGAGTCACCTGGGTGGCTTGAGGGCCAGACGCGCTATTGTCTGAAATCCTACTCTTGATCTCACCATCCTCTACCGAGCTCTCGCTCCGTCTATGCATGTCCGCCATGGCAGACCGCTCTGTTTCTTCAAATGGAGATGCAAGTCGAGGAGTCCAGCCAAGACGCAAGCCTGTGAGCCCTTGAAGAACGTCCTGAATATCCCCCAAAGGCGGGTAGACAGGGGAGGCGGAGCAATGGCTGGGGTTCTCGAGAGCGGCGGTCATGGCCTTATACCCTTGATGGGTGAGCCTCGTGTGCAAACGGTCCGTTTGGTGAAGGCAGGGGATGTCGGCTACGTCCTATACGTGACCGTAATATCCACGTTTGTAAAGGTTTGCAGAAGCCTCAAGATACAAACGCGCGGTGAAGCTGAGCTTGGGGTAAGTAGTTGTGAATGACGGTTGTAGTGGACGCAAAAAGACCGAATACTGCTCTAGTAAGCACGCTATCAGCCACAGTGAAGTGAAGTCGAGTAGAAAGAGTAAATATTGATTGCAGAAATATCCTCTCAACGATTCTCAATCGAGCTGCAAAACCTCGATGTGAGAGTCATTCGTTTGTATTGAGAGTCGACTTGTTGCCCTGACGCGGTTATCGCATACTCCACTGTTTTCAATCGAGCTCAGCACTGGCGAAAACAGGTCGCGAAGTTCGAAAATGCAAACGGTCAGATCGAATCTCATGCCCCTGGGACAAACCTCCACCGCAAGAGAAAGAGAAGAACAAGAGATGAGTTAGCGTATGTTGTTACACCACAACAACAAACAGGACCAAGGCCGACGGTGTACGATCTCCGACGATATTGCCGTAGCAGCCTTATTCGAGTGTAGCAAGGACATCAAGCTCCTCAATAATACTAAGCCGAATCCCTTTCTCTTCAAACCTTTCTGCAAGATCTTCGTCAGGTCCACTATAAAGTCCCGCCCTACCGTCTTCGTAATGAATGACTAGGTCCCGCAATCTTGGGAGATACCTCGTGCAATCGTCCGCCAGTTGCTGTAAGGTCTTACATACTGAGACGCGCCAGATGTCTGGATCACTGTATTGCATGGTATAAGATATAGTCAGGTGCTCCAGTGACGGCGGAAGCTCTGGTGCGATTAGAACTTCTGGTACACCCACGGAGAGCGCGGGCACCCTGCAATGATCGTCGGGTATGAAAAGGTTGCACAATTTCGCCTCTTTCAGCGTAGTCATCTGACATAGACTAGGGCAGGAGACGTACGCTTGACTAGTGGAATCGAAGCCTGCTCTGCTTGCCACGAGATACAATGTTTCAAGAGTCTCTTTTTGCTTCAATAAACCTGGGATAAGGTTGACTTGCTCATGTGACAAGGCACACCATAGAAAGGACCAATGGCAGATGAAATGACGGAGGTTGTCGCAAATTGAAAGAACGTTGTTGACATCCTGCAAGGAGAGGCTACATTCTGTTAACTCGATTCGTTGTAGGCTTTTGAAGGTCGATCTTTGAGATATTTGGTACGAGCGACCTCCGGAGACGCCTGACGCACGAAGTTCCGTGATTGACGAGCATTGAAGAAGGCCGAAGAAAACGTGGTTGAAACAAAAAAGGGTTGTCTTCCCAAGAACTCTCTTCTATAACATTGGTCTGAAGAGCAAGCTTTTTTGAGCTTGAGTAAAGTGTGTCTCGGGAGTTCAAGGAGTTTGTACCAAAGCGTGAAACGATCACTTTCCACCGAGATGACGGACATCTGCTGTATATTTGGACACATATGGATAATCCATACGAGTTTATCGAAGTATTCGTTCACTACGAACAGTTAGACATGATCAATTTCAACGGAATCGCGTGGACTGGCACATGGCCTTCTGGCGTGCTTACCCATATCCTCGGCGTCGCAACTTCCCGCGTCCCAAGATAAGCTATGTCCAAGGCAGTCTTGAAGCAAATTCTCGACATACTGAACATGGTATCTCAGCTTCTGGTTCTCTGTAAGAGTTCTCCACATCAGGCGCAACGGTACGATGCCGTAATTTGTAGTGGATCCGGTGACTGCGTTATAGAGCGCGGAAACCGCAAGCTGATTAAGTCTCTTGGAAGTGAGACAGAGCGCATAAAGTGCTGTTCTCCTATGGTAGTTTTCAAACTGCCGAGTTATCTCTTCGTGCCTGTTTTTAAACGCCTGCGACTGAGGTTGATCGAGCCGTATTGCTCGCAACTCAGACACGACCAGGAGAAGAAGTTCATCGGGAAGATCCAGGAGGGTTGGGTTCCCAAAATCTGTGCGCGTGGCGGTTTTTGTTGCTGTCATAGGGTATCTTGTCTGCATCGCATGGAGCGTATCTGACAGAAGAGGTCCTCCTCTGATTGACTGGCAGTCTCTGCACGTGTAGTCGTAGGGATCTGCGCAAGCCATTTCCGTCACCTATCCGAGGGAAAACACCGTCATCCCAGATCTGCAACGATGTAAACCGATGATATCACGGGGCGCGACGACGTTCGCGGTTGCTGGCAGGCTCCCAGCTTGTGCAGACGTCAGTGAGACAAGTGACGCACTAAGCGCTATTCGATCGAGCCTAGCTCGCTTATACCAGGAAAACGCGACCAAACAAGGGTCGAGCAGTTGCAATGCAGTGTGTGACCCGCTACAGCCACCGAGCGTAGGACATACATATCTAGACGTATAGCAACGATTCTAATATTACACCACCTTCCGAACTCGTCCAGTCTCGACTTCATATATCCACCCTGTTACCCTGACGCCCTCTTCCACCGCCTTGCTCTTGAGCCATTGTACGTCCTCCTGTACTTTCTCCTCCAGCTCAGGAAATGCAAGGAAATCGAGGTCTTCAACCTCCTTTGCTGCCACTTCCCCTTTGTTCTTCTTCACAAGCCCACGCGCGGTGTCGTTGTCGAAAGTTAACATGCCGCAACCCGTGTGCTTGACCAGCAGCACCTCGGTCGTGCCCAGCAGTTGTTGGCTTATAACGAGCGATCGAAAGGCATCGCGCGCAGAGGCTCCAGCATTTCGGATAACGTGAGCTGCACCTAGGGGGATGCCGAAGGCGGCGCTTGGGTCAATACGCGCGTCCATACAGGTCACTAGGGATTGCATGTCAGCTACGGCAGACTGATGTGTGACCGACTGCACTCACGGACAGTATATTTCTGGCTCGGTGGGAGCGCAAGATCCCCCTTCGTGAAAGAAGCTGCATATGCCTTGTTGCCCTCGACTAGGTTGTTTTCTATAGTAGACATTCTGGATCTGCTGAGTCGGGGGATGCTGGATAGAGCTGCAGGTTAGCTGCGATTGGGATCAATCCCAATATATGGCCTGTATAGCTCCCTCTCGTCTTCTCAAGCTGGATGGCGCGCCGAAGCGGGAATGATGAGAGAGCGGGGTATGATTGCGCCTTACGAGACAGACATTCTAGCTAACTACAAAGGCCAGAGTAGAAGAGATAAACAACACATCGGTGACATGTTTCCGTAACCCACGTGCTTCCAAGGCGTGGAAGCTTGGTTTCGAGGAAATGATGTCGCGTGGGATGAGTACACTTCTAATCGATAAGACAACGCAGTAGCTTACGTAATAATATTTTGCTCTCAAACTGGATTCACGCGCGACGCGCATTGTTCCCCAAATGTTCGCAGCCTATGCATCGACTTTACGTTCTTTGAAATGATGGTCTGCAATCGCAATGTGTTCTGACGCCCTTGATAACTCTCCGAAGCTGAACGAGCTTCCTGGGGAGCTCATTCTAGAGATCCTACAACATCTCACAGTCGTCCGCGGCTACCTCGCTCTCCCGGAGGAAGAAGCCGCACGGAAAGCAGAGAACGCGCAGCGGATTGCAGCGTTGCATGGATTGAGTCTTGCGTGCCGCCGGTTGAATTATATCGCGACTCCATATCTCTACGAGTCTATTACCAACCTAGGGCAGAGCACCAACTGGACGAATGTCGACTCTCTGTTGAACACTATCAAGAAGAAACCAGCATTCCTAAATTTCATCCGATATATCGAAACTGATGGCGATGAATTTGACGCTGCTCTTGGTTCTGAGCTGGAAACCAAGCTCGAAGGTTTACGACGTATCGACTACGACGCTTACAACTATGACACTTGCATAGAGGAACGAACGAGGCATATTATGTTTCCCTGCATTGTTGTGGTGTCTACGCTCATCTCGCTCGCTCGAAATCTGGAGAGTCTTGCAATCGACAGAAGGTGGCATCTGAACGGGGTATATGACTTGGGCTATAATCCAGCTTTGCGCGACATTTCATTGAGAAACGTATACAAAGACGGTGGCCTCATTCACATCTCAGCACCACCCACCACGAAATTCAGTCGCGTCCTTGTGGTGCTGTCAGAACAAGCTAAAGTAAGAGTAGGGGGGCATCTGGTTGAACAGATTGATCGGGGGAGGGGAGGATTGGAACCTCCTGCAACAAGCACTTCACAGTGAGCCGCTTCCACATCCCAAAGAACTACGGTCGGTGTCCATCGAGGAATTAGTCCTTAAAGGCAATATGAGCTATGTCGTGTTAGAGTGGTTACTCAGCCATTGCACTTCCCCTCCGACGACTTCGCTACCATTGGATGGCAGCATGTGATGGTACGCTAGGGGTACCGATAGACCTTGAAAGATTTCGAGAAGATCTGCAACCGTTCGAGAAAACATTAGAGTTCCTTGCACTAGATACGTTGGATTCGTCGTGGCTTGTCGAGCTAGAAGAGGATATTCCCACGATTGGAAGCCTGCGGGAGTTCACGAACCTGAAGCATGTCGAAGTGTCTGGCATGGTACTTTGGAGCGATGATGACGGTACGGTGAAACATCCTCGGCTCTCTTCAATCCTACCATCCGCATTGGAGACGTTGATTGTCAACGTTGAATGGGAGGATGATGTTGAGGAGGCTCTAGCAGATCTAGCCAAAGATTGCGCAGTCCATTTTCCGGACTTAAAGAAGGTTGATTGCTCTTGGCGGCCGGCACCTATGTTCGTCGGCCGGGATCTTATCACTGAGTTCGAAAAAGCGGGTGTCAGCCTGAAGCTAGACATAGCTTCCACTACTGAAGAGGAGGAGAAACGGATCGAAGCCGAGATGATACAGATGGAACAAGACATTGAGTATATGGATGAGAGAGCTGAGGCAATCGAAGAGGAGATCAGGCGATTTGACGAGGAAGTGACCCAAATGGAAGAGGTTGCTCATGCGCAGGAGACTTCATCGGTAAGTTGATGGATGTTATCTTTGATTCAATCTAGCTTCGTTGATAGAATGATCAGGGGAAGTACTGATGTGTTCTAGTCATCTTCGACATAAGAATGCGGTGAGCTCTTATCTGCGCGACCCGACAGATTGTTATACTGGACAACCCAAATGACGCTGCTTGCCCTGCGGCACTGAATGGTAGATTAACCATCATCACACTACTTTGATGTCAAATTTGCCGGTTGCAGCTGGCTTCTTGAGCGACCACGCAATGCCATCTTCGACAGCCCTGTCCCACTGAGCAGAGGCTTTCAATGCAGCTCCAAACCTTCGGAATCCGTGTGGTACACCCTTAAACAGTCTGACTTCAGTCGGTACGCCCGCTTCAGACAACAGCTTGGCGTACAAAAGCGCCTCGTCTCGTAGTGGGTCTAGACCAGCGATCCCGAACATAGTAGGCGGCAATCCTTTGACATCGTCCGACGTTGCTGCAGTGAGTATGTTAGTTTTCGTGTCCTTCAATTCGACCTGGGGAATTTTGAGGAGTGACGTGAATATTCGGCAAGCCTTCATTGGCAGAATCGGAGCGTTCTCGTTCTCTACAATCGAGGAAATCTCGGGGCTCTTCATCATTTTCATTGGTCCCTCAGCGTATGTTTCGTGATGGGCTAGAGCCGGAATGATGAGGACTTGTGCAGCGATCGCAGGTAGCCCATTCAACGCCTCGTTCTTCCCAAGATGCTTTTCCAATACTAGCGAAGCAGTAAGCTGACCGCCTGCACTTATACCGCCTACAACAACTTTCGATCGATCGATTTTGAGCTTGTCGGTGTTCTTGTGCAGCCAGATGAAAGCATCCTGTGCGTCGTTCCACGCCGTGGGGAAGATATGTTCAGGGGTGTGGCGGTAATTGACGTTGACGACCACTGCTCCGGTATTGATAGCAGTATTGGCACACGCTGCATCTTCGCTGTTCAGCGTACCGAAAATGAATCCGCCACCATGGAAGTATAGATATGCTGGCAATATGTCGTCCTCTGACTTGGACACTGCACGGTAACTCCGAGCCTCGATTGTGGATCCGTCACGCGTTGGAATGGAATGATCCGTCATGCGTACATGTGGCCCGAGTCTCTCCATCAGTTTTGCGGATGCATCCTCACGGCCGCCGTTCACAACGGTTCTGGCACTTTTTGGATCAGCACCAAAGTCAAAAAACGGAACCGGGAGTGTCTTTTCCACGGCGAGCCATTCCTCCGAGGGGCCGCCGTATTCACTGAAATCGCACATGGCTGTTCGAATGAAGGTCGAAGAGTTCAATGTTTGATCTGATTTTGCTACCACAGACAGAGCGCAAAACAAACCGGGAGCCAAGCGAAGGTAACTATCGAGAGTATATACGGCTCTCGGGTAGTGTTGACGGGTCGCCCACATATGTTCGTACGAGCGCCTGCCCCGCATAACCCTCCGAACCTCGGCACTTGTGCGACTAAACGCCGTACATGTAGGAGAAAGGTCAGCCATGAGTCGTTTCCCTACCATCTCCAGAAACAGTACTGTATGTGTCATCGATTTGCGAAAACGTCAGCAGAGGATGCTCGGTCGTTCTGAAAGGGTTGAAGGCACCATTACGGATATCAATGAAAGGTTAAACTCTCAGGAATAGACCTCAGGCTCGCACAACACCTAGCGTTTCGAAGAGCTTTCATGGCAGACATTCCCCTGGAACCCCCTCCTCGGGGCCTCAAAGGCAAAGCGGCTATCGTCACCGGTGCCGGCTGTGCTGGTAACGGGATCGGAAACGGGCGCGCAATAGCTATAATGCTGGCTGATGAAGGGTGCAGTGTTCTTTGCTTGGACATGGACCTTGCGAACGTGGAAAAGACAGCTTGGATGGCGAATTCTAAAGCTGATCGCGGCAAAGCGCTGGCTTTCAAGTGCGACGTCACAAAAGCGGAAGACTGTGAGGCCTCTGTTCAACATGCCTTGAAAGCCTTTGGTAGACTGGACATTCTTATCAACAACGTTGGTATAGGAGGAGCCCCAGGTACCGCACTGGATGTGGATATGGAAGCGTTCGCGAAAGGGCTCGAGATCAACATATCCAGCATGGTGCTCATGGCAAAGCACTGCATCCCTGCAATGCAGAAAAATGAAGGTTCAGTAAGAGGAAGCATTGTGAATATGGGGAGTGTAGCAGGCCTAAAAGGTGGGACACCTCACCTACTGTATCCCACAAGCAAAGGTGCCGTAGTAAATATGACGCGAGCGATGGCGGCGCACCATGCGGAATGTGGAATCAGGGTAAACTGTGTCTGTCCTGGCGTAAGTTCACCCAACTGTGTTCGCTTTGGGTCGGTTCATAGATTGACGATCATAGATGCTATACACCCCTATGATGTACGCGAAAGGAATGAGCGAAGAGGCTCGAGAAGCGAGGAAGAAGAGAAGCCTCCTCGGTACAGAAGGCAACGCGTGGGATGCGGCTGCCGCGGTAGTTTTTCTTGCCAGTGACCATGCGAGATGGATAACTGGCGCAATACTTCCTGTCGATGCCGGCGCAACTGCTGCAGTTGGCATCGGAATGCCCAAGGGCACAAGCGTATAATTGCAGGCACAAGCACGCGCTCAAAGAAAACATGATTAGAGCCAACGACAGGTCAAGTGACTGGGGCTCACTCAATGCAAAACTCGAATAGAAGAAGTTCCTCCGAACAGCTATCACAATTGCAGGCAGACCACATTTCACTAAAGACGAAAGTCACAACTAGGCCTGCACTAACTGCAAGTCCCGAAGCCGGCAGGCCAGATACGACCATGACAGCCGAGATCCTGGGGAGGCGATCACGATATGCTCTGGGGACCCCGGATGCACGGGGAATCTGGAGACGAAACGCAGTCTTGCTTCCACCAATCACATCGACCCTTCGGCTCCTACAATGAAACACCCATGAGCCGCATGTACATGCGGCGACCCTACAATTCGTGGAAGTAACAATACTTTACTATACATCACTTGGCTACCCTATTGTAATAGCCTCGTTGGCGTCCTTGGTGATTTCCAAGACGGGAAATTAGCTATGCGCACCGCTACTTATAGCAAAGAAGTCTACCCAACTCATGGATTGTGCACCATTCTGGAGTTCAGCTCGTTCTCGCCAAGATGCTGTTCTTCAAGACATTGAGCACACTTGTGCTTGGGCTTTCATCTGTCGTTTCTGCTGCAACGTATACCAACCCAATCAAGGCGAAAGATGGCTCGGATCCACACATTGCGTACTCCGGTGGCTACTACTACCTCATGACGACTACGTGGACGAATTTGCAGATCACTCGTGCCACTACTATCAACGGCTTGAAGTCGGGTGAGACGAAGGTGGTGTACACCCAAAGCTCCGGATCGCGGTCTGGAAACATCTGGGCTGTAAGTAGCACATCATCATTTCAAAGGGAAGAAGCTAAATAAGCGGCAGCCTGAGTTACATTACCTTGACAATGCTTGGTACATCTACTTCACTGCTGGTGATGGCAAGGACTTGGGCACGCAGCGTCCGCATGTGCTGAAGGGTAAGCTATCACGACATATACCATCTTCCCCGCAATGTTGATTGGATTCCGCAGGCGGGGCCTCTCCCTGGGACTCATTCAGCTTTCTTTCTACGCTCTCTAGCACATGGGGCATCGACGGCACTATCCTCCGCTTCAGCAGCTGGGGTAACTACTTCGTCTACTCCTGCTTCCTCAACGGCTCTCCCCAATCCCTTTGCATCTCTAAGCTCAACTCGCCTGGCTCTATCGGCTCTCCAAAGCTCCTTTCTCAGCCGACTCTGTCCTGGGAGACCGTAGGTAACCCAGTCAACGAGGGCCCGGCGGCAATGTACCACGACGGCAAGACCTACCTCACCTACTCTGCATCCGACTGCTGGACTACATCCTACTCTCTCGGCCTGCTCACGTGGAATGGTTCCGGTGACCCCAGTCTTGCGGCTAGCTGGAGCAAGAGCGGACCGCTTCTTACGAGCGCGAATGGCAATTACGGGACGGGTCACAATGGGTTCTTCCAGAGTCCCGATGGCACTGAGATCTGGAATGTGTACCATGCGACAGCCAACAGTGCTGGAGCTTGCGATGGCAACAGGTACACAATGGTCAACAAAGTCAACTGGAACAGCAACGGGACGCCGAACTTCGGCACGCCGGCTAAGCTGGGCACTTCGTTCACTGGGCCTTCTGGCGAGTAAATTTAGAATGCGGCATAGCAGAGCTTGGCGTAGCACCCTCGCTGCTTACTCGATATCATGGCTACAGTGGTAGCTTGTAAATACACAAAGAGCTGAAGATATTCACGTTCACGTTCACAATGTTCTTCCATCATTTCCTTCTCACAACGCTGAGACTTGTTCACTTACCTTCCACGCATCAAATACCCCTGCTTTTCATATCCTCTACTGCTAAAACACTTCCCAGCTTACCATAACCTCCTCAACCCACCTGAGCAAACACGTAACGACCGAGCTGACACCCGTCTAGCAATACCAAAACTGAGGAAGCACTTGCTAACAAAACGAGACTACTAACAAGTCGACCCAGAACAATGTGCTTCTTGAACAAGCGTAGCACCTCCAAACGCGACTCACCCACTCTCCCCACTCGTCACAATTATGACCCTGCCACCTCTGCCCACCACTCTCCACTTGTGGTCAGTCAGCGCCAAAGTTGCCTCGCGCTCGCCCGCCAATATATTTCTCCAGCCGCGCGCAAAGTAAAAGTGAAGAAGCGCCGCAGTCAGGATGGCTCTGGCAAGCTGTACACCGCTTTCGTGGTGGCTGGAGAAGGTGCAGAAGAACGCGTGCTCATCATGGACCGGAACCTTTACAGTAGCGAGGAAGAGGCTGTTCGGCGGCTAAGCGTCATGCTAGTCGAGGAGTGGCGCGAGAAGCAGGGTATGAATTTCTTCTAAACGGTAAGTCTTCCGAAGGTAAGGCGGTTTGGTCCGTCATTTCATGCATTCGATATGGCAAGTCATTCTTCCATGAGATTTCCTTTGCGCTTTCATAGTGTTTCGGTCTCGCGGTCCATTAGACTTCTTGAGAACCTGCCTCTGATATTATTCCAATAGTAACTGATGTATGTGTGCTCGATGTATCCAAATAAACTATGTACTCCATGAGGGATACGACAACCCTTTGTGCTATGCGTCGCGCTTTGCATCTTCTACGCTGAATCTTCTTTCTTTCTCCTGTCCTAGAATCTCAGCCAGCTTCTGAAAGTTGACTGGTTTGGTGAGGTATTGATCGATACCCGAGCTCCATGCTTCTAGCCTTGCGCTGCTGGATGCCAGGCCCGTCAGTACAATGATACAGCACCTTGGTACGTTGTATGCTTGTTCGTATTGCCGGATGGCCCGTGTGGCTGTCATCCCATCCATCACCGGCATAGACATATCTAGTCAAATCGTCAGTATCAATGTTGATGCAAGGTTTACACTACTCAGTAACACATACCCATCAGGATGAAGTCGTGGCGAAGGTTAGGATTTTGGTATGCTTGTAATGCTGCAAGGCCGTTTTCGGCCTCCGAATATGTGTATTTGTGCTTCTTGAGAAAGGCCACTAGGAGCTGCATCATGTCAGCGTCTCACATCGCCGATGGTTATTCAATGTTAGACAACATACCCTACGGTTTATGGCATTGTCGTCCGTGACTAACACATGCGGTCCTGTCGATTTTGCGCGTATGGGCAACACGTCCTTCAGTTCCGCAGGTGGACTCTCTGCAACGCGCGACGCTATCGAGGTAAAGGAAGGCTTTAGATCATCGACATCAGTATCTTGAGACCGAGGCTGGAGTTCGGAGAGCTGAGTAGGTGTTGCGTGACGATCAACCAGCGGCTCCTGCAGGGGAAAGTGATTTTGCTCTTGCGATCCTTAGGACTGAGTTAGAAAAAGTGGCAACTACCAGTAAGGCTAGGGGGGAATACTAGTAAGCTTTGGGAGGTTCTCACTGGTATCATCGAAGCGATCAAGACATCGATTTAGAATGTACGCCAACTTGTACGGGCCACAACTAACGAAATTAGTTCATGGGGTGTGCAAAATGATATAAGGCAATGTTGTCAACGTACGGTTGAGTCATGATCTCCACCACGCTTTCTTTGTTCTTTACCCGCACATCGGACCGGAAGGTAGCTGCTTCAAGTGCATCCATGGCAATAAAGACAGTAGTTGGCGCTCGTTCACGATCGGTCCTTCGCCGCCGGATAGTGTCAAGGTATTCGAAAGACGGTTCCGGACAGATAACGAGATCTGTATCATGACCAGACCAATCTTCTGTTTGCACGACTTTCATCTTGAGGTGCAATTCGAGAGTCTTCGCTAGGGTATCCGTGAATCGCGAAAGTCCGCCACTGTTCTCGAAAGTCTCTGATGATTCATTCGGAAACTTGTGTTTCTTGTGCATGATGCAAACACGGCGTCCAGCCAGTCGAGCTACCGCAGGAAGGTATTCCGTTAGTCTAGAGGCCGGCGGCTGCGGAACATCCGGCTTCGTGAGAGAGAGTTTCACATTGAAAGTGGTACCAACAGAAGGTTCACTAGTAACCTCCATCTTTCCACCACTTGTCTCGATAATTTGGCGGACGATACTAAGTCCCAAACCCACTCCAGAAGCATGTGAATTTTCCTGTGAGAATGGCTGGAACGCTTTGTTTGCCAAAAACGATGGAGACATGCCAGCGCCGGAGTCCTTGATCGTCAGGGTGACGGTACTTTTATCTCCCTCTTCCGATCTACTGCTTCGTAATGACACCTGGATATGACCACTCTCAGTATATTTGACGGCGTTACCAAAGAGATTCATGACAATTCGCTTCCATGCTCCCACAGTAAAGCAGCGGTTCCAATCGTCTTCTTGAGCCAAGTCGAGGACGATATAACATTGCTTGCGATTGGATGATGTAGGTAGCTCTGCATTCAGCACTGGATCGTCTTCCGACCCGGCCGAAGACTGTAAGACACCCTCACTCTGGCCGATTACCGGGATATACAAGGCGCCCGAAAATACAGCTTCGACAACTTCTTCAGTGGCCAAAGCAAGGTCGAAGGAGGACTAGATAGAGATAGGAACATTAGGAGTTGGCCAAGTGTTCAAGAATAGTAAAGCAACGCACCTGCTTGATCTTGCGTGTCTTCAGTGGCTTTGAAGAAAGCCGTATGGTATTGGAACTCTTCAGCTTTCTAGAAGAAACGGTTTTAGGGGCTTCGTTGCTCTTTGCATAGTCCATTACCTGATTGATGGTGTCGAGAAGAGTCTGCCCGCATGAATGCAACGAATTGAGCATGCTGACTTGGAAGGAGTCAAGGTGCGTGTCTTTGATGAATTCCAAGGTGCCAAGGATCCCATGCAGCGGAGAGCGGAGTTCGTGGGAGATAGACGCAACAAATGTAGTTTTCTGTCTATTAGAAGTGATAAGGTCAGCTCAAGAGATGTAGGGCGAGATGTTCAAGGATGTCTATAGCAATGGAGCTATACATTGAATGCAGGCCCGTTTCGTTGAAAAGGGCCGGACAGGTTGCGCACTCTCGGACATGAGATTAGAATCAACTTACTGCCGACATGTTAGCATGATGTGCGACAGAACTTAGTAAGAGGAAGTCAAACCTGATGTGATGCGAGAGCGTCTAGTCTGGACAATTCTCGCATAATGGAGTCGCTAAAGATTTTGAAGTAATTGAGGTCCACGGTGGAGGACAGCAGGCGCTGTGGATTGTTGCTCCAGCACAGGCACCCAGCGAACCACCTTGAGCGTTCCTGTCTTTTCGTTAGAATGACAGCAGGTTCAAAGGATCTTATGACTTGCGTAGTCCCAAAACGGCACGAATGCAACACTCCTCGCTTTGGGGAGCAGTTCATGAACTGCAACCGATGTTCTGAACCTTCGCCCAACATCTTTCTTTTTGGCTTCTGACGAAACAACTTCTGCGGCGCTGGCACTTGATGAAGAGTTGTCGTCGGTCGACGATACAGATGAGCCCGTAGCGGTGAAATTTGTTATCTTCCCGGTAGACCATTCTTTGAGCAGTCGTGCCAAATCTCGCTCCAACAAAGTACCAAAGTCGGATCCATCGTTGGACGCTTTTCCTCGCACCGCATAGCCAAGCACTGAGCACGTCTTGGGCGATTTATCATCCTGCATATCGCGACGACTACTCGCGGTGCTAGCAGCATCACTAGACGAAGAGACGGAGTGCGAAGAGTCTCCTGAACTCGCATCCTCTTCGTTGGTACCAGGAAATTGACGGTGGCCAGTCGCTGCAACAGAGGCGTCGAGGATGAGCACGCCATCTAGATTGCTAGATGCCATCATGACATTGGCAGCACGAGAGAACATATCTTTGGAATGGAGGGGCAGGATAGAGTTCTGAAGGGTGCCGATTGATCGTTCATTGGTCGATGAAGCTTGAATTGTCCTTGAACCCACTGACGACAGAGTCTTGAGACTGCGTACAGAACCAGCTGAAGCAGCTGTTGTCGAGCCGGACTGGTTCGAGGAGTCATCTGCAAATACTTTGAAAGGCTTCAATGCGGATGCTCCTTGCGCAAAGGACAGCAGACCGCGAGTGAACTGCTCGCCGCGTTGATACTGGTCCCTGAGCGTGTACGTGTCCAGGTAGTTGATGATGGTCGCCGCAAAATCTTGAAGAAGGATGACCTGCCCGCCAGAGAGGCCCGGATCAGGGCGCGGTTCGCCGTCCCAAATGGATAGCACGCCCACCACAGAGCCGCGTGGACAGACCAAGGGCACTCCTCCGTAGAAGCGCCATTGCGGACCCCCTTTGACGAAATCGCTGTGTGCGTATTGCTCGGTTTTGGAGAGATCGTCAATCACGAGGACGGCGTCGGTCCTCATTTGCAGCACCTCTTCGCACACACCCCACGAGCGCGGAACGCTCACATTGCCGAGCCACAGAGCGGCGGCGGCATCCTCTGGCTTCGGACGAAGCGGGAGGCTCGGCGTGGCTTCTGCCAAGAAGTGCTGATGGGTGTCGTCTATGAGCGAGATACAGGCGCGTGCGACGTTGAGGCGCGTCGCGGTGAGCTGGGCGAGGGCGATCAAAGTGGAGTCGGCGGATGCGCGGGGCTTGTGATCCAGGGCGGGAGTCTCGATCTTGGGGGAATCCCGAAATGCAGACCCATACAACAAGTAAACATCGCGCTCCCGTTTCCGCTCGGCCACTGGGGACTTCTGTTGGCCTGGGGTCATTTCGCGATGCAAGTCCAGAGAGCCGCGTCCATGCGCTCCGCTTCAGTCCAGCAGTCAAGCGCACACTGCCCGCAGCTACCCCGCCGCGACACGAGGAGGCCTTTGTTCTGCTTTCGGGGGTGCGGGAGGGATGCACCAGGTCGATGCCTCAAAAATCGGAAAGTGGCATGGGATTATGAGATTGTCCATCGCCGCCAAGGGGACTCGATTAGCGCGGGTCTGGATTGCCACTTTCCGTCCCACGTCGTCGCCACCCCGCCCCGCTGGTCCACTACCGGCAAAACCTCGACGGGACCGACTGCATTGGAGAGCCCAACGACCCCTCACAGTCCATGTAGAGGGATGGCTTTGTATGTAAACGTGTGTCTCAGACGGTTTCCGTAGAAAGCGGACAGTGATAAGGTCTCTGATTGGATGTATTCACCCAAGTCTTTCTGACTAAGCCCGGCCCCATAGCTGTAAGTATCCAGATGGCCCGTGTATACACAAAAACACAGCTGTATGTATTACCGGATCCGGGATATCGCCACCCCTAGCTACGTGATGCGGTACGATTACCTCAGACCAACAATCTGCAAGAACGACTCTCCAGCCAGCCCTCCATAATGACAAACCAAGGTCACGTGATATGGATATGCCTGGGCGTTTGAAAGGTGCTCAGTCCCAGTGGGAAACGATTGTATTCGAAACTAAATTCCATGACATGAGGGAGGCCGTGGATGTCAGTCTTGGACACACTCGAGCGCTTTGATTGCCTCTCCATATACCATCTACCTGCTATCTCTACTAGCCCATATGCCTACAACCCTGCTTGAGCCTCCTCGACCTTCCCAAATCGGTACTGTGCCCAACTCAAACTCCCCTCTGCAAGCGTCCACAGCCGCTCTCCGACGTCCCCTCCAGCTGCTCCAGCTACAACATACATTGGGAGCAGATGCTCCAACGTAGGCCCCGCCTTGATTGCATCGTCGCGCTTCAACAAGGCCGCCATCTTAGCCTGGCGTTCCTCTGGTGGCGCAATCGCTGCTTCTCTCAGTGCTTCGTCAAAGGTGTAGACGTATCTTCATAATATTAGCAAGCATGACAGAAGGAGCTAAGGTAGCTAGCTCACGGCATCGTTGCCCCTGACCCTCTCATGGCGCGAAAATCATACAGGTTATGAACGGCCATACCAGCGCCTACGATGAGGACGCCTTCGTCCCGTAGGCTTTGCAGCGCTTGACCCAAGCGGTAGTGCTCATCCACATTCTCGTTGTCTAAGAGCGAGACTTGCACGATCGGTACGTTCAGCGGGTTCTTCTTCGGATCGAAGGCTGGAGATGGTGGTGTCAGCAAGGTCAATTCTACATCTATCTATGGTATACAGGACGGTACTCACCAGCTATGAAACCCACCCATACACCATGGTCCAGCCCGCGCTTCACCTTCTCCACCTTGACACCGTGGTTTCCCAAAAGAACAGCCACTTTGTCTGCGATCTCCGGGCTTCCCTTGTTGGGGTATTCGAACTCGTAGTAGTGCTTCGGAAAGCCGTGAAAATCGTAGATGATGTTCGTATTCGCAGCTGCATTGATTGCGATGGTGTCTGAACTCGCTTGCCAGTGCGCCGAGAAGACCACAATTGCCTTAGGCTTGACAAGTGTGGTGATTTCGTGGCCGACCGAGGTCAACTGCGCGTATGCAGGATGTTGCGTGTTTTCCATAAAATTGGGTCCACCGATGCCTAGAAAGTACACAGGCATCTGTCTGTTTGTGGTGGCCATGGTTCTGGATGGATCCACTATGATGGGCTGAGGTCTGAGAAGCACGCTGGATCGAATTTGCAATCTGTTGCACAGTGGTGGAATGGCGAGAGCTGCAAGGAAAATAACAAAGCTTATGTACTTGAAGCAAAAGACTGAGATTGCGAGGCGCATAACGGCCTGTAGATGCTCAATAGCAATGAACGCTGGAACAGACAGTAAGACATCATTAGTCCCCACTTGCGAGCGCGCGGAATTATGCGGTCGTATGCAATGGCCTGGCTCGCCCTAAACGGAATGGTACCGTCAAGATCTGAGACTGAGCGGGCTTGTTCTAGACAATGCTGTTGGACAGAATCTGGTGCCGCCCCGCCCTTTCTTACAGCTAGGAATTCACATGGAGGCGTAAGGTTACCCGCTCGGGATACTGCTGCACTTTGTCAGATGCGCGATAGATTGCATCCTCCCGCGCGGCTTATGTAAAGAGAATGTAAATCGTTCGACCAATAGGACGCTCTCATCCATCATGCTAGGCTGCAAGAGGTGGGATCCCGCGCGGCTCATGGGTTCAAGGCGAATTACGCGATACCACATTCGATGCTATGAGATGCAGGAGCAAACTTGGGAAGTTATTGTGAATCAACATGATTTCCAATCTTCGGATTCAAGACGTTGCGGACGAAAATACCGTGCGAAGATGGACAGGCTCCGAGTGGTATAAGTACTTATGGTATAGAGGGCCTCAGCTGGCAAAGACCCATCACCAATCCAACTCCTCACTCTTCAACGTCCACAGAACCGCACCATCCAATATTACCTCACAATGTCGGCCACCAAGGTTGTCATCATCTTCGGAGCTGGCAAGAGGGTCGGTGCCTCCGTAGCTGCCAATTTCGCAAGCATCGGCTACAAAGTCGCCCTTGTGTCGAGGAGCGGTACCGGGGCCATTAACGAGCAAGGATATCTCTCGTTGAAAGCGGACTTCACCGATCCAGGGACTGTCGCTCCTGCTTTCGATGCCGTCCAAGCCGAGTTCAACACTCCACCTAACGTTGTCGTCTACAATGCTGGGGCCCTGTCCTTTCCGACTGACAAGACCTCTGTCCTATCAGTTCCAGCAGACAAGATAGCGAGCGACCTCAACATCAATACTGTTAGCGCCTACGTCGCTGCTCAAGAGGCCGTCAAACGATGGGAGACCCTGCCCACAGCAGCCAAAAAGACGTTCATTTACACGGGTAACGCCTCGAATGAGATCCTCGTGCCCAACCCCTTGTGGTTGACCCTTGGCATGGGTAAGAGTGCCAGTGCCTTCTGGGTCGGACTATCTGACAAGTTGTACGAGGCCAAGGGCTACCGGTGGGTAATATTCTTGCTTCAACGTGATCTAGCGCTGATGCAGCCTTCTAGGTTCTTCTACGCCGATGAGCGCAGGGAAGACGGTACAGTGAAGGGAAACATCGACGGTCCGTATCATGGCGAGTTTTTTGCACACTTGGCAACTCAGGAAGAGAAGCTGCCGTGGCAGGCTACCTTTGTGAAAGACAAAGGTTACGTTTATTTTGATCCCAAATCCGTGAGTGTTAACAAGATCATGGAGTTGGCCAAGCCTATGTTGGATGCTTGGCTTAAAAACTAGGCTGTTGATACTTTTCCCCGCTCTGGGAGTTGGGCAGCAGTCGTGGATTGTAGCGCTTTTTAGTGCAATACATATACTTTCCAAGACTTTTCAAGCGTTGTCTATACGAGCAACACTAGATCACCTTCGGTTCTGAAGAATGTAGCAAGATCGCGATTCGATCTATCTTCGGAGTCCCTGCTCCTCCATACATCTTCCATGATTTTCGATGCTTTTCGCAGTGCGCCGAAAATGCTAGTCCTCCCCAGTGCTTGCATGTGTGCGCGAAATCGAGCTTCTTGCGATGGCATTGCAAGGCAGCCTGCTACACAGAATGGCCATGCGACTGAGCGCAGTAGAGCAGGAGGATGTTTCTGCAGATCTAGCAGGTCTAAGAGAGCTCCGACATGATGCTGAACCTCGGTGTTGGCGGGCTGCCATCCTGACACTACCACCGATAGAAAGAGGAGCGCGGCATGTCCCCATATGCGAGTTACGAAGAGACGTTGATCGCCATCTGCTAGAGCGCATGTCTGGTCCAAGAGGGTACCCGTTCGCCAAGAAGTGTTCGCTGAAATTGATGTGAGAGAACCAAGGTGGTTTTCAAGTGCATCTTTGATGGACATGGCACGGCGCACTAGCTCCATAACGTCTAGGTTGCCCGCTCGTTTTCGCTGTTGTTTCCAGGTATCGAGGTTCGACGCTTCGCCGATCTGCAGTAACACCACGTTTTGACATCCAATCACAGACTCGACGTCGACCACAGGTGGGCTATCAGTAGTGGCGTAAAGAAGGGCGCGATGATACTCGTATAGTCTTGGCGGTTCTTGCAATATTGTGCTGGCCACGATATCGTCTAGTATCAAGAGTGCTGTGGAGAAAGTGAATGCTGCCTGTTCTGCGCTTTGTACCTCGATGGAAAGGCCAGGCAAGAGCCGTGAGGTTGGTCCAAGGCGGTCTAGAACGGACTGGAACTGTAGCTTAGGGTCTTCTATAGCGGGCACAGAGCTGCGCATAAGATGCTCGAAAAGAGCCAGTGCTGCGAAGAGATGCGCTCGGCAATTGTCGAAGCTCAACACAGCGATTTCAAACCTTTGAACCTGCAAGATGCTCGCCAAAATGCGCACAGTGCCGTGCATGTGTTGAGCAATGTCCGCGTTCTCGATGTACTGCAGAGCTTTCCTGAGGGTTTCGAAGGCTTCTGCTGTTTGAGTAAGTACTGTTTCCCAAACTAGGTTGTCGTTGCTCGTTTCGGTGAGAAGCGAGAAGAAGAATGAACTCTGACATAGAACAGCTTGCCGTACCACCGGGCTGCTCATCATCATTTCGATAAGCCAGGCCTTTCCGCCTTCGTATGGAGTTGGTCTATGTCAAGCATGAGGTCAGCAAAACCTAATTGATGGTGAGGCCCTTGTTCTCCACATAGTACCTACTCACCGGTAGAACGGAAACATAAACGGAACAACTTGTTCGAGGTAGAACATGAGTAATACAGTCTCTGATGATTCTCCAAAGGCTGTCTTCTCCCGAGACGCTCCAGCATTGCGTGCGCAACCGGCAGAGCGCTGAACATGCGTTGGATGAATAGCATCTGCGTCAGCCCAAGGATTCGCACTGATACGGTCGTCATGTGTGAGTTCAAGAAGATCATTTGACATCGACCTAGCCGACTCTCTACATCTGGTGCTGCTCGATGCCATTGTCGTATCTACGGAGGCAGTGCTTGCATCGGCGGCCGCTATCCCTGTTTCGATAGTAGATAAGCACGTACTCCACTTGTATAGATGTATCGTACAACGACTCACGGCGATGAGGTGCCTTCTCCTTAACTTCTCGCTTGATACGCTCTGCCATCTCTTCTTGTCTTGTGCTACCGTCCATCCATTCCGGCTTGCATTTCTCGTAGTGACAGGTAATTAGAAGTTGGCCTAGACGAGAGTACAAAAGTCAGTAGAAGTTGCATGGCGGTATCGTACGGTCTCGATCGTAATCTGAATCAAGTTTCCACACCTAGCCGCCTGTACGTGCATGATGCCTGTAAATCAGAATCAGGGTTACTCACTACAGGTTGCGCATACAGGATATTTCTCGTCGCATTTCTTCTTCCGCAACCGGCAGGTCCAACACCCGCTTACACTCCTTCCGACGGTGGCGTTTCCAGATCCATTCAAAAGACTGAACGTCATGTCGTGCAAAGCACATAGGCGGCACGCGAAGTCGCGAGACACCTATCGGGCAGAGTTGCAGAGTTGTGGAGTACAGGGACGAGCCGCGCGGGACGATGATGCTGATGGCTAGCCACTAATTTGTAAGCACGCATGCTTGATCCATTGTTCCTTCCCACATGCAGCCAAGGTTTTCAAGGTAAACACTCAATGTACGCCGGGTATATCAGACTGGTCCCAATCGTCAAAAACAATACCATGTTTCATTATACATGTGCCCAACCAATCTTGCGCAGCACCTGCATTTCGTTGATCAAGCAGAAATCACCAAGCTCTTCATTCCTCGGATCCTCCTCCTTCCACTTGCGCACCCTTGACGCAACGACATTGGCCTTCAGCACGGGTGAGGTTGTCAAGCGTCGTATGCGGCTCTCCCACAACCTGTAAAGTAAAGTCAAAGATGAAGGGGCGCCCTCGCCTGCCCTCATAGCCTCGTAAGCTTCTCTGCTATACCCCACTCGCACTGCAGGATTCACGAACACGCCCTCTTTTGATGAAAGTGGATTATCGACATGTATGAGGCAGCACTCGGACCCCTCTACATGCGCAGCGGCCAATGAATCCGGAATACCGCGAAAGCGCAATGGATTTGGCCCTGTAAAGGCCTTCGCCGGCATTGCGACTATTTGCTTAGACACGTGCGAATTCTTGGGAATGTTCCTACTTACCGATGCCATTCCAGCAGCTGGCTACTGGAGCTGGTTCATTCTTCATGATAGCGGCCCGTGACTCTTGCGATCTGAAGTACGGCCAGGCTGGCATCAGGTGCTCATGCCCGTTGGAATCCCGTAGCGCGAAGGTGTCGTAGAAATACGGAGGGTTCTTGAAATCCATTGAGCATGCTGCGGCATAATGTCCGCCACGAGTGCTCAGTAGTTGGAGCACATCCTCTGTCTTGTCCCCATTAGTAGCTGATTGAGTAACCATGGGCCAAAGATCATAAGCGATCCACTTACAGAGAAGACAACGTCGTTAACGAACAGTATCTTGTCGAAAAGGATACCGCGTTGCGCCAATTCCTCAAGTGGCTCCAACCCTACATTTCTCTGTTTTGCAAGGTACGGGATGCGGCGCAATTCCTTCTGACCTTGGGGTGTATCTACCCAGCCTTCGCCCTCCGGCGCTACCGAGATCTCGTCGAAATGCGTGACATTGGACGTGGTAATCTTTCTTTCCACTCCGATTTGTTCCAAAGCTTCATCGAGCTCCCGCAGCGCATTCTTGGTCTCATCCCAGCTTCCACTCTCATGAATGCTGATGAACACATTCTTTGGTCCCAGATGTTCCGCAAGAGTTACCAAAGCCGCGCTCAACGAAGAGCGCAAGATGGCTTCGTTGTTCCAGAGAATGCTCGCAATGAAGATGCGCTCGGATCCGGGCTTGTAGCTATTTAGTGACGCGCTTCCGCGCGCAAGACGTTGCTGCACATGCAAAATGTCCAGGGTATTGAACAGGACAAACAAGACCAAGGATATGCGCACGATGGCCTTTCGCAGGTTATGGCGACGGAGATACATAGGTGCGAGGTGTCAACGCTAGGAAAAGCGTTTGGCTGGCGGAACAGTCCATTTGCGATTTGCGACGGTTTATGGCAAGGTCCGAAAAGTGAAGGACGCAGGTGTAGGTGTCCGGACACAGCCACTGCTCGTGCACCAGTCCGTGCTCGACGCTTCATGCCCCCTGTCACTTGGCTTGGCTCGCGAAACGTTGACGGAGATCGGTCCTGTCGCGGCACGAAAGTTCCGGGTTGGCCCCCACAGATACAACCCCATCAGGTGGTGAATCTTGGACAGAACTATCCACATGCAACTCTCGCGTCGACTGAGATCGAATTAGACGTCAATGATCGCTCACCTGTACTGGTGGACGGTCGAAATCGGTTGATCATCTCTCAATGCGATACGTTTTGACAAAAGGGCGAGGTGCAATCGAATCATCATCATTTTGGTAAATCTATGCGTCCGTATAAACAATCCCAGTCCTATTTACAACTTACTCTTCCCCTTCCCTGTACTCCTCCCAAGATACAGCGGGTCCTTGGGCTCAATGCCATACTTCCTGCACAGCTCTTCGCCCTTCCTCTTCTGCGCTTCCAACCTCTTCTTATGCGCCGCACCCCTCTTATTCTCATTCTTACCCAGCTGCAGCAAATGCACCTCGTCGGGGCCGTCCACGATACGCATAGTCCTGCCATTGCTGTACATAGCAGCCAAGGGCGTCTCCTGACTCACACCCGCACCGCCATACGCCTGGATCGCGCGGTCGATAACATCAAGGTTGACTTGCGGGACGAGCACCTTGACCTCTGCGATCTCCTTGAGCGCGCCCTTGGCATCGGACTCGTCAATCTTGATAGCGGCGTTGAGAACAGCGAGACGCGCGGCATCGATCTCGATACGTGAGCGTGCTACGCGGTCTAGCATTATGCCGTGCTTGTTCAGCATCTCGCCAAAGGGCTTCTTCCTCTCGTCGTTGATTCTTGCGAGAAACCACTCGAGAGCCTTCTCCGCAGCTCCAATGCTGCGCATGGCGTGGTGGATGCGGCCGGGGCCGAGACGCCCCTGAATGATCTTGAAGCCGTCGCCCTCGCCGAGAACCATGTTGGAGGCGGGGACGCGCACGTTGGTGAAGGTGACGTGGCCGTGGCCATGGGGCGCGTCGTCGTAGCCGAAGACGGAGAGCATGCGGTGGATGGTGATGCCGGGAGTGTTGTGCGGGACGAGGATGACGGATTGTTGCTTGTATTTGTCAGAGTTGTTGGGGTCGGTCTTTCCAAGGACGATGTAGATTTCGCAGCGTGGGTCGCCGATGCCCGAAGACCACCATTTCTATCATGTCCCATGTTAGTAGTCTAGACGAGAGACGGGAAAGGTATGCGGGGAGAACTTACCGAGCCGTTGAGCACATACGAGTCGCCGTCGCGCTTGATGGTCATCTCGATGTTGGTCGCATCACTAGACGCTACTTGTGGCTCCGTCATCAAGAATCCAGAACGTATCCTTCCCTCGAGCAGTGGCTCAAGCCACCTCTTCTTCTGGGCGTCGTTGCCGTATTTCGCCAACACCTCCATGTTTCCAGTATCCGGAGCCGCGCAGTTGGTGGCCTATGTACCCATTAGCCTTTTCTATTACGTTCACGGTATTATCCCAGCCGGTGATACACACCTCGCTGGCTGTCCGACTCTTGCCCAGGTACTCAGCCATAAGCCCGTACTCTAGGTTGCTGAACCCCGCTCCCTCCTTGAAGTGGGCCTTGGGCAGAAACATGTTCCACAAGCCCAATTCTCTCGCCTTCTTCTTCAGATCCTCAATGACGGAGGGATGCGAGGAGAATCGCTGCTGGGTAGTCTCGCCGATTTGCCGGATGTACACTTCGTCATGGGGGAGGCATTCCTCTTCGACGAACTTCTCGACCTACGAAGTGTTGTCAGCAGTGGAGAAGAGAAAGAAGCAGACAGAAGAGGGATGGGGCTATATACCAGGTCGAGCGTCTTTGCAGCACGCTCAGAGACGAATGGACGTGCAATCGCCGGGATGCGCTGGCTCGCCGTGAGGTGGCCATTCTGGGAGTTGATGAGCAGTTCTGACATGTTTGCGGTAATGTCTTCGGTGATTCCTGCCCTGAATCAACGAAACGAGAGAGTATGCGAAGAGCACGGCAGCAACCGAGGCGACTTTGTATCGCAGCGGGATGCGAGCTAAGCTCGATGTCCGTTGCGGGGACGTTGCCGAGGTTCGCGGAGTTAGCGGCCTGGGGGAAGCCCCTGGTTGGCTGGAGTGGAGATGCTTGGCAACATGGAGTGATATTCTGATCCTATCCGAGGATGGGTCAGTGAGCTGAGACTTTGTTCAAAGTCTGAGATTTAGGGGAAGAGTTCAGATCCGCGCTTCTCTCTGTGCGATTGTAGAAGCAATCATGATTCTCTGATCCTCTCATCAACAGCATCCGAGAATACAATTGCAAGCATACACGTATACTAGTCATACAGTTTATGCCCCTAGGTAAGAATGTATCGACAACGAATGAAGGTGCCCTCTAAACGGATTGCGCCGTTCCCAAAATGCATGCTCGCTCAGATATAAGACTATCCTGCCTAGTGCAACGCCAAAATATGCAGTACCAGCTAAACAAAAAGGTATCATCGCAACATGCAATCAATCCGACACAAACAGGCTCTCATCGCCATCTGCACCCGAATCCGGCGACTGAGTCTCGCTCGTCACGCCGTTGTAGCTCTCCGCTCTTTGCAACGGACTTCGCCGCCTCTTCAGCGCTTCCCTAACCTTTCTCTTCAATTCTACTTCCTCCTCTGTTTCTTCAGCGTTAAGTATATCAATTGCACGATCAACTTCCTCCCACGACGGCCTGCTGTCTCGCGAGCCGCGTGGAGTAGCGGGCCCCGACTGTGTTTCCAAAACCTCGAGACGTTTGGCTTGCTCTTGGATAGCAAGTGGGTCACTGGCCTCCTCGGTCGGCGTGGGGAGACCATTGGCGTTCTGGGTCAAGGCTGAGTCAACTCCGTTGGGCTGCTCAGGAGACGCTGAGCCCTCTTTTCTCGCCATCGGAGACCCTCCGCGGATGGCTGGTGTAGGTGGGCTGAAAGCGACTTGCAGGGGGCTGCGGCGTCCGTCTGTTTCTGCGTCGGAGACACCATTGACAATGTCGCTAACATGGCCACTGCGATCGCTCAGGGCGGCGGAAGTATCGCTTCGCCAAATATGTCCGAATGTGCGTCTTCGCCTTGCCCGTCTGCCGCCCTCCGGACTGTGCGACGGGGTGTCGAAGAAGCTGGAGTACGTATTACCCAGCTGCTGTACAATGGGGATGTCCGACTGTGAGCCCAGGGTGCCGGATCGTACAAAGAGGACCAGCCCAAGGCAGAGCAAAAGGAGCGTAGACTGAACTACTGCCATCCTCTTCTGCCACACGAGCTCGTCCGCTACCATACTGAGCCGCGCTCCAATCTCCCCGATCTCGGTCTGTTGCCGTTCCTTCATGCCCTCCAGTTCTAAAATCGTACTCTGCCATAGCTGATCGTACAAGTTCCGATAACTCTTGAGCTCGTGCATGACGGTAGTATTGAGATGATCTAGAAACTTCTCTGTCTTTTGCAATTGTTTCTTCTCGACTTTCATGAAAGCATCTCGTAAAATGCGAGACTGTTCTTCGATATACTGCAACGAGAGCGTGCTGTTAGCCTCCAGGTACTGAAGGCGTTTCGAGATGGATTTGAAAAAGGATTCTTGCGTCGGTGGGGTGTTTGGTTGCGATTGCACTGATGTGCGTGTTTGTGCTGGAGGCTGCGAGACACTGTTGGTATTGTTCGATGCTCCTTTGTTTGAGGGCGCGTTCGGCGCAGCGCCTGTGTCAGTGTTGATTGCAATTTTCGTATCAGTTGCCTGTAAAGATACAGGCTTCGAATCGCCACTGTAATGTTCCGCTGTTGAGGTAGGTGACTTTGGCGTATGAGCCGGAGTGGACGGTGAAGATAGGGAGTCCTGGCCAGCATTGGGAGAATCATTGGAAAGGTTTCCCATGCCATTCCTAGCAACGTCCAAGTGCGTTGATGGCCCGGTGCGTTGATCGTTCGAAGGAGGATCGTTGGCAGTGGAGTCTGCCTGGGCATGGATAGGCACTTCCGGAATACGAATGGGCGGATGCCCTCCGCGTTTTGGAGGCGAATGATCTCCGCTGATCGAATCAAAGCCGTCTCCACTTTCAGTCGGATTCAAGGTGCCATCTTCTTGTGGCGGAGCCTCTTGGATAGGGTCAGCATCCCTCTCAGGTTTGCTTTGAATCTGCTCGCCAGGAAGGCTATCGTCTGCAGAAATCATCGCGGTCTGTACAGGTTCCTCGGCAACCTCATCGATCGGCTCCGCGAAGTCATCATCTCCCCTCGCCTCTTCTTCCTCTCTCCTATACTGCTCCATCATAGTCGTACCATGAACCCTCAGTAAACTCATGGGACAATAAAATTCGTTACCATAATGCGTCAAAAGCTCAATACGGAGATACCGTGCCCAAATCTGCGGCTCGGTGATGAGAAAAGGCTGAATCTCTCGAGAGTTACGGGCTTCAAATGTGCCCAGTACACGCCAGCGGTCCAGCTTCACGGGATATCGATCAGAAACGCTAACACGGAAATGACGGAACATGGAAGAAAAGAATTCGTAATTGGCGAGGACGATAGTATCCACGAGGATGTCTTCGCACAGTTCAACAATGATGAATTTGTTCTCGGCAGAGCACTCAGTGAGCATGTAGCTATCCTTGTTCTCAACCAAGATGGAGGAGGTGCTCTTAGCTTTGGGGTTTGTCTTGAGGACCGTGGCGGCGCAGTCGAACGAGGCGTAGTTGAAGCGCTCTTTGCAAGTCTTGCCTGCATCTTTGCTGAGCGCCCAGGAGCTTGGAGCAGCATGGCCTTCGCCTTCCGTGGTCGTAGTCGTCTCCTGCTGAGCATCTGTATGCGGCTTCGTCGGTATCGCCTGTCCCTCTGGAGGGTTTCCAAAACCGCTGAAGTCTATCTCAATCTCTCCTTCTTCGCCCAACGAGTCGAGGGCGTTGACGTTGACCGGACGGCGTCGATTGCGCTGGTCAGAGGAGGCAGCACGAGCCTGTCCAATATTATCGGGCGACTGGCCAACGTGCTCGAGATTCTTCTTCTTCCACTCTTCGAACGACAGGAAATTATCGCTATCAAACGGTGAGTCTGTCTCCAACTCAGCCTCTGCTTGCGTGCCCGTTGAAGCGAGCCCTGCTGCAGCGTCGGTAGAGCCTGTCGCTTCTGGTCTTATTCCGTCGGCTTCGGCTTTTGCCTCGCTCCCTGAGGCATCCTGTCTAGCCCACGGTACCACCACCTCCAGCGTGTTGTCCAGGTTTTCCTGGCTCGAGTCGTCCACCACAGCGCTCGGCGTAGGCGCAGACCAGCTCGTCCTTAGGCATTGCTGGGGCAGCCTGTGCGTAATGTAGTTGATCGTGCGGAAAGGGCATGTCGCATCGGCGACGGCGGGAGGCTTCGATAGCGCCGACGTCGTGGGAGAACTTCTCGTGGAGCCGGTCGTGGTTGAGCTGCTCTCAGGGGCGGCTGTTTCATTCGTCGATTGAGCGAGGGCGCATGTCGGGATGCTGCAGAGTAGCAGGTAAACTGTCCACTCGCGGAGCGATGCGCCAACAGTCGTCATTGCTGGGGCGCATAGCTCAGTTCAAAGCCTGTCCGGTGTCGAGTGCCGGCAACATGAACAGCTGCACAGTAAATAACGGTTGCAGGGAGCGGTGAATACGTTGCCTTTCACAGAGACACGTCGTGGTCCAAGCGGTAATCTACACCGCCCCGCGAACTTCTTTATCGATGTTGCTGCCAAGCCAGCCGTCCTGCTCACACATCACCTTCATCTTTCATGCTGACTAAACTCGGTACATCAGGTATGTAGCCTGGTTGACATCTGTACATATTCTTACAACAGAACCTGCTCGGTATACACCGTAAAGCCTCACGAAGCAAGCAAAGCGGGGCAAGAGGAAATCTTGAAATGTCATCATGTGCCCTGAAAAGGCGCGAGCACGCTCAAGTGCATCAAATGCGTGCTAATCAATCGCCATGAAAAATATGACGCTCCCAAGTCATATCCAGCTCGTCAGATACAACAGATACCCATTCACAGTGAGCGAAAGCTTCAATACCACACCACCGCCCAACCCTCTTCAAACCACCCGCCCATCCATCCTGCCGACAGTACCAGGGAAACCTGCCAGCAGAGGTCTAATAATGTCGTGTCGTAAAGGGTCTTGTGCCTCATCCAGGAAACGCCGTGCTGGTCAGTCATGATCGTTGGTCCCATGAAACGCCAAAGTGAAAGCGTCCATATCCAAAATCCTGTTAATGTGGTTGCGTCATGCTGAAGGGTATGTAAAAGGTGACGCTTAGGTGTAAAGAAAGAGAAAAATTAGGAGTGAAAGCCATGGTCAAGTCGTGATCGCCCAGTTGGGGGTTTCAGAGATGAAGTCGTGCTACTCAAGATGGCTGGTATCCAAAGAATTTGGTGTGTTTAGAAGCCCTCGTCGCCGGCGCGGCAAACTTTGATCTCCTTGACCCATTCAGAGAAGAGGACCTGGTGGGCAGTGAGTCGGCGAGTAGGGTTCGGATCCAGGATTGAGTAGATGACATTGCGGCATTGGCGCTGCGTGAAGGTTAGTGAGATCAGTGTACAAAGGATGTGAATGTACGCACCCGACGAAGAACTTCTATAGGCCTATAACCGGCCTCCTCCTTCCGGTCTTCAAGATAGCGGTCGAAGAACTCGTCGTCGCCTTTCTGGGCCTGACGCCAAAGGTGCCGGCCTGTCCTCATAGCCATGTAGATGATACCACAGGCCCAGACGTCGACAGCACGAGGATCAAATTCGCGGTCGACGTATTCTTCTGGAGCAATGTAAGGAGCAGAGCCACATAGACCAGCGGTCATGTGAGCCTCCTTTTCCCAGGCCATACGAAAACATTCGCCATTGCCGAAGTCGGTGATCTTGATGGAGCCGTGCTGGGTCAAGAGGAGGTTCTCAGGTTTCAGGTCTCGATGCGCGACACCCATCTCGTGCATATACTCGACGCCACGCATGAGCTGCTTAAAGAAGCAGTCGGCTTCCACAACCTCAAGTTGACCGGCAGCCAGGACCAGTGTGTACAGGTCGCCGCCAGAGCAGTACTCCATGACCTCGCAGTAGGTACCCTTGTCGTCCTGGAGGAGATCGAGCGTATTGATGACATTCGGATGCTGCATGGATGAAGAGATGCAGAACTCGGCAGTCAAGCGCTTTTGGTATTTCTTGGCCGATTCGCCTGGACGTTGCTTGAATTCTTTGACAGCGTACAGCTGCTCGCGCTTGGGGTCCTTGGCGTCTGTCTTATGTGCGACGCGCACAATACCGAAAGCACCACGGCCAACGACCTCCTGGCACTTGCCGTACTTCTGTACAAGGGTTTGCGAAGTATTGTTTGCCGAGTTCTTCTGCTCCGCCAGCTTCTCCTTCTCGTTGCGCATAACGTCGACCCAGTTCGCCATCAGACTCAGAGGCTGCTCGTCGTTGTGGCCATCCTTCCTCTTGCCCAACATCAGATTCTGGAACATGTCCGACAGTTTCTCCTGGCGCTTGGCGACCTTGAGGTGGTGCTCGTGGGTTCCGTCGTCGTTCACCCAGAACCGGCGGTAGGGCGGCGTTGGACCGCCCGTCTTGCCAGCATTTACCGACCCCTGGCGCGCCGGTGGGGGGCGCGCAACTGCTCCGTTGGTCGATTTGACCTCAGCATTCTTCTCGGCCACCAGTGCGGCCTTCGCAGAGTCCCTACTCTCGTCGCGCTTGGTGAACATGCTGCTGAGCCGCGACGTCATCGTCGGCTTTTTGGCCTTTTGCGCATCGCCATTTGCGGCAGCGGGTACACCGTTCGCGTTCGGCGGTGGCGACAGGGTGGCGTTCGCGTCTGGTTTTGAGTCGAGCGACGACACGGTGGTTGTGGAGGCGACTGGCGAAGGCTGCGGTTTCGCGGGCTGGTTGGCGGGGTTGTTGCTGGCGGTGGGGGCGGCCATGGTGGGGATGCTGGCCGGTCGAGGTCGGCGCAGAGAGGAGGCGGCTTGCGCGCAGATTCAAAGGTTTTCGGAAGGGTGAGACGCAGGTGTCTCGCGGGCTAGAAGCCCTGGTCGTGTTATTGAAGGACACGCAAAACGGCGGACAGGCGGCGGCGGCTCGCGAGAGCTATGAGGTTGGGAAGCGTGTGCTGGGTGTGGGTCGACTGGTAGTGAGGAAACACGATTGCGGTCACGGTAGCAGTCGCCAGCAAGGGCGATGTGTGAGCTTCTCGGGCGTGGAAGGTGGCAGCAGCGTCGACGGCGATGACAAACGCCTGTCAACGCGCCTTGGAAGGGCTTGGTGGCTGTGCCGGGCACCGGGGCGATCGGCGCTCTATGATGTCGAAGGTGTGTATATGACAGTGGGCAGGACAGCGTGTGAGGAGATATTTGCTGGGCGGCGTGTGAATGTGAGACCTCAGTCAGCGTGAGCGTGAGAGCAGGCACGCGGCCCTTTGGGGGGCTCCCGCAGACAAAATATCGGTAGACGGTTTGCGGGGACTTGGGTGCGGTATTTTCTTCATGCTCCCGCCGTCAGTCGCGCTAGACTGCTGCTGGGTCCCATCTTTCATTACCATTACTGATGAAAGCGCGGAGCCCGTAGACCAGCGCCGCGCGCCTCCTTTGTGCCTTGGTCCATACGCGCGCACCTGTCACCGTCCCTGCTGGCCGCCGCTGGTGGGCCTTGGTAGGTGATGTCAGCCGTCGCGGAATTGTCGACTCGACCCTGATGGAAGCCTCCAAACAAGCATCGCGGCAGCGGAAGCTTGTCGTCACCAGTGTGCCTTCATACCCGTCTTCGCCCGCCGCTCGCCATGATGCATCCGCTATTGCTCTCCTGGTCGTCCCATCACCAGCCGGCGCCATCTCCTAGGGACGCCAGCCAGCAACGAGACGCCCGTTTCCACCACCGCCTGCTCTTCGACTCCGTCTGCAACACCACGCTACTCTACAGAATGTCAACTCGCGTACATCTGTCTCGGACATGCACGCCCCAGCAGGAGCTGCAGAGCAACCCTCGCCAAACCACTCGGCTGTGCCAATTGTCACGCCGCAGACCGCAACTCTCGTCCGGGGTCCAACGTCCGTCCACTCATAAATCCCTCGGCCCAAGCCCTAGCCAGTGTTCTGCAGGCTTGCCGTCCTTCACACTGCAGCCTGCGTCTGCTTGATGCCCGCACTGACCCCATCCGAAGATCTGGCAACATCCGCGCCCTCGGGTCTGTGCCCTGAACTCAACCGCCAGCCTGAGCGGCCTGAAGTTTGCCCTCTCCTATTAGTCAGCCCTCGGCTTTCGTCGTCTTAGTCCTTCTACAGTCCCAAGCAGGGCCACGGCTGTCTGTACGTTACCTGTCCGAGGCCACTGTTGCATTTTGATTCAGCTCATGGCCGCTGTTGCTGATTCCAGAGGCAATGTCGCTCCGGCCTTCTACTGCCCCCTTTCGGCTAGTCTGGAGCATATGCTCACATCCATGTGGGGACAGGCGGAACGGCGCGAGCAATTCGCTGCCTGGCCTTTCCCTTCTACGAAAAGCAACTTTGAGGCCAAGATGTACCGCCTGCCGCATCACCCGTCGCTCACAACACGAGGGGCATCAATGCGGCTTGGCTGCCGCAAGATAAGCACTCGCCCTGCAAATCGGTTCTTGTCCCTCATCCGCATAGTGCAACCTCATCGCTGATGCGCCGAGCCCGTGGTTGCAATTTTCCACTCCATTGGACATGAAGCAGAGGCGACGGGTACACCGCTTTCTGTTCTTCATGTTGCATTTGCATATGCAAAGGCGGGGAACACCGCTCAGATACCCAGGGGCAAATCATCACTGGAAGCACGCGTCCGCTTGGCAGGAATCAAGAACACGTCGTGTCTAACATGCTGCATCTTGCAACCGTTTCTTTTTCGTTCATCACGGCCCGTAATCCCTTCGGCAATTCTGTTGTACGTCGAGCTCATGCCTTTGTTTCCGAATTTAGTAAACCACCATTTTGTGGGCTTGGCCACCTGCAGCTACCTGTCGTCCAGAACGATCGCCAGATATTATACGGATCACTGAAACCACCCATGAACGCGGCTGCAGCTAGCAACGTAGCCTGCCGAACAACTCTGCCGGGAGCACGGCGAACAGCCACGAAGCTGAAATGCGATCAGGCCATATAATCACGTCGTCGTTACGCTCGGCCAACGGTGACATTGACCATCGAGCCACCCGCGGTGTTATTTCGTGATGTCGTTTTCACCGCAGTGAAGTGTGACTTAGCCCAGCCTCTAGAATAGCCGCTAGGGCTCTGCCAGTGTGTCTCACAAAAGGAAGTCTACGATGACTGCGTAAATTCTCCGAGCTGGACCATAATGACATGACCTGCAAAGAGGGTCCATAACACCGTCCGACCCGCACCAGGCCCCAAGCTTGTCAAGTCATCTGAAGACGCAAAACAAGCCAAATTACCCCACAATACATGATATGCGTCAGACAACAGCCTCAGGACGCATTCTCAACGCTCACCCGTGGTAATGCCAGAATGCGGCACCCGCGCTTGACTCCAAGCTAATTTTCCGAGGTCCAGTATCTTTGGCCATCTCTCACTTCATCCCCCTCGGTGTCCCACCCACATTTTCAATATCCTTCCGCCCCGCTGTCCTCACCCTCCACGTGCTTAGCTCCGCACATATGCATATCCCTTCGCGCTAACCCGACACTACCCCAGCCTTGCCGGCTTCCAGTGCTTGGCTATATACAAGGCCTCCTCTTTAATCGTTAGTCGCATTGCTCCGCCATAATACCAAGCCGACACGCTGGGCACCCATCATGTACCGAGACTCCCGCGGTACGAGGTACATCAGTAGCTGCTAGTTCCCGTCATCGTTATCCTGCTGCTGCTCGGTTGAGCATCTTCGTCCCTTTTACTATACACTGTCACGTTGACTAAAGACGTCCTTCCAGCTTCGTGCCCGTGGGTGCATGGCACAGGCTGGAGATGACTACGCAATATATCCATTGTGGTCTGCGGAATTGGATCGAATGTATACCCTGCAAACCTTCCTACTCGACAGGAACTCCTCATACAGCGTTACAGTCTAAGGCAAGGCAAGATTAGGTACCTACCGGATGCTAATAATACGGTTCGACAGGACGCCCAGCACCCCATCGCTCAAACCCAATCGCTACACCCCTATCTCACTTTGCTCATTGCACCGGCGTGCCACTCCGACTCACTCCCTTCAACCCTGGCACAGGCGTACTACTCCTCGAACTTGCACTCCCTCTCCTTCCCTCCTTCTCCTTGTCCCCAGATATACCCAACGCCTTCTCCCTCTCCCTCTCCCCCTGTCCTCCCGTCGGATAATCTCCCTCTCTTCCTCCACCGCTCTCTTCTTCTCTCTCACGTTCCTCGTGATCCTACTCAGCTTCCCCTCCTTCCCCTCATTCAGCTTCTGCCACTCGCCGCGGTACTCGATGTTCAATTTGGCTTTCTCCACGAGGCCCTTGAACCCAGTCTTCATATCTGAAGGCGTGGGAGGCTGCTTGCCGTGGTCGAAAACGGCTTCGGGCGCGTCGCGTATGATAGACTTGACGTTCTCGATGCGTCGGGTGAGGTAGAGGGTAGGTCGTCGAACGCCTGCGCCTGGCGTGCTAGAGGTGTCGCGTTGCCGGGCGAGGATGCGGTCTACTTCTTCTCGGTATGCTGTCTCGTACACATTGATGTCGACGGCGCCGGGTGACTCGCTTACGATGTGCGCGTCGTCGCCTGAAAGAGCACTGTCATTGCCCGTGCCGATGTCGAGGAAGAGTGTGTCTTGAAGGGGGGTCGTGGGCGTGACCTTTACCGACAGGGGTTCCGGGTGCGGAAGAAATCAGCCCAGTGGGAATCGTAATGGGTCTGCTAGGTGCGGGACGATGGGACATGTTTTCGTGGATGACTTTTGCATCGGTGATGCCAACAGGTTGTGGTGATATAGGACTGCTTGTTGTGCTGACTTTTGCGGGATGGCTTCTCGAGCTTGAGATGCCGGGACGGAAACCGGGCTTTTCATAGGCGACTCTATCTATGCCTTGAGGAATGCGCCGGACGTCGTTGTCAATTTCGATGTCGTGGTGAACGCCTTCGGTTGCTAGTGCACCTTCGATAGGCCGACGGTCGTCGGCATCTTGTGATCTTGATTTGCGCAGCCCGGAGGGTCGCATGGAGAGTGGCGGTTGGACGATGCGAGATGCGCTGCCTAGTATTCCTTCGAGACGTTCTGGTCTTCTTCGGAAGAGAAGTTGCTTGAATCGCTTCACTGCTCGCACCTAACAGGAATCAGCCCCAATGGATACCGAACGATGGAACGAGGTAGGACAGGACGCAGGACGGCGAAGACTAAACTCCTCCGACCCATTCGCCTCTCGCGTTCTTTGCAAGATCGATTGGATTGGGCGTAGAAGCGCACTTACCACGGTAACCAAGTGGCCCATGTTTCCAGTAATAGCGGCATCGACTTCCTCATCCGTGGGCTCTACCATAGCAGCTACATTCTCACCCCTAGGCAACAAAGCATCAGTCCCGTTCCTGGTCACCCAAGGGTGTTCCTGCACATGTCAGCGCTAGACTCTCTACAGCCATCATATTGTCGCGTACTCGTATCTGCTCCATGTTGATCCTCTTCTCCGGATCTTTCTCCAAAAGTTTCTGCATTAGATCTTTGAGATTCTCGTCGCAATCGTCATACTCAGGTTGGTCCATTCGGATCGCCTGATAAAGCTCGATCATGCCATGTCGCTCGAAGGGTATCCGTCCAAATAGCAAGCAGAACAACGTCACTCCCATTGACCATATATCGACAGCTTTGCCATCTACTTCACCATGCCTAGCTACGCACAGCTCCGGAGGCATGAACGCAGGAGATCCAGCTGACTTTGCTGTTTTCATCTGATCCTGCTTGTCGAACATTTCTGAGACACCGAAATCGACAATCTTCAGTACATCGTCGCCGGTAATCAGACAATTGTCGGGCTTGATGTCGCGGTGTATGATGCCTTGGGCGTGCACTACGCATACGTTAGCGCCACAGTCCCGCGTTGTGTAGCCAAGGAATTGGCGAATCTACATACGATATTCCAGGCCTAATATCATATCGCGGAACCAACATCTGCATTGCTCCTCTGGATACGGGTCTGCGCGCTCCTCGAGACCTACCTGCATGACGACGCCCTTCTTGCACATCTCCATGACCATGTACAACGAGTCCTCGTCCGGGTCGTCGAGCACTTCGACCAATGAGACGAGGTTCGGGTGGTTCAGCTTCTTCATGATGGCAATCTCCTCTTTTATAAGGTCCAACGAGTTCTGCTCTTCTTCTCCCCCCGCCGCATGCCTGTGCAGCGGGGAATTGAAGCCCAGGCCGGCGGCGAGGGCGCCTTGTCGTCGTCGGCGAGCGGACGGCCGCCGCAGCAGGTTCGATTGCGCGCGTTTGCGCAGGCGCGACTTGGAGAACTCTTTGACAGCCTAAGAAGCAGCTGTTAGCCAAATATGAGCGTGGATTGTGTCCGTAGGTAACCCGCATCAGTCCTAGTAACTCTCCGATGTCCCAGGCGGAGGTATCGTCGTGGGATGGAACCTCACATATTCTTGGCCGTACTGGTCCACGGCGAGGTGGACGGCACCAAATGAGCCGCGGCCTATCTCCTGCTTGATGAGGTACTGATTGATGCGGTGCTGGGCGGTGCCGTCATCTTCAGAGTTGCTATACTCGGAGCGCGCATTGAGAGTTTCCTTTGCGCTGTCAACACGGACTTCTAAGTCCAATGGTACAGCAGCAGTGGGCACACCTTGACTCTGCGCGTGGACGAGGCAGCTCGCTTGTGGTGTCGTAGCGGGGAGTGATAGGCGGGCAGAGACCTGGGGCGGATGTCAGCGACGGTTGCATCACGGCGGGGTACGGAGCCAGCAGCCAGCAACCAGCCAGAGTCGACTCGGGGGGGGCATAGCGTACGTATATTTGATGGCATGCGGGCGACCGTCGCTGCCGATGGCGGGGCCATCGAGCTCGACGTGCTCCGAAGTGAAGATTCCCGGTATTTCCGTCTCACTGGGCTGCCTTGTAGAGGCCGGCTGTTGCATCATCTGTGCACGGTGACAGCAGGTCGAGGACGGCGAAGGAGGCGAAGAGGACGGGCCAGCAATGGACGGGCAGAGGGGCTCCAATTGCAGAGGGAAAGGTGAAGGGGGATTATGCAGCGCACGGCGAGAGGAGGGTTTGGGTGCAGTCCCAATTTCTCGAGCCTCAGGCGGAACAGCTCGCAGCCAAGCAGAAGTCAACGTCTGTCTGCCCCGCTGCACTCGCAGAACGGCCCCAAGTGTGCCTTGGCAAGCGCCTTGTATTCGCGGGGATCCTCTTCCGCCGTTCGAGACCCCCAGTCCATCCGGCCCACGCTTGACAGTCGCTGTGAAAGAATCGGCCCACCCACCCGTCGCCGACGCACCTCGCGCCCGCCAGCTGCCATGGTGCTGTACTCCTTCTACATCTTCGATCGCCACAGTAGGTTCTTGTCTGCTATTCTGCCACCTCCCCTCCATACATGTCGCTAACGGCATCGCAGCCGAGTGCATCTACAGCCGCCGCTGGACACCCACCCGCCCCGCCTCCTCGTCTTCCAAAGCACCGCGCCCGACCTCCAACGCCTCCACCCTTTCCGACCCCAATGGCGATACCACCGCCGCCCAGAAGGCCAAGTACGCCGACGACGAGAAGCTCATCTTCGGCCTCGTCTTCTCGCTGCGCAACATGGTCCAGAAGCTGGGCGGACAAGACGACACCTTCTTGAGCTACAGGACCGGCGAATACAAGCTGCACTACTACGAAACGCCTACCCGCATGAAGTTTGTCATGCTCACAGATACCAAATTAAACAACTTGAGGCCGTATTTGCATCAGATATGGGCCAACCTATACGTTGAATACGTCGTCAAGAATCCACTGGCCCCTGTAGAGCACCCGGGAGGCATTGGCGTTGCGAACGAGCTGTTTGAGAGGGCCCTCGAGCTGTTCGTCACTTCCGTTCTACCCGCGTGATAGACCGTGATGGTTTGGAAACAGGAACGGCCGCGTGGGCGCCATCAGAAGAGAACGAGGCTGTTCATCACGAAGATGCTGCCCGCTTTCTGCAGCTAGCGATTCAAGGTGATAAAGTTTTGGCTAAAGAGGTGGCCTGCAAACGCCGGGAAGCGGCGTGCGTGTCAAATGACGCGGCACAGAAGATACCCACCCTCCAGCTCGGTTCAGTCTGGGAGCCATTGCGGAAGCGAGATTATAGCGTCGTGAAGTACCATCGTGAGTTTCGACAGAGGTTGACATAGTGAACCAAAGATATACCAATCAGAGTATTCGTAATTCATGCAAAGTCTACCGGGTATAGAATGCTTTTCGTGTCCAAGAACGCCCCTCCATGCATTAAATATCTTCCTCACAACCTTCTAAGCCGTTACATTCGAAGGCCGCGGGCGTCCATTGATCCTCGCAGGGCCCAGCCCCTTCCGCACTTCGTCCAGCTGCTCCAGCCCGCTCATGACCTTGCCCTTCCTGATCCTGTTGTTCCTCTTTCCAACCGTCTTATGATTCCCCAAGAAGTCATCCATGATGCTGTCGAAGTCGGATCTTAGCTGTGGCGCCTCGCTCATGCTCGACATGCCAGACATGCCAGACATTTGGCTGAAGCCAGACATTTTGCTCATGCCTGACATCATCGAAGCGTCGTCCTGGAAGTCGTCGTCTGCATACTCTTCCTCGATCTTATCAAAGCGCTGATCGAGGAGAGTGAGGCCCTCGGTTCGGTGCAGTGCTGATGAAGTCATACTGTAGTTGGAGGTCGATGTGAGGGCACCTTTTCGCTTCTTCTTGCGACCACCAGCTGTGAGTGCTGAGGCGCCGGTAAGAATCGATGATTGCATGTCCGAAGGCGCAGCTGGCTTGGGTGCCTTTCCAGCCTTGGCGTCGCTCTTAAATTTTTTGAACTCTTCCATGTAGTCCATGTGGCCTTCTTCGGCGGGTGCCGGTGCCTCATCTGGTGCTGGCAAGGTTGCTGGGTCCGTGGGTTCGACAGGTTCTTTCTCCTTTTTCGGCTTCGGTGATGATGCCTTGATGGTATCATCAGTCTCCCAGCCCGCGTCGTCTTCGTCGAGAAATCGATCCATGGTGTCGTCGTCATAATCTTGCTCCTCCCACTCATATTGTCCGACCTCGGCAGGATCTTGTGTCAGCTCAGCGAAGAAATCTTCCTCATTTTCGACATACGCTTCATCCTCCAAGGCTTCTAGTACTTCGCGCAACCTCGGGTCCATGTCAGGTTGGAACCCTGCAATCGCATCTGGAATATTCTGTTGGTCTTGATATGTGGTCTTCCTCACAAACTCAGAGGGCGCAAGATCCTCCCCGAAAACGTCGCTGGCCGCACGACTGACGCTACTGCTAACGCTTATCCCAGCATCGCTCTGTCTGTCGTCTAATGTGGCTGCACGAAGTGCGTCCGCCAAATCCATCTTTTGCTTGCCCTTCTTTTTTGGCTCTTTCGCTTCAATAAAGTAGGCGTCACCCGCACCGCTGTTGAGATCCCGCATATGCTGCATATAGTCGTAATTGGAGTCGTCGTAGAAAATGCCATAGTTGGCAGCCTCACCCTCGTTCTTGCGAACATTGGGAGCGAATTCTCCCTCTAGGTCCCTACGCGACTTGATCTGACTCCGTCCAGTTCGCCCAGTTGCGGCCGTCCATCTCGAAGCGGACGAGTATTGCGAGACTCGTGAACTACCTGCAAGCTCGGAATTCTCGCGCGTATTTTGACCCTCGATTTCAGCAAAGACCATGTCCGGGGCGTCGGCATCGTGAATGCGCGGGTCATTTTGGGCGCGGTGGACGAGGCGGTAGTTGACCGCGTCCTTCTTATCGCTGGAGGGGTTAGCGGGGTACTCATGGCGATTGTGCGAAAGTGTGGCTTACATGAATTTCCTGCGCGGCATAACGGCGGTGGTAGAGCTTTTCCTGTGAAGATGTGGTCGTGATTGAACTCAGTGGATAGTCCGAGGCCGTTAAGTACAAAAGTTGGGCGGCGGGCGCGGGGCGCGGTCGGTCGACATTTCTTTAGAAAATTTAGGCGAGGGGTGAATGGTCATTACGTAGTGGGGCAACTTTTCGCCGACCACCACTCGTGTCCAACTCTCCTCTACACCGACCAAAAACCACACAGGAAATACATCACAGTCGGCAATATGGTGCTCGCAAAGTCGAAGAAGAGCGTGGGGCTGGGCAACAGCCTCATGAACGACCGCTTCGGGAAGGGCAAGGGTGCTGATATGCGCAAAGGCAACTTCCAGGGCGGTATTGAGCGGACGGGCCAGAATGGTGAGAAGGTTAGTATGCGCCTGTCCGGCTGAAACAGTACGCTAACCTACGCCAGTACATTACGAACGAAAAGAAAGAGGCAGCGTGGGTCAAGATGCGCTCTGTGACGGAACAAAACGACCTTGACGAGTTCCTCTCCACTGCCGAACTCGCGGGCACCGATTTCACGGCCGAGAAGATGAACAACGTTAAGATCATTCATCGTGACCAGAAGAACCCATATCTGCTATCTGCAGCCGAAGAGCGCGCCGCTGTGCGGAAACACCGGGAGAACAAGGAACGGTTGAGCGTACCACGGAGACCTCAATGGGACGAGAAGACAACCCCGCAGCAATTAGATACCAGGGAGCGCGAGTCTCTGCTGCAGTGGCGAAGAGGGCTGGCCGAGCTGCAGGAACATAATGATCTGCTCATGACGCCGTTTGAGCGAAATCTGGAAGTGTGGAGGCAGTTGTGGCGCGTTATCGAGAGGTCCGACCTTGTCGTCCAAATCGTGGATGCGCGAAACCCGCTGTTGTTCCGAAGCGAGGATTTGGAGACTTATGTGAAAGAGGTGGATCCGAAGAAGAACAACTTGCTCTTGGTAAACAAGGCAGATATGATGACTTTGGACCAGCGGCGAGCTTGGGCAGACTACTTCGTGGAGAAGGGCATCAACTACAAGTTCTTCTCTGCTGAGTTGGCCAAGGAGATGAACGAAGCTAGACATGGAATTGAAGAAGGCGACGAGGAAGACGACGATTCTGATGACTACCTAGACGAGGATGAGGTTGAGGAAGTCGATGTCGAAGGTGATGATCTTGCAAAGCAAGCTAGAAAGATTGAGATCCAAGACAAAGAAGAAGAAAAGGAAGACTGGGTTGATGAGGAGACTGTCCCAGGTCCCTCTGGTGGTGTTATTTTGTCAGACGAAGAAGAGCGGATACGAATCCTGACCACAGACGAACTCGAAGCTCTGTTCCTCGAACATGCCCCAGATGTCGATACAGGCCCGAACGGCGAACACCGCAAGACGCAGATCGGCCTCGTCGGTTATCCCAACGTCGGAAAGTCATCTACCATCAACGCCCTTATCGGCGCAAAGAAGGTCTCAGTCTCTGCAACACCTGGTAAAACGAAGCATTTCCAGACCATTCACCTTAGCGACCAAGTCATCCTCTGCGATTGCCCCGGTTTGGTCTTCCCTAACTTTGCGACCACGAAGGGTGAGCTTGTCTGCGCAGGTGTCCTCCCTATCGATCAACTGCGCGAATACACAGGTCCCGGTGGTCTCATCGCACAGCGCATCCCAAAATCGTTTCTTGAAGCTATCTATGGAATGAAGATCGAAGTGCGACCAATCGAGGAAGGCGGCACCGGTACCCCGACATCGGAAGAGGTGCTTCGTGCCTATGCTATCGCAAGAGGTTTCCAGACTCAAGGTTTGGGGCAGCCGGATGAGTCGCGAGCAGCACGCTATATCCTCAAGGACTACGTCAAGGGCAAGCTACTGTTCTGCCACCCTCCACCTACAGAACCACCGATTGATGCTAAACAATTCAACCGCGAACTCTATGATATCAACCACCTCCCCGCGAAACGCCGCCACCACCTTGCTTCCGTAGCCGCATCCTCCTCCGTTGCTGGTACGGAAGATGCTTCCGTCATGGACGATGATCTTGACGTCGACTCGACTCCACTCACGGGTGAGAAAGGCTCACGACTAGACAAGAAATTCTTCGGTCCAGGGCAGGGAAGTGGACATGTGTCGAGACCGTTTCACTATCAGTATAGCGAGCAAGGCAAACAGCTGAGTGGAAGGAAATTGAAGGCTGTGACGGCGATGGAGAAGGATGTAGATCCTAGTGAGCTGCAGATGAGTAGTAAGAAGCATTTCAAGGGGAACAAGCGGAGGGCGAAGAAGGTCAGAGAGGAGTACGAGTAGATACATACGGGTCTGGTAGACGAACCGCGTGCATGGCAGGCGTTGGAAGGAATTGCTTTGGGCGATGAAGGCCCAGGAGTGCGCGGTGATGATAGTACTGATTCACGAATTCAAAAGCGTTTATATTGATGCAACTATCTTCCTGTTGTATTATTTCTCGTCGTGTGAATTCAACTGATTGGTGGTGCTTCTGGATGTTGGAGCGCTTTCGGAACACGGAATGACTGTATGGCATTTCGGGGTCGAAATTGAGACTAAGTCTGGCGCCATTAGGAGCGTGGGAGCCTCAATTTCAGGATTGGCAAGGAAACTGCGACGTGGACAAACACTATTGGATGCGGGAGTAACCTTCAATGAAGCGGCGAGGCGCTAAAAGTGGTCTGCGACGTCCAATTTTACATCACGCCAAGCAGGACTTCTCCCAATTGAGTGAGCTCTTCACTACCTGGGTAGATATTAATCGTATGGACAGTGTATACAGGGTTCTGGAAAATAGCCACGCCGCAGCTTGTGTCCTTGATCATGACTGAAATACGGTGTCGTGGGGTTTCAGACTATCCCATAGCCCCTATCTGATGATACCAGGGAGTTGAGACACATTCTTCCATCCAAACCTTTTAGACACCTCCCTCAAGTACCACCAAGAAGGATTGAACATGGACCGTCACCCATACGAACTCATTAATCCCATTGAATATTTCCCCAATATGTGCGCAGTTCCAACTGACATGTACAGTGGCAGTAGTATTGAACAGCGCTATTGATGCTAGCACGGAGACGTCGTGGTGATTCTATTATCAATTACATCCTTTGTTGTCAACCTCTTGAATACATTATGTCGAATCGAACGCACAGACTCTTGATGATACATTTACAGACATATTGCTCCGTTTTCCACTTTCTTGAATTTCACCTTTTCTCGTGGTTACAACTCTAACTTCTTCCATTTATTCCTCCACTTTTTTTATATTCCTTTCGTGGTTTCCGGCTTGGATTTGATAGGCTGTGCGCATATTATAGTACTGCGGGCCTTGAAATTCACCCATGCCTGGAGAGAATCGTCCTGTGTTTGTTGCGCAACCGGGTAAGGCGAGGATGATCCTCGTTCGCGATGTCTGAAGATGTTCCACGTGTTATACTCGAGCCATCAGCCTTTGATGGTTGCTCGGAACGTTGCATATATTGCTCCAGCTGTAAAGACGCAGCAGACTGCGACAGTGCTTCATCCACGCGTTTGGAGCGCTCTTTTTCCAGTTGCAGGAATGAAATCCACTGCGCCTGTGCTCTGTTCTCCTTTTCACTATGACACTGGCTGGGTCTGGGGAATGGTTCGACCTCTATATAAGATGAATGCTCCGCTGATTCACATGTCCTGTAATCATAGTGAGAGGTAAGCGACGTCTTCAACCTTTTCGTGCGTTGAACTATCCACACGTCGTTTCCCACAACGCTCGATGAATTTGTGCAAGATTGAAGAAGTGGGTAATCTATCGAGAACTGACGTGCACTCGCAATGTGCTCGTCCGACCAGTCTTGCGGTAGGTATCCTTCAATCTTGGCGTTGCGGTGATAGCAAGAATAGTGACAACTTGGGAGACCCCAAGGTCTCGGGTCATTACTTCATTCAGCGATCATCCAGTGGCGACAATGCATCACAGAACTCAAAACTTGCTCGTGCACTCAGCAACAGCAAATTGCCATCCACGAGTCCATGAGCTACACGTTCCTTGAATCCATTCTAGTATAACAGCGCTTCTTGCGCACAAACCAGATCAAGAGCTGGGGGCATGACACCGCTCGTAGGAGAATCTCAGATCAGTTTAAGCGCTACTCCATGCCTGCAAAACCTCACAGCTCCTATTTCCGCGTGGTAGATTCGATCTTTAGGAACGTCTTCCTATCGACTGTATGTGCAAAAAGGTGCGGGTGTACCTCTTGAGCTAAGCACCGACGCATACTTCTGGCTGAGACAGCTTTAGTAAATTCCATGCTGCAAGCATTAATCCAATCGACGTGAAGAAGGCCGCTGGCGTTTTTAAGATAGCAATCAAAGAGACGTAAGTGGATTAGAAAAAGATCTCAATAGTAGCAGCTATTCACTAGTAGATAGTTTCCCATACCAGATTGGATATGATTGCGCAGGCCAAGTTACAGCCTTAGGGAGCAGTGTGATGCGAATTCAAGTCGGAGATCATGTGTACACCTACTTGCCGGAAGCAAGTCGAGGCATGCGCAGAAGCGATTTCAAGATGAACAAAGAAGCTAATAATTTCTCAGGATTATGGGCAGAATACGCCAAATGTACCGACAAGTACGTGGCCGTTATGCCGAATTCTATACCAGTCTCGGACGCTTCGGCCCTGCCGTTAGCAGCTGTGACCGCCCTAAAAGCATTACAAAAGTATAGAGGCTCTTTGGCTGGAAAGACAGTCTTGATACCAGCTTGCCGTCAGTTACATATGCAACAGCCCTAAAGGAGTAGCGCTGACACATCTTGCAGTGAGCGGAACTGGGACAATGGCATGTCAGCTGGCCAAGAACGTTTTCCATGCCCGCAAGGCCATAACGACCGTATCTACTGCAAAAGTCAGCAAAGTACCAGAGCTTCTCGGTCAAGGCGTGGTGAATCAAAGTGCGATCTGCTTGCTCTTTCTGCACGAGGCCAGCGCGTGCTGAATTGTGCTCAGTAATTGATTATATCACCGAAGATCCCTTGGAAGCTGTCGCGCATCGATCTCTGGACTCCCTGTTCCACACAACTGGCCAAGCAATGCAATTCCTGCCCTTGATGGTACCTTCGACGAGCCTTATCATGTCGGTATCTACGCAGTCATCCGGCACCCAATTACAGAACTCAGACTTCATGCAACGTGTGGAACAGCCCAAATTGCCATGGTGCATATGTTTGGGCCTAAAACTCGTAGACTCAGGACGTAAAATGTACGCTAGGCGTTTTAGCGTTGAGTACAGTTATTATTTGTAGACACAACAGCTGAAGATCTGGACACGTTGCGTACTTGCGTCGAAGAAGGACAATTGAAACCTGTCGTGGGCAATCAAGTGAATTTCAGGGATATAGATGCGGTGAGAGAGTTTGCAAACTTAGTAGCGTAAATTCCCAGGGAATGCCTATGGCATGTCCACGCAGTTATCCAAGCGCTTGTTAGAATGTTGGCGCGCGAAAGACCAAGTGAGGGAAACCGCCAAAGACACTTATGACTTAAGACGATGAGACTGTACAATGGACCATGAGTAACGATGGAGTGGTCGACATTGCAATTCACAGCGTCTTCCTCACATAGGCATCGGGTGAGTTCCTACCCTGCAGCCTTGCTGATGGTGTCGCATCCTTGTCTGCGGATTTAGTGTCGGCAAGAAGACCAGCAGTATCGAGGGGTTATCGTGACACAGCCGTAGGCATCACGCTCGCGAGGTATACTGTTTAGGCTTAGGACATCATGGTTGCCTGGTGGCAACTTGTTCGGCGGGCACTAATCCTGTTCAGGTATCGTGGAACGTCCGACATTCCCCCTAAGTGCCTGGTACTTAATCTACAACCTGCTCAAGCCTACCTTTCTAGCATCCATCAACGAAAAACTAAAACAAAATCACCAAACATGGAGGATGTCAAGGTCGTCACAAAGATCGCAGCTGATGGCTTGTCCGCGGAGCAAAAACAGCGCCTACACGAGGTAGCCGATGAGCTAGCTAGCATCTACAAGACACTCGTAGACATGCGCTATATCCATCCTAACGCACTGAATCTCGGACCGCACGAGCTCGATGATAAATCGCTTGCCGGGTACGAGAAATGCGGTCTGGACCCTGCCATCATCTACCTTTACAGCATCATGCCGTACATCGACGAGATAGAAACCGACGCCCGGGACTTTTTCCAAGGGGGCGCCTTCTTCAACCAGACAAGCATTCGAGACGTGCAGCGAGGCAGAGACCCGCGCTATCTGTCGCCTCAGGGCGGCTCCGACGATGAAGAGGGCCAATACATGTACCCGTGGTACACACCATTGTCGAACTGCGGTAATCATTCACCCATAATCATCTACGATGCAAGAGAACATCGCATCTGGATAGTTGACCAGATCGAGGGGAACACTACCGATCCGGCGTATTGCAAGGGTTGGTATGGAGAATCCGACGGCGCAAAAGACGAGGAGAGCAATTGGGGCGACAGTGGCTCTAGCGATTGGAGTGGCGCTAGTAGTGGCGAAGACTTAATGGACTTCAGTGACGGTGCTTCAGAAGGTAGCAGCGAGTTTTGGGACGATGAGGATGACCTCGGTGAAACTCGAGAATGTGATGCCATGGTGGAAGATCAATCCGAAGTTATCGAATACGACGAAGGCTTCGAACACGTGGAAGAGCTACAAGAGTGGGAGCGTCAGGAGGCCGCAGCGGTCAAGAATCGCAACAGTTTAGAGCCCGTTCGAAGCCGACCAGCCGGCGACGTTCTACGAGACATCAACAGCTTGTATCGCGCACTGAAGGAATTGCCGGGCCAAGGTGAATACAACAGTGGCTGGATGGAGCCGGCTGTTCTCAAGCCATTGTATCTAAAGAATGGCTGGCCAGATAATTTCAACGGTGATCAGTTCGAGGTAGATGTGGCTCGCGCATATGCTACCGAAAGAGCGCGTTACGATGCAGAGGGACCCTTGAGGGAAGTAAAGTGCTACGAGGGCTGGTCGGAACACTCAGACCGTGACGTCGAAGAACACAAGAAGGAGATATCCGAAGCGCAAACACCAGACGATGAATGGATGGCCCGCTTCAAGCTTTGGAAGGCACAAGAGAGGTCTGAAAGGAACGAAAGGGATCTCAGGAACGCGAAGAAAAAGGCCGAAGACATGTGTCCAGATGGTATCTGTCAAAAAGACGAGGACCTGCCATTGTGGCAGTTGGAAAAGCTCAGAGTCGAAACACAATGGAAACAAGAGAGCGTGAAGCGAACTGACCATGTGAACTTAGCTGATCAATTCAAGGACAACCCGGACCAGATACGAAGCATGGAGGCCTCACACCGTCGTGCTCAGCGGCAATTGGATGTTTACGACCAGGCTTTCGCGGCCTCGAAGGCTGAAGCAGAGCGCCTGTGTCCCGGTAGAACTTTTCAGGAGGCTACCGGTATCAAGTCTCTAGGTCGGCGAGACACGCTCGCTTCGATTGCGTCGCAGAGAGAGGTTATTGAATACTACGAGCGCTATATTCAATGCGTCCGCGACTTTGCGGAAACGGTGCCTCAAGATGCACCTGTGGCCGTTGCTGCGGTCGAGAATGAGATAAAAGAGATTGAGAAGCCGCTCAAAAGCTCCAGGGAAGGGCTAAAACGCACTGAGACATGGCTGGCTGAGCATGGGAATACGGATTAGCAATCTCAAGTTTTCTTGGTAGATGCAGAAGTGCGGCCCGCTATTAGTTGCCCAGGAATGTACACTATGTTATCTAGTACCACAATGCATATCATGTTTTCACAGTGATGAAACACTACGACGAACACGAAGCGCCCGCTCGCAGGCGACAGGGACGAAGAAACAATCTATACCCTCTCATTCCCTCCAGAATTTCGATGAAACAAAATCATATCGTGACCAAGCGTTACGGACGTGAACATTTGGACACGATATCAGGGGTTGCAGCTGCTATGAATAGTCTTGATATATGGGTCATAAATAGTTGCAAAGCTCGCTTGAATAATCAACACCCGTTTCTTTTTGATATGGGCAATCCTCTGGGTTCTCACCATAGCGTTCATTACGTCCTAGGGACGGATTTTTACAGCTCCAGAGTATGAGCTTGCGAAGCTCATTAGCTTCTAAAAACGGGTATTGGTTCCTTGATAGTGGCTGGTAGATTGTCTCGCTAATTTTGTCGCCGTCTGCACCTCATCAATCGGGGACTACCTCTTCACTTCCATGATGATTCCGCTAGCTACTGCTATATCTTAACTTCTTCTTCCGGATTACCGCGTAATCTCAGGACGCGCAAGGAACGCAGTATGAAATGTTGAATGCGGGATGGAAACAACCATGGAAGCGCTTCTCACGTTAGGACACTGCCCAGACACTGCGCGTCATCGTCAATGGTAGGAGTAGCACAGCCCCATCATGCAATTGGCATTTCAATTGATTAGGATTATCACCTCTGTCTCAATATTTCCCACCACCTTCTAATTCAGCACATGCCTAAATACATGTCTTTCCCACCCATCAATATCGTCCACAACAACCTCCCTCTCAAGCCTATAGTGTCCAATATTAGGCATCAATACTGCCCAAATGACCCAATACGCGCCTCCAGCCGCAATGATACCAATACCGACAACGCAGTGTAGGTAGTACGGTAGCGACTCATACACGCTGTTACCGTCAGAGGGCGGCACGAAAGGCGCGACCGTCAGGTAGATGTTGCTTAGCAGGAAGAACACAGCAACGGGGAGGGTGGCTTTGATCGGAGGGTTCCACTGCCAGGCTGCCTTGTGAAGGTAAAGATGGATCAGGGCGCCAGCGACGAAGACGTTCACGATGGCGAGAGGGTAAGAGATGACGCTGGTTGTTTTTAGCATTGCTTCATTTGAGTATAGCCAGACTTTTCTTGCTGCGTTGTAGCGAGAGAACTTACTTGAGGATGAAATTGTACGCATCACCTGGCGGCGGAGCTAGCATGATGATGACGGAAACGAGCCAGTGCTCGAATAGGCCGGCAAGCGGGGCGTTAAACGGTCTGTTGCTAGCCCAAAGACGTGAGAAGGGAAGAATACCTTCGCGGCCAAGTTCCTGAACGAGACGACCCTGGGAAAAGATTACGCTCAAAACATTACCAAAAGCGGATAGAGCAACGAAGACCGAGAGAGCGCGCTCGGCCGTGGGGCCGAGGACATTGCGGAAGAGAGACGCTGCAACAAGTCGCTTCGAAGAAATAATTTCCTCGGCAGGGACAGCAGCGAAGTATGCGATGTTGACGAGCATGTAGAGGATGGCGACAGATGCCAGGGCCAACGGCGCCGCGATCTTCAGTGTTCGGACAGGGTTCTTGGTCTCACTCAGCGCGTAGTTCGCGTTGCTGTATCCGATGTAACTCCAGATTACGTTGTAGAGCGCAGTCACGACACCGTACGCGCTTCCAGTTGTTCCCTTGAAGGCATAGTCGAAGTTGTGCGGCTTGTCGATTTTGAGAGCTCCACCGAGTGCGGCCCATCCAGAGACAACGATCAGAAGGACGATCCCCAGCTTGATGATACCGAGCAGATTCTGGAGTCTTAGGCCCCATTTCAAGGCCAGACCATGGATAAGGAATGCGGTTGTGATGCAAGCAAGTCCGATACCACGCTGGTTCCACCTATTGACCTCGACGTTGGCGGCATGTAAAATGTATTCTCCAAAGACTACCGAATTGGAACCCGCCCAGCCAAGTAGGACCACATAGCCACTGTACAGTCCGGTTGCCAAAAACCGAGGCTTGCGGTAGACGTACTCCAGATAGTTCTTCTCGCCACCATTTCTTGGTATCGCTGTTCCAAATTCAAGGTAGACAGCCATACCAGCCGCTGCAATCAACATACCGGCAACCCAGATGAAGAGGGACAGACCAACACTGCCGGATAATGAGAAGATGGCGCTAGGTGTCGCAAAGATACCCGTTCCGATCATGCGGTTGAAGATGAGGAAGACCGCAGAGGTGACGCCAATCTGGCGCTTGGCCTGGCGGACCTGAAATAGAGCGCCCTCGTCGACATCCTGAAGAGCATTGGGGCCTTTGACATCGTCCGAGGTGGCCTCAGCCGAGCCACCGTGCTTGGAAAACTTGGACATGGCGGGTGATGTAGACGCAGACGCAAGTAGAGGGGACGTTTCGCTGACCATTGCGACCGTCCAGAGATACCCTTTTACGCAGTTCCCTCGCGTTGCTTTCAAATTAGCGGAAATGGCACCCAAGAGTGCTGAGACCTCGCGTACGTCGTTTCGCACGGCCACGCCATAATGGCGAAGTTTTCGGGACCAACAGACCCCTCTACCGACGAAAGCCGATGATATGCTTGTAGCAATTGCTACGCTGTTACCCAACAGTTTCCTTGTCGAGTGCTGACGGATTTTCGAAACGGGCAGGGCGCTAATGTCGTGATCGCAGAGGTCGATGTTTGGCCATAGTGTTTTGGCGAGGCTAGCTGCTTCGGGATGGAACTCCCGCTAGCGCCCTTGCGCCATCTCCTTTACAAAAGACGAAAACGCCAAACGAGGAAGCTGTCGACCTTCAGAACAGTGTCACATTACATTCCTCGGGAGGGCCGATGAAGAACACGGACTGCTGGGACATGAACAGATTTAGAACTCGTCTGGATGCCGCGATTACAGTCTGGCGATTCTGCATGGCGGCGGTGCGCCAATTCCCTTACTCCTGCAACCACGCTGTCTTGGTCCAGTCACTTTCATCTACACCTTGGAATCGCAGCTATTTTACCTTGATTTATAAAAGCAGTCAGATTTGAATCTCCCGATGCGACTTGAAAAGTCCTTTCGCTTGTGAGATTTCTTACAGTATGTGTGTCGAAGATTGTGTGAGCCGAACAAAGTGTTGATCTTCGAAGGGCGCAGCGAAATCCTTGTTGATTCTAGCCTAGCCACGATCTTCTGCCATTGATGGTACTGTATACTAGCACATGCGTGGGCGTAGTGTGGAATGATATGCATGCACATGGAGACGACCGTTACCAGGCTCCTGGACGTTTTGATGCACTCTCACATAGCCATACCATCTGTCTTATGTGTGTGGTATCTTCACCGCTTAGCGAGCTTAGTTCCCTGCTTGCCGGTTGTTCGCCATCATTGCATAATCAATCTCCGAGAACGCCACTGAGAAATGTGTGAAGCAATGCAGGACTTCCACTGACGGAGATCTTGAAGGCTTAAGCTAACTTTTACTTGAGCTGTCTATAGTCTTTATTAAACTGCGAAGAGCCATGTCTCGGCTGCGGCAGGAGGCTGTTGCAGAAAGAGCGTGTGATACAGAACCCATATTGAGCCATTCCGAATGACCCTGAGGTTCAACGCGATCCATCATATGGCCAAAGGTACACGAAAGATGATCTGTTGTACTGATAATCACAATAAGTAAACGATCAGTTTCAGCTATTTTGGGTTCTCCACTTCCTGGAGGCGTTCCGTCACAGCGTTCACGCCTTGGTTCGATATCCTAGCGTACCTCCTTCACTCGGTATCGAACTAAACCATCAGTGAATTTCGCCGCTCACATATCAGCTCAACACCATCACACAAACCAGCATGATACCGCAAAATATAGATTCTCCAACTATACTGTACGATACTATACTCTACAGTCTCCCATTTCTGTCTGAAATCTTGGTATACAAATAATCCATATCGAACCGCCCCATATCAAACGCCTCAACGCTAATGCAGTGTAAATTCCCCACGTGAAGCTATGACCATAGCAGCCCCAATACAAAAAATTACAGAAATGCTACTCTACTCGTCTTCGTCGTCGTCCGCATCCGCCACAATTGCGCTATCACCGTTCGTGTTTGGCACCGCTACATCTTCATCTTCATCTTCGTCTTCATCGACAACGCGCTTGCGCCCACTGGGCCGCGGTGCAGAGACATCCTCGTCTCCACTCTCACTCGCAGCCCTGTCCGGTTCAGCATCTACATCACCGTCCGCCTGAGCAGGCGCATCCGGAATGTCTTCATCGCTATCGTCGTCGACAAATTCGGCAGACTTGTACTTGCCCACCGGCTCATTCTTTCTCGCCAACTTCCTTTTCTTAGTGCGAGGCCGTTCCTCATCAGAGAGACCGTCACTTCCGGAAGCACCAGCGCTCTTGTTCCTGCGCCTGCGAGGCTTCGCACTAGCATCTGAGTCCGAGCCACCAGCCTCTGTCTCCGAGTCATCAGCGCCCTTCTTCTTCCTCTTTCCGCCCTTGCCTTTCGCTCTCCGCTCGCTCTTGCGCATCTCGCTGTCGTCGATAAGCTCTTGGCGTCTCCGGTCGTCCTCGACACGGCGTTCCATGTACTCCCTATCACGCTCCTCGAGTTTCTGTCGCTCCTCCAAGATCTTGCGCGCGCGCTCTGCTTGCTCCTCGGCAGCCTTACGCTTCTCGTCCTCGCGCTTCTTGATCTCAGTTTCGCGAGCCTCGCGTGCTTGTTGGAGCTTGTCTGCGTTCTCCTTTTCGTACTCGGCTTGCTTGTCGTGGCTACGCTGGAGTTGCTTGGCCATGGTATTGCGACCCATGTTTGCACGCTGAATGATATCGTCCTTGGGGTATGGCGGGCTCTCGGAGTTTGCGACGACTTCGAACATCCTGATTGCGTCGTCTAGACCCGCCTGTGCTTCTTCGACATCGACGAGTGTGCGTGTGGTATCTTTCAGGTTGTAGACGAGCTGTGCAATCTGGAATTGCACGAAGGCTACGTTGAACTGCAGGTGATTTTGATTGGGTGCGAGTTTAAGAGCCTGCTGTGAGTATTCCAAAGCGGTCTTCATGTGGGCTAGGCTCTGATCGCCCTTTCCTCGTACAAACCAGACACGACCAAGGCATGCTATGATGTTCAAATCATGTGGTTTTTTGGCTAGTGCTATCTCATACTGTAACATGTCAGTAAATCGTTGGCGAGCATGGTCTTCAACTTACGTTTTCAATTGCACGAGCGTATTGTTTCAGCTCGCCGTACGTGTGCCCTAGGTTCATGTACACATTGAAGTCTTTGAGGGTGTCCTTGACCTTGGTGAAGATCTGAAGGCTAGTCGAATGCTCCTTTCTGTCTTCCGCCATGGCGATAGCAATGCCTTGCGCCGCATATGCATTCTTTGGATCCAACTCCAATACTTTGTTAAAGAACTCAACAGCTCGCTCGTACATTTTCCGTTTCTTCTCCTTGTCTTGCTCGGTATCTCGTCGCATTTCACGAGCGATGGCGAGGTGAATGTTGCCCATACCAGTAAGGGAGTATGTGTCGTGTTTGTCGAACTTCTGCAGTGTGTGCTTGTAATGCCGTTGTTCTTGGTCTTCAGCGAAAGCTACACCCCGCTTCTTTGACTTATTCGCATACCAGCCGTACAAGGCACGGACTTCAAGGTTATCCTCATTACCCTTGACGAGTTCCTTCACAGCTTTTGGACCTTCGTCCGTAGGTTGTTGTCGAAGGGCAATGTATGCCAGGCGAATCTGAGCATCGATGTAGTTGGGGTGTCGCCTCTGAAGACCCTCAAAGACATCCTTAGCTTCGTTCAGCAAACCCTCAGCCTCGTATGTCCGGCCCAAGTTATAGCTTATGGAAGTGACGAGCGCATCGGTATCAATACTCTCGTCGCGGTCTGCAGCCTTCACGCAACCCTGGAGTGCCGCCTGGAAGAGTTCTCGCGCACGCAGGTAGCGTTCCGCCTGGTAGTGGAAACATGCCATATTGTTGAGCAGCTGAGGTGGTAAAAGTTCGCGAAGCGCATTCTTGAGGTCCGCTTCGTCTTCGACATCTGGATAGTCGTCTTCCGGAATACCATTCAGCTCAATCTGCTCGACTTCCTCGAGACACTTAAGACTTTTCTCAGGGTGCTCGGTCTCGTATAACCTGGCGAGGTTGAGCAATACTGATGGATCGGGCGTCAGCTTCCTCTTCGGGTCCTTCCATGCCTTTTGGACATCTTCAAGATATTTTAACGCCTTTTTTAGTGCAGCCGACTTGTCTTCTTTCCCTGCTTGACCAGAAAAGACATCTTCGGCATAAAGGGTGCCTAGGAGGGTTTGCGCCTCCACAGCCGGCGCTTGTTGTTGCAGTATCTTCTCCAAACGAAACTTAGCTCCATCGTAGTCATGTTTCAGAACCCTCAATTGTGCAGAGCCGAATTTGGCTGGGGTGTATCCGGCATTGTCACCACCACGGGCAAGGTCCGCCCTTTGATAGTAGTCCATGGCCTTGTTTGTATCCCCAAGCTGGTGCTCTTTCCTTGCGAGTTGGTACCAGCCGTCACTTGCTATGGCATTAACGTCCGTGAGCTCGATGGCCCGACGAGAGAGTGTTTCCACCTTGGCCATGTCCTTAGTGATGTTGTACCATTTGCTGAGAGTGGCGCATGTGAGAGGATATTTGTTGTCCAACTTGACTGAAGGGACAATGTAATCGGTAATGGACTTCTTCGTCAGGCTGGCAAAAGAGGGATCTGTGGCTGGAAGAGTGGACGTCTTGTTCAAGGTGTGGAGACCGAGCAGCGTCAGAGCGATCTTGGATTGTGGGTTTAGATCGAGCGACCTTTGCCATGCGGTAGCAGCGTCGTCCTTGAAGCCAAGCTGCCAGAAACAGCAGCCGATACCAATGCGCGGATCTGGATCGATGAGACCAGGCGAGCTTTCCAGGATGCTCTGGTATGCCTTCAGAGCCTCGGCGTATTTGCCCATGGAATAGCTTACGCGCGCTTTGCCCATCTTAGCCATGAGATTTTTGCCGCCTGACGCCCGAATGGCATCTTCGAAACACTTAACAGCCTGCTTCAGCGTGTCCATGCGCTCAGTGTTGACAGCATTTGGTCCAGCAGCATTGGAAGCGCTCTGCTTCGCCATGGAAGCGCGAAGGAGATAGAGGACACCTCGCGCGAGAAAGAGCGGTGGGTACGAGGGGCTGATGCGTGACGCTTCGTTGATGACACCGGTGGCCGCCTGGAGGTAGTGGTCCTTGGTCTTGACTTCGGGATCATTGTCTGCAATTGTCAGTCTTCTTCCTTTGAGTATTATTATAGCATGAACAGCCACGCACCACTGTTAACACGCGGAGCTTCGCGACATTTAAGAAGGTACAACCAGCAAGTCGCATTGAGGATGCTGAGCTTCTCGTCGCTGCGCGCATGGGCGAAGACGCTGATGGCTTTTGCGAGCACCTCTATCGCCACATCCAGCTTCTTGTGTTTGGCGTATGCTATGGCGACGGTGACCCAGGTAGTTTTGGCGCTGCGCTCCGTCTCGAGCAGGGTGAGTAACTCCGTCGGATCATCCTCGATCATGTCACCCAGCTCGAGGTCAATGTCGGCGATGCCATCTTCGTCGGCTACTGGGACGGAAATTGACTCGGGAACTTTTGAGAAACGCGCGGGGGGAAACGACGCGCCGTTCACGCCGTTGGTGCCATTGTGAACAGCCGCCATGCTGGGCTGTCGCGCTCCGTGGCGCGTGAGGTTGGGTTGAAAGGACGTGGGTGGTTCAGGCTACCGTAGCATCTCCAGAATGCGCAGGGTTAATGTGCAAAGCAGGGAGGCTGCTGCGACGTGGGCGATGGGCGCAACAAAGGTGAAAGAGCGATGACCTTCACAACGGCACGGAAAAACGCGCGCCGAGTAAACGTATGTCTTGGCAACGCGGAGGTGCGGGAGCCGCAATGCGACAAGTGGTACGTACGTCGAGTACAGCAACCAAGCCAGACCACAATAGCTCCGATCGAAAGACTTTTTGACATTACCAAACTCCCAGATCCACCATCTATCATTGCATAAAGTAGAGTGTACCTGCTGCATTCGATTTGCGCCTGCCGTCCACCTACCCCAGCTCCCCGCTAGTGCAACCTACCATGCTCCGATAGCGACGCGCACGAGACCTTCCACACGCGATGAGATATAAGCCTACTGTTGAAACCGTATACGACATATAGAGGCGCCATGTCGCGCGAGCCGGGCGGCTTCCGCTCGCGAACGAACGGGTCTGGAGGTTACACCAATGGCTACGGCTCCCGCGAAGGTGGATACGGCGGTTTTGGAGCTGCAGAAGACGACTACTCCAGGCGGCCCAGCGCTGACAGACCCAGACCTAGTGCAGAGAGACCAAGCGGGGAGAGGCGTCGCCGACCAGGTGGTTATGGTGGCTATGGAGGCTTCTCGCAGGAAGATGAGGAAGCTCCCCAGGTGCAACGGCCCACCAGTCTCGAGCGTTCGCGAGCAAATAGGAGAAGCGGCGAGGGAAGACCGCGAAGCGCAGGCGCAGGTGGTCCGGGGAGCAACTATGGCCCAGGAAGCCAGCAGATGGAGGAGGTGCTCAAATACATCAAACAAAATTGGGAATTCATGACGTCGGAGAACTGCGTGCCCGTTGAGGTTGCGTTGAAGCTCATGGACTCCAGCTCGCTGGGACTAGCGGGGCAGTATCGCAGCTTCCAGCAGACCCACCAGGACATGCAACGCGCTCTCAAAGCCATAGTCAACGAGCACCACCAAGGCTTTAACAGCTCTATCGGTACTTTCCACAAGATTCAGTCCAGCTTGCAGTCTTCTCAGGTGCGTGTAAGGACACTCAAAGAATCTTTAACGCAAGCGAAATCACATCTATCAACAACTAAACCGGAGCTGAAAGAGTTTGCAACTTCCTCGCAGAACTACGACGAGATGATTCAAGTGCTGAACATCATCGAACAACTGCAGCTCGTCCCCGATAAGCTGGAGGCCCGCATTTCTGAGAAACGTTTTCTGACAGCTGTCGACATTCTGCAAGACGCCCTGCGGATGATTCGAAAATCCGAGATGGAAAAGATTGGCGCTCTCAGCGAACTTCGCACATACCTAAGCAACCAGGAACACTCACTGACTGATATCCTTCTGGAAGAACTTCACAATCATTTGTACCTAAAATCGCCATATTGCGAGGACAGATGGAAGGTGTACGCCCAGAATCAGCCCAAAGGTGACGGGGCGGAACGTGGCCAGGGACATGCACGTGCGCGGAGACTCTACGAGTTCCTGTCTGACCTGGATACATCCGAACCAATGGTTGATGATTCGCAACGTAACCCAGAAGCCGATACCTTCGAGTATGTTCGGCTTATCGTAGAATCGCTCAACAAGATGAACCGTCTCGACATTGCAGTAGACACAATACATGAGCGGCTTCCAGTTGAGCTGTACAGGGTGGTTGAGAAGTCTAATAATGAAGTTGCGCAGCGCCATCCTAGCATAATACGTGCGTATGCTGCGAGGAAGGAAGAAAAGCGCACCGTCGCCGCTGAAAGTGACGAACTACGCGCAGGTGTTCTCAATGACCTACTTTGGACCCTGTATGCACGGTTCGAAGCCATCGCTGAGAGTCACCGAGTTGTGTACGACATAGTCACTGGCATTGTTCGCAGGGACGGCATCCGGGATTCTAATAGCACGCCGCTTACGCGTGGATTCAAAGAATTATGGAAGTTGTTCCAGAATGAGGCAAGTGATATGCAGCGCTATTCCGAGCAGTCACTAATTTCTTGGTAGATTCGATCTCTGCTTCATGACTACCTCGCCACGGACGGTGACTTTGGCGGTGGCCGTGGACAAGGCAAGGCCGCCAGTGGAAGCGCGTATTCTCGCGCACCACGCGACAGGAACAAGCGGATGTTTAAGCTCTCAGACATGGACACAAAATCAACGGAGCTTGCGGAGGAGCGCGATAATCTCGAGTTTATCCTAAAATCTTCGGTGCCTGGTCTCGTCTCTGACTCGAAGCAACCAGAAGATGTGTCCAACAACGCCAGCTCCAGCCTTGATGGTAGTGCCACAGGACATAAGCTGCTAGTCCAACCGAGTGTGTTCAACATGGGCATTCTCTTACCGCCTTCCCTTGACTTCTTGAACCGCTTGAAGGAAGTTGTACCATCAGGCTCAGACATCGTCATAAGTACTCTACACTCATTTCTTGACGACTTTCTCGTTAATGTATTTCTCCCTCAGTTGGACGACACGCTCAATGAGTTATCAGACAAGACTTTCGTAGAGCTAGACGCTTTCCAAGAGGATCCGCAATGGTCGCAATGCTCCAAGAAGCCCATCTTCCGGGGAACAGTCAAATTTTTCAACCTGATTACAGCTTTCTGTAAGATGCTTGATAACCTTCCCCACGACCAGGCCTTCTCGCAACTTATTATAACGCAAATGAGAACCTATGGTGACAAATGTGTCGGCAACTTCAAAGCTATGATGGCCAGAGGTCAACCAAAAGGACCAGCGAATGAGCTGCTGAAGGCGTCTGCAGCTTATGCCGAGTTCGAAGGCGAGATAGGAGAGGTTATTGGTCAGCTTTTCGAAGCAGATGCCGACACGAAAGCTGAGCTTACCAATACGGAAACCAAGTTGATCATCGCTGCAACTGAAGAGTCTCCACTCGATCAACAAGATATCATCCTAGAGAAGAAGACGATTCAAACTCTATGCCTGTTATACACCAGCATGAAATGGCTTGCGACCAAGGTATCTCAACTACGACACATTAGCAATCGTGCCACAGATTCGTCAAAGCCGCAGATCAGTGGTCAACGCCATAACAGACGATGGACGTTCATCGCTGAATCAAGAACAGAGGGTACCGCGGTCTATTTGCCGCTCAATCAAGAAACCGCTGGGTTAGTTTCCATTCCCATCTCACTTGATCCTATTCCATCACTAACACTGCATTACTAGCCAACTAGATATGGTCGTAGACACCTACCGCAAACTCGCCACCCTCATCCACCGCGTGCTACACGTCAACCTCCGTCTCACAACCATGCACTCCCTCTTCTCCACCATACAACCTTCCTACAGCCTCGACTCGCCCCTGTCAGACCCCGACCCCGCCATCCAAACCCTCACAACCACCCTCACCACCTACGAGGCCGAGATGTCAACCTACCTCCCACCGACCCAATATACACAGATCATCGCCGGCCTTGCCCCGTTCACGGATACATACCTCCTACACTTGTGCATCCAACGCATCAAATCCATGAACGAAGACGGTTGTCGCCTGATGCAGCTCAACATCCTAGTCCTGCAGCAAAACCTTAAGAACATCGAGAGCGATGCGAATCTCCAATACTCAGCTCTATACTTCGACCTGTTCACCGAAGGCCCTGAGGCTGTTGTTACCAGGGCAAAGGAGCATGGGAAGGGGTACGGAGTCCCGAACGGTTTGTTTACGGAACAGGTAGTGAAGGATTTGTTGAGGCTGTGCTATGGGGACAAGCTGAAGAATGAGAGGAGGGAGGTGGGTGTGCAGGCGCAGAGGCAGCTCGAGGCACAGGAGTTGGAGATTAGTGAGTATATGTACTAGTAATTGAGCGTTTGATAAGTCTGCTTGGGCCTAACGCATAGGGGTATTGAGCGTACAATGCATCATCTTGAAGTCTATCTATGTACATGTACCAACTTGCAATGTTGACGATTCCACCACCTCTCACTGTTACTGTTGCAAATCCCGCTGTATGATTTCCTGCACATATCCAAACACTCTCTTGGCAACCGGCACACTTTGCCGTATACAGAACCCATGCACCCACCCCTCCTCCTCATCGATCTCCATAATCGGCTTCCAAGTCTCCTCTCCCTCTTCCTGACTCCCTCGCGCCCTAATCAACTCATCCCGCGTCTCGGCCGCGACCCAATGATCCTTCTTTGCGAACAGGAAGCGTAAGATGGGGCGCGGTTGCGGATGCGCGGTGGGCGTGGTGAGACCCCATATCTCGTCATCCCACGTGTCGATAGTGATCTCGCGCATTTCGTCGCGCGCCATGTGGAGTGCTTGATGGACGCCGTGGGGGGACTTGACGAAGGATGCTGTAACGTGGGCAGCGTCTGCTGGAAAGGACATGACCGTGCGGACGAGGAAGGTGAATGCTGACAAGGGAATGAAGAAAGTGAGGGCTTTGGCGAGAAGAGAGGCTACCAGAGGGAAGGAGGGGAGTGTGAGGAGTGGCTGGATTTTATTAGCTCGATTTCCTAATATCAAGATTGAGATACGATTAAATCGTCTACGTACAGTAGCCTTCCTCCCACTGTCGCTCTTCGCAATGTGCGTTACCGTCGGAAAGAGACACACGCCACCTGCTATCTTTACAGCTTCTATCTCTACCTTCGCTTTCTCTCTCACCTTGCGGAGAAGCTCAAGCAAAATGTACGATCCCACAGAGTGTCCCATTAGTATTACGCGGACATCCCGCAAGCCATGCTTCTCTTTTACATCGCGAACAAGGTCCTCAAGTACAAATTGAGATCTGGTAATCTGCTCTTGCAAGCTGACGGGTGGCTGGTCATCTCTTTCCTTCTCTGCAGAAGCCTGGAAGCCAGAAAGACTTCGGCCGAATACGTGGTATGCTGTTGAATAAGGAGAATCTTGCGTGAGGAGGCCATATAGGTGTGTGAGAAAAGTGCGGTAGTATTCAATGAGTCCTGGATTACCGGTGATGAAGTAGATAATATATGCGCGTTTGGCTTGAGTTGCAGATGAGTTGTGGAGATGAATCTGTGAGGCGGGAAGCGTTGGAGTCATAGCGTGGTGATGGAGCGAGAATAGGTCTTTCGTACACCTCGCTGCTATGACTTTCAATGAGAGTTGCACTATATTTTGCCTTTGCCGCGATTCATCTGACAACGTTGTTGTCTGCAGAATGCACATGGGAGCGGTCGAGATTTGCGGATGCGCTAGCCCTTTGCCGTCCAGCCGCCAGCTCAAGCGGACGCTAGCGTGTTTATCGCCACGACGTCTCCTTCAGTGAGGGCTCCAGGGCTGCCTACCTCCACGTGATGTCCTTCTCCAACACCTCCGCACAAGCTTCCATCAAGCTCTCTGCCATATTCAGTGGATATGGCGCCATTCCCTCAAGAAGCACAACCGGCGTTGAGTGCTGACGCTGCTCAACCCCACCCGTTGAAACGATCAGGCGGCGCCTCAACAACCCACCCCTTCTTTGCCACGAATTGAAGAAGCGCCGGACTATCGAATGGATTGTTAATCGCCTTTATGCTCCACGAAATTAAACTCCTCGCCTTCAAGTTACGTTCGCTTTTCTGCGGCCAACCTCTGGAGCTGCAACTTTGCTACGCGCCATGCTTGTGGTCTACACTTCTAGACATACACATGAGTTATACAACAGTTTCAGCTATTCAAAGCGGAAAAGTCTACTTTCCCTACATGTCCTCTTTCTGGTACCCGCTTGGTCATGTTGACAATTCGGTGTCCTCACAAGTTTCGGCAGAGCCCGTTCACCACGTACTACCGATGGCTCAGGAGCGCGCCGGTGTGCTGGGGCCCAAAGCAGACACAGCAGCTGTTTACTAAATCAGAACAACCGAACAGAAGCAGATCACGGATATGTTCATCAGCTGATTGAGAACAAGGACCGAGTGCTACACTGGTGCTCACAGCCACAAACACTGCGTGCTTATAGAGTCGATTCCGAATACTATAGAAATGATGAATCGAGTCGAATTTCCGTACGAATATGCAACTGGACAAAGCGCCGACTGAAAGTCCAGACTCTTGACTTGGTTCACTATGTCGAAGCCCATGGATCGCTGTCCATCCTTCGTCTTCTAGTGCCTTCAACATTAACACGAGCAAGTCTTTGCCCTTCTGTTCGATCGACTTATTTTAATGTGCTTCTTCCTAAGCATCTCTTGCTAGACTCGTCTGTCTTGTTTCCCACACGCGTTCACATTACAACCTGATAGATCTCGCTCGCTTTTGTGCTTGTAGTCACCAGAAGGAGTGCAAAAAAAAAACGGACAAGATGATCAGCCGCGCCAGCTGGCTCACAGCACTCGTTGCTTTGTCAACGTGGGTGAGTTATGACCCTCTGTACTCTGAGACGTGATCGATCAGGTTTTGCGGAAAAATAGTGGCTGAAGTACTGACAAAGTAGAGTGCATCTGTGCTATCAGCACCGACGGCAGCGGCGGAGTCGCCACAGCACGATAAGCGTCAGTCATCCTTTTACACATTGACAAGGTTCGTGCAGTCCCGAGTCTATCTTCTGGCCTTGTCTGGCAGCTATAACACCGCATACTCGCTTGCATGTCACGTCTAACTGTACGCTTTTATGTTCGTCAAACCAGCGCTGATCCCAAGAAGTACTACTAGCGTGGCTGGAAGCATTTCTACCAGCAGCATTGTCTCAACGACGACTTCGACCGCCCCTGATACTACGCAAACAACGACCCTCAGTGTAGCTGGCAGTGTGTCGACTTCAACGTATACGACAACCCGCATCTCCAGTGTTCCCGAAAGTGTCTCGACACCGGAGCCGATGACCCCTACCTCCACTTCGACGGTGAAGGCTACGACAACTATCACTGTTCGCCCATCCACCTCGACAAGCACACCGACAAGCACACCGACAACCATACCGACAAGTACATCGACAAGCACATCGACAAGCACATCGACAAGCACATCGACAAGCACATCGACAAGCACATCGACAAGCACATCGACAAGCACATCGACAAGCACACCGACTACCACACCAACAAGCACGTCGACAAGCACATCGACAAGTATATCGACAACCACACCGACAAGTACATCGACTACCACCTCGACAAGTACATTGACTACCACCTCGACAAGTACATCGACAACCACACCGATAAGTACATCGACTACCACACCGACAAGTACATCGACTACCACACCGACAAGTACATCGACTACCACACCGACAACCACCTCGACAAGTACATCGACTACCATATCGACAACCACATCAACAACCACTTCAACAATCACTTCAATAATCACTTCAACAAACACGCTGATAAGCACTTTAACAAACACCTTAACAAGCATTTCGACAAGCACTTTGACAAGCACACCGATAAGCACTTTGACAGTGTAGGCAATGTGGCGATTCAGTAATGGCTGGACTTTGCCTTGCTGTATTATGTCTCGAAAGAAGAAGGGCGGGATAATCTCCTTACACTGCTGCTTTCAACATTAAGTTTCGAACAAGTGTAGCCAATACGTACTATGAAATTGACCTCCTACCTTTCAAATAAACTTCATGCACGCGCGTATCTCCGGCTTAGCTCCAGATTTGCCCATACTAACTAGAACGGGCAACCATCGGATCGGTTGTCGGCATAAAGACATGGAACGAAAAACCCTCACCGACTGCCGCAGATCTGATCTTCTAACTGCTCTCTTAAACTCTCGTTTGATACTAGATCCCTGGTGGTCTGGCGGAGGAAGAGATGGCATCCAGGAATGATGAGCCACAGGCTCAAGAGACAACGCCGCTATTGCCTCGCTCAGCGGAAGCGGAACGAGAACTCGCCGCGGCGAAAAAGCGGGGTGCGTTCCCGGCGCTTTTATGTGCTTTCGTGGTGAGCAACCAATGTTTGTGTAAAATCATTACAACGTGCGCTGACATGGCTTCGCTGGTAGACATCGCTATCGTTTGGCGTTACTCAAGTTCCGTAAGTGACCTCGTCTGTTTGCTTGGTATTATGCACGTAATCTGACCTTGACAAGCATGCTTTACATTTTCCGGGTTATGGCCTGCGATGCATACTACTCTGAGCATGATGTTTTACATCCGCCAAAAGACCGCTGCGCGCTTCGGGAGATTGAATCGCGGACCGCGCGGGAAGTTGCAATTATTGGAATGTCGACGACACTTTTCGGTGTCGCAAATTTACTGGTCGCTGCGTGGTGCATCAAAAGACTGGGTGTCAAAACTGCGTTGTTGATCCAAATATTCTGGCCAGCCGTGCGATTGGCAATACAGAATTGGGGTGCAATGACGGGCGGGGCAAGAGGTATCTTGATCATGCAGGCGAGTCAAATTATCACTATTGTGGGGGGCCCGAACGGGTACGTCCTCGCACTGAATTCCTTCGTCACGGATGTCGTCAATCCAGAGGCACGGACAGGAGCACTGGGTCAGATCCAAGGTTGCATGATGCTAGGTGCGGCCGTTGGCTTTCTTGTCGGAGGTGTTGTTGGTGATGCCTTCGGCATCCTAGCACCCTTCCGCATAACACTCTTGCTCTTTCTGCTGTGCTGCGTATACGTTGCGCTTGCATTGCCAGCACTACCTATCGACAAGAAAAACACAGGTACGAGAAAGAAGCCCGTAGGACTTATGCGCTTCTTTGGACCGCTGGGAATTTTCGCACCTCAGAAGTGGACGCTGCGAGATGGACGCACCAGCAGGCAATATGGTGCGCTGATGCTGGGCATAGGCGTGTTCCTGGCTATACTTGCGACCGGATATCTCAACACCCTGCTGCAGATGTATGCCACCACTGCATTTGGCTTTGGCACTTCGGCCAATGGGTACTTGATCTTCATGTACTCCTCTTTACGAGGATTGTACCTGTACCTAGCTTTTCCACGCATCATCAATATCGGTCGCAGGTGGCTACAGCCTCCCAATGGCGAAGCAACCAAGATCGAGACAGCGGCATCAGAGCCCGCGGGAACATCACCAAATGAGGTCGAGATTGCGGATCCTATGGACGCTGAGACCGAACCACTCAACCCGCCACAGCGCGAGAATGAGGAGGAGACTTTTGCATTCGACTTACTCTATGCGCGATGCAGCTTGCTCGTGGACGGTATTCTAACCGGCCTCTGCGTCTTCGTATCGGAAGGGTGGCAGATGTATATTGTAGCGGTTTTGTTACCGCTCGCAGCAGGCACAGGATCTGCATCTAAGGGTAGTATATTGCAGATGATTCCGAGCAAAGACCGTGTGGATGCTTTGAGTGGCATTACGCTCGTGGAAAACATTGCGCGGTTGTCGACTAGTAAGTATACATCCACATTCTTTTCATTACACGGTGTCAAGAAAGCTGACAATGAGAAGTCTCGGTGTTCGGATTCGTATTCGCCGCTTTGGCGGAAGTAGGAAAGACGCACCTCGTGTTTGTATGCAATGCTGCGGTCGCACTCGTTGGATTTGTCGCGTAAGTCTTCCTAGTGCATTTGAAGTATATTTGCTGAAGTGTAACAGCATACTATTCTCTCATTTTCCACCCGAAGGAGCAAGGAGAATCGAAACCTAGTGATACTTGAAACAAGGATCTGTCCTCGTAGCAATACGATACGTTACTCCAACCCACAGAAAACACACAATGAGTTGGCCTGCTATCTAGGCGGAGTATCCCAGTTCTCCAGCAACATAAGTCTTCAACACCTTTGGCGTCCCAAAATATGTTGGTAACCTTGCCAACTTCGATAGGACCAACGACATCATCGAGGCGTGTTGCCTTTGCGCCCTTGATAAAAAGGATGCGCAATGCCTCCGCGACAGATACTGCGTGGTCGGCCCATAATGTGCCCGGAACTTGTCCCAGCGGGACTTGACAAGTTGTCAGGCCTCCAACGCCCTCCCTCGCATTCGGAAGCGGGCAGACGGACCAGGCAGAACCACCAGCTACAAGCATACCGAGATTGAGGAGGTCACTGTTGGGCTGCAGGATTGAAGCACTTCGTTGGGTAAGACGCTGTATATAGCCTGCATAAATATGCCGGGATACCAGAGGAAGGGCGAAATGTTGGCGACCACGCCGAGAGCTTACATTTGTACACGATCCTCAGGTGTGACGAACTGATCGTGCGCGGTTTGATACGTCTGCGTCGGGGCCTCCTTCCCAATACCTCAAATGCGTCTAAGGCTACTTGAATGGACTAGTCTCCGGTACAATGGATCTTCGTATGACGGCCTGCCAGGACATACTCTCGAAGCGTGTCGACGAGTTCTTGCGCGGTATTATAGATTAGACCGTACGATGCCGATTTGTTACATCCCGAAGAGTGGCACATTGGAAAGTGATATACAAGAGTTAACGTGGACGTTGTTGATTTAAGGACAGATCCGGAGCCTGCGACGGTGTTTGCCGAGAAGGAATATCCAAGGTCTCTTGACAACGTTGAGGTTTAGCGGAGAAGGAAGAAGATAAGTGGACGATGTCGTCCGTGTACGAATTTCTTTGCCAGGCGTGCACTTTAACACGTGCTGTTAGGCAGCGGTCGTGGGAATAGCTGTGATTTGATCTGGGTTGTTGTTGAGTGGTAATGCCTAAGACGGAACCGTGGTACGCGAAGGGGTTCCTTACTAGCATTGAGAGTTGCGCAGTTAACCTCTACATCGCCGATTTCACTTTTTTCCTCCTACATCTTCCAAACTCTTGTTCGCATACGTCCGTGTACAGTGAAAGGTAAACTGGGACATCCGTGCCGGCATTGATGCAATATTCGTCCCCAAATTACGCCGAGAACAGTCAAGGAAGAGACTTTGATCAATAATCGAGCTGGTATAAGCTCCAGGCTCGTAAATCAGCCTTCCATAAGGTGGTGTATTCCACCACGCTCGCTAATTATTCAACCAAGTCACGGGACAAATTTGCGCATACACCAATTCTTTCCAAATCCCCCAAACCCAAACAAAACGTCAAATACACCGCATTTAAGCTTACCTCGACCTTGCGATGGCTACCTTCGCACCTCCTGTGCGCCATGGCGACTTCCTTTATAGCTCCGTCCTCTACGCCGACCCGGGCAACGGAAACCATCACACGCGCGCCGGCACCGCTGAGCTCGCCGCCTTGCTTCGCCCGGAAGCCCCAAACTTGTACTCCAACTTCAGCAAGCCTCCGCCAGCGATGCCGGCCAAGGACCCGGTATGGCACTGGTAAGTCCATGTGGGCCCGTCAATGGTAAAGGGTAGAACCTTGGAACATGCGGCTAAGATGCCTAGGTATGCGGCGCAACTCATCCACTATGGACTTCCCGTGACGAAGGACAAGAATGTGGCGAAGGTGCGGTTGCTGAACGCGCTGAATCAGTTCAAGCTGGAGGTGCCGGCTTGGATCTCGAAGGTTGAGAGCGAGTTGAAAAGGGAGTGGGAGGGAGAGAATAAGAAGATGAAGAAGTCCGCTTCTAGTGGAGTGCCAAATGCAAAAGCCGCAAAGGCTACACAGGTTGCCGGAAGTGGGACGCAGATGCTGCCTTTGAGCCAGGGGATCAATGTGCATGGTAGGTCTGACAGGAACTACGTTGGCGTCGCTGCTGACTTACCTAGTCAACGTGTCGATGAGTGCCGGTATGCCCATGATCCATCAGTCAGATCTTGCGCAAGGTAGCAGCATTGGCCAGAAGGGACAGCGGAAGCGTGGCAACGATGATCCAGTAGGCAATGGACCTACGCCAAAAAAGGTAGAGACGCCCAACACAGCACAACGAAGCTTCGAATACTAACTTACCTGCGTCTATCAAGAGACCATCAGCTAAGAAGGTGGCAAATGTTGCTCGAGCAACGCCTATCCCTGATCTCCGATCAGCTATGTCGCCCACCCCTTCGCAGGGCATGTACACGGCAGTGCAGACAGGCACGAAATCGAGCGCAAAAACACCTCGTATCAAGCAGGAACCCACTGCAGCAAGGTCTTCTCCCATGGCATCTCGAATCAAGCGGGAGAGTGAACCAGCACGTGTTGCCGTTCCCAAACCCAGGACTAAGCAGACAGCGAGCAAGAGGGCCGCGTCTTCCTATGGGACAGAAGCAGAACCAACCAGCTCCCCGTACTTCTCGTCTTTGATCAAGCAGGAGAGCGATTTGGCAGATGTGTCGGCTCCCAGACCTAGAACGAAGCAAACAGCGAGGAAGTCGGCAGGTGGTCGTGCACCGACTTCCAGCTGGCTGACCGAGCGAGGACCAGGTGACACCATCGTCGTGAGTGGTACCTACGAGCTTTTAGCCAACAACGAGCGAGCTTACATGGTCATTCGCCGCGACGCCGCCCGCGATATCTGGTGGTCAACCATCAGTACTGGCGCTCTTAGCTTCACGATCAAGATGGATCCAGGGCCGACTCCCACGACGTTGTACCAGCCTTTCACGGTTGGATGGCGCATGCGCAACAACGACACCGGCGAGCTGAGGTTCGGATCGGGCTGTACAGGCGAATTTAGGTTCATCGAGGGTGCTTCTGGCGACTTGACGGGAGTGCTGAGGAAGGTGCCGGGTTTTGGCGATGTGGAATTTTACGGTGGTAGAATGGCAGGCTTACCCCAGGTTGGTGATCTGCAGACGGAATGGGATGCTTTTAGGAGGGATGCGTATGGGCGTTGATGTGTATGCTGGAAGACATTGGGGGCGCGATCTTCGCGACTGCCACTAGCCATCGACCAGTCGAGCATCTGAACTCTAGGCTTTTGGAAGCCATTCACTCTAGTATACGCTCGTGCAGTACCTAGAATACATCCGCCTTCAACATCTCTTGTACCTTGTCGGATCAAGAAGACGCCCTTCTCAAGCACGGTCGTGATGGCGCCCTGAATATACACAAGTCGATCAAGCCTAATCGACTGATATCAACGGTTCCTTCGTCTTCTTCCCCGGCCAGTCTCTTTCGAATTCCTCATCCCACGGGATCCTCAATTCTGTGATGCTCTGGCCCTTTGGTAGCTATAATCGTACCGTTCGAAAAACGCCTCTCAGGCCGGTATGGCCTTGTTCCGGTCTGCTTCGATATTCGCCATGACAGTCACAGTCCCAATGCAGCCATGCGAGATATCGGAGTGCCGATCTGAGCTCAGAAGCAAGAGCTTCGTTGCCCACTAGAAGCACGGCTATTGTATGTTCCGTGATGATCGCGGGAAGGTTGTCAGCGACGGCGCACCGTGCCTCGGCTCGCGCCCCACCAAACACGCTCCTCGTTCATCACCAAACAAGCCGGCAGCAGAGGAAAGCCGCCATCCGAAAGGACGAATCCTCTCTGCTGTTTCGAAACAAGAAGCCCAAGGCTAACATTGTGCGAGCCTCAGGTTTGTTTCATGTTGTCGCTGCCACGCTAGCGACGCGCCATTTGGCATCGTGGGGCGCTCAGGAGACGTGCAATTCGTCTGTTTCATCGTCGAATGGCCGATGCACGTTATATAATATCTAGCTCATCTCGGTCAACCGAGCTATCGTGACGAGCACCATATTTGTATTTATATTTGTAGTCGATGGCTGCCGGCCAGCTGAGCTGAGCCTTCTGTTTCCTCTTTCGAATCAACATACCGCGTGCTTCCGGTTGCATACGTGTTACCTCTGAGTTTACGAGCTGAGCTTCCGCTTCCGCGGTGTACATTGCGCGGGCTGCTCGTTGCAAGATTCTTCACTGGATTTGCATTTGGGTTTGACTTGTAGACAACATGTCTTCCACGCCTGTTCCCCCAACGCTGCGCAAGAAGGTGCTGCGAGTGCTCTTCATCTCGCTGCTCCTGGACCTGGTACGTCACTCGCATCGTTTGCACCACCGTCCAGTGTACACAGACAGAAACTCACAGTCGTGTGCCACAGATATCCTTCACATTCATTCTTCCGCTCTTCCCTAAGCTCCTCGAATTCTACCGCGACCATGAATCCGCGCAGAACCACGCCGAGCCCACCCTTCTCGCGCGCATCCTCGCCGGCCTAAACGCGTACAAGAACTCGTTCGCCAAACCCATCAACGACCGCTACGACATCGTCCTCCTTGGTGGTGCCCTCGGCTCGCTTTTCTCCTTCCTCCAAGCCATCGCTTCGCCCATAATTGGCACACTCTCCGACCGCTACGGGCGCCGTACCGCGCTGCTATGGTCTATGACGGGCAACGTGCTCAGCGTAGCGCTGTGGGTCGCAGCGACCGATTTCCGCACATTTTTGGCAAGCAGGGTGGTGGGAGGACTGAGCGAGGGAAACGTACAGTTGGCAATGGCGATTGCGACGGATATCAGTGACGAGAGCCAGCGCGGGGCCACGATGGCGCTGGTCGGCGCGTGCTTTAGCATCGCATTTACGTTTGGCCCTACGCTAGGAGCGTGGCTGTCGACCATCCAGAGCGTGAAGGACAACCCGTTTGCGACTGCGGCAGGGTTTTCGCTTTTCCTCATTGTAACGGAGACAGCGTACCTGTACTTTTGTCTTCCGGAGACCTTGCCAACGTCCAGCGGAGTAGAGAAGAAACAGACGAACGGGAAAGTGGTGAAGGAGGAGAGCGAGGAAAAGCCGCGCGTGCGCACGAACTCGCACACCCTCCTCAATGCGACGCACTTCTTCTTCATCCTCTTCTTCTCCGGCATGGAATTCTCCCTCCCGTTCATGACGTACGATCTCTTCTCCTACGGATCCAAGGACACAGGCCGACTCCTCGGCTTTATAGGACTCATTGCATCGCTGCTGCAAGGCTCGGTCGTACGACGCACCCACCCACTCAAGGTCGTGAAAATGGGCGTTGTCAGCTGCACAGTTGCCTTTTTCCTCCTCGGTCGTGTAGAGAGTCAAAAGGGTCTATATGCAGCTGCGGCGCTGCTGGCCGTCACCAGTGCAACTGTGGTCACGGGCTTAAACAGTTTGAGCAGTTTCGAAGCGAGCGCAGGCGAAAGAGGTGGAAAGCTTGGAAATCATCGGAGTTTCGGTACGTGCATTTGCTCAGAGTGTTGCTTGCATCTGGTTGCTAATATATCCTCAGGTCAAATCGGTCGCTCCCTTGGACCGCTGATCTTCTGCTCGCTGTACTGGTGGGCCGGGCGGGAGACTGCTTATGCGGCAGGTGCCGCCGGAATGATTGCAGTGTGTGCGCTGGTTTTCGGTGGACTGAAGGTACCACCAGGGACGGAAATTGTACGAAAGGGCAAGGCGAAAGCAACGTAAGCTGTGAGACGGATGGATTTATAGTTCGCTGTAAAAATTGGAATGATTTGATATTGCGATGCACCTGGTTGTTTTTTCCAGTGCAGTCCTGGAATAGGGCTCCCAGAGTAAGGGCGTTCGGTGTTCACCTGGCCGCTCAGAGGCGTGGCCCATTGCAAAGAGAACACAATCGAGAAGGATCGCGTAGTCTTGGAGAACAGAAAGGGATACTGAAGATAGAAGGGTATTCGGTCAGTTCTCTATCGATATGGAAGGTAGTACAAGCCGGTACTCGAGGATAAAATTCACGATCGAAAGCTTGTTCCCACCTCCGATTCCAGTCTGCAATTAGGTTGCATAACTGTCCGTGTAGCTGGATGGGCAACGAGCGGACATTGCCGTACGCATACATGATCCGGCAATTACGATGCCTGCTGTGACAGGACGAGGTTGTTTGGCCATTACACATCACATCTCCATGCTGTTCGTCCGCGAAGATTTGTTACCTACTGGGTGATCGAGGCCTGTTTGTGTTGAAGCCTTACAGATCGGCCTAGAAGCTAATTTCGGGAGATTGCTTTATTCGAAGGAAGGCTCGAAGACGACAAGGGCTATGACCTTTGCAAGGCCCTAGGCATACAGGAACAGGACTTGAGATTGATTTGAAGCTGTAACAGCACGTCCCACCGACAGTCCGTCCCTACAACCATGCTAAGAACTGACCGGAGGCTTTTCACAGTGCCTTGAACGGTCCGCTTAAACGATTGTCCCGCAATCAGCTTCGTCTTTGGTACGTTGCCTCCCGCGAGCTCTCTGAGAGGTGTCGTCCCAAGCGTTGGGAAGCGGCCCAACACTTTGGATGATGCTTTCATTGCCATGACGAGACCTCGACCAGCATCCCGGAGCTCGAAAGCTCCAATGCGAGTATTTGATGCCGCGTCATTTCACACAGCAGGTCAGGAACGCGTGCGGCACCGTTCTTGATTCCTCAGAGAAACGTCAAGTCACCACGGTCGCAGTGCCGCTGCTCCCCTTTTCGAGGTGTTACGCCGCATCACGATTTCTAGGGTGGTGATGCGTCTGAAGCTGATGCTGACTTCGCCTTATTGAATCCGCATGAACGCCCCCGTCCGGATCTGGATTCCTGAAGAGCCCTTTGCACGAATCAAGGAAGGACGGGGCTCAGACACTCCCCGATGCGTTGAACTGCTTACCTATCGCCCTGCGCAGCTACCGTTGCTTCGACGAAGCTCTTCACATACCTAGTTCAAGCACGACCACGACTCAACCACCTCACAACCTCATCATTTTTCGTGAACTGCTCCGAATCCTCCCTACCTTCGCCCACCAACGCACCGTCATATTCCTTGTTTTCCTAGACCTACGCTAAGAGCTGTCAGCCTTACCCTTCACCCGAAGCAGTAAGACCGAAATTCGATACTCCCTGCTCGCGTCGGGGATCCTGCATGCGCTAGCTTCTCCTGTCTGCTCGCCAAAATGTATTTTAGGGCTGGCTCCGCTTTTCTTGGAGTGTGTCACGTGTACACAAGTGCTGACTACGTAATGGCGGTTATCTCTTTCAGTTTTGGCGATAGGATAGCTGAGAGTATGCGGTATGTGTAAGGCTACTGATGCGCGCTGTGGATGATTAATACGTGAGCGTGACTGTCGCGTATGTACCGTCAGTGAAGAGACGGACCCGGAGAAGGCTTTTTAGATCGGACGTGATGTTGATCTTGGGCCGATTGAACAGCAGTTCGCCGATCGCGATCGTACTGTGTAAGCTCGATAATCCCCGATGGCAAGCTTGAAAATCCGTGGTGATTGAGTTCAAGATGTGGAAAGTATGAACAATAATATAGGCAGAAGAATATCTACAGCATAAAATGAGAGCCTTTTCCCAGTCGTCATTAAGTCCTGGCCATGACAGCCTCATCGATTTAAAAGCGAAAAGAAATTTTGGAAAACGCTTGATATGCAACAGCCATGAAAATGCGGAGAAAGCCACCAACGCCGGTGCCGAAGCACATATGCAATCGTGATAAAAACAACGCTCAATGCAGTTGTGGGGTATAAACAGAAGGAGACAAAATTTGTCAAAATATAAACAGCGAATCGAAGGAAAAGTTCAAAGGTGAAGGTGAAGGAAGTTTAGCCGAGGCACAAGAGGCGGTTGGCTGACACTGCAGTGGTGCTGCTGCTGGGGAGCAGCATCTCGTCCCACCAGCCATCACGAAGCAGCGAGGCCGGGTCCTGCTTCGCAAGCCAGATCCGCATGCCTGAGACACGCTTGAGGACGGCAGGTAGAGTATTCTTGTCACCCTCGCGAATTGGCACGACGCGCTGGTAGAGGCAGTCGCGCTTGTCGGAGTTGGCAGTGACGGCGGCGATGAAGACAGGCCAAACAGGGTAGATCGCAGTGTAGAGATGTCCCTTGACAGGAAGGGAGAGGATGACTTGGGTCAGCGCATCGTTGAGCTCCATGATCATGGGGTTGAAGCGAGTCAGACTGTCACTATTGTCAGAATATGTGTGGGACGCAATGTGACGGAACATCAACTTACCCATACAGACGACACCTCAAGTAGATAAGTGCGGCGAGCCTGGAAGTCTCTGCAGTAGCGAGGATGATGTCGCGTCCATCGCCTTGAGGTTCCGGGGTCCACTGCCTGAGGTTCTGCAGCTGTGTCTCCAGCACTTGCGCGTACATGTGCTTGTTCGGTCCGTTCTCGGTCGCTAGCGAGTTGATGGAAGAGATGAAGAAGACAAGTTGAGGGGACATGCCCGAAATGCTGCTGATCTTTTGCGCATCCCCATTCTGCATGCCGTCTAGCCAGTTGTTGGCCTCCAGAGACTGAGGCAAGGGGGCGTTTTCAAGCGTGTACGCGGGTTGACCAGTACGTGCAAGCACGAGCTGAGTGCGCATGTAGAGAGCTGGCTCTGATGCGTGGTCGATGAACTCTGATGGAATGATGTCGAAGATGTTGGCGTGGACGGACCAGCACAGACTCGTCTCGTCCGAGTCGTTGATTGCGCCGTGATGCATAAGCAGCATGGCTGTGGCGAGAGCGGCGTCGTAATTGTCCCCATTGCTGATCTGCTGGCCCAGGGCCTGGAAAGCCTGGCCAGAGTAGTAAAGTTCAGCCTGGTGGTAGCGCTCCTTATCTGAGTGAAGGTATTCGCGGATGTAAGAAGCGCTGAGGCTCAAGAGAGCATACTTGGTGCTCTCGCAAGCGTTGGCGGTCTGGAGAAGTGAAAGGTAGGTGTTGGTCTGGGTCGCAGTAGTGCGGCCGGGGCAGATACCGTTGATGAAGAAATCGAACAGAAGCTGTTCGATGTCTCCACCAAAAAGGCTGCTGTCAGGCACATACTTGACCAAGCTTGTGTATGCCTCTTCTTGAGAAGCCGAGCTATCGAAAGAATGAACCGAGTGGTGTGCAGAGTGTCCAGGCGAGAATGGGCTGCTCGACCTTCCTCGCGTGACATCCATGTCTGCCATTGGTGAATCAACTAGACCCAATCAACATTAATCCTTGAGCTCCGATGGTGTATGCTTACCCTTTGCACCCGTCAAGTCGGAGAGCTCGCACAGAAAGTCCTGGCAGGCATCTGCCTTGGACCTTTGAATGTGTCGGATCCGCTGGATGACAAGTGTGACAGCGGCAGTGTCCTGGATGAGCGCTAGGTAGGGCTGCTGTGCCTGTAGTGTGGTCTTGAACTTCTCAAACTGCTTCGCGTTGAGTTCCCCCAACCGCCAGTACAGCTGTCCAAGCACCTCCAGCAGTACCACACCCGGCCCTTCTGTGATCATCCATTGCCGTATAACCAAGAGGTTGCGCCTGCTGTTCCTCTGGTTTCCCTCTGTTGGCAGGTCGACTACCCTAGCAAGAAGACGGTCGATGTGTGTGCAGTCCAGGCATCCGAAGTCCGGTGACATGGAAAGGTGTTGGAGGGCATCGTTGGCGGCCTCCAGAGCCTTCACGAGTCGTCTGTCTGCGTCCATTGTTGTGTTGTGATGCTAAATGGAGTCGAGTAGAGCTGCCCGGTGCTGTTGTCCGTAGATCCGGAGATTGCTGTAGGGACTGTGAAGTAGCGGACTGAGAGAACTTATGGTATGTTTGAGGGTCTGTAAAGTGCAGGCCGATACCCGTATCGGGCTTGTATAGCGTGGTGAAGTCGGATGTCGGTAGTGTACAGTTGAAGCTGTGCTCAGAATGTGGAGAACAGTAGCTAGTAGCACCCCGGTCGCCGACAGGAATAGAAAGGAGTGAAGAGGCTCTGTGTACCGAGAAAGATGAAACGCGTGAGAGGGGAGCGTATATACGCTGAGGCTGCCCGCCAAAGGAAGGCTGATTCTGACGGCGCTCCTAGCCGGCCAAGTCCCCGAGGAGGATACCCCAGGCCCAGCACCGACCTCGACCGTCGCTGCAAGTGGGCCATGAGCTTAATCTGCTGCTGGTCCGTCCACGACCCGCGAGCGGAAGGAGGCATTGCTACATCATGGCCGCTAGATGCGCCAATACATGACTGTTGCTGGGCGGGAGGAGCTTCCGTGGGCGCTTCCACACACGACGCCAGCCACGAGCGCTCGCGACGATGAAGGATGACTGCGCATACACAAAACAGGGAGCTTTCGCATCGCTAGAGGAGTCGAGTGCTGGCGCACGTCAGCGGTGCGGTGCCGGGATTGTACAGTGCTAGCGAGAGCGTGAGGACGTGTTAGGGAGCAGGCGCATGGGTCGACGCGCCAAGTCGTAGGGAGCGGGTGGGGGCGCAGTCGCCGTCGGCCCACAAGGGGAAACTCGTCGTGTCGACCTTTTTCCGGTGCGGCAGTGCCCATGCTCACGACGACGCCTGCACCATGGCACCAGCACGATCGCTGCATGGGGTCCCTTGGACGTGCGTGCGGCTCTTGATCAAGCTTTTGCCAGGATGGCCTCCTTGGAGAGCACCTTTCGCACGTGTCGCTTAATGGACCTCTCGTACGGCCAGAACAGGCGTCCCCGAAGTCCGTCGACTCCGTCCCATCTGAGACCTCTGTCCTGTGCAACGTCGCCCTCGGTCACGCATGTTCGCGGCTGTAGCCAGAATTCCACGAGCGGCGTTGGACGCCCATTCGGACGTTCCAGAGCAGCAACAGACAGGCAGACAACCGTCGGGGACGAACAGTCGTATGCACTCTCGCAGTCCTCTACTCACTAGTAACACCTGCTACATTGCAGTGATAGCGCCATTGCACCTGCTGTAGCCAAGTTTGGCTGCATTTTAACGCACTCAACACTGACCATCTAGCAGGCAGCTACCGCACTCTCGCGTGATCCGACCAGTTCTTGCAAGACGTCACTACATTTGGCCAGACATCTGGCTTTTGATTGTCTGTTTACGCAATCCTCATCTGAGCTCATTTCCGCTTTGTTGATTTCATTTCCCTGAGATATCTCCTGCCCAATGTGCACATCAGCAATACGACTAGTAACACCACTTGCCACTTGAGTCTGGCCACAATATTGTTTAAAGTCGCACGCCTCCTACTCTACCGCTCTGCTGGACTCGGCGATGGCGAGCACCGCAGGAAAGTTCTGTCTACGAGGCCCCCAACGAAGCCTGTTCATCGTAACAAGTCACTAGCCGGCAATACCGGTAAACGCATGTAGCGACGACCTTCGAGGAAATAGGGGCGAGCTCTTTTCACACAGATATTGTACTGATAACGCAGATTACAGCGTCTACGAAGGCGGTGCAGGAGACACTTCCACGAAGTGATGAGTGAGGGCCGTTTTGCTCCGGTCCCCAAGGGGTCATGTAGCCCCAACGGTGAGGTGAATTGGGAAACATACACCAATGAAATGAACAATCAGGCGCTCCTGCACCCTGCAGGGACCTCGTATGCGCAGTGCGCAGTCTACACACCGTTCCAAACGCAAGGCTTGTTGTACGAACGGCTTCGCTTCAATAGGCCTCGACCGTCTCACAAACTCGCATTCTTTGAAGGAAACTTCCCTATTCGCAAGCACGCAACCACTCCATGTGAGAGCGTTTGTAGCGTTGTCAACGAACTAGAAGCGTCCGTGATGCCGGGCAAACTCCTCCGACCGGACATTTCCGAAGGCCGCAAGCAACGTGGGGTAGGAAAATAACAGATGACCATGCATGCCATATTTGGGCGCTGTACAACATCGTTGTCGACCCCAACAAGCTATCGTCTTGCTCTAAAAGCAGCAGCATACGAACCTCCTGCTCCGTATCTCCCGTTCACTGTAGTCCGCGAACGTCTCCATTGCTACATTCTATTGCTATTACCTTGCACAGCCCCCGATCTGGCTTCGACCCCAAAGCCTTCTCCTATCGTTCCCAATGCGGTCAATGTGGTTTCTCGTGTCGACAAGCTTACAATTGGCCGCATGCGGCACAGCCCCCACCTTTAGCCATAAATCCAGGACGCCAGCGATTTCATTCGACAAACCATCTGTAAGTCTGTGAGGTATTACGGTTCACATACACCTCTATGTACGTTTCCAACCCAAGTGACGATCGGGGGCAGGCCCAATACCCGCTTTGCCTTTTCTGGGGAGGTTTGCGATCGTAATGGGGCCAAGTTTAGCAGACCTCCTCGCATCCTTGTAGTTCGCAATTCGCACCTCGCAGTCAACAGAACAGCATTTCAGGTGAACCTTCAGGAACGGCCCCAGCCTCGCTCCCTTGCTGCACAAAGCCTCCACAAGTCGACACAAGCATGCCATGGTGTACTTGGCACTGCAAAAACACGACTCGCTCTTCGTGATCTAGGTACCATGCAGAAGATGCTCACGCGACTCAGCAGTGCAAAGCGCAAACTACTGCTTGCCTGGGACTGATCAGGCCAGCGTACCTGCAGCAAGCACTCCCATCAGCAGCGCGCCGCTTCGCCCGTGATCTGAGCCCCTGTTAGGATCGCACCTAACCCGTAATAGTCGGGAGTCTCACACATCTTTGCCTATTCCGGCGTTCGGCCCAAAAAAATGTATCACGTCAACAACGTTGGATATTTTCCTCAATCAGATAAGAATCTGCTGTCTGCGCGCACGGTGGCGCTAGCGCAACGGGAAGAATGCTCCGCGTGCCAGAGATAGATTTAGAGTTAGGAATAGGCCGTCGGAGGTGGTGTTTCAGGTCGCGAGGCCAGTGAACGTCCCCGATGTCCGACAGGGCTAGATGGGGTAGAAACTTGCGACGGGTAGCTACGGCTGTGGGCCCTCTAGAGTTGTCGTGAGTCGTGCAAGGCTTTCTGGGTGCCTCGCTACCGAAGGCCTGTACATAGGGCTGATGATGTCCACCAGTCTACCTAAGGTAGTGTCAACCGTACGCTAACCTTGAGATATGATAGTCAGTCGATAGTCCCATCCGTTCCTCGCACGTTAAAGTATGGACTTCTCCTAACGATTTTCCAGACCAAAAGTCAAGCGATCTGAGAGTTCCTCACTTGCCGCAGTACACTCACTGCGCCCCAGCCTTTCGTCTAGCGACGCTCCCATATACCGCTCTACCCGTAATGACTCGTATTTCGCTTGAAACACCACGATCGTAGATCAACCTGACCCGGCCAAATTTAGAATCACGAACGCAAAAACTTGATGTTTTGCAACTTCCAATGGTTGCGTCGAACATAGCCTGTCGCCACTTCGTCAACTCCATCCTAAGCTCTTACTCTGCTGCGCGAACACGAACGTATTGAAGTCAAACGTCCAGTCATGGTCGTGAGCGGTCAGTATGTCAGTAACTCCGGCTCGCAGCGCTTCGATGATCCGAAACAACTAAAGTATACAGGAACAGACCATCTACAAAATTTGTGTCGGTACGCCGAACAACTTCCTCGCGGACTTGCAGAACCCCATATATGCTCATGATCTGCTGGACATGTAGTAAGGTATGTGGCTGTTTAAGGGAACACTATTCTCTAGTTACGAAAGTCGGGAGATAAGGAGCATGACAAAAAGGTGCCGATCCCGTCCCTTGAGTTTACACAGCATCCGAAGCATCGAACTTAGTCAGGTCCAGTCGTTCGTTACTTTCTGCTATTGTGCGTCAGAAACGGTATGACGAAGTATTTAGATTGTTATCACGATAAGGTAGGCTTAATTGAAGAAGTAGGATCTTGCAATCCGCAACGACCTCACTATGGAGGTACGACTTTCATTGGAGGCTTCGGGGCTCTAAGCGCTTCATTAACGGCCTCGAAAAAAGTGTGCCGGCTTAGCCAACACAAACAGAAGGGTAAATATACTAGAATTTAAACATCAGAAGCAGTCATGAATGCAAGCTCAACCCAAAACCCAAAATCATCTGTAATCCAAGGAAGCTTAGAAGTTGCCGCTCGCGGTCTTTGTTGACGACGCCGCAACACTGACGCTCTTGACGGTGACAGTCTTTCCATTGACACCGGTGACCCTGACGTCCACACTATCTGTGCCAAATCCAGAGGAGTTCTCCCAGAAGTTGTAAGCGCTGCGCGTAGTGGTCTTCCAGCTGGAGCCGCCGTCGGTCGAGACCTCGAGCTTGGAGACGGCAACGTTGGAGTTCATGACTTGCATGCTGAACCAGTAGGGCGATGTACCTTCCTTGTTCTTCAAGACGATAGGCGAGGTGATGCCGCAGGGAACGATGGAGTAAGTGATAGGGATGATGCCATCAGACTTAGTGCCGATCTGAGTGAAGGCGTTCTCGAAGAGGTCGAGCTTATTGACGGCGCATTCGGGGCACTGGTCGACGACCTGAAACGCGAATTAGAAATGTTATGGACTTGTGCAAGTGGCATTGTCCTCGCGCGGACGAAGAAGGTACTTACCATAGCCTTAATGCTCTTGCCAGCCTCGTTCGTGACCTCAACACAGGAACCGCACTGTGAAGCATCCCAGCTTCCTCCGAAGGCTGTCCCAAAGAGGCTGGAAGGGATAGTGTATCCCGAGAATGAACAAGCTCCGCCGGCCAGATTTCCACCGTAGAACGAAGCAGTACCTGTGACCGAGCCAGCAGCGCTGGTGTTCTCATCAGCGGCAGTGTCAGAGACGGCAGCAGCCTGGGACGATTGAGCGGGCGCCGCCACTACGGAGCTCGTGGCGGCAGCGGCCTGGGAGGCCGACGATGAAGCACCGACCGGCGAGGGGACGACGTAGACGGTCTTGACCTTCTTGCTCGAAGTAGAGGAAGAGACAAGATCCGACGAAGGGAGGACGAACGTCGCCAGGGTGGTCGGAGCATGGGGTGTGTGCGTGGGAAAGGCGGAGGGGCCGTTAGTGGTCGTGTTTCCGATGGGGTAGTAGGGAACCTGTGGGGTTGGCGACGGCTTCGTTTCCTCCGTGCTTGGGGTAACGATCGCGGAAGGCGCAGCATTTGAGGTGGGCTGGACGGTAACGGTGATTTTTTCGATCGAGGTCTCAGTGACAGTAATGCCCGGCGCGCACTGTCCCTGCGCAAGAGCGAGTCCCGCGAGGGGCAGCATGGCCATGAAAGACTTCATTTTGATTTCTGATGTAGTTCTTGAATACGCGATTTGTTCCCGTAAATTGTTCCTTGGGTAACACAGAGGCTATTGATGCTTCAAGCAAACGCACTAGCGCGTAGACAAAGTGTGTGAACGAGTGGATGCGAGTCTACGGACTCGACGTGAACACGGATAAATACAGCGAAAAGAAAGCACAGCACAGCGGCTTGCGAAAAGAGAGAATGAGCGTGAGAGACCTAAGGTAAGGCTAGAAGATCCAAGGGAAACCGGCGTCCGCAAACTATATGTATGTGATCCTGGGACAGCTTTCAAATCAGCAAAACAACCTCAAGTGGAAATTTACGGGCTCAAGGTGGAGCGCATATCACGGGAGTCAATCTTGCGGGCGTGGTTCCGCAGGACGAAAGCGCCATTTCCAACGCTCTCGCGAACGCCACACGTCTAGGCTTGCGTTCTTTAGGGATCGCCAGGTGCAAATGTTGCTTGGCGAGATGAGCAACATGGAGTGATGTGGGTCTGGAGATGAACGTAATGGAGATCAAACGTGAAGCGCTTCCTTCAATTTCTCAGCACGTGATAGCACTAGTGCCCCGTCCGAACGCCGATTGGTCGCACCTAGAGTCAACCCGCGACGCGACGGTTCACAACTTAATACCCCGCCGCCACCGCGAGACAAGTGCGCAGACATACATCAGAACGCGGATACCACGTTTTGCGTTGACAGTATCGTGTCCCACCGCTTGCCGGAGCATATGCAGAGTGCCATGTGGATAGCAGCTTCATGTTCTTCAACCGAGCGGACGACACCTCTCACTAGCGCCTAAGGGTACCGATTGGGCTCAATTTGGCATTAATACCATACTGACATGTTCGGAAAGTCCTATTGAGACTCCCTCTTATTTTCCAGTGATTCCGGCGTGCGTTGGCTACGTATCGGCCAAACTCGCAAGAATGAGACCGGAATCTGCGAACTAAACCCTGGGATGAGTCGACATTCAAAGTGCCAGCAAACTCTGATCAGTTTTTTTCTCCTGATACTGGGGAATACCTGTCACTCTGTGGCCGCTAACTGAAGCACTGATCCACGTAAATCACGTTCAATTGGACATGTAAAGTCCGCCCAAGGCTCTGATGGGCTTGTTACCTGTTCGTTGACCACCGCTTCGCTTCGGATTATTGTCTGGGTCGGTGGCGATGATGCAGCCGCCATGCTAAGGACTATCATCCGACGAAAGCTGGACTGGACTATACGATCAATGCAGGCTTGTCCCTTGATGCGCTGGCTGGATGCGCCCAAGTCGATGGTGTGTTGCACAGGAACAAGCAAATGAGATATGTATGGCAGCCCAATGTCCAAAGTTTATCTCAGCTAGGTAAGTTTCGTATCTACACGAATGACAACTTGTCCCTCCTACCCTACTGCGACAGTTTTGTCACAGGTTTATCATATACGGCGTCATGCAGCGGCCTAACTTTACAGAATGTAGACCCCAATACCTGCCAAAAATGCCTTGATCGAGCGATATCACTGCAGTGGCTCTGTCCGGTTAACACCTCTCGAGCCACAGACTCGAATCACGTATCATGGCTGCGTAGCCGTATGTGGAGCTGGTTACTACCTGTGGCCGGGTAATCCCAGCCACCCTCACCACGTGGATCTTACCCATTCTTGATACTTTGTTGCAAGCCCAATCAAGACCAAGGTTTCCTGGAGGGCTGTCCAAGCTATCAGCCGCTGGGAGGGCAACCCTACGCCCAGTCTGGCATCGATCTTCTGCGATATTGAGATATCAGGGAAGTGTACCTTTTTCGATATTATAAAAAACTTCCGATTTGAGGATGCGCAAATCAACTTCTGCGCTCGACAAGGGAACACCTGTGGAACATGCAACTTCCCGATTCTAGACAAGTTGAGCGAATTCAGCAGTATTCGAGGCTAGTCTTTCGTCTTGATGAATATATATCCGTACAAATTGAAGCCCGTCATATCTATGACGAAGGTAGCGAAAGGTCTACTACGAATCGTGCTATTTAGCGAAGCGTGAAACTACTGAGTTCCAGAAAGACACGCATTCAGTGACACGCCAAACTGGCAGGGTATGTTCAGAATAATCGACAAAAAGTAGTTGTGCTAATCTCCATTTCGACTTTGAGGTTTTCTTCAAACCTTAGTGGTACCTATTGAAGCAGGCATGTCAATCATTGTGCCGCAAACTCTATCGAAGTCATGGTGGCCGGGAACAAAGCTTTCGGCGATCTGGGGAGTCATATCCAAGTTCATAACGTTGCTATGGGGTTTTTGTTGCCCAGATTCTCGTAGTAGTCTTGTGTTCAGTACTCGATCGTAACTTAGTGGCGTCTGATAAGCTCCAGCGGAAGCTAAACAAGACAGTGATCTTCTCTGCTGGTCCCTCAGAGACGAAACGACTCGACGCGACTACGTTGCTTACTCCCATGGGTAACCGCAAGCCGCTCACATGACTCGGGTAGGCTGTGAAATAAGCAGGAGCTCGTAGATATATCCGAGTGCGAGCGTTGCAACACTAGAATTCTCAGCCTGCACCTGATACGCCTCGATCCAGACAATCCTCCGGTTGACTGATTCATAGAGACAAGGCATTGTCTTCCAGCATAAACGGCCCCAACGGACAATACCAATATTGGGAGTAGAAGTTGAGTGTAGGAGTAATAGATAGCTAGGGTGGCGGAAGCTGCCCAGATACACTATCCTAGAACGGTGGCACCTGCCAGGTGCGCGTGGGAAGCTGCTTCTTCGAACGATCTGAAGATGCGTCTCCGATGCTAGTCCACTCAACACTGAGAGAGAAGTCACCGCACTAAGTCCTCAAGCCTTGGATCAGCTCAAAGGCAAGTTGGGGAACTACAGGCGAGCACTGTATCCTACTATAGGGACGTTCCTCCCCGCTCGATCGATGACAGCTCACTCGAGCTAGCCGTCTATTATCTCGCTATGACCGCTCATTCAGGGCCACTACCAAGCTCGGTTCATTTAATTTCCGATCGTTACACTGGAAATGATGTACGAATCTAAGTAACGATGCTGTATCCCCCACTCTAAAATGATGCATACGCAAATGACTAGCCTACACAATTAGTCTGTGCGGTTTTTGAAACCTTCGTAATGGACAAGTGGCAGCACTCTGCGATTCTGAGATGGGGCACAAGCAGCACGCCGCAATCCTAATGGACGAAAGGGTGCGGTCACACAAACCACCACCGTTAACGCCCTGTATCGACCACGATCACTTTGCGCCCATAGAGCGCACCTTCCCAATGTTTGCTGCTAGGGTCAGGCATCAGCAAGGATCCATCCTTTGCGACTCTCCAATCACTATTTCCGCAGCTTACCAACCCCGCGTTGCTCTACTTCACAAATATAACAACCCTGCTATCCATGTCCAGAAAGGCTATCCGTGAAATTAAAACCCTACCTTGGAGGCCTAATTCGCCGATGCCGTGTCTTACAAACGCGCATGATGCCGCCTCCACAATCAGCCTAAACCGCATGCGCACAACCCTAGGATCATACCGCGAGATTTCCATAAAACATGGCATCCCTTACGCACTTTTTTCCATGTCAGAAAAACACCACAGTTACACCTACCGCTCTCCCTAGCTATATATAAACGTCGTCCCACTGCCCTTTGAACCACTCCATATTAGCATCTTCACTTTTGCTCTCTTGTAACTTTCAACATGCGATCACACGCACTCTTCCTCGCAATAGTCGTGCCTGCGTTGGCCCTAGATTGCAGCGAATGCGGCGGCAACATCTTCAAGAACAACATCGAGATCTGGAACGGCTATCTTCTGCAGGTCGCCGGCCAGCTGGGTATCAACATCCAAAATCCCTGCGTCCAGGGCTTGGACGTGTACAAGACGATCGTAGAAGCGGGCGGAGGCATGTGCGTGGAATTCCCCGGGAATATTAGTATTCCCGCGCCTGCGTAAGTGAAAGCGTACTTTTAATATGGTAGAGTGGTGCTGATGTATGACAATAGATACGCGTGCTATGATCAGTCGACGGTGAAGCATATGGTACGTGTTTAGCCTGGGAACACAATATGGAGGGTGCGTTGGTTGGTAAGGTGTCTGACTGCTGTAGAATACAACATCATCATGTACATATCATGCGACCGCCACTGGAAGCCGGTAGTGCAGAGTAGAGGAAGACTGCTTTTGAGCGCCTTTCAATATACAACACTAGCTCAAGGCTCGTAATCCGCATAAGAAAGAGCGGGTGAAGGTCTTTCTGTTCATTAGAGTTGATATTATCTAGATTTGCGAGCATGGAAAACATGCCAGTAAAGTGCTTCTTGGTCGACTTTATTGTTTGGGTAACGTTTGTCTCTAGATGGATGAATATGGAGATGGAATGCACCATATCGCCGTCCAGGAACCCTCCGCCTTCGCCTTCTTAATCTCCACCCCTCCTCTTTTCAAAATCCTGTCCCTATCCCCCATCCAAATCCCCAAGGAACCAAAAATCATCCAAACCCCACGTCCCCTGGCCCTCCCAGCCCTCCATCGCCTCCATACCCTGAAAACCCCCCATATCAACCCCAAAACCCGGCTCCACCATGGAAGCCGGCGTGCGCATGGTATTCCCGACAGTCCCAGCATCGCCCAGCATAACCTCACTAGGCATGCCCTCTCCCTGTTCATCCTGCAGCGCCAATACCCTATACAAAAGCGCACACACCCTATCACCCGCCTCCCTACTCAGCCCTTCTTTCTCTTCTTCTCCCTTCCCATCCGCTTCTGCGAACCGTATACTCACCAGGCTGATCGCCGCACTCAGATACCAATAATGATGATTCCCCCTGCCAGGCCTCATGCTTCTCTCCTCCAGCAATCTCAAACTGGCTGTGGCCGTGGCTTCGGAAACAGGTCTTGCGATGCGTGTGATGAATGGGGAAGAAGAGTGATACGCGATGTGGGCTATTAGCAGGGCGGCGCGGAGGTAGTCGAGGCGGAGGCAGGTGAGGGCGAAGTTTGGAGGCGAAGCATTGAGGAGGGCGGTGTGTAAGGTTATGATGGACTCAGCAGCGGAGAGGGTAGTTGTTGTTGTGTAGATTTGGGAGGTATCCGGTCGCTTCTTGCTTTGGGATGAGGTGTACAGCGTGAGTGGCTGGTGTATAATGATGAGAAATTGGCGGAGCTGCAGATCTAGAAGTGTCGAAGCCATCAACGCTCGTGGATCGGTCCAGTGGGGGAGGTTGTCGAGGGCGATTTGGATGTCCTGCTCAAATTGGAGAGTATCGGCGAAGGAGGGCGGGGAGTGCAGTGAGTTCGCGATCGCGCAAAGCTTTGCGCGAAGACGAAGTGAGCGTACGGAGCAGTGGAGGTAGGAGGTGTCAGTAAAATTGTGGCATGGTTGGGGGTCGATGAGATCCTTCATGTCGGGCTGAAGGTCTAAATCGTTGATGTTGCGTGGCGCTGCGCAGTCATACTGCAGACTCGAAAGGGTCGATGATATTCCTTCCCAATCAATTAGCCACAGTCTTCTCAATTGATATTGATGTTTCTCACCTTTGTCAATACTGGCCTGCATCTCCAACTCCATGGCCGTTGCCCAAAGCCTCCGTCTCATCTCCGCCTCAAAAGCTGAGCACCTCGACCCCAGAATCACCGGATCTCTGTGAAAACCCGAAGAAACCATGAGTACAATCTGCGCCTGCACCTCCTGGTAGTATTCCTTCGTTTTCAGGCACGTGGTGCTCAGCGCAAGAAGCCTGAGTAACCTCACCTGCACGCTAGCAAGGCTTCTCCTTTTGTTACTCTGACGTTTTAGCCAGGCCTCACAAGCCCTAAGCCAGACGACAGCCTGACTGCGGAAAGAGGACCCGTTGGAGTTGTACCGAGGTGTATCGTGCGTAGAGGTGCATAGTGTACACGCCAGTATGGCAAGAATAGTTGCATCCAAGTCCGAATTTAGCTCATGCACTCCATCCCAGTAACTTGCATAAGCGGTCCAAAAGGTCGGAGTATGGAGAATACGGTACGTGGTTTCGAAAGTTGCAAAATACGTTTTCACTACCGCATTCACAGTTTCTCTATCGGGCAGCAGACTGCGTAGGTTTGGTACGGTAAGAACACGGATAGCGGCTTGCTTTGCGTGAGCGCGATCTTCTTGCGCTTTGGAGTCTTGTCGGAGCTTTTGGAGGGTGGAGCCGACGAAGACTTGTTTCATGAAGGGTCGGAGGTCGGGGAACTGTGCGAGCGTTAGTGAGTGGTCTTTCTGGGCTTTCCTTAATGGAGAGGGTATTAAGAAGAGAATGAATATGGGTATAAAGCGTACATGAGCGACGATAGTGATAGGACTAGTCGGCCCATAATAGAACGTGCGATACGCTTTACCCTTAAACAGTCCAACCGAAGCCTCGACATTCCCACCATCACCCAGTTCCAGCTCCTCTTCCCGATCGCCTCCTGCTCCTTCGGAATTATATCTCAGCGACCTCACAGTCTCTTTGAGCTCATGAACCTGTCGTTCCAGATCACCGATCCTGTCATTGGACGCCGCCTCTAGCTCTCTGCCTTCACGCTGTACAGTATGCGATGGAGAGGTGCGAGAACGCTTGGGCGCCTTCTCAGCTTCGCAATGTCCTTCAACAAAGTTGTACGCGCATTTCTCCGGATATCCTCCGCCCGTGCATCGATTGCAAGGCAGCTCACGATCGCACTTGAGTTTGCGGCGACGGCAGTCGTTGCATGACAAAACGGCACGCTGTTTCCGCTTTCGGACTTCCATTGCTATTCGCCGCAGAAAATAAATCTGACAAGGTTGGCTCGCACATATGCATTTGCTCGGAGAAAATTGGGAGCGAGGTGTACTTGAACGTCAGGGAGAAGGCAGGCTAGCCGGGTTAAGAAGGTGTGGCTCGGATATACATGGAATATGTCCGAGTACCATAGAAAGGTATAGTTTTTATCAATCGATCTGATAAGCAATACTTGCAGATCTGCACCAATGATGTGCCCAATCAAGTATTGCTCTTACCTGGAACGAAACAAGCGTAGGCTGCAGGGGAGCGATGGAGTCATGGATCTCGAGGGGACGCGGAGAAAAGCTCGAAGTCGGAGTAAAGTCATGCAATCTCGCGGCTACGCGTATCTCTACAAATCGTAAATGTATATAAACATAGCGGAAGAGCTTTACGCACCATGATTGTACACGAATATTTACCATGGGTTCCCCAGCTGCAGTCCCTGTCGAAACGCCGGACATACCCGAACTCGAAAAGGGAGTTCTCGTGAGAGAAACCAACACCATCGAACAAACAGCGAACCTCATTGTTTCCTGGGATGGCCCATCCGATCCATCGAACCCCTACAACTGGTCCGCCTCCCGCAAATGGGCCACTACCCTCCTAACCTCCCTCGGCGGTCTCGTGACCCTCATGTCCGGTCCAATGCTAGCCCCCGCTCTCGACGCCATCGGTTCTGATCTGCACATTTCCCAAGCAGAAGCCTCCATGGCTCTATCCATCTACATCCTAGCGTTTGCGTTTGGACCGATGGTTCTCGCGCCATGCAGTGAAATTTGCGGGCGGAGGGTGATTTGGATTATTGGGGGAAGCTGGTATGTGCTGTGGAATACGCTGTGTGGGTTGAGTAAGGGAAGGGGGGTTGTTGATTGCCGGGAGGCTGATGGCGGGGTTGGGGGCGAGTGCGGAGTTTGCTGTGAGTATAACCCCGTCCTTGTTGCTGATGCTTGTGGGCTGATAGAATGGAAGGTATCCGGTGCTATCGTAGCAGACTGCTTCAACTCGGATGAGCGAGGGAAGTCAATAGCTGTCAGAAGTTTCCTGCCTCTGCTGGGACCTGCGATAGGTCCCATCGTAGGTGGCGTTATGGTGCAGCAGGTGAGTTGGCGATGGCTGTTCTATACATTGTCTATCTTCGCCGCTCTTCTGGTCATCTTGTTTGCACTGTTCCTGCCCGAGACACACGCACAAACCCTGCTGTCCCGAAAAGCGGCGCGATTGAGGAAGGAGACGGGCAAGTCGTTCTATGCGGAGAAAGACGTATCGAGCATGACGATCGCAGTTCGCTTGAAGATCACTACGCTGCGACCAACAATTATGTTGTGCACACAACCGGTCATCCAGCTCGCAGCATTCTTGATGGGATATCAATTTGGCCTGTTGTACATATTCCATGCGACGTTTGCAAGCATGTGGATCGAGCGGTACGAACAATCGCACACTGCGAGCGGTCTCCATTACTTTGCCATAGTGACAGGTTGCTTAAGTGCCTTGCTCATAGAGTGGTGGGCGATGGATGCAATATGGGCTCGTCTAAAGGCAAGAAACGGAGGGGTCGCGCGGCCAGAGAATCGGGTACCGCTCATGGTACCGGGAACCCTTTTGTTCCCTGTTGGTCTCCTGATATACGGCTGGGCAGCCCAGCAACGGGTGCACTGGATCGTCGTGGACATTGGTAAGACGGCCGCCGATGCGATAGAGGCAGATGTTAACTGTGTCTTTAGGGGCCGTCCTACTTGGATGCGGCTACCTCCTAAGTACCACCGCTGTACAATCCTACGTCATCGAGGCATACCTAGACCACACAGCGTCAGGAGCCGCCGCAGCACAACTTCCCCGAAACGTCTTCGCCTTCGCCTTCCCCATATTCGCCCCGAGCCTTTACGATTCACTTGGATATGGGCTCGGAAACACTACCCTTGCCGGTATTGCGGTCTTGTTCGGAATTCCGGCGCCTTATATCCTATGGCGGTATGGCGAGAGCTTGAGAAAGAGAGGGAAAGCGGTGGAGTAGACGACTAAATGTTGTCTAATCGAAGGAGAATTCAGTGATCGCGCTTGGCGCGTAATAGAACGGACCCATTGGACCGTGATCGTCGTGATCTACGTGGCTCCACAGTCCATATATGCCTCCAGATCGTATACCACTGGGTTGCACTCCTTCCAGTTGCCACTGATCTGCACCAGCGTACCTGTGATTATTAGCGACAAGTGTCAAAGAGATGCACAGGTCGAATCTACCTGATGATGAGCCGCCAGCGCACCTCTCGTCCGCCAGGAGCAAGACATGCCACTCCTCTTACGCCTATCGAGGGTCGCTCGGTCGCTTGTCTGGTAGATGTGCCTTCAAAATACAATTTTGGGAGGTCGTCGCAATATGGCAAGTCAGATTGCAGTCGTTCATCGTTCTTTAGCTCTTCCGAATCATCTATTTCGAGGTCCAAGCGCATCAAATCACCACACGCTTCTTCGTAATTTCCTAGATCCAAAGTATGTTCCAAGTTGTGAGCAAAATTGTAATGAACGAGCGCACGATAGTCCAGAAAGGCGTAAGTGCCCGCCCAAGTGCCCGTGATTCCTGCCCAATCAACGGGAACGGCGGCGTTCATCGGTTGCTTGCAGGGCACGTGGATGTCAAAGCCAGTCGGGTGCAAATGATATGCCTTGAGAGCCGTATCAAAAATACGATGCATCAAGGAGCTAATAGCCTCCACGGACTGCCAATTCACTGCTCCTGAGCCATCTTTCTGGAATGGACCGAAATCGGCGTCCTCGCCTGTGACACTCCAGTCGTACACGATAGCTCTTGCAGCGGCCTTGGACGCAGTCGAGTCTTCTTCCCTCTCGGTAGGACCGTAAATTATCTGAGAACAAGTCAACCAGGGTAAGGGATGTAAAGGAAGCTACGCACATGCAAGCGGCTAGCACACTCAGGCACGACCGCCCCGCGTGTCAACATGGAGCGAGTAATGGGTCGATCGGGGTTCATTTTCGAGTCTCGGGGGACTGATAGCGAAGAAGGATGTCTGCTGAAGTCGTGAATGATGGAGTCAAAGTCCGGTGCGCGCTGCACTAGGCGGTTCAGATACATGATATTCAGAGATACGGGTGAGGCAGTTTCGTCGGTACTTGGGCAAGACGCAGTCTGCTGAATGTCGAGCAGAGCGCCGACGACATTGTCTATCTCGGGAGCGAGCGTGTCCCGGTCCCCTTCCAAGACAAGGTTGTAGGCCTCTGTGCGGCGCACAAGTTCACGGTGCCAGTCCCAAAGCGCCTCGCGGGGCTGATTGTGGGCGCGGGCGGTAGGAACGAGGGCCTCCCAAACATGTTTCGGATGGTCAAAAACGTGCAGGAAGGTCTGCTTCCACAGCAATTGGTTGGTGGGACGGATGAAGTCGTGTGCGCGTCGGCAGGTCGCCCCGAACCTGACGAGCTCCTGTGGGCGGAGAAACGACAGGATGAGCTCCAGCAGCTCGGGAGCAAGCTCGACGACGCTGTCCGGGGCTTTCATGTGCGACATGGCGCGTGGTAAGTGGATGGCTTGGCCGGCGTTGTCGAGCTGATGTAGGCGGGGTGTCACCCGGTCAGATCCGTGGCGTACACGTCTACGTCTACTCAAAGTCGTCCCAGTCGTGCACGTCTATGTCCAAGGGGCGAACGCAATGCAAACCAACACTACCGTCTCTTTGCGATGTACACAGTACACCTCCCAGATGGTGGACCCCGTGCGGGAGGGGGTGGTGTGGGTCGGCGTTGGGAAGCGATCAGCGAGGTTTAGGGCGACAAGGGCCATGGGGAATGCGCAAAACGCCGTACCGCGCGCACATTGCCATGGCCCGCCGCTCGATGCAGCGTAAGCGCGGCGATCTTTGTGGCCAGACCCTGGAAGCCTCCAGGCACGCGTTGTGCACGCTTTGACAGGCACACAGGCAGGGAAAGCCGGCCAATCTGGCATTACGTCACCGAGAGATCGATGATCGTGGACGACGGCGCTTTGCTCGATACAAAACAATCGCGATGCCGCACAGCGCTGGCCCCACGATCCCCTCCTCCCGCTGCCGGCTGAGCATCCTTCCTAGCCTCCACGGCGCCCTGCCCCCGCGCCATGGAGAACCTTGACAAGCTCACCGCCGCGGGCCTGCCAGTATACGATCTGAACCTGGAAAATCTTGACCGCAAGGATTGGTGAGCAACCCGACTACCACCCTGACCTGCGGCATCGGCTCATGAGATATATGCAGGTCGAAGTCGGCGCTCGGCAAGCGCGACACCTGGCCCACGGCCCTCAAAGTCCTCGTCAACTCATGCATCCTCCCGATCCCGCACTGCGCCGCTATCTTCTGGGGCAAGGACCTCTCCATAGTCCACAACCTCGCCTGGGGTAAAGCGCGCGGCGACCTGGACGGCCAGGGTACCCGCGCAGACGAAACGTACTCGGAGGAGGCGCTCTCTGCTCTGCGCGCGGCGGTTCGAGGACGTACGTGCAAGGTAGGTAAGCAAGCAGTGCCATGGCCCGTCGCCTGCGTCCATCCTCTGACCATGACCAGCCTGTAGATTTTTCCTCAAGCATACCCCCGACGCCCGCGAAGAGTCCCAGATCTTGGTGAGCACCATCATCGATGAGAACGGAGAGCGCCAGGGCGTGCTTGCACAGCTGCTTGGAAGCGGATTGGGGGACAAATACTTGGGCTTTTCCAACGTGGACGATCTGGCCTCACAGAAACCACAAAAGAACAAAGACTCTGCCTCGCAGACCAAGGGAGGCAACTCGCATGATTCCGAGGAACGTTCTGCGACCAACAACCTGAACCCAAAAGCTGCAAGGCGAACAAAGGGTTCCGCCTCGCAACAACAAAACTCTCGCGGAGCGCATGATCAGACCGACGCACAGCAGACGCAACTCTTCGCAAAGTTCGCAGAGCTCCTTCCCAATGGCCTTGCCATTCTGGACAAGGAGGCCGAAGCCATCTTCGTTAATGACGGCTTCTTCAAGCTTACCACCAACAAAGGACAGAATGAGTTCCGCGCATGGCCAGAAAGTATCCACCCTCGGGACTACGAACGTGTCATGGGCGCCTATCGCCGGGCTTTTTCCACCCGCGAAGAACTACGCATCGAGTTCCGGTGCGCCGCCGACGCCCAAGGTGAAGAAGGCGAATGGAGGCTATTTCTGTTCCGGCCGTTGAGCGACGACCCTGAGGCCGGCTTCATATGTGCCGTTGTGGATATTACCGAAATCAAACAGGCTGAGATTACCCAAGAAAAGGCGGCTGTCGAGGCCCAGGAGCGGAAACAGCAGCAGGAACGCTTCATTGACATGGTATCCCACGAAATCAGAAACCCGCTGAGCGCTGTTTTACATCTCGCAGAGGAGGTCAAAGAGGTAGCACGCGATATTGGCACCGAGCACAAGGATATTAAACAACAAATCGACGACATTCTGGACGCTGCCGATACCATTCTTCTTTGTGTGTCGCATCAGAATACTCTCGTTGACGACATTTTGTCCTTCTCGAAACTAGATTCCATGATGTTGTCGCTGGTCCCTAGGCAGGTCAAACCAAAATGGGAATTTTCGCGAGCCCTGAAAGTTTTCAACTCAGAATTCAAAGCCAAAGGCATCAAGTTCCACTACGCTATGGACTACTCATATGATGACATGAAAGTCGAAGAAGTCATCGCCGATTGCAACCGGATGAAACAGGTTTTGGTCAATCTCATCACAAACGCCATAAAGTTCACGGCCAGGAAAGACGGCGACCGACAAATAACCGTGTCAATGGGTGCTTCCAATGATCGACCAACGTCCTATCCACCTAATGTAATATTCTTCAGCAAGGACGAAGAGACTTTTCACATTGATTCCACCATGAGTTCAGAGTGGGGCAGCGGGCCTGTCATGTATCTGATGGTCGCAGTCAAAGACACTGGCATTGGTATCAGCAGAGAAGGCCAGGCTAAGCTCTTTGAGAGGTTCAGGTATGACGCTATTACTTCACCCATCCGAGTTGCAAGTGCTGATGCGTCGCCTAGACAAGCTACTCCGAAAACGCAAGAAAAGTACGGAGGCTCTGGCCTGGGACTCTTCATCTCGCGTAAACGTATGGGCGCCGGTCTCCTTCCTTGCCAGCCACTAAGCTAACTGTCGCAGTCTGTCAATTGCACGGTGGGGACATTGGCGTGTCAAGTAGAAGTGGCGAAGGCTCAACTTTCGGTTTCTATTTCAAGGTCCGCCGCCTGACGGGCAGTCCGGGGGAAAGTCGGCCGTCATTAAGTACACGCTCCTCAGAGTCGTCCAACGCACAGCAGCGGTCGCAGACACCGAGACCATCGTACAACCGTGCTGATTCGAACCTCAAGCGAATCAAGGAAACAGAAAAAGATGCGGGTGCTCCAGACGAAGCCAAGAAACACGGGAAACAAGAACCCCAAAGACCACCAATGCGATCCCTCACTAGTAGTGGCGGCATCGACTCAGATGACATGGGAATGAATGAAACGCTGAAGGATCCGCCCACAGAATACCACCCTGAATCGCATCCCAATTCCACGCAAGACGAGCGCTACCAAGAAACCGAGGGCGTAGCCAATAAAATCAAACACCGCCGCTCCTCTTTCACCAGAGACATCGAGGATGGCCTCCCAGATCTTCATCTCGGCGAGACGAAGAGGCAAGAATTACACTCAGCCGATCGCTCTCGATCAGACTCGCAAGACCCATCTGACACCCGCAGCACCCTCCTCTTGGTCGAAGACAATCTCATTAACCAAAAGGTGCTAAGACGGCAGCTGCAGGGCAAGGGCTTCGAGGTAAGCTTCAGACACGGATCCCTTTCTAACATTCAGTCTCCAGGATCCCAATGACACCTTCCAGGTCTTTGTAGCGAATAACGGCCAAGAGGCCATCGACGCTGTCGCCGAACGCGGGCAATATTCTCCCGACGAGGGTGGGCCGAGAAATTTCTTCGACTGCATCCTCATGGATCAGGTAGGGTTTTTTAGCCCCCTCTTTTCTTCTTTACCTCCTTTTATGCTCTGATTAACACCCGCTCAACAGGAAATGCCCATCAAAGACGGCAACGCCGCGACCACGGAGATCCGCAGGCTCCAAGACGAACTCAAGGCGGGATACTCCCCGATTCTCGGTGTGTCAGCCAACGTGCGGGAAGCGCAGACGAAAAGCATGTTCGACGCGGGCATGGACGGTATTATTTCCAAGCCGTTCAAAGTAGAAGATCTTGTGAGCAAGATAAAAAGTTTGCTACCGAAGAGCGGAAAAGGGACTGGGATAAATGAAACGGCGACGAAGAAGAATGAGAACGAGTAGGCAGAGCTGAGGAGAGGGAAAGGGACGGAATATGCATGGATGGCGTTACGGCGCGCATTAGCACGGGCAAGAGAGGGATGCTTTGTACTTGTATCATGAGTTATGGGCTTACTTGCATTTCCGGGCGACGTAGGAGAAAAGCGTTGGACTGGAGGGATACTGGTGGGCATTGCATGCGTTGCAGTATATCCCCTGCTTTGTCATGAATTGATGATAATCCTGCGTTAGTGTTTATCTCTGTGAACTCGGACTTCTGAAGGTTCCAAATGATTTAGCCAGTGTAGTGTGCAAGATTATGACTCTCCATCCGTGTTGGCATGACATGACATGACCAAGGCTAGGTCGAGGCAGCCTGTCGTTGCGCGAAGAAGAGACTGTCCGGCAAGGAGAATGGATTTGACTGAAATCATGACGCCGACCGCTGTTTCACGCGAGACATGCATAATTGGGACTTTCTGATGAGCATGGACAGGTTTTTTCCATTTTATCTGGTCTACAGCCCGATCGCTGGTATATCCCTACGCCACTCAAAACCTTCCTTTTCAAATCTCTTCCCACACCAGTCCGTCTCTCGCACGCTTCCAGACAAATTGTCATTTCTCAAACACCTCATTTCCCTATTTCGCCTCCTTCGGCCTCTCGGGAATCTTGGTCTCGTCCTTGGTGGGCCTCCACTCTTTGACGAACGGCAGGAACTCGGGCTGGCCAGGGATGTATTTCTGCAGCACCTTGGGCACGTTGAAACCCTCGGTCGTCTGGAAGTTCTCGAGCAGGCAGCACAAAGTGCGCTCGGTGGCGGTGAGGGTGCCGTTCAAGGCATGGACGTACTCTTTGCGGGTGGAGGTTTGTTTTTTGACGCCTACAAAGGTTGCGTTAGTGATGGTGTAGGATTAGAAAGCGGAAGGCGTACCATAGCGGATTTCCAGCTCGCGTGTCTGGTAGTCTGTGCAGTTTGAGCACGAGACGAGTTCCTTGTACTCACCGCCGCCGGTGACGGGGAACCAGGCCTCAAGGTCGCGCTTCATTGCGGCGGCGTTGTCTATTTCCCATTAGCGCTAGCATCCATCCCACGAGCCAATTGGTACGTACTCAGCGCGCCGCTCACAATGCCAACAACCTGGTACGACAATCCCAAGCTTTGGTAGAACTCCTCAGACGTCTCAAGCATCTGCTCAAACGCCTCCCAGCTCTTCTCAGGATCTGTGATAAGGAATTGCTCGACCTTCTCGAACTGGTGAATACGGAAAATACCCCAGGCATCCTTGCCATGAGAGCCCGCCTCTTTTCGAAAGTTGGTCGAATATCCCGCATACTTGATCGGCAGATCCGCCGTACCGAGCCACTCCTCCGAATGCAGTGCGGAAATTGGCTGCTCAGATGTAGCAATCAGGTACTTATCCGTCTCCGGTTTGTCCTTGCTCTCGGTGACCTTGTATAGCTCCTCGTCGAAGTCTGAGAGTTGCGCAGTCTTGGCCATCTGGTCGCGCAGCATGAAAAATGGCGGCTGGTTGGGTGTGTAGCCCTTGTTGAAGAGGAACTCGAGGCCGTAGTTGATGAGCGCCATGTTGAGAAAGAGACCATAGCCTATGAGGCAGTATCCGCGGTGGCCGACAATCTTGACGCCGCGCTCCGGGTCGTAGCCGTTGAGCCGTGCGAGTACGCCGTGGTGCGGGATGCCGTTTGCGTTGAATTCGGGCTTCTTGCCGTCGGGCGAGTATGTCTTGAGGATGGCGTTGTTGTCTTCATTGTCGGACACGGGGACGTCCGGGTGTACGTAGTTACCGACGGTCTTGACCTTGATTGTCAGTTTGGCGAGCTTCTCTGCTGCCTCATCCTCCTTTGCAGCCTTTTGCTTCTTCAAATCGGCCATCTCTTTGAGCAGGTCGTCTGCATTCTCCTTGGCCTTCTTCTTCTGTCCCACCTGCTTCTGGAGGCCATTTATGGTGCTGCCGATCTGCGTCGCCGCATATTGTGCTGTTCAGTCCAGTGTCAGCCATGTGCCTCTTCCAATTCCAATTCCACATGTGGTCGTGTGCGACGCTGTCTCTAGGCTGGCAGGGGCGCGTACTCTTCCTGTGATCCTCAAAATCATGTATGATATCGTCCACGATCTCAACGTTCGCGTGTCGCTTGCGCTGCGACTCTCGGATCTTCTCGGGGTTGCCGCCACGTTCGGCGATGAAGTCGTTACTGTTTACCCCTCCATGTCAGTACTTTCCCTCAATACACCTCTTCCAGTCCTCAAAACGACATTTCATGGGGTTCTAGAGGACTCACACGTCCAACATGGTGTAGGAGTTTTGCTAACTCGAGCTGGGAAACCGTTCTGGCGCGTCTATCTAGATTCCCCTCCAGATCTCAAAAGTTCGATGAGTCGGTGTTGACGCATGAGTCAGGGGCGTTCTGCGGGGCAAGTGTGGCGGTGGTGGCAGTGGCGGGTGACAGGCGGTGATTGGTACGAGGTGCGCATCCCGGGTCAACAAAACTCCGAGCAATCTTACTCACAACTTTCCCGCTTCGGCAGGTTGGCCGTAATCATGTGAAAGTGTGGATTGCGGTGGGTCATCGTCATAGCTTCAGAGCTGCCTATTCGAGGGCAAGCAGGTGGTGTGAGGAATAATGCTCCGGGGCCATGCTTGTGCTTTGCATGACCTGATTGAAGACATCAAAAAGTAATTGTGACTCAAGTCGGCTATCGGTAAGCACGCAAAATCAAGATTTGCACATTCGGTCTCTGTAGAGCGGAATTGGGAAGACACAGTAGGATACCATCGCAGAAGGATATAATTCCCATTCCAAAAACGCCCATTATACCTCCGCTCATATAACGCCATTACGTTTCTAGTGAGACCAAGAATGTGACACACCCAACCGTCTAAGTCTAAACCTTGTACCAAGCGTGCAATATAGCCTGCCTCACGAAGGCTTACATCCCTCCTTGACCTTGTCCCACGCCTTCTTCACGGGCGGACGTGCCTGTAGTATCAACCGCTCTTCATCTGCAAGGCGCACATGTCAGTCACCAACGTTACATGACATGACATTTGCTCCCGCCCGCGGGTTCCCCAGGGTTCTGACTCTTCTCGATCTCTCCAATCATCAGCTCAAACGCCTTCTGCACGTTCTCGTTGTAGCGCGCGCTGGCCTCGGTCCAGCCGCAGTTGAGCTCCGTGGAAAGGGCCTTGCCATCGTCGGCCGTGACTTGGCGCTGCTCCGGTCGCAGATCGGACTTGTTTCCTACGATGACGAGCGGGACGTGTTCGGTGGCCTGCAGGAGGATGTGTTAGTTGCCTCAGACCGCGCGGATACGCAGACCAGGACTGTGCAGAGGGACGTTTCTCGACTTTGTCGAAGCGAATGTAACTGACCAGGTGGTTGAGAATCTTGTCACGTATTATGCGGGCCATCTCGAAGCTCTGCTTGTTGGCGACTGAGTAGATGATCATGTAGCCGTGGATGCCGATGAAGTGCTTCGAGTTGAGAATGCTGTACTCGTCCTGAAAGGGAGCATTCCTGTCAGTAAAATTGCACCATGGTACCTCATAGAAGGGAGAAGACGGTCCAAGATTGACGCGGGGCTGTAGCTCATCTGTTGAATGTGCATGGACTGCGGGGTGCAGAGGCGGGGATCAGAAAGCGCGGGCTGCGTACCTGGCCGGCGGTATCGATGATCTCGGTGGCATAATCCTGGTTTCTATACCGGATGACCTTGCTGAACGTGTTCTCGATGGTGGGGTAGTAGCTCTCTACGAAGTGGCCGTCGACGAATTGCACCGTCAAGGAGGATTTGCCTGGGCCGTCAGCTCTATAGCAATGATGCCAGAGGCGGAGAACTCACCGACGGCTCTGCTGCCGACAATGGCAATCTTGCGCTGCTTGGGGCCGGCCATGGTGGTGCTGGCGGCTTGTTCGTGTCTCGAGGTCTTGGAGCGACTCGCCAGGGTTGGAGATGGAGTGAGGTAATGTGGAGGGCGCTGATGCCTGAAGATGCCTTTCTCAGCTAGGTCGGGGAGGAACGCCGGCGAGCTGCAAGAGCTGCTCAGCGCAAACAGTTAGTGAAGGTCGGCCGTTCACGCGCGGTTGGTCTGCGGGAAGCCTATGCTGGTTCCGACTATCGAACCAAGCAGCGCGGATGTTGAAAACAGCGAGCAGAGAAGAAGACTTGTGCCTCCAGCGAGTGGTCCTTATGCCGTCATGCCTAGCGTACACACACAGACGCGGCCTCGCACTCAGGTTGGGCTCCAGAGAATTGCATCACGTAAATGCAAGGCCCGTTATTCGTCGCGACCGCTCTCATAGGGAACGCCCGCAGCCGCTAGCGCACACGCCTGGCAGCCCTCCGAGCAGAAGTGGACAAAGGCCGCCGTGAGAAGACGCCGAAACAACGCTCGAAAAAGGCTCCCCGGGGCGCCTCGCACTCGATTGGCCGCTGTCACCGACCCACCATCCCTCGCGCATGTGAAGCGCTCCAGGACCGCAGCCCAGCCGAGCCGCCCGCAGGACTCCAGATGCATGGAAGCCGTGGAAGCGCGCCAGAAGCATCGCGCAAATTGCTTCTGCCGGCACAACCGTTGCACACGCCGTCATTCGCGTCCGGAAATTTGGGACCTGCAGATGATGCGCTGTAGATTTAGCCATTGTGGAAGAACATGGCGACTATCCGACGCACATTGGAGGGTAAACCCGCCGTACCTTGCGCCCGTCTGATGTCATTGTGTAGATCCACGATAAAGTTCATGAGCTCTCATATGGTGGAAAACCTTACCCATGCCCGTTGCCCACTTCCCGTACATGCGAGTCTTCATCTGGCTCCTATACCAGAGTGTCTTTCTTTCGAGCCCATCGGCATCGCCAGGCACAACTTCCCTTTTCAAGACCTATGTGCATACACCCTCGCAACGCACCATCTCGAAGAGCCTAAAATCCGGCAGACATACGACGACGCCAAGATCCGGGCCTGGGGAAACTGGTCTTTCATACAGCATATCTGGGGTATCGAGCTAATCCGCGAGTGCCGGGTCCTTCAAAATCATTATCCCGTCGGAGCCCAACCAACTCCCCATACGAAATACATCCAAACCCAAATCCTTATCCTAGCCTAACTTATATCCAAATCCCAATCCTTACCCTAGCCTAAGTCCAAGTTAATTCAAGAAAGGACTGACCATTCAGTCCGTCATTACATCCCTGGCTGCCCACATTGCAGCTGCCGTCATACGGGGAAACGCGCAGTTTCCTGCACGCCCGCCTTCTCTAACCTCTCCACCACGAGCATAAGTCTCAGTGTGAAATTTTGCAATGTTTGTTGACCCTCAGCGCCCTCAAACTCAGCCTGATCTAGCCTTTGGTTGTACTGGACGAACTCTCTAACCTTTTGCACAAGCAAAGTCATGTTCTCCCCGGGAAGCAGGGAGATGACCTTGCGGCGCACCCGGTCGTTCAAGCAAAGGTTGCCGAGCATGATAGTGAGATAGCCGGTGGGAACGAGAAAGTGAGCATTTTTCACAGAATCGGCCTATAAGTCGTTAATTTATGTTGGGTTATCTCTGGCAGATAGGTAGGCTTACCCGCTCAGCGCGTTCCGATCCCTCAAGAAAGATATTCACCAGGTCCCCGAGCAGCTCATCCCCTCCTTGAGTCACATTTAGTCTGGCTTGATCACTGAACTCTGCAAGATTCATCATAGCGCCCAGTGCCAATATGAGGTCGTCCCGCACTCGTGTCAGCGGTTGCTGACTCGCATCATCTCCCAGTGTATGAAAACATTCCACGATGAAGCGAGCAAGGCGGGTAACGAACGTCTGATCCGCAAATATCTGACAGGCTTTGGGACGATTGTTGGCCAGGTTCATGCAAAGACGGATTACCAGCCGTCTTGGTGACGATCCGGTCGTGTCGAAGAAGGCCGACATCATATCAGCCAACCGTCGGAGTACCTCATCTGGCCAAGTAGCCTGACCATCTTTGGATATTGACAGTGACTCCAGTGCCGAGAACGCCGTTTCCAATATCAGATCGTCTTGTGTAGTTGCCTTGCCTGACTGCAGGCGCTGTGCAGGTCCGGATGCTACGTCGAGCACTTTGCCGATCATGTCATCGTCGACGATGGCCTCTGTGTTACCGGGAATCCGGAGCCCTATGACCAGCTCTTCCAGGACTTTGATAGCCAAGAGTTGTGGCGACAGCTTAGGCACGTCCGCTTCCGGCCAGTCGAGCAGTCGCAAGATGAGGGCTCGGAAATCTGCCACACTCTCTCGGGCACTGCTAGACATGTTCGTCTTCCTATCCTTCGAGATACGGTGTATATCCAAGCTCAACATTGGAGATGACAAGAGCTTCCGCAGAGTTGTCAAAATTTCGGACTGATAAACTTGCTCCACAACGGCGTAACTTGGCTTTGTTCTGAGTATGAAGATTATCGCGACAGCTGCTGCGAAGTCGAACACGATATCCCCGGTAGCAGAGATGGCCCGAAGCAATGAAGACGTCATTGCCGATTCTAGTAACTGGTTGACGTAGCTCACGTCGGCCAACTGAGTAGCAAACTCCATCATTGCACTGCGCCGTGCCGAAATATTAGTGTTGGTTTTTCCGGATATGTCCTCGATGATGGCCTGAGTCTCTGCCTCGAACTTGTATAATTGTCCTTTTCGACGAAGTTCAGGAAGGCCCGTCACTTGTTGCGAGTCGTCTTCGCTTTCAGTGACCGAGCCCTGTCTGGTGGGCAAGTCCACTTCAATGTCGTCATCCCAGTTCAACAGGCCGTCTTCAAGATTCGTCTCTTCCAGGTACGACCTCTGTTGAGCGTAGGTCCGAGATCTGTCCGCAGTGGGGACAGGAGCACGAGAGGTCTGGGAGCTTGCCTGGGTATCAGGGTCGATATCCATCGCCTCTGTTAGTTTTTGCGAAGCAACGTGGTGTTCAGCCTTGAATCGGGCCGCAGCTGGCCCGTTTGCAATCTTGGTGACATCTGCTTCTGATTCTTCGTCGCTTTCACTCTCCTCGTTGACGCTTGGCGCTCGTTGTTGTTTCAGCATATCAATGAGCCTCCCTTTCCTGGTGTGTTTAGATTGGGGAATATCGGACGACGATCGAGCTAATGCAGCGAAAGCAGAAATTGGGGTCCGCTCAGTGATTCGAAGCTTCGAGATGCTAGGCATTGGAGTGGTTTGGTCTGAACCGTCCTCCAACAAATTGCTGAACAGGTCCCGCTGCCGTGGTGTCACAGAGCCTGGCACGGCAGACTTCGCGCCTTGCGCACGCGGTGTGGCCTCATCGGGTAGTTCGTACATGGACTCGTCTTCGACAATTGGTGCTTCAAGGGTTTCCTGCGCACGTGACGAATTTGTCGCTGAGCACATGGCGAGCATACTGTGAAGCTTGACAGGAGACGATTGCGCTTTCGCTATCGTATGTCTTGAAATCACGGGAACAGTACGTGACTTTGTACGCTTTACCTTGTTGGATGGAGCGTCATGAGCCACCGCTACAAGGTTTGGTCGTGAAGCTTCATTCGCACTATGGCCTGGTGACAGGCTGTCGTCTGTCTTTTGGTGCTTCCTACTGCGCGGGGCTATGGATGCTTCTCTTTTCCTTTGTATGGGTATGGATGCTTCTCTCTTCCTCTGTATAGGTACGGATGCCTCCCGCTTTCCCTGTGCTATATTTATCTTCTTCACGGTCACGGACGACGAAGCGGAACCCCTCCGTTTGCGTTTATGAGAGGCATTGGATGTATCAGATCCTGCCGAGAGTTCTGGCGAAGGAGATCTATGCCGTTGAGACGGTTTTGAGAGTGCTTTTGTGCGTACAATCGGTGCTTTACGCGGTCGGTCGGATGTCTGCGTCGATACCTCGTCGTCAGAATAAGGGACATCGAAAACAGCAAAATCGTCGTTTGGTTCGGTCGGTGGTGTTGGTACCATCTCAGTAACCAAAGGCGCTGGCGCAGGATTGGCTTTCGTCTGTTTTGGTGCAGTTCTGGGTGCAACAGTCGCTCGCGCATTTGCCTTGAATGCCAATGCATTTTGCTTCGCTGCTTTCGCCGCTACGGTGGCTGTGGGTCTCGTATCTGCTACATCAGTTTTGGCTCGTGTTCGTACCGCTGGGGTTGCCATGATGAGAGGATCATCCGGAGACACCGCTACAACATGCTTCTTGTCCGATGCCTTTGCTTGTTGCGCAGGCACTTTTGGTCGAGTCACGTTGACCTTGCTCCGCAGTTGCTGCGCTGCTTTGACTCTACCCATTCTTACGGCTTTGCGTTCGTCGCCCGAGGAAGGCACGTCGAAGACATCGAAATTGTCCATAGGCTTCGGCGGAGGCTTTTGCAACGGTTTCTTGATTGCGGTACGAGGCCTGGACTCGCTGTCGGAGGGTACATCGAAGTCGTCATACAGCCCCGGTGACTGCTGTTTCCCTACGCGCACAGTGTCCACAGCGTTCTTAGTTCCAGAGGCTGCTCCAGGCTTTTGCGATGCACTGGTGAGTCTCCCCACCTGCTTGCGCGAACGCTCCGGCGAAGGCTCATCGTCGGTGAATATCTGCGCATTGCCGAAGCGCGCCGCCCGTCCGTATGTCACGAGCTTCTTGCGGCGCTCAGGGCCGGTAAAGATTGACGACATTGGCATAGCCATCGCGTGCGGGCGTCGGGCGGGGGAGGGAGTTTAGGAGCGCATGTTGGAAGGAAGGCGAGGTTGTCGGGAGCGATTTGCGCGTAGATAGGAATTCCCTCGCCAAGGGTAAGCGTCGGGGCGATTTGGCAATGTGAAGGCGCGCGGGTGCGAGGTGTTTTGGTTTGGAGGCTGCGTGGTTGCTCGGCTGCTTGCGTAAACGGCAATTCGAGACCGCAAACACGCGTGATTCGGCAGAGGCGCCGCCGCTGTGGCTGGTGCGTGTGAATGAGGAGAGCCAGGGTCCACCCGTGCTGCTAACTCAAAATTGCGGGCGGTGTACCATGACAGATGCCCAGATGGTGGAGCTCGCCGACGGCTACGAGATCACGAGTCTGGAACCTTTCCAAGGTCGAGCAACGCTCTTGCAGCTGATTCTTACATCTCTTCCTTTGTCAATTCCACCTCTGCCCTCACACTATTCTATAACAAGCTGTGGGTGACGCTCTTTGGATCTTGTTCGAGTACTCGGATCTCCCACTTCTCCACTTTCGCTTGCAAGCACTCTTATCACCCTCCAAAATGGCTTCGGAATCGCAGCCCCCCTCGCAGCCTCTTGGACCTGGCTACCGCGACGAGGCTCAAAGGCCTACCGCAACCGTCTCCAAGCCAATTCCCCAGGACAATGTCTTTATCCTACCGCAGACACCGCAGCTGATAGCGCTGCTAACGTAAGAGCACGTGCGCATACGAATGGACGTAGAACTCACCACATGTGTCAGGATGATTCGAGATGAGAACACGGGCCGGGCCGATTTCATCTTCTATTCCAACCGCATCATTCGGCTGCTCGTCGAAGAGGGCCTGAACCATCTACCAGTAGTAGGTCATGAAATCAGCACGCCAGTGGGGAGGCACTATATAGGCGTCAAGTTCGAGGGCAAGATCTGTGGTGTCTCGATCATGCGTGCTGGCGAGTCGATGGAGCAGGGTCTAAGGGATTGTTGTCGGTCTGTGAGAATTGGCAAGATCCTGATACAGCGGGACGAGGAGACTTCGAAGCCCAAGTTGTACTACGACAAGCTTCCGGAAGACATTGCGAACCGATGGGTCCTCTTGCTGGATCCGATGTTGGCTACTGGTAAAATCTGCTCACTCTAACTTTGCATCATGTTGATGATGCTAACGACAAACAGGCGGTTCGGCTCTCATGGCTATCGAAGTACTCAAGAGCCGGGGCGTGCCTGAGGACCACATCCTCTTCCTCAACCTGATCGCTAGTCCCGAGGGAATCAAGAAGTTTGCTGATGAGTACCCTAAAGTAAGGGTAGTGACAGCCTTCGTTGATCAAGGATTAGATGAGAAGAAGTACGTGCTTCCTGACGCATCCGATTCAATGACTGACCAATGTGCAGCTACATCGTTCCCGGTCTGGGTGATTTTGGCGATCGCTTCTACACCATGTAGATATCTAGCAAGATGTTGTCCTCGCAACCTTCTGGGAAGGAAAACGTGAGCAAGCATGGATATTGATGAAGAATGAGATCATGTATGGGGTGCATATGACAGGTCGAGAACTGGTGGACCAGGCCTCGGCCTATTGTTATTTGTGAATGTTAAATCGAATAAAAAGCCACAAGAGCCCACACTATCCGTCCGACTACTTTGGTCGAAACAAGATGAACCAATCCTACTGTCACAAGCGCAATAGTTACGCGCTACTTTTGGATACAACGCCTACCCGTTAAACCCTGGTATACCTCGAACGCCATACATGCCGCTAGTCAGTCCTTGACTACATGCAATCGAATCTTGTGTGTTGTACATGCAACGTACAGTTCGCCTACTCCAGTACAGACATTCAGTAGTCGTCGTAGTCGCCCTCGGCGTCGGCTTCGTCCTGGACAACGAAGTCTTCTGTTTCCTCCTCGACCCGGGACCTGCCTCCGCGGGCTGCAGGCCTTTGTGTAGCTGTGTTGGCCGCGGCCGCTTCCTTTGCTACCGCATCGCAAGCGTCGACCCAGTCTGAGTAGACATCGACAGGGGCGGAAAGGTCTATTGAAGGTCAGCGCTCTGCTATGAGCTACTTATTACCATGCTAAGACCACAATAGCGAGATCGAGCGTTGCCGAAGGCAGTGGCTAGCACTGGCTTTGCGTATGTCTCTAGGAGGTCTGCGCAAAGATTTTCACGACATACAATTGGTGTTGGTCTGGAAGGTCTGCCCGCACACCTTGCACTGAAGGTTGCCAACGCCAGACTTTTTCTCGATGGAGACGGAAACAGAGTTCTCGTGATTGCAGAAGAGGCACTGGAAGGTCGTCGGGAGCTTCTCCTTCTGTAGGGGACATTAGCGCACTTCGTGGTTATTGCGCGATTAAGTATACATACCTTCTTGGGGCCCTGCGGTTTCTTTGCCGACTTGCGTTTGCCCTGTTCTGAGTTAGAATCAAAACGCGTACAACTAGTCGCGTCCACTTGCCATTGTGCTGCGGTAGAAATGTGTCTTCGCTTTGTCGGGAAGGTGGGAGTGAAGACGCGAGCGTCGAGAAGGGTGGAGTGTGGCGCGTCGTGGTTGTTGTCGCGCGTTCGCGGCCAAGACTTCCGTCAAATCTGTGAGGTGTGAATGCACTCCGATAATAGCGCCAAGATAACGTAGGAGGTACGGAGGTGGCCGGGGACCGCCGCTTCCCCACATGTGCAGCTTGTTGCCCAAAGCGTCGTCGATAAGCTCGGCCAATCAGAAAAGCACGGGCGCCCTGTCATCGACCACCACGTGTGACCTAACTTCCCCCGCCGCTGTGCCTCCTCTCTCTTTCTCTCTCTTTTCCTACTGTCTTTCAGAGCTCGGAAATAGAAAACGGCTTCAACTTCCTTCGGTTGTTGTTTGCGTTCTTCATCAGCGGCACATACGTCCTTCAGCTCTTCCTCGGTAATCAGTGGTTCATTATCTACAGGCGGCCGGTAGATACGGAGGGTTCCACATTTTCCTCATTACACTTTCCTGTTCGTCGAGGGGGTTCTTTGTACTTGCATGAAAGCATTGCACAATCATCATGTCCGTCGAGAGCTCAAGTGATGTCCTTCTCAAGGAAATCTTGGAAGGACTCAACTCCTTGCGCAAGGAGAACTCCCAGCTAGCATCAGCCGTAGACACCATCAATGGCCGTGTAAACATGCTATCGGAGATCAAACAAATCAAAGATGAGGCTAAAGGTCAGCCTCAACCCTCCAACGGCCTTCTCGAGAAAGCCAAAGAAGTTGCTGCCTCCCTTTCGGAGAAGACCACGGAGGCCGTTAGCAAACAGTATGAGGAATCATCACCTGTTGCTGATACGTCTCCTCGTCGAACCAGCGTTTCCAAGACTTCCAAAATCATCTTGACTTCGTATCCTGGTCAAGCTGGTGTTGACCCACTGCCTATGGATTGGGGTCACAAAGACCCTGCAGTTCGAGGTCCCGTGGTTGTGTCTCGCCATTCGAATACCATCCGTAGGCGCAACGGTACGTTTTTCCCCGTCATTGGGCTTTTGAGTCTGCTGATATTTTGTAGCCATCGGCGCTCACGGTGGTTCCTACTCAATTTACCACGCTCTTGCCGTAGCAAGCGGGAACCTTGACATTGAACATAAGCCTGACTTTACCAACACCGAGCCCGCCGCAACCATCGGGCCGTTCCCTCAATGGAGCGACAAGAAGAAGATTGTAGCCATGGATCCTCTTGGACATCTGGCTCCATGGCTTTACAAGGAGACTATGGACAAAGAGGGTGTCGAGATCAGGCCTTCTATTGCCATTACCAAAGCCCACATGAAACTGCCTGAGCTGGAGGACAGCGTTCGCAAAGGTCGTCTCGTACCTGATGGCAAGATCTGTATCAACGAGAGCGGTGAATTGGCGGTCACAAAGGTTGCCGTTGAGCCTGTCTGGTATCTACCGGGAGTTGCCGAACGCTTCGGCATCGGTTCGTCAAGCCATCGTATCTGACTGCAAAAGCTGACAGCTTCGCTAGATGAGGGCACTCTTCGCCGTACGTTGTTCGAGGAGACTGGCGGATCCTACCCTGAGCTGATTACGCGGCACGATATCAAGCTCTTCCTGCCACCGATCGGTGGTTTGACTGTGTACATCTTCGGTGATCCAGCCAAGATGTCGGACGAGAAAGTCCGTCTCGCCCTGCGTGTCCACGATGAGTGCAACGGCAGCGATGTGTTCGGTTCAGACATTTGCACATGCCGTCCGTACCTCATTTTCGGCGTTGAGGAAGCCGTCAAGGAAGCTCAGAAAGGCGGCAGCGGTGTCGTCATCTATTTCCGCAAAGAAGGACGAGCTCTTGGTGAGGTGACGAAGTACCTCGTGTACAACGCACGAAAGCGCGGAGAAGACCGCGCGAGCGAGTACTTTAAGCGAACCGAGAACATTGCTGGTGTCAAGGACATGCGTTTCCAAGCACTCATGCCTGATGTGAGCCATCCTGCATTGCACATTGTACAACGTTCTACAGTGTCTACGACCTGTCGAATCAGCTGCTAATACTCGTGCCACTGTAGATCCTGCACTGGCTCGGCATCACGAAGATTGACAGAATGCTCAGCATGTCCAAGTAAGCAATCGTCACCCATAGCACTCCGACTGCAGGGTCTGCGCGTCAGAGCTAACTAACACGACTTTAGTATGAAACACGATGCGATTGTCGAGCAGGGCATCCCAATTCACGAGCGCGTGCCGATCCCTGAAGAGATGATACCGGCGGACAGCCGCGTCGAAATCGATGCGAAGATCCAAGCTGGCTACTGTAAGTTTATGCATTTATGCACGCGGAGAACAACGTCGCTCTTGCCTTATTTGACCATCGTGGGCGATGCAACGGGAGCATCGTGAATTGCACCTAGGAAGGACGCTAACACTCGTTGCTTATAGTCACTACCGGTCACGTTATGTCCATGGACGAGCTCGCCAACGTTAAGGGTCGCGGCTGGGAAGACATCGACGTAAGTACTCGGATCATTGGTATACCCGGATGGAGAGGAAGCTGACGACTACGATAGCACTAAATCACGACGCTCCGTGTTGATCAGCTCGTCGTCTGCTTGTTCACGAAAGATACCTAACTCCATATGCATCTCCGGATTTGTCACATTCTCGCGATTGGATTTGGGTTGGCATGTTGCATGGAAATTTGAAGGCTTGATAAGCTTGACTATTGGGTAGGACGCCTGTGTGATTCCTCGGTCGCTTGAAGTGGGCAGCACCGCGTGCTGCGGCTCCGAGTAAACAGCGAGGACTCTCACGCGATCAATGCAGGTAGACAAAACAAATACTTCAACTTGACGAATAGAGCAATCACCTCATGATATTTTACAGATCATGCTCAGCGATTGGTTCGGCCCAAGAAGTGCTCTCAGCAACGCACGCCGCCACCGCTGCGCATGGCTGACTGTTTGCCTGGATGATTGGTAGCTTCGGTATACCATAGAAGGACTAACACGGCGTAGCCTCAAGAGGATGGAAGACGAAGAGCATCTCAGGCTGACTCTGTCAAACAATGCTCACTCGGAATGAGTGCCATGTCACGGTCCTGTCACGAGTCGTATGAAGCTAACCGGCAAACAGCATGCCCTTCTGCCTACACCGTATCTCTCCACCCTCAGTCCTCTTTGTACACCCGCGCTCCCCGCATATGCATCACCACTCACCACACCTCACGTGTCCAGCCCTGCAGGCCCGCCATCAGCAGTACAGCAGGCCCTGTTCCCCTTCTCTTCCAAGGGTAGACCACACTCGCATATGTACCCCCACCACTTCCACGTACCCTACTGCCCTAAATTCGAAATCCGCCCTACCCGCTCACAGTCACAAATGCCGTTTACCTGCCGCATGACCGCCTCCCTCTTCCCCATCGCGCGGCCAGCGCGAGTGCAAGAAGAGTAAACACTAGGTTACCGGGGCGGCCCGCTTTTGGGCTCGACCGCTACCTCGCCTCTGCTCCGAGCATGCGCGTCGGCACAAGATTAGAAAGCGTTCCACCCTGCCAAAAAGTGGTCTCGGCCGGGAACACCACCCACTGCCCTACGTTACGTGCAAGGAGATGCCTACCGCGGACGACGGCACCATGAGGCGTAGCAGAAGCTACTCTGTCTAGACTTCTCGGGATCAGTTTCAGGGCGTCTACGTGGAGAACCCGCTGCTCCGTCTTACTGGGAAAGACCGGTATAAGCGCGTTCCGGAGTGTGGATGCCATAGGTGTGTAGTAGAGTGGCGGATGTACACGTGTGAGGCACGCACGCAGAACTAGCAAGTAATACGCAGACTGCGTAGGCGAGGATGTGCTTGTGTGCGGCCTCGGAAAGGATCGGCACGCAGGTCTGAGGGATATGCATTCTAGATCGCTGTGGGGTATTTTCTGAATGTATATGTATGTATGTGAGTGGTCTTGGGGTGGGCAACGCGAGCTCGGGAGGCTCCGAGTTGAGAGGAAAGGGGCGTGAGGGGAGACGGTGGGTTGCACAGCATGCTGCATTGCACATCTCCCAGACGGCAGTAAGGGTGCACGTCTAACGCGGAGTCTCAGAGCGTTCAGCGCAAAGCAGATATATATATGCGAGTGTGGTGTACACGGTGCGTGTGCCATTTCCTACTAAGAGCGTACGTGAGAAGCGGTCAATGTAACAAATTTCCGAGGGGTGACTCCACGTATACCGCGTTGTTAGTCGCAATCTCATAGGCGAAGGCGACCGGAGATAGTAACTGTGCATCCATAATGCAGACCACTCTTTTAACGGACAGCCTGCGTCCATGGAGGCGTTGAGATGGGAGGGAGGGGTGCGCGAAGAGGGTGTCACAAGATAACCTTAACCGTATCTGTGGGGCAGGCGACAGGTACCGAGCGCGTCTAATGTGTAGTATCGTGAGCTAGCAGGCGCTTTCATAACGGACTGGGCAGCATGGCATATGGCAGGTGTCTCGTGTGCTCGGCGGTGTGGGCACGCTTGTGTTTGTCTATCTACACGCTTGCGGACGGAGAAAAGCGAGAGTTCCATTCGTCGCTATTATCTGAACTACCGATCATCGTCAGTCGATCAAGGGGCGCCACATTGAAAACTGAGCAATAGAATGAGTCGGCGTGGTGAGAAGGATATGAGCGCTCCAACAGGACCGCAGATGCAATGTATAATGGATAACAAACACCTGTTGAGCGGTCACCCTGAATGGGCGCGACGCCGATTGACTCGTCCAGGGAGGAGAAAGATTTCCACTGGCAAGTGCGGGCGATGTTCCGGCAGTGGCAGCCGCCGGCGAGCGTCATGCAGTGCAGCTGAGGTTTAGTGAAGAGGAGGCACGAGTCTGGACGCCTGTCCGCCCCGCTCTGGAGAACAAAGTGGATCGCGATGTTATGCCATGAGGTGGACTGTCAGAACTGGGAAACTTCGACACCTGAAGGGCCGTCGGAAGTTAATCTCTCGTGCTTTTCGAGGTGTAACGTCAGAGTTGCTGCTGCTCTCGACGCAAAGCGTCTTTGTAGCACTCGCTTTCTCGCTCGCCCGGTTGATGGGATGCACGATGAGACGCGAGAACGAGCCGACTGTTCAACTGGTGGCGGGAGCGGCCGGCAGTCAGTACGTGGCCGCCGCTTATTCCATCCCGCCCGAGCGTGCAGGAAATAGCCGTGTGCCGATGTCAGGAAAACAAATAAGTAGGGATGCGTCATAGAAGAGGTAAGCAACGGGTTTGCGAGCTTGGAAGGATGAAATGCAGGTGCGACGCGTGGGATTCTGTTGGATGTTGGCTCGTGTTGCTGTGTGCTTCTTTGCGCGAGCCATGTCATTGCGCGTGGATTAGTGAAACGCAAGACCTCGCGATGCTCCCGACACCGCCTCGACCGTTGCGACGCCAGAGGCAGATGTGATTGTGAAGCATTGTGAGGCGGTGGCACCGTCTTTCGAACTCCTACCTGGCCGCACACACCAGAAGGCGGTCCTGTCGATGCAGGATCAGGAACGGCCGCCCTCCGTCTCGCAAGGCGTCTGCGCCCACCAACTGGAGCGTGCCTTGCCGGTCCTGAAATGGTGGCTGTCTGGCAGTTGTCTCTCCACCACACGGCGTCCATGACGGAGGCGTCTGTTCAAGGCGCATCCATGTCCCGATTCGAGACCCCGCTGCCTTGGAACCCGCGTTACCGGCTTCAGAGCCGCGATGCCAATCAGGCACGAGAGGCCTCAATACAGCCAACGTCAGCGAATTTGCTAGAAGCAGTAGCCACTTCCAGGGCTATCGATATCTCGGAGCGACCAAAAGAGACACGGCGGTGGCCAACGCACGCCGCGAGATGAAGTGTGATCGTGAGTCGGTCGGGGACGAGTCAGGACGTATGGACTGATGACAGCGCAGCCGCCTTGTAGCCGGCTAGCTGCCTGCTGTCCTAACGGTCCACGTTGTTCAGAGGCGTGCATCGTGCATAGCGACCGGGGCCGAGAAAGTCTAAGCTAGAGGGCCCGGCTGATGATGCAGCTGGCGTTGCAGGGGTGCCCTGCTTTTGCAGAGGCGTTGTAGTCTGGGTGAATGGCGTCTGGGCGCGGGCACTCAGCATTATTACCACTACGTCTTCCAACTGCTTTGCTCTTCATTTCACCTTTCCCACCGTCAATCACCCAATCAACTAGACGAGCAGATATACATTCGACTTCGAAATGGCGAACAACACAAGATACTACTACTCGCTCCCAACGCAACCACCACAGCAGCCACGGTCCACATCAGGCAGCCGTCGACCACCTCTAACGCCTTCAACCGTCTCCTCGCCATGTCTTACAACACAATCGACGATAGCAAGCCGAAGAGACTCAGGATCGGGGAGTCCGACCAAGGCCTCTGCCCTACTTGCCAAGGTTGCCTCGCACCCATCCACCCCAAGGACCGAGACACCACCAGGTAGCCCGATCTCGTCACCAGAAGAGAGGATGCACTCGAGTCCAATGTACAGCCCAGACCGACCTGCTGTATGGAGGAGCGAGAGTGCTCGCTATGTCCATCAGTATAGGCAGCAAGGTAAGCATGTTTAGCCTTGTGTCACAGTGCAATAGTTGACCAGTTCCAGATGGCTACATCAGCTTTCCAGACTTTGAGAAGTTCTGCCAGTCTCAGAATCCCTACCAGCAACAGCGCAGAGATCACAGTGCCGTGAGGACTTGATTTGGTCATGTGGTCAACCAAGTAACCCTACAAATCGAGAGAAAAGCGATCGAAAGACCCATCACCAAGCTATTGAGCATCACCCCGAACACCGTCATTCCTTTGTCATCGAGGACAGAGTTGGTAGAGAGGAATTAGCACCCAACGAATCTAGGACCAAGCCATGGACTGGAAATCAACGAGATGTCTGGGTGCCCCACAGAGCGACTGGGAGAACGAGAGCTTCTCAGTTCCTGCCTCAGAAGGGGTTGAGCAGGTTTTGAGAGTCGCACAGAGAGGCGGAGAGTGCTCAGCGAAAAAGAAATGAGGGAAGAGTCATAGAAGGAGTGCGTGCAGTGGCTCCATTTAGCTCGATACCAGCCGGCGAGCATTCAAATTGACTGCGTCAGTCAACGAAAGGAGTTCGACCGAGCGGTGTCTGGGACCGGTCTGTGGGAGGATGGAAGTAGCGAGGCGAGAAGCGACACTAGCGGTGCGGAAGCGGATCAGAGAGTAGCGAGTCGTGACAGGAGAGCGGTCAGGAGAACTCGATTGCAATGTAACTTGTGCAGAAATAAGGAAATCATAAACAAAATCACAAAACTCATAAGTCGTTCTGAAGCACGAATCCAGCAGTGCACGCTGCCGACGCATCGTCACAGTAGCGGCAGTTTTCTGTAGACCCTGTGGCGCGGTGGTTTGCGGACAACGACCTGAACAAACCCCACCGCCCAGAGAATTGGGTCTCGCTGGCAATGGTGTCTAGCAATTTGTTCACCGGCTGTGGCCGTAGTCTGACTTTCGTCGGTCAATGTGGAACATTTCTTACCATGTTCCTAATGATGCCAAGATCGAGTTGCTGCTATTACGATCTGGATCCAGCCATATCGGAGAGAGCTTCCATATCAGTTACTACTACCATAGTAAGTAGAAAAGTAGGGCGACCGCATTGCTGGATGGAAGGTGCATGAGGCGATCAGTGTCAAGAAAGTTGGAAATCAATATAACGATGTGGCAAAACCGCGACAATTGCGCAACAAGGCGTACAGCTCCTTCCATTGCGGTGGTGAAGTCCCAATAGGACTTGGCGTTGGCTGCGATGACACCGCGACACGCACGAGGAAGATGAGCAAGAGTAGATCCGTCGTTGAAAAAGGCATGCGATCATTTGCGGTGTTCGTGCAAGGCGAAGGCCCTTGATTCGTTTCTCTTGGCCCACGTGATTTGGGCCCGTGCGCGCACACCACTCGCTTAGCGAAGAAATTCAGCGTGGGCTTCGACTTGTTAAACGACACAACCAGAACAGCCCTCCCACCCCATCGCAACCATGGCTGTCGGCAAGAACAAGCGTCTTTCAAAGGGCAAGAAGGGTCTCAAGAAGAAGACCGACACCTTCGCGAAGAAGGACTGGTACAACGTCAAGGCTCCTGGCACTTTCCAGGTCCGAGAGTAAGACTCCCCGCCGCGGCATTGTGCGCCCGCACACTCTTCAATGGACAGCATACTGAGTTTTCTTCCTTTGCAGCGTCGGCAAGACCCTCGTCAACCGTACCTCCGGTCTCAAGAACGCCAACGATGCGCTGAAGGGCCGGATATTCGAGGTTTCCCTCGCGGACCTCCAGAAGGACGAGGATCACGCTTTCCGTAAGGTCAAGCTCCGCGTCGACGAGGTCCAGGGCAAGAACTGCCTGACCAACTTCCACGGCCTCGACTTCACCTCCGACAAGCTCCGCTCGCTCGTCCGCAAGTGGCAATCCCTCATCGAGGCCAACGTCGTCGTCAAGACCACTGATGACTACCTCGTCCGCCTCTTCGCTATCGCCTTCACCAAGCGACGACCCAACCAGATCAAGAAGACCACCTACGCCGCTTCGTCGCAGATCAGGCAGATTCGCAAGAAGATGACTGAGATCATGACCCGTGAGGCCAGCTCGTGCTCCCTCGCTCAGCTCACCCAGAAGCTCATCCCCGAGGTCATCGGCCGCGAGATTGAGAAGGCAACCCAGGGCATCTACCCTCTCCAGAACGTATGTGTTGTTGTGGATGCGTGTGTTTTACCTCTTGGCTAACACACAACAGATCCACGTCCGCAAGCTTAAGCTTCTCAAGCAGCCCAAGTTTGACCTTGGTGCCCTACTCGGTCTCCACGGCGAGTCAAGCCAGGACGACTCGGGTCAGAAGGTACGGCCTCTATATGCGACGGATCTGGGGATAATAGCTAACTTACAACAGGTTGAGCGGGAGTTCAAGGAGACGGTGCTTGAGGAGGTGTAAGGGACATGGTTGAATAGGCTGGGGTCTCTTACGGTTTTCGCGACATGAATATGGGCATCACATGGTGTTATGTTTACAAATGAAAGGTTAAACATGACCCTACTGAGTGCTTGGTGGCAGTGACGGCGTGCACTACAAACGATTCATACCACGGTGTTCAGTGGCGGTGCAGGAAAAGTCCAAGGCAATGACATTTTGGCATTGACAACGTTCACCTCTGCTCCCTTCCTCTCCGCAAGCTCCCTAGCTATACGCATGTCGAAATGTCAGATCACGATTCATGTCTTTGCAGGTCCGGTGCGCAGTGTGCGGTACTAACGTCTCTCGCCTGGCAGTGTCGATCGCTGCAGCACCTTACATCCAAGTACTGTGCGCAAGGTCTGCTCCGGATCTGCATTGATGTTACTCGCGGAGTTTTACACTGCACCATTCCCTTCCCTGTTCCTAGTGTCCTCGTGCTCAACTTAGTTTACATAAACTTGTTGCTGACCTTGTCTCCACTACAGGCTTTGCTTCAGGGCCAGACACGATCGACATCCGTATCAACTCTCTGCCGGAAGCCTTGCCGCAGCCGCAGCCGCAGATTTTAGTTCCTGGGGTTCTGGAAGTCGGGATCGGCGAGAATCTGTATACTTGCCACGCAAGCTTGCGTACAAGATATTGCATGCAGCTGCTGAATCGTTCTGGTGAGACATTACATCACTGCGCATACTGCGTCCGTGCAGTACAGCTCCGGAGAAGACGTCAGTCCAGGAGTGCATGCTTCCTATTTCTGGCACGCCCAGGTACCTGTTCCCATGTTGATCTGGGATCGGGTTCACCTTGTACAAGCGAGATATGCTGAATTCACACATGCTCCACCAGCGTTCCCCAAATCAAACCATGCAACGTCGCTCCGGCGCGATCCGAGCCCTACCAAGAAACCTCCCTTCTAGAGTCTGCACGCTCCAAAGCGTGCCAGCACATTGGATCCTTACCTCTATACACACGAACGGCCCCACTACTCCACTACTACACTCTTATCGTAACGCAGAAAACACTACCAGCAAGCCCAGCAACTGAGCCATTGCATCTCGCTTACTCGATGTGACCACTGGTCGTGATGCTTGAAGTTGGTGGGGTTGGGTTAGTGCTGCTGGATTGGGAATGGAGGGATTACACCGCTACTTTGACGAGAAAGGACGTCAGTGGTGAACGGAACTGAGGGAGAAGAGCTAGGGTTGCGGAGGCGGGTTGTGGGGTTGGTTTTGTACCGTGGTGTATACGTAGTGGGATTTTGTTGTGGATGCGCCGATGGGATCGCGATGGAGGAGGAATGACGCGAAGGCTCTGCGGCTGGGCTAAGCTAGGATATTGAGGCCTTATCATTGAGGCTGCATGCTATCTGCGATTTGTCTTCACCATGGCGATTCATTGAACCCGTGAAGGTGGTGGTGGGGGTTGGGGAGGGGCTGGCGGTGTTAAAAGGTCTTTGCTCAGCAACCGAATCAAGTAAAATCTCTACCAGATACAAAGTGTAGTGCTTACTTGAGTAACCGCAGAACTCAGATAGATGCAGGCTCTCGTTCCTCACGCTTTATCTTAACTGCGTTGTATAGGATAATAGAGAGTCGCATTACTGCTGGCCATAGAAAAATCAGTCTGTGTCGACCTTCAAGTGCTGAATAAGACATACACGAGCAGTTTTTGACGATAGGAAAGATTAGTGCAGAAGAGGACGTGCCATGTATATGGACACGATGACTGCTATATCAACCTGATTATGACATTCTCTTTCCTCTACACAAAGATAAGATTGCAGCGAGCGTTCTATTAAGGTTGCACCGTGTTTGCCCTGGATTATGACATCACACGCTAGGGGCCTTAACATCATCTCCAGTACCCTGCTTCACAGTAAACCAGATGCTAGCGAGGATATAGTAGCGCCAATATATCCTAAGAATGGCCAACTGGGTACTTCCTCGCAATACTCAGATGCCAAATCCGTGCTGGTATTCGAATCCATGAACTCTCGCTTTGCCATGCGTACGGAAGTGCTCTTGTTTCATCGTCACTATTAAATAGATACATGCGACGAAATCTTATTCATAACCTCTAGGCTGATGTACTCGGTACAAACTCTGTTCCAGTACTCTCCTCACACTTGATAAATGCTCTCCGGGATCCACAATGCTGCTTACGTTCATGCGAGGTTGCGACTCGAGCTAGCCGGCTGCAGAGATAGGCGCGGAACGGAGATGGCAAGATTATCTTCCTATCAATACCTACCATAGTCACCCATCAAGAACCTCATAAACTGACCCTCTCCAAGAGAAGCCTACACTGGACTCGTAGTATCCTTGGATAGGAATAAGCATCTCACGAAGTGCGCAAGACCGCCGTTCGCATCACCACGCCATTGACGGTCCACGTTTTCACCAGTAGCCAACCACTTCTCAAAGTACCATAGATATCTCACGAATTTCTCACCAACGAAATTCCTTATCGGAGCTTTACAAAATTTCTTCCACGCCTTTCCATGGCCCTGAGTATATTGTTCATAAAGTCATAGCCAATCCGTGTATATAGGAGGCTGATTATTAGCCTGTTCAACTTTTTGACAGCTTGGTGCCCTATTTTAACGTCTACCAGGCCCGGGAATATAGATGCAGTAGATCCTGGCCAATGATTCACATCCTATATACACAGATTAGCCGACATTTATTTGTTTTTAAAAAGGTACCCATAGCTATGGAAATATGGGGGAGCATTTCTTGAATTTGACAATAGAAGCATAATTTCACATCCAAATTCTCACCTACAAGAAATTCTCGGCCCGCAAGACCTCCCGCAAGCTACCAGTACATTTTGATCTAAGCTAGCCATGTGAAGGTTCCTCGCATCAGACAAGCAATTTCGATCTCAATGTACCGCAAAACATGAATATGACTCGCCTGACTTGGAAGAACCATAGAATGTTGGAGACAATAATGGCGCATAAACATCTGCCAAGGGCCGTGATAGTCGGACTTCTGCATCGCAAAGCCACAGTCCATAGATCCAAATACCGGCATGATTCACTCCAATAGTGCTTGAGCCAATCTGGGTAGTCTGCTTGTTGCGCTGCCTTTTCTCAGACGACCTCTAATGGCGATTGCTAGCTTTGTACGCCCTTCTTTTTTCCTTTTTCTTTGTTCTTCTGTTGGAAGTCGTGGGTTACTTCATTTGGTCACAGTTATTCCGAAGAGAATGTTCAGTCTCTCTGCCGATAAGGAAGGCTTTCACCATGGTGTTTTGGACGATCTATTCGAACGTAATGAATGATATTACTCTAAAACGATGAAAGATACGGCTCTGAATGGGTTTAAAAAGATTCAAAAGATGCAACTGTAGCTCATCCCAGCAACGCTTTGTATCCAGTATAGGCATGTATCTAAACCGCCTGCGCATTGACACCAGCATCTGCTGACAAGTGTTATCGGGGAATTAAATTGCCCTAGCAGTCCGCATTGCCGTGAACCAGGAAATTGTACCCATCTCCAAAGTGCTGGAATGCCAAATTCGTCTTCTTGTCGCCTGCGCCCGCACTAGGATTACTCCCATAGCACGCCCTGTACGCATCCTCAACCTTGAACCCTAGCTCATGGAGGTTGAAATTGGTCGCAGATTTGCCAGTATTGTACAAATTGACGGCGGTATGGCCTGGTGATCCGGTCAGTCCATTTTTGCGACTTGGTGGATGATGGGAGCTTCAAGCGAATTACTCACCGTGGCATACAATGCGATTCGATCCTCCTGCACCAACTCCAACGGTGCCCGTCTTTCCCTTGAGCGTCTTGATGCTGGTCCACAAATCAGCGTGATTAACTAGCTGTGTCGGCAGCATGACACGCACTCATTTGCGACTCTGGCTTCCGTAACTTTTGCGTAGTTGCCGAGACCACACAGATTCTTGTCGCGCTTCTCAAGGTCGGAGGCGGGAGCAGGAACTGCAATACCGAAGCTGGCAATGCAGAGCAACAGGGCGGAAGTCAAATGCATGGCGAAGAAGGCGTTCTTGAAACGATGACTTTCGATTTCGCAACGATGCTGGATGTTAAGACTTGAATGAAGAGTCTTGCTAAACTGTAGTGAGTAAATGAACGACTAGCTACTCCAGCTCTTTTATACTGTTCTTCAACCCAACATGCGATGGCCCTTGAGACCGCTTCTTGCTCTGCACAACAACAAGTGTGGAGTAGTTTGCGTACGGCCTCCCATCGTCATACACTCATAGTAGTACAAGTGTCTGGTCACCGTTCAGATGGGGCTGAACACTTCAAGGCGCCAGCTGTCTCCGCCAATGGTTGGTCAATCTAGCACGTGACTTTAGAACAGCTGGGCACCTGAACATTACAATCAGGCCAGGCCAATTCTCTTCTCAGAACATCTCTAGGGCCGCGTGGTATAAGTGGTTTAGTGTACGCGCAACGTATTGAGTCCTCCCAGCATAGATGTTATATCGAATACGTAAGGCACGCCTAGATTGCCATTCAGTACTCATCGGAAATTCGGGCACTCAGTGTTACTCCAGGATAAGAATTATAATGCCTGTATATTTGACTTGAGACGGTAGCCTTAAATAGATTTTAGCAAACAACTGTTATGGTTTCTCGACTGGTTGGAAACTGGAAATGAGTGAAAAGTTGGCCTATATCTCTGAGGTTGAGTACAAATAACGGGTTGTACCAGTGCGCCATGGTACAGATCAAGGAAGGCAGTGAAACGTATATTCTCACTGTCTTCTTGAAGAGATATTGGGTCCGCTCGTTCAATCGCTTGTTGTTGGGATGCGCACCAATTTCTTTGACTCGGTATCCATCGCGAAGCTGTGGTGTAATTCAAACCTCCGAGACACCAAGAACTCAAAGCCTAGGCATCTCAGCATCGACAGTTGGAGAAAGTAACGTCGTAGTACGATCCCACGTTGAAGACCCACATGCTCTTCACGGAGATCAATCGCCAGTAATTAGCTCACGCTTGGTGACAGCCAAGCTAAAGTAAAACTCATAGTCGCCATCACAGTTGATGTTGCTTCGATATTTCAGCACCGTATCATTCCATACTAAAGCATGTTCCTCACAGGAAGAAGAGGCGTCCAAAGCCAGACTGCACCTTGAAAGAAGTAACTTGACTATTCCAGGAGGTGCTGCCACGAAGATTATAGCACCTCCCAGTTATCACCTGTCAGCCTACGTCCATAGCGAGCGGAATTGGAACGACTTACTGTCAGAGAAAAGGCCCTCGCTCTAATTCTGAAATTATTGTCTGGTTTGTATGAGCAGGGTCGAGGAATAATGATCTACCCTATTGGAGGTGTACTCTGGTAGACGGTAACAGTTATCAATGCACGCTTGGACACACCGTTGTTTACATCTCCTTCACTCCATTATGGGACATCATCAGAGGGAGGGATCAATACAACCCCTTCCTCGCCCAATGAGGCTACAATGCCGGTGCCCGAGACTGGATCGGAGTAGATTTGCTTGAGGAACGCCTTTCGCCTCCACCTTTGACGGGGATGAAGGATGAGCAGTGACGGAAGAGAGTAGAGCTGCGAGTACGAGGGGAAGTTCCATGTTGAAGGATCGGATAAGATTGCAGAGTGCGAGTCCAGAGACGAAGCGAACATGGTGTGTCGTTAAGGAAGGTTGAATTAATTGCGGATCAAGGACGACTTTAGCTCTCGTCATTGCCTTTCCATACAAACCTCCCTCCGCCCGGGCTGAAATCACGCAGTCTGTACAGTATCACGCATGTGATTCGCATTACGATCGTATCTCGTTTTTCAGTCATGCGAGGCTGCAGTGAGAACATTTTGCTGTGGGGCTTGGTAGTGCTAAGGTCGTAAAAGAGTGTGAGATGCCTTCCGGTTAAGGATCTTTGAGCGAGGATGCAGTGTGACCTTGTACTAAAGTTGAAGATGGTCTTGGGAGGATAGTGTTGTTGTGAGATTACCGTCTTGGAAATGTGGAGCTGTGGAGTCACAGGTTCCAAAACCTGCAGATATGCATCCCGTGGGGTTATTTGTATACTCACAAGACACGTGAGCATCCAGTTTCGACAGAGTGATATCGTTGAGCTCATCCTCGAGGTCACACTCGGGTAGGTTCACCTAAGCAGTGCTCGTCGAACCTCGCCTGCAATATCGAGTCACCTTGGCACCATCTCATATTGTCGTACTTACTGATAAGTAGTCTTAAATTTCCGAACCTTTCTCCTACACGCTCGCTTTGTGTATCGAAAGGGTTACCAAATGCTGTGAATTGAAGTGGACGGACTTTGCCTCTTACAGACTAGATAAGCGAAGCGATAAGCTACCGGTAGCTGCAAGGTTCATCAATCCGAACCGTCATAGCTGCACAGACGCAGGTACGGCACGTCTGCTTTTTCTCCAACCCGACAATGCCCTGACATTGCTACTTTGACACCCCAGCGCCGACACGATGGACGGCAATCAAAGCCCTGAGCGGCGCCGTAGGAGGTCGCTGCACCGGTCGGGCTCCAATTTCAGCAAGTATGCTTTTTCGCATCACCCGTCGCGTGGACAGCGATGCTAATGACGGGCACAGCGCGGTCAGCTTCATGGAAGATGTGGAGATGGCGCAGGACGAGGTAGAGCTCCAACCCATGAACGCTTTTCGCACATCGAGACAGCAGCTGACGACCACAATCAAGATGTTTGCGGGCCCCATGTCGGAGAGCGTTCCTACGAGCATTGCCTCTTTTGCACACCGCCGCGGCCGCGCGGACTCCACCACGAGCTTCACTTATTACGACGAAGACGGCGACTCGGACGCAGATATTGAAGAGGAGGCGATTGCAGAGGAGTACGGCGAGATCGAGTATGACGGGTATACTGTGGAAGAGCTGGACGACCTGGACAATGCAAGCTCCCTTGCACCGTCGCATAGGCGCCGCAAGTCTTCTGCCTTCTCCAGACGTAGTTCAGATCGGCCTCTGCTGCGCCGGCAGTCCTCGGTATCCAGCGTTGGCTCTGGTGACGGCGCAAGAGGGCGGCGAACGAACCAGAAGATCTACATCTTGACTGAGGACTTGACTATTGTGATCGCTGGCTTCAACACGTCAACAATCGGGTTCGGAATATACGTAACCATCTGCACCATAACGGTCGGACTGGCCTGGCTGATCTTCCAATGGCTGCCGAGGTGGAAGGTCGCTCTGATAGGACGGCCTGCGCCCCTCAAAGAATGCTCATGGTTGGTCATTGAAAATCAATGGGGCGAGTTTGCGGTGCAGCAGATTGACGAACAGGAATACGGCCGCTCGTTGTCAACGGTTTTCGGTGTACCGGAAAAGGATCGCCATCGAGACTACGATGAAGAGTTCGACCCCGTCATCAAGCAGCTGCGCTGTCTCGACTACCGCTACATTCGCTTCTGCTACAACCCGCTCAAAGACAAATTCGTCCTGGCCAATACTTGGCAGGACCCAGCATGGACAAACGTCACGGCACTTCGTGAAGGTCTCGATACAGAAGACCGCGAATATCGCGAGCTGGTCTTTGGCAAGAACGTCATTGACCTCGCCGAGAAGCCTACAGGGCAACTGCTGATCGAAGAGGTGATCAATCCGTTCTATGTCTTCCAGATCGCTAGTTTGTTCCTCTGGTCAGTGGACGAGTATTATTACTATGCTGCGTGCATCTTTGTCATTTCTGTGGTCAGCATAACTGCGACAGTCATCGAAACGAAGGCCACGATGAAGCGTTTACGAGAAGTATCACGCTTCGAATGTGAGGTGCGAGTATTGCGAAACGGTTTCTGGCGCACCGTCGACTCGGCAGAATTGGTTCCAGGTGACGTCTACGAGGTCACAGATCCATCCCTCACGCAGTTACCTTGTGACAGTCTGCTACTGTCGGGAGACTGCATTGTCAACGAAAGTATGCTCACAGGTGAATCGGTACCTGTATCTAAGGTTCCAATGACAGATGAGGTACGTAACGCCCAAACATGTCCAGGCGATTGAGGTTTTTCGGCTCATTCTGATCTTGCTTGACTTGGACTGACTCTGTACGCCCGTATCTAGGCTCTGGACGTGCTCGACCTAGGTGCTTCTACCATTCACCCTGAAATCGCAAGGCATATGCTATTCTCTGGAACGAAGATCATCCGCGCTCGGAGACCTCACGAGGACGACAGCGATGAAGAAGCTGCGGCTTTAGCCATGGTAGTACGGACCGGTTTCAACACGACAAAAGGCGCGTTGGTACGATCGATGCTCTTCCCCAAGCCTTCTGGGTTCAAGTTCTACCAAGACTCTTTTCGATATATCTCAGTCATGGCAGGCATCGCCATGATAGGTTTCGTTGCTTCATTCGTCAACTTCATCCACTTCGGCCTCGCCTGGCACCTAATCGTGGTGCGCGCGCTCGATTTGATTACAATCGTTGTTCCGCCTGCGCTCCCTGCGACCCTCACCATTGGCACCAACTTCGCCCTTTCTCGGCTCAAGCAGAAGCAGATCTTCTGTATTTCCCCACAGCGTGTGAACGTTGGAGGTAAACTCGATGTGGTCTGTTTCGACAAGACGGGGACCTTGACAGAAGAGGGTCTGGATGTACTTGGTGTGCGCGTGGTCGAACGACCAGCGAATAGGTTCAGCGAACTCCTTACCGAAAACGTAGACGTACTTCCTTGCTCGAGGTACGATCGGGACCCTACCATTGATTATGCGAAACATAAGGCGATACTGTATACCATGGCAACATGTCATTCTTTACGATTAATTGACGATGCACTTCTCGGTGATCCGTTGGACGAAAAGATGTTCAATTTCACTGGTTGGAGTTTCACTGAGGGAGAACAAGGGGCTGGCGTCGGAGAAGATGAGCAGGATAAGCTCCGGCCTTCTGTTGCCAGGCCGCCCCCCGGCCGCGAGTACGACATTGACGATGAAGAGGATGACGAAAACAGAAAACCCATCGAGCTTGGTGTACTCAAGTCCTTCGAGTTTGTGTCGCAGCTGAGGAGAGCAAGCGTCATCGTCCGTCAGTTTGGTTCGAAGACCGGGCAGGTATACGTCAAGGGAGCGCCGGAATGCATGAAGGATATCTGCCGCCCTGACAGCTTTCCTACGGATTATGAGGACCTGTTGTCCTACTATACCCACAAAGGCTTCCGTGTCATCGCGTGCGCAACAAAGACTCTCAGGGTCAACTGGCTCAAGATGCAGAAGATGAAGCGAGAGGAGGCCGAGAAAAACCTTGATTTCGTAGGATTCATCATCTTCGAGAACAAGCTGAAACCGACTACCACTCCCGTCATCGAAGAGCTAGAAAGGGCTAACATCAGGACTGTCATGTGTACCGGAGACAACATCCTAACGGCCATCAGCGTCGCTAGGGAGTGTGGACTCATCAACAAGACTGCCCATTGCTTTATCCCACATTTCATTGAGGGAGATTCCAGGACCGCGCTTGCTAGCCTTAGTTGGGAGAGTGTCGACGATTCTCTGTTCAAGCTGGACGAGAACACTCTTAAGCCTCTACCACCACCAGCCGAAGCTGATGTATCTCTACCCTACGATATCTCTAACCTCAGGAATTACTCTCTGGCCGTCAGTGGAGACGTCTTCCGCTGGATCATCGACTTCGCGCCCGAGAAGGTCCTGCGCGAAATGCTTGTATGTGGACAGGTTTTCGCACGCATGTCACCCGATGAGAAACATGAATTAGTCGAGAAACTACAAAGTATTGACTATTGTGTCGGATTCTGCGGCGACGGCGCAAACGACTGCGGTGCCCTCAAAGCCGCCGATGTGGGCATCTCCCTTTCAGAAGCAGAAGCCTCGGTCGCAGCGCCGTTTACTAGCCGTGTCTTCGACATCTCGTGCGTGCCGCAAGTTATCAAAGAAGGTCGCGCTGCCCTCGTCACCAGCTTCAGCTGCTTCAAGTATATGAGCTTGTACTCGGCTATCCAGTTCACCTCCGTCAGCTTCCTCTACGCGTCCGCGTCTAACCTTGGCGACTTCCAGTTCCTCTTCATCGACCTGTTGCTCATCTTGCCAATCGCCATCTTCATGGGATGGTCCGGCGCATTCCCGAAACTGAGCCGCAAACGGCCGACAGCTAGCCTGGTGTCGCGTAAGGTGCTGACACCGCTGCTGGGCCAAATAGTACTCTGCATACTCACGCAAGCCATCGCTTACGAATACGTCCAAAAGCAGCCTTGGTACCGGCCCCCAATCGTGGATAAGGATCACTCCAACTCGCTCAACAGCCAAAACACCGCCCTTTTCCTTGTCTCTTGCTTCCAGTACACGCTCTCCGCCATCGTCCTCTCCGTCGGGAAGCCCTTCCGCCAGCCCATGTCGCAGAACCTGCCCTTCGTCATCACCATCCTCTTCGCGCTCATCATCACGTGTTACATGCTTTTCGACCCGGCAAGATGGCTCACCAAGTTGATGGAGCTTACTCCCATGAGTGTCAGCTTCAAGGTATTCTTGCTGGTGCTGGGCCTGGGGAACTTTTTAGTCGCGTATGTGGGCGAAAAGTATGTGCTGCCCGTGCTGGCGAGGTGGATTGGGTTGGCGAAGGTGAAGATGAATCCGAAGTGGAGAAAGAAGAGGAAGGAGTATAAGCTCATTAAGGAAGACATGAAGATGTGAGAGTACATAATCTTGTGCGACGGGAAAGAGGAGGATGTAATTATGTGGGTCGGGAAAACAGTAGAATATATTGCGTGTTTGGCGCGGACGATGAGCGTACTGTATGCATGCATACACTGATAGCATTGATGCGAGAGAAGCGCACCCTTATCTAGCGATTAAGTAAACGCATTCACATTTTGGACATTTGACATACCTATGTATCCTCACTGACGGTACGCATTGGATCGCCTGGGGGCCAATCTCAACATTGCTGTAGGCTCAGCTGTTTCCTTCTCGAGGAGATTTTGAGCTCTCATTTAGCTTCGAACCCAAGATATACGAGCACATATCTCTTCTCGCAAGTTGTTCTTCCAAATGGTTCTCCCCTACAAACAGTGTCACTGCGTAGATGGTGGGATCATTCTGAGTGGCAGCATTGGCAGTGATGTGATGACTAATCCAGCTCATTGACCCACGTGATCACGTCTTCACAGAACCTTCGCCTCTTTCTCACGACAATCTCGCCCACCTCTTGCTCACGTCACATAAATTGCTGCGCCAATGCAAATAGACCAGCCATCACGTCCTAGATTTCCCCGGCTCTTCATCGCGCCCTGAACATATTTCCGCTGCTGTGTTTCCTCCAACACGCCGAGGCACGCCGAACACGCCGACCGCGCTCTTGCTGTTCTCCTGTCGTTTTTGAAAATATCCACGTGCCTGCGACCAACCACATCTCTTGGTCCACGTCCGCATTTGAAATCGAACCACTCAACGAGCTCATCATTGGTCTCTACTACCTGGCCTTGTTTTGCGCCTTGTTTCCGGTTTTCCTTCTCGCCCTACTGGTTCGGATCTGCTCTGCCATTTGTTTCTGAGCTTGTCAGAACTGGACGTGCTAGCCAATGGCGTTGGTGCTCGCTCAGTATGGCCGACTACGTCTCACAGTACATCTCCCAGGATTAGGGAGAGCGAAGCGGGCCCGGAAATGCACCTGCTTTTCCGCGATCGGGTTGTCGTCCAGGGAACTGACCACCATATCTACGGACTATCGCTTCGCTTACAGGCCTTTATCATCAAGACCTCTCGATTTCAAGAAACGAAGCCTACATGCCGAGCAAAAGACTTCGTCCCTCTCTCAGTCTTCGACTCAACCTGGCGAATCAAGATTCTACTCTGCAGTAGCTTCATCGAATACGATCCGAAGGGTCGATTCGCGGGATGCTACTACTAGCGCTGGACCATATGATGTTTACGGGGCTGTCGTTGTTGGAGCTGGACCGGCTGGTATTACTGCTGTAGGGAATCTACTAGAGAATCGTATTCATCGAATCCTCTGGGTTGACGATGCTTTCAATGGCGGAAGAGTGAACAAGTACTACCGAGAAGTTCCGTCAAATACGAAAGCCAAGCTCTTTGTTGAATTTGCAACTGCCGTCGCTCCCTTCAGGGAGATTACCTCCGGATCGCTTTCGGGAGACCGATGGAAGGAGCAGAGGACCAGTGATGGCATTTCCAGCGATGCGAAATCAGATAAGCTTCAAGATCTTCGACAACTAGATCAGGAAAGCGGCTGTCAATTGAGCCATGCTGCCGATATGTGTCTTATGCTCACGGAAGGACTGAAGCGAACGCCGGGCGTCATCGCACAAAAGGGTCAGGTGGCAAGCGCAATTCTAGACGAGTCGACAGCAACGTGGGCCATAGACGTTTCCACAGAGGGAGATTCTACACAAGGCATCACCAGCGTGCAAGCCAAACGCCTGATTCTGTGCACTGGATCGTCGCCAACCGACCCGCCTCTGCCATACGAGCCTCAGGGCTTGAAGCATTTACATCTCGACACCGCGCTATCGCCGACCAAACTTTTAGAACTTCTCTCGCCCTTGGGCCCGACAACAATCGCTGTCATCGGAGCGTCACACAGCGCTGTGCTTGTCCTATGGAACCTGGCCAAACTTGCCTTGACACGCAAACCAGACCTCAAGGTCAAGTGGTTCACAAGACATCCGCTACGGTATGCTGAATATGTAGACGGTTTCATCGCCCGAGACAACACTGGCCTCAAGGGCGAAGCGGCACAATGGGCACGAAACAACCTTGAGCCCGAGACAATGCCCGACTCTCCGGTCAGCGGAATCATCACGAAAATTACCTATAATAAAGGCGATGAGGAGTCTGCATACCGCGAGCACCTCAATGGCACATCTTTTGTCGTGCAAGCAATTGGCTACAACCGAGATCCGATTCCAACTCTGAGGACATCCAGCGGCCAGAGAATTGAACCCCTTTTCGATCACAATGAGGGAGTTTTCCACTATATGAAGCAGGATGCATCTGGGTCGGTCGGTGAGCTTGCGCTGTTGCCTGGCGCATACGGCGCAGGTATTGCGTTTCCGGAGAAAGTGGTTGACAAGAAATACGGCCACGAAGAGATGAATGTAGGATTTTTCAAGTTCATGACGGCGGTCAAGAAATGGTCGAAGGGATGGAAGGCTGTGACGATATAGATCCAGGAAATAATTCAGGTGCATTCTCGCATTTGCATCTTCATAGTAGATACACTTGCATCCAATATTGAATCGAGCATGTTCCCAGCAAGCGCTTCCTGACAGCGTGCGCAACATCAGGCCGACAGAGGTTTTTTCCGCATTTTCGTTTTCGGGTTCATCTGTTGTCGGTAGCAGGTGGGGGCCAGTGTTGCACCTGGCGGTGCTAGGGGACCTCGGAACTCCTGGACGGCCGCCTCGGTCTCACTTTGTCCAAGTGTGCCTCCACGGTGTCCGATGCCACGCAAGCGCTGATAGATATTGGGGTGTCGAAAGGGATTTACAACTGGCAATCGTTTTGATCGTTCCACTGTTTACCCCGCCAATCACAACCACAAATTCCTAGAACTCTTCAACACCAATCGATCGAATCCAGCATGCCGCCTTCAACGCCAGAATGGCTTGCGGAGCAGTATCACGCTGGTCATTTCCACCTGCCAGATGCTCATCACCACATCCTCTCTGACAAGGAGCATGAAGCCCTTGCCAACGGTTTCAACAACCTCTCCACGGAGACATCGGAAGAGCTGCGCCTAGAAAGGACACTGCTCGTGACTCGCATTCAATCTCAGCTTCCCTTGGGCTTCCCATCTATCTTCGCAGACCTCGTCTACCGCATCCTGGCCTGTCACAGCACAGCGCCCTTCTACAAGTCTTCTTCCGCGCCTGTCCCGCAATCGCTTTCTTTGCAGGACATCGGGCGTGCACTAGCATGGCTGCTCCCAGATCGACACCTGTCGATGTCGACAACGGGAACACATGGCCGTGTGCGAACGCGTGCCGACCACCGACGTCTTCTATTCCAGAGCCTCGCCACGCCTAGCCTCTCGACCGCAAATAGCACGGCCAACGAAGTTGCACGTCGCCGCTACGCCCGCCGGAATGCGTTTGACGTACAGGAGCGGGACAGAGACTACGCCAGCATCAATCGCGATGATGACGGCGACGAGATGTACCATGATCTCCTGGACGTCCTGCAGAACAACGCACCGGAGAACTACCCGTACGGCACGACACGCGACCATGTTCGCCCGTTAGCAAGGGAGCTTAAGGCCGACTTTGACTTCCATGGTCTAGCCGTTCCGCGTGGTGACTTGACCGACTTCGTGCGAGCGCTGCTGGCGCTACAATTTAACACGAACCAGATAACCCTGACATCCGACAATTTACGGTATCTGGATGACGCCGTTGCGAGCGTCATGGCTACATTCACGTGCGATGAACAAGACGTACACGATGCGTATGCTACCGCCGATGACCTCGTGGCATGGCCCGCTTTTGATCAGGGTCTCAAGGAAATCACACATCTATTCGATCCCGTCTATCGTGTACTGAATGACGTCCTACTCAATGGCGAAGTCAACATTGATACTATCCCGCCTATCTACGGCGTGCCGCCCGAGCTGCAACCCGAGCTTGACACTGCTGACGAGCCCCATGTGCTCTCCCTGGGACGCCTGGCACTCGCGAACGCCATTGTTCCCCCGCTCGTTGACTGGGATAGCTTCAACACTGTCGCACGGTGGCATCGCTCTTCGAGCGCGTTACCGAGCAGCAACGCCATCTGGTCTAACTTACAGACACCCGCGCTCGAGGCAGACGATGAGCTGCAAGCCTCCACCATAGCCTTCACCGGACGCGTCCGAGGCTCTGGTGAGCGCTTCGTAGGTGGTGTTCTGGCTGCGGCCGACTACGATGGAGACGATGGGCGAGAACAGATTTATAGTATTTATGTTTTCCGACTTGAACCCTCTGTACGGTATGCCAAGTTGCTGGGGCAGGAGTGGCGACAAGGCCCTAGTGGGGAACTGGTGTTTGATAATACTACGTTGTCGGGATTTCGACTGGATGTTGGTGCGATGGTGGTGGGGATGGAGGTTCCTGGTGTAAGTGGGGAGCAGGTTATTGAGCTGGATGGGTTGGAAATCTGGAAGGATGGCCAATGAGGGTTGGAGTAGTTTGCCATGTTCGCAGGACTCGACGTATGCATGATGAGACAAGTTTTTTTCTTCAAAATGTGGTCGATACTATTATAAGAGTGGGATGACCAATCTTGTGTAGAGATGCACGGAGAAATGGGATGTGCGTCCTATGGCAAAAGTTTCGGGTAGCTGCCAGCTGCACAAGGAAACAGTCAACCTACCCTCATCCTCCTATACACGACTTCCATCCAATGCAAAATCTGCGCGTATAGGGCGCAAAGGTCTCTTCCCCGTTGTGCATTGCTACACTGGATAGTCTAGATTGATTCTGCTGATGCGAAAGCTTGATCACAGCTGGTGGCAAAGTTAGACCCGTTAGGCGCCCGCACTGGAACGTGACGGACAAACTAGTTGAGACTCCACATTCGTACGGTAGTATTGTGCGATGTAAGAGGAAAGTCTACTCAAAGTGTTTACGTTGGACGCTAAGCGGACGGAATTTAGCGCTACGACATCTCTGTGGCTGAGCCCGGTTTAAGCAGCTTACTCAAGCAACCTTATTCTCTTTTTCTGATTGCTGATTGGTAACGGAAATTTGGCTTTTCCCACGAAACGGCCCCACAAGGCCCGCCATGGCCCCCGGTGTGCACGCGACCGGACTGGACTATTATTACCTCCATCAGGTTTGGACGTATGGTCGGACTTGACCATTCGATTGTCGCGGAGTAAAACTTCCTGCATGCGGCTAATTAGACCTGCGCTGTTCCCCATCTATCGTCAGCCACGGCCCACCTACGCCAATCTCGATGTTAGCGATTGAACTTCGCACTTGTTTCATCGGAGTCGATTCTTCTTCAGCCTCTCTTTACCATGCACGAGGCGTGATGCATGTCCTGGGGGCTTGGACCATGGTTTCTGCCTTTGTCCGTCATGATCCTCCATCAGCCACAGAGTAGGTATATATCTTCACAACGTCCAACACCAAAAGTCCATCAGCTCAACACACTCTTTTGTTTGCTTCCCCAATCATTCATTCTTTATCAATTCATACAGTCATTACATATACATTCTTTCGCATTGTCATTGCCAGTTCACCATGCGCACAGCTGGTCTCGTGGTCGCCCTCGGCGGTCTCTTCAATGTTGCCTTTGCAAACGTAGTCTGCAACACTGAGGCTGTGCACTCCAAGCCTAGGATTATCTCTGTCGCTGAAAAAGATGGATTCGCCAATACCATTGAGGAGGTCTGTAGCACCACCGACAGCTTTTCCGAAAGTCGATCTGGATCGACTGTTTTTACTATTACTGGCACCGATGAAGATCTGGGCAGTGATGACTGCGAGGCCCAATTCCATTCCATCATCGAGCAATGTGTGGCGGGACACAACTTCGGAGGTGGCAGGCTCATCGCCACTGATGGGTTGACACTTGAGGTGTCCACTACCGACGCCGAAAATCACGCTTTGGAGGCGAGGAGGTCCAGGGGTGGCAGTTCTCGCACTAGCAGGACTCGCACCAAGAAGACCAGGCCTAAGAAGACCAAGAAGACTAAAACCAAGAAGACCAAAAAGACCAAAACCAAGAAGCCAAAGACCACGAAGCCGAAGACCACGAAGCCGAAGACCACGAAGCCGAAGACCACGAAGCCGAAGACCACGAAGCCGAAGACCAAGAAACCCACCACCAAGAAGCCCAAGACCAAGAAGCCGACCTCATGCCCCCTCCCCAAGAAGAAGACCGGCATCAAGCGATTCGTCCCTGACTTCGTCCTCAAGCGTGCTGGTTCCTCTGCTGCTGGCGCCGCTGGCTGCAGCGTCCCCGAAGAAGTCGACGCGAGCAACGCCTTCAAGTCCCTCGCCAAAGATTTCCCCAACGCTAAGAACGGCGAGTTCTACAAGTTTACCTCCAAATCCCCCTTCACCGAGCCCGGCCCCAACGAAACTGAGGACGAACTCAAGGCTCTCCAACGCGCACTCGGTTTCGACCACATCGCCGTCGTAGTCGGCGAGGTCAAGATTACGGAGAGGATAACCGGCAAGGGTGCCAACAAGAAGAAGATCATCAAGAAGGACTTTGCGGGAAGCATCATTGATCTTATCAAGAAGACGAGCGGTGCTGCGGAGTATCGGGAGAAGGTTTTCGCGCCGAAGAAAGTGTTCACTCTACATCAGGGAGCGAAGACATCGAAGGCGAAGGCGGCCAAGGCGAAAGCCAAGGGCAAGGAGTATTTCGTGCAAGCGGCGCACAAGGAGTACAGCGTTTCCACCAACAACTGCAATACTTTCGCTCAGGACTTGTTGAACGACATTTAAGCAAGTCGTTGATTTTGGTTTGCTAGAGCCGATGCCAAGGGATGGGATGACACTCATCCGAAACTCGCTTTGCGGTCACAGGAATGTTGTCCGCCCATCATAGGATAATGAAACAGTGGAAACATGAGATATCTGATGGTGTGGACTTAAGCCAGAGTAAGATTCAAATATAGACCAATTCCATCACCAGTCAAAACCACCATCGATATCTTTCTCTAGTTTCCTTCACTAGCTACCATAGGTAGTATGTCAACGTGGAGCAAGGACCCTTGACATCTGCTAGGACCTTCAATTTCGTTCGTGGTCCGGGATGGGAGCATATCGCCGCAACGGAAAGGATGCGGCGCAGCCATAGGAGTGACCTTTGCGTCGCCAATCTCACTTGCCCATTTCGCGCAAATGAGTTAGATATAAACATTCGCGTTGATATTTACTTCAATACGCGCACCCATATTGGAGACTCTCTGGTTGCTCACTTATCTTGGTCCAAATTAGAGACGTCCCCTCCATGAACACCGACTTGTATTCCACGACGATCATCATCATTCGCTACCACGACCTTCATCTACTCATCAGCAAGAACCGTGCAGTACCTCCCGCATCATAACATTCTTCCATGAAGAAATGACGTGCATGCTCGACTTGCAAGAGGAAAAATAAACAAACTGGTATCACATCCCAAACGAAGACATCCACAACATTCTCAAACATCCACCGGCATCGGCTTCGGCACACCCCTCTTAACACCCGGCTCGCCCAACCCAGGGATAAGAAACGGCGCCCTCTTCTCCATCGGCACCCTTCCAATCGGGAAGAACTTCACAGTGACATGGTTCGGCCCGTACGCCTCTTCAACCAAATACACCGTTACGCGCCACCACGCGAACAACGCGGACAGCATCCAGAAATAGCTCGCAGCCTTGATGCCGTTAGTGACACCTCCTTTCATGCCGTCGCCGGAGCCAGAAGTAGTGGAGGTGTCGCCGTTGTAGGCGAACAGGCAGCATGCGATGGTGGAACCGATTGCGAGGGAGAAGAGACAGCCGCAGAGTACAAGATCTCGGGCCGTAGCGGCGAGGGCGCATGACCAGGTGAAGACCGCGAGGGTGATGAACCAGAAGGCGAGTTCGGGGAAATGTGTGTGGATGTCGTGGGTGTCGATGGCTCCCGCGGCCTGTGTTGCGAATGAGTCAGGTTTGTTGGAGCGATGAGACGTCACTCAAGAATATACATACCACAAAGGCATACAGAATGCCGATTGATATCCAGAAAGATCCTCACATGGTATTTATGACGGTCACGAGTGTGTCTCGCGCTTTGAAGCCGTAAATGCCGGCAATGAACTGGGCCACGCCGCCGAACATTTCGATCTGCGCGCATGAGCAATGAGTCTGTGTCTTCGTCAAGCTCCACTTACGAAGGGAAAGAAGATGGTCGGCGACTCAGCATTGCCCCACCAGTTCGCGATGTAACTTGATGTGATCCATGTGGAGCCGGCAAAACCCGCCAGTCCGAGAGCTGCAGGCGGCGCAATGGGTTGGAGGAAGATCTGAACTCCGGGTGTCTGTTCGGAGACTTTGAGGCGCTTCTCGCTATGTCGTTCGCCTGCAGATACGGACATGGTTGCTGGTGTTGTAGAGTGATTCGATTACATGTGTACATGTGCCCGAAGCAGATAGTATCAAACAGCGTACAGAGCCAAGAGTGCATAAGTCATGTTGAGGTAGGCCCAATTCTTATCTTTCTTGTTCATGCTGACCCCTATGATGCCATTGCGATCTAAGTAGAGGTCCTCGTCGATGCTATGACGATAAGTGCAATGAAGCATTGGGTGACAGCTCTGAACACTGATTCTACGGCTATGTCAGGACAGCGTTCCAGCGGTTCAAAAGTAATCGCAACGCGCCCCACATACCACGGTTTGTTGCTATTGGTGTTTACGATGATGTAAGACGAAGGTGCTGGTGGGTCACCTGGCTCCCGGGACGATGGGGTCGAATCGCTTCCCTTTCAGAGAGCTCTGACATGCTTGCCACTCTTTGGAGGTTGGCATTCAGACAGTTTGACTAAGCGCCTGAAGAGTGTCACAGTGTGGTAATGTGTAAGATGCTTAGCGTCGTTCCTTTCTTAGTGTAGGAAAGTACTTCCTAAAAATGTTAGGAGGAAAACTCATGAAAAGACCCGAAGGAAAGACCATATGAGCAGAAGATCGTAGCAGCATCATACATTGCGTATCAGCCTTGTCGCTAGGCTGATGCTTCTGCAAAGGGGTGCGGTATGTCAGATTAATGCCCACATTCAAGGCTAGCAATTCCAATAGGGTATGGCGTACAGAAAACCCCGCGGTCTGCAAGTGTTTGTCATGACGTACAGTCTTGCTCATCGCACATCTCTCCATCTCGATTTGACCTTTCCTAAGCACGTAGGCGAGACGAATCACAATCCTACGTTCATATGCTTCCAAAGATTATCTCTAGTCTCACATAATATATGTCGAGATCCTGGATGTCTTTAGTGAGAAGCGAATGCTCGCAAAGTAGATAGATCCAGGCACGGAAGTAAATTCAGATGTCGAGCTGGACTCCACTTCTCCCGGCACATCACGCCAATAATTGGACTTGGTTTCTTCCACACAGTAGCTCTGATTCCCCCTCCGCTGTCTTGCCTCCGCACCATCTCTCGTACATATAGTACAACTACAGAACAGGTCCAAAGGTCCTCGGACCCTCCGAAACATTTCGGAGGAAAACGACCCCAAAAGTACCATGCATTATGTTTGTCGGTTGTCATGCTCGCAACAGAACAAGAGCCAACCGCCCGCTCCCTCAAGCTCTCAAAGTACTTGTGATACAAGAAGGATAAAAGCCATCCATCCATTACCCTCATTCCAGCCAAACGTCGCCTTCCGTCCAACATCAAAGAAATCCCATGTCTCATTCCAATGCTCGTGCGCTAGTCGGGGTATTTTTGGCTAAAAATGTATGCTATACGCGTTTGAAAATGCAGCTCGCGGCGCTAGAATCGAAGGAAGAATTATCTAGCGAAGACCTTGACGACGCCATCGCCGCCCGCGGACACGACCAAACGGCCGTCCTGGCTCCAGACAACACTGCAGACGCCCTCACCACGCATAATGCGATGTGCGGTGATTTCTTGGGTGCAGATGCGCTTGTCGAGGGACCAGAAGCGTATGGAGGCGTCGTGACCGGCAGATACGGCTTCGCGACCATCTTTACTGATGGCGAGGGAGGAGATGGCGGATGGATGGGCGAGCATGTTGTAGGTGCATTGACCTGGGAAGTTGTTAGTTCATTCGATACAACCGATGGGTATGACTCACCAGAATTTGCGTCATAAAATCTGACGAACTGGTCTTCATGCCCACTAATGATGACGCCTTCCACACCTCCAGTGTTGCCCGACCCAGTTGGGCCATGGACAGCGCCCTCTTCGTCAGATCCGCGACCGGCATCTTGTGACGACGTGCCTTCTATGCTTTGCGAAGTCGTGACCACGGATGTGATACCTGTTGCCGGAGTGCCATCATAGGTTTCAGCGCTAGCCATGCCAATAAGCTCTTCGCCCGTTCGCGTATCGTATACTAGAATCGAAGCGTCCGTGAACGAAACCACGAAATTCTCGCCATTGGGCGAAAGAGGACTAATACATGTAGGCGAAGGATGCGTAGCTCGCTCGATGGTGTGTACGAGCATGTAGTGGAACGGTGTCGAGGTTGCTATACTTGGTTGTGGTGACGAGGGGTAGTTCGACCCTGATGTTACAGAATGTCTTCGACTTCCCCCAACACCACGGCGCGAGCCTGTCTGGGGCGAGACGAGCTGTGGAGGTGCGCTCACAGCCCAGATCTTGATAGTACCATCTGCCGAACCCGATGCAAGCAATACGCGGTCGGGACCGCCGTAATTGTTACAGTCCGTGCCGAATACTGAGTGACAGGTCGCCGGTAGTACGCACACAGTCCAGACAGCGTCTGTGTGTCCATCGAGAGTAGCTTTCGGGTCTACGCGACCTCTCTCCCAGACACGAATGGTAGCATCTTGCCCTCCGGAAAATATCCATCCATCGCCAGACACTCTTCCTCCAGTTGCGAAGGAGGCTGACGAGGGACATGCTGCCAAAGAAGTTACAATGCCGTCATGACCACGATGTGACCAGTATGGAGATATGTCCAGATCATTGTTCATGCTATGTTGGTTGGCATAGCTTGCCGGAATGATCCATCTCTTGATCATACCATCGTCGCCCGCAGTGCAAATCTCCGGCTCAGTGGGACTACCACCGCCGGTGAAAATGACTGACCGCACAACGTCAAGATGGCCACGAAGGGCAAATCGCACTTTGAAGTTTTGAGGATCTGATCGTGCACTCTGGCTGGTCGCTTCCCGTGCTTCTCCCTGGCTCGCCCGCCTTCGGTGTAGCTCTAAACTTGTTTTTCGCTTCCCGTGTCGTGGAGGTGATTTCGCGGGAATGTTGTTAGCGCTTGGAAAGGATTCAGTATCTGGTCTCCGCGGTAGCGTGACCTCCTGAGGTATTTCGTTGACAGGCTCTTCTTCGAAATTCCAGTTACCAGGATCATCTACTGTCACTGGAGTAATACCCGATGATCCCTCTTCCCGACTGGTTATCGGTCGACCCTGATTGTCAAAGGTGTGTGTAACCTTTTCCACCTGTTCTTCGGGCACAGAGATAAAGCTTTGTTGCGGTTGCTGTTGTTGCGGAGGTTGTGCCAGGAAATCGGCTGGTATGCCCGCATGAGAGGTAAGGGGTATCTGACTCGACGGTTCGCGGGTCATGGGTGGGGCCTGGGGATGGAATTGCGGTTGCTGCACAGCGAAAGAATGCATCTCTGCAGATGTAGGAATACTGGGTGGCTGGTGATTTGGTGTAGATGTGTTCGGCATCGTAGGTAGTTGAGACTGCATCTTCCGCTGGTGCTGTTGAAGATACAGATCCTCCATCGAAGGCTGACTGTGGTTGAGGAACCCAGAGCTACTGTCCAGTCCATGATGTCCTGGCTGAGGCGCAGGCTGAGCGGGGGGTGTCAGCAGATATGTTATCTCTTCCACGCATTTTGTGAGGTAGAGCTTCGACTTCTCGCGGAGGCTGTCCCGCTCGGCCTCAGCATGTTCTGAGGATCCCGGGTCGACATCGAGGAACGAATTGTGAGGCTTATTTTGAGCTAGAGTATCACATCAGTCAGCTTGGCCACGAAACGGGGAGCAGCACAACAAGGAGGTTTGCGCACGCTTTACAGGTCCCATACCACTCTTAGCATCTGCCTTGGCCTTGTCTTTCTTTTCATCGGCAGCGGATTGGGCATTCGCGCCCGCGGCACCCAGCTTGGACTTGGCTCGCTCGTTTTTCAATGCTTGTTCGAGCATTTGAACATGCCGATTCAGCTGGTCGTTCAGTTTCTTCGCGCTCCGGACCTCGCCCTCCTGCTTCGCGATTTTGGCCTTCATCTCGGCACGTTCGATGTCCCAGGCGTTTCGCGCACGTTCGTGACTGTGCCATTCCAACTGTAGGAAGCGCATAACCCCTACCAGCATCGGTCAGAACATATAACTTGCGACAGCGCGTTCTCGGCAGCGGTATCTCTTACCCTGCAGCGTGTACTCTGTCCCTGTTGGGCCATTGCCATCACCTCCGCCAGCTGCGCCTCCTGCATTCATGGCCGAGGGCGACTGCCATGCCATCGCGTCGCTCCTCTGTGGTTGTGGTGTGTTGCGTCGAACGGTTCCGCGGGTGTCAACATGCGGCGGAGAGGTGCCAACCCAAGTGATGAATAGCTGTCCGGAATGAGGAGCTCGGATCGGGCAAGCGCTCGGGCGTCTGGGGCAGCCACGAGTACGCGGAGAAGATGTGCAGGGCGTTCGGAGGGGCGCACAAGATGGCGTGCAGCAGCTTTTGAAAACACACAGGCTATCAGCGGCTTGCTGCTCGGAAAGGGAGACTGGGCGTCGTGGTGGTGCCCCAATTGCCAAGCGACCCTCTGTCCTCCATTCCTTTTTAGGATTAGCCCCGCATGCTTGCGCTGTCGGCTCGATTCCGTTTCCATGTACGATGAACATCACGATCACTGTGCTACCCGCAAGTCTTTTGTGCTATCTCTTTATGCCACAGTGCAACTGTCACATCATGAACGAACTGATTGAGGTCGCTATACCGCCATATAGAGCCCCATATGGCTGAGTCCCAGAACTTCGATCATCTGCCACCTAGGCGGGAAGCTGCATACGGCTCGAGTCCACCATAATGATTGCTTTAACTACCCCAAGAAACCACCAGGACACAGACTCTACGAATATCAGATTTATCCGAATACTAATACTCACTGACCTTTTGCGAGAGACCACAGCAGCATGCGCATTCTCTGGTCAGGTCTTACTAAACCATCATCCTGGGCGGTTCAAACGCCGCAGCAAGAACACTTTCGGATGTACTATGCTCGACGATCGACGATATGCATTACTAGCTAATGCCCAAAACCAGCACTCAGTGACCTTGGAACTACCTTGGTTCCAATCTCTTTTTCTAACACATGATCATCATCCACTAATGGTCTTCATTATCTTCAGCCTCTGCCTATGGAGCGTCTTCTTTTCAATCCATCAACCTGACATCAAGATATTCCCTCCTCAAAGGTGTTGGTCATTCAGTCATTGGTACAACGCGGCTAACAAAAGCATAATGGAGCTTTCTGGGAGCTTTGGCTAGGACAAGTCACATGGGACACTGATCGGAAACACTAGAGCTTGCTACAGCAGGAGACACAATACAAGGTATGCATTCCTATCGTATCTGCCAAAGGTCTGCCTTAGGTTTACTAATGTCCAAGTGTAGCGCCAGGTCTTGGACCCTCCAAGACCTCAAAGTTCTACCCGGCTATCACGTCACCAAGTGTTTGAACCCACCAACACCTTTCTACATTCATCTGTCTACAAGACATAAGCACTAGACTTACACGACCACCCATTGGGCAGGACTATCGGACCACAGTATTACGTTTTGTACGCTTGTTGCCTGTTCAGAACGCATCCAGTGGCGCCTTCTGCCAAGAGGCACCTTTCCCAATTCGATTAACGCGACTTTCATAACAACAACCATTCCACAGAAGAGCTCTCTCTCCACCCAGCCACCCCACCGACACCGACACCACCACCATCGAACGCGACTCGAACGCCGAGAATCACGGTCGCGCACCTCTATTCATACCGTTACAACAGTAATTCTTCACGGAAAACACTGCAAAGATGCCAGGAGGAAAGGTACGCGCCTGACTCGGGCAGCCACCCTCTGCGCGATGTAAGAGCGCTCGAAGCTGATGCGCTTCTAGGGAAAAACCGGTGGCAAAACGGGAGGAAAGGGAGACTCGACAGTTAAGACAACCAAATCGCACTCGGCGAAGGCTGGCCTGCAGGTAAGCACCGGATGCGCGATCACAGCCCCTCCTCGCACGAGCATGTCGTCCTTGTTGCGATGCGCCGCGTCGCATAGCAGCCCACATGCACTCACACTTCCGTTCAGTTCCCTTGCGGTCGCATAAAGCGCCATCTCCGAACCATCACCCGCCAGAAGACGCGCATCGGCGCCAAAGCCTCCATTTACCTCACCGCTGTCCTAGAGTACCTGACTGCCGAAGTCCTCGAACTGGCGGGTAACGCCGCCAAGGATCTGAAGGTCAAGCGTATTACGCCGCGCCACTTGCAGCTCGCCATTCGCGGTGACGAAGAACTCGACACGCTCATTCGCGCGACCATTGCTTTCGGAGGTGTACTGCCACATATCAACCGCGCTTTGTTGCTCAAGGTCGAACAGAAGAAGAAGGGCGCGAAGCCCATCGAAGCGTAGGAGTCCCAGAATGTTGAGCCTCGTTGAGTGGATGGGACTGTATCGAACGTCCAATGCGAATATGCGTGTGCAAGCAACCAATGCCTCATTAGCCACAACCTTGACGAGAGCCAGGGCATTGTACGGATCCAGGGGAACCCCCTTAGGAATGCGTGCCCTAGGACTGGGATTATCCGTCACATCCGATTGTTGTCATGTGTGCGGCGAGCGCAAGACGCGTGTGGCCTTTTTTTTTTTCCTTTCGCGATGCTTCTAGGTTGGTGGAGGCTACTGGGACAGGGCTCTGCTGCGTCACCTTTCTTTTGTTGTGTACGGCGTGTGTGGGTAGGTGTTAGGTTTGGGCTTCAATCAGGTTCCACCATTATGTAGTAGTAACAACAAACATCCCGCGTCCGGAGAACTCACTTATCTTACCTTTGTGACGTAAGAGATAACGCATAAGAAATGAAGCACACTGTGCGCTCTATGACGTATTCACATTTCTCTCAAAAACTCCTATTGCCCACCTTGACCGGATACCCTCCATGCCTCATCCAGCTCCATTCACGGAACCACCGGCGCAGAACTACCGCCTGTAGCCCATGATACACCAGACGAGAATCATGCGCCACCTCTACCATGCTACCTCGAGAAGTGTCGATAAACATTCTCTTAGTGCTCAACGTCCCTTCACCTGCGAAATGCAGTGCATGAACGTCCAGAACTCCCATCTTTGGACACCCAACAACACCAAGCTAAGCTGCGCGCTGGATGGTACAAATCCGAACAACTCACGGACCTTAGAGATAAGGAGTCTCGGTTCGCGACCGTATAGCCAGATAAGAACACGTTCTAGAAGACAACTTGAGCGCGAGCTGAATCATCATAGCATCATTACTGCAATCACATCGCGGGACACTTCTCTGCTTAGACTACGCAGCATCCCAGCAACAGCTACCCTTGGTCCCAGTGCTAGACACGGGCACTAATTACTCTCGCAGGTGCTGAGCGCGGCCGGGACAGGCACGAGAGATTGAATGGTTAATGTTGTAGTCGGAAATGTAGTTGAGGTTATCAGTGAAAAGGTAGGAAGAAATGTATGGTTGAAAGTGCAGGGTTGAAGGTGTAGGATTGAAACTGTACGATTGAAAGACGTAGAGATCATGAAGGTGGAATTGTAGCGACTATGATTAAAGTGTAGAGATTCCGGTATTGAAATAGTAGGGATTGAGATTGTAGGCTCACTAGTGGTACTATTGTGATGCATCGTTAGAGAGAAGACAAGCTGAGTTTATGTCAGTCGAAGGCAAGAGCGGAATTGTTCTAAGGAAAGCGATTCCCCAGCAGAGCTTCCTACACCACTAGGCAAACACCAAGGGCAGTATAAGATCAAGCACAGAAGCCCTTGTATTAATCACCCCTATCCTATTACAGTACATACAGTACGTCGACAGGTAGCGAGCGAACTGTCTCGTCTCTTCCAGACAGTGACTGAAATCAAACCTCCACGCGCCGATTCCACCACCCAAACTCTTGTCCTCCACCAGACTGTAAAAACATCATTAACCGCGCAAAAATAGATCTTCAAAGCTTTCAATCATCGTCAACTTCGACTCCAAGCATCATAAAGAATCCACCAATCGTTCATATATGTAAGTAAAGCGGAACACGAAGCAGAATGGAGAAAAAGGGGTTGAACAACACAGTGCCACTCCGCGACAACTAAAGACGGCAGACGACGGAGGGCAGAACGATGAGGCTAGGGGGAGAACGCAGGACAGATCGCGGAACGTGATCGGGGGATATAGACAAATGCTGCCGTTTCTCGGGATTCGTAATTCGTTTTGTCGCCCCAGCGATATGCTTTCGTGTGCGCATGCATCGGTCATTCGTCGAATGTGGATCGCAGTCGCAGTCGCAAGACGCAGTCGCTGGAAAAGACGTGATGTATGCAAGGTATCTCATCGTTGCGGATCGTGTCGAATGCAATGTCGTCGTCGTGTAGTGTGTTCGGTTGCGAAGGAAGAAGCGGTCGAAGAAAAGAAAGGTAAAACAAGTCGCATGTTGGGTTCGAAAAGCAGAGCAACGTTGATTCAAGGCACCGCACCTCTAGGGCAGCTTACTCATATTAAAGTAAGAAGCGGGTGCGATCGAAGGCGTACGCCCTTCAGGGGCGAACGTAGTACCAATGAGGTTCCTGTGCTAGCCCGGATACCCAACAAGCGATTACAGAAAAGACCAAACACGCAAAACCCTGATGCAGAAGGTGTGAAAACAATTAATACAGTCCAATAAGGAAAGGAAGCAAGCAGAAACAACAGTGGAGATCCAGTATATCCATGAAATGCTTTTTTCGGTGTACCCAAATTAGAAATGCGAGATCAAGAGCCCGAGCTCCGTCAAATGTAGTCTCTACTGTCGTAGCGTCATTCTTCGTATACGTCGTGAGAGTAAGGTCTGTCTCGAGCGAAGGCCAGGTGTACACGGCCGTAAACGTCATCATCTCTCGTTCAAATATCCACCCTCATGTGACGTAGGGCGAGCATGCGTAGTGCTCTTGAACATGTTCTCGTCGTCGAACTTCTCACTGCCCAACGAGGATCTCGACGTTGGACTGCGAGGAAAGTTCGTCGCTGCCACGACCTTGGTGGCCGTTCTGTCTGGGGCGGCTGAACCCACTGCCACGCTCTGGTACAGGGCCACGAGGCTGCCTTGAGGGACGGTCGTCGTAATTACCACCACCAAAGGTACGATGGCCGCCAATGGGACCAGGGTTGTCCCAGGATGTCATCTGTCGAAGCGAACGCGGGCTACCGCCTTGGCCGAAGCCTGATCCAATCTGCATGCGACCAAGCTCACGCTCGAGCAGGCCATCATCTCGTTGCGACATGGACGCTGTCGTCGGCGTTCCGTTCGGGTTCGTGGAAGAGCCAGTGAAGGACAAACCTTCCAGCGTAGGGCCTCCAAGGCGACCGATTGGATGGCTAGCTGTGGATGGCGCTGGCGAAGGAGTGTACGAGCGGAGATCGGCATATGACTTGGCAGCGCGCAAATTAGGTGCAGCTGCAAGACCACCAGGAGAATCAGGGAACCCGAGCAAACCGGATGCTTGCCTTCCAAAAGCACTATAGAAACCTTCCGAGGCACGAACATCACTGAAGTCCGTGGTTGCGGCACGGTTAAGGCCACGGCGCGGTTGTTCCGTGGCGTGGCTCGTTGACATCTGCGGCATAGGCGGGCTGAGGCCTTGGCTATCGTGAACCTTGAAGATGTGCAATTGGCGCTGCCCACTATCGCCTTTAGAGATATGAGCAAGGCCAAGTTGATGGGCCAGGGTGTGGACAATGCGTCGTTGAGGCGGAGACAAGGTGGATGGGAAGGTCATGCTGTCCCTTTCCGGTGACTCTTTGAAGAGAAGCAGCTGGGAGTAGAACTGCAGCACCTGGGGATCGTTCAGGTCCACTTCCGCCGAGGGATTAGTCGGGGACGGTCCTCCTCCTAGGTCGCGCTGCCACATACCAGGCTTTTGCTGGCGGAGCCCTGACACAGGGGAGGGAGAGGTCGCCGGGATGTGAGAAGCTAAGGAGCTGTATGATTGTTGCGTCTGCAGGGATCCACCCATGGGACGGTGCTGCTCCTCCAGTTGGCCTCTACGCTCACGCTTCTCACGTTCGATCCGTTCCCGTTCCGCTAGCGGCAGCATCTTCTTGTACTCGACGCGGAGCTTCCTACCATGGAGCTCGAAGTGATTCATAGCTTCGATGACCTGGGCCGTCTCTTCTGCAGTTGTGAAATTGGCGAAGGCCAAACCCCTGAAGACGCCGTTGTCGAAGTGGTAGTTGAAGGCATACGGCAGGGGAAGACGAAGCTCCGTCATCAGCGAGACGAGCTGTTCCTTCTTCACGGCGAAGGGGATGTTCTTAATTACGATGGCAGTAGGAATGAGTTCCTCGTCGACGTCCTGCGAGAACTGGTTTTGCTGCATGGCAGGGTTCAGCAAAGAATTTGGGTGACCATTGCCCAAGCCACCTAGCGCGAAAGTTGGAAGACCCTGGGGCTGGTCAAGCCATCCCTGAGAAGGGTCAGCGAGTGCAAAAGAATTTGGCACAGCATCACTTACAGCTGGCAGAGCACTGCGCCCGCCGCCGCGGCCCTGCTGCTTTATGCGGGAGGTAGCAGCACCGCCGAGCGAGCCGATGGTGTTCTGACCGAAGGGATTTGCGTTCCAGCCCCCTGCGCCCAGGTCGTAGTTGTAGGGAGAGTGGACGGTCGCATTCAGGCGGTCGTAGTTGCGCGGCTGGTGCTGGTAGCCTTGGGCGTGGTCCTCTGCCGTGTACAGACCGCCTGGCGGCAGCTGGCCGTATGCGTCAAACTGGCGGGAGGGTTGGCGGTGAAGGGTCTGCGGCTGGTGGCGATGGGAGCCGGGCGACCGCGACGAGGGCGGATCGTAGGCGGAGTACATGGTGCTGTGGTGTGCAGGATGAGGTGTGGGCTGGGCTGGAAGTCGAGATGGAAGGGAAAATTGACCAGGGCAGGTAGTCGTGCCAAGGCGGCGGCTCAGAGGGTCTGCGGACGGTCGCGGCGTGTCCTGGCCTTCGACTGGCTGGTGTGCCTGGAGCGGTGGAATAGGGGACTTGGGCGCTCGAGTGGCCACAGACGGCGCTCACAAGTCTATCTATGAAAGAGTGGGAAATGACAGGGCTGGGCCGGCGGGTGGGCGAGCCAGCTGCTCTCCTTTTCCCCTTTGCACACCGTCGCTGCGCGGGAGATGAGCAGCTGCAGTGGGTGGGCCGCAAACAGACGGCGTCAGAACAAAACACGAGGGACCGCACGCGTCGTCAACGCGAGGCAACAGTGGCGAACCGTTCGGGCAGCGTAGCAGTCGAGAGGGCAGCGTGCGCGTGCTATGTATGGGAAAAGAAGAGCTGCTAGCGGGGAGGGCGGCCCAGGTCAAGTCCTCGACTTGAGACCCGAGCATGCCTTCATTGGACAGCAGCCCTCATGTCTCTCGTCCTGCCCCTATCAATGACAGCCTCTGCCGTGCCATGGTACGCGTCTGTCTTCTTCGATAGTCTTGCTCACAAACCCCCAGCCGAGACAGCCTCACTCGTTACGGAGGCAGTGAACCATCGTTCTGCACCCACAGCATGGCTCGCGGGCTGCTTTCCGCTCTCTAGATCCTGGAGCCCGCCGCGCGCCCGCCATTCACCCGCGACTTCAGGCGGGCCGTTGCGCTCGGGGTGCCCCCTAGTGCACTTGTAGTTCGCTGTTAGCGACCGCATCTCCTTCTCGCAGCTGCTCGCATTCACTCGAAGCATGCCGTGACTCGTACCGTCATGACAGTTTATTTTGCATGCTAGGCGCGCGGGGCTGGGATGCGCCGTGGCCTGCAGCGATCAGCAGGCATTCCAAGCTCCGGTCTTGCCACCAAACAATGTCCCGTTCGGTCCGTCCACCTGCCACGCTGCACCGAGGATGGAGTCGGGGCACCATGGGGCATTGGCTGCACATGGGAACCAAAGGGGCGGCTGTTCGTTATTGCTAAATGTTCTCGGTTCGCGCCCTCTGATTGCTCCGGATTCGACGGCGTTGTAGCCACCACGAGGTCACATTCATCGTTCAGGCTCAGACATCTGCACGCGCACACGGAAGCAGTCACGGCGCGCGAGGGGACGGTTGCACGGCAGATGGCACTTCTGATTCGATTCATTGTCTGTCCTAGCGTGACACAGCTGTCGTTTTCCCTTTGCATCGGGGCGCTGCCGACCGCTGACAACCCGGCGCGAGCTGTCTACTCTTCCAACTGGCGGGACACGATGCAAGGATCCTTTTCAACTCGCATGAACTTTCGCTCACGTGACACTAGCGAACGAGTGAGCGTCGTGCCCTTCCATCTGCGCTGCACGATTGACTATACGAAGCATGGTATTCTGCAGGCCATCGGACCGTCTGTCGGACGAGACGTTTGGCTGGACAGTTGAGATGCATGTTCAACGGTGCTGAAGTACTCTGCGGCTGGTGGCAGTTCGGTGTATAGTAGCACCGTGTAACCCAACCTTCTCAAAACGTCGTCTTGAAGACTGCTCAATCGTCAAAGTCGAGCAAACGACTCCACTCTGTTTCTCCTACGCGACGGAACTCGGCGCCAGCCGCAAATTGCCCGCCCTCGTCCCAAGCCTGCATAGTCGCTGTGTCATAGGGCCCGTTGATAGCGCCTTCTGGTGCGCTCAGCCAGTGAAACTCCCATGCAGCTTCGGTAGAATTAGGATTCTTCCAGTCCTCCCCTGTCTCGCGCTTGTATGCGCGCATAATCATTTCGCGGGGTTGATCGTAGATGTCTTCGACGCCGCGATCCGTCAAGCGGCTGGCGCATTCCGTTATGGTATCGATTGCCTCTTTGGCTTTGGCTGCCGCGGCTTCCTGTGCTGGGTCAATCTCGACATCCATTTCTTGGTCTTTCTTCTTCTTGCTCCAGTTGCTCGTCTTTTTCTTCTTTGGCGCCGCTTTTCCATGCCGTATCAGAGCTTCCATCGGTGACTCCCCGACTTCCAGGTGCTGGATCAACGAAGAGAGTACATCGCTGGTTACGATGGAGTCTTCCTGCCGCTCACGTTCTCTCCTCTCTGCTTCGAGCTTTTCGTGAGCTTCTTTGGCCTTCCGGATGTCTTTCTTCGAAACACCTTCTAGCCATGAATCCTGGGCGGCTTCCGGATCAAATGCTTTACGGACGTAGTTCCCTGCCTCGTCGAAGCGGCCTTCTTCCTGTTCGGCTCTCATGTTGAAGGCATCCAGCTTTGGTGCATGATGCTTCTTGCCACCTGCTCCAATCTCCTCATCCATGCCAGGATCGAGCGCATCGCGCTCTTCATCGTCGCCTTCCTCGCTGCTACTCTCTACCTCTTCTGTTTCCATGCGGTTCTCTGCGTGAAAATCGACTGCAACATGTCCTCCTCCCTTGCTAGATTCCTCCTGCCCTTCTATTTCATGGCTATCAAGAAAGCGCAACTGTTTCTTCTTCTTATCTCCGCGCCGTGTATCTTCGTCTTGTTCATTGTCTTTCTGGTCCTCCGCGAACATGTCATCATCATCGTCTTCATCTTTGGGAGGAGCATATTTTTTGTTCCTAGCTTCCGCACGAGTGTCAAAGTTTTCTGTAGAGCTATCCGAGTCGTAGCCATCGATGTTCACAGCATTGCGCTTTACGCCGGCGCCGCCCTTGCCAATCACATCGGCTTCCAACGTCGGATCCTCTTCATCGTCATTGTCGGGCGCTAAGGTAGAGGGGTTTCGCGGGTCGAAGCGAGGTTTCTTCGCGGAGGGTTCATCTGCGTCCAGGTGGTGGGTTCGTGTGAAATGGTCCCCTGCGCGTTTCGGCCGGGCTGCCGAAAATGGTCTGGACGAGCTGGCCATTTGCGTCGCAATCAAGTATGTAGTTTTATTCGCCTGCTAAGCTACGTTTCCCACCTAAGTTTGGTGACGTCTGAACCTCGGAGTTTTGCCGGAAGCTTGGAGCTTGGGCCAGGCTGCAGTGTTGAGGGACGCGCCAAGGTTCGCGCGCGAATGGTACTTGTGGCATGCCGTAGCGGTACCTTGTCAGTCGTCATTCTGGCCGCTTCTCTTGAGCATACGCCTTCACATCTTACCTTTTCCACGAATCTCCACGAATCTGGACGCTGTTACTTTCCCTATCTAACACCTACGTTCTTTCACCCTTCCGATCCGCACTTCCCTCAACCTCAGGTTCTTCGCCACAATGGTAAGAGCCACCCCACCACATGTAAACTCCGCAACTGACCTTCGACAGTTCAACCCCGGTTTCTACGACGAGGACGATCCGATGGCCATGTATCAGCAGCTCCGCCGCGGCGGTGCACCCCGACGCTTCGATGAATACTTCCGGTGCTACCCCATCGCTATGCTTCCCGGTCCGGATCGCGAGGATGCGAACCATGGCGGCAAAGTGTTCCTTCCGCCGAGCGCTCTGGACAAGCTCACAAGGTTGCACATTACGTACCCTATGCTCTTCGAACTCATAAATGGTGCAAAAGACGGAAGGAAAACGCATGCTGGTGTGCTGGAGTTTATAGCGGAGGAGGGCAAGATCTATCTGCCTTATTGGGTATGATTCCCAGAGTTTCGACGGCAAAGCTTACATGTACTAATTATTACCACAGCTGATGCAGACGCTACTATTGGAGCCTGGCGACTTAATCCAGGTCAAATCCACAGATCTGCCTCTGGGCACCTTCATCAAGCTACAGCCACAAGACTCTTCCTTTCTCGAGATCTCAGACCCTAAGGCGGTGTTGGAGAATGCGTTTAGAAATTTCTCATGCCTCACCAAAGGCGACGTCTTCACCTTCGCCTACAACGACAACCAGTACGCCATCGAGGTCCTCGAGACGAAGCCACCACACGCCAGCAACGCAATATGTACCCTCGAAACGGATCTGTCAGTCGACTTTGCACCACCAGTAGGTTACGAGGAGCCCAAGCGGGCGAGCGGAACGAGCACACCGCGCAGCGGCAAGGGCGTCATGGCAGGTAAAGGAGGAACACTACATTCGCACGGTACCATGGCACAGGCTATAAACTACGCCGCCATCGCTCCCTCGGCGACAACTGCAGCCGCTGGCGCGAAAGCAACGTCATCGAATTTTTTGACGTCAGGCCACAAGCTGAACTCTAAGAAAGGCAGCAAGGCGCCTACCCCTCAGGCCTCCACACCCGTCGCGGGCCAGTCGACTAATGCTCCACCACCAACGGTTCGACGGACGAACGGTCCCCAACCGCTTCGGTTACCGCCGGGAAAGCTGTTCTTTGGGTATGAGGTCAAGCCGGTGAAGGGCAAAGAGGGTGATGAGAAGAAGGATGAGTCGAAGCACTTCGAAGGATCAGGTCAGACGCTCCGGAAAAAGAAAGACAACAAATAGTTTGAATTAGAAGTGCATGATGGGGTGAAGTAGCGATCATCAGACGCTTTAATTCTCTGGCTGTTTGAGCATTGCTAAAGCATTGGGGTGGCGCAGGAACAGGATTAGGCATATGGGCGTGTGGCGTTTGATATCAGAGCCATCATGGCCTTGTAACGCAATACCAATTCAGAACATGAAGATTATTTGTCACAATTCTTGTTTTTATCTGTAGCAAACATTACTAACACTTCAGGCATAGTGTGATTGACTCTCGTCCACACCAACCTATCTTCACGGTCACGGACATGCACGTTAAAAGAGGTCAAATATACGATAACGTGATTGCTGGCTATCGCGTTCCTGTTCGCAATGCACTTGCTAAAGGTATGTCTTCTCCCAGCCTCGGTAGAACATGTCCTCATTCAACCCAGATGAAACATGCATACCCACATGTCTACCAATGCATGCTGTAGCCGTCCTTGGGTGCGCTGCTCCACGTAGCATTAAACGCACATTCCAAGATTCGCGGACTCATAGACCACTCAAATCTCCGACTCTTCAGCCTTGATGGCACCGCCCAGGTCGTTGCTCGGGGGCTCATCATCAGCGGCCTTGCCTTTCTTGCCCTTCTTGGCTGGGGTGCTGGGAGCAACGTCACCATCGGCTGCGCGCTTCTTCTTGGGCGTACCAGCAGCCTTGACAGCCGGCTTGCCGTCTGGAGTAGGCCAACCGTGTTCCTCGTACAGGGCACGATGCTCGATGCGGATCTTGTTGGCACGTTGCTTGATAGCGTTCGCGGAAGTGCCTATGTGTAATGTTATTAAGGTGAACGCGAAGTTGGGCACGGGGATACAATTACCCTTGAAAGCATGTTCTGCAAGACGCTCGGTGTCTTCCTTGGAGAAGCTGGTGGTTCCAATCATGAAGAGGAAGAGCTAAGTGTGGTCAGTCTGGTGACGCTGTGGGGCGTGCGTAGGGAGGTACCTTGCGCTCATTCTCGGGTGTCCAGGAGAACTGAAGGTGATTAGCATTTCTTATACGTGTAATTAATGGAACGGTCGAACTTTGTCGCCCTCGCCCTCGCTGGCGTCGCCCTTCTTGAGAGGCATCTTAGTCGAAATCGGGTTGCAGAGGGGATTGCGAGTGTGAGTACGAGGTGAGAAGGTTGCGAACGCGGGTGCTTGCGTTGTGGATTTGGGTATTGCTGTGGAGACGTGTTGGAGGTGGAAGGAATGAAGTCGGGTGGGGAGCGGGTAAATAGTCTGAGCTGTTGTCCAGGACACAGTGAGTCGTTGCCGTAGTGAAGGTGACTTATCTGGCAGCATAGACAAAGCACGCCATCTCTAAGATTGCTGGTGAGTGAACGAAGCAAGTTAAGTGATATGAGAGTGAGAGATGAATTCCTGTTCGCTTGGCAACCCATGTCCAAGGACGTGTCGACTATGGCAAGCTCTCCGTTGTCGCGCTACTTCACGTACTTGTGATACTCCACAAACCCAAACGCTTGTTGCCCCGTCAAGCTGACCATCTTTCAAGCCACGGTTCGCAGATGAGTTTCTTAGATCTCGTCCTCTTCCTCCTTCTTCACCTCACCAAGATCATTGCTAGGAGCCTCGTTCTCCACCATCTTTTCCCTCTTGCCCTTCTTCACAGGCGTAGTAGCGCCGTCCTCTCCATCAGATGCGCGCTTCTTGCCCCTAGCTGTAATCTTGTTGGGTGTCTCCTTGGATCGGTCCTCGCCGGTAAGCGCACCATTGCCTATGCCAGCGAAGCCGTATTCCTCTGCGAGCTTGTTCTTCTCAATGCGCAGGCGGGAGTACCGGATCTTGATGCCGTTCATGTTAGTGCCTGTTCACCATTAGAGAATTGAATAAAATAGGCAATAAGGAGGGAGACGTGCCGGGAAAATGCTCCAGGAGCTTCTCGAATTCAGCAGTGGAGACGGTTGCGAATGGGTGGGTGAAGAGGAGGAGCTGCGGTGGTTAGGTACGTGATGTGATCTGGAAGGGAGTAGATGCACCTTGCGCTCGTTCTCCGCGGTCCAAGAGAACTGTGTGAATGTTAGCAAGTGTGGAGTTTCGTTGAGGGGTCGCGTACTTTTCCGCCCTCCTTCCTAGCCCTGACGCCAGTACTGCCGTCGGCCTTTGCAGAGGCCGTATTCTTCGGGGGCATGATCGTGATGCTGACGTTTGAGTTGCAGGTGTTCGATGAGAGACAGTTGGGACGAGGTGTTTGTGTTGCGGGTGGATGGCGGAGTTGAAGTGTGGTGGAGGTGAGAGGAAGAAGAGCGGAGCTGGTATATCAGCAGGTGCCTTGTTATGTCTCTGGATTGCCGTTTGTTGTCGAGATGACGGTGATTGAGTATCCTGGTGAAGGTGAGTCTTTCGGTTGCCCTGGTAGCGTAGACAAACGCGCCATCTGAGATCGCAGGTAATGGACGCAAAGATTAGGGTCTACTCGAGTGAGATACTGATACAATATGCGTGAGAAAAAGAAATATTTAAACATTACTTACCTATTCTTTGCGGACCTTAGGATAGCACAAGGTGCAACAGATCTAGGATCAATTCACACTGAGTCATTTCTAAAGGCAAGGTCGACTGAATTGCGTTCTGTATTGTTTTCACCAGGGGTTGTATGTAGATTGTCTCGTTCCATGGCACTGGTCAGTGTCGGCCTATAATTCTCCACGAATTTTGTAGCGATTCTCGTTGTGCGTGATGTAAATGATGAGTTATGTAGTAATTTCGCATTTGAAGAAGCTGCCCTGAGGACCCTAATTGTACAGAATCGAAGAAGGATATTGTGGCTATCTGACTCTTTGCCGGCAGGGTACAAGGGATTCTCCATTTGTCTGGAGGAGTTCAGGTAAGACTGACGAGAGCTCCAGGAAGAATGCCGTGCATATGTGCGATGTTGCTTACGGCATCTAGAGGCTCGGCGTGTGCGGGCTGCAGTCAGTCATTGGTCGCTCTTGCCTACATTGGAATGTCGTGTGCTCGCTGTTGAATGTGCTCGTCATGGGATGCCATTGGCTCGAACTTTGCTTCCGAAGGATCATTTGAACGGCGACATATATCAACAAGCTCTTGGTTCCAAGGCGTATTGCACGTATCCTATACTTAGGGCTCGGTGATCGTGGAAACATGCGGTAGCGTGGGCGAGCTGAAAGATGCGATTTCCTAAGGCTGAAAATGTGGGTCCCGGCTGCGGCCTACCCCGACGTCGATCCATCTGCCTCACCTTTAGGAATTGCTCGGATGCTTGGTACGCCCAATCGCATCAAGCATTCGATGTCGTGTTCGACCGACCACGTCTTTCGAAGGAGAGCTGAAACAACTTCCGCTCGTTCGGAGTCGGCGCATGGGTCGCCGTCTGGGTCTGACAGAAGCCGAGCCCTATCATCATCACTTGGAAGGGCTAATATTCGGTGCTAACCGTTGCTGACAGGCCTTTTCTATAAATTCCAATGTACTGGCTGACGACTGTTGGACCCTTGTCGCCCTTATTTCACCTGGGGCCAAGTCATATGTCCATCCCACAAATCGTATCTTCACCAACATCGCACTGCCACACGGTTGCCTAATCCAGACATATGAACCTATGCGAAGGATCTAGCGACGACCCGTTGCTTGCTTCGTAAGACCCTCGCGTGGTGTGGGAACTTTTCCTTGCCACCTACTGCGGTCCTCCGTGGTTCACGCGGCCAATGGCTGTGTCTCATAGCCCTATGTACATATCCTAAGTCATGGAGAGGGACGCCCTAACGACTATATCGACCCTCGCACTGATAGTTGTTCCAGTCAAAGGTCAAAGTTATGCCTCCTTGTCTGACATGGCCCCAAGTCATGGACTCTTCGAGCCATGGCAGAGTTGCTCCATCACATATACTGCACGACGTGTCCTTATCCCTTAATCTTTCCGCAGATCCCTTTGTTGCATCTCCTTTTTGTTACTTCAAGTAACCATCGAGAGATAGCCACCACAAAACGTCGCCGTTTCACCAGAACTATCGAATCTCTATACCAAACCTAATCCTTCTCGTACGCCCGGTACCATTGTACCAGACATGTGTCTCCGGTTAATCGAAAAGTTCCCAGTCTGTGGATGTACCTATCATGTCCACGCAGTTGATGCGTGCTCCAATTACGGACGGCATCCGGTAACGGACAAGGTCGTCTATGTTGGGTTCGCATGTCAACAGCACGGAGGCGGCAAGTGAACTATTACGTTTGGTCAACATGTCTTTCCAATTATAACGCTTGATGGTGGCTTGTTGCGTCGTTCGAAGACGCACTTTGACGCTCTTCCACAAGGTCGGAAGGATCGGACACATGTGCTACTATCTGGACTTCAAGATAGTCCGGTCGAAGCAGCCATCCAGTAAGCGCCGTAAGAGGATTTCAAAGTGATTCTTCTCAGGCAACGACTATCGAGAGTCATCAACACGTTTGGCGTAGTTACTGGTACACGCGCAAGCACGGACTTCGTGAATCGAAGTAACTTTGGTACGTCAAATTACCAAATGTACCTATGTATGCGCGGAAGCGCGTGCTCTTCGGGCCACATTCCCCACAGAGAACTAATAGCTTTCTGACAGATATCTTGTGTTTCCTACCAGTATTATTCTACAATCAAGCAAGCAGTTTCCGTTGCGGACGGGAGTCGTTTGCGGTCTGTCGGGATGCCTTGTGGGACAACACTCCCGTGCTCGGGAACCCATGCGCTGGTACGTTGCAAGCAGTCATCAAGAAGTAACACTGACAATATCTTGTAGAACTTGTAACCTCTTTGTGATAAACGTCACCACTCGACTGGCATTCGCTGCGATAGATTGAATCACTTATCCGATGTTCCGCTTCGACTGACGATCTTTGCCCCGGTGTGGCGAATGTTTGGTCCCGAACCTAGATCCTAGTCGCACAATCGCCCCGATTAAATGCAGACTAGGCTGGGGCGGTACCACTCGAACTCGAACCAAACGCAGGAAAACGTCATTGGGATGAATCTGGTGACTTTGGGGACTACGAGCGTCATGCGTCCGCATATCTGCGAGGCTCTGCTCCGCTTTCGACCATCGTGCCTGGCTAATGCCCGGCTAACAGGACCACTTTTAGGCCACCGTAGGATTCATTGAGCCGCGAGACTGGGGGCACAAAGGTTGGCATGGTACGCCCAGAAACACTATATAGAACGGCCTGCCCTTCGATGTGAGCCACTTCACCCTTGCTTCACCAGCAACCACCTCACAGAAAACACCTTTCCGTCCCCAAGAATCTTCAATTGACCCCATTCCTCACGCTTTCGATTCATTTTCCAAACCCGTCATGCTCTTCACATCCGTCTGTACAGCTTTTCTAGGTGCCGCACACCTGGCCAGTGGAACTCCAGTACAATCGGAGGCTGGTATCCTCACCACACGGCAGATTGACACGACACACCCTACCTGCGTTCAAGGCCTTGTCACACCATTCAACAAAACCGATGTCGAATCTTTGCGAACATGGTTCCTTCAACAAACTCCAGATAGTAACGACTTCATCGGAGCTGGTGGCTGGTACACGTGGGAGCTGGGCAGCGTGAGAGTGAGTTTCCACAATGCATGCATGTCGTAGGAGGTTTGGCTAATCTGAGCATAATGATTAGATTTGCATCTTTAACACCAACCCCAATGGTACGACAGATGTGGAGGTCAACCACAAGGCGCATGCAACATGTTTGGAGCAGGCTCGCGACACCTGCTGCTCGCCGACCGCTGACCAATGGTGAGTTCCGACAGTATGTGGAATAGTACAATAGTCTGATTGTATTATAGTCGGGCGGGACGAGCGCCAGAGTATGCTGTCAATGGTGCCTTGCTTGGTTGCCGTGTCAGTAACGCGGCGACTAAGTGTGGCTAGACTGGTCTCGCATCAGTTTGAAGTGAGATGAACACGCAGGATGAACGCAGTGAGACTTTCGACGGCGCTTAATGGTAATGGAGGCCTATCAGCGCGATGGCTGGACTATGCTTGATGATATTTACGACATTTTATACGGCCTGTTATGTACCATAGTCAGCAAAAGCAACTTCGATCCTTTTGCAAATGTATAGTCTTGTGATGCATAACGTACGAATTTTTCTCTGTCTTGTGTAAGATTAGCTGAAGATGAACGCTTTGGCTGGCGAGAATGTCGTGAAGTGTGGCACCCCGCCACCGCGCACAAACGTGGGTCTGTTGTGGCTTGGCGCACCTGCCTCGCAACAAAATTGTTCCTTCCCGCTCTAGCGCGCTAAGAAAATATTCGATTCTCCATCGCGACTGCAGGCAAGAGCTACTGATCACAGTGCTAACGACGACTTCCTAACGATACAATGGCGCTCGTTAGACCTGATTCCGCACCCGACTACACAATCAAGCCAGAGGCTGCTGCTGCTCCCATTGACACCAGCGACTGGCCACTGCTGCTCAAAAATTACAGCGACTGTATGCAGCTCCTGCAATAGCTTCAATCCACGCAACTAACTTTGCGCAGTGCTCGTCCGAACCGCGCATTTTACTCCTATCCCCGCAGGGTGCTCGCCACACGCTCGTGACCTGAAGCAATATGTTAGCTCAGGTGTTATTAACCTTGACAAGCCGTCGAACCCCTCCTCCCACGAGGTTGTAGCTTGGATCAAGCGCATCTTAAGGTACTAAGCCCAAAGCCTTAATGGTAGTTCTAGGGTTAACAGAACGACAGGGTGGAGAAGACTGGTCACAGCGGTACTCTCGATCCCAAGGTCACTGGCTGCCTCATCGTCTGCATCGATCGCGCGACTCGTCTGGTGAAGTCTCAGCAGGGAGCCGGAAAGGAGTATGTTTGCGTTATACGCTTGCACGACAAGCTCCCCGGTGGCGAGGCTCAATTTGCTCGCGCTCTGGAGACCCTCACCGGTGCCCTCTTCCAGCGACCGCCGCTCATCTCCGCTGTTAAGCGCCAGCTCCGTATCCGCACTATCCACGAGAGCAAGCTGTACGAGTTCGACAATGAGAGGCAGCTTGGTGTGTTCTGGGTGAGCTGCGAAGCAGGAACTTACATCCGTACGCTATGTGTGCATTTGGGTCTGCTTTTGGGTGTTGGTGCACATATGCAGGAGCTGCGCCGTGTGAGGTCTGGAGCTATGGACGAGGGCAAGGACATGGTAACGCTGCACGACGTTATGGATGCGCAGTGGATGCAGGACAACAACCGCGACGAGGAATATCTGCGCTACGTGATCTCGCCACTGGAGACTTTGTTGACCAGCTACAAGCGCATTGTTGTCAAGGACAGCTCGGTCAACGCCATCTGCTATGGTGCCAAGCTCATGATTCCTGGACTCCTTCGCTTCGAGAAGGGCATTGAGCTTCACGAGGAAATCGTTCTCATGACCACCAAGGGTGAAGCTATTGCTCTCGCCTATGCGCAGATGTCTGCTGTAGAGATGTCTTCCTGCGACCACGGTGTTGTTGCACGCATCAAGCGTGTCATCATGGAGCGCGATTTGTACCCACGACGATGGGGCTTGGGTCCTGTTGCGACCGAGAAGAAGAAGATGAAGGAGAACGGTACCCTTGACGTAAGTACATCTCTACATACGCGCCTAAAACAGCGACTAATAGGTTATAGAAATTTGGCCGTACCAACGAGAAGACGCCTACTACGTGGACCACCAACTACAAGGACTATGACCAGCAGAACCAAGGATCCGCCGATGTTACTATGGGTGAGACCACTACTACCAGCGAGGTCCTTGCAGCTCCTCCTGTCCCGCCAACGGGCCTGGACGCCGATGGAGAGGCTGAGGCCGAAGCTGAGGTTGCCAAGAGCAAGAAGCGTAAGAGCCGTGGTGATGAAGACGAGACTACCGAAGACAAGGCTGCTCGCAAGGCCGCAAAGAAGGCGAAGAAGGAGGCGAAGGAGCTCAAAAAGGCCGAAAAGGCTAAGAGGAAATCCAAGGGCGGCGATGAATCTGAAGATTCCGACTAACCGTTTGAATAAACGTGGATCGATCTTTTTTGACATATCAAAAGTACGCGACCGATTCGGCGATTGCGAGCCTACAGTCTCAACCAAGAGCTTGCTAGCCTATCATCTTACCGGTCCTGGGGTAATGCCAGGTTTTCAAAGTCTTTGGCAGCTGCCGCACTGTGGCTCTGCAAGCGCATGTAAAACTTGTCAGGATACCTCGACTTTTCACTGCTTTGTAGCATACGACAGCGTGTCGACATCGGCGTTATGGGTTACCTGGTGGAGTTCGGAGCATTGCGGTTAGTTGGGCAGCAGGGATGTTGGCAAAGTGCGAGAACGTCAAAGGCCATCCAACGAAGCTTGATGCAGAGTCTCGAACGTGGATCCGTCAGTTTCGAAGATCTATATAGTAAACGTTAACAATTGTGAAAGTTCCGCTAATCAATACGTGCCCAATTGATGTACATGCTCGTGACTGAAGCTTCTCGAAGCTTCTCCTACGCACGGGCTAGCTCTGACGTCTGCGCGGAAGGCGCACTGACCGCCCAAACGGTGGGGAGATACCCAATGCAAGCAATAAAGCACACCGCAACCTCCTGCACCACCCTAGACCAAGTTTTCAGACACGAACACGACACACATTGCTCGATCCTTAGCTGCACAATAATTTCAAAATGGTCAAAGAGACTAAGCTCTACGATTCGTTAGGTAAGTCTTCTTGCGTGCTGCCCCTCTGCTCTCTGCAGCTTCCCAGCCTTTCTGCACTGCACCTAGCCAACCGCATACAGCGCTTGCTAACATGCACACTTAGGCATATCAAGTTCCGCGACGCAAGATGAGATCAAGAAAGCATACCGAAAAGCAGCACTGAAATGGCACCCTGACAAGAACAAGGACAATCCGTCTGCTTCCGAGAAGTTCAAAGGTGAGAGCGCAATCTTCATATCTACAATGCACGCATGAGCTAACATTATGGCAGAGGTGTCCCAGGCCTACGAAATCCTATCCGACCCCGAAAAGCGCAAGACGTATGACCAGTTCGGCCTCGAATTCCTACTGCGAGGCGGGGCTCCCCCGCCAGAGGGCGGCGCAGGCTTCGAGGGCGGCAATCCGTTCGAAGGAGCTGGTGGTGGCGGTGGCTTCCCCTTCACATCTGCGGGCGGCATGCCCGGCGGCACGCGGACGTTCCACTTCAACACTGGCGGTGGAGGTGGCGGCCCGGGCGGTTTCCATTTTTCGAACGCCGAAAACATATTCGCCGAGTTTATGCGCGGACAAGGAGGGGGCATGTTCGACGACGACGACGGCGGCTTCGGTGGCTTCGGCATGGGAGGCATGCCTGGAGGACTGGGTGGAGGCTCGAAGAGGAGAGGCCCTGGTGGGTCGAGATTTGAGGGTGGGAGAAGAGCGCCGGCGCCGGAAGTCACGGTCGTGGAGAAGGCTTTGCCGGTGTCGCTTGAGGAGTTGTTCAATGGTACGACGAAGAAGATGAAGATCAAGCGTAAGACGTACGATCAGGCAACTGGAAAACAGAGCACGCAGGATCGGATTCTCGAAGTGCCGATCAAGATGGGCTTGAAGGCTGGCAGCAAGATCAAGTTTTCGGATGTTGGCGATCAGGTCGAGGGCGGCACGCAGGATTTGCACTTCCTTGTGTCAGAGGTAAGTCAATCCATATTCCAGTCTTCTAGGGATTAAGCTAACATCAAGCAGAAAGCTCATCCCCTTTTCACCCGCGAAGGGGACGACGTCAAGCATATTATCGAGCTTGACCTCAAAGAAGCTCTAACGGGCTGGCAACGAACCGTCCAAACCATCGACGGTAAACAAGTCGCAGTTCGCAGTGGCGGTCCCACAGGTCCCGACTTCACGGAGCGCTTCCCTAGCCTTGGCATGCCTAAGAGCAAGAAGCCGAACGAGCGCGGTGACTTCGTCATTGGCGTGCGCATTAAGTTCCCTAAGTCGCTCACTGCACAACAAAAAGAGCAGCTCAAGCAAATACTGTGAGCGATGCACGCGGTTTCATCTAATCATATGACCACGTACATACAGCCAGCGTGCCGACGCAAGCATGTCGATGAAGCACCTGTCAGACCAGTCCGCATACTCATTTTCCATTAACAGTTCATGGGCAATTTAGGCTAGGCGCTCGGGTTGAGCGAAGGGCGTTCGGGCGGATTATTTCACTTCGGTGTTCTACCACGCGGGAGGCTTGTCTTCCATTCTCTGCACAAACTTTTCTGAATATTTACCCGTTTTGGTCGGAGGAGGAGAAAGAAGGTGGAGCAGATGAATGAATGTGAACACGAAGCGATGCGCTGGATTAGTTGACATAGCCAGCTAAGACGATTTATGATATCAATAAGTGCGCTTATGAGTGAAACGCGTGTGAGAATACACGGCTTTGCTTAGTGTTGAGAAAGGTCGAGAAATGCGTGAATTCATGTGGCATAGCCAGGGCACTTGGAGATTGGTGTAAGATATAGAGAGCGGATCTGGTACACAAGAGAGCTTGTGTTCCTTCGAAAGAAATTTATGCATGTTTAAGCAGTAGGCTTGAGGAACGAATAGCTGGCGGATGAGTCTCTATAGTAGGGGAGCATTTGCGATCATTCTGATGAAAAAGCGGGAAGGTGTTCATAATAATATGATCTTGTAGAAAATTGTACAGCAAAAGACGTGAACATTGCAGCTAATGATTTCACGTGGTATCCCGTTGATAGATTGTGAAACGGTCCAGGATGCTGAATAGTATTAATCAGCAGTGTGACGCTTGGTGGTAATCAGCCCCTGAGGTACGATGCACGAAGGATGAAGGAGATTTTGGACTTCTTTAGTAGGATCTCTGCCGGCACAAAATCAAGGTCGACTATAAGATTGCTTGCGGGAACAGGTTAGCAAATAATACCCAAGTACGCCGTTGTTGCGGAAATTGAATAACATAAAAGGGAGCCAGCAGGTACTGTAGCTTGTTGTGCAATGCTCCACATCATCTGATGGCAGAAGGCGGCGCAATCGAGGTGTGTTCGCAAAAATGGCCAGACGAGCCGACATGACGAGGTTCCAAGCGATTCTCTGCGATCAAAAATCGTGTTGGCGGCATCTTCGAAGTAGTCTTTCGGCCTCCGAACAGTGGTATTACTGCTATCGTGATGTTCAGACTCGTTGTAATCCCACGTCCGCCCGAATTCTCCACGACAGACACAAGTTCGCGAGAACCAGGCATCTCCGATCATATGCTTTAGTAGAGCATGATATCCGGAAGGTTTGTTCCATATGTAAATTTCTCCTAGAGTGCGCCAAGTACCTGTTTGTTCCGTAGGTCCTGGCAACTTCTCTGATTTTTCCAAGGCATGGTTAGACTCAGTCAATCGGGAAAGAACTGCTAAGCCCTATGTAGAGTTAGCTTCGGCTACATGCTCTACCAATTCACGATGGGTGACTTGGCACATGACTCATCCCGCATCATTGTAATACGAGAAAACCGAGACAGTGGGCGAATCATGATGCAGTATTTCTCGCAAGGGAGCACACACTCTGTCAACAATCCACCTAGCTGAGGAAGGTACAAATGGAATCTCAGACCCCTCCAGAAGTATAAAGACTTCAAGGTAGGAAGAACGATCGATCATTCGATGTTCAGTACATAGCGAAAAGTTGCACCAGTAGTACTCTGCACGGAATATATCTAGGAAGAGTGCATTTCGCATCTACACCACTAAAACAACTTCACGATGTCCCCCAACCACGACCTAAGGACCGAACGCGGCCTCTCCGCCTACCTGGCCTCCCAATCCATCTCCCACACCTCCGCCACCCTTCTCACCGGCGGCACCGCAAATTACGTCTACCGTGTCACCTATCCCAGCGGCCAAACCACGATCTACAAACATGCAGCTCCTTACCTTCACTCCAACACGTCCTTCGCCTTCGATCCCAGCAGAATGGACTACGAAGACCGGATCCTCGAGCTCCTTCCACTGCTACTCAAAAACAAGTTACTTGACTCCAGTGTCCACGCTGTAGGCGTAAAAAGCTATGATTGCGATAAGAAATTGCTGGGTATTGAAGATGGTGGGAAGAGGCATCTAAAAGACGCATATACCGATCCCGCCCTCGACGTACCTTCCGTCGGCGCGTCCTTGGGCGCCTGGCTCGCCACGCTGCACGCCTCCACGGTTTTAACACCGTTATCGCTCGACTTTAATTCCCAAGATCTCGAGGAAAACAACAAAGTAGCAGTCAACGTCTACCGCCATTCCTACAAGAACCTCTCTACCGCCTTCGCAGACTTCACTGATCTTTCAAATGGAGATATCGAACTTGCGCAGCAGATCAACGACGAGTATGGGAGTCGGCTGGAGCACGACAACGAGTGCATCTGCCACGGGGATTTCTGGCCTGGTAACGTGATGGTAAAACCCCATTCTGTCTCCTCAGAAACAAAGGAGGAAGAGAGGCAGGGGAGAGTTGACCTCACGGTTGTCGACTGGGAAATGACGAGGAGGGGGACGAGCGCCACAGACTTAGCCCAGTTCTGTGCCGAGTCCTTCCTACTCGACCGCTTTTGCGGTAACCGCGGACTCCTCCCTGCCGTTTTGAATGCGTACCTCTCCCATCGCCTTTCCCTCTCATCTGCTCTTCCGTTCCCAGATAAAGAATGGTTCCGCCGACTCGCCATCCACTGGGGCGTCCACGTAGCCTTCTGGCCCACACGAGTCGAATGGACAGATCGTGCAGGTACTCAGGACCTTGTGGCGATTGGTAAGGAGGTGCTGAAAGCTGCTACCGAGAGTAAGTGGGACGTGCTCTTTGGAAGTACGAGTGAGGGATATGTTGATGTGCCGTGTGTTGGGTTACCGGTGTTTCGAGGGCTGGAAGAGAGGTTTACACCAGAGTTCTGAGACACTCTGGACGAGTACTGAAGAGCAAGCAGAGGAGAAGAAGAAAGCGCTGGATGAATGAACCTGCTATTGTGGGGGCGCCCTCGCCAGACGACGGAGGTGAGTATGAAGCTAATGCAATGTACACGAGAGAACAATAACCCCTGTTTGGACCCCAAATGCACCAACCTTACTCACCAAGCCGAAACCCTGCCTAGATGCAAGGACCCCCTTCCTATCTAACCTCACTCTAGGTTCAAAAAGAGAACCTCTAACCCCCTTTCTTCTTGAGAACCTCGATATGCTCTGTCTTCCCCTCCTCATCCGTCTCCGCATCCTCCATCAGCACATCCTCTGCACGGTTCTTAGCCCTGCTCTGCCTCCCGTCACTCGGCACAATATCAGACATCGGCTCCAACCCGACCGTCTCACTCGAGGCATTACTAGCGCCCGCCCATGCCGATATTCCACCGTTGATCTCCTGCATCTCCATCGGCTGTTCGGATTCGTGTTCCGGCGAGAGCGTAATGTTGACTACATCGTCTTCGTCGTGGTACGCGGGTGGATTGGGGTCGGTGTCCGGTGTGAGAGTCTTACTCGATAGTGTGGATCCGAACGTGTCCTTCTGGTAACCTTGCTTAGCAATCTCGTCATTGTCCCAGCCGTCACCTCCTTCGAACCAGTCTTTCTGACTCGCTTCGTTCTGCCCCTGATTAAGCCAAGCCGCCTCCGCCGTCGCTACTTTTTGCTGGAAATTCAGGTTATCCTTCTTGACGAATGTCTCCAGTTTCGGGGATAGTGATGTGAGTGAGGGCAAGAAGGCGGCGTCGTTTGCATACACGAGGACAGTGCTTTCGCTGATCGTGCTCACGTCTTCGAGCACATCGGTGATGTCTTTCCAATCTCGTATTATGGAGGCAGGTTCTTCGGAGCCGGAGCTTGAGTTTGGTACATCATATTTGATATGCCACCATGCGTGATCTTTTTCCAAGTGTCCGGGCTCCTTTACCGGATGGCAAATATAGTACTCGGTCTTGGACTTCGCAACTCCACAGAGCCTGTATGGGTGATTGAATTTGTGCTGCGTGTTGCATTCTGTTGTATCTGTCTCCGAGTTGGCTTCTTCCAGTGGTGCCCGAAACAGCTCCGCGACTCCATCGAGGGCTTCCTTCGCTTTCTTCTTTTGCTCTTCTAATTCTACTGATTGTCAGAGGGATTCGATGAATGGCGATTTGAGACTTACCGGACAGCTGCCTTTCAACCTTCGCGTATAGTGACTGGAGATGATCAAGAACTGCTACATCCCGAAGACTCTCCGTCATAGCCTCAGTCTCTGATTCAAACGCCCTCATGCTGTTCTTGAGAAGCGTCAAAGTCTCCATCTTTTTGGGATACTGAACTTTCTGTGGCGTGTGATACTTGAGGTCCTCCACTTTCGCGTCCAATGTCAATAATATTTCGGTGTACTTCTTCTTGTTAGTGAAGTTTGCCTCGACTGTTGGCCGATTCTCCTCGAGGTATCTATCCGCGTAGAGAATAGCAGGAATCTTGCAGTTGCGCTTTGACCCTTTAGGTTCAAGCGACAAAACGAGAACGCTGCTTGGCTTTGTGATGTGGGCACTACCAAACTCTGTGAAGAGTAATTCATCAATGTAGTCGTACAGCGTGGGTTCAGTTGAAATTGTATCAATGGAGCCCATCTCGACTTCGAGTACATGGCTCCCTTGCTCTTTGCCGTTGACGTTGACATCAGAGCAAAGTATGCCCTTCAACGAAGCAGTTGAGGCGTGGTTTCGATACATTGAGCTCCATCTCATGAGGAACTTCACTAGGTCGTTTTGCGTAGGCTCATCTGGAGAAGAGAACCTAGGTTGAGCCCATGCATCAAGCTGGATAAGTGATTCAAGACTTGCGTACGTCCTTTCGCTGGAGTCCAAGAAGGCCATGAGGCGCTGAACTTCGTACAGTAGCTCCAATTCTGAACCAGCTTCGGACCCGATATCGTCACTCACAATAATGGAAGAGGCAGAGGCGTTGCCTTTCCACCAGTCTTCGCCACGCCAGTAATTCCCAGCCGAGATCTCCGGGGCAAGTAGCGTATTTCGAATAAGAGGGATAGAATGTAACATCGTTATCAATGCAGGTAGGTGGTTGTCGCTCACAGTTGGTTTGATGAAGCCAGGCTTCTCTTTTCGAATTTGATCGTGCAAAGAAGCATCTGGAATGTACTCAGTACTCTTCGTAGCAGGAACCAAGGCCCACGAGGCGCTGTCATAGTAGTTTTGGGTAGCGGGACGGAGGACTCCTGCGGTACCTGCATTGCCTACTACGCCCGAATCTTGACCACTTTCGACGCCTGGGAACCCAGTCAGTGGCTCGATATTATGCCATGATCCATCCTCGGAGTAGAACGAACTCTGCATTGGTACGTCGCCCATGTGCGTGGACATCGCGGACCCAGGGCGCTGGCTGTTTCGCGACGGTGGCCTGGTGGGCGCTGCACTGAAACCTCCACTGTTGGGATCGTCGACATTTGTGGCATCAATATGAAATGCTGCGTGAAAACATGTGAGTACGCGCACCATCCTCTACAGGTGGAAAACGTACTGGGGAGATTGTTATTGGTATTGGCTTCCTGGTATGGACCATACCCGCTTAAGCCCCCAAAGGCAGTGCCGTCCCAGGTGGTGTCGCCCTGCTTGACCAGTTCCGTTATACCGTTCGGTCTTTCCAGAGCGTCGAATATCTTGTTCATCGCCGTTTCGACATTATTACTCGATATCTACCCATGTGTAAGTCAAATGCAGCATCGTCGCGGGGCAATTCCTGTACCTTTAGCACCTGCGCAGCTTGATCTCTGTCGACCTGATTGCCTGAGACCGCGACGAGCGTGTCTATGTCTTCCTGGTTGAGGCTTGCCATGGTCGCGGCGGGCGAGCGGGGAGCTCAGGCATGCGATGTGCGGAGTTGCACCGGAGGTGGTATAAGTATATCGTGCGGGCTCAACCAGTGAACATGGCAAGCTCAAATAAGGCAGGCTCAAACGCTCAGGAGCAAGACAAGGCACGGCGATGGGTTTGAACAGCAGCGATCCTCCGCATCGTTGTGGAAGCAATCGCGCGCATCTAGCAAAGCTATGAAGCTCCCCAGCGAGACATGACGAGGTGTGGGTCTGTGCTCGCCAAACACGCGAGTCAGCTAGAGTTATTCACTTTGGCTGACACGAAACTGAGCTGGTTCGGTAGGCTATCACATCAAGGTAAGAACCTCCTACAAGCATGCGGAATAAAGAGTGCATCGCTACAGAGATTAGACGGTCTTTTTAGGGTAAGTCAAACTACGACGCGTCTTCAAAGTATCGATTTGATACTATGTGGCTAACTGGGTACCTTGGTAGGTAATCTCATGGATACGATATACCCACATGACTGAGCTTAAACATTCATCAATGTCGGTTACTGTGATTCAATTTTGTTGCCGTGCTATACGAGCTGAGTTATTGTATGTAGGTGTAGGCATGTCTATGTATGCTTCATACCACATACTGATTACAAACATGCGTCTGTTTCGTAGCCTTACGCTAGCTACTCTAATATTACCTTTTCTGCTAGTCTCCAATATACATGCTTTCGTACAAATACAACTCCTCGGTGTTATCCTACACAAACTACATATTGTACATGTCTAGCCTTCCATCCGCAAGTCTGGGTATCATGTAAGAAGAGAAGATTAGCCAGTGCTCTGAGCCTGGTTCTGGCTCTGTGATCCTGGCCCCAATGGTTCATACACCTTGGGTTCTACCTTTGCCGCCAACGCGTCTTGCTCTTCCCTCCACTGACGACCTCTCTCGCTATACTTCTTGATCAATTCACGGTACTTTTCCATATGCTTCTTGGCACCTTCCTTGTCTCGTTCCTCGCCAATGAGTTGATTGCGATTCTTCTTGACCTTCTCGTACAAGTTCCACCGGTCGGTCTCATTCAATTCGCGTATATGGTATTCGATCGTCCAGCTGTCTTCAGGCGTAAGGCTCACTGGCCTTTCCACGTAGTGTCCGTTGAGCCTGTGGCGAACTGCCAAGGTCCAACCCATCAACGGTCCTTTTGGAACGTCTGGTTCGTCAGTCTTCTCGGCTGGTGTTTCACCCGCCACTTCCGGTGTCTCGTCGCTCGACAGTGTTGATGACTCTTCAACGGTAGCTTCGATATCTTCTGCCGCCTCTGCCTTCTTGCTGTCCACTCCGTGTTCGCCGTTGAGTTCATCATCGACGCGGTCTTGTATCTCGTGCCATTCCGCCTGTAGGGCCGGATCATCTTTGACAATGCCGACAATGTCCCGTTCGAAAGCTCTATGCGCCTCTTGATTCTTGTTTTGTATTTCATCTGCCTGTTCCTCCGTGACGGGCTCGGCAAAGATGTACATGAAAGGCGGATTGCCGCGAGCGCTCTTGTGAGTGTGGAAGTGCAGATGTAGTGTCTGTCTGACGTTAGATCGAGATTTCACTATACTGTCGTAGTACTCACTTGCTCGGGATACTGTTGAGTAGCTTTTTGCATCAACTCGTCCAACAAGCTGATACTCATTTTGAACTCTTGGTCACCGAGACATGTGTCTTTCTGCCCATGCAGCACATTGTCCATGTCCTCGAGTGGAAGGTACTGGAAACCAAAGATGCGCTCCACGTTGTGATACGCAACGAAGATCCCGTCCATTCGCCCCATCCGCACTTGCAAGGAGTACTTCAGCATTGTGGCCCTCGTCATATCATAGAATTCGCGCTCATAAGACTCCCATTCACCATGGTCATACCGGATCTGATAGCCCTTGCCAGTCTCGTACTCTTGATGATTCATGCGAATCGACACTACGGCGCGCGTTTTCAGGTCGAATATCCCCGTCCCAGGTAATCGCGGGTCGTATGCGTCCAGCTGAGAGCGCATGAGGAAATTTCCAAGCTTGGAATAATGGTAGCACCTAGATGACTCGTCCTCACCTGGAACAGCGTCCCCGCTTGAGCGACGGTACCGCTCAAATTCTGTGCGATCAACAGTCAAGAGTTTCTCGAGAGAATGACCCAGCCAGCTCATGATGTTTGGCTGGTCATACGCTTTATCAGCATCGATGGCATATTTGCCGTCCTTCCACCGCAGAAAGACGGCACTCGGACCCTCGGTGATTTTAGAGAACTTGTCTGTTGGGCCTGGAAACTTCTTTGAGAGCATCTCATGGTTGAGCTTGCGGAAGTTTGAAAGTAGGAAGTGGAAGTGTTGCAGGACGCCCGACATGCTTGATGTAGATCCGGTGAACTTTGTCCCCATTTTCTCTGTGAGGGCGAGGAGTTCTTCGTCCTTGGAAGAAGTCTTGTATTCGCTCAGAGCGGAGAAGTTGAACTCGTTGACGGACATGATCTTTTCGAGATATGGATCGAAGTTGTACACGCGCGAACGGGGATCCTGGAGGCGATAGACGCCAGGATTGAAGAGGACGCGGTCCAGACCATACGAAAGCCTGGGTACGGGGGGTATTTCATGATCCACTGGCTGGAATTTTAGCTCGTCGGGGTTTAAGTGCTTGATATCGAGCTTCTCAAAGTCGTCTTCCGAAACCTTCGTCCTCTCTTTCCTCGGTTTGCCGGCTTCCTTTGCCCCTTTCGCGCCAAGGAGAGCGTCCTTTAGGCTCTTCCCTCCAGATCCGTTCAGCAGTGTCTTGGCCGGAACGTCTCCCAGTATTTCCCTATTCTTCTGCTGTATCTCGTCGATCTCCTTCCGCAACTGAGCGATCTTCCGTTCCACCGAACTGTCCACAGGAGGATGCATTGCGGCGACTCGCGGTTTCCTCACAGCGCGCGCACGTCTGGTTCTCGATTGTCGGGTGGTCTTGCTCAGTCCATCGCTGTCGCCTTTCGCATCTTGCCCGTCCCCTTTCTTGTGTCCCTCATTTTGAACTTTGCGGTCCTTCGCCTTCTTACTACCCTCGTTGCCGTCGTTGCCATCGTTTCCCTTCTTGCTGCCCTTGTCTTCGTCCTTCCTCTTGCTGCTCTTCTTGTCGTCGTGCTTCTTGCTGCGCTTCTTGTCGTCGTGCTTTTCCTCGTGCTTAGGCTCCGGGCTAGCTGCGACCTCGTGGTCCTTCGCTAGGCGTGTGGCAAAGGCAAAGCTCCGGCCATGGTGTGGAAGGCGACTATGGATCCATGGTGGGCGGGGGACGGGTGAGCGCAGATGCAGAGCCGTCGACAGCGAGCATCGGTTCATCGAGGAGTCGGGCAGGAATCAGCGAGGGATGGCGGCCGTGCAATGGGCAGTTGCGCTGAGGCGTGCCTTGGGCGAACTTTTGGACGGAGAAAAGTTGATCCCTTGCATGTACGCGCCTTGGGCGTATAGTTCGTATCGCTGATCCCTGCACCAACGGCGGCAGCAAGCGACTGGGACGGCGCAGCGATTGCGATCGGCGCGGTTACGCAGCCTCTCTGTAACGGCTTGGGCCTCTTCGGTGGTCTGCAGGCTCTGGTATCCAATCTATCAGGCCAGCCGCTGGCGTGGCAGCAGAATCCAGGTCTCTGGATCCGCGCCGCGGCCCACAGTGCTAACACTTGCACACTGGATGAGCCTTTGATTACCGCTGTCCATATACCGCCGCATATGCACCTTCTCCCACCGAGCCCGCGCCGCGTACTCCGCATTGCACCCTCCTCAAGCTGTGCCTCCAGCTGAGCTCCTAGCTTCCAGCTCCTAGTTCCCGCGCTGCATACACCGTCGCCGCCGGCGCGAGCTCCGACAGCTCTTCCGATACGACTGCATGCCTGTGGCCGCCATACTCACCCACCCCGACCTTCACCTGCGTGTTTAGTGTGCTGCCAACTTTCGTTTCCGGGCCGTCCGCGGCATGAGCTTTGCCTTGCCCTGGGCGGCGCAGGCCTTCGGAGACGCTCATCATGGCGAGCAAACGCCGCAGCTTCTTTGGCCGCAGCTCCCTCCTCGGCGCGCAGACCATCCAGGACGATGAGGAGCCCTCGAACCTGCTGCGGAAGCGCCGCACCGCGTCCATCAGGACCACTCTCTCGACCGCCGCCTCCAGTTCGCTGCTGGCCGACGAGGACGACGACACGCTCGACGGACACACGCTGCGAGGAAGCCCCACGCTGCGCTCACCCGCGTCGCGTGGGAGCGGCAAGCGCGCGAGCTCAGTCTTTGGCTCGTTCAAGGGCGGTCGTCTGCCGGACGAAAATGAAGAATCAATCGACGTAACCTTCTCCCGTGCCCGTACGCTATCGAACAACTGGACCGCCCAACCCGAAGAATCGCCAAGCACGCGCCAGCCGTTGCTTCATGGAGAAGTGCAGACAAGCAGCTCCATGTTCCGGAAGAAGAAGGAGTACCTCGTGCTCACGGACACTTACCTGATGCGCTTCAAGAGTTACCAAAAAGCTGCCGAAGCCTTTCCTATAACTTCTTCCACGTACAAACGCATGTCTTCATACCGGCATAGCCAGAGCCCTTCCCTTGGATCGTCTCATGAGCTCCAATCGCTGGCGTCCGACCATTCTGGCGATCGTGATCTAGGCATTCCTCTCCGCCAGATCGTAGCAGTGTTTCACCAGGACGATGGAAGACCTCATTTTGCGTTTGAGGTATTCTACCTCGACGATGAGACAAACCACGCCTCATCCATGACCCTTCAATTCGGGGACCCAGACGAAATGCATGCGTGGCTCGCAAAAGTCCGCGAGGCAGCCAACGTTGGCAGACTCGCAGACGCGAACCCGCTCTCCGCCTACAACTCTCACTTGGCTGCGCGTGTTGTCGAAAATGAGTCGGACTATGTTCCTCAGCACTACGCCATCTATAAAGTCGTGCAACGTCCAAATAGCAAGAGTAGTACCCGAGCATCGTCAGATGATCTTCCCAAAGCTCTTGCGTCTGTTTGTTTTCTTGCGATTGGTGTTCACAAAGTTCATTTGATACCCCTTTTCAAACCGCAGTCCCAACGGGCATCGAGTCCTTCACTGCTTTCAAGCAACACCCAGTCATCTTATGGCATTCTCAGTATAACGGAATTGCGCGTTAGTGAACTTGACGATACTTTCGAACTCACCTTCCGGACACCTCTGCAACGACCGAAAGTGCTTCACTTGGCATCTCTCGCTTCTCACGACATCGCTGTGCGTCTGCGATACGTTGAGGAACATCTAAGGCCCGAATGGGAGTCGCGCCCATACCTGTTCATCGTTCCAGACTCAGTAAAACATGACATATTACGACAAGCTAGCCCGCATGGGATCAGCCAAGACAGCTTAGACAGGACCCTCATTGGATACTGCGCCGCATACGGTGTGAAGCCAGAGAATATTCGCTATCGGATCACGTATCCTGATGAAGATCATCCTCGATTCGAGCTCATGCCGCCCGCTGGACGCCGAGCAGATTACACAGATCTCGAATTGCTGGCCGTCATGCGTTCATTACGATATAACGAGAATTTCGGTGGAATTTCGTTTAGAGGTGTTTCCCTGGACTGTCTCAATGGCCTAACGGACCACTTCGGTGACGACCATGTCTGCACCAAAACTAAAAGAGGGACAGTACTACGACTAGATGTTGAGGAACTGGGGCGGTCGTGCTTACTCGTGCAAGAAATACGAGCCTTGGCTGTAACAAGCCGGAGACTTAGACGGCTGGACTTTTCTGGGTGTATATCTAGGAAGCCCAGGGACCATCTGGCAACGACGGCCAAAGCAAGAGATGTCGGTTGTGGTATCGTCGAAGCTTTGTTTCCGCTCTGCAAATACCAGTCGACGAACGTTGACTGGATTGCGCTGAATAACATCCAACTTGGGGAAACAGACCTCGACTACCTGGTGGCTGCAGCTGTTGAACGCTCGTGCCACATTCGCGCCCTAGAATTGAGTGGCTGTGGGCTTACAGATCGGACGCTGTCTCTCATATTAGACGCTCTTCGACCTCAAGAGAACACCTTGGAAGCTCTGGACCTTTCTTCGAACCCCTTCCGAGTCTCTCCTACAATGTTTGACTCTCAGATTGGGGTCTTTGGATACCTCACTAAACTTAATCTTTCGAATGTCGCGCGGACTTCTGGCGATGAGCCTCTCATCACGGTCGAGACTTTTCACGCTTGGAGATTGCAGGAGTTGATCCTGAGCGGAACCTCATTGAACAAGGCGACCGTTGATGCTATAGCAAGGTATGTTTATATCTTTTCCTATCGCGGTAGAAGCCTTTTTCTCTACGACTTTCGCAACGCGTGGCACTTCAAACCTCTTCATGTAACTTCTTCTATTGTTTCGTTGCTATCGTCTACCGGTACTCAGAGGTCCACCATACTGCCTGTGCTGTATTAGCTTTCTTTGCTAATCATCTATCTAGTTACCTCGTCAATTACAAGCAGTCGGCAGCGCTTCGTGAGCTCCGATTAGACCATTGCTACCTTACTGGGGAATCAGTCGCATTCTTACTACGATCAATGAACGAAAGGCCTGGGAAAGCCCGTAACCTCCACTTCGACGTCAGCGAGAATTACATTGAGCATGGCCTCAGAGAGCTTACGAATGCTATTGCGGAAGGTGTAGCACCCTCGTACTTGACTATTCGTCTGATCGAGTTTGAAAGAGAAGAGGATTTTCGACAATTGATCATTGCCTTCGCACGGAACAACACTATTCGACACCTCGATATCTCTCGCGCATCGTTACCTAGCGATGCCTCGGAAGAGACTTGCCTGGCACTCGAACGGATGTTCTCCGATAATACTACGCTTGAATGGCTAGACATGTCGGGCGAGGATTCACGACTCGAGACAACTAAATTGGGTGTTGGCATAAATCGTGCATTGCGAGGACTTCAGAAGAACCGCACGCTGCGGGTTCTACTGATCAAGTGTAAGCTCAGTATTTTTGCTACGAAAGCGACATCCATGATTGACCTCTCCCAGATCAGAAGCTCGGTCTTCAAGGTGCCAACACCTTAGCTGACGTCCTCAAAGTCAACACCACGCTACAGCAGCTCTACTGTGAAAACAACGGCATACCCCTCCAGGGTTTCACCGACCTCGTGAACGCCTTGCACCGCAATACCACCCTCCTGCACCTCCCCTCTATGGACGAGAGTAGACAACTCGCCCTCAAAACGACCGAAGACCAAGTAAAACAACTCCGCGACGATCCCACTACCGCTCCTACTGCACACCGCCGCTCTCCCTCTGTCCGCCAGAAGTTTGCCTCTCGTGTTCGCGGCCAGTCCAAATCAGATAAAACGCTGCCCATGGGTCTTTCAGACCAGGACATCAAAGCCGCGCTCAGCCTCGTAGACGAGAGCTGGGAGCGCCAGGAGTACCGTCTTCAGCAGTATCTCCAGCGCAATTACAACCTGGCCAATGGAATTCCGACCGCGCTGGATGTGGACGATGAAGAGTTTGAGAGGCCGGATACGGCGACTAGTCTAGGGGAAGCTGGTCGAGAAGGTCAAGTTTGATAGTACACCGACGGCAGAGAAGGATATGCAGCTTGGCGTGGCGCCAACTGTAGGGGTGCCGACTATACGCATTGGTGGACCGCCGACGCAGGGTGTGCGGAATGGGACCGGGGCGCTGGAAAAGGACGATACGCTGAAGAAGGTTAGCACCCTGGAGAAAGAAATCGAGATGTCGTTCTCCGACAACATATGGTCTAGGCCGAGGCTGCCAAGCTAGGCTCTCTCGCCTGTACTTTTCTACGATACATCCGCTTTTTGTTTGGCCTGTCGCAGTAGGCCATCTTCCGATTCCGTCTGGGACTTGTTCCTTTTTTTTTTTATCTCATCTGGTTCTTGTATAGACTTTGCATTTGCATCACAGGCAGTTGGATTTCCGACGAACATGATCAGGGTTCAGGAACACACGAGGATGGCAACCTGACATATACCATTGGATGGAAGGACACCTTTGAATGATGGACTAACTTTTGCAAGCTCTTAGCAACGATTATGGCGTTTTTCTGAGTACATACGATTAGGATAGGGGGGCGAGATACCTAGATGGCGTGTTGTATCAAACAAAGTCCATGTTTAAGCAAAGTCTTGTGCAGGGGTGTGAGGTTGTACTCAGATCCTGGGGTGAATTGTACGAAGATGGGGACGCCGAATGATATACTTTGGTGTAGCCAAGAGAAGAGGAAGTCGTTGATGTTGACGAGCTTATATGAACAGTCATATAAAAAGACGGTATAACAGTACACACTGAACACAACGCTAAAAGCACTCAAATAAAGCTCCCTCACTCATCTCCTCCTCCTCTCCGCTTCCTGAATCTCTCGCCGGCAATTACGGCAAATACCCTCAATATTCGGCGGGTCATCCCAGATCCATACTCGCTGATTCGAGCAGCCGCGTGGCACGTTGTTCCCGTCAAGGCACTTTTTGAGCCCTGTGTATACTTCGCACCTGCAGACAGTGTACTTTTTACGGAGGAGGTAGCACATTATGGATTATAGCTGATACGCGGAAGCTTATTAAGACTTATTGCGATACACGAGGTTGAAGTCGAAGACGTGGGCTTGTTTCTGGTCGCGCCTGTTTGTGACAAGGGTGGTAGGTGGTGTGCAGTGGTATACTGTTGCGAAAAGTATAGATGTATAGGGTGGTTGGAGAATTTATGTGGGTCAGAAGGGATACGGAAGAGTCTAAATAATATTGAATCAGTCGGGTGCGTTGTGCGATGTCTGCTACGTGTCTCCAACTAAGGGGGTGAGTTGCGGTGCGCTTAATGGGAAGTTCAAATAGTGATTATGCAGGAACGCTTTTATTGGTTTGTTATTTTTGGCAGGAGGGAACGGGAATGACAGGCAGATATCGATGCTGTGTGCTGTGTGTTGTGTGTTTCAAGCCGAATGTGTGAGTGCATCGTGGAGGGATGTGTAAGGTGGGCGGGGAAGATGAGGGTAAGTGCTGGCGAAGAAGAAGTGGAAGCAGGGGAAGAGGTGAGTGGGCCGCTGGCGAAATGCCGGGTCTCTTCGAAGCGGCTGGGATAAGGCTTGCGGACGATTTTCGCAACGTATCCGAATGATGGATCGTGTGGAGGTACACATCATGGTATCTAGAGCGTTCGATGACGACACTACGAACGCATTAGCTGTTCTTTGTCATGTATACTGTAGCCGAGGATCGAGTTACGGTAAAGCTGAGAGATCAAACTCTGTTCAAGAAGTCAATTCTGAGGCGCCATAGTGCGACACCACACGCTCGTTGTCGTCTGCCTTTGGTTATTTCACGAATGATTGGCTCTTGGGTGAGATTGTGACAATGACGTTCCGCATTGTGATATCCAGCCCAAGTCTCGCTCTGTCTTGATCGACTCGCAAGTGACATGCAGTTTCCTTCACGTTTACGTGGTGAACATTCCCACCATATCATAGTGAGTACCGGCATGCAACGTAGAGGAATCCATATCTTCCCCTTCCGGTACCTATCGAAACTACACAAAGCAACAGACAACCAACGTCAAATAACCTCCACCCCTATGAAATTTTCAATTTCAACACCAAATCAAGTCTCAAATCTCAACAGTGTGCAAACTTATCGTCTACCGCTACGAATGTGGCCACGAAACGCTCGGCAAACTTCAGCCCTGCGGTCCTGGCGGTTGCGCGCTAATGTTCACAGGAGCACCTGAAGAGTATGGCAGGACTATAAGGTCGCCTTGCCCTGGGTGTTACGCAAGGCATCTATCGTGGGGTGGGTTCTCGTGAGACGGTGGCAATGTTGTGAAGAGATTATAAGAGGCAGGATTAAATTTTGGTGCCGAAAAAGCTTTCCTGGACTATGCACGTAGTGGAAGCGTGAGGGTACTGTGCTCAGTGTAGTGAAGTTTGCGTGGCTCTTGTAATTTGGGTGATGTTGAACGCAGTGACTTTTGGTTGTATTTGAAGACGGGGTATGATTGTTATCTATCTCTGCAAGCGAAAGCAATGGAATGCTATTTTGACAACCATCCGGGAGAGAGTGACTACACATAGTACTTTGAACACCCAGGTGTGACTTGCAGGTAAGTAGTGAAGTCTGACTGACTTACCAAACTTGACAGTCACGATCCGCAAGTCGTTCACGTAGCGAAGCTTCACGCGGAGCTTGAATCACATACATTATCAATCGCCAAGATGAGCCTCAATACATACTATATATACCATGTTAAAGCTCCAGAGCTACGCCTCATCTAATATCCAGCTTCCAACAATTATATACAGCTTCCAGACTACACACAGCTTCCAGACTAGGGTACACTCAACTACCTTGTACAGTCATTAGAGTGATGACTCTACAAGCTATCTATGTACAATATCACATATGTAGATCGAGGAAGTAGAGGAAGACGGTACGAGTAGGTGCGCTAGAAATGTTCGAGAGTGCCCAGCACTCTCCTTTTCTTGTAACATATATTACTATCTATCAAATCGTAGATCACACGAACTGTTCAGCTCTAATATAGTATTTCATAAATCAATACAACCCATTCTTGATGTCCTCCACGATCTTCTTCAGCTCGTCAACGGATGGTGGGTTGTTGCGCCCCGAAGTAATCGTGCCACTGCTTCCCACCTTCTCCTTGCCCTGGTCAATCATGATTGCGAAACTATCGTTGCTGTCCTTGCGTGCGTGAGTCTTTTTACGTGCCCATGGTAGGCCTATGCGTCGTGCAGCTGACGCTTGGTGCACAGGTTGTGAATTCTCTTCTTCAGCTTGTCGCTCTAGCACGATGATAGGTGTATTGGATAGTTGCAGCTTTCCGGTGTTGTCAACCTTGACGAACTTGAACTGTGTAGGGGTGTGGATGGGTTCGATGGGTTTGTCAGCGATTGTGAGGTTTTGCAGGTCTGGCTGGAGTCAGTGAACAGAGTCGTCAATCGAAGAGTGTCTTGTGCATACCATTAAGAAGCCTCGTTCCGTCAGGCTCGAACCCCTTCCACCTTTTCCGATGTTTCGTGGCCCAAAGGACTTGCTGTTCCTCCAATTCGAAGAAATATTTCGTGAAGCCGTTGACTGCGACGGAACGGAGAAGCTTGATCAAGCCAAGCGTCTCCGGCAATACCATTACGTGCGAGCTTTTCTTCACGAGCGTTACTTCGAGTCGTTGAAGTCGTCGCTTTTCTTCTTCATCGCCAGCTTGCCTGGATTCACTGCGGCTCTCGGAACGACGTCCACGGCTCTTACTTCTTGCTCTCGAGAGACTGCGTCTTAGTGAGGTGCTACGGGACAAGCTGGCTGTTCGTCCGCGCGCCTCTGCTGTCGAGTGATCAGTCATTACCAGCGTCATGACTGAGTCCAAGCATCGCAGTACCCTTACTGCATCTACCTGTTCACGTTTCATGCTTTTGATCTTCCAATTACCACCGCCTTGCCCGTCGCTGCCATCCATCCAGTCACTCTCATCGCGTCCTCGGTGGCCGCCGTTCTCGCAGCTAGGAACAGGCAGGCGGAGATAGAGCCTCGAGAGTCTTTGCAAAGTATCCGCAACCATCTTTGGCGGTCCTTCAGAGATCCAAAACCTCTCGTAAGCCCTCAAGTTGTCGTTGACGGTCGAGGAGACTTTGGTGTGGTATATTCTGTGGAAGTCGACTACGAAGTCGCATTTCTCATGGAAGACATCTAGCGCAACCTCGCGGATGTGGTGGGATACAAGAAACAATGGATGCTTGCGGATCAATTGAAGGTCGATGTAGTCTAGTCCGGCTCGGTGGTAGCGATATTGCATATGACGATGCTCGGAGCATTGTGGGCCGACGGATACTGTCAATGGAAGACATAGAGCATATGCCAGAATAGACTCAATTAGTGATACTGGTAGCGACGACAAGCTCACTCGATTCTTGGCTGATGGCTTGGGAGAGGATGCAATGTACCTTACTGACGAGAGCGAGGTGCGAGAAGTGGATATCGATTGGTTGCGAGAAAAGACCGACGACACAGCCGCGGATGCTGATGAAGCGGATGAAGCCGAAGATGCGTTGGAGTTGGTCCTTGACAGCACAGTGACTGGTGACTCTCTGCCGGAGAGTTGCTGTCGAGCCCATGGCCACTTGCGCGATTTCTGTGAAGCCGAATTGCTGACTGCTTCCGGTTCTTCTCGGACATTCGGTAGAGGAACGTGTGGAGCAATGGGTTTGCGCGAGATTGGTTTTAGAGCTGCGATAGGCGGTGCTTGTCTGCTCGGGTTGGCTTTCTGTATTTGTGGGTGCGTTGCTGCAAATGTTGAAAAGTCGACGCTCATGCGAGAGCTCGGAAGGTCCAAGGCCAGTGGTAAAAATGAAGGTGTTTGCGCCATGGTGGCTATTATTGTACTGTAGCGGCGAAGATCAACTTCGCAAAGGAGAGGCGAGATTAAAGCATTAGTATGAAATGCAGAGATCAACTCTGTGAACAGCGAGCGAACGGAGGATGACGGTACAAAAGAATGTGGAGAAAGACGTAAAGAGATATATCTAGTCTAACAATGTCATCCCTCTGCATCAACTTCCTGACCCCGCCTCAATGTATGAATTCGTCGACAGAGCCTGGGACGTCAGAAAGGTGCCTGAGCCGCTTTCATATTCTCCTAGACTAAACTTTAGCGGCTGGATATCGAGGTCCCGAGCCGTGGGGCATCCTTGGAAGAACCCTCGCTAGAAGGCCATGCATTGATCGAAGTAAGGTTTTCGCCTGTTGGTAACGATGTTCCAAGCATGGGGAGGCGCCAAAGTACCCCAGCGAATGACGTCCCGTGGGGGTGGCCGATGGGAGCCTCAGACAGAAAGCGAGACCTACCTCGAACGTTTCTGAGGAAAGTATCTGAAGCAAGCTTTCCACGAATAAGGCCACAGAAAAGCCGCTACGAGATATGCGAATTGCCAGAACTGTCAATACTTGGCTGTATGTAGATAACGACACAGCTCAAGTGAAGCTGAATCTGCTTGTCCGTCCAGAAGCTCCATGGCGACAATGAAGCTCTGCGCAAAACCCCCCAGGTGCTCCACGAGGCAGATTGACAAGACACGTTTCACAGGGGTCGGAGGTACAACTCGGACTTCTTGGCGGAAGCACCTCATGCGTTGTGAGCACCGACGGAACGGGTTTATCTCGCAATTTCAGACACTCATTGGAGAGTGATTTATCCTAGGGCATATAATCCATTATGTTGCTTGCCGCCTCTGTTCGGTGCATAGCCGACCTTGATCCCAACGAGAGAGCGCCCAACAAGAGCCCAAGTTTTCCTATTCCCTCTGTGTTTCAGAATGATATAAGGAGGATGCAGGGCTATGCATCAATTTGGATAATACTCCGAGACCGTATTGAAACGGTTCGTATGCAAGAGTGGAACGAGGTCAAAGAAAGTCGATGTTGATGGAAGGATGATAAGGTCCAAGAACAAGAGAGGTTGGGCGTCGGCGTCGGTCCCGATTCGTGAGTGGGGCGTTCCAGCACTTGGGTACGGTAAGACGTGGGATCTTGCGCATGTAGGGCATCCATAGGCTTTCGCATCAGCACTACTGTAACAATCCTCGCGCAAATCGAACAAGCAGGTGAGGAAGATGGTGCTGCCTGGATCAGCATGCAGCACCGAACTGGTGCAACTGCCGCGCGCTTGCGGCACGGTCGCGGTTGCCATGCCGTGTTACAATCCTCCGTTCTTCCGAAGGTCGCATCCATCATCCTTCCTCCATCTACCAAGTGCAAGATACTGAATACCCCTTCATCCCTGCGTATGCTCGTTGATTGCATCCGCTCGATCCACAAGTGCCTTGAAACAATTGCTCCACGTCCGACGACCGCCGGCATGAGCCGCACCACGGTGAGCTTGGCCACCTATCCACGGTATTCACCCGCTTGCGCCAATTGGGTGCACGGTCTGTGCATGTGAGTTTCCCGTATCATCGCCCGCCTGTGCGTATTTGATCACACTGCGACCGGGTGTCCCACGCGCCTTCTTCCTCCCCGCGCTAGATCGGACGAAGCCCGCAGGCTTGCGATGGGTCGGCAGTTGCAACGAGCTGCACGCTGGGTATGCTGCGGACGGTTACGCTAGGATCAAGGGCATGACCGCCCTATTCACTTAACACGGCGTTGGAGAACTTAGTGCTCTTGACGCTGTAGCAGGATCCTACGCTGAGTCCACTCCAGTGGTACAGCCCTACGCGTCCAGTTTCGTTATACTGTCAGCCCTCACGAAGAAATTTCACCCCGTTTTCGGAGTATTTGTTCGCCGTGTTATCCCTCCGTTACGGTTTGAATCAGTCTCTGGGCGGCTTTGTTAGTGTCGCTTCCGCCCAGCGTTTCGAAAGCTCTCAGGACAGCTGTCAGGGCCCATATCACGGACCTTTGGCGTTGAACCTTCGCGGCTGAATTCACAGTGTTTTGCCGCACCAAAAGTAGTGATGGGCTTCTTCAGCCAAGATAGACTTAGCAATGGATTATGAGACCAGAGTAGCTGATATCATTCCCAGGTACATATCGTAGCATGTCCAGCGTGGGAATAGTACAGGACTGGAGGTATGGCTCATCACAGTTTAGGTAACGGCAACTTGAGAGTGCACGCCAACGTATAGAAACACTATACCGTTCCACAAGCTGCACTCTTCGACCCTGAAACTGCACCGCGACTTATAGACAACACTCTTCGAGCATGTGTACAACAAAGCAGACCAGTGTACCTGGAGACGCCAAGCGATGTGGTAACAGCTCAAGTGCCAGGCGAACCGTTAAACCACCCCGTTGGATGTTCCTTCCCCCACAAATGATCAGAAATTCGAAGCACACATCGTTGACACGGTTCTGAATCTCATGTATGCTTCGGAGCAACCGTGTATCCTGGTTGGTGGCTTGGCAACGCCGGACCAGATCGTTTATGAAGTCAATGAGATTGCATGGGTCACAGGTTTCCCAACGCTAAGCTACACATTTGGATCTTACATCATCGATGGTTCATTGACTAATCACGATGGTGTTGACGTGGGAAACTTTGACTTTGCGCCTTATACTAGCACTGCGGATCTGGCCTTCCTCTTTAGTCTTTTCCCTACTGATGTGAACACACAAATTTATGCAAGCATCCTCTAAGAAAATCTTCATCTGTTTCCGCCGTAGAGCCATCAAGATTGGAAACGAAGCGTATCTTCTACATGTGAAGGATCTTCTCCGGAGACCATTGGATAAAATCGACCTCTCACGATTGCCCACACCCGCAAAAGCGTCTTTTTTGCCTAGAATTCGGGACGTACAGAGGGCTCTAACTCCACCGAATCTATCAGCACCCATCGAACAAGACACGTTCAACCTCCGCCTATCCTCCGAGGAGGTTTAAGCCGGCCTTGAAGGCGCAGGGTGAACTGCGGAGAGCTATTCCAGCTAAACGACGAATCATCTTGTACTCTGCGCCCACAGTTTTCGACCCTCCATGTTTATTTTCATTTCTAGTCTTCCCAAAACAGAAATCCTCTGCACAGTCGATCACTGCACTAAAAGATTGGCAAAATGACGTAGCACATCTAGAATAATCATCCTCAGCTCGCGATTCCAAGATCATGACTTCCCTTATCTCCTAGGTCCACAACATGGTCTCTCGCTTCGGATGCATCACCTAGCCTTCCACTAACCTCATCGTGTACAAGCTTAGTAAGACCCAGCCTGACCTCGAACGCCGTGGCAAGACCTACGCCAAGATGGAGCTAGTCCAGCGCCTCATCTACCTGTGAACGACCCTAAAAGCTCTGCGTCTGAGAACTATTGTCATAGGAGATGTACACTAGAATAACACAACAAGCTTCCACAGCTCCCTTGGAATAACAGCGGGACCCGAGCGTTCTAGCTAAATGCAGTACAAGAATGCGTCCTACGCAAGCGTTCAAGAGGATCTTTCCATCGCGAGTGTTTCGCACTCCTAACTTTCATATCACATCTCGGTCCTACTCAATCGCACCAAGCATGGTTCCCATAATCGTCTGCGGCAAAAGCCCCCAGATTGGAAAACTTGTGAAAGAATTTCTTCTACCTGAATACGACGGTACTTCCTCTTTCCCTCTTCTCCCTTACCACCATCCTCCTATTCCAACTTCCTGACTCCCATTGATTGATTCAATAGCAATCCACGTCATCATGGGCACTAAGACTGGCATTAAAGAGGTTCCAATCTTGCTTTCGGGGAACACACCACCAAACACCACCACCAACCTCGGCAGTCGGAACTACAGCCGGATTGCGAGGGCGGTGGTCGCAGGAGGTGGATTCGATGATGAGGCGTTTTTCGCGATGAAGAAGGCAAGTGTTGAGGCGGTGGGGACGGAGAAGGTGCCTTGGTTCAGGCTGGGTAAGTACAATCCTCGTTAAACAGAAAGGTAGGGGGAGGGGAAGGGAGACGCTGATAGTGTGACAGATAATAAGACGTCGAGGCCAGGGCAGAGGAAGGTTGGCGGGGGTGGGAGACAATGGAGGCGTTTTGCAAGGTGACGGCTGAGAGGGTGAAGATCGCTCTTGGGAGGGAGATGGTCTGGGGGGATGGAGTGTGGGAGTACTAAGACAGAAAGATGCGAATGGACAAATCATAGGAAGGCAAATGCTACAAATTCAGTGCATAGTCGAGTATACTGCAGTGTAGCATTCAACTGTATGAACTTTCATCTCACCAGCTACAGCATTTTGCAACTTCATATCAAAAGCAGCTCGGCACACCCCAAGATCTTTAGAATCGAACATCGTCTAAATTGTTGTGTGCAATTGTGCTCACATATCGCACAATAGATCTTCTTATAATCTACCCTCTCTGCCCGTTCCCCCGCCATTGGATTATCTTTGATCTTACCATGCCTCAGCGCGCCTCGAACTGCACCAGCCTTTCCGTTCTCCTCTTCAACAAGAAATGACATCCACAATTCTTACACCGAATCGGCTCACCGTTTTTCAATTCCACCACCTGCCCGCACCCCCAGCCGCAGTCATACTTTGTCGGTTTCAGCCGCTCCTTACCCTCAACGCCGGGCCTCCGAGCTGCATAGTTCAGCAGTGGTAGATCTGGTCGTTCCGATGCTGCATCTACCTGTGCACGGACAGACATAGACTTAGAGATAGACTTCCCTTCCATACGGATATTAGATTCCATGACTCCGCTCGGAATTTTCTTCTTTTCGGAGGTGGAGGCGGAGGTGGCGTGTGGGACGAAGTCGTTGTCGTTGCCTTCGAGGTTGTTCTCATTCCCCACGTCATCCTCCTCATCATCACCCTTGTTCTCGTCTTCATCCTCATCCTCCTTCACACGCTCTAGCCCGGTGAGCTCTTCCTCCGCATCGAAGTCTTTATCGTGCTCGTCTTGGGTAGAATATCAGCGCTGGTCCTTTGGTTACAGGTCTGGAGGAAGACTAACTCACCGTCGCCATCTTCGACGCTTCCTCTTCTAAACTCTGGTAAATCACTGAAGTCCATTACCTCGTCATCTTGTGTCATGTTGTCTATATGAGAGGTAGATTGATTAGGGGCGAGACGAGGCGACAGGGTGCGCGTAGACGGTACCTTGCTATAATTTCCGCAAAGGCTGCGAGGGAAGAACGAGAGTAGCAGATCTGAAGTAGAATGGACGTGAAGGAGGTGACGGCTTCATAGTATGCTTCCAGATGCTCCATATGTAATTGGAAGGATGAACAAAGGAAGCTGTGTTGTGGCTGTCGAGTTGCGAATCACGAACAGACAAAGGATATGGTCTCGTCTACATGGAACAGACAAAGACACGTGATGCGAACCCATAACTGCGGAAATGTAAAGCTCTGTAGAGATGGGAGATATGTACAATATGGCACAGTATAACTTTCATCGCTCTTTGAGGGCTCCTACTCCAGCTTCCCACCCTTGCGGTACGTCTGAACGGCTTTCTCGAACAAGTCGCGACATGGGACTCTGCTTCCCAACCTTGCACACAGCAGGAAGGCACCGCTCAGCTTTCGATGCAGACTGTACGTCTCCTCGGGGGGCGGCGCCAGCCTCTCTCTTACCATCACCGGAATTAATCCCCTCACCCGATCCGTAATTGTCTGGTCCCTGAAATCGTAAACCTCGGGCCCAGAAACCTGGAACGGCTCTGCCAGTGTGAGAACAGACTGAATGTGTGCGTCGAGCATGGGCTGAGACTCCGCACCAGTGAGGTATCCGAGCTGGATGGACAGGTCGCGGATAGCGGTGCGGTCATCCTTGGAAGCTGCAATGAGCACATTGATGTATGGGTCTACGAACTCATCGGGATATTCACGCGAAGCACCGAAGTCGAGGAGCTCGATCTTGTGATCTTTGTCGTTGTAGAGAAAATTCGTCCAGTTGGGATCTGTCTGCATAAACTTGAATTCTACAATCTCTCGGAGGCACAATCGTAGGATCTGTGTACCGATCCAGTCGCGCTTCTCCTGGCTGAGGGTAGGCAGTTTCGCGACGCCGACACCGTGGACGAGCTCAGCGGTGAGGACCTGCCGACCGCAAGCTTCGGGGAAGGTCTTGGGTACTTTGAACACGGAAGGGTCATCAGCGAGGGCTTCGCGGAAGCGCTCTTGCCATTCGGCTTCGCGAAGGTAGTCACATTCCCAGGCTAGCTCTGTGCGGGCGTTGGCGATGGTGCGGTCGAGAAAGAGACCTTTGGGTAGGAGGCGTGAGGCGGTGAGCAGGATGGAAAGATTGTTAAGATCGGAGTCGATGGAGTCGGCTACGCCTGGATATTGTACTTTGACTGCTACAGTCTGTCCCGTAGACTTGAGGACAGCCTTGTGGACCTGGCCAATTGACGCTGCTGCAATGGGCTTCTCTTCAAATGATTCGAACAGGTCTCGCCACTCGCTGCCCAGGTTGTTTGCGAGGACCTTATCGCGCTGCCAGGCGGGCATGTAGTCTGCGCTATCTTGTACGCGTTGTAGGACTTCGTGAATAGCCGGGGGTAGCATCTTCATGTCTTGGAAGCTGATGATCTGGCCTAGCTTCAGAGCCGCACCTCGCATTCGTGAAAGCTTCGCAACCAGTATTTCGAGATTCCCCGGGCTCAGCATAAGCGAGCCTCCATTCGCGGCAGCAGTGCCCGTGGCGCGTCTGAGGCTCTCCCCAACAGCGCCAAACGCCATGCTTGTACCGAGGCCCGCGTATTGCCACAAGCGGCCGAATCGTGAAGATGGTACTCGTGACTCTCGTAGCTCATAGCGTGCTTTTTGCGGCTCGTGAATCACTTCAATGGGTATCTGCGGTGACGCTGTTAGTATATCAGCATGCTGCATGTCTGATGTTACAGCGGCAGGCGCTTACCTCGGAGACAGGAGATGAGCCTGCTTCGGCGTCCTTTGCGAGCTGCGAGGCTAATTCATGCATCTCCTTCTCTGTTGTTGCAGGTTGTTCTTGATGTAATGGTTCTTCTAGCTTGGATGGCTGTGTTTGGTGAAGGGGTTCTTCCGGCTTAGATGGCTGACTTTCTTCGCTTCTCCGAACGTTGAAAGTATCTTGATCGTGGCCCTGCGCGGTCTTCGTATGATCATGGGGTGTACGAGCAGCGCTCTTCAGATCAAGATGGGAATTCTGCTGGTAGGGGTTCCCTCCGAGCATCTTTGCAACTCGCTTCGTGCGGAACACGTCTGTATTAATACCCTCTGGTACTTTTTCCTGCTGTGGCACAGCTGTTCGTTCTGGAATATTCTCCTTTTGCATCTGTTCCTGATTGGGCTCGGCCGCAGAGTAGTACACATCCTGGTTCAGCTGCTCATCTCTGACGTGAACGTCGCTCTCCTGATGAGTCTCGCCATATCTAGGTATTTGAGTCTTCGGCGACGAAAGGGGTGTCGGCTGCGATTCAACTGATCTAGAGTAGAAGACGTCTTGATCATGTCCCTCCTGTAGTTTCTGTACTTGTGGAGCGGGGGAGGGGCTGTACGGCTCGTGTGCATGTGAAGGGATCTGGTCGGAATCTTCGTGTTGAGCGCGCATCTGGTCTGCCGACATGACCTTGTCTAATAAAGCACCGGTAGGCTTGTCTGGCAATGGTATAGTAGATGCCTTCGACCCCACGGGCTGCATGCCCTCATCATCCTTCAGCCTCGTGTGATGTTCATTCGCGAGCGGATCCTTGGAAGCCTCCGGTACTGGTCGTTCGTTAAATGTATCCTGCCCTCTTGTTTCTTCCTCCAGAGTCATCCCGGCAGAAGGGATCGTGCCATCCGGCAACGGCGCCCGCTCAGCGTCCTCTTGCTGCACACCCAGCTCTCCCTCAGTTGCCGCTTCTGCCTTCGTGTTCCTCCCCGATCGATCATAAGGGTGGTCCTGTTCCAAGCCTGTCTCTGTGTCTTCTCTCGGTTTCTCCTCCCTCACAGTGTCTCTTCTCGGGATCTCAGCATCTTGCGAAGCCGTCGGGCGTTGTGCCGCTGCCGAGGCATACTTCGGTACCTCCTCGTTCAGCCGCTGTGAAAGAGCGCGCGCGGCTTCGAGCGTCAAGGTGATCCGGTCCGTCTGATTCTTCGCAGCTTTGGCGAGGGAGGATGTCTTGCTGTAGGCATCGAGCTGCTGCGAGCGGAGCTTGACATGCTGCTGCGCGATGCTTTTCGAGGCATTGAACAGCTTCGCCGCGTCGATGAGCCGTCTACCCGCCATTGGAGTTGATTCAAGCGACTACCGCATCGGAGAACACATAATAGAGGGTGCCTGAACTCGCGCTCCTCTCGTGAGACTTTGGTAAAAGTTATGATAGCGTCATAGCTTGCTCGGCTCAAGCTCGACCAGACGGGGGTCGCGATTGGCCGGGGGCGCCCTTCGTTCTAGACCCCTTCAGGTACCTTGCATCCCGCTTCATTCACCCGATCGACAATGTGAAGCCCAACGCTGGAGCTAGACCATTCCAAATCTGTTTGCGGCTGTTGCTTTACATGATAGCCTGGACGTGCCTGGGTACCTTCGGGGTAGTGCGCGCGGATCTTTTGACGGCGGTTTCGCCCTGTTCACTAACTTAACCTGCCCGCGCCACCATAGAAGTTAGCTCACGCGAGCTTCGAGCCAAGAACCCCTCAGGAGAGCTCCCACAAGCTGTATCGCGAGGGCAATTGAAGATGAAGATCGCGTTGCTGCAGTTTGACCCAGATGTGGGTACCGTGCAAGCGAACATCAAGCGGGCGGACGACCTTCTGCAGCGGTCAAAGATACCTGTGGATCTGGACTGGCTGATATTGCCAGAAATGGCCTTCTCAGGTACGTTTTGGGCATTTGCGCCGTGATTCTCCACAAACGTCCAGTGATTGGAAAGTTTGCAACAAAGTTGTATACTCTGCGCAAGAGTTGCAAGTTACATCTGGGTGGACAAGACAACACATGTGACCAACATGGTGTCCACAATCCCACCAAACCAATGCGGTACCAGCTTGTGCTTTCCCTATGGTAACACAGCATACCGAAGCTTTTGACAAGGCATTGTAATGATGTCAGACAAGTGCGAAAAATAATATCGAATGTTAATCATACCCAGGCTACAACTTCCACTCTCTCGAAGAAATCACACCCTATCTCGAACCCACAACTGCAGGAATAACATCGCAATGGGCAATCCAAGTTGCAAAACACTACAACTGCCATGTAACAGTCGGCTATCCTGAGCGTACTTCTGACTCACCACCCATCAACTGTACATCACCCATTTCATTCAAACCTCGTCACTCAGTCGTACCATCACCTTTACTTAGTGCCCTACCAGCCACTCTGTATACTCCTTCTTACTTTTCCCCTCACTTGCTGATTCCAACTCAGACAATTCCACCGTGACAATCTCGCCGATTGGCCAAATTCTCCAGAATTACAGGAAGTCATTCCTCTACTACACAGATGAGACGTGGGCAGCCGAACCTCCCGCCCGCTTCCAGATCGAACATCTCAACAAACTCGGCCCCATCATCCAAGGCATCTGCATGGACATAAACCCGCACCGCTTCCTCGCCCCCTGGTCAGACTATGAATTCGCGACTGCGGCGCTGGCATCTGTTCCTCCCAGACCCATGATTACTCCAGGCGAGGCTGCTCCACCAAGGGAAACCCCTCTCATCGTCGTCTCCATGGCGTGGCTCTCTTACCTCACCGCCTCCGAAATCGCATCCGATCCCACCTCCCCCGATGTCGCCACAGTCGCCTACTGGGTCGAACGATTCCAGCCTATCGTCGAGCGCAGCAAAGAAGTGCCGGGACCCTGGTACGTTGTGCTAGCTAACAGGTGTGGCAGGGAGAAGAGCGTATGCTATGCGGGGAGTAGCACGGTGATCAAGGTCGAAGATGGGGGTGTGAGTCTATTCGAGACCTGTGGGAGGGGCGAGGAGAGGGTTTTGTGCGTGGATTTGGAAGGGGAGCCGAGGTTTAGTGTTAGGAGTGGGCGGTAGTTGGCGGAAGGTTGGGGGAGAAGGGGGCGAGGGCTATGCCTGCATGTGGTATGATTGGATTATGACATGAATGAATGGGATACCTCGGGCTATGCATAGTAGAATTCATGATATACGTTGGTTTGAAGTGCCCCCTTCGAAAGTTTTGGGATCGTGGGATGGGAAGGCTAGGCAATCAACTCGCGATCTCGTGGCTGCGTAAAGCGGGCGTGCAGCACGAGATTGTTCCTGGAGTTCTAAGCTGGCAAGGAGAGAAACGTAAATTTCGTGCAGTACGACCCGACAATGCATTGAGACTTCTCGAATCGTTACGATGAAGTGCTGCGTCTGATCATTCCTACTACGTGCGCAGGTCAGGTAAGCCCTGCAGTGGGTTGCATGAACAAGCGCGGATGCTTTGAAGCACCAGCAGCGTTCTGTTGTCACGAACAGCTGTGTCACGAACAGCTGGAGCGATTGCACGCATGTCCACTGGCGTGGAATTACTCATTCAGCTTGTCAAGCCCACCCACGTCACCACACCCACAAGATTGCTCAGTCCAGCAAGTGATTCATTCATATCCACTGCCTAACCCTAATTTTCGAACCCATAAGCGCCAGCCAGAGTGAGTGTCATGACTCGAAAACCCTTCACTCAAATCATGATATGCATCCATCCATCGTGCGTCCGTTCCATCCCCTACCACCTCGCAGTGACCGTGGCCATGCTGTTCCCGTGTCGTTCGCTCGCCGGACGTGAAATAATTGATGCTGGGGATCGAGAATCGTGAGAAGGAAGGGAAACATGTGGCGAGGCGTTTAGATGCCGATACGGGTCTTGCGCCAGTGTCGCCTCTTGGCGTTGTAGCTGGATCGCTGTCAGTGTGCCATTCAAATCCCATATGATATCGCGAGTGCGCCGAGAGAGCCGTACCGGATGGTATTGCCCGTCCTCAGGCGGATCCACTGGGGAATCGGGCGGTTCTGCTTCTGAGCTTTGGCAAGCTTTTGCTTGGTGCGGAAGGACTTGTGGCTCTGCGAAGCATTAGTACAACGACTGGAAGAGGCTCAGGCGGGCGGCAGCGTACCGGCATCGTGACGGTTTGTCGGTGTCTCGAGATGTCGAAGTGGAGGGTTGTGCTGCGCGGCTTGGTGGTCGAGTGCGGTGCGCAAAATCTAAGCGAGGTGGGCCGTGCTATTTCGGCTTAGCGCAACATCACGTGCACTAATTTGCGCTCGGGCGCCTTCTCGTCGCGAAGCAGCGCGCAACTTAATTTCCTCAGGACATCCATACTAGAATTATCAGACTACGAACGAAACAGAGGTGCGCACCTGCTCGTATACAGCACGACTGCGGTCGTATCCGTCATGGCCTCAGCGTTCACGCCAAGGATCAACAATTACCCTTGACGTCCAATGTCCGTGTGTGTTGCGGACTGTTCACGACATTGCAGACTGCATCTAGCACTCATCTACACAGCCAGTTGGGAGCAGCATCGACTTTCGTCATGCAACAACTCTTTCCTCGCTACGCCACGAGACGGGCGACCATTCTTATGGGTTCAATGGTGCATTTACCGGACCGCATCGATTCAGAGGCACAGAGGCCACAAAGAACGTCATACATCTGCCACAGGCCAGTAAGAGCTCACTGGTGTCATGTTGTATTTCCGGGGCGTCGAACCCCAACCTTGCTAAACCAATGTTCTTTCCGTGCTTACTGAAGGTTTCTAGGCTCCGCAGGTATATTCACCCAAACCTACAGACCTAGCTTCCTTCGGATGTTCACAGCTCAGCATTGCCTGTAATTCATTGACTCCGTTCGTGGTCGGCATCGCGAAGTCGCTTCCCCCTTTCTTGGTATCGTCCGCTTTCATTACAACATCTGCCAGACTGGGTAATCATTGTCCAGACTCTTATGGAGGCTTCGAATTGCATCGATTAAACGAGTTCATCCCTTACGATGATGTATTTGACTGTTTTTTCTGCGTGCAATGTCAGCGATGATGGCTATCACTACGTACGGGGTGCGATATAAGACTCAATACCTTTTACCGTAACCAGACAAAGCACATCAGCTGTACGGTACCGAGGCACGGCACACACAGCTCTCCATTACGAAATGTTTCCTGTTGCCATGTCATGCGTCGAAGCCACCAGCCTGTGCCGCCACCTGAGATTAATCTAGCAGCCGACATGCCATCGGACCTTCATGATCACGACCAAAGTCTACATGAAACACAAGGAATGTAGGAACTGAACGCTTCCGTTGTTTACAGTGAGCCCATTTTGATGAGAGGATCGGCAGCGTAGGTCCGAAGCAACGCACTGGAACTACATTTAATACGCGGGACCAAATCAATGGAAGGATCTCGATCATACAGGAAACCCCTCGACGTCGACCATGCCATCAATGGCTCCCTCTGTGGATTGTGTGCCCACCTTACCACGAGGGCGTGGGATTCTGGTTGGTATGTCGAGTCCCAACTGCAAAGAGCACGGCAGACATCACTCGTTGAAGGTTAAGCTTCATTGGTTGGCCGCGCTACCAACCGGCCGATCATGACACCGAACTCAGTTAATAAGCATTGGTTGACAAATATCAGCTTCATTGGTATAAGTGTTGCGTCTCGCGCTACAAAGAGTGTAAGAAAGTATATATACAACAGAACATCCAGCTCTATCCACGCCATCATGCTTGTCTCGACAAGCTCTTCAAGCTTCTCAATTCACGCCCAACTCTCTAACATCTAAACACGGCGGACCGTTTGGAAACCGCTTGGTGCGGCAGATCCACCGAAACCACCGCTGGGAGCAGCGGTCGGCTGGGCACCAGCAGAGCCAGACTGGCCACCAAAGCCGGGGAAGCCACCCTGACCGCCCTGTTGACCATGTCCACCGAAGCCACCAGTAGGCTGAGCACCGCCGGACTGGAAGCCGCCAAAGCCTGACGGGAAGTCTCCAGATGGGAAAGCACCGGTGGGACGCTCACCACCTTGAGTAGCGCTGGCGTCGAATGCTTGAGCGCCGAAAGACTGGGCACCCGAAGGAGCAGCACCGCCGAAGCTGCCTGTTGGTCGAGGGAAGGCAGAACCTGACGGGAAACCGGATGGAGGAGGGCCTGGATAGGTATAATGTCAGTAAACGTCACGAAAAAGGATGGTGAGAAGTGACTGTCCCAGTCGGCTGTGTTACTCCCGGATGACCAACATAAGAGCCGACTGTAAGGTTTATATGTGCAAGAAGTCTGGGAATTACTCACCAGTAGGACGAGGACGACCAGAGCCGTGAGCAAACCCACCGCTAGGAATGCCTGACGGAGCTACACCGCTGGGAAACTCAGGACGGCCCGAGCCAGATGGATGGGCGAAGCCGCTCTCTTGACGGCGCTCGAGGCCTGAAGGCGCGGCACCAGAAGGAGCAGGGCCGCTGAAAGAGCCGGTAGGTCTAGGGAAATTCGTAGGGAAGCCCGATGGAGGAGGGCCGGTAGGACGAGGACGACCGCTACCGTGAGCAAAGCCTGACGGGAACCCGGGGAAGCCTGTGGGGGCTACACCGCTAGGACCGCTTGGGAAGCCGCCGCTAGGAAAGCCACTCGGCAAACCGCTAGGAAACTCAGGACGTCCCGAGCCGGATGGATGAGCGAACCCGCTCTCTTGACGGCGCTGGAGGCCGGCATCTGTGGGGGCAGCGCCGGACGGAGCAGCACCAGACGGGAAGCCCGAGAATTCGGGAAGACCTGTAGGACGGCTGCCAGACGGGTGAGCAAAGCCTGAAGCGCCGCTGGGTCTGTGGTGGGGGTGTCCGTGGTGACCGGATGGGTGCGCAAAGCCAGATGCACCAGACGGGAAAGAACCGGTGGGACGAGCAACACCGCTAGGGAAGCCGCTGAATTCAGGGCGAGCCGAGCCAGACTCCTGAGCGGAGGCAAAGGCAATGACAAGAGCTGCGGAGATGGCGGTGAACTTCATTTTGACCTTGAAAGACGAGATTGATTCTAGTGAATGCGGATGGCGAAAAGTGTTGAGAAGTTGGAAGTTCTAAGATGCAGATGCGAAGTATGCTGAAATGAGCGAGACACACAGTGTACTCTGAAAGAAAGACAGTGACTGGAGAGTCAGTGAAAGTACGAAGAAGTGAATGGAGCTGCTGAGCTGTGGTTTCTCCATCTACATCGCCCTCGGACTTTTATATCAAGCGACTGTCACCAACCCCACGGCATCATCCGACCCTTACAAGGCGTCTAAGCTTTCTCCTCGAGGTTCAGGCGCCGGGGTCCAGACTGTGCCTCCGAGTCGTCGCTCTGTTTCGGTGGAGCCCGTTTCATTAAACACAGCACATCACCCTGTGGTCATTCGTGGGGAGGCTTGTCCAGCCTTGCAAATCGCGAATGGGAGTGAGGTGCTGTGACGCGTATGCTTTCCGTGAAACAAGGCTCTGCATGGTGTCAAAATAGGTACCATGGACGCGTATGCAGGCGGGGCGGCCGTAGCGCTGGCGCGATGTTTCATATGCGCGCGGGAAGGGAAATCAACCAACAACACTTCAACTTCGCGGCTGATGCACCCTACAAGCGCAAGCGAGAATTTTGACAAAGGAACGATGATTGAATATTCGTTCGAGATAGTTTGATGTCGAGTTCAAATTTGTTGATAAGTAAATCACCAAAAACTGAAAGAGTGTATACCGACAAACCTGCCCGATATGGTGCGTACCTGCATGAGCGTTGTTGTCCGGTTCTCGGACCACACATGTCACTGCCTGTTCCTGCTGGTTGGCGCATGTCCGAACCTTCAACCATGGAACTTGGAAAGTCTATGCTATGGGCTGGTGTTTCAGCTGAGCCGCACTGAGAAAGAACGACAGGTCTGAGCATTCTGACGCAAGCCTTCATTTACGCCATGCTCTCGCTGTCCCTGGTGGCGGAAGAAGACTACAGGTAGAGTAAAGGTGCGAAGAATGCTCCGGGGGTTACGTCAGTGGAAAGAGGGCCTTATGACATTAAAGCCTGTTGTTGTTTCTGAGTAAATGATTGTACATCATGCGAGATCCGTCACAGTGGACCAGCACTGGTATTTCTTTCCCATTTGGGAGCCTACGGAAACTGAGATCGTACCAAATACCGCGGTATCGGGCAGGCATCGTGGACATGTAAACGTCCATCATTGTAGATGTTCCCCCCATATGCTTTATTGCTAGCCCAAAGGCTCTTCCCTACGATGCGGTATCCGCCGCGAACTTCAGCACATCAAAAAAACCGAAAGACCTAATCTCACGAAATCGTGTAGTCCGCAGTGCTCATCCTGCTCTTGCGATGTCATAATCTCGTTGCGCTGAAGTTACCGCTCGAAGCTGACGACGCGCAATTTAAACAGTGTAACCTGGCTATACCAATACAGCACCTGGTTCCTGGGGAAGCGAAAATCATCTTCTGCGATCCTCGCGCTGCCAGAAAATTTCCGTCGGAAATACTCATGGTTTCTGAACGGTAAGAAGATTTGTGTAGTAGTCGCCAACGGTAGACGTCAGCTACCTGCAGGCCCGGTCTCTTTAGCAATCGATACGAACGCGCTGTGTAGAAGCAACCCTTACATAGAGATCGTTTCCGCTGTCAATCCAGAAACAATGAGACACCGTATTTCTCGGATGGCCTCGCTTGTTCCTTTCTCGTTACATTATTTACACGAATGATTAACGAAGTGCGCGAAGACGTGACTAGAGCAAATAATGCGGATAAAGGTCTCGTCGAGACACTCCGCGCGAGTTACCTGTCTATGGGTACTGCACCCTGAGTTTACTTCAGCCGCTCTGTGTTACCTGGTCACCAGCAAATTCTCTACGCCTAGCCTCGCCAACGCTCTACTCGAGCGAAAATCCCTTCCATACAGATTGCGCGTAGTTGGCCTACTGCAACACTTGGCTCAGCTTGTTTCTAGTCCTTCCGTAACAAGATAGAAATCGTACGGCGCGCAGCCTTGACTTCGCAGTTGGTTATAGCCTTCTTCGTCACCAGTATGGAAGCCATCGTCTCGCAATAGCAGTTCAGCATACTTACTACTTGAAAGTGCATGCTCCAATGTATGTCTGCCGTCATCTTTCATATGCACTTGTAAGCACCAACAACAAGCCCCACCACTTAGATGCTTGAGCCAAGGGATTCAACCACCAATTGTGCACTAGTAGGGGCCAGGCACCTCGTGACTAATACCCCAGCTCAATCCTCCGCCAAGCACATAACTTTGGGAAACGTCTTCTTTCCTCTTTCATCCACAGGAAGAGCAGCAGTAAATAAACCAGGCCAACAAGATGTTCGAGTTCGTAACAGTCAGCCACCCGCACGAGATGCGCGACCAGAAGCACCAGCAGCGCATCCGACAGCACGCCATCCGCGCTGGGATTCAAAACAAGCGGAGAGAAGAAGCGAAGAGGAACGAGAACTTCGTGACTAGTGGTATAGACGTGCAGACTGGAAAGTTGAGGCAAGATGTGCGGCCGATCGCTGCCATGGTTATTGCGAAACCTGTGTCTGGCGGGCGACTTGACCCATTCGACTCTCTACCGGGGGATGGCGAACGTCTAAGATCATTGATGGCGCATAGTCAGTGTTTCCATATCCACGCCTAAAAAGATCTCACACTGATACGTGTTAGAGAGTGCACGTTCAGCCGGTGAACCAGTGTTTTGTGTCGAGGAAGCTGGAAAGATCTTCTTCGAAGGCCTGGATGATGTGTTTCGAGGCGCATTGTCGGACCCGTTGATGTTCCACGCACTCTCACTTGCATTATCATTAGCTGCCAACATGAATGTTCCTAATGTAGAATGCCTGACGCAGCGCGGAGCGACGCTGCGTAATTTGAGGCACCGCATGTCCAATCCGGGACTGGTACCGTCAGTGTCAACGCTGACGGCAATGCTGTTGGTTATTGGTTACGAGGTACCCATCCCCTACCGCTTATCGTGGCTTTATGAAAATAATCTTTACTTCAGTATCGGGTGGACGGATCCGATGCAAATAGCATTGTAACGCATCTTGGTGCTATTAAGAACGTTGTGGAGCTGACCAAGGCTTCCAACGTGTCAATCTCAGATCCGATCAGGCGAGCGCTCTTTTGGCAAGACTTGTATTCATGTCTCTTCGTCGGCACAAAACGCCTGCTTTCCCATCGAGACTATGAAGAGATCAGCCGCGAGACTTTTCCTTCATCAGCTCCAGGCTGCTTTGTACCTCCCGGGTTTGACAAGGTTATCTCCGATTTCTCTGCGGGATTCGTAGACGTCATCCTCGATCTCAATGGCCTTTGCACATTAGTCGACATGCACTGTACCCCGGGCGGACTTGTGCTTCAACAATGTCCTATCGACAACTTCCAGTATTGCATAGAGTCTCGATTAGTCGACTTATTGAGCCAAAATCGGGATTCGGGCGCAGAGGATTTGTTGCTGCAGGCTTGTATATTTGCAGCCTTCTTTGTCACGTACAATCTGTCCACGGGAATCTGGGAGGGCTGTTTTATTCCGGAGTACTGCGCAACGCAGGTTATGAACTTAGTGAACAAAACTAAAGGCGATCCAAGATGGGAAAAGGACGAGTACAAGAGGTTGTTACTGTGGCTTCTATTCGTAAGTGGAGCTATGGCTAAGCGGAGTCGAGTTCGTTCGCGAGCTATCGAGATGATACGAAATCGCCACCACGATCTTTCGCATGAATTGTATGATGACTGGGACCAGCTCCTTGAACTCTTGAAGATGTTCATCTGGTCAAACCATTCAATGGAACAGAAGGTATGGCGATTTTGGCAGGAACTGCATTCGCCACAGCCACGAATTAGTCGTTTCGAGGAAGAACCCGAGATCATGCACTCAGCATGAGGGATTAACAATCCAAATACTATGCATCTCGCAGAAAAGCGGTTTGCGATTGACCGGCTATCTTCAACTCAGTCAAAGGGCGCGTGAGTCAGAAGGGCGGAGGATGCACCTTCCTTTCCAGGTGCTTAGTAACATGAGCAATCTTTACTTCAGGAATCGTTCCGCCAACTTTCTCTCACCAAAAGAAATCGATCATGGCGATCAAAATCCAGGAAGCATCAGATACTGACATACCTCGCGCCGCCGAAGCGGAAGCCGCGGCGTACGGTGATGGCACTGGCGGCTCTCTTTTTTTTCCAGGCCCCTTTCCACCAGGCGGCCGAATAGAAGGAAGAGCCAAACAGATCATTTCCATGCGCGATAATGACCCCTCAGTCCGACTTTTAATAGCCGTGGATGAAGAGACGGGCGAACAAATCGCGTTCGCCAAATACCACGTCTACGAAACACCTGAGGCGGTCGCCTTGTCCCCAGGACGCCCCTTGCCAGCAGGGCCCGGAGTCAACGAAGAAGCATGCAAAGCTTTTTTCGGCGGCCTCATTGACCGGAAGGAAGCCATTATGGGAACGAAGCCACATCTGTGTATGTGTGGGCATTGGATGTCTGCAAAACACATGAGCTGACGAGTGCAGATTTGCACATGCTGCATACCGACCCCAAGTATCAAAGACGTGGCGCCGCAAGTCTGCTGCTGAATTGGGGAACTGAAAGAGCGGACCAGCTGGGCCTGCCGGTGTATCTTGAATCTAGTCACACGGCCCACATGCTCTATGGCAGGCATGGATTTAAGGACGCAGAAACCTTTGAAGCGGATATGAGACCTTTTGGGGGAGACCAAATCTTCACCGCGCCTCTAATGATACGGGAGCCTGTCAAACCCTCAGCTTCATCGTGAATACTAAGCATATAACCAAGGGCTGACTGAAGTTTGGGGCCTGCGGGCTGTAGCTGAAGTGTCAGAGGCTGGGCTGAAATGGAAATGAGGCCCCGGGGAGTCCTAGGGCACATGATCAACTTCAGCGTGGCCAGTGCCATCGTAAAAAATTTCAATGAATGATATCGTTGTGGAAAGACTGTGTACATAATTTCTGTCATAATATTGTACAGTTCCTGCGGCGATATGATGCAACATGTATCAATGACGAGATGTAGGGATGAAATTGAACAAGAAATGACAGGGTGTCGAATGTTCGAATGCGCACTAGAGGTATTGAAAACTAGCTTACATAACTGGCGCTCCCAAACCGCTTGGGGCTCGTAAACCTCCGATCTTATCTCCTTCCGCCGCACCAGTCTGCGCTCAGCCCCATCCCTCTCGTCGTTTTGCTCAATGCTCGCAAGCCATCAGAAGACAGAAGATAGCCAAGGGATAGATGTGTGCTGCAAGCGTAGCGCAAAGATACGTGCACAGTACTTTTTTTACTGGAGGCACAGTGCCTGCTAAATTGTGAGAAGCTGATAAGATCGGAGCAGACCCAGAACTTTTCTCTAAACTCACCTACAGAACGCCTGGTCGTTCAAATGAAGAAGTCTTGCGACATTACCTTTGTATTGTTTGCTGTCAATCAACGATCTGGGTGAGCCCGACGTACCGGTGTTCGAACATGGTCAATCTCCGTACTGTAAGCCGGCCGACCGTACGCTTACGGGCGCTATGTTTGATCATGTCTATCCATCGTCGGACAGCAGGACTTAGAGAGTCTTATTCTCCGTGATTGGGTGTATGCGGCATTTTCAGTGGGGCGTAGTACCCACAAGGCTTCCTTTCCCGGAACATGGCGCGCTAAGATGTAGGCCTCATCGGACTCTACATTGTGCGTGCGAGATGCTATTCCCTAAGCCAAGCTCCTATGCAATTCTCCGAATACAGCCCTTGCAGTCTCTATCGTACGACATACGACCAATGCCGTTTAAGTTTCATACATAAACACATGTGCTCAGGCCTTCTCGAAACAAACCCCAAACACACTCTTCTAACCACACTCGTTTCCTTTTTTTTGCTTTTTGCCTTACACCATGGATTCCACAGAGTTATTGACCCTCGTAATTCGCGAGGCCGCGAAAAACAGCACCACTGCCGCCAAACCGTTTCGTTGCAAGGTTGGAGTATGTCCCCTATCAATGGCCATTGTCAATTATCAGCCGACGTTTGCCGGCAACACAATCTATGGTGTCTGTTTCATCATACTGCTTTTCATACAACTCTTTTTCGGCATTCGGAAGAAGACATGGACCTACATGAGTGCTGTCTGCCTGGGTATTTTTGGTGAAATTGTTGGATATGGCGGACGTTTGATGCTGCATGACAACCCCTTCGACATGAACAACTTTCTTATGTAAGTACCAAGCATGCACCTTTACGTACGTTTATATCATGCTAATTCAGGTCAGTTATCTGGTTCCCCTCACAGTTGCCCCTGCTCTTCTGACGGGTGGCATTTATCTTTGCCTCAGCCGAGTCATCGTGACCGTTGGCGCCGACTATTCCCGCATAAAGCCGAAGATGTACACCTACATATTTGTTGGTTGCGACCTGTTGTCTCTAATTCTACAGTCTATCGGCGGTGCCATTGCCTCAATGGCAAACAATACCAACAGCAGAGACCTGGGCGTCCACATCATGATTGCTGGTCTGATATCCCAGATCATCTCCATGATCATCTTCTTCGTCCTTTGGGGTGACTTCGCCTTCCGAGTAAAAAAGGCGAAGAACGCTGGAAACCTCACCGGGCAGGCCCCTCTGTACGGAAGCCTTCGAGCTGACCCAAGCTTTCGCTGGTTCCAATGGAGCCTCTTCGCGGCGACTTTGCTCATCTTCATTCGAAGTGTGTACCGTGTCGCTGAGCTTTGGGGTGGATTTCAAAGTCACCTTGCCAACGACGAGGTCACCTTCATGATCTTCGAAGGACCGCTGATTATTATTGCTGTTATGATGATGACTGCATTCCACCCAGGGCGGATTTTCGACGATCTATGGGTGTCCGCGGGCAAGGGTTATCGCTTTACCAAGCACGGCGATACTGGTGCTGATGATAAGATTGAGTTGATCGAACGCCAGTGGCAATGATGCGCTGGAACTTTACACAAGTGTTCCTCATGCATGTATCGGGAAACTGGAGTTGGAATGGGGTTCGGGTTTTCACTTCCAGTTCTTCACTTATATACCCTTCATAGATACCGACTTGTACCATCAATTGATAGAGTCATTAACGGTTACCACACGAGTTTGAGCTTCCAAAACGAACGCATCAACTCGCGAAAATGAGTCCTGTAACAACTTAGCGTGCGATCGCTCCGTACATGCTTCATCAACCTGTGTATTCAAGCGTGTCCCGATTCGAGCAGATTGTAGTGACCCTGTCATAGATCTGCCTAGAGACTCATGGGGGGCTGTGCTGGGGGGCCGCATGTCGCACCATGGTTAGGCGAGGACTCGACCGGACCCGACATCGTGAACTCCGATGAACCGCAGCGTCACAGGGCTAGTATGGACGTAAATTACCATTACATTGTATTGGCACAGTGAGAGCTCTACAGCGCCTCCCCAGAAGTTTGAGTACTTTGTGTTACCCAGGGGTGAGCAACACAGCACACGGATTTTGACCTATCTTCACTGCGTCGCTTCCTACAGCGAACGCGTGCTCCGCTTACTTCCTCGCGCTTGCCTTCGTGAGCCACTCTTGGATGGTTCGCCCAGCCAAACGAGGAACGTTCTTGTATCGCTCGTTATCATAAGTTTCATCGATGGCCTTCGCAAGCCTCTCCGCGCTTCTAATCGTGAGCCTCTTCGCTTCTGCCCAATGTTCCCGTCTGACGAACTCCTCCGATTGGTCTGCCAGCTCTGCCCTCTTCTTTCGCACCGTAGGATCATCAGCCTTCTCTGCAGCGCAAAGTGGACAATTGCATTCAAAGCCCCAAGTAGTCATTAGGGCGGCCTGTCGTGCCTCGTAATCGGGGTTCTGATCGTAGCTGAAGAAGACCTCCTCGCCCACGTTGAGAGCGCGTGTAGCGCGAAGGACCATCAAGTCGCCAACGAAGTCTTTGCTGGTATTGGGTACACAAGAATGGTTGATGTAAGCTGCCCATGTGCAGAGACCTGTACTGGCATTCCGTGCACCTTCTTCCCCGTATTGGTTGCCAAGTCCAAAGCCATTTCTCGACACTATATCATGTATCCGGAAAGTGTCGACTATAGGACCGTCTTCGGTTCGGATGACATTCTTACCATCACCGTCGTAGTCGCCAAAGAGGTCCATTACTCTGCTTATTTGAGAGGAATTACCGAAGAGCTTCTGCACTATTGCTTTGCTCAAGCCTATAGGCTGTACCCTAATTCGGTCGTCGCGCACATCGTAGGTCATTGCAGTCAGAGCCTCTTTGTCGTGGCCCCATACCACTGAGAACGCTTTGTCGGCCATAACCATCTCTCCTGCAGGTATGTTGCGAGTAACGTACATACCACGCCCGCGGCCTTCGCTGTCTTCAACTTTTACATTGCTGACGAAACTTGCTGCATCGACATGTGGCCGAGCTTTCGAGAGGCCGGCTTTTATCTTGTTCCAATTGTATGCTCCGGTCTGTTGTTCACGCAACCGCATCTCTATCCGCTTCAAGTAAGTACTCGCATCTTTGTCATTTGGTGCAAGCTTCATTTGGTCCTCGAAAAACTTTTTTGCATCATCATACTGGCCGAGACCATACGCAGCGGACCCCGCGCGGTAGTAAGCTTTGCTGTCCAGATCTCTTGATTTTGGATCGCCTCGGCCTGTGAGAGAAGCTTTAGCGTCTAATATGGCTTCGTCAAAATGACTCAAGCGGAGGTTCACGAGGGCCCGATTACGAGCAATGTCTCGAGCCAGGTCAGGATTTGTCGTCGAAACGATGTCCTGCCTCGCGACGGTCAAACCGTCCGTATACTTTTCATGGGCTGCTGCCAAGTCGCCATTCTTCAGTTCGTCGTTGCCTCCGCTCTTACAAGTCGTGGCGAACTTCTCTGCCGCTTTAGTGCTTGGAAAAGTTTTCCCAGTAAGCGCGTCGCTGAGGGAGACCAGGTCGGAAGGATGATCTATACGGAGCGTAGCCTCGCCCTCTTCCGTTAAAGTGAAATATGGCTCTTTGATGATAAAGTTTTTTGCGTATTCCAGGATGTCTTCTCCGTGCCGTGACTTGTGCAGACTCATCTCTAGTCGCTCTGTGTCGCCGCCTTCCGCATCCTCCACCATGGTCCACGAACGCGCCGTAAGCACAACAACTGGGCTGGCACGTTTGATATGAAGTCGGCGGCCGCGATGATGCGTATTCATTTTTAGCTCGCTGACTTTCATAGGTTCTAGTTCTTCGCTCGCGACTGTGCAAGGCGGATACGTCTGTCCCACAGCGAGAGCTGGCAATGTCTCGCCTCGACCATTCGACTGCATAGATTCCATATCTGCCATGAGCGATGCGCCAGTTGCCTGGCTATAGGCTGATTTTGCATCTCGCGGATCTCGTGCTTTGCCATGGAGTTCGGAACATCTCTTCACAGTCTCCTTGACTGTATTTCGGATCCGTTCGGCCTCTTTTTCGGTCAAAAAGACCGTATTCTCTTGTGTTGAACCCATCTCTTTCAGTGTGGAGTTTTCATGAGGCTGCCGTACTTTTTGAGCCCAAATTCTGCCCTCGTTGACGCCCCGCTTAGCGTAGCTTCATTTGGTCTAGTGCTTCTGATGGCTTGGCACTGACCACATTCGCTCACTTGCACGCAACTGCACCTTACACATTCTTCGATGACTATGATGGTAGAGTTACAACATCTGCTTTGCACTTCTGTACGCGCTATCTGGCAGTCAATAGGATAGTCCTCTGTGTCGGTAGAAGCGTGATCGTGAAATGCATCGCACCTACGGCCTGAGTGGTACTAATGATGCGAAGGCAAAAGGACCGCCATCCATAAGATCGGAGATCTGCGAGATTGTTCAAGTGTTTGGCTACGGTTCAATCAGACTGCTCTTACTTCTATGATCTGGAAATACGATCAACTTAGAGAGCGCAGAGGTACATCAGCTGGAGCGCGAGAAACCCTGATATGCTAAATCTCCAATAATGCATCAGCGCACCGCCAAATCAGAAGTATGGGTGGACAAAATTTTCCAATACAGCAGTAATATAACCCCTTACAGCATTGAGCCAAGGCCGGGAGCATGAACGCCAGGGCGGAAAGTAGAAGCCTCCCGAGCTTACGCAAACGTCAACGTCGTCCATGCCACTGGCCGTTTGACCAAGAGCCCTGTCAAACGACTCCCCTGATTCGCCAGGTCCTGAAACAAGTCACTGAGCCACGTTCCCCGCTAGTACCTTCAGCATGCCGAGGACCCACTATGCGGTCTACCAAGCCACGCGTCCATGGGAAAGAATCCTGAACGGGTCACTCCGAGGGCACACCACGTTTATTTCGAGATGAGCATTGCGCAAAGCTGTAATGGAAAGCGTGCAACAGATACGCAGTGACTCCATTTAGCGAATCAAGTCCAAGTATTTACGTGCACTGTCTGTCACGTACTTGGCAGGGTCGCAAGCAGATATACGAAGAAAATGAGTATATAAGAAATCGATGGTGGCGTTGTACGAAGTCTATCAGCACATTTGCTTGCTACTCTTCACCTTCTCCAACACTCGCTCGTAGGATCCTCATACACATTCATCTTACCAAGCCACCGCACCATCCACGATGAGATTTGCAGCCTTTGCTCTTTGCGCGTTTTCGCTCAGCACCAGTGTGCTCGCCCATCCTGAAAAGCTCACTCCCGAGACCCATGAACAACAAAAGCGCGAAGTTGGCCGCTCGACCGGAAAATGCGCTGCAGCGATCGAGGCACGTAAAGAGAAGATGCTGGCCGCAAGATCAGAGCGCCTCCTCCAACGTCGCATCGCCTCCGGCAACCTGAACCTGGATCGCCGCGATATGATGTCTGGTACAATGCAAAAGCGGAATGAGCTCAAGTACACGACGATCCAGAACGACACCTGCGTGCTTGCGCCTGAGACGGTCTGGGGTCCGTATGCTGTTGATGGCGAGCTGCAAAGACACGATCTTCGCGAGACGCAAGAAGGCATTGACTTCTACCTCGATATTGGCGTACTCGATCTTAACACTTGCGAGCCCCTCTCCGGCGCTGCGCTTACCATCTGGAATTGTAACGCCACCGGGTTCTACTCATCTTACACTGGCATCAACCCGAACACAGTCGAACTTCTTGATGGCGCCACGAAGCGGCCCGATGGTACTACGGATGATGAGACGTTCCTCCGCGGTATTCAGATTACCGATTCCAATGGTATGGTCGAGTACTTGACGAAATTCCCTGGGTATTACGCCTCCCGCACTACACATGTGCACGTAACTGTACAAAGCGATGTTACAAACGGGACTAGTTATTCCACAAGCGGAACGCAGCATCTTGGCCAACTTTTCTTCGACGAAGATTTGTTGAGCCAGGTGTACGCCGTCGAGCCATACAATGCGCATCTCTCCACGCTGAACAGGACAACAAATGCGGAGGACTCCTTGTTCTCTGAAGCAAGTGCAGATGGGTACAGCGCTATGGTCAGCATTGAGATGATCGGTGATAACATCGAAGATGGTTTGATCGGCTACATCACCGTTGGCGTGAACCCCGACGGCGAGGCTGCTGTAACAACGGGTGGCAGCGTTAACCCTCAGGGCTTGATCCCCACCGTCAGCGTTGCGGAAGAGAAGAAGGCCGAAGCAACTGCTGCGGACCTGGCCGCTGGATATACGGATTGAACCGCGGATGAAGGACTGATCGACTGCATTCTCTTGGTGTACTTCTTTTCATTTTCGGTATTCCTCTCGGTTTGCTTTTGCTTTCTGTGAACATAGCACGGCGTCCAGCATGATAGAAGAGCGAAATGAGAACCTTTCAATGCATATCATTCTCTGTTTGAAGAAGCAATGGAAGAGAGATCGAATGTCATACTGGTACTACTAGCCAGTTGCCCATAGTAGCGACATATGCCTGACCAACACAAGGCTGACTGCGTGCACGGGGCGTACAACCCTGGGATGGTGCAGGTCGCCAAATGAACAATGCCCTTCAGAGTGGGGACTGACAAGCGTCATTCGAGGCCCTTCTTCTGAACGACTCGAACGAAAAAGAAACATGCGGAGAAAGAGAATCAAGGCATATCGCGAATCGACCCTTCAGGGAGGCCGATGAAATAGACAAAGTTTGGAGAGGCTGGTCCAGTAAAGGACAGCACCGAAAGTTGCGCTAAAATGGATGGCCAATGGCGTCTGTCGGTCTCCTTTACGCCCGATCCTTCCGTGCCCGTGCTTACCACCCATTTCTCCTCCGCCGCGATCGCCTGGCAACGTCGATATTTGAACAGAATCGCGCCGAGTCATCTATGCTAAAGCGACCACTGATGCAATCTACTCTCCCTATCTCTGCTGATCGTGCACCGAATTAAACGGGTCGGGTCGATCTAGCGCTGACGCCCTTCGACTGTAAGGAAGCGAGGTAGCACACGCTCATACGAGCTCGAACGAGGCTGCTATGGCTGCTCTTGGGCTCTCAGGCCCGCTTGGGCGATCACTTCACAGACCCGTGAAGACTTGCACCGAGTGCAAACAAGTCAAAGTATATCTCTTCCTCATTATAGACGATTGCACACACATTGACGAGCAACACAGCTTCGTTGCGACTCAAAAGCCAAATTTCCTGCGCCATGTTCAAGATGTCAAACCCGGAATCTGCAGTGCATCGTCGATTCTTCATTTCGGCGAACGCCCGCTCGCAAGTACGACAGTCCTGACCTGTTCAGCGCTTGTGGCTAACCTCATAAAACAGACGCGTCGAAGAGATGGCGAAGGAACTGGAGACGTTAAGAAACCAGAGAGAAGACAATGGCCTCAAATCTACGGTATCACCAGATACCCACTTCGACTCTCCTGAGTATGCGCTTGAACAGTCGGGTACGGCTATGGTGACAGATTTTGGCACCAAAGAGCAATACCAACTAGAAGGTTTCACAATTGACAGAAACACAGTCGCCGATGTGTTCAAAATGTAAGTCCAGGACCTGCTATTGCCGCAGAGCTTCTGATTGACTTTGTCTAGGTTTGCAATATTCTACTACCCCCACTTCCCCGTGCTGAATCCGAGCATCTCCATTTCAGCGTTATACGACACAGCACCGCTCCTATTTTGGACCATCGTCGCAATAGTTTCTTCACGCGGACCGTTACCGCAACACAGGGCACTCTTTGAAAATCTACAGGCGCCCTACTTGGCTCAACTTCGCCTCGAGATCTTGACTGCACCTGTTCCTTTACAAACCATTCAAGCACTCATTCATTTGATCATGTGGCCTTTGCCTTCGCCTCGTCAGTCACACGACTGTAGCTGGCTCTACTGTGGGGCTGCTATAAACGCAGCCCTGTATATGGGGCTCCATCATTCAAAACCACCGCCATCGTTAAGGAGTATCGGTATCCCTTCTGGTTCTCCGCGAGCAAGAGCTAGTACATGGCTTGGTTGTTTCCTAGCCAGCACCTCGTAAGTCGAATGCGTCTTATTCTACGCAGCCCCTTCGGAAGGTCACCATGGACTCTGAGCGTGCTAACTCCCTACAGAGTAGGTATGCATATGGGCGTCTCACCCCATATCAACGAGACCACAGAGCTAGCGACGATAGAAAATTTCGTCCGCACATACCCGATTCCACCTGAATTTGCCTACCAAGTAATGGTACACCATATCATGGCCAAGTTCACAACCATAGTATTAGAGAACACTCAAGAGACCGTATCCCAATCGCTTGTGAAGCTCATCGATACAGAGCTCGACAGCCTCAAAACGAGGTTCCCAACATCATGGTCCCCTCGCATAGAAATGGCTGTGCTCGTCGCTAAACTGCATCTCTACACCATGACCATCATCCGCATGCAAGACCTCACATCGCGAGAGGTTCTGATGAAGAATGGCTACTCAGTTGCCCTCCGCGTAGTCTATCTCTCTGATCAAGGTCTTTTCCATCGCTCGGATGATTATCCCGAACTGGCTGCTGGACCTCTGCTGCACACTTGCCCCAAAAATTACTTCCGCGCCCTGATGCTTGCCACTGTGTTCTTACTTAGGTTCTTCGCACTAAACATCAACGCTACACCCGAAGAGCAAGAAACTGCAAAGAACCACGTCGCAATAGCACAGCGATTTTTTCGCAACGGAGCAACCGATCCAAGCAACCCAACGGACGAGAAAGCGCGGGCATCCATAGTTATCGAGGTACTAAGCCGGCAACAACCTATGGACATTGACAGCTCAAAACTCAAGATTGACGATCGTATGGGCGCAAGCCTCGTATTCGATGCCATCACTAGGGGTCATGAATTGAGAAACATCAAAACCGACCTGGAGGAACGGACGTCCCCGCAAGAGAACGGAACCGATCAGCAACAGTCGGTTGCCGAAATGCCCCCTCCTCCTGCAATGTTGGCGTTTGACGACTACGCGGAGATGACGCAGGCAGATATTAGTGCTATGAATGACTTCGATCTACCGCTCGACTTCAATACGCTGCCACAGGACCTTTGGGGCGATTCTATGTGGGGAATGTTCGGCACCTTCGCCCCCTCATATTGATTCCACGATACTATTACAGGGCCAAGACGAAGACTTCCTCGAGAAATGAGGTCTCTCGAAAATCTATCTCATAGAAGTTGACTCGTCAAGGTTACGTCCCGTTGCTAGCCGTCGCATGCGGATACCAACCTTGAGAGTAGCCGCCGCCCTATGCACGAGTGTAGGGTATATTCATTACGATGCTGGCGGCGTTATAACAGTCTGCACACCGCTGTCTTCCCTCCTCTTAGCCATCATCTCATCCCACTTGTGCGCAAACTCTTCTGGCAATGGCATGTTCAAGAGCCCGATATACTTCTGGCTCCCGTGCACGTCGCTCTCCATGAAACCTCCGTTTGGTGTTGGCTTGCCTTTCCACAACCTCGGGATCGTTGCCTTGTAGGCAAGGGCTTGATCAAAGAAGCCACTCCAGATGACCTCATCTTCTCGTATGCCGTTAAGCTTTGCAATGACAGCCGCATTGAGGAAGCCTGATGATTTGACAAGCTGGAAGATGGATTCAGTTGCGAACATGACATCGAACGTTATCTCGTATGGTCCGGCGTTCTTAGAGCGTAGCACGCGTGCTATGTCGCCGAGGGTTTTGGGTGATGTTGGGAAATGGTTGTCGGTGACAGGCGCTCCCAACACTGTTGTTGTTTGCTTGTATTGTTCCGTGCTTAATGACGCTGGCTGGTATGAAGCTGCTTGTGAATCACCCCGACCAATCACACTCACCTCTTGTCGATATAGCGCGTTCGAGCCGTCGCTGAGCTTCAGTCGTTCTTCACCTTCCTCTAGTTCTACGAGGTGGTATATCGAGAACTGTGCACAAGGGCCGAGCTCGCTTTCCATCTTGCCGCCGTGGCCGTAAGCGAGGTTCCCGGAGGTGGCTTTCTGGTTCGGATAGGGGGCGTGCTTGACGGACGAGGTTAGCTGGTCCACAATGCTTCAATACCTAGGTTGAACTTACAACTGTGGCTATCCTCGCCGTTGACGCCACGCTCCTCGCTAACTCCTGCGTTGACGCGAGAGCCTCGCCGATAAGGAACACTTCCGCCGGTTGCCCATCTGCAGTTGTTTGATGTTGGCCGTAGACGTGCCAATCAAGATCCCACGTCCCCTCGACACCTCGATGTTGCTCTGCCACGTACTCTTTTATCTGCTTTAGCACAGAATCCAGCTGGCCGATGAGAATAGCTGTGCACCAGTCAGTCCGCTGTCAACACCTTTCAACTTGGTTACCCCTTGAAGTCAAACCTACCATCCTTAACACTCCCCATATAACTCGCCCTATACCCCACCACATGCGCTGCCTCAAGCTTTACCATATACTTCGCCCCCACATCCCTCGAAAACGTAAATCGTCCTCCTCTAACCCTGCACGTCCTCCCATCCCACAACAACTCATACGAGCTCTCCATCAAATCCAGCCATCCGCCCGGTCCATACAGTAGATCCGGACGACTCTTCTCATACAACGTGTGCCCGCTCACACTCAGCGGCGTACATCTGCTCTCCGGCTCTCCGGGCGTGAGGTCAAACGTGCCGTCTGCATACATGGTCGCGCGGACGGCCGAGCACTTCGGACTCGCGCAGATGCCACCGCACTCGAGAATCTTACCCATATGCGCGAAGCCGCCCCACAAACGCTTCGCCTCGGGGGTGGACGTCTGGTCGAGCGGCGTCTTGGAGGCCCATGCTGCGAAGGCAATGTACGGCGAGGGATCGTAGGCGCGGCCGCCGACAAGAATGTTGAAGTCCGGCGTGGCGGTCATAGCGTCGTAGAGGGGTTCGGGGCCCATCTGGGAGACGATGCGTGGCGCGGAATCAATCAATTTGCTTGTGAGAGGAGGAACGGGCGGTCCGCAGCCGGATATGGCGTTCTTTTGGAGACGTTCGTGAACGAAGGTTTTTGTGACCGCGGAGTAGATTGCGATGACTTTGAGTTTGTAGTGTCTTTCTCTTTCTTAGCATTGTGTATCCAAATGCTCGTCTCATGTTCCATTCTTCCGGTTCTTGTATTCCATCATACTCCATATTGGAACGATGGACGAGATTGAGGACTTACTCATTTCCCTGCTCCTCGCAGATTTCCTTCAACACATTCACCATCTCCCCCACGTGTTCATCGCTCCCATCGCCTCCCGCCGAGGTAAACACAAGCGGCACTTTGTACTCCCAGGCCAACCTTACCAATTTCCTTAAATCTCTTACATACGACGTCCGTGGCGACGTCGTATGGCCTAGCGCGAGCTTCTCGGGTCCACTATCCGTGCTGCCTGAGTCGAGAACTGTGCGATTTAGTAGTGTCGACAGTAGGAGTAGGAGTGTGGGAGGCAGGAGGAGTACTTACTGATGGCTGTAGGCGCACCATTTGGGATGACAGCGGCAAGGAGGCTGGCTGTGAGAGACTCATCCAGGCCGTAGCCCAGCATACCTACCGGGGTGACGATGTTGCATGTTGAGATGAGGGGTGAGGGTGTGGACATTTTGGGGATGGCAGGCTGATCTTGACTACCATAGGTATGTGAAGGAAGGGAACGGGAAAATTGAAGAGTTTATTGAAAAGACGAGAGCGGTTGAACTAAGTCATCGATTGGGTTTCGTATGTACTCGTGAGTGAACCCAAACAACATCAAGCGAGCCATTCATACTACCTATTCTATGGGTCACATACGGACGGAGGAACATCAGTTCACCCCCATACGCCACGCTTGTATCCGTCCCCATGCGAACGCCGCATTCGAGTGCGAGTTTCGCTCAGGACGATTACATGAGCGAGAACCGCTTGCCACTTCGGGATCCTGCGGCACAAGCTGCGCAGCCATGATTGGCGAGGACGGCGCATACGTGGGCAAGGTGTGGAAAATGAGGAAGGAAACGGCGATGCAGGTAAAGTGGTACACGAATCTCACGAAGCCTTCACTAAGCGTATCTCCGAACCCACAAATAACGTGCCAATGTTGACTTGAGAGCAGATACGGCGTGGCTCCAGACCAGGCAAGGCCCCTGTTCCTCAATGCACGAGGTGAACGATGTGGCCAATGAGCAGTAGACTGCCATGGATTTGAGCGAGCACGAGATCGTTCTGGCACGACAATTCACATGCAGATTCAATTATGCATAAGCTGAGTTCCGGAACAATCCGATCGTTGTACGGCACGCACTGAACATCTTCTCCTACTAAGCGGCGGGATTGAGATATGTGCTGGGCTGACGCATGGGGCACATACTATCATGGGCACCAACTCCTCAAAGTACAATGTTAGTACATTGGAAACTAGGCTTCCTGTGCGCTCAGTCTTACCGAATAGGTTTCAAACGTCGTGGTTCCATGTTTCTGGAGGCTGATTATCAGACCAAGGCCAGCATCGGCTACTGGCCATTCTTCTTCAAGGCAAGGAGCATTTTGAGCTACAAAGTTTCAAAGGCTGTAGCCAGGGGACTTCAAGTTGGCCGGGGAATCTGTGGCTAACGAAGACTTCTTTAGCATCGGAGACAAGTCGATTGATACCATCCTGAGCTTGTTTGCGTTGCACACGATTGATGCAGCTATTTGCATTGGATATAATTTGCTTTTTTGGCACGCTATTTCACATACGACCATAGGACACTGAGAACTAGGCTTCCCGTCCGCTCAGCCATATATAAGCAGTGTACCGGCGGATTAGTAGTTAAGTTCGTGAGAATTAGCGAATCCCCGCTGTTGTATGTTTTTTTTTTTTACATTTTGTTTTCTATGTGGGTCACGGCTATCCGGGTGGGTGACCATTAGTGTGATGTGCGTAAGTCGGAGATCAACCCTCGCAGGATGAGGTGCAAAGAGGTTAGCATGATGGAAAGTATCAGTTTACGCTGTACGCTGCACTAGGATATAATCTCGTACTTTGTCGACTGTGTGCGCACCAATTTGAACATCGACTTCATGTATCAAGTGGACCTTGGGACCGTTAATCGGAGACAGAACGAGTTGGCACGGAAAATAGCAAGCTGAGTGTGTCCTTGTATAACGCGCTCTGATGAAGTCTTTGTCTCATACCAAGACGCCAGCCACGATGTCGCAGTAGGTAATAGGTAGCGTGGCTCGATGATTGGTCATTAGCATCTTGGAGCTCACCACACCAAGAACTTATCCGCCACCTCACTCTGATATGCTCATAATCTCAATTGTTCGTTCCACATATTTCAAACCTCGAACGATGGTCCTCCACGCCACGATCAATTCCTTCCCGCGCATGCAACACAGCGCCTCGAGTGCACAACCCAACTCCAAGCCCTCCACGCTGTCATGGCGCCTCGCAGAAGTCATATCGAGGACGTGGGATCTCGGACTGACGTCTTTCGACGGACCGCCTGTACACTTCCAGATCCTGCATCGACGGTTCGTAGAAGGGCATGGGCATTTCGGCGCTAAGTGGATTGATGAGCAGACTGTGTGTATTCTCATTTCATCTCTACATATGCGTGTACCTCGAGCATTACACATGACTGATAGCAACGGTAGTATCAAGAGATGTTCGCCATCTGCCAGGCTCTCCCCGGTCCGGCGTCTACAAAAATGATCTTCTGCATCGCGATGATGCATGCAGGTCTTGCTGCGGCCGTTGTGACGTTCTTGCTTTGGAGTCTGCCTGGTGCAATGGGTATGTACGCGCTCTCGCTTGGCGTGCAGAAGATGCCTGATAGATTGCCGCCTATCGTGTACGCTCTGCTGAGCGGGATGAACGCAAGCACGGTGGGTATTGTTGCGCTTGCGGCCGTGCAGCTAGCCGAGAAGGCGATTAAAGACCGCATTACGAGGATCCTCGTGATCTTCGGGGCGTGTGCGGGTCTGTGCTACAACGCGCTGTGGTATTTTCCTGCGTTGATGGCAATTGGTGGAGCAGCCACGGTCATCTGGGATGTCTGGCTGCGTCAGAGAGTCGGGAAGATCAGAGCGAGGTATGCGGTCAGGAGAAGAAGAAGAAGAAGCAGGACCGAAGATGGTATTGCCGAAGAAACAGCTGCGGCGCAGCATGTCCCGCCAGGAGATCAGTTGCAGCTCGAGCGCCCGGCAGCTGTAAAGCGGCGCCCACAAGTAGAGAATTCCACGGACCGTATACTGCCAGTGGAGGAAGGAGTAGGTCCGAGCCGCTCAGCAGAGTGCCGCAACACAGAGGAGATGGCCAAAGCCACGCCAGTTACGGACATCCGAACGTACAATCTCTCCATCAAGATCGGCATCTCGGTCATCGTAGGTTTTTTCCTCTCCTTCATTGTCGTCATGGTCATACGAGGCACAATCGCCACACGCGCCCTCACATATGATCTCTTCACCAACATGTACCTCGCGGGGACCATCATCTTCGGGGGCGGTCCAGTCGTCATCCCGCTCCTACGCTCCTACGTCGTCGACCCGGGGTGGGTATCGCCCCGAAACTTCCTCCTCGGTCTGGCCATGATTCAAGCCTTCCCTGGACCAAACTTCAACTTCTCCGTTTACCTAGGTGCGCTAACCCTCGCATCCACGCGCGTCCCCACCATCTCCGGCGCACTACTAGCTTTCGTAGCGATTTTTCTGCCCGGCCTCGTTCTTGCCGTGGGCGCGCAGTCGATCTGGCAGGTTGTGAGGACGAAAGCCTGGGTTTTGAGTTTGCTGAGGGGTGTTCATGCTGCGGCCGTGGGCTTGGTATTCACTGCGGTGTATCGGCTGTGGGAAATCGGATATCTTACGGCCGAAAGGAGCGATGGGAAAAGTCTTGCAGAGGAACCTTGGTGGGTTGTCGTCGCTGCCATCACGTATGCAGAGACAGCGTGGTTCCACTTTCCGCCAGCGCTGGCGATCATTCTTGGTGCTGTGCTAGGTATAGGCTGGTACGGTGCTGTTGGTTCATGACTGAGACGTGTTGTAAAGGACGGGGGTCCTAAAGTAGCCGCCCGTTGCGTTAACCATCACAACAGAATCAAGTAGCAGTTCATATAGGACCTGGTCTCCTTTGTGCGAAGCCGCCTGAAGCGCATTGCCATAGAAATGGCTTTGCATGTTGACATCAGCAACCTTTCCGATCAGCAATTTCACAGCCGCTTCATGACCGCTGAATACAGCCGCCTGGAACGGGTTGCTGTTAATATCGGGCGTAGAAGTTGATTTCAACGCCGTTGTCGAGCAGCATCTCCAAGGGCGCTCCAGGGAGGGCTAATCCACTGACACGTGACCATGGTCTGCAGCCGCCTGGAGACCCTTACCATGGTGCCCCTGATATTAAAGCACGCTTGTGCTATGTTCAATTAGCATCTTAATAATTGCTTCCTTGCCTCCAGCTGCTGCTGTCTGAAGCACTTCGCTGGAGTCCATTGTCTGCATTAACATCGGCACCCATCACAGTGGCCGACACCAAAATTTGAACTAGCTCTTGCGCCAACATGAGATACGGCCATACAATATCAGATCATTATTTCGAACACACATCATAGAGCGAGTCACCCTAGGCTACACTATCGGCAACCAAGCTTGCAGCCGATTACCCAACGTCCTGATACTGGGACCTGACGATCTGGTACCAATGAAGCTCACTACTTTGTTTCGGCCACTGTTCTTGGCGAGGCTTGTGGGGTGCGTTACCGCACCGCCTTGTTTGTAGGTGGTCGTCGACCTTGACACCTCGTTCCCACAGCTGCTGCACCATGTCCTCGTGCCCAGATTTTAACGCGAACTAGAGACGATCCTGACCGTCGTCGTTTCTGATCTGTAAATCTGCTCCTTCTTGCAATAGCCGATTGAACATCATCTTTTGGTCATGCTCGCAGGCCACTGAAGCCCGGAACTTCGGGAACGCCGAACATTGTGATAATAGAGAAAATGAATCAACATTCAGGTACAGCTGGCGGTTGGCTTGTTGGAAGGCGTTGATGTCGGCATCTAAGACTAGGAATTCTGCTATTTCGAGAAGTGGCCCATTCGATAAATGTAGTAGCATAGCTCAAGCGTAGATTTATTTGCGGTCGTTGTGTAATATTTCCGAGAGAAAATCCGGATTGGACTCGAGAGAGAATACTTTGGTCGCTACCTGAAAATTTCCTAGATGGACAAAGACATCGATCAGGCCAGATTCGCAAGTGCGTAATCGAAGGTATATCACCATGGAGGGTGTAATATCGTGAAGGGTAGAATGGAAATGAAGGGTATCAGTTGCGCCACACGCCTTTTGCTATCCATGCCATACTATGCTACAGCGGCTACCCACGCCTATACACATCTCCCATAACGCCCTGAAGTGCAGCTGTTGTCCATGTGATAAGGGGAAAACGCGGCTCAATCGCTGTCGTCGTCGCTCCCGTAACCGACCAGGACTCCTCCTGTAGCCACGGGTGTGGGTGTCTTCGCTGTCGATTTCGCAGTATAACCCTTCAGCGCTGCGAGCGTCGAGCCAGAGAGTATACCAGTATTCTGTGGAGCGGGTGTCTCTTGTTGCGGCGGCACTGGGGCACTCTGCTCGTCTTGCCCGGTGTTGCCCTCGATGAGAAGTCTTTCATCTGGAGCACCGATTTCTCTTGCTTGCTCCCACTCTGCCTTCTCCTTTGCAAACCACACATCATCCGGCGCCTCGTATCCCTGTAGCCCAAAAGTGCCTTCAATCTTCCGCCTCTTCTTGGCTTCGCCGTTATCCCGGCCCTCAAGCTCGGCAACGTAAGCTGCTGGAAGCGCTTTGCGGATCGCTTCAGCGGCTTGTTCCTCGATTCTCCTCGCTTCTCGCTTCTGCGCCGCGGGATTCGGATCCGTAGTCGCCCACCTTACATTCAAGATCTCAGAATGGTCAAGAGACTGATGCGCCATGGCCTCCTTCGCAAATTGTGAATTCGCCTCGTTCATGTATGTTACAAAAGCCACGCCCCTCGCAGTCAACACGCGCACGCGCTCGACCTGCCCCCACTCCTGGAAATGCCGGGCGACGATCTCCTCGATATCGTCTGTGACGTGAATCCTGCCTATGTACAACGTGCGGTTCTGCCGCTGGAAGGACCCCACACCACCCATATCGTCGCGATAGTCACTAAACTTATCGCGCCCGAAGCAGTCGACGTTACTGGGGAACAGATCTGTGACGGTAGGTAGGCGGTGCAGGTACTCGCAGTCAACGCCCTTAGGGCATATGCCGCGCGCAAAGAACAGGCAGAAGTAGCTGCCGGGTGTTTTGTCTGCCTTGGTGTACCCTGAGTCTTTCGCGACGTTGCAGCGCCCCTGCGCGGCGGTCTGGGACAGATATTTGTCCTCACGGTCGCCGCCGCTCCATTTGTTGTACCAGATATTGAAGATGGTGCCGGTCGGTGGTGGGGCATCGGTCTTGAAGGTAGCTGCATCTACCTGCGGTCGCGCAGGACGGCGTTTGCGGCGGATGATCTTCTTGACGCGTTTGCCTTCAGCATTTGTAGTGATAACGACTTGGTCGGACGCGGAGGCGGGGACGAGGGAAGTGGATGCGGAGGGTTCGTCGGCAGTAAGAGGAGGCTGGTCATCAGCGGGCGGCGCCAGCATAGGTGGAGGCGACTGTACTTCGGCCATGGTGCAGTAAGACGAGGTGGTGTGGTTGGCGACGTTGGATTTACGGTCGTGGAACTTTTGAAGTTGCGCGCGGTAGCGGCGAAGCCGGCGTTTCCTCGGCAGAAGAGGCCGCTCAACTCGGAATGGGATTGGGCGGCACGGCGGTAACGTTCAGGCGGAATCTTACTCCCGCAAACAACATCTGTCGAAACTACCGCATTAGGAAGTTCAATAGCCTCCAGTACCCCTGCGGCACGCTCTTTTGCGTTTTCAAAGATGGACTACATTTACCGCATGATACAGCTACAAGGGCTCCCACGGTAAATGTTGGCAGTTGACTTTACTGGCTATCTGCCATTGCTCCACAATTTGACGATATTTTGGGCGTTTATTACTATCTTTCGAGGGTAGGTACTGATGCCCAGGTGATATGTTACGGCCATGTATGGTGAATCTCCTGCATTCAAATCAAACCAGCTTCAACCCCTCGCAACATTGTCCCATTGCCTGACGCCAACTCTGAAGCACACTACCATCCAAAAGGTAGCCCTCTGGGCACCGCCTACCCTACTTCAGTAGCCCCATATCCACCTACTTACCAACATTAGCCCCCGTTCACTAACCCCCGCACCCCAGCACCCACACATCACTTACTCGGCGGTGGCGGATTCGAATTACTCTTTAACCCCCCATCAATCTCCACTACACTCCCATTCATATACCTACTCTCCTCACTAAACAAGAACGCCACCACATCCGCAACCTCCTCCGGCGTGCCCAACCTATGCAACGCATTCCCATGTATCATATTCTCTACCGCAGCCCCACCCTTCACGATCCCCGCATTCGTAGGCGTATCAATGTATCCCGGACACACGACATTCGTCCGTATCCCTCTCGGTCCGAGCTCTAGGGCAATGGATTTAGAAAAGCCGATGAGACCGTATTTGGTGGTACAGTACACGGCTTGCTGCGCGGAGGGCCGGATCCCGGAGATGGATGAGACGTTTACGAAGGATGCTCCTGATTTGAGGTGCGGAATGGATGCGCGCGTCACGTTGAAGACGCCCTTAAGGTTGACCCCGACGAGCTTGTCCCAGTACTCATCGGGGGTGTCTTCCAGTGGGATGGAGGTCGGGTTTACGCCTGCGCAGTTGAAAACATGGTGGATGGCGCCGAATCTTTTCAGGGCCTCGTCGACGAAGTTTTGGACTTCTTTGACAGATGAAACGTCGACGTCGGAGAGGCAGGGTGGCTTGGGAGTGCCGGTGCATAATTTGGAGGTGGCTTCAAGGTTATCGTAGTTTATGTCGCATAGTGCGAGAGTGCCTTGAAGTGAAGCGAGCTTCACGGCGGTGGCGCGGCTGTGTTGTTGCTTGTCAGTACAACTTCTCTATGAAGGTACGAACGTGGTAGGTCGGGAAGTGCATAGTGTAGGCGGAGGAGGATTACCGCACCCAATTCCACTTCCTGCACCTGTGATGAGGATAACTTTGTCTTTGAAGTTGTACATTTTTCTCCAGTAATGCAATGGCTTGAAGAATGAAAACAAAACAGCAATCAGAGGAGATAGGTTCAGAGATGTTGCTGCGACGCGTCGCGGGGTGTTTGTTTGTGTAAAGTGGGGTGAAGTGGGATGGTTGCGGTACCTGTGAGGTGGTGCATGACTCGCGCCTACTCTCATCGTCTGTATGACCCCGAGAATGGGAGCGCTTAGCTGGCCACTGATCTGACGAACCAGAACTAGAATATCTAGTTGAGCCTTAAATAGTGCACTCAAGTGGAATACGACTAAACTGATTGTCGGATTTTTCGATACAATCGATGGACCGACTGTATCTGCTTCAACTATGTACGAACGCCTTCAAATGCATACATGCATGGGGATATCTAAATTGCAATCCACCGCGTCAAATCAGGCCACTACGTTAGAGAATAGAAGAAAAATAAGCAACCAAAAGATACGACCCAGCTTACGCAGGGTTGATCATCTCCTTGGGAGCAGCGCCAATTAACTCCTTGGGAATGCACGCAAACACAGTACTAACAACAGCCATAATCGTGCTCAAGATGATCAAAGCCCAATTCATAATCTTCTCTCCCCTTCCAAGCTCTTGCCCAAAAAGCTTCAAGTGAAATGCAAGCGGCAGGATAATGCAGATCGAAAAGCAAGCGACGCTACCGAGCAGCGTCATGATGCGGTCGAAAGACGGGAACACGATGGCGATAAGGACAAAGACGATGATGACGACAATCCTCAGTGTAAATTTGAAGAGGCCGCGGTTAAGGCCTGACATGCCAGTCAGTGATGAGGAAGCGCCCAGCGAGCGGTTGTCAAGCCCAAGTAGCACTTCCAAGGTGGAGATGATCGGCCGAGCGTTCAAGGGGACCTTGGTCAGGGGAACAATCGCGATGCAAATTGCGATGAAGACAGAGAGAGCTTTCGGATAACCCGGAGTGATGAAGATGTTGCTGGTAATCTCGTCGCGGACATAGTCGCCAAACATGAGAATACCCGCGCAAGCCATTCCGAGATCGATCAGAAATGTGAGAGCGTATGTGATGTTCAATCCATTGCGGTATTTGTATGGGTGTCGCATGTCTCGGTAGATGTTGGGAAATACGGAATGACCACCCCAGGGAGACATGAGCAAGCCGAATGACAGAGGTATCGTCATCCAGTTTTCGGGGAAAAGATACTGGGTCGCGGGTTGACGAAGGGAGCCAGGTTGCTCCGGTTTGATGAGGCCATCAACAAACACCGCGATGGTGACTATGAATTGATTAGACTGAGAAGTTCTAGTGGTGAGGGAGCACTTACTTCCAAAACAAGACATGACGCCCAGGATAGATGTGAAAGAGAGCAGCCGTAACGGGAGGAAGGCAAGTGGTACAAGTATGACACCACAAACAATTTTCCAGGCAGAAAGTCCCCATCCAGGCACGAGCGCATCCATACTGTCGGCGAAGAGCACCACAAGGGCAACACATGCGGCGAGTAATTCAAGCGAGAAGAGAATGCTAACGGCAATGCGTGCGCCGTTGCCGAAAGAAACATACGCAAGATCGGCAAATGTAATGAGTGAGCTGTCCACGTCAAGACATTTGGCGAGTAGCTTGGCAGTGTATTGCGTCGTTATAGCAGCAAAGGTCAGGAATACGATGCCGACAATCCATCCAGAGTACTTTAATGCTAGTGGCAGTGTTAGTAGACCGACACCAACCAACACATTGACGCTGTTGAAGATGGTCTGCGGCAAGGTCGACTGGCCCACAACCACATTGATAACGTGCCCGTCCTCTTCAAGTTGCTTGACCAGCAAAGGTTCTCGTTGCTGCTCGGGCTCGGCGACGCCCTTAAGCTGTTGTTCCGTGAATAGGCGACCGGCGTGACGCATAGACGACTCGTTGATACGGGCCGAAAGGCTGCCGTATGATGTTCCATAGCTCCCTCCAAAGGGCGATGAAAGTGACGGCTCGATCTGGAATATGCTCTCTGACCTCTGACTCCTCAGTCCACCTATGCGCTGCTCCACACCAGTGGAGAGCAGGTGCGATTCCTCGGTTGGCTCGCCCTGCTCCTCGTCTGCGACGGCATCGTCGGAAGAACGTCTTCCGTCGGTCTCGAGCGCTTGCCGCAAGAGCGAACGGTGGTCGGGCGCTGATAAGCCGGCGCGTGGGAAATCCGCTTGGTCGTCGCCGTCGTCGTCGTTTCCGATGCGGAAGGAAGGGCGCACGGGAGTGATTTCGAAGAAGCCTGCGGCGCGCTGCCACGAACGGGCGAAGTTGTTGATGCTGTTGACGCCGCCAGCATCGCCCAGAGCGTGCAGTCCATGGGATATCGAAGAACCCCGTCTTCTCAGACCTGGGTACCGTGGTTCTGCACCTGTCGCGGTGCTCTGTCCACTCTCTCTGCGCTCGAGATCTGCTCCCACTCCCCAGCGTACGCGACTGCCCGTGCTGCCCGTGGAGTCGACCGAGCCTCGATGCACGCCATCGTACTCGTCCCAGGTCGACGGCTGCTTGCCGCGAATGTCCATGGAGAGCGCTTTCACGGTACAAACCGAGTATGAAAAGGGAGGGGAGGGGAATGACGAGGGCGAATTCTTCTCGTTATCAAACGGATCCTAGTCCGGGCGGGCACTAACTATCGCAGCGGAGGCTATCGTCGGGCCAGGCTTGGTTGGGGAACGCCCACGCAGCTGCCATTGTCTTATACTCGTCCAGGAGCAGGATCAGACCACGGCGCCCAGATAGATGGAATCACGAGGAAGACCGACAACCCCGCCTGCATCATCGAGCGTATGCACGATCGCGGTCGGCTTCCTGCAGCGAACGCATGCCTGATTGGGCCAACAGGCGAGCACCCGCCAGGGTGCCGTGGTTGAGTGAAAGGGCACCATAGGCCGCAGCGTCACACCCTGCCAACTGCCCACGCAAATAAATCCAGTCACCGCTCACGCCGCCGACTCTCTCCACACCTCTTTTGCACTGCAACTGCCCACAGCGCACTCCCGCTGCCTGGTTGCATCTGCCGCCACACCCTCCCGCCGCACGTCGGCTCCTCCACTCTCGCGTGCCCCTCCGCCGAAAATTTCACAGCCCCGCTGCTGCACCCCGCCTGAACACACCTTCACACTCCCACCGCAGCCATGTCGGCACCTCCCCAGGGACAAGGCGCTGATGCCGAGAAGAACATTGAAATATGGAAGGTCAAGAAGCTGATCAAGCGCCTCGAAGCCGCCCGTGGTAACGGCACGAGCATGATTTCGCTCATTATCCGTATGCACCACGCCACTCGCTCGGGGGAACAATGGCTGACATACCGCTACAGCGCCCAAGGACCAGGTTTCGCGCGCGGCGAAGATGTTGGCTGAAGAATTTGTACGTATCAAATCTGCCTCCGCGCTGTACACGCAGACTGACAACTCAGGGTACCGCTAGTAACATCAAATCTCGCGTCAACCGCCTGTCCGTCCTGTCCGCCATTACCTCCACTCAGCAGCGTTTGAAGCTCTACTCCAAGGTCCCGCCAAATGGCCTTGTCATCTACTGTGGCGAAATCATCACCGCAGAGGGCAAGGAGCGCAAGATCAATATCGACTTCGAGCCCTTCAAACCCATCAACACCTCGCTGTACCTATGCGACAACAAATTTCACACCGAGGCGCTGAGTGAGCTGCTGGAGTCGGACCAGAAGTTCGGCTTCATCATTATGGATGGTAACGGTGCCCTCTTCGGAACGCTCTCTGGAAACACGCGCGACATCGTCCACAAGTTCTCCGTCGATCTTCCCAAGAAGCACGGTCGTGGTGGTCAGTCCGCCCTGCGTTTCGCCCGTCTACGAGAGGAGAAGCGTCACAATTACGTCCGTAAGGTCGCCGAGCTGGCCGTGCAGAATTTCATCACCGCCGACAAGGTCAACGTCGCCGGTTTGATCCTGGCTGGTAGCGCCGATTTCAAGAACGACCTGAACCAGTCCGACATGTTCGACCAGCGCTTGCAGACCAAGGTCATCAAGGTCGTGGACGTGTCATATGGAGGCGAAAACGGTTTCAATCAAGCTATCGAGTTGTCATCCGAGACCCTCAGCAACGTCAAGTTCATCCAGGAGAAGAAGCTCATCAACCGCTACTTCGATGAGATCTCGCAAGACTCTGGCAAGGTGTGCTACGGTATCGACGACACGTTGAAGGCGCTCGAGGCTGGTGCCGCTGAGATACTGATTGTTTACGAAAATCTTGAATTGACTCGCTGGGTGTTGAAGAGCTCGGAGGGTGCCGAGATCATCCTCCATACCAACAAGATTCAGGAAGCGGACCGCACTCTCTTCATGGACAAGGAGACTGGCCAGGAAATGGAAGTCGTAGATCAGATGTCGTTCCTGGAATGGCTGGCTGAGAAGTACCGCGACTTTGGCGCTACCCTCGAGTTCGTCTCTGACCGTTCCTCTGAGGGTAACCAGTTCGTCAAGGGCTTTGGTGGTATCGGTGCCATCATGCGCTACAAGCTCAACTTTGAACAACTCGCCGAGTATGACGACGAAGACGAATTCTACGATGATTGACGGTTGTGCGCCCTCGCTGACCGCGAGGCAGAGGCCCCACTCCACGCGTCGAGTGAAGGAACGCCGTCTGCCCGCACTCCAGGTCAATTAGACGCGCCCAGGAAGTCCGTGCACGACCTCGAGCTGACGACATGTCGCCTCTCCAGGTTGTAAACGTGTTGAAGGAATGCGGACGGAGTGTTTGTAAAGTGAGTAGGGTACATCGTGCCATGCTGTAGCGCGGCTGACGGTAGTTAGACTGATGGTCTACCCATTCTTATTGACACTTATTGACAACCCACGCTCACTTCCATGGAGAGGCAGCCGATCGCCACAGAGAAGCTTTCAACACCTCCACCGACACAAAAGTTCCCGCCATCTCTTGAAAAGATTTGAGAGGGTTAACAATGATCGAGGGCGATCAAGTCAATGGGTCATCTGCTTTTGCGAATGTTTCGTAGGTTGCGCAACCCTGAATAAGGGATTGTGTTTGTGATACTCAGCTAGTCAGTCATTTACTATCCAGCTGAATCAAATTGTATTTTGCGCTTGTCATAGTGGGTGCGTGAGCAACGAAATCATGGAAATGGTTGCGGTGTTTGTTTCAAAATGATGTCGTGAGTGTGGGATGAGCAAGAACAACCGACCCCCACATGCTGCGGAAGTCGCGAGCCCCACCTCAAGTGCGACTATGTCTCTCCATGGGGAACAGTTCACACTCAAGATCTGGCAATGTGAAATATGACAGCATCCTGCACGCCCTGTCAAAGACTTACAGCTCCGCAGCGGGTGCCGAACCAATGACCGATCTCCGATATTCGCTGCTTGAACATCATTAAACATCGTCGACTTCACGCCTGGCAACGCAACACCACCACATCATGCTTGAGGACTCGGGGTCACCAAAGCCGGTAGTAACCTTTCTGGGACCCGTGGCAAGCTACACACATCAGGTAGGCGCTCCAATGGCTGCGTGCCATCACCACGAGGAGGGGTGCTGTAGGTGTCCTAATCGGGCAAAATTCTGGAATATTCGAGGAAACAGAAAGTGACCTTATACCAAGCTGCTTCATCGTCGCATCCTTTAGAATTACTATCAATCATTTTTAGATGCAAAGACAATACTCTCTCATGACCGAATACGTACTAATCTCTCACAGGCTACCCTTGACGCCTTCAACTCTTCAGACTTTACCCTTACTCCCGTCATCACCATCGAAGACGTCTTCGCCTCTGTTCAATCTGGCACTGCTCACCGCGGCGTCGTCCCCTTCGAGAACTCTTCCAACGGCTCCGTAGTCTTCACCCTCGACCTCTTCGCCGACCTGCAGCACAAGTACCCCGAAATCATCGTCTGCGGCGAGTCCTACATCGCCGTGCAGCACTGTCTCCTCGGACATCCTAATTCCCGTCATGCCTCTCAACCAAGTTCAGTATCTGAGAGATTTGGAGGAAGTAGGGTCGGAAGCGGTGTGATTGAAAGTCCGCTTAGTAGTGGTGCCGTAACGCCCACCTCCACCATCCCTAACCCGCAAAAGCCCACCGCCCGCCCTGCAGGTGACCTTTCCAAGATCAAGAAGTTGTACTCCCACCCGCAGGCCTGGGGTCAGTGCAAAATTTTCCTCAACACCTATCTCAAGGGCGTGGAGAGGCAGGACGTCAGTTCCACGTCCCGCGCGGCGCAACTGGTGGCTGAGGATCCCACTGGAGAAAGTGCCGCGGTGAGTAGTGTTATTGCGGCGAGGATTCATGGGTTGGAGGTGTTGGCGAGAGGGATTGAGGACCGTGGGGACAATACGACGAGGTTTTTTGTTATTAGGAAACGTGCTGAAGTTGAGGTTGGCGAGACGAAGTCGGTTGAGGGGAAGCAGAGTGGGAAAGATGAACGAGGGGAGGGTGATTGGAAAACGCTCGTCAGCTTCACGATTGACCACGCGAACCTGGGTTCGTTGGCGCACTCGCTTGCGGTGTTTGAAAAGTATGGGCTTAATCTCACGTCCATCAATACACGACCTTCCGGCGTGGAGAATTGGAACTATATTTTCTTTGTTGAGCTGAAGGGTCGGAAGGAAGAGGGAATAGAAGACGGGCCTGTGAATAAGGCCTTGAAAGATTTGGACAGTGTGTGTAGGTCGTGGAGATGGCTGGGCAGTTGGGAGAATAGGCTTGCGCGGTGAGCGGATAGAAGCTGGAATATGGGTTAGACGTGTCCCAAAACATGTGGAAGCGGCGCATTAGATCATGAACAATACACAGAATTCGCGTTTAAAATCGTGTCACGGGTAGACGAGGGATTCCATTACCCAGTACAAGTTCATGTAATCAACTCGATCATCCTATCTGTACATGCAAGTTGCGACTCGTATGGCCGCTTTCGTCAAAGCGATTATCCAGCCATCTCTTGTCTCGTGCTAATATACACGCCTCCGCTGTACGCACGCTGTTATACATTTTGCCGTCTCATGGTTTCTCCCAAAGTATCATACACCTCTTACTAATCCATCACCGTGCGTTCCTCTCATATTAACCCATCCCTTCCGGCAAAGGCTCTCTAACCTCGAAGCCTCTCCAACTCCCTCAACACCACCAAATTTGCATCCAAAAACCGATCCACGCACTGCCGCACGCACGGTTCCTCGTACTTGTCGAGCTTTCCGTTCTTAACGCCACCGGCGGGGATGCACTTCTTGAAGCAGGTGTCGGTCAGGGAGTGAATAGCTGCCATTCTGATTAGCACATGCGCATTTATCATATTGTCAGGTGAATTTGAGAATAAGGGGATTGGGTGGGAGAGGATGGTACGAACAGGATTGTATCCTAGCCTTCTGGCTCTCATTGACGACAAATTGCTGCAGCTCTTGCTTGTCGCGGTCGGAGAGCTTGGAGACGTCGACGTTGGCGAGGGGGGAGGAGAGATCCATGTTTGGATTTTGGAATTGAGCAAAGTAAGAAGCCAGCTCGTTGTGCGTGTGTTTCGACGGAGCAAGAGGTGGGATACAGGGTGATGATGTCGTTCGTCGTTGTAGCTCTAGAAAGTTTTGGCGCGATGATGGTTGGGTCGGAGGTTAGGACGTGGAGCGCCGATGGGTGGGTTAGTCAGCGGTGGTGACACGAGCACGTGACGAGGCATGAAGCATCGGTTTGTGCCGGGACCTTGCACATTTGGGTTTGCATATCGCATGATCATGGATATTATATGTCGGCTACGTGCGAATATATACATCACGCTCCGTGTGTTTACCAGATATACTGTCGTTTACTTTACCATAACATCACAAATGAACGATGTTATGTAGACTTGTATGTATGCGCAGGCACAAAACCTATGCTCTCAGTATCTAGGAACTCTACGATACGAGCGATGACTAAAGGGCTTTCGAATAGGCGGAATAGCAACGCATAGGACGAGGAGATCATGTAGTATCGTACCATGTGACGACGCAGATGTCAAGTCCAATTATGTCTAGCTGTCCCGGGCGACCTGCACTCTCTGTCCCGAAAACCGCATTGTCAAATCATCTCATGGTGGGGTTTATCCTCATAATAAGGAGAGTAAGCCCTTGTAGTTTGCTAGTTATCGGAGCTTGAGACATGTGGCAATACAGATGGCAATAGAGGACTCTCGAGAACTTCTGCTGCGCCTGTGCGGTAAGGCTGGTACTTTGAATCTCGTCCACAGAGTTGCAACCCATTATTATTAAGGAAACGGTTAAATTAGTACGAACTGTAAGGGGCTAATGAGATCAACGAACATCCAACTGACTCTGCCTCTTTGCCTATCAACTTGACACATGCAGAGCTAAACCTCCTCCGGAGCATACCCATCACATTTCGTACCTAGGCCCTGGTGTCTTCGCCCTCCCATGGATCTCTACTGGCTCCACGGCATACTGTGATGCGTATGCCAGATTCGCAGGAGCGTCTGAGTATGCTGGAGCTGATGCATACCCTGCGGATTGCGCCATCGGTTCGAGCCTGGCATCCTGGGCCCGCTTCCTTTTGACGGTCCAAACGATATAGGCAAGCAACGCAACGACGGCTATTCCTACTACGGCCCCAATTGCTATTCCAGCTATTGCGCCCTTCGATAACGCGTCGCCGCTTGCCGCTGCACTGTTCGTTGCCGAGGCGATAGCACTGCTTGCCGTGCTAGAAGCAGTACCAGAAGGAGTTGAAGAAGGATTCTGCGAGGTCGAAGACACAGTGGTCTTGATTACTTAGCTTTGCACACGCACTGCGTAGACTTTGATCTGCAACGAACCTCTGCAAGCACAATCATCACTTGCATCTGGTACATACTACTGACGTACGGCGCTTCTGACACAAGACTCCAGGCCTCTGTATCCACTGAATAGGACGATGCGCATGCAAAACCTGCCTCCCAATCATGCAAGCTATTGGACGACACGCATTCCATCGATCTTTCCAACACACCGGTCAGCTGGCGCTCCTACAGTGAGTACAATTTGCTTACTGGGGACAGCAAGTCACAACATCGAGCGTTGAGCTACCGACTGTGGCAGAATTTTGGCATGCGCTGGTCCAAGCGGCAGGGCAGACACCTGGTGAGTACACGATGCGCGAGCTCGAGAAGGGATACGCAGGCGGGAAGCAGCTTGCCACAAGGTCGCCACCTTGCTTGAACCATTGTGTGTACGTAGCGGATTGCACGACGTATGGCGTGTCCCAGCAATCTGCTGGTGCGGTGAAGGTCGTGGTAAGGGGCAGGTAGGCCGTAGAGAGGGAGGTCATGGTCGCACGATGTTTGCTATTCACTTCGACGCAAGATCAAGCAAGGCTGCACTTCGCACAGGCTGCCGGCTTGGTTTAATATAGTATAAAGAGGCAGTAGCTTTCTTTTTGCAATACGACGCCCGCATGTAGGCTAGGGAAAAGAGTATAGTTCGTATTAAGTTCCATTGGCTAGAAATGCAGCCTTGGGGCCAAGATGGCGTGTTCTGGCTGCTTCTTCGTCTGTTGGCGACTTCTATTGGTTGGTCTTGCTCTAACTAGTACGTTGTCGCGCGCTGAGACGAGTCTTGTACATCGGGGAGCACAAGAAAAGCTCTTGAGCATTGAAAGATTAACAAGAATGAGCATGCCCGAACCCCAGCCCACAGCAACCCCAAACGGAATGCAGAACGCAGAACACTCGAACGCATCGCTCCCCGAACACCGTCCAATCCAAAGCAGGCAATAACAACAGCTTCACAACCCACAAACCGCCTCACCGTACTGCACAATCCTGACCGAACTCTCTCAACTCACGTGCCTCAAACCCTAATCTCCACAATCTCTTCCCCATCACTGCCGACCACAACATTAATTCCCTCACCCTCCATCTTTCTCTCCCTCTCCAGCTCTCCCTCCTCTTCCCCAGGCTCTCCCTTCTCCCCTTTCCCTCCAAATTTCTCCTCTTGTCCAACTTCATCTTCACTCCGAAATAGCCTCCTTGCGGCCCAATTCTCCCCCTCGCTCCCAACACCACAACCGAACGCACAAGTTCTCCTACCACAAGGCCTCCAAAACCGGTATTCAGCCACCTCACCCTCACTCAGAGGTTTCACGGCCAGAAGTCCACCGCCTACGCTACGATTGCTAGTGTACGACAGCAGCGTGCCGGTCGCGGTGAACGGCGATGCGGTGCTCGTCTCGAGGCCGTTGGCGATATGGATAGCCTGTGGAGGAGAACTTCCTAGGTAAGATGTTGGCGGTGAGGGGTACGGGAAGGAGAGATGCTCGAAAGACGTTGGTGGCGTCGAAGGTTGGTGCGAGAGGGACTCCAAAGCGTGTTTGCCGGCTATTTTTTTGAGCATCACACTTCGAGGAGACATGGGGTGTGTTGGACTTGTCGGGCTCAGCGAAGTAACTGATGGTGACCGATGAGGTCTGCATGGAGTCAAGCTGCGTGGAGACATGCCGCCGATTCTTGCTTCAGGGACGAGCGTCATATTGGTCCAGCCCTTCTAGGCCTGGTAGTGATTGTTCCACATGTCTTCCTCTGTGATGATGCCTGATTTCACCAAGGCTTCGTAATCCACCTTCCTATTGACTTCACCAGCGGGAACACAGTCAACGGGGCGGCGATGAGATCGACCGGACATTCCGGGGCTATCAACGCTCATGGGGCTCGTAGAACTCATCGATTTCGTGCGACTGGAAGCAGGACTGGCAGCTCGAGGAGTAGCAAATCCGGATCCAGACTCCGAGTCTGGCGACGGGAACAGCTGCTTCGCGTCAAAGGTCGGAGAAAGTGCGCTCGGATATCCTGGATACCGACGTCCCACGTCCGTCAGTAGAGAGAGCCTTGCTAGCTTCAGCTGCATAGGAGTGGATCCCATTCCAGATGTGTCAGTATGCATGCCGAGCATGTCAAGTACTGGATTAAGGTCGGCACCTCCACGGTCGAACATCATACCACATAAATTGGGCATTGCTCCGTCAAGCGAAGACGTAAACGGCAGCTGGTGTTTGAGATCTACGTTGGACACGTTGTACGGAGCTGGACATGGCAGCTGGTGAAATGGACGGTCGTGACCAGAAGCCGCGAAGCTATTGGCTTGGCTCGAAGCAGCGGAGGAGGTCGAGGCGCCTTCGCTGGTAATGCGACGAAGTGCTTGAGCAATGAGCGGGTTGATGCCTTCCGAGCGAGTAAAACGAGCATCATCGACGATCCAGAGGCCGCCGTACTGTTGCCACGGGAAGTTGCGCAAGAAATGATCTTCTGGGTAGACATCGAAGCCAAGCGTCTTTGAGCGGAAGAATGCGTAGAGGTATCGAAGATCTGGGAATTGACGAAGAACCTATTGTACCAATATTTAGCAAGCAAGCGAGACCAGGAGGTGGAAGCGAGATGAAAGAACTGGAACGAAAGGGTATATGGCGATGATAGATTTCTGTCATAGTAGCCATCCATGTATGTGTCTAAATAACATGAACGCTAGGGTATCTGTGCTAGTGCTGAATGCTAGAAGTATCAGATGGGGCGGGATTGTATCCTACATCCCAAGCGGGGAACAACGGCGGATGTGCTGAAAGCCTAACGCATCACATTAGCATGATCTTCTGCTCTTTTTTGTTGAGGACAACTCACATCAGGACCTCAAAAGCAGCATGCTTCCGCAATTGTTTCGCCACCCTACGGTAGGCATACAACACTTCAGGCCTAGGCGACTTGATGTCTTTGCGTCCAATCAATTTATGCATTGCTGGACTGGTGCTGTACATAGGGTCGAAGACCATCAGGTTACATTTGCCATCGCGACGACGCTCGAAGCCGATAATTGTAATGGAATGACCGGGCTGCTGGAGATATATAGGCGGTAGGAGAGTTTTGTAAACGTTCGATCCGTCGCTGATAGCTGCCTGCGCAAAGTACCGCTCGACTCCAGCAAGAAGGGCATCGTGAGCTTCGATCGAGCCATCAGGGTTGTCGCTAAACATTTCGACGCCATTGTCGATCTCAGCGCTGAGGAAAAGAGCTTGGGCCTGCGTCCTGTTAGTGAGCGAAGTGGATGGCACTGATAACGCTCTTACCTCCGGTGTGCCGATGTACTTCCTCGTGTCTCGGATGCCACCAGTCTGCTGCCTGCCAATGGTGTTGATTCCCTGATCCCAGGCCCTCTCAATACGATCCTGTAGCTTCAGTATACCCGGTGTGCGGCCTGGGAACTCCTTATGCCCCTGAGCCCGGGAACCTTGGATGTACGAGATGAGCATTTGAATATTGCGATAGCCACAGAAGCCACCCTCCTTCGGCGTCTTGCCTATATGAAGCGTAGACGGATGACAATAATAAGCTTCCTTGACGGATCGGTCCAGTGCCGATAGTTGAGCAAGAATAGGAATGATGCCTGGCGTTTCGTTCTGCACGTTCTCCTGTTTGATGAGCCGGCCGTCGCGACCAATGCGGTTGACGACAGTTATCTTAGGGCCGAAGGCAAGCTGGTCGTGAAGCCATTTGGGCATTTTGTCTTCCCATGCGTAAGGGCCAAGTTCAACGCGCTGCATTTCACAATCAGCACGCGTAGCAGGTAGAGGCCGAGGAATCACATACTCCAAGGCGACAGCTGCTGGAAGGAGGCTTGATCTTCTTGTCGGGCCTGGCAAATGGATTGAATGTCTGAATACTGCGCGACAGGGTACTCTTCTCGCTACCGGTTGTATCGCTTCTGCCGCGCTGAATTTTCTTCTTGGACCTTCGTCCTGGATCATCATGCCGTCGCAGAGCTTCCGGCAACTCGGTGTCAGACTTGTGCTCTAGGAATGAAGGTTTTGAAGATCCCGCGTGATGGGCGTTGGGCCTTGAACCATGCATTTTAGCGCTGTCTGCGGAACGATACTCTCTAGTGGTTTCGTCAAATGATAATGATTCTGCGGCGTGGTATTCAAAATGTTCGTTGAAGTCACTAAGCAAGACAGCTTCGCCGCAATCGGGTTCAGGGCATTCGACCATGTTTTGATCTTCGTCGGAGGAAGGTGTTAGTCGAGTGTCGGCTGTGGAAAGTGCAGAGCAAGGTCTCTTAGGCAACGGCGGTGGGTGCTCCGGATGATCCTCTATCTTGAACGGTGAATCGGTCGTGTGAATCTGCTCGAAATGAAGTTGAATAATGTAGTCGTCCGTCGGAAGGACAGTGAAGTCGCACAGGGGGCATTCCAGGAGCTCTGTAGAACCTGTCATGGTGGGTAGCTGGCGTGCTGGCGCACGTTACCACCGCAAACCGGAATTTAGAAGTGACGGAGCGGCGACAGAGAACGGCCGTTTAGTGTCCAGGTATTCACTTTTGCTGTTGACTTGCAGGCTGGTCCAGTGGTTGCGTTTCAGGGAATCTGGTGTGGCTCAGCATAGGTGATGCTTCTCCACTGTCGGCACGTGTGACCCGCGCCTCTACAGCTGACGACGCAGACCAGATCACAGGCCGTCCGCATGTGTGGCGTGTGAGCTAAAGCATCAGAATTCAACGGGCAAGAAATGACTGAAAGGTTGCCACAGCTGGAAGGACGGTGCAAGAGAAGTTGCGTCCGCTGTGGTAAGCTGAATAGGGAAACCGTGCCTGCTAGTTCCGCCAAGCGAGACGAACTCACCGCCAAACGCTCCTACGCTGATGAGCGTCAAGTGAACCCTATTTGTCCTACAATTGTGACCGTAAGACATGGCGACACGAGTTGTAGTCTTCATCTAAACTCTGTCACTGTCACCAGCACGCCCAAAATCATTCAGGCCTGACATTGACATTCATTAAAGCTACCACGCCTCCAAAACGTATGCACAGAAGCCTGGCACCAACGATGCCAGCTATCGAAGCGAAGCTGCTTCTTAAACGTCTGATCAAACAAATTCCACATTACATACCCAACATGTGAGTTTCAGCTCGATTCGACGCCCCATGCCCGCCCAGAGAAACGTGCCAAAACGTAAGTTATGCAGACCGCCTTACAACTACAGATAGGTATTCGTCATTGCGTGATGTCTAGTGAGTTTGAAAAGAGCGCCGGAAATAACAGATCAAATGCAAGCAGTTTACGCTGCCACTTCTTCCTCAATCATGGGCTGGCCGTTGATGATGTCGCCGTTGACGTGCTCAAACTCCATTTTCTCTTGCTGCGCAATGGCTTGCTGAGACACTATCTCAGCGAGACGCTTCAGGCGAGGTGTTTGCAACCCTGTCAAGATAGTCAGCTATCGTCTTGTATGTACGGCGTATTCAGGATGAGCACTTACAAGAAGGAGTGTAGGTCTCTAGAGCCGTGATGACCCTAGGCTCAGCAATCTCATAGGGGCCAGAGTCTTCCATATCTACTGCTGTCAACAGCAGAACATCGCTCTTCTCGGTTACTCGCGAAGCCACAGCCTTCATGATCTCGCCGTTAATTGGTTGTTCGTAGTCTGCGACAAGGTATTGATTGAGCAACTTCTGGATCTGATTAGGCGATAGCATCCAGCAAATGTCCTGAATGATCTCGATGTCATTCAAGGTAGCCTTCTTCAATTGAAGCAGCTTGGTGGCCTGCATCAAGTGCTCAAGCTGAAGGGTACCCTCGGGCATGTCGTGGGACTTGCACCATTCCTCGATACGGGTAATGTTGTAGTTGATCTGAAGACCGCGCTTCCAGGAAAGGAAGTTGCGCCTCATGAGCAAGTCGTTAAATGCAGTGACACCGACGAGCCTAAGGAGCTCAGTAACTGTCTGGGTGACGATCGAATCTTCAAGGTAGTAAGCCTTCATAGCCTTGTAGACATTGTTGAGCAGGCTAAGCAGGTTGTCCATGCTGTAGGCAGGAGAGCTGTTGCTCTGGAGAAGCTTGCCGAGGAAGCGGTTGCTCTCGTTGGTCACGAAGCCAGGGAGGGACTGCGACTCGATAATAGCAGGAATGATCATCTTATGAAGCTTCTTCTTGAGGACCTTCATCCAAGTGTGGTAGATGTTGAACTCAAGGCTCTCCAAATCGTGCTTGACGATCTCCAACAAACGGTCGTACTCGTAGTTGTCGGTTTTTTGCTGCTCGTACCAGTCCTCAGCAAGGAAGACGAACGAAAGCATTTCATGGACGTTGGACAACCAGAAAGCGCCGGGGTTAACCGCCTCGTCGCCATCGTGTTGCATGACCTCCTGCTGGATGGACTGCATGACGTTCGCAAGGAAGCGCTCGGACTCCTTAACAAAGCCGTTGTTCCACATCTCGGAGGTGACAAGATTGATGAGGTAAGCAGGGAAGAGGACCTCCTTGTCGGTGGGAGGAGGAGTGGTGGTTGGTGAGGGGATCTTGAGGTTCTTGATCAAGCCGAGGGTGACTTCATCATTTAGGTTATCCTCATCACCAAGGATATTTTCGAGCTCAAGCTCGACATTGTCCAAGTTGGGGTTGAATGTCGAGCCAGACAGGTTGGGGCGATGGACAGTAGAGCCAACAGCCATTGAGACAGGGCGTGGGCTGTAAGTCTGGCTGAAGCGGTCCAAATCGCGTGTATCGGGCCCAGCACTTCGCCTCTTGGGCTTCTTCGATGAGACGAGATTGATGAGACTTGCCGCCATGGGGGTATGCCCATTTTCGAGATGACCGCCGTTGATTGGTCCAGATCGCTTCATGATCTCGACTTGCTCTTGCAAATCGGTGAGTTGCTGTCGCAGTGACAGCTTTTCCGTCTCTGTGATGTTGCTTCTCCGCTTGGCAGACTCTAGGTCGTCTGTAGTCTGCTTTAGCGATGTGCGGAGTTGCTTCTCCTCTTCCTGCAGGTGGCGAATCTTCGAGTTGCTCTCGTCGTAGTTGGTCTGGAGCTTCTTGAACTCCTCCTCTATCGCACTCAATTTGGCAGCGGTGATACCAGCCTGGTTGGCTTCTGCCTGGAGCTCCTTTTGTCGGTTCTCCAGAGCACGACTCCGTTCCTTGTACGACTTGATCTGGCCTTCGTAATTCTCGACTTGCTGCTTGAGAGACTTGTTTTCTTGTCTCATCGAACCCAAATTCTGTGTGAGTTCGACGACCTTGTTCTCCAGCTTGTAGGAAATATTCTTGAGATCGCGAGCTTCGGCACGGAGAGACTTGTATTCCTTGCGAGCCGTCTTTCCTCTCCAGAGGTTCTGAATAATAACGATCTTCTTCCTGTATTGCCTCCAAGCCTGAAGTTGCCGCTGAGACCTCCAGCTACGTTGGATGATGCGTGCGGCATCTCCGAGTCGCTTGTCGAGAATGTTCTTTCGGCAAAGATAACCTTTCGCGGCGGCCTGGAACAATATGACCGAGTTTCTGACGAGATGAAATCGTTTCCTATCCTTAGAGCCACGCCACACACGCTGTATGGTTGTTGCAGCCTTGACCTGCCTAGCTTCTTCTGCGCGTTCTCGGGTAATGTAACCTCGAGCTAGAGATTGGACAGCAATGATGGCCTCGCGCATCTCTAGATATACACGGCGGTAATACTTAGCTCGGAGGTTCTTTTGAATCATGATAGCAGCATCATTCAATCGTGCCGAGCGCAGGTTCTCGAGGAACGCCAGCATACCAGCGCGGAAGAAGATCTTAGTGAGACCCATTTGGTATTTGTCGGTTCCATCGTTCTTGCCATCACCTAGAGCCTTGTGGAGGATAGCCTTGGCCATGTTGCGGATCTCTGGTGTCCACGACGAGGACGGCGTCAGCATGTAATAGCGCAGAGCAAATTCCTCGTATGTCCATCGCGTGGGATAACCGGCACAAGAGATGCGGACCGTCTCGAGAACACCACAAGCTCGAAGCTGGTTGAGGACCATAGGACCTTCAAATTTCCACGCCTCCTTTGCCTCGTTTGGCTTGATGCATCGGATGTAGTGGACATCTGTAGAGTTGATGGTATTCATCAGCTCGATGAGGGAGGACTTGAAGATACCACCGAGAGTTGGTTTTCGGTTCACAGCTACCCTCCTGCCCGCAGTGGCGGGCCTCGCTGAGGCGGTGGCTGCATTTTCTTTGTCACGAATCGATGCTGCTACGTCCAAGACTTGTATCAAGAACTTGTTGTTTGAGGCCTTGAGCACTTCCATATGCTCGTCTGGCACAGTATCTCGGTTTTTCTCGATGAAGCCTTCAGACTCATAGGTGACTGGAACAGCATAATGCTTGACGGTGAATGCAGACTTTCCGAATCGAGGCTTTTGGTAGAACTCGTGCTTGTTCTCGCCGAAGAAGTTGTGGTGAAGCTTGGTGACGAATTGATCGTCCGAGCCCATGGGAAGGCGCGATTCCTCGTCCAGCAAAGCCAACACACCAAGCTTGCCTTCGATCAAATCAATACATTTTTGGTTGTCCGCAAAGTCAATGAACGTCCAGTCGATCTCCTCTCGGAGATATTCTTCTTGCTCTAATTTAAAGACGTGCTGGTTAAACTCTTGCTGCAGCTTCTCGTTGGCGTAGTTGATACAGAACTGTTCAAAGGAGTTCTTTGCAAAATGCTCGAAGCCGTAGATATCAAGCACACCGATGAACGTCTTGGCGTTTGCGATGACTTCCTCGGTGGCCAAGCTCTCGTTGGTACGCTCAACAAGCCAGTCGAACAAGCTTGAATAAATGAATTTGGCCACGGAATCTCGAACAACAACGGCAGCCTGCTTGGTAAGATTCGACACAATCTTCTCGCCTCGTGTTATTAGCTGCTTCTTGACTGTCCATTTGGCGAAGTTTGCAGCGTTGATGCCAAGCAACTCGCAAGCCTTCAAAAGGGAAGGTTCGGTGGGATCAAGTGCGGAATCTGTGCGGGTAGCCGTGATCTGAATATCTCCGATATGCAAGAGCGCAGCAAGTAGTCGCCAGAGCTGGGATTGTGTTTCAGGTGGAACACCAATGGTCGTCAGCGATTTCCGCGTGGCATCGAATTCTGCCTTGTCGTCCACACCGTCGATGGTCGGAGAGCTTCCTTGATTGAGATAGCTGAACTCCTCTACAGACTTCAGAGATAGCTCTTGGGTTTCCGCGTCCGTCGCTCCCTTGATCAGCTGGTAGAAGATATGGTAGTTTCGTTCCTTCAGTGGCTGAAACACCAATCGTGACCGCTCAAGCAAATATGTCCGTATCTTTGCACCTGTGATGTCTGTCTCTTTGTTGAACATGATCTCGATGTATTTACCGAAGCGGGAGGAATTATCGTTACGGGTCGTTTTCGCGTTACCGAAGGCTTCCATGATCGGGTTGGTTGCCAAAATCTGCTCTTCTGTTTCGCTCATAGAGTCTGCTTTGCCTCTCCGCTTGCCGGGGTTGTCGGGGGACTCTCGGGTCGCAAAATATCGCATGATGTATTTGGCGCTGACAGTTTTACCTGCACCGGATTCACCAGACACAACAATGGTCTGGTTCTTATCGTCTCGCAACATGTCTCTGCAGGGAGTTAGCATGTGATACTTTGTCGTCTAGTTAATGGTCCACGATTGATGGAGGTTGTGACTGAGCAGACGTACGCAAAAGCTTCTTCAGCGATAGCGAACAGATGCGGTGCGCCGTAGGACCTCTGCTTTCCGGCATAGACCTGCACCATTCCAGGTACATATAGAGAGTCGACCCTAGCGAACGGATTCGCTGCTATCAGCACGATACCGGAATATGTGTAAATCTCCTTCTGCGCATATCGCAGCTTGATGGCCTGGAGCACTGTACACCGTCAGTATGCAGCTCCTGTCTATGGGGAATCCCATCATACCGGCCGGCTCGTTAAGATGTGAGAGATTCGTAAGATCATCGCTGGCTTCGAGCATGGCCGGGTTCATCAACGGCGGCAAGTTCGGGTCGTTGCCATCCTGGATGGCGGCGAGCGTCGTTTCGACAGTCTTGGTCTATGGGCTACAGTGTCAGCCGTTCTCCATTGTTGCCTTATCATGTGTGGATAGGACTGCATACCTCGCCGTTCTCGACGGTGAAGACCAGCGTGACTTTGTCGCCGGCTACCTGCTTGTCAGTGACCTCGGAGGCAACCCAGCCCTCTGCGGTGTCTGGCTGCCACGCCCGCGTCCCGACGTCGAAAATGTGCGCCATGGTGTGTCCTCGGTGTGCGTCTCGTGGAGGCGGTGGCCGCTGTGATAGCGGGCTTGTTCAGGGTCCAGGTCTCCCTTTCGGTGTCTGGCGGTCAAAGAGGTGCTTCTGCCGGCGGGTGTGTCGGGGCGTGGCGGAAGACTCGCTGTCTGCAAGCAGTGTCGCTGCGTCACAGGATTGAATGCATGCCTCGAGTGCCTAAATGAAGAGGGTGGGTGTTGTGCAGCTGTTCAACGGAGGTGCTTTTGCTGGAACGCGGACCTTCACTTTCGCGCACTAAGTTTAACCTCACCGCCAACAGCCCGCGCGCAAGCAGGGGCACCACGACGAAGCGACCAATTGCACCCTGCCAAGCGGTCCACCCCGAGCATCCAGCTCGACGCTGTCTCACGAACATGCCGACGCACTACAACTTTGCGACCGCTAGTCGCTGCCCGCTGTTTCTCGAGGCCTCTCGCCCGCTTCGCCCGCCGAACTGCTGCCGCTGTCTACCAGTGCCACCACGGGGCTCCACGGTTCACTCCCGCGGTCAGGCCACATCTTGGTGTGGATCTCCAACACGACACTTCACACAGGGGCAGCTTTAGAACAGAAAAGTACCCTTTTGATTATGCTTGCGCAAGCCGGCTCCCTGTAAACGTGCAGTGCTTCATAGCGCTGCTTATCTCGTGAAATAACCTCCTATTATGCTTTTCCTCTGAAACCGCTACGTGGACATCATTACATGTATGCTTGCAAACAAAACTCTATGCGCGTGCCTCGTGTGAATCCATTAAATTTGAACACGTCATGTTGAATACTTTCGGCTGTGCGAATACCACCAGGATAGTTGAAGATGCCTTGATCATTCCCAAAGGATCCCGTCAAACAAAAAGTTTCGCCCATCCCGCACCTCGCTTGGCCTAGTACAGCATCCTTGTCCGCAGACTAGCCGGCAGCTCCTCGAGGCTCTGGAAAAGATTCCTAATCTCGTCCTCCTTCACGTCGCTGACATCTGCCATCAAATACGCAACATCCCCTCTTGAATCCGAGCTCTGCTTGTCAATGTTGTGGTTCAGCAACACGCCGTTGACCTGCCTCAGCACACCAGGCACGTTCTTGTGGATGAAGACCACACGCACGCAGTTTGGTTCATCCAGGTTGATGGTGCGCAGGAACACCTCGGGCATGTTGACCGCGCCGAGAGTAGAACCTTCATTGACATACTTGACGAGCGCGGTGCTGACCTCCGCGCCGATTGCGCTTTGTGCTTCTTCCGTGCTACCGCCGATGTGAGGGGTCAAGATCAGGTTCTTCAGACCCTGCAAGTCCTTTGTCCAGTTGTTCAGGTCGTTGTTGAAGTAGTCGCCATTGCCTGCGGGCTCGTTGGGGAACACGTCGATGGCTGCACCGGCGATCTTGCCGCTGCGCATGGCCTCTATCAAGGCGGGTATGTCAACAACCTTTCCGCGGGCATTGTTGATGAGGTACGATCCGTTCTTCATCTTGTCGAACTGCGCTTTGCCGATCAGATTCTTTGTGTCCGCCGTCTCCGGTACATGCAGGGTCACGAAGTCCGACTGATCCAGCAGGTCATCCAGCGAGCTGACCTGTTTAGCGGTTCCCAGACCCATCAGGTTTACAACGTCGTAGTATATGACCTCCATGCCCATCGCTTCCGCCAGAACGGACAGCTGGCTACCAATGTGACCGTAGCCGACTATGCCGAGCGTCTTGCCACGAATCTCCCAACAGCCCTTGCTCACTTTGTTCCATGTGCCGTTGTGTAATTCCATCGAGCGATCGGCAAGTTGGCGGGCAAGAGCTATGACTTCGGAAATGACGAGTTCGGCGACGGAGCGCGAGTTGGAGAAAGGGGAGTTGAACACGGCGATACCCTGCGACGCCGCATATTTGAGGTCGACCTGGTTTGTGCCGATGCAGAAGCAACCGATGACGATGAGGTTCTTAGCCTCCTTTAAGACGCGCTCTGTGAGCTTCGTCTTCGAGCGGATACCGATGACATGCACATCGCGAATCTTTTCGATCAATTGGTCTTCCGATAAGCTGCTCTTAATTGCCTCCACCTGATAGCCCTGATCCTTCAGTATGTGGACACCGGCCTGGTTGACATTTTCAAGCAGCAACACCTTCACATCCTTAGTGTCAAAAGGCTTGAGTTGCTTCGCGGTCGCGGCGGCGGCCCCTGCGGAATAGTTGGAAGCGCTGCCCGGGAAACTAGGTCTGTACGATTGATTCAGCGCACGTTCTGAAGCGTTTCTGAGATATCACTTACGGTTGCCGGAAGCTGGTCGGCGGGCTGTGGAATGAGAGGTTCGGGCTGGTGCTCAGGTTAAGGCTGTTGGACACCTGTCTTGAGAGGTTGCTCATGTTGGAAGTGGGCACCGGGATCTGTCTAGGCGGGCTGGGGGGACTCATCGTGACGGCTGTTGACGGGTTTGAGGCGGGCCTTGCGGCAGTGGTACTACGTTACAGTAATCCTATCTAGGAAATCGGATCCGTGATGCGCGTCGGAGATCCTTGAGACAAGAGCGAAGAGTGGTAGCAAATGCTTAGGCAAGTATCGCGGGGTAAGAGTCGAAGAAGAACAAAAGTTTCAAACAATGAGCAATGACACCACTGTACTCAATTTTAGCCTCATAAAAAGCTCAAAACAGCCCTATTCCACTATCGTCCGGCCTCGGGGTGACTCGAACCCAGAAATTTATGACCCGACCCGCTTGACGCGATTCCCTTAGCTCAACCACCCCCACCAAGCGGCGAGGTTTTGAAGGTGTGGCGCCTGCACCGCCACAGTCGGCCGTTCGCGGAAAGCGCCTGGCTGCAGCACGGAAAATGCCCGAGAAGGTTGTCAGCACCGTAAATCAGGGTGCAACGGGAGCTAGAAAGGCTAGAAAAGGCAAAGCGATCGGGGCTCATGCACGATGGTGCTTGGACCGGAGGTGGATTCAGGTACGAGCGGCTGTTAGCGGTCATGGCCATCCCGAGCTCATGGGAAGCATGGAAAAGGGCCACAGAGGAGTGCTTGACAGGATCGCGACAAGACTTCGAGATCTGTAAGTCGGTTTTGGAAGTTGTATAAGCGGCCTTGTCAGCCGGCTGTTGTGTTGCAGTCGTAGCGGCACAATCTCCAGCATCCAAGGTCATGTATGTAAGATCAGATTCGTTGTATTCATATCTAGTTGATTGTGCCTAGCAGGCATACATTCTCAAAGCCAGGATCTAGGCCATACTCCAACGTAATCCAATCCCACTATGGTAGACCTATACATGCATCTTATGAGTAGCATTACACGGCGCTTCATAGCTTCTCCGCGTTCGACATAGGCCATTGGTAGCCTGACATGTGTCAATGTCCGGACTGAGAAGGGCGGCAAGGGCTGGGGAGCTAGGGAACAGAGGACAGAGGTGGCATCGTACCTGCTGCATCGCTAAATTTGTATCCGTAAGAGGATGTGAAATCGTCCAGCACGGCAGGGCCGCGCGAGCCTGATCGTGTTAGTCGATGATAATAATATGGGGGATTATGCTGATTGTGTTCGTACCGTATGGGTATTCCATGGGAATGATCTCCTTGTTATCATCAAGGTAGTGAAGGAGGGGAGTGAAAATTCTCCAGCTAGCATCAAGCTCATCATCACGGACAAAGTTGGAATGGTCTCCCTTCAGAGCATCCAAGATCAAAGACTCGTAAGCCTCGGGGATCTTCAGATCTGAGAATCGCCGTCTGTAGGTGAGGTCGAGCTCGGTAACGACTGTCTGCATGCTCAATCCGGGCAGCTTGGAGTTCATCTTGATGTAAACACTCTCATTGGGCTGCACACGGATAACAAGCTCGTTTCGCGGGATGTCTTTGAATATGCCGGAGGTCACATCCTTGAACTGAATGCGGACCTCTGTCTTCTGCTCATTTAGAGCCTTTCCTGCCTTCAGGATGAATGGCACGCCGTCCCACCGTTCGTTCTTGATGTAAGCAACCATGGAGGCAAAGGTAGGGCACCGCGAGTCTTTGGGGACAGTGTCATCCTCCTTGTAAGAGGGCTTCGTTCCGTCCAGCGACTTGCCATACTGGCCAATGATGACGTTCTTGGGCTCGATGGCGGGCATACCGCGCAGGACGCGCACCTTCTCGTCCCGAATGTCTTCGGCGGAGAAAGAGATGGGTCGCTCCATGGTGAGCAGCGTCAACACCTGTAGCAAGTCTTCCTCAAAAATTAGTAGGACATTCTTGCGATACGGGGTCATACTAACGGTTCTGCATGACGTCCCGGATGATGCCAAACTCATCGAAGTAACCACCCCGTCCCTCAGTTCCAAAAGGCTCCTTGAACGAAATCTGCCACCTGTTAGGAATGTTCGATGCGAGCTAAGTGGCCGCCCTACCTGAACATTGTCAATGTGGTTCCTGTTCCAGGTAGCGCCGAAGAACTCGTTTCCGAATCGCAGGATGAGAATGTTCTTGACCATTTCCTTGCCCAGGTAGTGATCAATTCGGAAGATTTCGTCCTCAACCCAGTCAGGCGCAAGCGCGCGCTGGAGCTCTCGGGAGCTCGCGAGATCTTTGCCGAACGGCTTCTCGACCTACATCGTAACCATAAGTCACTCTACCGCAGAAGTAAAAGACAACAGATACTAACAATGACACGAGCAATGCCCTTAGTTGGGTAGCAGTTGCGCTTCAAGTGCTGCGAGACGGGAATGAAGACGCTTGGGGGTAGTGCCATGTAGAATATCCTGTGCGTCTCACTACGTCCCTGCTCAAGCTCGTCCAGGTGCTTTCGGAGGTTGATGAACGATTCATCCTGGTCGTACTGTCCAGAGATGTACGTGCAGAAGCTGCAGAACTCCTCCAACTGCTGCTCTAGCTCCTTTGTTGGGGTCTTGATGTATGACTTGACGCGCTTGAGGTATTCCTCATGGTCCATCTTTGTTCTGGCATATCCGACGATCTTGACATTTTTGGGAAGGAAGTTGTTTCGGTGCTATGCGAGTTAGCCTGATGTGAGGCTGTTCGTGAGCGTCGTCACTTACGAGACCGAAGAGTGCGGGGAACTAGAACGGGTGGTCAGTAAGACTTGTTGACATGTGCGGTTCCCAAGTACTCACAGTCTTCTTCTTTGCCAGGTCACCGGAAGCGCCCAGAACAACAATGACAGTATTGTCCTTCAGTTCCAGGTTTCTGCGGCCGCATATCCATTAGCTTTTGATCTCCGAAGGCGTCGCAATCGCGGGGGCTCGGGGAGGGGCATCGTCAAGACGAGATGCGTCTGCGTCCTGAATTCGAACGCACCCGATGCGCGAGGTTCCGCGACGGGGTGGAGGTGAGGTCGCTGTGTCACGCTGTCACGCGGAGTGGAGGGCAATGCACATACCCGGCGTTGGTCTCGACCTCCGGCTGGATAACCGTGTTGGCCATTGTGATGGTTGTCCGGAAGACGGCGGCCTCAAAAGGACAGGATTTGCCGGCTCAGAGGATCCGCAGCTCAGTTACAGAGCTACAAGCGACGACGAGCTGTTGAGAGTGTGATGGCGGTGTAAAGAGAGCTGGAATCGGCGAACTTTGTGAGTAGTGGGGTCAGTCCGCGAGGTGTGGATCACTGGTTGGGATTGACGTATTTTATTTGAGTGCAGACGCGCTAGGAGCTGCTGTCCGTCGGCGCTTTCGCAGAGAAGACGGGCAGATTGTCACGATAAAAGGCAGAGATAGGCAAGAGGGGCCCTGACAGAATTTAATCACACGTTGGCTCTGAAGCATCACTAAGCCGATGCGCCTCTTGCAAAGCATCTCCGGCGCCAAACGAGTTGCTAACGCCGAGCGTTAGGACGACCCCGCCATGGCCCGTTGGCTGCACTGGCAGCTTCCTCTGCTGCCGCTTGTCGCTGTTTCACGGCCGACTCGACGCTGCAGCAACTTGAATGGCATTCCGCTGGGCTTCCAAGCCCTTTGTGCTCGTCTCAGGCCCGTCGCAGCTCCGCAGAGGCAGCTTGTTCGCTTCGGCTTCCCCTCACTGACACCTCCGATGTCCGGCTGCGTCAAACGACAGAGGGAGCACCGAAAATCCTGGCTCAGGCGGCTACATAAGTTGACGTACATCATCTGGGCCGCTTTCGTAACGCGAATAGGTACGCATAGTGATCAATGGGATTGCCACGAAAGGCTGCAGCTGCCTTCTTTGCTCACTGCTCGGCACGTTTCTAACAAGTCGGAATCCGAGCGTCGGAGGTCTTTTTGAGTCTGCTTAGACAGCATGGTGACACGGAGAAATTGCACGTCTCTAGGCCGGTGTCAAGCACGCCCCCGTCGCGTACAAAAATTTCACGAATGAGTCGCATCAAGCGGTCAAATTTGGGATAGGCATTACTTGTCCTGACTTGAATTGAAGTTCATGAGTAAAATAGCATCTCACCAGCAATCACAGACGATTTGTAGATGCCAATCGCGGTGGTGGTTGGGCCTACAGTAGAAACCACCGTGTAAATGCGGTAGCTCCGTGGATGTGGAAATATGTCTATGTGATTCCGCGGCACGGATTTGTGAGCGTGGGAAACTAATCGCGGCTTACGTCTATACTCTGGAGTATTGATAGCCCGAAGGAGAAGCCGACAATCGACTGGAAGGATGTTTCGTGGGGCGAGCTCTAGCTGTCGGGCGGAATACAGCCCGTAGCTGGCGCTTATAGGAATGCAGAACGAACCACCGTGAGTCCCATGGCTCGCGCAGAAACTTGCCGGCAATGCGTTGATGGTGCAAGCGTGCATGGGCACGCAAGGCAGGGCAAAGAATGTAATATCAAACTGAGAGTTTTATGTTGCGCAGTCTCCGCCCTTAGCTAGAGCATTTTGAGCGCTGTGGTTACAATGATGTCTTACTGTACTGCAGGTCCATGTGTAATTGTCAGGTGATCAGGACTACGCACTTGACAAGCCGTGCTCAACAGTGTAAACCGAACAAAGATCCGCACAGGTTCTTTGACCCATCTCACTGCGTCGTGTGCACTCTTGCAAGTGCATAAATGCGAGTAACTGTTCCCCTACACACAGGGTAGCTTATGAACGGAATATTGTGAACAAAGGAATTGCAACGTGAGGACTATGTATCACGACCCTATCACGCCCAGCATATTCAAGACATGCGTAATGGCCATATTTATGTTGTAGTGGTGTTCGCAGTAGAGGAACTCGTGGACGCACGACGCGCTCGATTGGCTGTGGCTAGTAGCGCCTTCCGCCAAGAGCTCGCTTAAGTCCACCGCACAATTCGACCTTCGCGATTTCCTTGAGAGCGACAACGACCACTACTAACCGGCAGCATCAACGACTTCGGTCCCGACACCCATCTCCCACAAATCCCAGAGGCCAGGAAATCTTCGCCATGTCTGACCAGTCTCACCGCCGTAAGTCGAGGTCCCAGCCCGGTCGCATTGGTCGCCGACCCCAGGTACATGAATTGGATCTGGGCGACGAGAGGCTTCTACTTATTCTGAACACATGCGCTAACATACGATTGCAATAGTCTACGTGAAGTAAGTCTTCCATCGCTCTCCCTATCGCCTCCAATCCGCTCTGCTCTGTATTCCATATCGAAACCGAAGAACGCGCAAATCCGAGGACTACAACAACCAAGAGGAAGGCTTTTGCATCAAGATGAATGCTGTCACGGAATACTCATTATGTCGCATATTCGAATGCGGTGTAGCAGACGGACGTCTTCGGTCGCAGACATGCATTAGGCGTAACGGACAATGACTGACTTCGTGCGCAGGGGAAAGCACATCTCCTACCAGAGGGGAAAGCGTAACACCACCCCCGGTACCTCGCTTCTCAAGCTCGAGGGCGTCGACAGCACCGACTCCGCACAATGGTACGCCGGTAAGCGCGTTGCCTACGTCTACCGCGCCCAGCGAACGGTCCGTGGCTCCAAGATCCGCGTCATTTGGGGCAAGATCACCCGCCCTCACGGTTCGTACTGTCACACCCAACGATCCATCTACGTATACTGATATCGTACAGGCAACTCCGGTGTTGTCCGCGCCAAGTTCAGGTCCAACCTCCCGCCGAAGACCTTCGGTGCTTCCGTCCGCGTCATGCTTTACCCTTCGTCCATATAATTTCTTCCGCTAGCGTAGGGGAAGGGGACGGTCGATGATTAACGATGTGCGCGGTCGTGTGGCGTATCCCGGCAATGGAAACAGCGACGAGCAGGGAGGCTTTGTGCTCGATCTCATTCACATGGCATATTCGGGCTGGTTACAGGTGTCATTGCTTTTCGGAAAATCCATGGCAGAGACAAATCAAGATTCCTCCCTCCGATCAATGAAAATATGATCAAACACAGTTACCTTCCAAATTTTCGAGATTCATGGATGCTGCACTTGGACCGACCCAAGCTTCCTACGTGAAATACTGTTTGGCAAGGGGCCATCGCGTTAACGAGTACAGACATGGTAGGTACAGGTGCAATAAGAAATACGTATGGGTCGGTACTTCGGTCAAGGCCCCCCTTTTCGCTAGTTTGTAACTATCTCGCGGGAAACAAGCTTCCGGTAAACCGTCAATCCGATATAGAAGCCAGTTCACTTGGACAGCGCCTTGATACTAGTGACCTCTAAAAGTGGTCTACTCTTCTTAGCCGCCTGCTGAGGGACATCTCACATAGAACGCCGCCAGCGTACGTCAACCATGAAAGGTAGAACTCAAGTGGGACCAAGCCGTATGATCCAAAGAAACGCCGTGTGCACACCTACGGTATTTCGAAAATTTTCCCAAGAGCGTAGCTGCTGTGACGCTCACTATGCGATCTCAATCCCTATCGCTGCACACTCAAGAGACGACAGTCATCATGTAAATCGCTGCAACCCTGCACCTAGATATTCACAAGCCATGGTTAGCCAGCTCCGTACGCCCGAGAGAATATGGTCCCATTATGTGTCATGTAACGCATGCGTGGTAGTCACCACCGTAGCTATAAGGCTTCAGATGTTCCATTGTGGAGGACCAAGACCAACAGTACGTAATAATTGAATCTTGGGAATATGAGAAGGCATTCTCATTCAACAAATGCTTGGTATGCTTGTGCTTTCACGAGCTTGGTGCTGGGCTCAGGCCCCAAGCCGGCTCACCAACCGGGAATTGTGGAGATGGGACGCAAGTCCGCGTAACATCTGGCTGCCTCTCCTGCTGTAGTTGAGGGAGTTGATAATCAATTACGCACTCGTTGAAACAAGAATCCTCTAGGAAGTCACAAGCTGAGCACAATTAGTGATGGTGAATCTACTTAACGATACACTAGTGTATGCATGATCTACTAGACCCGAATCGGCAAGATGGTGGCGGCCCATGGCGTGGGTGTTGAGCTTGTCTATTTTTGGCGGCTCCCTCGAGCCTCTGGACGCGACAGCAACCAAGCCAAGCCCCAGGCGGGCTGACGTCTCCTTACAGCCGTCCTCCTATACAATCCCGCAATCTCGCAGACAAATGAAATAAGTGTTCTCCCCTCGCTTGCGAATCCGTTCTCTACTTTTCCATCCTGTGCAGCGTTCACGTCCAATCTCTGGGTTTCTTTCGTCTCCGCCCAATGCGACTTCTGTTCTCTACGTTGTTCTAATTACAGGGGCCGCAATCCGCTGCGCACGCGACACATACACATACATCATGGTTGCAGGTGGGGGTAGTATGGGAGGAGGGGTTTCCGCACAGGCGCAATGGGCAGGCACACCGTCTATCAAAGGCTCGTCCGAGTCTGTCAAGATGGCGCTGTTGACGCTGTCGCTCGTTGGCCTCCAGTACGCGCACCGTGTCTTCTACATGCCACCTTTAATTGTACTAACCTGACTACAGGGTCACCTGGAATGTTGAAATGACATACTGTACGCCGTACCTTCTTGAACTGGGCTTGACGAAGTCCAAGATTTCCCTCGTTTGGGTCGCCGGACCGCTATCTGGCCTTATCATGCAGCCCATTGTCGGCGTTGTCGCGGATAGATCTAAGAGCCGTTGGGGTAGAAGACGACCGTTTATGATTTTTGGTACCGTTCTAGTATGCCTCTTTCTGCTGCTGCTTGGGTTCACGAAAGAGGTGGTGCACCATTTCATCCCGGACAAGGAGGCTGCGAAAAGCGCCACGATCATTCTCGCAGTTCTGAGTATCTACGGAATCGACTTCGCAATCAATGCTGTACAAGGGAGCTGCAGAGGCCTCATCGTGGATACGCTTCCGATTTCGAAGCAACAAAACGGGAGCAGCTGGGCTAGTAGGATGGTCGCTGTGGGGTCGCTGGTGGGATACGCTGCCGGAGCTATTGATTTGAAGAGAGTCTTTGGCCCGATGCTTGGAGACTCGCAGTTCAAGCAGTTGACTTCCGTGGCAGCGCTGTGTCTCTGCGTCACTGTGGGTATCACTTCTTGGGCAGTAACTGAGCGCGTCCTCATCCACGACGGCAAAGAGGAGGGGGAAGACTTTGGTCCGCTTCATGTTCTCTCCGAGATTGCACACACCGCCACGAATCTACCTCGGAGCATACAAGCCATCTGTTATGTTCAATTCTGGGCATGGATTGGTAAGTGCCCAAGATGAGTATGTAAACCCGGCCGAAACTTAGCTAATGTGTGGCTCCAGGTTGGTTCCCTTTCCTCTTTTATTCTACCACCTGGGTAGGTGAGCTGTGGTTGCGCTACGATGCCCCTGCAGACGTTAAGGCCGCTGGTGACTTGACGGGCCAGGTCGGACGTGTTGGCTCCATGGCATTGATCGCATTCTCGATCATTACGTTCGTTATGTCCGTGATACTGCCTTTCTTTGTCAAGAGTCCGGACGAGGAAGGTCCTGGTTTCACACCGCGTCCACCTGCGAGCATTGCAGGGTTTGTCACTGAGTTCGAGAAGTACAAGCCTTCTTTGCTTACGACTTGGACGATCTCTCATTGCATCTTCGCTGGATCCATGATCATGGCACCGTTCGTCCAGTCGCTAAGAAGTGCGACTATCATAGTTGCTGTTTGCGGAGTGTAAGTCAAGCCACCACCCAAATCAAGCCCATACACATAGCAAACCGAGTCAACCCGTACAGATTAGGTTATACAGAGAACCAGGTTGCCCCCACGTTTGATGGGCTTGATAGCACATGAGGCTGACTCCGTGTAGTTCGTGGGCCATCGCCTGCTGGGCTCCTTTCACGTTCCTGGGTGTAGAGATTAATCGTCTTTCTCATACCGGCCACTCGTATGGGCATCTTGGGCGTAACTCGGTTGAGCTTGAGTCGCCGGTGCAGCTGCACCTCAATCATGGTCTTGAGGAGGCCTCTGGGTCAACCGGAGAAAGCTCCGGCAAGTACCTTGGTATCATGAACCTGTATACAACACTGCCCCAATTCGTCGGCACAGGTATCTCATGGGTTGTGTTTTCGCTGCTGGAACCGGGCAAAAGTCCGGAACTCTCGACAGAGAGTGATCCATCAGAGCACCATTCAACAGACGGACCGAACGCTATTGGAGTGTGCCTTTTCATCGGCGCAGTATGTGCAGTCTTCGCGGCATTGGCAACAAGGCGCTTGAAGCGTCTGCAAGATCATTGAGGTCATGTTATATCGTTTTAATAGACACAGTGGTTGTGTAAGTCTGCCAGGCCTCAACAGACAGGAAGGCCGACCGAATGCCAGCTGCTATTTTTGGCCAAGGGCGGCGCTATGTTGACGGAGGCGATGCAGCGAAAGTTTTTCTTCGGTCGATCCGCTTTGTTCTAGAAGGCTTGCCGGTGCACGGGCATTTTGGCTTTCGATACCAGGCGTGCCAGGGTAGATTTAGATGGACGGTGAAGTGCTGTGCAACAATGCGGCTCGATAGAATTATACCCAGGGCTTTCTTACAGACTTTGCCACATCCGGTAGCCATCGGCGAGACTGAAGTTGCTTTGATACTATGGGAGTTCTCCAAGCAGTGAATGATGGCTTGATGCCGTGCTACAAAGCTTTTTCAGGGCTTGAATGGAAACACGTGGGAGTGACAACGCGCCTCGAGCACTCAGCGAAAAGCTGAGTAAAAGGCAGCGGCAGCCCATGCAACGACGAGTCATCGCGGCTCCTTTTCGCTGGGGGGTCTGGACAACAGCTTTGAATTAGCACACTCGAAGAGCGCGTCCTGAACAACGGACCGCAATCACGACCCGCGACGAGCGCGCCTGCCGCATTGCCGCCGGGCTTGTTGATCTCGTTGAGTCGGGCGCTATAACGCGTGTCCTGGGGCAAGACACTTCAGTCGGTTTACATCACGGCTCGCGGGCTAGTCTTAAGCGAGTAAAGCCGTGCCAGAAGAGGGGCGGACAAGACTAGTTGCTTTCTGCGCTCGAAGGGCCATAATTCTCACCAACAGCAACCGCATCTCTCAACACCCCCTCTCAGCACATCGCCCGCATACATCTGTCAACATGTCTGAGCCGATCCGCAATAAGAAGCTCGAGAACATGACCGCGCCGTAAGTCTCTCCCCCACCCCCGCCCTTGGTTTCTGGAGCCGCAACAATGTCCGCCACAAACACTGCAGAGGTGCCACCTGCTCATTATGTCACCACCAGTACGCCTCAGAACACTCCTCTGAACGCCGCACCGATCTCGTCGCACGCACAGCAGCCTGGCATTGATAGCATCAAGGAGGGTAAGTTCTTGCTTTCTCCGCGCTGCCCCTCGTCCCCCCGCCCCAGCCGTGACGAGCTTGACCGCTAATTGTAATTTTCTACCCACAGAGGACTTGGAGCGTCAAGCTGCTGGACTGTTCGCCGCGAACCCCGCGCTCGCTTCACTTATGCAGGCAAAGCTCGGCTCCCTCGTTGGTCGATCAAGTGGCTACATTGAGTCCCTCCCTGGATCCGTGCGCCGACGTGTTGCCGGCTTGAAGGGCATCCAGAAGGAACATTCTAAGCTTGAGGCCGAGTTCCAGGAGGAGGTCCTGCAGCTGGAGAAGAAGTACTTCGCCAAGTTCACACCGTTGTACAAGTCCCGTGCAAGCATCATCAACGGCCAGACCGAGCCCACCGAGGAGCAGGTCACAGTCGGCGAGAAGAAGGATGACGATGACGAGGAGGACGATGTACCTGAGGAGGAGGTCAACAAGGACGAGGGCAAGGACGTCAAGGGTATTCCAGAGTTCTGGCTGAGCGCGATGAAGAACCAGATCTCGCTTGCTGAAATGATCACCGACCGTGATGAGGGTGCGCTCAAGCACCTTACCGACATTCGCATGGAGTACCTTGACCGCCCAGGTTTCCGCCTCATTTTCGAGTTTGAGGAGAACGAGTACTTCACCAACAAGACTGTCACCAAGACCTACTTCTACCAGGAGGAGAACGGCTATGGCGGAGACTTTATCTACGACCACGCCGAGGGCGACAAGATCGACTGGAAGGCCGGCAAGGACCTCACCGTCCGGGTCGAGAGCAAGAAGCAACGCAACAAGAGTGTGTAGCCCTAACCCTGCAGCATGACATGGTAACTGACACAAATCTAGACACAAAGCAGACTCGTGTGGTCAAGAAGACCGTACCAACAGAATCATTCTTCAACTTCTTCGACCCGCCCAAGCCCCCGCAGGATGAGGAGTCCGCTTCCTCTGACATCGAGGAGCGCCTTGAGCTTGACTACCAGCTCGGTGAGGACATTAAGGAGAAGCTCATCCCCCGTGCCATCGACTGGTTCACCGGCGAGGCTCTTCAGTACGAGAACCTTGAGGACTTCGACGAGGGCGAATTTGAGGATGAAGATGATGAAGATGAGGACGATATCAGCGATCGGGACGAGGATGACGAGTCAGATGAAGAGGTGCGTTGCTCTGCTAATACGACCCCTAAGGCTCAATTGCTAATGCGCCTTACAGGACGACGGCACAAAACCTAAGCAGGAGGCCGCCGAGTGCAAGCAGAGTTAAAGGCTCTAAGGTTCAACGTTCGACGGATACCTGACATTGGCTTCCTCCTTCTACTCAGATGCCGGCATCATGTTACATTTGGTGACTACACGGTGGCTATAAGGTAAAGCTTTGTGGCTTTCTTGCACTTGGATCACGCACCCGCTCCTCATCACATCCCTACAATATTCTACCTCGATCCTCATTCACTGCTTCGCTTATGGCACCGTCTGCTTCCCCACCCGGCACAATCACTCATTGCCTTATGAGGCAATTGCATTGGTGGCAGCTTGCTTGGGAAGCTTTTCAAGCGTGGGGCTCCACTGTGCATCCTGTCTGCGTATTTTCCGCACGCTACATCTCTTTCGGGGCTTGGGGAACTCGGTAGGCATAGAACATGCTAGCTTGTGTCTCGAACGAAATGTATTGGGTTTTGGCGTTGCACGTTACGATGCGTCCTTTTTCTTGTGTTTCTGCAAAAGTTCCGGCATGGTTGGTGGGATAGCAGTTTTAGATTTGGTTGCGACTTCAATACGATTATACGTAGTAGCCCTAATAATTATGTGCGCGTTACCTTCGAGAGGTGTTCCATGATCCATTCCCGTAGTAATAACGTATCACAATGGCAACACTCAGGACACACTAATACAAAAGGAATTATAAACAAGTGTACTGATTGAATGCTCTCCAGGGCATTTACTCCAACAGTTGCGAATGGCCTCTCAAGTATGGGAACCCAGTACACAATTTCTAAACACACTCCTTTATCAAAGTCCCGTGAAGCATTGCACCATACCGAGAGCATGCTTCTGCGAGTGGTCCCTTAGTCGGGTACGTGATGCATGGTATGCCAGTCTCCTCCCGTGGTTCATAGTTCGTGGGAGGTATGGGTCTGGAAGCGGTTTAGTGCGGGGTTGGCGGGGCTTTTGCATCTGCCTCGGCGGGGGAAATTCGGCTGGAAATTTTTGGGAAAGATGGTGCTTGACATTGCAGTTGGACACGACAAGCTACTCCTCGCGTTTCGATAATTGAAGCTACCACTATCCTAGGCGGCGAACAGTTATCCGCTCCCCATCCGACTGAGAAGTGCCAATTGACCTGTTATCCAATATGGCGCGCCAAAACCCCAACATCGTAATCACAGGCACGCCCGGCGTAGGCAAAACAACACACGCAGAGCAGCTCGCACAAAGTCTGGGCTTCACGCACGTCTCTGTGAACCAGATCGTCAAAGACGAAGGCTATCACGAGGGCAAAGACGAAGAGCTAGGCAGCTGGGTTGTAGACGAGGACAAAGTAATTCCCTCCCGTCCCTTACCTCTTTCCCTTCTTTGCATCGTTGCTAATCCCTGTTTTCGAAATAGTTACTAGACCATCTCGAAGGCACCGGTATTTCAGAAAAGGGCGGCTACATCCTCGACTGGCACGCGTGCGAGCTCTTCCCAGAGCGCTGGATCGACCTCGTCATCGTTTTACGCTGCGACTCCACCATTCTATACGACCGGCTGACGGCGAGAGGGTACAAGGGCAAGAAGCTCGAGGAGAATATGGATAGTGAGATTATGCAGGTGTTGCTAGATGAGGCGAGAGAGAGCTATAGGGAGGAAATCGTGGTGGAATTGCAGAGTAGTGGGGATGGAGATGTTGAGGGAAACGTGGAGAGGGTGGAGAAGTGGGTTGAGCAGTGGAGAGCGAATAATGAAGGATAGGAGGAGGAATCAAGGAGATGAGGCAGCTGAGTGTGTGAGCTGGGCGGGCGTTTGAAGGGTAAGTTGCCTTTGTTTATCTTTCTTTTGAGAGGGGTATACATGAAGTGGAAGCTCTGAAGAGGGCGCAACACAAGACGGTGCAGGGCTACATCACAGAGATGGAAGCGCACATTCTACGTGCAGACGTCAGCGTTTGGGCCGGACTCGTTGAATCATGCTACGCATCAACCTTGCTCGCGAGCCACTCCTTCAGCTTGTCCAGCGCTTTCCCACGGTGCGAGATTTTGTTCTTCTCGCTCTTCTCCATCTCCGCATACGTCGTTCCCTCGTATTCGAAGCATGAGTCCCAGCCTGTTTCCCCTGTCGTCAGCAATTATTGCATGTCCGAGAGAATAGCCACTTACCGAATACTGTAGGTCCTCTACTGGCGACCAGCTTCCCGTCCGTCCTACCTTGGAAAAGTACCGGTTCGTGGCCCGGACCTTCGCAATAGGCGAACGTGCACACGGCTTGTGCAGACTTGTCTTCGAAGCCGTCAAGCATGTGGTGCAGTTTTGTGGGGCCGAGCGCGAGCATGAACCATTTTCTATCCATTATGGTCAATTGATGTGGTCTCGAAATAGAAATTGAAAGAGATTTACATGTACGGTCCGGGGAGGTCGTTCATAGCTTTAAAGCAGAGGCATGTGTCTTCTACGAGCACAGGGCCGTTGATCTATGGATAATTAGTCAGTGGTAGATGAAGGTCAATGAATCACATAATCTGCATACCGCTTCTGCTGCACGCCGGCATTTGTCTGTTGTGACTTCTTCGACTGTGCCTTGAATCTCTACGAGGTCTACATTCTGGTTCCTGAGCTCGATTACGCCTTCGAGAATAGCTTGAACCTGCATACCACATAAATTAGCCGTTTTCTCTGCCAAATGAACACTACCCATATCCACACCCTGGTTCGCATGGCGTGACAAGCGGAGCTCGCGAGCGCAGGTCGGCGTACAGCAGAGCCTCAAATCTCACCCGCATCCATGTCATCATCTTCCCAGCTGCGCCATCGTTCTCGGAGCAAGCCGAACACGAGCACATCATGCAGGGACATCACAGCGCGGAAACTTCTCGTGCACGTACCTCGGCGAGCTTATTCTTGTTGCCCGTGATGAAGTTCAGGTGCTTGGGTACCTGTGCGTCGGAACCCATGTCGCTGGTCTTACCCGCAGGAAGCAAATCACGGGCGGGCTGTTGCTGACGGCGATTACTCGACTGGTAGGGGTGTTGCTGCAGGCGTTGATGAAGGGCTTCCTGTGCCGGGAACGCGGGCTGCGGGAAGCTTTCTAGGCGGGGTTTTGCGGGTTCCTTCTGATTACTCTCGTCGACAGGGATGCCGAGGACTTGGGTCTGAGCGCGTGCGGTTGAGTTCGGGGGTGATGTGCGTCTTGACGTGTTCATGTCAATGAGTGTCCAAATAGTTATACCCGGTGGAATAGTGGATTCCGCGGTTTGGTAATGATGGGGAATTGCTAAGCGTACGCGATGAGTCCTCGATGCAGCGGAATTAGCAGCCTTGCAGAGGATTGGGCTGTGTGTGTAGTTCGTGGTTGGCTACTGCGACGGACGAGTAGGGCTACTGTTACAATCGCGGCTGCAGAGCTGAAATATGTCCTCTGCTGTATCCTCAAAAACCTATCTCGTTCCCGTTGCATGCCGCCATTTCGGGGTCGACCTAGACTCCATTGAGCAATGCAAGCGACTTCTAGCGCCCTTCGAATGCTACCGTGCCCTTCGTCAGCCGCTGCCATCTCTATACGTCGCCGTTCACACAGTGCCTGTATGCACCACTAGAGTCTCGAACACCACAGGGCTGCAGTGAAGACCCTAGCCCAAGCTCCCGACGCTCTAACGTCATTTGCGTGGGAACGTTCAAGAAAACGGAGGTCTTGTCTTGGCTCCAGGTACTGGGTACCGCTCGCCGACATCGTCCTTCGCAGCTGAGCCGGGCTGTGAACCTGCAACTTCGGCGAGTGCAAAGAGAAGGATCGAACAGACCGCCAGTTTCAACGACAAGATGGGGGTACTCAAGTGGCTATTCTTGGGCATATATGCCTCGAACAGGGTTATAAGGCTGATGTTTCTACCGCTATGTTATCTGCTCCTCAGCAGTCCTTTTCTTCTCGTCTTCTCCCGGTACTACGGTTTCGACAGCAAACTATCTGAACTTTTTGGCAAAGACAAAAGCGTGAAGGAAATTGCACTTCAGGTCTTCGTTGGCTTGATCGCGGCGAGTTTGCCTACTAGGATCCTTTCAGGCAAGAATTCGAATCAAGAGCAAAATGGCGGGACGAGGAGGGTACAACAGATCCCATATTGGATTCCCCAGGTGAAACATTGGGGAAACATTGTCTTTGGGGGAGAGAAATGGTTGAAGAAAGTCAGGTATTTAAGAGTCTTGAGCGCGTAACTATTGGCACTGACAAGCTTGAAGGGATTCAGCAATTGCACCTATCGTTGCATTCAACATTGGAGGTGTGAAACACAACATCGTGTTGTCTCCCTCACTGCTCGAGCAAGTACAGAAAGATTCGTCTGGACTTGACGAAATCGATATCACTGAGTGGACTATACTACGGAACGCCTTCAATCTACCCAGGAATACTGAGGCAGGGTATCTAGAATTGCGGCCTAGGTTGGCAAAACATTTCAACGACCACGTTTTCAAGAAGCAACAAGCGGAGAAGATTATTTCTACCACTCTATCGATTCTGACAGACTCTTTACCGGATCTGGTTACCTTCAATTCTTCGATGGTGGACCAACTGCCTTGGGAGCGAGTCGCCAATTTGGAGTTGACAGATGGTACTGTGGAAGCAGAATGTGATCTGTTCCTACTAATTAGCGAATTCTTCTGCAATGCCATCATTGCGCCATTTACAGGAGCCCAATTTCCGGAATCGTATCAACTGCTGGCATCAGATTTCTCCACGGTCACAGAGGCTTATTATGCGCTTGCACTGGGATTGCCACGGCTATTTCCTAAACCAGGACTACCTGGGGCAATGCTCGCCAAGAAAAGATTGTTCCAGAACTTCGTACGATTCTTTGACGAACTCGATAATCCTAAGAAGAGGGTACCCGATGACAACGAGAGCATGAGTGGCGAGGAAACTGATGCTGATACGCCGACCCCACTAACAGGCATGAACGAATTTTTTTCGAAGAACGATGTGCCTCTCGAAGCCCGCGCAGCCATCACCATACAATTCCTACACGGTCTTATCTCAGAATTAGTACCCCTAACATTCTGGACCTTACTACATCTTCACACCTCGGTAGCAGCGCAAAGCAAAACGCAGAAAGCGGACACGTTGATTGACGGGATCCGCAAAGAAACGCAGATCTGGGTACAAGCGACGCAGCCACCATCCATACATCCCTCTTTCCCAGCACCACCGGCGATATCCTTCTCCGGCCTCCCAAGACTCGTTTCGCCGACATCTTTCCCACATCTCCGTTCAGCAATCAACGAAGCAAGGCGCCTCTACAAAGCCCCTGTCAAAACGCTCAAAGTCAACAAGCCTATCACCCTTACAGAAGCGGAAAGCATACGACCCGGTGTCCAAGAGAAGTGGGAGCTCGATGTCGGGTCATACGTGGCTATCGGACTATCGCAGAGCCTCATCAACACCTCCTCCGCGCACTTCATCGCCCCACCCGACTATAAAGCAGATCGTTTCCAGCACACCCCACCTCCCTCATCCGTCACCTCACCGTCCGACCCTCAAGAGTCTTTAACGACCTCACTGCTCATTGCCTTTATTGCAGGCGTCCTACACCTCTGGGAGATTACACCGGCGCCGAAGAAGAGCTTCTTTGACCATATGCAGGAAGCGCAGGCTGCGGCTATGGGACCCGTGGACGGAAAACCTACGCCTGTAGAACAGAGTGGTGTACAGAAGAAGGTTGGGGAGTGGGTAGTGCCGAAGGCAGTGGATGGTGCGGGTGTGAAGATTCCGAAGGGCGATGTCAGGGTGAGGATTAGAAGGAGGGAAGGGCTTCCGGAGCAGAGGTCGCTGAGGAAAGGGAGGTAGAATGTATATAAGAGAGGAGACTTTGGGTCTATGGTAGCGTTCCCGTGCAGGTCTCTACGTAAACACGCATGGACCCCTTCACATAACCGATCTTCAGTAATCACCCAAGTGCATAGCCAGGCAGGCAATGGATGAGATAGGCAAGACAATTCAAAACCTACTTGACAACATATTGTCGCTCAAGCTCCTCTAGGAAATGATGGGGTGGTCGATCTACTGTGATTTGATGTGTTCCTTGTATACATGCATATCCTATTCCTGCCTACTATTCTTTTAGTGCGGAGAGTCGATGTGATGAGATCGCCTAGGTACACCGGTCTTCACCTTAACTCAGCCCCTGCCGCCTACGCGCTTAGGACCCGATTTCGTATCCTCACGGGTATGGTCGCCATACAAGAACGTTCAATCTATCGAACTACTTTTTCGCCTTATTTATTATCTTGACAGGTAGCCACGGCACTCCCTGACCTAGAACCGCTTTGGTCATCAGGCCTCGGAATAATTTACCTATGGTGTCGTCTGTCAAGGTCGTTCCTAACGCGAACGAATGCTTGCATCTGGCTCTTGCATTGTATATCCAAGCGAGCTCGTACGAATACTAGTAGAGGTAATGAAAAATTTTGTTGGTCTTGGGAACCACTACATGAAGAAAGGAAACTCACGGCGAGGCTGCCACAGCGAGGCTGTGCAGACCTCAATGCGGACTACGCGCCGCAGATCGAACCGCAGACGCGTAGGGCGTTTGATTCTGGCTGCGTAATCCCTTGCCTACGCTAATATGGGAGAATGGACTCGGTTTTGGGTTTACGTGGGAAGAGTGTTGGGTTCAAAGGGAGGAATAGATGAATGTAATGCTTATGTCGATTGCAAAAGTTCTGCTTCCACCTTCTCATGGCTCTGGGTCATCTTCTTTTGTTGGATTTCTACGATATATCTATTTTATCATGGGCTAGTTCTTCTTACATAGCAGTTTTTGGTCGTAATAGACTTTAAGATGGGGCACTAAGGTGTTAAATAAACGTATCAAAGATCATATCTGGGTCGCGTGAAGCGGTGTAATTGGAGAATGAGATCATAAGAGTCGACCAGAAGATAGCACTGTCGGCCAGAAGCTTCTTAGATATCATGGCCTTGGAACCTGGTTATCTTATGGTATATAATTCCTGGGGTAACCTGGATTGTAACTTACTACGAAAGGCGACGTAAACTGGTATTTAATCCAGCAGTATTTTCGGCCCAGTAAGGTTGGGTATTTTAGCCGCGGGACTAATCAGATCAAATCCTTCTCGTATATGCGGTCTCGGAAGAACACAGGGCACAAGGCTACCCAGCATGTACTTCAGACGCGGGGCATTCGGGCCTACACACTTGGCTGGACACCATGTTTTGACCTACAGTGATGGAAGCCCTTTCTGGCGGTGCTAGCGCGTTTGCTATCGTATCTCTATCAGTACAGCTCCTTGAGAACATTAGTCGGCTTTGGGACTTCTGGGAAAGAGTACAGTATGCACCAAAGTACATTGTAGATCTCATTCAAGAGTTGCGCCTGCTGCAGACGGTCTAAAGGAAGGAAGCCGAGCATGTATTGGATACTACGATCGATTCGATATTGAAGAGTATCGTGACTCAGGTCGACGCGTTGTTGTCTGTAACGGCGCAGCTCAAAACCTGGTCATTCTTCTGGACGATGATTCGTGCGCACTCGGAATACGTTTAAGGTGTCGTTGAAGGGAGAAAGATCTATGCACTTGAGGTTATCTATAAGGGCCGTTGACAGGCTTTTATTATGGTATAAAAGTCATTGCCTTGCAATGTTGAGAGACCGACTTTGTTCGCATTACGAAGGAGCTCGTAGTATCTAGCTTTGAACACCAAAACGAACCATCCTTTGTGTCCTCAAGCTCCTGCGCTCTTTGTTTCTATGCATTCAGAAACGCGTCCTTTGAGGGTTGAGGTTTCTCCGTAACATGAAGGGACCTAGATGCACTTGAGGCTGGATGCGTGTGCCTATTGAGCACGCGCCGCATCATCCGCAACGACCGGGGAGATGTTCTGTTCAGATGAATCGTTGACGGTCAATTCGGCAGGCTGTCCTGATGACATTTCTTTGGCTACTCGTTGCAATGCCAGTATCTGGAGAAGCGACGCTCTCTTCTGAGAGATGGTCGCTATGTCGCAGTGAGGAGTTATGTCAACCGTAGATTGTACGATGAGAAGTGAGAAGTTTTGCACCGAAATAGTGCAACGACCATGGTTGAGCGCGCAGACCAGAACTACAGCTCAGGACCACACCACAGGTGCCTCATGGTAACAGTCCATCGACTTGAAAGCATGAGAGTATGCTGGAAACATAGATTTTTTTTTTTACATGCACGCCATAGCTTGAAGTGTTTCCTCCAAGCGTGGTCATCTAGCTACGCTCTGTCATACAACTCCCAAGCCTAGATCCAAACGAACGCCAAGCCATTCTAAATATGCTAAAGGGCTACATAAGACGACAAAAGTGTGAATGATACAAGAAGGTACTCCCTGTGATCCTGGCTGGTGAAACAGTCCTAGATCGTACTCCCAAACCATATCTACCTGTGGTGCACCAGCCGGCGTGCAAAATTCTGCCAAGCAGTTTGTCAACACCAGGGGCTAACATTGAATACAATTCAACGTCGCCAAAGAAGTAACGAAGTGAGCGCAGAAGGCCCTCGAAAGCGACGATTAAATTGTATATGGCTTATGTTCCGGCGTTTACTTCTGGGCCTAAAATGTGATTTAGGACTTGAAGCTGTCTCGCATGCTTGCAGTGCTAGCACTCACGTTGGTCGTGGGCAGAACCTCCTTGGGCTTGCTGCTCTGGCGGACCTTGGCGATGGCGTAAACGATACCGCTGACGAAGCCGATGAAGATGGCGGAAACGCTGCCGAAGGTGACAGGGGCATCGAAGAAGACGAGACCGCTGATGGCGATGGGGAGCTTGTTGAGGGCTCCAACCATAGAGTATGTTGTGGAGGAGGTGACGCGGACGCACCAGGCGGAGGTGTACGAGATGAAGACCGAGCACATGCCGGAGATGACCATGACGCTTATCACACGGTTGCGAAGCTCAGGGGGAAAGCACTTGGCCAGGTTGGCAGAAGACCAGTCTTCGATGAGAAGCGAAGCGATGAGTAGAATAGGAATAGTGAGAAGGTTGTTGTAGTACATGGCTGTAGCGTTGTCAGCAAAGTGAATGTAAAAGAAAGTGAAATGACCTACTGTCGAAATCCTTGAAGTTGGTGAGCTTTATGCGCTTCCTCATGCCGAGGACATAGGCGGCAGACGCAAAGCAGTTGAGAGCCATCCAGAAGTATCCGGTGTTCAAAGTAGACACAGCGTCCTTGGAGGCCTCAGCTTCGCCGTGGCTGGTCAAAGCATGCTGGATATCAGCCCAGGCGGCGACCACAGAACTGAGGACCATCAAGCCGAAGGAACCCAGAGCCATGGGCGTCACTGAGCCACCGAACCATAGCACCTCTCCGTATGCGATGAGAATGATTGTCAAGTTCTTGAAGATGGTGTAGACGGGAATGGAAAGGAATTTGATCGCCCAGGTGCTGGTGTAGATCATGCCGATGAGGAGGAGGGAGATGGGGAACCCTAGGCGCGTTAGATCTATTGGGCACTGTGGTAACAGTGAAGCGACATACATTTCTTGGCCTCGTCGCTGTTGAAGTCGCGGTATGTAATTGTTCCAGAGGCCTTCAGCGTCGAGATAACTGCAATACAAACAATGGACTATGCTGTGTTAGCTTCATGCCCAGACAAATGGATACATGTTACGGACCTGGATTGCCAACAGGAAAAAGTTCAAGTTGAAGTCGACGCCGGACAAGACGTATTTGTTTGTCGTCGTCATCAGGATTGAGGAGCCACAGTATGCGAGGATGGAGAACAACGGGCTCTCGGTGACGGCCGGCGACCCGTGGGACTTCTGGTTCGGGCGCACGGTGGGCGAGGGTGCCCTGAACTCCTTGGTGGAGGGCATCTCGATGTACTCGTCGTTCTTTTTATCGTCGGCCATTGCGGATGTCCGGCTGAGAGAAACTGAGGCGAGGATTCGGTGATGTGGGAAGGCTGCGCGCGACAAGTGAGCGGACGCCGCTAGGAACAGCAGGCAGAAGGCGCGATGGGAGCTGAGGAAGTCGCGAAGAGGGTGGACAGGAGACTCGAGGGTTTTCTGGGACTGCGATTGATGCGCAAGGAGGTGTCAAGGAGAATCGTAGCGTTGGATGGAACGGGCTTAGGGCCACTTTCCCCCCCAACGTGTTTAATTTTACACCGAACCAAAGGCGGCACCCTGCCAAGCCCCTGCAGTCGTCAGCCCGCGCCGCCACCAGCCCTGTCGCCTCGCATTACGAGTCCCTAGTGGGCAATCGTCTGGAAAACACCGCCGGAACCGACTCGCAAGGACGACACCATTCTCGCACGTTACGCGTAACTCCGCCAACTGCGGACAGCCCTAGACAATCTGCATCACGTGTTTTGTCTCAAGTCCTCGAGGCACTGGAGCTCTGGTCTGCAGGAACGGATCAGCGTAGTCTCTTTTACAGCGCATCATCCCATTCTGGACAGTGCGGTGTATCACTGGCAGAATGTCACAACTCGACTCCAAGGTTGCTGCTATCATCGATGGCGCCAAGGGAGACGAATCTGACGAAGACGCCCTGATCGCTGAGCTGGAAAATGATTCAGACCTGGACGCCTTCCGCGAGCAACGGCGCCAGCAGCTGCATGCAGAATTCGAGCGAGCACAAGCGTTGCGCAATAAAGAGCACGGTACCTATGTGGAAATCAAGGACGAGAAGCAGCTGATGGAAATCACCACGTCAACCAAGCTGTGCGTGGTGCATTTCTTCAAGTCAGATTTCCACCGCTGCGGCATCATGGACACCCATCTCGAGACTCTCGCACCATCACACTACGAAGCTCGTCTTCTGAGGATCAATGTCGACAACTGCCCGTTCTTAGTGACCAGGCTCAAGGTTCAGGTACTGCCCTGCGTCATTGCTTTCATAGACGGCATCGGAGCAGACAGAATTGTTGGCTTTGAGGGTCTGGGACGGACGCCCGACGGCTTCACCACAAGAGACCTTGAGGCGAGGTTGATCCGTGCCGGAGTCTTTGAACGATCCAAGGTTAGCAAGGAAGACGAGAGGCAAGCTCCACGGAGGACCAAAGCCGCACAGGAGGACGAGAATGATGACGATTGGGATTGAGCCTCTTGCCTTCTGAGTCTCTACTACATATCGACAGGTAGATGCAAGTCACAGTTGGCCTCGCAGATAGCCGTCATCTGTGAGATCTTCTGCAGAGGCTGAGGCCCTCGCGCCTGATCTAAACGCGAGCACTTTGCCCGTACATGGACAATGCGTAACACCCCTCTGAGGAAGGGATTGAACACGTAGCAACGAGTGCAAATACTCAATATTACGGAAGTCTAAAATCTGGAACGAGCTGGCCAATGCGATATCCGACTGTCGTTTATACTAGAGAAGGGTTGTGCTTACTCCATGTAAAGCCTTGATAGATCAACAATCAAATAATCCTTCGCATCCAATCGTATTTAGGGATTGAATCGTGCCACCGAAATGATTGCCCATTGGAGGTAGTGGAGGGTCGCGCTTTCCACAGCTAACTACACAGTAATCCCGATGACGCCATTCGCGGGGCCTCACGCCTAACCTCAGCTTGTGATCGCCGACAAATAATTTATGTCCGTTGCGCCCGCCTTTCTGTCGCCCTCACATTACGATCGCCACCCATAACTACTTTGCCCGATCACAAGCAGGAGATAGATCAGCAAAATGAAAGCCTACTGGTACGACAACGCTCCTGGCGACCAGCGCGTCCCCCACGACTCTGGCCGCGCCGTGTCCGCCGAAACACTGCAAGAGCTCGGCATAATCTACAAGCACTGCCCAACCGTTGCCGACGTCGATGCGATTGCCTCCGAACGCAGCTACAAGAACCGCGATGAGATTACTGTTTCACCCAAGACCATGGGCGACGTGTATGAGGACAAAGTCAAGATGTTCTTCCACGAGCACCTGCACGAGGACGAGGAGATCCGATACATTCTCAACGGCGCGGGATACTTCGACGTTCGGAATGAGGGGGACGATTGGATCAGAATTAGGCTCGAGAAAGAGGATTTGATTATTATGCCCGCAGGGATATATCATCGGTTTACTACTGATGAGGAGAATGTAAGTGAAGCTGGGTGACATGGACCGGAAAGGGAAGGGAAGGGGATGTTTGCTAACGTGAAGACAGTTCACGAATGCGATGAGGTTGTTTAAGGAGGACCCAAAGTGGACACCGCTCAACAGAGGCGAGGAGACGGATAAGAATCAATACAGGCAGGAATACCTCAAGACGAAGCACACCCTAGCAGTCTAGGCGGACACGGCTGCGACAAGCCATCCGCACATGCAGTCCTGCTGTGAGAAAAGTCACGAATCATATTGTACTACGCTGTTTCGGTCGACGTACGACCTCAATAGGAGAACACTTCCAGCATTCTGCTTTGGCTAGATTGCTTGAAAGCAAGCAAGCACTGCACCAACCCGACTCTCCACCCATGACCGTGACAAACAAACCAACCTTCGGGTCCCAGGTATATCAGATAAAGATAGCCACGTCTTCACTCGCCAGCACCAAAGCGACCAAAACAACCATGTCTTTCCATCGAGACTTCTGCCTCTGTCTTGATACAGACCCGCTTTCCCTTTCCTTACACACATCTCCACCTCTATTCACTACGCAGCTTCAACACCTAGACACACCTCCACCTCTGTCCATGGGTCTCTGTATGTCTCACAATTTCCGAATCGAAAAGACCACACACTGCCCGCACGAAATCCACAGCTTGGTCTCGTATACCAGCCAGTACCACCCCTACAGGGCCGTTTATCGCCCTCGCCCCTCCCCGCCTCCCCTCCCCGCCTCCCCTTCCCGCTTGCCCAGTGAACGTCACCGCGCATATCTGCGAGCCGTCCTGCTCACCACGGATGCGTACCTTGAATATTTGTGGCTGCGAGAAAGCCAAGGACGTGGTGAGACAGATGCTACACCGCGACGCTGGGCGGGACTGCGTAGTATATGTAAGGAAGAGGGGGACATGGCGGGTGCTAGAGCTAGAGAATAGAATTGGAGACATGGGTACGGAGATTGAGATCAAGATTGAGGTTAGGCTGAGGTTGTGCATCGAGTGGGGAAGAGAGAGGGAGAGAGTGGTGGTGGATCGGGTTGTGTAATGTCGGTGTGGTGTTCTTTTCGGCGAAGAACTGTGATATCAGGTTGATGTTTGAAGGATTGAGAAAGGCTCTGTACGTGTGATGGGTGTTGTGGAACAGTGGTTTAACTCACAATCATATGCGTATAAGCTGGCTTCATTTCGTGTCAATCAGTAGGCCTTGAGAGCATCTGAGCACGCTTCGTGAGCTGTGTGACCCGAACGCTTTGGAATGTTGTCGAAACGAGTCTCAGCCATTTTTTCTAGTGGCGGTAAGATGAAATCAGGTGCTTCCTCGCTCATACATACACATCGTTAAGAATGGTATTAGTAGGTATCTAGTGATGGAAGCGTAGAACGTCCCACGCGCCCAAAATCATATCGTCTAATGCCGCCAGATAGTGATCCAAAAGCCCAACGTTCAAACAACAATGCACCGTACGCGCGTGGCTTGTATGCAAAACCGTAAAGGAATACCGCTAACCCCAGCCCAATGCTTTGTGTGCGCGTGCACTGACGCCTCTGTTGCGCCGTATTCAAAATTCATCCCAGCTCATCTCCACTTCTTGCCTATTTGCGCAATTTCGCCCGCATCGCCAAATGCGAGTACACCCAGCCTCCACCAAGCGCAAGTAGCACGCCCAACCAATCCCTCGGGCTCAAAATCTTGCCCTCGCTGTACCATCCAAACGACAGAATGAGTATGGATTTGATGTGGCTGACGATATTGAACGTAAGCGCGGAGGTGCGGCCGATGATGAGGAACTGCGAGAGGTTGTACAAGGACGCCATGATGCCGGAGAGGAAGGCGGAGTAGAGCTTGTCTGCGGGCACCTTGCTGATGTCGGGAATGGTGTCGATGAAGGGAATAAAGGGGATGAGCATGAGAACGGAGAGGGGCGCTTGGTTGAGCAGCAGCTGCGGCGGAGAAACAGCAAAGTCCTCAATCTTCTTGCCTATCCAGATTTGGTAGAGGGCGGTGGAAAAGAAAGCCATTGTTGCGACAATGACGCCGCGGAGGGCGGGGCCGGCGGTTTGGTTGATCGTGAAGGAGACGCCGAGACAGGTAGTCAGGATCGAGGCGAGCATCCAGCGTGTCACGGTCTTGCGAAAGAGGATGAAGTTTATAAGGACGACGGTGGGTGTGGTCATAACTTTGGAGAGCTGGTAGAAGCCGATCGAGTTGAAAGTTAGACTGAGATTGCCGAGGACGACATAGCCCACGAAGAAGGCGCAAACGGGGAGCATGTCCCAGGGCTTTAATCGGACGGGTTTGAAGGCGCGGAAGGGTGCCTTCGTCGATAGGAAGAGGACGAGGCCGGTCGCGGTGAAGTGCCAGCCGACCACCATGAGCTGGCATTGCCTGAGCTGTACGTCTTCAAATGTCCTAGTATCCAGTCAGAACCTCTCTCGCTTTCTGTATATACGTATTCATACCGCTTGCTGAGGAAGACCAGGCCGAGCGTGGAGATGGTATTTAGGAAAATCCACACAGTCGTTATGAGCTTCTCCTTGAGGGGTATCCCCATCGGCTCCTCCGGTGCCTCATACTTGGGCAGTTCCTGCAATTCCTTCGATTGCCGTGGGTTCATGTTGTCGACGAGGCCCTCGGTGGAGGAGCGCTTCTCCGCAGCTACTAAGCGTCAATGAGGGTTGCGCGTCGCAAACGAAACCAGGGTCTCATCAGGGTCGCATACCCATTTCAGGCGGCGGTCGATTCGGCGGTGCAGCGAGCGACGGCAGTAGAAGCGCGTCTATGCGATCATACTCGGTGTCTAACTAGCAGCGAGAGGTAGGAGCACGATTGCAATGCAGGCAGGCGAGGGATGGAGGCAGGCAGGGGCGGAAGCCAGGCGTGCGTACGCGGTGCCAAATATGTGAATCTGTAATTCCAGGACGTGACAGGGCAGACGACGCGAGGGAGACGAAAAGGGTGTGACCTGAGCCAAGCCACCCGGAAGGATGGTTTGTGGGTGAGAGCACCAGCGCTGGTGCGGAACTGTGGTCGTCCTGGCTGGTCTCACCGTTGGGGATTTTGGCGGAGCAATTTGGCACGGCTTCGCCACGGTTACTGGCCGAGTGATGCGACTGGTCAGTGGCGCACCGCCATAACGGCAGACGGCAGCGTACAATTTTAGAGAAGTCTGGTCCGAACAACCCTGTGCCGATCATTCATGTAGCACAGGAATTCAACATCTCGATGTTGTTGATGACATGAAACTCTATGGCGAGGTCGTCTTGAGCTTTCGTCTCTGCTCCTTTCAACCACCGCGTATCCTTCCATCAGGCAGTGTTGCCGTCACTGCATCGTTGATGTTGTTGTAGACTCTGGAAGGACTTTCGGGTATGTCAATTTCGCCTCAGAGGAAGGTGCAATCAGCCGTGAGGAACACCGGCCATCAGATGATTGACGCACGCTAGTCTACACTATGCTCTAACAAATGCACCTCGTTACCACCATCAAACAGCAACCCCGACTTCTCCGTCCGAAACCGCTATCATGAAGTCGCTCACATCTTGGCAGCGCTCGTCCAACACCCATTCCAGCGTCTGCACCCAAGTCTCCCCATTGTTGTCAAACCAGCCCCCCCAATTCGCGAACGTAGCCCTCCACCATGCCCTTCAGAGGTGCATTCTCCTTCAGCCACATTAGTTGTTCCGGATCCAGCTTCAACATGTCCTCAACCACATAGTAGTGTGGGATGTCGTCACCCCAACCTTCGGCGCCAACCTCGTGGTTTGGGTGGAGGCTGTACTTTGACGCAGTGTGGCGCGAATTGTAGGTTGACGTGCTGTTGAAGTGAGATGAGAGTGTGTTGGTGTACTGTGATGTGAAGGGATTGTAGGCGGGCGGTGCATGTGATGGCGGTGGATAATTGAGATGGATGTTGAAGAGCAAGTGATGGTCGTTGTCAGGGTATCGCTTCTTGAACTTGCGAGCAATGGTACCATTTGAGGGGCAGATGTTACTGTGTACGACCTCTCTCATCACATTGTGCACATCTGCGACCTCAGCCAGCTCCAGCGTAGACCAATTGTGCAGCAACCCGGCACGCTTTTGGATAACGAGCTTCATAGAGCGAAACTCGCGCGGATGTTCGCGATTATGGAACGCGCGTGAATATAGCCATAAACGGTACACGGCCCGACGCAGGCGACGTCGCTCCTCGGTCGTCAGGAGCCGCCGAAGCTCGAAGTTGTACTTCCACTTCTTGAACGGGTATATATCGCACCATTTCTCGGCGATGCGACCGGCTTGTACGATTTGCTGGAGCAGAGCGATCGAGAATGGCACAGATCGGATGATGTGAGCGGGCTGGCTCGCGTTGTGGGTCAATAGCTGAGTGAGGTCCTCCAGGGGCCCAAACTGAGCTTCGGCGGCGGTTTCGAGGATGTAGAGTTTCTGAGATGAGGTGTAAATATCACGGAAACGGTGACAGGTGGATGCCAGAGCGAGGACGTCGGATACAGAGGTACAGGATAGGTACACCTGGGTGACGAGCTCGGTTGCGACGTGTTCGAACAGCATGTTGGCTGTGAGAAGTAGGAAAGTTGGAATTGTAAGGAAATCGGATCTTCCTCCTCTTAAACTGACGAGTCTTTCTTGGTACTTGGATCAAATAGACAGGTATTTGAGAATGAATCGGCGCGAAGCTACGTCCTCGAATGATTGACTGTTGCTGCTTCTCGCCGATACAGTGAGATAAGGGTTCAGATGATACGGACCCCTCCGTTGGGGCTATAGAAAAGAATCAAGGCATGCTCAGGAATATCGCTGGATGCGGATGCCAGCCCGGAAGGACTGGATGCTGAGTGAACTCTCATGTTTGGTTGTTGAGGGGGAAAGGAGTCATGTCCTGTGTATTTGAGGTGAGGTAACCATGCCAAGGAAGTTGCGCCTAGGCCCAATCAACGCCCGCCCTTTCCAATCTGGGGTCACCGACTGATGACGAGCTCGCGTCCGCATATGGCATTCAGTACAGTCGTGCGACAACGACATTTGGCTTTACAAAGTTGCAGGCACAATGCAGTCAACTAACCCTTCTTTATCCATAGATGAGCTCACATTTCTGACCCTTCCGAAAGAGTTGCGCCTGTCGATTTTTGCATACGTACTGCCCCACACCGAATCATTCGACATCCGCTTCCAGCGCGGCAACGGCGAGGCCAAACCACCATGCGAGTACAATTTGATACTTGTGCGGGAGACAAACGACAGCAATGGCGTTTGGAAGATGCAGAAAACACTTCCGAGGCACGACCGCGAGGTTGGGAACGAGATCGTCTGGCGATTGGGATGCACATCGCTGTTGTCCACTTGTCACCAAATTCATGATGAATGCGTCGACATGATATACGGAGACAATATTTTTGTCATAGAAGTCTCGTTTGATACGATCAAGTTCCGCCAACGCTGGCGCACAGCGAACAATTTGACGCCAGGACGATCCTATGCGTTTCTGGACCATTTTTCACAGAGAAACCTTATGAAAATAAAGAATTATATTGTAAACGTAGAGCATGTGGACGACTACACGGGGATGATCAAATTCAATTGCGGTGGGCGAGGGCTCACGGCAGGCATCCGGGGCCGGGTGCAAGAGTTGGTCGATCTTCTTGCCACGGTACCCAACCTGCATCGACTGCACGTGCATCTGATAGACGGCGCAATCAGTCGCGTGCGCTTTCCTAGTGGTCGGGTGCATCGTGTTCAGGATGTGCAGAACTTCTCGACGTCGCAGACTGTGCTTGATCCATTCAAGGGGCTCTGCGAGGTGCGGAAGGCAAGAGTGACCGGCGTGAGCGAGGCTTATGCGGAAAGCCTGGAAAGAGATATGGCTAAGACGAGAGGCGCACCTCGAAGTTGATGGGTATCATCGTCCATACATTGATGTAAGACAAACATGTAGCTGTACCTTAACCCGTCCCGATGAAATCCACCTTATGCGCTCACTGTACAACCGCGTTACCGACAAAGTGACACGGGCTGACCGATACTGCTCCAAACTTTTGTCCCAGTACCGCAAATGCTCCAGGTGATGCTTGTATCCCAGAAACGCCTGTTACGCCACGTGAGAAAGACTCATTTTACGCAAAGAGCACTGAATCGCTCAATGGATCCTTCTCCTTCTTCCGCCCACCGTGACTCAAGAGGCCCAGGTCTCCGCGTCTGATCTTGCTGTCTCTGGCCGCTTCCGTCCGGGTGTTGTACTTGCCAGCCTTGGCTCGTCTGAGGTCAGCGCGAATCTGGTTTGGCGAGACGAACTCTTTGTTCTCATATATGATGGGTCCGCCAAAGCTCGACTCTTGAATGACAATCGGAGTGAGGACGAAACGAGGACCGATCTCAACTAGTTGCACATCGAATTCCGGCTTGCCCTTCTTCTTGGGCGCGGGATCTACGTCCATCTCTTCACCATTGACGGATTTCTTCTTCCCTGGCTCTGACTCATTGATCTGGTACACGCGCACCCAAATTTTGCCATCGGCGAGGGTGAATGCCATCACGTGATCGACGAAAGGCTTAACCTTGCGCGAGGTCTTGGGTACGCCGAAGATCTGGGTGAGAAGCTCCTTGATGAGACGGGTGTGTGCTTGCTTCTCGAATTGCGCGTCGAACGAAAGCACCGGCCGTGATCCCTTGAGGCAGTTACCAATGAAGTTGAGCTCTTCCATGGTGTGCAGGTTCTGCAGGTGCATCTTGACGGTCGGGCCGTTTGGTGCCTTGCTCATCCAGGCGTACAGATCCTGGCCTTTTCGCGCTTCGAAGAAAAGGACATTGTTGCAGTTGTATAATTCTGCGAGCTCGTTCAGTTGATACAACTTGGTCTTGGTGTCAAGTTTTGCCTCTTTCCTGCTGTGAGGCCTGCGACTAGTCAATACTTAACACTAATGATCAGAGTCGGTGACGTACATCAAAGAGTACAGATCCTGCAGCAAATGTCGGTGTCTGTATGTTACGCCTCGAGAGCTCTGCGGCGCGTTAGCACGTGTATACTGGATGCAGTTTGGAGGATCTGTAGCGCACCAAAATGAGCACACGTTGACGATTTTTGCGCTCGCCAGATTCCTTTTCATTGCCGCTCATCGCCGACAGGGTTTTGTATACAGCTGCCATTGTGTGTGCGGTGCGCTGTTGCTTGTCGCGGTTTTGCTGCGGCCGCTCAACTTTTTTTCGTGAGAAATGATGTTCGAGATGCAGCGCCGAGGCGCTAAGTCTGTGTCAGGACTAGTGTTGCCGCTGGCGTGGGAAGCATGGGGCGGCGCTCCGCCAGAGCGCACGGCCAATAATCGCACGCATCCACGACGAGACAGATGGGAGAAAGCAGTCCGCTCTGCGCGGCGTTCAGATGGACTCATGCGCGCGTGGTCTTAGCGATGATGAGTAGGTCAGGTGCAATTTGGGAGGATAGGCGTATGCAGAAAGCAATGCGGCGTCGGCGGGATGATGCGCATGGTCCCAGTCGATGGTTTAGCCGAGCTCTGGGTGAGGCTGCGAGTGCGCGATGCACTGGACCGCCCGGCGTTCAGCAGTCGAGGCAGGGAAATGGACCTGCTGAGCAACGCGGCAGAGATGATCACGCCCGCGGGACCCCGTGAGACTGCCAGAACGTGCACACAGAGACGCGCTGGGCGCAGGCATGCGCCGGGTAGCTCAATTATTGGTGCATCCACACCCGTTGAAGAGCAACCAGGCCGGGTTCGACGCTTTGTTAGACACCGAAAATAACGAGAAGTGTGGCAGGTTGGCAGAACTCCCCACCATCTGCCCTCTGCGCTGGTCTGCTGCTTCTGCATTGCGCCTCCGTCCCCGCGCATCCATCCCATCCCCTCCCATCTCCACGCCTCCTCCCGTCCCAGCACGTCTCGAGCCTTGCGACGCGTGCCGTGCTACCCCAGAATCCACCGCGCTGTCGCTGCATCGCGCCCGCAGTTGCCCTCACCGTAAGCTGCACGCTCCTGGCACCGGCCGCTGCCCTCTCCCATGGAGTAGCAAAGTGCCAGTCGCGCCGACTTGATGTTCCGCGATCAGCGAAGCTCGGTTGAAGACGAGAGGAGCGAGCGCTTCACCACGCGAGACAGAATGCAGCCAGGGGAGCCAGCTTACCAGAGCCAGAGGCCAACCACGCAAACACCTCTTAGCACCGCTCGCCCTTTGACCTCGCCCACCACGCCCTCCGCCCATCACCAATCCTTTGCCCATACATCGCCCCATCACCACCGCGCGCCCACATCGCCCGGCACCACCGAGCAGCTCCCGCCGCTCAGCACGGCCCTCTACACGGCATCCAAGACTTCATACTACGATCCAACCTCAGATCATGGCGTAGGACAGCCCCACGGCACCGCCGCGCGATACGAGAGCCACTATCCATCGCAGGTACGCGTGTCCATGACTCCTCGCTGCTTCGTCCATGAATTGTTCATGCAGGGATGCGGAGCTAACATCACTTGACAGACTCGAGATTCGCACGCCTACCACGACGCCCGCCCGCCGCAGAGTCCGTACAACAATCCATACCGGTCGCCTATCGCCAGCTCCTTCCCTCACCACTCGCCGCTGCAGCGCCCGGCCTCCCACGGCCACATCGCCACCAACATGGAGGCAATGGCTCACTCGCCTGCGTCGCCGAGCGGTTATCACTCGATGAACCATGGCGCCGTGCAGCCTCCGCCGCAGCACTATGAGCGGAGGCCATCGGTCAAAGAAGAAGTCAGTATAAGCGCGCCTAAGATATTGATGCAATGGCTGACAATAGGTCGAAAAGGTCCCTCCACCTGCTCCGAAGCGTGATCCCATGTCACTATCCAGCATCATGGACTCTGGCGCAGACCCCGATCCGCCCGCGAAATCTCAACAGCTGCCTCCGATCAACGATACCCGCGCGTTTTCTAAGCCTTCACCCAACTCGCTTTTCGTCAAACAGGAGGCAGTGCCATCGCCCGCACCTGCCGACCTCCCATATCAAGACCATCGAGCCTACGAGAGCATGCCCCCCGTCGGTAGCGCGCCTCCGCCGTCGCGGCTTGTACCCCGCGAGCTCCCCGCTCCTGACGAGGTGGCGGTGGAGGCTGCGTTGGCTCATATTGAGACAAATGAGATGAAGGACGTGGATACTCTTGGCATGGAGTTCCAGCAGGAAAAGGAGGAGTATGAATTGCAGACCCGCAAGCGTGCCCTTGACCTAGAGACCATTGAAGGCAGCAAACGCAAGGTATGTTCACAACTTATCTCAATCTACCGTTCCTAACGCATATACAGCGGCGGCGCCAAGCTACCTTAACGCGCCTTTATGATGTCTCGAGCGCTCACCGCGACATCGCCAAACAAAACTACAGTATCGAACATGAAGCTGAGGCCTGGCAGCAGGTTCAAAACCAGGAAATCGCGGAAGAGAAGGAGCGTAAGAAAGACATGCAACGGAAACGGCGACGAGAGAAGACGATACAAAATGAAGAAGCCAAGCGAAACGAAGCTCTGATGCGAGCTAACGAAGCTGAGAATGACGAAGAACGGGAGAAGCATCTGCGCGAGGCCTCAAAGGCGGAAAGGAAGGCGAAGACGACCAGCCAGCTCCTTCAGGGCAATGCACCCAGCAAGGACTTCCGAGAGGTCACTCCCCATGAACCTAACTTCGTAGGCGGTACCATGAGCTCATTCCAGGCGTCCGACGAGCTGTTGGGTGGCAAGCGGAAAGGTGGTCGATCCGGTGGGCGTCTTAAGAAGAGCAAGGAACAAAAGCAGGCAGAGAAGGATGCTGCCGCTGCTGGCCAGGCTGCCCTCGATCGTGGAGACGAGCTTCCTCCCATCGCTCCTCGAGAAGCAGATCGTCTCGAAGCGTTGAAGAGTCGAAGCGGGACGGAAGATCTGGGCCCCATCACTTTGACCTCTTACAATTCTCAGGCATACTATAACCTCTATAGCCAGATATGGAAAGACATCGCGAAGAAGGATGTTCCAAAGGTCTTCCGTATCAAAGACAATTCGCTGGCGACCAAGCAATCCAACCTTCGCAAGACCGCACAGTTGGCGTCCAAGGAAGCCCGACGATGGCAGATGCGAACCAATAAGAGCATGAAGGATGTGCAAGCTCGGGCCAAGAGGAGCATGCGAGAGATGCTTGGTTTCTGGAAGAGGAACGAGCGCGACGAGCGAGACCAGCGTAAAATGGCCGAGCGAGCAGAATTAGAAAATGCGAGGAAGGCTGAAGCAGAGAAGGAATCCAACCGTCAAAAGAGGAAACTCAATTTCCTTATTCAGCAAACAGAGCTGTACTCCCATTTCATCGGCAAGAAAGCAAAGACCGAGGAGATCGAGCGGTCTACCGACGACGCAGATGCTGCAGCCGACAGCTCGGCGCCTGCGGCCGGGCCCTCCATCAATGTGTCGCACGATGATGGTGCGCCTGGTGCGAAGGTTACCAATTTTCACGACCTTGACTTCGACAACGACGACGAGAGTGCCCTGCAAGCTGCTGCGATTGCCAACGCCCAACATGCTGTCAAGGAAGCTCAAGACCGAGCACGTGCTTTCAACAACACTGGTGGCGAAGATGATGAGGACGGAGGCGAGCTGAACTTCCAGAATCCATCTGGTCTTCAAGACGAGAAAGACTTCATCCCTCAGCCGAAACTGCTGAACTGCACACTGAAAGAATATCAGCTGAAGGGCCTTAATTGGCTTGTCAACTTATACGAGCAGGGTATCAACGGCATTCTGGCTGACGAGATGGGTCTTGGAAAGACCGTACAGTCGATCTCTGTCATGGCTTATCTTGCCGAGAAGCACAATTACTGGGGTCCTTTTCTGGTCATTGCGCCTGCATCCACGCTGCACAACTGGCAACAAGAAATTGCCAGATTCGTGCCTGCTTTCAAGGTCATCCCGTATTGGGGTACTGCTGGAGACCGAAAAATCCTTCGAAAGTACTGGGACAGGAAGCACCGTGTGTACGACCGTGAATCGCAAATGCACGTGCTCGTTACGTCTTACCAGCTGGTTGTTCAGGACGCGCAATACTTTCAGAAGATGCATTGGCAGTACATGATTCTCGATGAGGCTCAGGCGATCAAATCGTCCCAGAGTTCGCGTTGGAAGAGCCTATTGGGTTTCAACACCCGTAACCGCCTGCTTCTTACCGGTACTCCCATCCAGAACAACATGCAAGAACTGTGGGCTCTTCTGCATTTCATCATGCCGAGTTTGTTTGACTCCCACGATGAGTTCAGCGACTGGTTCTCCAAGGACATTGAGAGCCATGCGCAGAGCAACACGAAGCTCAACGAGGATCAGCTAAAGCGTTTGCACATGATCTTAAAGCCGTTCATGTTGCGGCGTGTCAAGAAACACGTGCAGAAAGAGCTTGGTGATAAGATCGAACTGGACGTCTTCTGTGATCTGACGTACAGGCAGCGAGCGTACTATACCAGCCTTCGAAATAAGATTAGCTTGATGGATCTTATCGAGAAAGCGGTGGGAGATGAGCAAGACAGTGCTACGCTTATGAATCTCGTCATGCAGTTCCGTAAGGTTTGCAACCACCCGGACCTTTTCGAACGAACCGATACCTGGTCACCTCTCTCTTTTGCACACTACGCTGAGACAGCCTCTTTCATGCGCGAAGGCCAGAATGTCAGCGTAGCATATTCGACACGCAATCTGATTGAGTATCGCCTACCGCGCCTCGTTTGCCGAAACGGTGGTCGGCTTGATATACCTGGATCAGAGAATCCTAAGGCTGGGTTCAACGGGCATTATCTTTACAATTTGATGAATATCTGGGCCCAGGATAACATCCACCAGTCCTCTAAGGAAGACGGCGCGTTCGCATGGCTTCGATTGGCGAACGTGTCAGCCCAAGAGGCATCCAAGGTTGCAAGAAAAGATTTATTTCGCCGTGCTGTTGACCTTTTTGATCAGCCTCAGCAGTTATCTCGCTTCAACATCCTATACGACGAGGAAGCGGGCACGTATGCTCCTAAACATTCGATGCTCAACATCGTTGAGCGCCAGGATCGGGTTGCACTTGCCGAGATTACTGCCAACGGCTGTATGCAAAACCTGCTCAACGTAACTCAAGTGTCTTTCGAACAAACCGGTCTAAACATCATGGAGCGATGCGCCAAGCCGGCCGCTTCTGCTCCTCCCGTCGAGTTATATTGCTCCAGCCAAGGTGTCATCGCGGAGCAGCAGAACACATTTTTCAATACCTATATGCGCAACGCACTCTATGGTTTCTCCCAGCATTCTGAGCGCGAGCAGACGCTTCTAGAGTCTAAGGCTGTCACCTCCAATCTCGCCATGACCGGCAAGCTTCCGCCACCGACGAACACACGGGCACGATATACTCACATTGACGTGCCTTCCATGCAACGCTTTGTTACGGACTCCGGCAAGCTTGCCAAGCTTGATGCGCTCCTTAGGGAACTCAAAGCAAACGGCCACCGCGTTCTGCTCTACTTCCAGATGACGAGGATGATGGATATGGTAGAGGAGTATCTCACCTATCGGAAGTACAAGTATTGTCGTCTGGACGGTTCCACCAAGCTTGAGGACCGTCGCGATACCGTCGCGAAGTTTCAAGCGCCCGATTCCGACATATTTGTCTTCTTGCTGTCGACACGTGCTGGTGGTTTAGGTATCAATCTTGTAGCCGCCGATACCGTCATCTTTTACGATTCCGACTGGAATCCTACGATCGATTCACAGGCTATGGATCGTGCGCATCGTCTGGGACAAACTAGGCAAGTTACAGTGTATCGTCTCATTACGCGGGGTACAATTGAAGAGCGCATCCGGAAGCGTGCTTTGCAGAAGGAAGAGGTTCAGCGTGTCGTCATCTCCGGAGGAGCAGGTGCCCAAGTCGACTTCAACACTCGATCTCGTGAAAATCGTACCAAAGATATCGCCATGTGGCTCGCCGACGACGAGCAGGCCGCTGAGATCGAGAAGAAAGAGGCCGAGCTCGCAGAGGCAGAGAAGAATGCGCCCACCGGCAAAAAGCGCAAGCGGACAAAGAAGGTGGCCGAGGCTAGCTTGGACGACATGTATCACGAGGGTGAGTCTACCTAAACTAACGGTACATTTGCAAAGCTAATGTCCCCAGGCGAAGGTCACTTCGATACCAGCGAGAAGCCCAGCGGTGCCGCGACACCCATCTCAAGCGCGGAGGCGGCTGCACCCGGCGGTAAACGCCGCAAGGGTATGACCAAGAAGGCGAAGACAGCGAAGCAGCGCCTTGCTGTTGCCGATGGCCAGGTCTGACATACCGCATACCTACCCTGTACCCTCCTGTACTACCATCACATTTCTACTACCATGTTTTGCGCAAGGCGTCCTCTGCATCCGGCATTTCAGGACCTAGGCCACCCGTTGTTTGTTTCCTTAATCGGTATGTGTTTTTATTTTGAACCACTACGTGTGGTCACGGGTCGTTGTCGAGTGTAATTCTAGATATTTTAAGTACTGCATGTTTGGATTCTGATCATTAGGAGCATGGTTTGGACTAGGAGGGTTCTATACAACCTGCTGTGGTGTAGGGCTTTGAGGTATGCGATACTTCACAACGAACTTGCACTTCAAAAGCGTAGATGGTGGTAGTCGCTGCAAAAAAGAATACACATTGCTTAATGTTGAATTTTGGTCATTCGCGCGAGAGTGGTACTAATTTCCGTGGGTAGTAGGTGCGCCCTGTATTTCACGTACTTCTGTTATCCGTGAAGTCAACTGCCTGAGCGTTCCCAGTGTACTGCTCTGTGTCTTTCACCACAAACTTGGCCTTATTACCATTAATAACGGCCTGACGCTACCAGATGACGACGCAAAATCGTGACAATGAGAACAATCAGCCGGAACCCCGACCCCGCCGGATTTCGACAATGTCGTTGTGAAAGCGTGGACAAAGATGGAAAATAGCTCGAACAAAGGAGGGCATTCTTGGGCCACTATGCGTGCGGATGTTGAGGCCTATAAACCCCCTGGGCACACACAACCTTGTGGCACACTCAAATCTGCAGAGTTTACATCACAAGAGTCTCTAGAAGACTCAAAACCGCTATCACATCAACAACGAAAGCAAACTTGAACACCAAAACCGAGACCATGTCTACAGCTATGAAGGAAATCAACAAGCTTCGCAAGAAGGCCGGCTACAACATGGACTTCTCCGTTGGCCGCCGTACAGGAGTAGAGATCATCTCTGACGAGGAAGCCCAGGAGCTCTGGTTGGAGAATAGACTGAAGAAGCGTGAAAAGCCAGAGAGCCCTGTTCAGGGCGTCAAGCATTTTGATATCACAGAGTTGGTGGAGGATATCAATAAGGACATGGATGGAGATGCGGCAGAAAATCACAAGAAGGAGATCAAGGAGATCCAGGCAGCGAAGCAGGAGGCATACATGGATCCTGATCGTCTAGCCATGATCCAGGGCGAGTGGGATCATTCTCGTCACCAACACGGCTCCTACCGTCATGACCGCTATGGAACTTTCCGCCGCCGGCCGCCAGAAGGTCGAAGAAGCCAAAGTAGACGCCGCTCGAGAGCAGGAGATCCGCGAATGCCATAAGTGCTACGACCTTCGCTATCGAAACCGCCGTCACCCCGTCTGTGAAGAGCACCGCACATCCTACAATAACGTCCTCACCGACGTTCCACTCTGCCCACACATCGATATGCGCCTGTTCTGGTACGCGTCCGATCCCGCTAACAAGCAGGACTCATGGTTCTTCGACGTGACGCACGTCCACGCCCACGACTTGCACGCTCACGAAGCCTGCAAGGGCAGCATCAAGAGCGTCATGAACGGCATCGACGAAATTATCAAGCAAGTCTCCAAGACGATGGAGCGTAGGAGCCTCCGCGCACCTTCGTCAGTCAGTCGCCTCATCCGGCAGCTCCCCGCTGTTCTTTATCTTCATGAGGTGGACGACAGTCATGTTGAAACGGTGAAGAAGGTCGACGAGGCGGAGGCTAGGGCCTACGCGAAGCAAATCAATAAAAAGATGAGCGCGTGGGATATGAAGATTGCGAAGTTAATAGCGAGTCAGAAGCAGAATATTGTGTTCGGAAAGGAAGCGATGAAGGTTACTGCGAAGGAGGCTATGAAGCCGATGAAGAAAGCTGGGAATCCTAATGAGCCGAAGAATAGGTTTCAGCTTTCCCAGACGAAGCCTAAGAAGGCTAAGCCTGCTACAGAGGAGACTGAAGAGAAGGTTATTGCCAGTGGAAAGTCTACTTTACAGAACGAGTTCACGAAGGCTAAGCTTACTTCTAAGCAGTCAGCCAAAAAGAAGCAGTCTCCGTCGGAGAGGTCCAAGTTGAGCGAAGGATTGATTTATGACAGCGATGATGGCCTCTCAAATGGTGCCTCCACTTCAGATACAGTCGAAGAGAAAAAGGGTTTAAAGCGCAAGGTGTCTGACGACAATAATGTGTCGTCTTGCGATGAAGAGGTCCAAGAGCCTCCCACGAAGAAGCGTAAGGCTTCTACCAAAGAGAACGAAGGTAATGAGGCCGCGCAGCAACCTACGTCAGACACCGAAGCCACCACTTCCGATGCTAAGTCTTCCGAGGCAGGAAAGCCCTCTTCGCCTGCCACTGAGCTTTCTACCGAGCCTTCTGAGGAGGTGTCCCAGGACCAGGCGACGGAAGACATCACTGAGGACCCTCAAAACACTACCGAGCAGCTAGCCTTGTCCAAGAAGCGCAAGACTTCATCTAACGGGGAGTTCGAGACTGGACATACCACAATCAAGAAGCGCAAGGTTTCGATCGGCGAAGAGGAAAAGACCGAGACTGTCACCGATGATGAAACCATTGTCATCTCAGCCTTGAAGGCCAAGATTTTCGAAACGGTTTCCGATGTCAACCGATTGCCCACGCCACCGGACACAAACCCCGCCACTCCTGACGCCGAAGCTCCTCCCTCTCCATCAGAGATCCCTTCGCTTTCGCTTGAGACTGCTGTCAAGCAACCTCTTACCTTATCTACTAGCCGGCGCAGCTCCACTGATAGTCATAGCAGCGAGAAGAGCTCAAAGTCTGTGCGATTCCCGAAGGAAACCGACGAGGCCGAAGACAGGGAGCAGCCAACATTCGTGTCACCGAAGGTTAGTGTTTCCCAGCAGGGCAGTTTCGCGACTATTGGTGACAATGAGAGCATGGAGGATGAGGTTGACTATGACAGTGGCGACGAGTAGAGGGTGACCGCAGCGCCAGGTCCATTGTTGCGATTGAGTAGGCGTTGCGGGGTAACTGAAGTTAGAAGGACGATTCTACATCATTGACCTCACGAAGCACAAGAAGCCCATTCATCAGATCACGGCAAGGAAATTTCATAGTCAAGCAGGACGGGACTGTCACAACATGGTTAGCATGAAGTCTGTTGGCAAGGGCAATTCGCGAACGCAATCTCACTCCAGCATGCTTAGAAGCGAGCACTCATCGAATACTATTTCCTAGAACTTAGAAGTAATACCAAATTCCTCGTATATAATACTAGTGGATCATATGAGCAACATGTTAGCAAGCATGCCGCAGACCATGGTAGAGCGGTCCGTGGAAGCGGGCAACAAGCGAATGCTTTTTCTAGAATGTGTAGAACTAATGTAAAGCTTCCCCTTCTCAGGATACATGGATAATGTGCGCACAGCTAAGAGTCATTCTGCGCAGTGTAGAGAGCGCAGTGTAATTAGACGTTTAACTCCATTAGATCTCGGCCGGCAGACGAACAACTCACTCAAGCCTCTTACATCTCCCTCTTGATCACTATCTTCATACCGTTGTGTTCGCGCTGTGGTTTTTGTATAGCTGGATAAGCGAGGGTCCAAAAGCCAGAGAAATCTGTCGAAGCAACCTTGCAAGCGAGAGAAGACATATAACCAAGCAATGATATTCGAATAACTATCCAAGGATATCTAATCGTGCCATATAGCATCCTTGCGTCGTAATAGAAGATGCACCCAGGCCCAATAACGCCAACCTAATCGAATCCATAGCCCAAACTCCAAAGCGGGTTGAGTATTCATACAACTCACGAAGGCGCCCTCTTAACATCCTCCACCACCACCGCCACCTCCTCCGCCATCACCACCACCGCACCCTCCGCCACCTCCACCGTCTCCACCAAATCCTCCACCTCCATCTCCACCCCCGGTAAAGAATCCGCCTCCGGAATAGTATCCCGCACTCGCACCGTGACGACCACGGCGCCGCTGCCTCATCGGGGGCGGGTAATCTGAATACGGTTTTGAGGATCCGCAGCCCATCCTGTTCGCTCGACGGTTTCGGTTGGGTGTGTTTTTGGTTTAGGGGCCGGCGTGACTTGAGAGTAGGTTATGGGATCGGCTTGTGAGAAGAGTTCGCGGAAGTAGGGGCGTATGGTTTGGCTTATTCCCATGCGCTGGGTAGATATGAATGTAGTTGCTCGCTGGGTTTGAGATTGTATGCGACTTCCAGTGGCGAAGTCGTGATGTATAGACGTAGAGAATCGTGCAATCGTGCGAAATGTGAATGGTCGTACCAGATGTGGACTATTCAACAGCCCACGCGACGCCACACACCTATATACTCATCCATCCAACCCCCAAAACGCCTCGCACACATCATCAGGCAAACCCAACGTCACTTGCGCTCTACCACTTCCCTTTCAGGCCATGGGACACCAAGGCTGAGCTGTGGTCTGTGCGCCAACGGACCAGGGCTGAGTAGCGCGATCGGCGCAGCCGTATGAACGGATTGGACGTTTCGTGTACCGCGTACTCCTCTAGCGATTGACAGTTTGGTTTGTTCATCGAATACGAGGCACTGTTGACGGGGCTGAAGGCCGGTGAGTCGGTAGTGGAATAAAGGTGGAATGTGCCGTGCCGACGGTCCGATATTGTGATCCCAATCGCTACAATGTCAACTCCCATTCACCGCGCAAGTTCAGACACGTAGCGCTTATCCATGGGCTACAAGCTAATCGTCAGATAATACGCTCAGTTGGGTTTGCAGTCGTTCTTCGTAAGAGTAAGCACCATTAGCGTATACAGTTAGCGATGATGTCATTACATGCCCAACCGAATAGCTCATCCTCGTACCGTTCGCTCGTGATGGTCCGAACTATGAGAGACCATGTCGCCCTCGAATCAATGTACTCCCGTACAGCATGCGTCTCAAGCTGAAAACATATCCACGGTCGAGCAAAGCGTTGTATGTAAGGTCCGGGTGTTGGTGTTGGCTTGACCATGGCATATCCCATTTCTAGGCTCAGTGATCTTTGCAAGGCTTCTCAAGTCTCGCGGAAGACATGTTGTTCTGTTGGATAATAAATGTCAGTGTTACACAGTGCTGCACCAACCGCATCCCCAATACTATATCTCCCAATCGCACCCCCTACATTCCCAGGTTTCCACTGACTGAACCACATTATACTGACACCAAAAAATAGCATATCCGAGCAATGGAGAACGGGTATCGATTGTCTTTCTCTCCATATGCCTCAAAAGGTAAAGCTACAGTGATACCACCCCGAACGCCAGCCCTGCACCCACGCTAGGTGCTCGCTATCATAATGTCATTATTCCTCCCTTCTTTCCTGTACTCTCGCGCCATAATAGTCTATGTACTTTTGCGTCCTCCTCGACCCACCCATGGAGAACCCACAGAGTTATGCAAAGAGCTACTTCTTTCTCCTTTTCGGACTCCTCTTCCTGCTCTCATCTTCCACCTCCTCTACCGTCGCACTCGCCGGACTTGTCGCAGTGGAACTCACGCTCTCCACCGTGCCCCCTCCCGCGTCTTTAACACCTAAGTGATCCCCGTCACCACCCCCAAAATTGAATGGCTCACTCGCATTAGCATCACCAAACCCGGAGTTATCACCGGAAAGTGTATAGTTCAGATCCGGCAATGTAGGATCCGCTGTCGCGATGCCATCGCCTTGTGTGGTGGAAGGAAAGAAGTCATTGTCTTGCACGAAGGAGTCTAGATCGAGATCGTAAGAGCCGGGGTCGCCGAGCTCTGCGTTGCCGAAGTACGAGTTATTTGCGTCCAGGCCTGGGATCTGGCCTGAGGGGCTGAGGGGCTGGAGACGTTCTTGGAGGGACTGCACGCGCGAGTTCTGGTCTTCAGAAACCCTCTGAAGATAGGCAAGTTGTGCTTCTGTCTGCTGTAGTTGATCGAGGTTGGGCATCGGCGGAGGTTGTGGGTTGTTGAGCGCATTGTTTGTATTCGCAGCGAACGCACTGTTAGGGGATGCGGCGGAAGTGTTATGTGCCATCAGAGATAGAACATCATTGCGCTGCTGAGTAGTCAATGGAGTTTGTCCAGCCTGATGCTGATAGCTATTCAAAGCTGCTGGGAGGTCGATCTGCGGGGCTTGGCTGTAGCCGCCGGCAGTGGCGTTTGCATTCGCGTTTTGGATTGCAGACATGATCTCGTGGTTTTCCGGTAGAGACATAGGATCCTGGGATAACGGCTTAGTCTCGACCTTGAGGGGCGCGCCGAATGTTGATATAGTGTTTGTGGGTCTAGCTGCGGTCCGTGTCTGGGGCATGCCAGGTTGAAATGTGGTGGCTGGCCTTTCGTTTGGGGCAGCCAGAGGAGTGGTAGCAGCAGTTCTGACAGTTGGACTGACAGTTCTTGCGCGAGGCGATAGTGATTCTACTTTTCTTGTGGGTGGCGCCGGAAGAAGCTTCATGGGCGTCCTCTTTTGCATTTGCGGTGATTGGGCTATGGGAGCCTCCGGATAGTTTTCCATATCAACCACAGTACCTTGCGGCTGCTGGTTACCCATAGCAGCTCCAAACATGTCTGCAATGTTGATGTTGTTGGTGTTGCCTTCGAGACTCCGGTTGTAGAACGTAGCAAGGAATGTGAGTATGGCGTTGATCGAGTTCTCGTGGCGGTCGTGCAAAGTCTGGAACGCTGTTGCTTGCTGATAGAGTTGGTCGTTCTGCCTCCGTATCTGACCCAGGACGTTCGATATTACCTTTTGTTGTTGTTGCAGCGTCCGCACTTCCGCGCGCAAGCTGTTATATTCCGCTCTCGGTATCATCGCCATCCCCTCATTGTTCCCTCGTACAGCTAGCTCCTCAACGTAGCCTCCTCCACCCCCATCCGGTGCGAATTTCCTCTCTTCATCACTGTCACCTTTCGTATCGTCGTCCCTTTTCCGCTTCGGTCCGGCGGGGGCGTTCTTGGGTTTTTGAATTAGCCAGAGCAGCTCCGGTCGGCCCCGTTTGAAGTATCGGTTGAAGTATTCGCTTGGTGCTTTCGCCTTCGTTTCGCTCGCCTTCATCGAGTTGTCGGAAAGACCGACCTTCTTGTGGAAACCGTACATATTCAGCTGCCGCACGAACGAAGCATAGTTGTTGTGCTTGAAAAGCTCGGGAATAAGCGTTCGCGCGAATTCGTCCTCGTCTAGCACAATGAAAGAGTTGCCGTCGTCTGACCAGCGGATGAGGTTCGTGTTGTTGCCATTGTCTAGGAAGCTATCGCAGAGTCAATCAAAAGTTTTCCTTGGCAAGCAAGGGAACATACCTGCTGAGTTTCTGAACAAACGGTGGTATAGTTTTCCTCTTCGCGGATGCGTCCTTTTTAGCAATGGCTGCCTTCCGTTCCAGCTCCTCGTCGTCATCCGTGTTCTCCCATGCGCCCGACTGTCCTTGCTCATTGAATCCCCACGGACTGCGCCCTCTAGCCGCGAGTTGTTGGTTTTGATTCCGCCTGACCAGCTGGCCTGCACCAAGGTCTGCACCGTCATTCAGCCCATCAAGTGACACAACACGATTGTGTGTCGACGGCTGTGGACCAAAATTCGCGCCATAACCTCCAAGCTGATCGTAGAACGCTCCGTCGCCAAACCCGCCCATGTCCCCCGCTCCTGACGCAGGCTCCCAGTTATTCATGTATGTATCTGTTCCTGTCGCACTAGGGTCTTGAAATGTGTTCTGTTGGACTATTGGAGATGCGCCGGGTGCGCGCCGTTTTCGAGTTGTCATTTTGTCACCTGTTCGCGGACTGATCCCAATTTCAAAGAGACTCTTTGAAGCGACTTGGCACCGAAGAGTACAATGACAGCGTCGCGTCGTTCGGGGCAATCACGGAGAGGATCTGTCAGCCAGCCGCCGGACTCCAGCGCTCTTATATATTGTTCCCTCCCAAACTTTCTTATCGCATGCGAAACTCACGAGGCCAGTATCTCTCCACCTGATATGGATCCCCAAACAATGCGTGATCGTGTGAGACGCTCAGCAAATCGCTCGCGCCCTCGTCGCGATTGTTAACGTCAGAAAGCCCTTTCCGTAAGGCTGGACAGTGAAGGGCGGAAGTCCGCGGTCGCGCAGGAACTGGCGGGGTATTCGGGTTCGGTGCGGTGCAGAGGCGGCGGAGTGAAGTACGGGCGTTCAATGATCCCGTGTGCGATATGTACAGAGAGGGTACTGGGGGTGAAGATGCGTCCGACCAAGCACTGTAGGCGTGGCACACCGCGACTTCACGAGATGTGCCTGCGGGCAGGCGCCGATTAGTTTATCCGCGCCGGACAGGCAGGCGCGAGTCATGCAACCGTTCTCTTACCTCCGCATCCACGGACAAAAGCTCCGAACAGCTACATGTAGAATGCGTTCACGTCTTATAAATCCCCATAACACAAGCTCACAATCCCATCTCCGCTTTTGCGACACGCCGAAATGACTTCATGCCTTCAAACCTGCTCTATGCCGTTTCCCTAGCCGCATCCAGACATTTTCTCTGATTATGTGGTCTGATCCGTAATGAGGCCGTAAAGTCGCCGTGCACCTACACCACCGATGTCTCCAGATCAACGATCTACCGCTTCAAGTGTACGGATCAGGATGAACTCAGACCATCAGAGGCCCACATTGCTCTCCACTCGCTTCACATCTCCGAGCGAATAGTGTGCTACAGTCTAAAAGCCATGTTGAGCGGCGGCAGTTTTGCAGGCCACTAGCAGTTTACGTCGTGAGTACAGCATATGGTGGTTATCTGTATCCCGAAACGTCTCTACAGCGTTAATACGGTAGGTCAACGACTGGAGTATTTGATTTCGAACCTTAAGCTGTACGACTGCCTCTGCAACCGTGCTCTAATAATTCATCATCCACTCAGACATATAGGCTGTGTTGTACTGGTATTCTTTCAATTCGTCCTACGTATCCCATATGCCTTCCCTAGGAAATTCGTACACTACCACCAAATCGCATACACTGTTTAAACATCCACGCCTTTGCGAATCAATCAAAAAAGCTATCAAAGCCAGCTGATGAATCCAAAGCTAACACCCCGTTTCCCACTCCAGGTGCAAAAGCTATAATCCGCCAATGCTAAAAACATGTTTCATGTGTGCTTCATGCTTATGCGCTGAACGCCCCAAACGGTGGTATACGGAGGACAGTGGTCGAAGGAATTCGGGATTGCCAAGGCGTACTGAGGTAGGAGGAAAAGCGGATATGTTACATCGCTGTGTCCGCTATCCTGTGTTGCTCCATTATGGGTGAAACGAGAAAAGGAGAGTGTCTCCATCGGTGTGCGAGTCGCTTCAATTTCGAAATACCTTGTGTTCATAGTACTCCAGCCGTGTATCGCAGTCTCGGAACGTGGTTTCTGCCAGGTATTCTCATGACGCCAAAATACGCCCTGCTGTCCAAGGATCGAAGTTGTGAAGAAAGATTAAGTGCAACACGTATGTAGCACTGCCCGTATCCAGCGGCTCCGAAGAGAATAGATCATTAGAAGTCGAAATGCAGACTCGTGTTTCGAAAACATGAGCCCAAGCATGTACCAGACGGTGGGTCTTCTATAACTCAACTGTCTTGAGTTCAGGTCCTTCCGCTGCCACTGGGCTCTTCAACGACGACGGCTTCGACTCCTTCTTGTTCTCCTTGTCACTGCCGAAGCTCTGCCTGACCGGCGGGAAGTCGTCGCTCGGTCGGGGAGTGTCCACTGAAATCAGCTTCTCCATAGGCAGACCGGCTTTAGCGTCAATGTTGGTCTCGATGCGAATTGGCTGCGGGCCTTCTTCAGCAACTCTTGCCAACGGGCTGGACATAGGACTGGCGCCCTTCTTCTTAGGCTTTTGCGACATTCGATGGGGACTTCTGCCACGGTCCTCAGGTCCAATGACGGGGCTACCGTACGGGCTGCTACCGGCGCTACTGGGACCTGCCGCTGCAGGAGCGTTGGAGTTGACGCGAAGCGTGCTGTTGGGCCGCTTCTTCGGCTGGCGCCGGCCATACTTCTGATCGGTGCGCCAGCGGAGGATCTCCAGATAAGGCGGCTCCACGTTCTGTCGCTTAAATTCCAACAGCTTCAGCTCACCGCTGTCTTCGTCGATGTGAACCTTATCCGTGCTAAGATCATCTGCTACCATAGCAAGCAGGGCGCCCCACGAGCGAGCCACAACATACTTGCAGTCGTAGTCGCGCCCGAAGATGATGACCTGTCCCCAAGTACCTGTGGGGCCGGGAGCGAGATCGGTAGCGAGGTAGTTGCCTCCCCAGTCGCGAGCGAGCGGGATCCAAGCGGGGTGGGCATAGGCCTTCTGCACAGCGTTTGGCGGCTGAGAATCCTGGCGAGCGAGCAGGTCTTGTCGCCACAGCGGGTTGCTGGACTGCTGGACTTGTGCAACGGGCGGTGCAGTGGAGGACCCTGCAAAAGCTTTGACCGGTATCTGGGGCGTCGCCCTATGGTCTGGTTTGGGGGAGAGATAATCCTCAGCGACCTTCCGCCAATTCTGCCACTCCATGACGATTTCTTCGCAATCAAGCAGCATGCATCCGAAGATGATGCCGGTTGGGAGACCGCCGCGCTCCTGGCCATCGTGGATTTGCAGTGACTCACGGACATCGATGGGGAGCGTAGCGTCCAACTCGTGTTCAAGCTCGTTGACGTCGTTGGCAGTTGCGCCTTCGCAGAGATTGTCGAAAAGCTCTTCGTACTTGTCCTCAACCCAGCGGTCGATGCGCCGCCACGAGTGGCCGACTGGCGGGGCCGGAGGAAGCCCCTCGTTGAAGTCGCGCATCTGAATTTCGCCATTGGCGCCCTTATCGAAGGTCTCCGAGTCGGCAGTTGCTTGGCGGCTCAAGGTGGAACGCATGCCAGGTGAGTAGGGCGAGGTTGGGGAAAGCGGGCCTTTGGGCGAGCCAATGAAGCCGTTGCTCATGGCGGGCTCTTCGTGTGTGTAGGGCGAGGAAAGATCGACTCGGGATTCTGCGCCGGTGGTCGCGACGTTGGTAAGGGGAGCATGACGGCTCTGGGGCAGTGGAATGTGTCGGCCAGTGCGATAGGGCGAGTTGTGGGAAGCGTGGCGGTCATACGAAGTCATTGTGTGCCAGAAGGACTTCCATGTGTCTGCTATGCTGCTCGCCATTAGCCGTGCCGTCGGTGCGGCGTCTGCCAGGGGAGGAGCTTACGATTGTGCCATGGCGGCGGTGTGAAGCGAAGGGCGGGCAGCAGGCTGCGCTGCAATGGGCGGAGACGGGCTGCGGCAGAGGGGTGTGTGAAAGAGAGTGATGTGTGCGGGCGATGTCGACGGTCGAGCAGGAGAGTCAAGGAAAGAGCCCTGTTGTAGTCTAGGAAGTCGGCTGCACGGGCCAAGGTGTCTCCTAAGGCGAGATAGTGCGTCACTGGTAAAGGGATAATTGCACGTCTGCTTGCGACGCTCTGGGCTTTGGCCGCGCAGGCTATGCGGTGCTGGCAGACAAAAAGTGAAGGGCGCCCGTCGTTCGCGCGCTCTGTTTTTGTTGTTTCGGCGTTGCTAGCCTGCCCAAGTGCATCTGCGCTACGGCATCTTCTCTTGTCTTGTCCTGGGCAGCCGCATGCTCGACCTCTGAACATGGCGGACTTGGTCCATCCCGACCGCGTTTATTAATAGTCGCTCAACTGCGTGTCGCCCGCAACGTGCCCCTTTTCGCCTCTGTGAAGCCGTTATCACGGCCCACCTCGTCGATTCCGAGGCAATCTGCAGTGCATTGCTAGCCGCCGTGCGATTCGCCGGCAGACGTCGTTGCCCTGAGCTGCTCCACGCCCGCCGGCCAACCAACCTTGCGTTTCACCGCCAACCCAGCCGCTGCCGTCGTGCTGCTTCTGCCGCCGCTCGCTTGTCTGCGCCGTTGCGCCGCCTGCTGCCATCAACCCTCGCACCCTCGCACCGTCGCGCGGCGTCAGACTCGAGCTCCGCTTGCCTTGGCGGTCCTCACCGTGCCCTAACATGCAACATGCAGGCTAGGGACCGCTGGCTCCCCGCACGATAGCCCTGGCCATGCACACCATCATTGCACTCGACACGATCCGCTCGACTGTTCAACACGTCTGACGTAGTCATTCGTCGTGTATATCTACATCAAACGCAGCATCCAAGCGAGTCTTCTATAAATACAGAGGCAAAGTGTATTTACCAGGGACGATTGCCACTCCTTAGTGAGAGCTGGCAATATGATCGCCAGCTGTTTCTACCTGTAGTACCGTTTCTCAAACCCCCTTCAGGTGCTACGCCTCGTGCTACTCCATTGGCGACGTATTCGGCGGGTCATTGTGGTGGCGCCCCCTTCGGCTGCTGTGCGTCGCTGTGCATCAGATACATGCCTCTCCCCTGTCACCAGAAGCTCCCGAGGCCGTGTCTTACCCGAGTTGACAAGCGGGACGTTGAATACGGGAAACAGGCAAACGACGTGCAACTCCAGGGCGGCGCAACCCTCCCGAGGCTGCGAGTCGCCATATCGTACAAACGTACTGTCAGGCATCTCTAGGGTCTCTTCACAAATTATGACGTTCAGATCTGGTGTTTGCGCAGTTGCACGCTAACCACTACCCCGGATTCTCGGATCTTCACAATGCATCTTAGCCACGTGGACCGGAGTAAAGATTACGAGACATGGCTGTGTACAAGCGGCCCGTGACAAAGCACCACTTGCTGATGACTTCCGTACCATGCATGCCTCATGGACCTGATCTCCCTAAGAACTGATGAAGCTCGTCCTGCAAGGGAAGCACGATGCACTCCACTGCCGCTTGCAGGAAGTCGGCGTCCTGCAAGTTGGCGCTAGGATCATTGAAGCAACGAAGACAGTGAGTGACAGCGCTTGAGAACGCTGCTGACAAGTTATCTTGTTCCTCGTCTGCCCACTCATAAGCCATAGCGCAGAGCATCCAGGGATTGAAAGCTCCAGCAGGTTGTTTTTCGACATCACGGTGATTTTCAGCACTGACACCGAAGTATAGCTCTAGCAAGGCGACAGCAAGCGCCAGCAGAATCGTGTTCTTGTTCTGGAAGCTCTTCTTCGGACGGCTGTTGGCAAAAGCAGTCAGTGTCTCGGCTTGCGGTGCAACATATGGACGGTCGACATCGACTAAGCGAGAACCGTCCTCTTTCTGATGGAATATAATGTCCTTTGCGCACCATTGATCTTTGAACCAAGGTGTCGCATTCAGCTGTAGGGTACTGCTTGCGAGTGTGAGAGCTAGACCGTACCGCTCTTTCTTGCTGAGTTTCGCGACTCGACCATTGCGTGTTGGTGGTCGATCGAGGAGCTGTTCCAATGTAACAAACTCTGAAGGAGCGGGTTGCTTTTCGGCCAATGTGTCTACGGTGTAGGTCCCTCGCAGTCTTTTTTTTGTATCGAAAGAGAAACCTATGCAGGGCGAACTCCTGTGAAGCTGTTGAATGGATGCACAAAGATCCGTGACTTCCTGTAGTGAAGGGACATTGGCTCCAGCAGTTGCTGGATCGTCTACAGAGTAAGGCGGTGGCGGCTTATCCCCAAAAGAGACCGTTTTCCGCATCCTGAGGCGTATTGTCAGCCGGACTGCTGCTTGCACGGTGGTATTCTGGAAAGCATCAATTTGTTGGGTATTACGTACTTTGGTAAATTGGGCGGTTGGAGTAGCGAGAGATTACGTTCTTCTTCCTCTTCTACCAAGATTTCTGCTGCTTGCCAAGTCCATAGTTGCGAAGGGTCTCCTGGGTCGCTTGAGAAAGACACATTGAAATACATGTTCGAGTTTTGGGACGATTTCCTCGCAGCAGTAGACATGTACAGATTGCTACGCTGATCTAGCTGAAGGCTAGTACTATGCGACGATTGACAAGCACAAGACCAGCAAGTAGAGAGCGTCTCGTGCAACGTGGATGCATACTTCTGGATGCGCTGTAGGCGGTTCGCAAACGTCGGTTTGATTGTTCTCCGGCGGATTGTCTCGATTCTTTCGCTTTTGTCAGTAAATCTCTCGAGCTCCTTGTTGCAGTTATCCAGCTCTTCTAACAGGGCTTTGATTGATTTTCTTGACATCCCGAATTTTACCCTCCTGCGGAATTCGAACCGATCGTTGCCTTTCTTGGGGTTCGCTGCCAGCATCGCTTCAAGATCGTTCCGCGTTAGCTAGCGCTGCAGGTAAGTAAGGAGTTCCATAGCGACTGCTAGTTGGTATCGCATACCTCAGCTGCCCGATCGAGGTCCAATTTGCTGGCGATTTTCTTTGTGATGCGCTCAATATCCGCTATGGTGTTGTGGTACGCATTGTAGGACTCTCCCAGTCTTTCACTCATTTTGCGTGCCATGTCACCCTTCCATAGCTTTCCGTGAGGCTCTTGCAGGAGCTCCGCAAGCTCGAACTCGTCCGCGATTGGCTCGAGAAGGATACGGATTGTTTGCGCGTAATGTACATGTTGGTTTCGGAGCTTGCGAATGAGCTGAGGAAGCTCGCGCTCCCATCGCATGAAGCTCTTGACAGGATCGAGACTATCATGGTATGCTTCGATTCCTGCAGAATGTTTAGTAGACGGTATCACCATGAACAGTAGGATCTTCTCATACCGGCGATGATTAGTGGTAATGCACCCAGAACCTGTAAGTGCTCGGGCGGTTAGTTGTTGCGTCAATCTTTAGAATGGCATGCTGTTGCGACTCGATCTACGCAGGCATGCAGATAGCCGAAACACTCACTGCTCACGAATCAGCGCGGGAATGCATTGCCACGTCAGTCAGTCACCTCACCAAGGCCAGCAATTTCCAGTCCAGACATGACTGTATTCAAGACCTCACGAGCGAAGAAGCATATCCAAGCTGGCTAGGCACGACCGAGAGCGAGTTGGGAAACAGTGAGGCGCAGAGGCAGAGCACCCGAGTCGCTCACCTCCGTGTGTTCATGGTTCGTGTAAGGAAATGCGACAGCGGTTGCCTGGAGCTCCACAGGGCATGGAGGATGTATGGGTTGGAAGATTGTCAGCTTGCACAGAACCCCGCGGTTCAGCCCCCAATCGGTTAGCTCCAGATCTTCCACACCACAACATACAGGCACCTACAATGACTTCCAACCTTGAAAATAGGTTAGCAGCCTTGTACCATCTCTTTTGACAAAATTATGAGCGATCGAAGACATGTCCACAATCAGACTAGGCGCCGCTGTGAACGTTCGCGAGTTCCAGACCCTCCTGAACTCATTGACCACTCCTCGCGAACATGGAGTAGATTCAGAAGCGCTACAGGATGAATTTGGAAGATTCAGGGTCTGGAGTGGCAATCTAGGGGTATTGCAGAAGGGCCACAGCTCTTTGGACTATCGATTGCGCGATGCACCGTTGCTCTCGGATGAGGTGACGAAGTTGCTAAAAGAACTGCAAGAAAATCTGCATGCAGGTACTTGATCTGCTGTGACATGTCTTTCTTATATCTGACAATTCCAGCACATGAAATCGTCACTGGTGTTCGTCTTCCATACGAGCAGCAACCGCGTCCAGCGAATTTCGGAGAGCATGATGAAGATGATTCCTTTTTCAGTGATGAGGAGGACGAGGGGAGCGATCCAGGTGTACCCAGAACCGAAATAGGCATGCGTTTCCAGGAAATTGTCGACATTATAGATAACCTCTACAAAATCTCGGTCAGGATCCGCGCGCCAACTATTCGCACCAGGTCACTCAAAGCAGCTTCCTACCAACCCAAAGATCCTGAGACTGGGGTCGATCTACTCGGCCAATACGCAGTGTTTGATGCTCAACATACGCAAGAGCTCGTGAGGCATCTCAGGGTGCCGCATGCCTCGGCTGGTGTATCTACGGAGCAAAACGACGAACTAGTAAATCGTCTTGCACGAGCTGTCACACTCCGTAGGAGACAGTTCAAATATTGGAGACGTCATAGAGACAAATTGGGCATCTCAACAGTCCAAGAAGAGCCAGAAGCACTAGCAGCAACCCAGCGACCAGACGCCCCTCACCGGCACGATACCCTTGAAGCACAGCCCGGAACACTAGGCATCAATGCGCTGCCTAAGATGGCATCGAGTCAGAAAACTGGTAGAACACTTCTCTCTGGTACAGAAGCGACTCATCATCATCAGTCCTTGGACGACATTGTGGATTCCAAATCTGTAACCAGTTATGCTGTCACTGTTAAGGATCTTACGGGCAAGGGAATTGACCTGCCCCCGCCACCAAAAGCAGCAGATGGCGATAAGGATTTTGAATGCCCGTACTGCTTCGTCATTTGTCCCGCAAGATATGGCAAGGGGCGATCGTGGAGAACGCATGTTCTGCAGGACTTACAGCCATATGTCTGCACGTATTTCGAGTGTCAGACATCTGATCAGCTCTATAGAAGCCGCCGGGATTGGGTCGAACACGAAAGCAGCCATCGCAAAGCGTGGAGGTGCCCGGAACATCCAGACGCGGTGTACAAGTCTCAAACTGGCTTTGAAGAGCATCTGAAAAACGAACATGGAGACAGTATTCCTGAAGGCCAGATACCCAGTATTGTCAAGGTCGGCGAGACGTCTACCGTCGACCTGCGTCAAACGTGTCCGATTTGCTGTGCTCCTGTGGATGTGAAGGGTATGGGCACTTTGCAGAGCCACATTGCGAACCACCTCGAGAGGGTAGCGGCATTTTCGCTACCTACTGACATTGACGATGATTCAGATGGCGGCAGTTCGCGGGCTTCTCGTGGAGGTACTGATAGCTCGGCGACCACTACTGCCAGTCGGTCTTCAGTAGACAGCGATTACAGTGGTGACAGCGACAAACTAGAGGCCGGGGTAGACTCATTGCCAGATACTGGTGCCCTGGCATTGTCTGCTGCTATGGATCAGCCATCGCAAGAGCTTACTGCCCACGGAGGAGTGCTGTCAGAGTCGCTCATCCGAGCGCTTCCCGATGACAGTGGACAAAGATTAGATCTACTGTTCTCGAACCAGAGAGTGAATGCTAGTGAGGATTCAGAAGAGGAAGAGGAGGAAGATAGCCTCGAAGAGACTGCATCAGCTATTGAGGAGCACATGGCTGAAAGAGAGGCCTTCCGAATGTATCTGCTGTCATTAGCAGGTGCTCAGTCCGTTCGATTCTACAGACGGTACGGGTCATGGAACGGAAACGTCAATTTCCGAGATGGGGGGTTTGCCGCCAGGGCAATGCAAACGTTCGATAAGGAGCGATACCCTAGGGTCAGGCTTCGTCAGAAGGACGCCAAGAAGGAGACTTTAAAATTTAGCGTCCTTAATCACGAGGTGTTCAAGGTGGCAAGGGACCACCCGCTTTATGCGCAAGAACCGGATGCTGCTGGACTATACCACTGCCCGGGTGAGGGCAAGCCTGGGTGCAGCCATAAACCGACTTCTCTGAAATCTACTTATGAGTGAGTACCCTGACATATCCTCTCCAAGCGTATTCTGACGTAGAGGATTAGTTCCTACGTAGATTCACACTTGAAGCAGCCATGGCAGCATCGACAGACCAAGGAGGTTTCGCTTCGCTCGGAGGTCGAAGTCGCGCAGGCAAGCCCTCCGTACAGTGATTCATCCGGATCCCACCAGTCATCAATACAAGGAGACGTAGGAGAGCTCTCACCGATACTTGACGTGACCGACATACCGAACATCCGTGCACTATACAGATCTTCAAAACTGGCCTCGCGGGATAATCCAAGCTATGTCCCCAACGATGCTTACAATAGGATAATTTCCTTCTGTTGGTATGATATTACCCGCCTGAAGGTGGACGCTGTCGGTACGTCTGATTTTTGTTTCCGCGTCAAGGCACGTTTCCGATCATTGTATGATGAGGTTGGGGTAATCCAAGCCACGATACAAAGGTCAATTTCTCGACGTGAGACATGTTGTAGCATCACGGCTTCGCTAACTTGACTTCGCATTCTAGTGAATAGTTCCAACCGAGGATTGATCCCATCAAGGGCAGAATGGACCTTAAACAGCATCATTCACAAAGCTGCCGGGCCAGGACTCCGTGAAGAATGCTCACACTTCAACAGACTGAAGGTAGGGACAATTGTCTCCAGTGTGAGCCAACATACTGCTGTACACCAATCGCTCAATATATCACAGGTTTCTCAATCTGTTCTTACGGGCGGGTATCAACTCCCATGTACCCATATCATTCACGTCGCAAGACCGCACTACGCCAGCAGCAAAGGAATGGGTCAATATAACCTTCTCACTGAAGGTTATCGCAGTGCTCTAAGATTGGCTATGAAAGAGAACCTGAAGACCCTTGCGTTCTGCTGTTTGGGTACAGGGGGTGTTGGATTCCCAGCTCGAATCGCTGCCCGAGTTGCTCTTCAGGAAGTCCGCGAATTCCTCGACGCCCATCCGACGCACTTGTTCGAACGCATCGTGTTCTGTGTTTACGCAGAGGATGATTCAGTAGCATATACTGACTTCTTATCCGACTTCTTTCCTCCCACTCAGGAAGACGTGGACGCCGCTTCTTCAACCCCAGCTGGCAAAAATGTTGCCATGGTTCAAGAAGCCTATACGCAAGTCGATAATGTGACTGAACAAGTCAAGGCTTTCAGCCTTGAAGCTACAAATATGCCGCAACGGGTTGCCCAAGAGCTGTCGAGCATCGCGGTTCTTTTGTATCACTTTAAAGAGATGGTATCGGAGAACGCACCCAAACATTTATTGTCACGCATGATGCGTTACATGGATCTGTTGTGCTCAGTCATGCTTGCAATATGCGGCAATATGACCGAGATGATAGAGCTGGCCAGAGCAAAAGTGAATCTGGGAATGCCCAGCCACAGAGCCATATGGGACGATTACAATACCCATATGGCTGTGTATCAAGGACTGACTATAGTGGAACTGATCGACATTTCGCAGGAGTTCGCACGGCATTTAAGCGACGTTTTGGAACGCGATGTGCCCGTACCGCATGAGATGAAGACTATCGGCATTCGACTAGGCGCTTGGCTAACCAAACAGACTGGAGAAGGGCCACAAAGTGCCCGTGATCACTTCGAAGAGGTCATGTTGACGCGAGAGTATCAACGAGATGTTCCAGTTTCCAGGAGAACCGGCACTGTTAAATTGTTCCAAGTTGAGACTCTTTCTCAGCTCTACGAGCAGGGTGTCTTGCAGCCAAAGAGTACGCAAGCAACTCCTTCCACACGCTCCAACCACATAGTCTGCCTCGCAAACGAAGACATCACGAGATTGGAGGTCGATATTCTAGGCAAGTCACACGTTATGGAATCAGCACTTCACAGCTGCTAACAAAAAGATAGTGAATAGCACCGATGAAAATTTCTCAGGCATTGGTAGACTCGATCGTACCGTATTCCTAGGTGGCGGTCTCGAATTGCAGAAAGAATGTGCAAACCATGCGCCTTGCAAAGAAGGGGAGGTTGTATTGACCGGAGGCTACGCGCTGCCTGTTAAACACGTTCTGCATGCGATACCACCGGCGATCTATCGAACAGATGCCCTGGACGTTTTACGCGATATGTATAGGAAGATTCTTCATATGGCAAGTTATCTGCGGGCCACATCGATCGCGATTCCTTCGCTTGGAACAGGTAAGTGGCTCCAGATAAGTGGCTCCTGCTGTGCAACAGCTACACAGCCGGACGTCGCCGCCTGCGAAGTATATGTCACTCAGATCTGGCTGAACAGGTACAGGCATGCTCAACTACCCCAGAAGAGATTCTGCAGCCATTGCGATAAGGGAAGTAAAGCGATTCTTGGAAAATATGGACGAGAGTAATCCGATCGAGAAAGTTGTTCTTGTGGTCAGTAAAATCCAACTCCACACCCGTTATTTAGAAAGGCACACTAACGCGAGCGTTACTTCCTATTTCTAGGTTTACTCTTCCAACGATGAGTTTGTCTACAAATCTCTTCTACCAGCATACTTCCCGCCACTTGGAATGAGTGCCGAATCATCTGAGTACGCTCCTTCGTCGCCCACGCCGACACCAGGACGATCTCGCACTTTGTTCGGAACCCTTGGAGAAGCGTTCCGCAAACTGACCCCTAGCAAGCAACCTACCTCCAATACACGGTCACTGGAACCTAGTGAAGAGGACGTACTCATTATCTTCGAAACGCATGCACAAGGATGCCCAACTTGCAGTAAGATCTCCGAGATTTACTCACAGGGTAGGGACCTGTGTGATGATGGCTATCGGTTCGCAGCACAGATTCTACGGCATCTCCACATGAGGGCCGATCAATCTGTGTACCCGCTTCGATCTGTAGAAAACTTCCCACTAGAAGTGGAGATTCCAGATGCGTTCCCACTGTCTCTGGAACTTCTTCAAACTGTCGAGAAGAGCTTCCGTGATCCGGAGCGGGACAGGCCTTTTGTTAGCAATCAGCCATCGCTGGAACTTAGGAGGCGCATTCCAGAGTATACCGTGTATAACATCGAAATCACCGTCTCTAGTCCGCCGCATTTGAATCAAACATTTGATCGCATACATATCTGGTCGGATCGATCGAGTGGATGGCAGAGCTTCGAAGCATCCTTGCCAACGCTACACCTCACTCGCGCGGCACTTTTGATACGTCAGGGAGGCTACGAGAACGTTTCAAAGCTACCAACGCGGTTGAGGCTATCAAGTCGCTCCACAATCAGTATGCATGCAGGCACGAATATTGTTGTTGATGATAAAAATGTGGACCAAGATTCTGCGGAGGAACTTGGTGGTCGCTTCATCCTAGAATTTCGATCGCAATCGGACTGCGAGATGTTGTTGAGCGAACTGAAGCATGCTGCTGATAACAGCCCGACCTACAAAAGTCAGGAAGAACCGTCACCTGGAGATACGACTCACGACGCTGAAGTCACCTTTACTCCTCGAGACCAGCCTAAGAAAGCATTTGCGAGAGTGTCTCTATGGGTGGAGGCGACAGAGAGCTGGGAACCCTTCGATGCTGAGCAATCGGAAGCGTCGCTCCACATTAGGCCCGGTAGCCTCGAAATTCTTCAACGTGCTTCAAAGTTCACCTGGCGGCTGAAGATGACGTCGTACTCGATTATAAAGCAACACTCGGACGTGGAGATCCTAATCGACAGGATCACCACTGCCGGAGACGATGATGCTGGGCTTGGGCATTGGAAACGCATTATGCTAAAGTGTCGATCGCAGACGGAATACAATGATCTGCTAGCAAGTCTTCAACACGCTGTAGATTCCTCAGGAAGACCCCCTACGCCTTCTAAACCCAGGTTAGGAACTAGGAGGACCTAGAGGCTCTTAATTCGCTGGATGACTTCAGGTCAATATCTTAGTGGAAAACCACAAAGGAAGCAATTGGTCGAACTCGACCTACCAACCATATCAACAGAGGATCCCCTGAGTGCATCGAAACAACCGTGTCTCAGCCTCAGCCATGCTGCAACCACGGACTCCGACGGAGCACAAATACCCACAGCATCCGATCCCACAGCATCTTCCGCATCGAGAGATCCCCTAGCAAGACTCATCGACCCCAGACTACGAGCATGAAAATCCTCCTGCGACCGGTATACTCCGTCCTTCTTCCTCTGAACCCACCGGTTTCTTCTCCCCTTCCAGCTTTCTAGCCATTTCAAAAGTAGTAGATAGGGAATGTCAAAATCGGAATCCGTTTTCAACGACTCGAAGTAGTCCAAGAGACATGGTGCGCCGGGTGCCCCTTTAATGGCTTCGTGCGGGGAGCTGTGGAGGTATCCAAGTGCTTCGTGGTAGTCATAGAGTTCATCGATGGCTAAGGTCTGCGAATCACGGACGTCTCGAGAGCGCTGGATGTAGGAATCTAGCAAGCTCCGATTGGTGTCCTGAAGACAATTCGGGAGATTGTAGAAAATTACGGGCGCCGGCACCTGTCACGTTGGGAGAAAAAAAAGGCAGTGCCCAGACTCTTCGAAAACACCGTGTCATGTACAGTGAATAGAATGCGTTACAGATGTAGGAATCGGTTGCTCGCTGATCACCGACGAGAAGCGGTAGTTGTGCGGCTCGTCTGATCGAGCCCTGTAATATTAAAATCAGGTCTTTTTGAGTTGTGCAGGATTACCAAAAGGGAGGGAGCTTTATGCGCTACTCTCATGGGGTCAAATAGGTAGGTGCATAGTAACTCTATCAACTGTGAGCAATCCCTATGGCTTGTGCTCCGTGCCTACCTGCCCAGCTTCATACGTTCACCGATTCATCACATCCCGTTCTCTTCCCAAACTATGCGGATCTACTGGCACGTACCGGAGGTCTCCTGTCCAGCGAACATTAAGATTTGACAGCTAAGCAGCATTATCGATCCCGAGAAATTGGGTCCTTGATTAAAACCTTGCATGTGAAGCTATAATAATTCAAAATTGATGGGAAAGTATCTCACTTACTTCCCACTTGATGAAACCAAACATAAGTTCATCATCGCGCGCCTGCATCATCCATAGCTCCATCAACTGGATCCTTAGTAGCAGTCACTGTAGGTTTCTTCGTATTTGCAGCGTTTTCGTCGCTTTCCACAATCTTCAGGGTTCTCGTTGGCAAATTCTTCGACTGTTGATTTGTGCTATCCCTCAGGTCTTCTGTAACTTTTTGTGGTCCTTTCTCGCTGGAATTTTCATCCATCACGCCATTGGTACCATCGTTCCCTTTGCCAGGTGTCGGGTTGGCACCAGTGCGCTCTTTGTCATGCTGCTTGGGCGCTCCATTAGATAACTGGTCTATGCGTCGTCCAGTAAAGTTTTTGATCTTGTCGCCAATAGTCTTGCCATCTGAAGCTGAGGTGTTACCTCCACTGAGCCTATGTAAACGTGAGACTTTCTTAAGCTGTACACCGCCAGTGTTCCAGAAGACGAACTTACCAATTCAGTATATAATAGCCGGCAAAGCCCCACAGGAAGAGGAACGACGCAGTAAAGGTCATTACGAAGAGGGTCGGTACCAGGAAGAGGAGAGCTACTCCGACCATAAAAAAAGTGAAGAAGACAGCAGCCAAGAGACCAACTAGAAGAGCGGTAATGAGAGAGAACACGAAGACCGATACCGAAAAGATTAAGAAGAAGATGGTGGGGATGCCTGTAAGGATGATATGTGTGGCTAAGAACGCCTGGGTTATGTCAGTATGTACTATGTCTGGAGCAGTGAATAGCCAGAGTATCATAAAGCGTGGGACATTCGGTCTTTTGGAATGTTCTTCCCTAAAGAGGAGCTAAATCATAGCAAAGTGGAGCTAAATCATAGCAAAGGGGACTTACGGCAAGCTTAGGGTTGAGGGTAGCGAACTCCTGAAGCTTCGAAAGCATCTCGTCCCTCTTATCTGGTGGAAGTATCTTATCAAGACCATTGGTCAAGTCTGTCCATAGGTTGCCGAGTATTGACTGGATGCTGTTCAATATGCCGGACATCATGTCTGGCTTCTGTTGTGACGTTGGTGGAAACAAAGCGGGATTGAGTGGTGGTGCGTCGCCAAAGGTCGTAGTGTGTTGTATGAGATCGACAACGATCCGCAAGTATAGTATCTGGATCCAGAAATGCCTACCGTAGACTACCTACGGCGGGGCGCACCGAGTTCACGACAAGACGTGACCAGGGATGGCATTCACGCTAGCCGTCATTGCCGAGGCGTGCACTGCCACAGGTGGCTCGGTCATCCATAGTTCCCCAAAGTTCTTGGTCCGTGCTTCGTTTTCCAAAAAGTTTTGGCTGCGTGCCGACAACGACAGACCCACGATCGCTACGCATAACAAAGGAGCCTACATATGAGCAAGATGGGCGACGACAAGAAGAGAAAGAGGCAAGAGCAGGGAGGCGACCGACCCTCAAAGAAGACCGCCATTGCACCCGCACAAGGCAATGTGAAGGTGGAGTACATCGATAACGACGAGGTGCTGGGTCCTATAATAGGTATGTTGCTAGCTGTACACAGGATAATCTGTATTCAGCTGACTTGTCAAATAGCGTCAACACCCGGTCTCAAATTCCCTTCGCCAATCACCTTCAAAACCTACAAGCGCACCAAGCTCCTACCGGGCGGCAGTCATACCGAGTTGCTCCTACAGTCCTCCGAACATTCTCGTCTTGACTACACCGCCCGCGAAGAGAAGGATGGAAGCTCGGAAAGTAAGCTCAAGGACTACATCGGCGTGTACGATCCCACGACCAGCAAGATGCAACTCATGCCGGTGAAGAGGGTCACAGTTCGAAGCTCGTTAAGGAGCGAGACGGAAGAGCTGCAGAATAGGCAGGCCAGGATCGAGGCAGCACAGTCCACATTCACCGCGAAGAGACATGCGCTCGCGGCGGAGTTCGGATCTAAACGGTCACGGAAAGCTATTGAAGACATGACGCAGAACGCCATCCAGCGTGGAGATGCAACGAAAGATGAAGGCATTGCGGAGAACGTCTTGCAGGGAATGTCTGGTGCGACGGCTGCTATGCCTACTTCCGAGGAGCTTGCCGCTGCAGTGGCCGAGTCGAAACCACGTCCGCGCGCGAACCTGGCTGCCGAATACCCTATCGATGTATATCCCATCGACGTCGTGGTCGGCAAGGAATTTATGGCGCTCATCGAAGTCAGCGACTGGGTCAGCGCCTCAGAATCTGGAGCTGGTGTCGAGGTCCGCAGCAGATTCGTCGCCAAGCGCATCTCAAAATTGGTCAAAAACAAGCAGTACCAGAAGCTCAAGCTACTGCGCTTCATACTGCTTTGTGTGAAACTAAATGACATTGCAAAACCAGGCAAAGGAACGAAGAAACTTCCACCCAAGGGCAAATTTGAGACTGCCATGGGCGAGGATGTACCAGCCGCGTTGGGCAACACCATCAGGAGGAGATTCGCCTCGGAGTAGGTTCTTTGAATGCTGCTCCAAGCTATGTGCTAAAGAAGTGTAGAACTAACGACCTACCGCGCTGGAACATCGACAACATGATAACCCACGCTTGTGCCGCAGCCCTCATTGTAGATGACTTTGAAACCGACGTTAATGACCTGCGGGAGGACTTCAAGATCGAGAATAAACAGTACGTTTCCGGTCAATCATGCTGATGTTTGGTGCGGCGTTGACATGAAATTAGGATCAGGCAGTACTTTTCAGAGTTGGGCTGCCGACTTAACGTCCCCACCGAGGCCGATCGCAACAAACTCAAGATCACAAAAGCAGAGAGTAACAGCCACACCATCGCGAAGCTGAGACTACCTCTGAAGTTCCCTCAATTAAGGAGAGGCGCGCCGGGGAGGCGGTAGGTGGTCGTTTCAGAGGACAGCAAATTAGTCCATGTGATCGCTGGACTGCGAAACACTCTTATAAAACGTTTGGCAAACTCAAGTTTCGCCCTGAGGACGTACGAAAACATTCACGATTCAGAACCACGGTCTTCGTTCATGCAAGACAATGTCATCGTGTGCAGCCATGGTCATCTCCGAATCCACCCGCCGCACCACCATCATCACCCGCATCCATCGCACCACTCAGATCAGTCAACCGTAGATCCCTCTCCACAGTTTACTTCAAAAGACACATACTTACTTCAAATATCCAAAAAGCACGCAACATCTCCCCGTGGACCCTTAGTCCCGAGCCATTCTGACCATGACATCACCATTCGCGATGAGCATGCGTGACGCACATGTTGCTATATAACCCGCTATACGTACCCCGACCAGCTCGATCACACCACTGCAACCCTTACAAGCTCCCAAAAACACCTTAGAACTTTATGCCCAAGCACGGCTTCGAATTCGGCCACTCCGACAACATTCCAAACAGCACAAACATGACATCAAACACCACCTCCGCTGCCGACTCTCTCGGCCAGAAGAAAGACACAAACGCTATCCCTCAGGAGGTCTGTCTTTCCTTTTCTTACATCCTTCCTTTCACTTCCGTTAACACTCGATCAGAATCCCTCAATCATCTCCTCTGCCGGCGCAATCGGCAAGCAATTCAACCCAGACGGTGCCATCGGCCAAATTGGCGAGAAGATTGGTGGCCCGCTGAGTAGCCAGGGTGCTATCGGCAGTCAGTTTGATGCGAGTAAAGATGGGATTGCGGGACATGTCGAAAGAGCGGTTGATGGACCAAGGAATCCGGCGGGCAGCGGGTCGAAGTAATATGGTTATGGAAGTTTTCATGTAAAACAAGTTGCAATCCAATTAAGAACGTTAAACACACCACTCGGGGCCCCGTTTGACATACTATACTGTCATGAAGAATTAGAAACATCCTGGTAGTCAATATGGTTTAAGTATTAGATAGAATAGTACTAGCACATAACCGCACTTCAAATGTTCGGTGCTATTCCATAATCTCTCATCTACGCGTGCGCAGCCGTTCCAATGACGTGGTATTATACCTAATGAACTCCAAAAGCATACATCTTACTCTCCGAGTCGGCGTCCAGGTCCCCACTGCGGACCAGTACTGGCACCAGTCGTTCGTCCCGCTGCAGACGTATCAGCGGCCGCTCTAGGCGCCTGGGCGAAACCGTATCCGCGAGCCTGTGCAGTACCCGGACCTCCACCGAACCACCGCTTCACAGCCGCAGGTGTAGTAATGTAATTTGTGCCGCCACCGAAGGTGGGCCATATACGAGTGAGGAAATCGTACAGGTGCGCGGCGATCAAGCCCGTAGCTTGCGCGAGGGCTGCATCAGTGTTCTCCATAATGAGCGTCAGGAAGAGCAGGGCCAGCGGCAGATATTTCGCGTCGAACGTGAGGATGAAGAACGACACCTGGCGCGTCGGGTTGTCCTGCGCGTAGGTATATGCGTACGCAAGCGTGAGGGCGGGAAGGAAAGTGTATGCACTGAGGAAGTAACCTGCGAGCACCTTGAAGCAAGTCAGCAACTGCTTCAAAGAGCGTGTCTCCACATCACAATTCGAGGAAAAACAAGGTATGTAGGGAGCCAATACCGCACGGCGGAATTGCGCGTCCGCCATGCTTCTCAAGTGACATTCCCACCATGCTCACACACCACGCAAACCCCTTTTGGATTATGCGAATGACGGGGCGCGTACTGTGCAAGGGTTCTCTCCCCCGATTTCAGGAACCGCTTCAGCTAGAAATTGTGACTGGGCGGGCAGATGGTCGGGGTTGTCTTATTCAGACATGAAATTTTGGTTGTGTGCAAGGCGCAGCAAAGAAGTAGTGGGCCTACTTACGGCGATTAACGAGCCGACAAATGCAGTGTATACGAAGAAGTCGCCGGGTTGCGAGAACCGTGACGACTCACGCTCAAGACCGCTGCCGTACTGGTAGACTAGGCGTTGTTAGTTGGTGCAAGCTGGCAGAGCGCAGAGCTCAACGTACAGAAGTACGGATCCAGTGCTATAGCCATTCCCTTCTTCGTAATGAAGAAGCCTGTAACAAGTCGCCATACTTGCGGTGCCATCCTCGTGGTGAAGACATATTGCGAGACAAAGACAAACCTCATCAAGTCGATGATGTTTGCGTATCCCAATGCAGACACTACGACAGCCGCAGCCGTGATGGTCCTCGTGACCGGTGGTAGAGTCCAGAAGACGTCCATGTTGAGCTGCTGTTAGTTGAGCGATCGTTGAGTGCGAAGGAGTGGTGCTACGAGAACTGCAGCTGCAGCCTGGAAGGAAGAAATAGAAAGGAAAAGCCACGGTTGGCTTTAAGGTAGGCGCAGTGGGGCGTCAGCGGCCCTACCTTATCCCGGGCGCGCTTGCCTGATTGGCCGAAGCTCCACTCGTGCTCCCATCCCGTCCACGGGTCATCATGCGAACACAGAATTTATGTTCTAATCGAGCTGATCTGTATCTGTTCTCAGTCAGGTCGTTACAGATGTATGTCCGTGCATGAAATAGAAGTGTACGTCTGACTTGCCAGATACTCAGGCACACTGGCCTGATAATTGGCCGAACATCCATCGGCAGGACCCACTTGCCGAAGCTGCAGTTTGATGTCACCATATCAAGCTCCTAAGCCCACGATTCGCAGCTCCAAAGAGGTCGGATATCAATGGTAGATTCACCTTGAACCAACCTACGTAAAATGTCTGGACCACGGCAACATGCCAGCTTGACGAAAGACGAAGAGACAAATGCTGCCGCCTGGGAAGCTGCGAGAGGCGCAGGATGGGGTGCTACGAAGGTCAGTCAGTCGATCTGGTCTATCAAACAGAATGCAATACCCCCGTTGCATATTTCATAACCATCACAACTGCAAAGAGCTCGGACGCGAAGAACAATTTACGGGCACATCAGGGCAGTCACCAGGTACCATAGATTCCAGCAGCGCTCTGGCCCATAATTGCTCACGTGCCTCCAAGAACGAACGTATGCATCGACCATTGAGGGGGAGATGCGGAACGTATGGCTTCCATAATCACAGCTAACAACTACCGACAGTGGGGCGCTTTCTCGGTCGTAGCAGGTGGCGTCGCCTACGCATTATCTCCCGTATACCGCGGTCTGACCATCCAGTTCAAAGTGTAAATATATCTCAACCCTCGCCATTACCTTATTCTTCTCTAACACAGTCAGGTACATTCAGATGTCAGGTATGATCCTCGGATCGATGATTGAAGCCGATAAGCGCATGATTGCCTACGAGCACCACGTGCGGCATCAGAAGCGGCTGCGGCGCGACATGGAAGTGTGGCGGCGGTACGAGGAAGACTTCGAAGCAAAAGGGACGCCAGGTGTCGGTGCAGAGAGCAATGTCAAGGGCAAGGGTCCAGACGTATAAACGCAATAAGCATTTGGGAATAGCAAGGGGTGGCACGGTGGGGCGAGCTCGCATGTACGATAGTGGTGGATGGGGACACCACTGCAATTGATAGCAGGGAGTCTTGATTTGAGACGCTGAATGAGCTCTTTCGATGCTGTACTGAAATATGCAGATGCCAATGCAAAATGCAATCTGATGCTATATGTCCTGAGCCCAGATACACCCCAGGTTATTCTGTCTAACGCCAAAGTCTTCTAAAAGGTCGTATACAAGAAGTGTAATGCTAACTTCTACAACCCCCATGGTCCGTCTACGACGTTGAGCGCGCCCTCCACAGCTTCTTCAAGCTCGCCTACCCGCCTTCGAAGCACGCTGTTCTCCTCACGCTCCTTTGCTAGTCGACCCCATACAGCAGACTGGGACCCGCCCTCGCAGTTCGTGCAGCCCCATCCATTCTTCTCAAGCCGCGCTGTGCCATCTCGCACCTTGTCGTATGTACTACTCCGGTGCATAAGCTCTGGCTTCTTGCCTTTAGGGGTGGTTTGTCGATCGTCCGTCTCGGCAACGGAAGAGAGATCTGTGCCTGTGGGACTCAAGCAGTTGTTACGCGAGAAGATGCTCGCGCCGTCGGTCTCGCACTCGGACTCAAAGCCTGAGTCAACACTAACGTCCGAATTGGATACGCGATTGCGCCGCCTTGGGCTGTGGACGCTGTCGGTATCCGGAATCTCGTGGTGTGTGTCCCTCCGGACCATGGCCAAGCTCTTCTTCCGCGCCGCCTCTTCCTCCTGCCTTGCCCGGCGCTCGAACATGAGCTCCTCCATGAGTCGGCGCATCTGCTCGTCCTGATCGTTGGCTCGCGCAGCCATGGTCTCGAGTTGTGACTTCAGATGCATGATCCGCGTGTCGGCCTCGTCCAGTTCGTCATCTTGGGCGCTCTGTTCGGCACGAGCATCTACCAGCGCGGTGGAAAGCTGTCGGTAGGAGGACTGATATCGCGAGAGGAGTGATTCGGCGGTGGAGAGAAGGTCATTGAACGACGATGGCGCAAGTGGGTCGACGGGGCCGTGCGGGAAGAGCGCTTGCGAGATGTTGAGATTGAGCAGATCATCTTCTGCATTGTGGTAGGTCGGTGACGCAACTGGAGGAGGTATTGCTGCATTCTTCTGCGTATTGAGCAGCCAAGCGAATCTCGAACTGGCTGTTGACGTTGAAGACGTTGCGGGGCGCTTGGTGGATGTTGGGGCCTGAGGGGGCTCCTGCGAATCACTGGACGCGCGTGTGAGCGAGGTTCCACGGTTGAAGATGCCTGTCATCATGTCGTCGACGTCGTCCTCCTCCGAATCGTATTCTTCTGAGTCAGAGTCCTCCTGTCTGATTCCCACCCCAAATGTCACCTGTCCGCTTGCACCGGTAGTTGCGCCGTTGAACCAATTTTGCAGAGCCTTTGCACCGGCGCGGATCTTTGGTTGGCTGGCCGTCGATTCGATTGCACCCCTGGAGGGAATGAAGCTCGCCAGCGACTTGGTCGGTGAGTGGAGAGATGTGCGCGAAGTATGCTGCTGGAGAGTAGATGTAGCGCGATTGAGAAGCGGCTGGCAGTTGTCGAAGAATGTGCCGGTGAGAGACCTTTGGTGCGATGTACGGGGCGACGACGAGTAGTTCTCGAGCGGAGAGGGCACCTCGGCGTGCGGGTTGTAGGCAGTGGCAGTTGTCGAGGTGAGTGCGGAAGGCGGCGGTCGGATAGGATCTGATATGTCGACGTCGTCGAAAGTGTCGACGTTCTCCTCTGCGATGGATGGAGCGTTTTGTTTCAGAGGGTGCAGCGAGTTTCGGCGGTCCCTCAACGAGAGCTGGGTCGCATGACAAGCTGGCGGGGGATGCAGGGCGACTACGTTGGGACTCTTAACGGCGTCGAACGGATGCATGGTTGCTGCTGGGGCCATGGTCCGGCCTAGGGTCGCTCGCACAGGAATGGGCAAGGCCGATCGGGGATGTAGGGGTTGACCTTTTCCGCAGCCCTTTGTCCTGCGTTCCAAATTCCTGAAATAGGTGCGAGAGGTCGAGGGAGCGCGCTTGAAACGCGATATTGGCTCTCCCTGTCCGTTATTGATGACAGCGGCTGCGGTTTCCCAGCAACAGTGGCTCTATCGATAACGCTGCAAGAAGGGAGGCACGCAGCAACGAGGAAATGCAACGAAAGGCGGCGCTGGTACGAGCTAAAGAAGTGTGCAGAAGTCAAGGACGGTCCCGCTGGAAGAGAATGTATCTTGTCGTCAGTCAGGTTTTCTGGCAGGCCGAGGTGCTGGCAGGGGGGCTGGCAGCTTTGTTGGAGGCTGGCGACCAGCCATCCGCGCCCAAACATGACGCGGCAAACCAGAATCCTCCCCATCGACAAACCGCGAAACCTGGCGTTTCGCGACAACACTGACATCACCAGAAACCCATACTATCTGCTCCATCGCGTTCTGCGTTCGTCTTTGCGTCTTTGCGTCTTTGCGCGCGTGCTCGACGAGCTGCAACATGGCCATCGCCGAATCATTGGCCCGGTACCGCCGCAGCCATGCAGCCGCATGAAACAGACAGCGGTCCGCTAGCGCATCCTCTCGGCCCAACGTCGACCTGCTCGCCATGGAAAATTGGTGAGACATGTCTTCAAGAGCAATGTACATCATATTGCATTACCCAGATACGTACTTTGCATTTGGCCTTTGTTTTCAAACAAATATGTAGCCGCGATGTACGGAAAGCAATCCTCTGCGCTCAATGAGAACCATCTCCCGTACCGGTGGAGCATTATTCTAGCCCCATTCGCTCTGCGTACGCAAATGTCTGCAGTCGCTTTGCGCCATCGTCCGGTACCGTAATCCATGGTGCTTTTTCTCCGAGGAAGATGTGCTGCACCACCTTTGGCATGTTACCTTTGAAGGTGTCGAAAAAGAGGGAGCCAAGAGTGAGACCTGTCACATGTTTCTCCTCCTCAAAGTGGTATTTCATACCAATTGGCGATCCACAGCCTGTGCAGAAGAAGCGGTCCGCAAATTTGGAAAGACCCAATGTCTTCAGAGTTGATGTATGCGTGAAATTGAGCGATTTACTCTCGACGTGGTAGAACGGGAGATAGCCAGATCCTGAGACTTGCTGACAGGCTCGGCAGTAGCAGAAGGTGACGTTCGAGGGCTGTTGGGTCGAGGTATATCGGACGCCGCCGCAGCGGCAACCTCCCTCGAGAACGACCTCGTTGCTGGATGAACATGGGATATGTTTCGAGCCATCGGCAGCTTGCAGCCTAGTTAGCAGACATGTACGATTGTGAGGCAGACTTACGCTTGCGAGCAACTCCTAGGAAGACCGAGTCGATCTCCTCCACTTTCCCGTTCACAGCTAATCGCTCCCACTCCTCTTTGTAGAGACCCTGCGCTTTGCGGCGTATATCGTTGTTCGCGAAAGTCCTCGCAACGTCTTTGACGATTACATTCTCAACGAAGAAATCATCCCATTGCTCCAAGTCGTACTGTCGTTTTCCGTACCCAGCTTGACTCTCTATGGTGATGACCTTTTCAACCTCCAGACCGGCTGATTCAAGTACAATCTTCAGAGATCCTTCATTCTGGCTCCACTCCCGGTTGTAAGGTACCTGGAGGTCCAGCCGTCTAGCTACGCGTTCCAATACCATACCCGGTACAAGGTTTCGCGGATGTGTTGAGTCAACTGCAAGAACACCTCCCGGTTTCAGGTATCTAGCCCATTGTTCGATTGCCGCCTTTGGGTCTGGAAACAGCACCAGAGCAGATGCCACGGTGATCACATCGAATTGCTTCCCCTTCACTTCTTCTATGTCTTGCAGTTTCAGAATATCGCCCTGATGGAAATCTACATTGGCGTACCTCCCGGCTTCTTTCTTTTTCTTGAAGTCGGCGACACGAAGCATGCCTGGTGTCACATCGACTCCAGTGACATGACCTGACGGACCTACAATATCAGCCTCGACGAAAGTCAGGAGCCCAGTCCCACAAGCAAGGTCGAGAACATGTCGGCCTGTTTGGATATTGAGTTCTGCAGCGAATCTTTTGGTAAAGTCTGCGTGCCAGGAGTCATCGTAGTTGAAGGACCGCGACTCGTAGAAGAGTACAGCCTTGTCAGCTTGTTCGGATGCCATTTTGGTGAAACTGAAATCTCTGGGTTCTGGCGCGCGTACGTTTGACGAATTCGTTCCAGCTGAATCTTGAAGCACCCTTTTCATTTTCAATATCAAATAAAGTCGTGATGGTGGTTGACGCTTACGATGCTGCTCTGGATGTAGCCACTCACAGCGTTCCACGAGTTATGACGTCAACACCTCGTAGTCGCATGCCTCCTGTGAGGATTCGTGTGCAGTAGAGTTGTCTTGCGGGCGCGTAGAATAAAGTAGACGATGTTTTCAGATGTTGCGTGGAGCGGAGAAGAGGCCGTCCCAAAGAGTAAGGCACTAATGCCCGATGGAGGCAAGCCTGCATCAGCATCGCTCTTTCAGACCTCTATCAGGACATCAGCTGCAAACGACACGCTTGAATAGACACCTTACAACATACGACATGCAACCCTTGTCGCTCCCATCCTGCGCGTTAACGCCGCGGCCGAGGTGTCTCGTTGATAAAAGAGACAATATGACAACTGCGTCATCCATACTCAAGATAACATCTTCGAATCTATGATCGAACAGGTCGTGCACATCGCGAGACTAGCTAAGCAAATCGAGAGGAGATATTCTTTCAAGGTTGATAACACATGCTAAGCGACTCAGCCGGCTGTTGCTGATGTGCACAAACAGAATTCATTGGCAATTGTGCTTCAAGGGTCTTCTAGCAGACCAGCCGCATAAGTTAGCATCGCCCGTTCACCGTTGCAAAGATCCGCTTTAGCAGGGCCGACTCAAGTTGCTGGAACGAATCGAAATGTCCAGTATACGTTAAGTAGCTCCAGGACCTCTTGGTGTACCAATATCTACTGCGATTCAGGTGATCGTGAGGCGGCGATGCCACTAGGTGCTATAAGGAAGAACTCTGGCTATTAGGCCAGCTGCTGCATGATTCTCAAAATCCTGTTGCCGCGGAAGATCAACGCTTGGCATCGAAGTACTGATCATCCTTGAAGAAATTAAAGGCCGATGTGTACGAAATCCCTATGAACCGCAACTAGGAAAGGACTTTGCAACTTTAAAGGATGAATCCACAACGATCGCTACCACTGTAGAATATCAACACCATGTGCTCCTAGCACTAAAATTGCGTATCAATGAAGCCGAAAGTCGCTCGTTCGCGTACAACTCATCGATTTCAAGTAGAATCATGATGGATCCCAGCCCAGAAGGGTCCGTCGTTGAGTCCTTGTTGCATCGAACGGAAGAGTTGCACAAGAATTTGCTCCAGAACTTCAAAGAGATGGAACTTCATCTGAATGACCCAGAAAACGTTATCATTAACTCTGTTGGTCAATCGACAATGAAATGCAACACACGGTATCTCCCGCATGCAGCAAGCACTGATTGGGCGAATTGTCATAGTCACTGTCAGAGTGTTTTCCAATTTCCACCACACTGGCTGGTATTCTAGGCATCGAAACGAGCGATTTACAAAACCTGAGCGAGGCCCAGTGGCTGTTCTGGTACATCGCGACCCCCTTGGCGGTAATCTGCTTGTCGACGTAGCTCATTACCCGGGAACCTCTAAGAAGGCATGGACATGGGGGACGAAACGCAAGAGATCCAAAAAGAAGAAATATAAATGACTACGAGATGCAGACATCGCGCCCGAGCTGCCGTTTTGAGTAGTTGGTATTCAGGTTGTGCATCAGGGCAAACGCGGAACTGTTTCCGCCGGGGCCCGACCCGTCCGCGCGGCGAGATCGGACAGAAGACAACTCGCTTCATGCACTCACCGGCAGGTCCCACTTCTTATCTAGTATTGATCCCATTGATTGCCTCTGCCGTCTGTCAGACTAATTCTAAATAGCGCAACAGCACTACAATGGATCGTATCAAAAGAGCAAAAAGCATGGCCGTCTCAGCTATTATCGGACCATACGTCAACACTTTGAAAGTGAGAATGGCTCTCGATATATCTGCATTTTTGCAACAAGAAAGGATCAGGATTCATCCGTACTACTGCCAAGTGCAAGCTGTGTTCATATATTGAGACGCCCTGGGACCGAATATGCGAGCAGCGCTGGCGAATCAATAGACGCGCTTCACGCGTTTTCGGATCTAAGCCAAATATGGAAGGTCCATGCGAACGCTTTGCGTTTCCTATGCCGCATACGAGACTACCATTCAATCTTACGCGGGGAACGCACGATATGCTAGCCAGACCCATCTTTATCGGTAGCGGAAGTCTTCCTGGGAATGCTTTAAGTAGCATGCCAGCTCCCTCTTCTACAGAGTTTGTTCTTCGAAAATCATTACCAGACTTTTGCTCGACTTCACTTGCTCTTTATTCTCGAGCGTCGCGCTCTCCACGTATCATTGACGTACAGCAGAGTACCACGCTAACTAGCCTTTTTGAATAGAGTCTAGTCTTTGGAACGGTCAGCTCCCCCTTAGGGACCACACCATGGCGCCTCATCCCTTCAAGATCCTCAGCATTGGGGAGACTCGCCTCGCCCGCGATGTCATCCTCTCCCTCCACCCCGATGTCGTTGTGGACTTCCGAGAGATCTTCCTCCAGGAGCCCAACAAGGAGCTCATGAAACAGTATCTTGAGGCCGAACACGCCGCGCAACCCGGACATTCAGCACACTCAAAGCGGCCGCCACGATTGGCGAAGTGCATGTACGATGTCATTGGCTCTGACAAGGTCCCGGAGTACCACGAGTCACTTGTCGACGTTGAGACGAAGAAGAGGGTTAAGCATGAGGTCATTGGGAAGGAGCACCAAGCTTCTCTGACGTTGTGGGAGTTTGAGCATCTTGTGCAGGCTTGCAAAGAGAGCGACGAATTCCAAGCAGCGATTAAGGAATTCCACCTACCGGAGGGCTTCGAGCTTGTCGTTGAGCCTTGGTGAGTTATTCCCTGAGATTGCATTAGGAACGTTGTACTCTCAGCCTCTGTGAAACGACTCTAGATCAACGCATCATACATACGTTGAACGATTGAAACCACTACAACAGAAAAATTACTGACTGATGAGTAGGCCGTATGGTGGACTTGATGCTACCTCCGAGAACAAAAGGTACTTCCAAGGATTGTGCTTCGGGCAGGACACTAGGAACGGCAACCCGGATTCAAATTTCTACGCCTATCCTCTACCGATCATTCCCGTCATGGACGCACATACTCGCAAGATATGCCGTATTGATCGACTGGCTACTGGTGGAAAGGGAGACAGCTTGACGGGCAAGACTCACTCCCCCCGCATCCTCGATCATTGCCAATCCGCTGAGTACGTTCCGGAGCTAGTAGAAGGAGGCACACGAAAGGACATGAAGCCTATCAACATTACTCAGCCGGATGGCACTTCGTTCAAGGTCTCAGATGAGTCTTTCGTCGAATGGCAGAAGTGGAGCTTCCGCCTATCATTCAACCCTCGCGAAGGAGCTGTTCTCCACGACGTGCGATACGAAGGCCGAAGCATCATTTACCGTCTCAGCATTAGCGAGATGAGCGTTCCCTATGCTGATGCACGAGCGCCCTTCCACCGCAAGCAAGCGTTCGATTTTGGCGATGGTGGTGCAGGAAACTGCGCGAACAACCTCTCTTTGGGCTGCGACTGTCTTGGTGTGATTAAGTACTTCGACGCTGTCATTGTTGGCTCAGATGGTGAGCCAAAGGAGCATCCCAACGTCATCTGCCTGCACGAGCAGGACAACGGCATCGGCTGGAAGCACACCAATTGGAGGACGGGCCGAGCAGTTGTCACAAGGCTGCGCGAGCTAGTCGTTCAATTCATCATTACCCTCGCGAACTACGAGTACGTTTTCGCATACAAGTTGGATACTGCGGGTGGGATCACGCTAGAAGTGCGGGCTACAGGTATCGTCTCTACCGTCAATATCGATCCCGGAAAGACATCAGAGTATGGCAACGTTGTTTCGGGTGGGGTGCTCGCGCAGAACCACCAGCACATCTTTGCGGCTCGCCTTGACCCTGCCATCGATGGCCACAACAACACGCTTCTCTACGAAGAATCTCACACTGCCCCATGGGATAAGGAGACAAACCCCAACGGAAACTTTTACGAAATCCGCAAGACGATCGTGAACCGCTCACAAGGTCTTGACGCCGCGCCCGAACACAATCGTACATTCAAAATCATCAACCCGAACAAAAAGAATAAGCTCAGTGGCAACCCAGTCGGTTACAAGTTCCAGCCACCGGCAACACAGAAGCTACTAGCAGCCACTGGCAGTCTGCAATACCAGCGAGCTCTCTTCACACAACATCACGTCTGGGCGACAAAGTACCAAGATGACGAGCTATACGCTGCAGGGCGGTATACGCTGCAGAGTCAGGTGGAGGTTGGCGGCGTACATGACATGGTCAAGCGGAAAGATGATATCACGAACGAGGATCTCGTCCTCTGGAGTGTGTTTGGATTGACGCACAACCCCCGCGTGGAAGACTGGCCGGTCATGCCTTCGGAAATTTTCCAGGTGCATTTCAAGCCTTCGGACTTCTTCGAGAGGAATCCGGCCATTGATGTGCCGTCGTCGAAGAATCAAGCTAGTGTGCTGGCGAAGGACTGCTGCTCTGCCGGTCAGAAGCTATAGATGCGTGGGGTGCGGACAGGTCAAAGAGCAATGAGGTTTGGGCGACGATGTTAAGTTTGGAAATTGTCCGTGTTGTACAGGGCTGAATGATATGATGACGTATGTTGTTCCTACACTTTAGCGTATATCATCCGAATATCAGGATGCGAAAAAATACTTCGCCTATTTTCACTCTGAACCTACGTTGCTTATCTGCATTCCTGGGACATATCCTATTGTATTGCTTGGCACACATAGCCTACTATACTTAGTTCGATTTATGATTTTTAATAGATATCGTGCCGGTCGCGGATCCCATAGCCAGGGACAGGAAAACGGAAACGCCAAATTTCGAAGCGCCCCTGTGGACAATATCGTATGCACAGGCTTCCGTCGAAGACCTCAACGGTGAAGCAATGTTCAGAGGCATGGAAGTTCGAGGGCAAGATTTAGCGTATGCGCATTACCTAGCCGAGAGTGCATCATGTACCTGCATGTAGCACAAACCGTTGAGAATTGAGCACCAAAGCTAGGCCTAATGACACACTTTAATTTAAATTCACTTGCTATGACCTTATCATTTACTCCCCAGACCATCCTTGAATCTTACAAAAAGGTCTAACATGTCGAATGTGGCGAGACCGCAATCTCGCCTTTATCTAAGAGCGACGTCCGTAGATTCTGCCGATCGCTTATCGAGCCCGTCATTCAGCGCCCTACATAGCTCCCTACGTCATTGGCTACAAAGTCCGTGAACAAGAGTCGATATCTTGCTGCAAGATGAATTGCACCAATTCCAGGGTTTAGTGAAGGCCCCACGTGCGTAAATGCGGGGAAGCTTGCCGGCTTGGGAAAGATGGCTTGTGTCCCCCACTCGCGTGATCCAATCTTCGGTCACCATCTCATCAGCGCGTCAACTGCCGGATCATCATTGTGCTCACGATGCATCAGGAGAAACGCTTACCTGATGAGCCGCGGCCGGTTGCCCGAGGTAGTAGGGCGTCGTATATGATCTTTCGGGCTACCGCATTTGCGGAAAGCCAGCTATTAACGGACTTTGTCGCTGCGCGGAAGTCCCATGTCTCGCTCACCCTTCGTTATCGAAGACATCGGAAGTCGTCCACTTCCTGGCTGGGATCTACCTCGCAACATGCATCATGAACATACTCAAAACAGGTCGAAAAAGCACCCAAAAGATGACCGAACGAGACTACCAAATGAAATCCTTATGGATGTTTTCGAAAAACTACTCAACAAACCGTCTGATCTCGTAGCGGCTATGCGCACATGTAAGAGATGGCATCACATCGCTAGTACAGTGCTGTACCAGCACATCTCTCTGGACTCAAAACTTCGAGAGGACACATCAGGTGCACGATTCGGAAGATTCGCTCGACAATACCACCTCATCCAGTCGCTTAGCGTACGCATAACTCAGGTGCATTTGATGGGCTTCAGTGTTCGGTCGACGGATGCTTTCGATCGTCTAGCAGAGTTGTGCGAAGCCGTGCGCAGGATGAAGAACTTACGCACCTTTGCGCTGTCGTTTGAAGAATCGTTGGACTACCTGGAAGGCTTTTCTGTACCCAGCGCTGTCATTGTCTTAATCTTGCAGAGTCTCCCTGCGTCAGTAGTCAATCTCAACCTTGATTGCGACTGCATCAATCGTCCAGACCTCGATCAGCCTCATGTGTGCCATGCTGTGAGTGCTTTGCTACCGCGCCTTAGGAGCTTGAGGCTGCGCATCTCTCATCTTTGTTCTGGATTACTGTCGAGCCTTTTCCCAGCAGCGACACTCGACCACGAACACCCGAGCAGGCCTCCAAAGTCAAAGAAGCCGCTGAACAGAACATCTCGATTGGAGTATCTCGTCATTAGACTCATCGCACGTCCAGAGTGCGCCCACCTGGCCCACACCGCTCTCTGCTCTTCCAGCGACAAACTTCTCCACGGCGCGAAACTCGCAAGAACACTTCAGGAACTATACAACGTCGGAGCATTCCCATCGCTCTGCGAGTTCGTCGTCATCGGTCGCGTCAACGCGCCATCGACCCTGCAAAACGACAACTGGAACGTCTTCAAGGTCCGCACTTTCGCCCGCGGCATTTCGGAGACGATCACGCTACCCTGGTGCGCAAGAGGAGGCTCAAGCTCCTTGTACATGATCCGCGATTGCGACGGCGACTGGTTCGGCTCCTTCGCCAACATTTCCAATTCACTGGAAGGGCCGCTCGCGTGGACAAAGACCGGAATAAAAGCTACGCGGTATTTGAAGCCGTATGAACGGAGCAACGATTGGGGGCTCGATCGTACGAAGCTGGCGCCACGAGACTCGGTCATAAAAAAGTTTGGGGTGTCCTTTAGGCTTTGGAAACATGAAGATGCAACGCGAGCGAAGTTGCTGAGCGCTCGTAAGGTTTCTGGATTCAGGGATACCGAAGTCGCGAGCCAGATTGTGCCAGATGGGTGGAGGTGGGTCATCGCGGAGGGCCCCTGGAACTGGACTATTGAGCCGATGACTGCGTACTAAGTCATTACTGAAGGGATATCCTTTTCGAAGATCATGCCCCGTTCGAGGCCACTGCGCCACGCAAAGGAGCTGAGCGAAGAAGTTGACGGCGGTAGGCCAATGCCGAATATTGGAAACCAGCATAACATCAGTGAGATAAAGGTCTCGAGACCTAGAGTTGCCCCACGATGAGCAATCCCAAAGCCGACAGAACTTGGAGAACGATGGTGAATGTGGCCGATCTGAATATTCATAAGGCTGATACGTCTGATGCACCAGCAATAGCGACTACGCAAAGATATATCCCTGTGATGGAAGTTATCGATGAGGAGTCACGTACACTATACATTCAGAGGTAAGAAAACTCCTTCTATGTCGCTAGAATCTATCTGACCACCTCAGAACGAATAAAGCCAAGTTAGGGCCGTAGAAGAACAACTTCCACGAATTCGGACCCAGCTCTTTTAAATAATGAATTACATAGGGGATCAGAAACTGTCAAAAACATCTCCACGATGTTCAGGCACATTTCGATTACATCAATGTCAATCAGAACTGGCCGGACATTTGACAGGCACACCACGATGACTCTCAATGTTGATGAAACCCAATTTTGCGATGCTCATGATTTCTTCCTTGTCGCACAGTCTACTCGCCTGCTGGCTGACAGATTTGTACACCAGTTTTTGCCTTCCGATGCATCACTATCACACTCAAACACAGATCTACGGCCGGTCTATTACTTGCTTTGATCAAGGCCATCAGTCGCCCTGAGTAGAAATACTGCGGGAGGCGCTCAGCTGTCTTACCTTTACCCTAATAAGGCATCTGACCAGGTTATCGAGCAGAAGTTATGGTGCGTAGTGTCACATTCTCCCTCACTTAAGGTCCTGGAACATCTCATTCGTACTTACCTCTACCCTAAACAGTTTGATCTTCATGAACTAATAACTGACAGCCGTTCTACATCTGACGGGACATTGTGTCTTTAGACGTCATGACAAAACGGCAAGCTTCGCCACTGTCTACAGAGGCATGTAAGCGACGACCCGCGACAAGCGTGTCAAAAGCCTCCACTACATCTTCAAGTTCCCCCTCCCTCAAAGAAAGCGAGCGGTCGGCTAGCTCAACGTCTAAGCCAGCGGCTTCATCACATTCCGGACCGTCGAGCTCGTCCAGTGAGCTCTCCACACCGTCAACAACGCAAGAAAGTGTTTCTCCGAAAACTATCTCAAAGCCACCAACTCCAAAGACAGCGTTACCGGGACTCACTCACTTGAACGTCTACAAGCAGTCAAGGGTTACTTCAGATCGTTCACACTCAGCAGTCGCCACGGACATTGGACTCCCAAGTTCCCAGACATGTACACCATCACATGATGGCACTGTGGTAGGTGCAATGCCAATAAGCTGTCGGCACCGACTGACAGAACAGATCTTACCGTCACCACTAAGTACAGGCACCCTCGTCCGATACCAACCACCGGACAATTTCCCCGTCTTCAAGAGTGGAGACGTCATCATCACCTACGACCTAGGTGCTTCGTCCCGGGAGTTTCAGCTACACAGCTCCGTGCTCTGTCGACACTCTCCGTTTTTCGCCAACGCACTGCAGGATGCTTCACCCGACGATACCAAAGCTTCTTGGTACTCCTTTGCCATTGAAGTAATCAACGGTAAAGGCAGATTAATCCGCCAACAGTCTAACGGTGACCGCCCCAATGTTCCGCAGCCCAGTCCCCAGATCATCGATGGTGTCGAGATCAAATCCGAAGACCTGTCCGATGATGGAAACTCACCCGGTCCTAAGCCCTCCTACACCAACGTAGTGGCGATCACTCATAACCCTCGCCATTTGGCTGCAATTGCATGCTACACCCAAATACTCGGCTCATTCTATAATATCCCACCTAAAATATCCACTATCGACATCAGCATCGCTCTGGCCCAGTCAGAAGGGCTCATCAAGGTAGCCACCGAGCTGGGCTGCGTCCACGTCTTACGAGCGCACTTGAGTAGCATGTATGCAAGCTATCGTCAGAAGGTATATCTCGCCGTCAAGTCCGACCCCCCTCGCTGGATCCAGCTCGCCATAGCCCTCGAAAACCGAGCCATCTACGACGAATGCTTAATCCATATGGTCGGCGCACATCCCAAATGGCCCTGGCCCACTTCCCGCAAGTTTGTTGCAGAGCCCGTCCAACACCTCGTGAAGCAGAAGGCACTAGAGCTCGATAGACTGCGTCTTGAAGTCGAGCATGAATTGCTACTCATCACCATCCACATTGGCGACCCCCTCCGCCGCCATATTCGCGCGCCGAACCCAGCGGAGACGGCCGAAGTCGAAACCTGGCTCACCGTGCAAGTCTTCCGCGACGAGCTCGCCCAGCACATTTCGAACGTGACGGAGCACCCTGAGCGGACGCTGCATCTAGGGAGGCTATATCGCGGAATACACAAGGGAAACTTGAAGTGGCTGAGCACGGAGTATGCAAGGGAGCTGATCGAGGGAATGATGACGATGGGGTGGAAGGATTTGGGTGAGGACATGGGCAAGTTGAAGGAGTACGCGGCGAGGGTTGTGGAGAAGTTGGCGGACAACCAATTGATGATCGATCCAGACGCACACAGTGTTGGCTACTTGACTTGCGTGAAAGTCAGAGACGACGATGTTCTGTGGGAGGCGGGCGATGTATAGGGTGTTCTGGGGTAACACGGCACATGATGAGAGGCAGGGCGTTCAATGTGTTTTCTGCGTGCTCCAGACAGTTCTGACTTTTTTGTGCAGTTATGGGACGAGAAGGGCGCTCCGGTTCTTTTTCGTCACTACTCAATCGATTTCATGTGTGTGTATATTAAAGAATATAATGATTGCAAAACGGGTATCAATCTCGAACCAAAGGGAAAACTCTCGAACTATCTGCGCGAAGTCGAACCGAAACCGGTGCTCTCGTGTCTCGTGGATGAGTAGGTCGACGAACCAGACGATGACCGCGAGCTTCCTTCGCCATTGTTCCACCCACTGTTACCCCAACCCGAGCCAGAGGCCTGATTAGTCCTGCTCTGTCCAGCTCTACCTGCAGCATATGCCGCAGCCGCTCCGCCGAACGCACCGGACCAGAAGCCAGGCCTCCAGCTCTCCTGATTTGTACTCCCATATGACCGCTTGGGGTTCTGTCCCTGTCCAGGACGCCAATCGTACGGCGGGGGCGGATCGTCATCGTTCCCACCATATCCTCCCCATCCACCACCTCCACCGCCGCCCCAACCCGGACGATTGCCACCGAGACCAGCCCCAGCGCCACCTTGTCTCGTCGCCCAATTCCTTACCGCGTTGTACACAATCCATGCCGCGACGCCAATGAAAATTATCCAGAACACGGATGCAACAACCTTATCACCCGTACTTTTCTCGTGCTCTCCCGCATCATCATCTCCGCCTCCAAACCACGGCTTTTTGTGTCCATGCTTCTCCTCGCCTTTATCTGTCAAGACCAGTCTGTATTCCACTCCGCAACTGCCCTTCAGTATGAATGGATCTTCAGGGTAATCGTATCCTTCGCATATCACGTCCGTCGAGCCCAGTTTGAATTCCTCGGGAAGGGAAGCGGTGCATGTCCACTGGATAGCCTCGTCGTCGTAATCTGCGCCGCTGTTTTTACAGCGCATTACATCGACCTCATATAGGCCGCGCGCAGAGCCGCCGATGCATTTTAGCTGGGGTATAGCAGAGACGCGGCGGTGGGAGGTCTGCTGGTCTTTGCGGAGAGTGAGACTCTGTATCTTGGAGAGCTTGACTTTATCGGAGCGTAAGGCGGAGGCGGGTTCGAGGAGCGTGGAGGCGGCCAGCAGTGCCGTGGAGAGGAAGTTGAGCGGGCGCATTGTGACTTGAGTGCTTCGAAAGTGAGAGAATCGAGAAAGTCGCAGATGATGTTTGTCTATAAAGCCATGTGTGGCGACACGCGTAAAGGACACGGTGTGCGTGTCGAGCAGCGCAAGGTTACAGTTTGTGAAGATGGCGAACTGTTGAAATGGGCGGCTTGGCGTTCGTCATTGGTGGGAGATCTGTAACTTACAGCATTTTGAAGTTAGCGTAGAATATGTTACGGCATCGCGTGAACGTGTGCACATGTGCAGGTCGTCCCTTGACGGACGCTAATTTACATCAACACCAACAATGAAACAGCGAAGGACGTACCTGGTGGAGGACCCAGATACATTCACGCCAGAACAGCTTGAAGTTATTGATGGATCACTCTCGCTGAAAGGCCTCGAAGCCGTAGAGGAACACCGCGTTACCTTCAACGTAGACGAGCTTCCTGAAGAGGTACTGCACCTATCACGTTCATATTTGTCACAAGTACACCAACTAAAGTCTTATAGATTCGCAAGTTCCTCGAGCAATGGCAGGAACTACATATCAAATGGGCCTCTTTGAAGCCCTACACCGCCATCCCACCCTTCTCATCACGTGTCACACCAGGCCTACACATTTTCTATGAGCCGCGCAAGACGCAACCCAAAGTACAGCTTTGCGACCTTTTGCGATCGGTCTTCGATCCAGAAAACGAATGTTCGTTTGATTTAGATGCAGAAGAGATAGCAACACCCGTTTTCCATGCGACAGAGGATCCGGAACCAGACGCCTACCTGCAGTACTACTCCTATCTTACGACAATAAACCAGCTCGTCTCTTTGATCGAAAAAAAGCTTTTGTCCGAAGTCTTCAGATCCAGAAACTTGCATAGAGTATGCAGACTCGCTCCTTGGGGCCTCCTACTTCGACATGGACTTCTCCTCGTCTTCTTCCATCCTAATCCTGACAGCCTTCTTCGACTTCCCTCCCCATGGCTGGACAAAACACATCCCCGCCCCAAGCCACGGGCATACGACCGAAGTCGGCGTCCTAACCCATGAGCCCAATCCCGACCCCGAAGATATCGCTTTCGGCGGCTTCCTCACCGTCCTAGGCCCAGACGCGGCACCCAAGCCTACGCGTTTCCAAACGGCCACACGACACTACCCTCTCTCTTCCCCCCCTAACATACACATCGCGCTTCGCGCACCCCACAGGCTTGCATCCCACATTGGAACTCAGCTTCCCCTCCGCTCAGCTTATCCCGCCAGATGAAACCTGCAAATTACATACACATCTGACGCTGCCCTCCTACCTATTCATCGATAAATACCAATTCAACGACCCTCTTTTCCTCTCCTCACACCTCCTGACCTCCCTGCTTCACGTCACAGGCGCCACGGACCTGGAAGCACCAGACTGGGTCGTTCCGCAATGGGGCAGCACTGCGCTCTTCCAACTCGCCTACCCAATAGAACATTTAGAAGGTTTGAAAGAACGAGACTGGACAGTCACTATACCCCTGCACCTCCGGTACTTCCCCGCCACCTCTTCCTCGCACACACGTGTCCCTGTCCCCTGGCCCGTCGTCTTCTGGGCCTGCGATGCCGAGCAAGACGGCTCTGGGAACCCTTTCGACCGCAAGAACCTGGGCTATGATAGTGCATTTGGAGAGGGAAAGAGATTCATGCATGTACCGCCAAAGAAGAGCGGGAATGGGACGGGGAAGCTGGTGAGTTGGATTGATGTGCCGGTGCTGGACACTAGGGCGGCGGACTGGGTAGAGATGGGGACGATTGGAGTTGTTATTATCGCGTTCTTGGGATTGTGCTGGGTGTTGTTTGGGGGTGGGCGTGGAGGACGTGGTCAAGGAATAGAGGAGAAGAAGTTGAAGAAGAAGCAGTAGAGTGGCGAGTAGTCTGAAGAGAGTACATTTAGATCACGTGTTCTAGAAAGGATATAGCCTCTTGCCGGAGAGCAATGCACTTTTGTAACACGAACCAGCCTGTTTTGAGCGGTAATGGCAACGACTATTTGTCACGATAACATGTAGGCGTTGCTTCAAAGCTATTGACCGTCAGCATGCATACGTGAACTGATCTACCAGCCATATTGCCCTGCTAGGACTCAAAGTGCCTTTGATTGTCCTTAGTAGGATAAACAGGTACTATCAATCATGATTTGATGCTGCAGTCGACGCTTCTCGCGACGATGTACGCTACGTCGCCATTCCATTTCGTGCATGCTCGCTAATGATGTGGGTATCTCCCATAACCATATACTCCATTTAGATACCCCAAAGAGAATCAAAAAACTCCTCAGAGTTGACTTGCAACCAACGCCCTGAGTACCGAATCCGAATCCGAGACAATCGCAAGCTTATCCGTTTCTCGATTAGTGAGACAGTACCTGCACCCATTAGCGATCCCTTCAAGCGAGCACGATTGGCGCATCGACCGGCAGAGGAGCAATCGGTGGCACAGGATTGTTCACGAAGATGGGATGGAGCGCATACACTGGTCCCGAGCTATCCTCTCCGTCGAACAGCATGAGGTTCTGGATGGGCTGTTCTCGTTTGCCAAGAACATTGATGACATCCTGAGCCAGCTGTCCGCCGAGGTATGCTGTGACCGGTGCGATTTCGCTGCCGAGGTTGTGTAGAAAGCTCTTCAAAAAGTCACCCGTAAGGGTCTGAGGCGGGAGGGTGAGCTCCTTGTGTCTGTCCATGGCGGAGGCGGAGAAAGCCGCCAGCTCGGCCAGACTGCGAGTTGGATTGCCGTTGCCTTGTCGCTCCCACTCCCAGAGCGTGCGAACACAGGTCAACAGAGGATGCACCTTCTTCAGCTTGCGAGTATTTCCCTGCAGCTCTGGCGCAAGGGGCGAGGTGTTGGAAAGTAGCAGAGGCGTATATAGCTCGCGCTTTGTGACCAGCTCAACGTTCTTCGCGTTCTCCTTCTTGAACTGGACACCAATTATGGATCGCGTCGCAGATTCCGCTTTGAGCTCCGTCTTCCTAGACACCTCCCTCTCAATTACGAATTCATGACATCCTAAGTCTGCGAAGATATATCCGTACATGCCATGGCTGCCTCCTGCGTAGAATGGGCGGTTCACGATCCTAGCGCAGCCATTGATATTGGTAAGCGCAATGAAGTCGAGGTCGGTAGCAATGATCATGTCGAAAGGCGTAAAGAAGCCAGTGTCCGTCTCTTTCGAAACATCACAGGTGACCACATTGACCTTGACGCGGGGATTGAGTTTCTGGACTTTGGGAGCCGCGGCTTCGGCGCGCTGAGCAGTGTTAGAACTAGTCACCGTGTACAGCTGGGCGCTCTTACATTTTTGCCAATGTCGGTCTCACTGATGAAGAACTGTGCACTTAAGTCCTCCTCAGTGATGATTTCATGGTCGGCAAGTGTGATTGAGCCAATGCCTGCCAGCACCAAGTTCTTCGCGATCTCGTTGGCGAGGGCCTTGACGGACACGAGCAGAATGTTCGCATTGCGAATCCTGTTCTGGGCTTCAAGGCCCCAGAGGCGAATCTGGCGGTCGTAGAGTGCGATCTCGTCTGCGGACACGGTTTCGGCCTGAGCAATGGCCGCAACAAGCTCACCTGCGGCATCAGGAGCAGGGAAGGTGCCTTCGCCGTTTGTCGCAGGCAGCGGAACTACTGGTGCAGCGGGCTCGGCCATATTGTCGAGTTCAGCGAGGCGTGTGGACTGCGGTAAGGGAATGGGATCTTGGGGGCGGCGAGTAGGAGCGCAGGCGTCGCGTCTGAGGAAGGCACGAAGTTGCAATTGGCTGTCGCGGCGAGGAAAGAGCTCCGGGAGTGAGAGAGCAGAGCCGCAAGCTAGATGACGCACGGACGGGCCGATGTGGGGTGCGCCTGCCGATGTCACCTACTTCGTAACGGACCGACAATACCCCTTCCAACTCAACTCCCTCGCCGACCGAGTGCACGACACCATCCATGCCGAGAACACAGCCAGACTCTCCGTCTCCGCCGCCCCCACCCGCCGAACTTGCTTTTGCTACGGGCGGCTTTGATTTTCCGCAAGCCTCAGCCTCCCCGCCGCCCACTGTTCCACCACGGACGTCACCTCGCTCGCGAGTGAACCAGCTTGCAGAATTCCTGAACCAACACCACCAACAAGTCGCCACGGATGACGACGATCAAGCGCCGCAAAGACGGCCACAAACAGCAAGAATTGTAGGCTCTCGTCGCCGGCCAGCTGCTCGCCCCGCTCGGATACCCCGTCACGCCGAGCGTGAGCCTGATGGGCCCAACATGCAGCGCAGCAGTACGTGATGACTGGCTACAACGAAGAGTTTTTAGCTGGCGCATGCAATTTGAAATAGAGATTGCATGCCAGACTGAGTCTACATCGAACATGACTGACTGGACTTCCATTAGGCATTGGTCGACCAAGTGCTCCACCAAGTGAGCGCTACCTTCGTCGCGCCCACCCGCGTGTGAGAGACGTACGCTCCGTCATCGAAGACCCCGCTACTGACGTGCTGGACTCTCTGAGCGACCTCCCGCTAAATTCGTTCCACGCCTCCCGTCGAGAGCGCAGTCCGCCAAGCGGTCTTGACAGCCAACCCAGACGGACAAAGAGGAGGAAACTCGATCATCCCGCTAAGCCAGCCTCCGAATACGATGGATTCAAATATGGCTACAAGGGACAGGTCGCTCGTGGACGACTCCGAATGGAGGTAGTCAGCTGCGACGGTGGCGAATACGACAGGGATAGCTCTCTCTATAAGGTCCAAAACGTATTGAGCAACGATAAGAGCGTGTACTGCAGCCAGAGCGGGAGGTGCAACCTCCTACTAAAGCACATCGGCGAATTGCCCTTTTGTCTGGAAAAGATTGTAATCCGCGCGCCAGATCGAGGGTTCACTGCCCCGGTACAGGAAGGACTAGTGTTTGTATCTATGTCTCCAGATAAACTGCTCTCTGGGACCTCGGCCTACGAAATTGAATACAATCCGCACGACACCTTCATCTCGCCGCCGTCCCCCACTCCAAGCCTGCCGAGAGGTGAGGAAGAGGAGCTAATTTCGTTCCATGAAGCGATCCTGGATGAGGCAGTTTGGGAGCGGTCTCGCCAGGCTCTAGCAGAGAGGGTCTCGAGCATGAGACTTCGCAGTCAGCGTCCAAGAACACCAGGTCCATCACGGGTACCACGGCACCAACGGGATGATCAACTCAGTGTTGAGGATGAGGATGAAGTTATCAATGAATGTCCTTATCACATCGAAGAGGGTGACTCTAACGCTGCAGGCATCTCTGCACCAACACCACCGCCTTTCACGACCACGATGGAGAGTGAGCCTGAAGATTCAGAAGAGAGCGAAGCATTACCTTCCGCTGCCATAATGGCAGACCGACTTCGGCGTGAAAGTCGCTACCGTTCTGAAGGTGAGGACGATGACGACCGCGAGGACTTGATCCAACATCCGCTCGCCACCCTGCGGCGCGCGGAACCACTAGGATCTCCCCGTCTTCGCAGCTTCCATGAGCAGGCTCAGAGGTGGAGGAATCTGCAAAACAATAACAACATCGATCCAATAAGGGCCACACGTCTTCACACCCCAAGTCGTATCGGACCCAAGCACAATCGGCCAGAGTCAAAGGATATACTCCAGCCTCATGCCCGCTTCTTCATTGCACGCCACAAGAACAAAATCACTATCAAATTTCATCCTGCCATGTAAGGTCAACTCACTTTCTCTTCGATAATTTCACTGACACCTACTAGCTCAGGAAAGCACGTCCTATTAAAGTTATGGAGTCCAACGCAGGACGGTAATATCGACATCGAGAGCGTACAATTCTACGGATACTCGGGGCCACGGTTTTTCCCAGCGATTCAACCACGCTAGGGCGAGTTGTTCATTTACAGTCCGACACAGTCTTTCCATATCAAGGTACCGGTCGAGACGGTTTATGAATTGATTGAAGGATGTATGGCTATTCCAGGACCTTGACGGGAGCAACGTGAGCTATGATCACAACTGTAATGTGGCATTATTGGCTGAGGCATTCCGCTAGCTGCATGGTGGCAATGATACCCATGCGTCCACTTTCACGGTCCCGCTTCCCCGATCCACTTCTCGTAGGCTAAGCTCGACGTTTTTTCCTATTCAGTCCAGCCTACATGCATACAGACTCACCGTCAATTTCGGATAACAATGCCGTCCAGACATTTTCGAGCTCTTCAGCTCAGAACTGTTCTCAACCAACAGCTGGCGCCACAGTCTTAATATCTCCCCAGCGCCTCACTCCCTACACCGTTCACCGTTCAACGCGCGAAACCGCTTCCCCGTCCCGCTCTCTGCACCGACAGACATCCCTGGGAACGTTACACTGCTTACTCCGCACATGAATCTGCCGCCTCCGCGCTCACCGTTCGGTCATGTAGTGCGAAGATAAACGATTTTGATCGGTGGGAAAAGTTCGTGGCGTGGGATGCATGCTGGGTGTAGCGAACCATGCGAGACCCGATGAAGTCATCAGCAAGGGCCAAGACGAGGCTTGCCACCGTTTCACAGCATGCTCTGACAACCTCGACATTCTGTCAATAGTTCGTGATGCTGCACGCTGGAAGGACAGCCTGGTAGCCTAAATGTTGGATCTCATGCGTGCACCAGACGCACAACACTCCCGTTTTACTGCAGGGCGCCGTGAACGGAAGCCCCACCATGGCGTTATACAGCATCACGAACGTACCTTATTCTGTATATGCATGTTCCGAGCTTTCTGACACTTGCATAATGGAGTTGTTTTGGACACAACAGGGTCACTTTGCGAGGGTGAGGCTGGGATCCCTGGTACTCGGTTACACCAGGCGGTTATTTTCGAGCACGGGTGTCAGCGCCATCTGGCAGAGATCTAGATGCAGTCTTCCGAACGCAATGCAGTCTAGATGCGGATCTAGATTGTTGATAGCTTGGGTACGCTGCACCAGGGCGAGAGGTGTTCGTCATGCTCTACAGCTCGCGCGTGAGATTGTGAGAGTCAGCAAGAGAGCTTCCAGCGTGGAGCTACTGTTGATCTTCTGTAATACTATCGAGCGCTTCTATTCACAGCTTCACCACAGAGATAGACGCCAGATGCAACCACCGTGTCCGACCGTTCTACACGCCCAACACCCCAAGCGAATTGATTGAAGCGGTTCACTCCAATCATTCCCGACTCCGGTACGGTCAGGCGTCCCATCGACCTCGTTTACGCGTTCGTGTTCTCATCACCTATTTCCGTATCCAATGTTCTTTTGCTTTTTTTCGCCAGCACACACAATCCTCCCCACTCTCAGCGCTACAAGCGTCAAACCCCACATTCTACGCAGGTGCCAAGCCGGCGGCTAAGCTGCGTCCAGCCTCGCGCCGATGCGGCCGCCAAGCGATCCACAAGCTCGAAATGAAGTCCTGCGTCGAGTAATGGTTCTATAGATGCTGTATGACAGGACAGGGTCTCCTGCGAGAGCGGTCATGGATCCAGGGTGCGGCAGCGGAGGAGGGTCCGACTGGTGACGGTGGAGGGAACTGCAGGACGTTGGAGGGCATGAAATGAGGGTGTACTGCGCGATGTATGCACATGCGCATCCGTGTGATGTGCATACGGTTGGTTGGGAGTCGACGGTATTGGGACAGCAAAATCTAGAACGTAGGCTGTAGGGTGACCTTTTTCTGGGTGTTGTGTGTGTCTCGGTTAGGGAAACGGGAGAGGACAACGGCTGACGTTGGTGGCGGTAAATGAATGGGTATTTGGTGTACGCATGTGGGAGGGCAAGGCTGCAGCAGGTACGGTGTCCATATCTGGACGCAGGTATGATGGTCGCTATTGAGGACGGCGTTGAGAATAGCAACCGTGCTCAAAGGGAATGCATGGTCATGTCTTCATATCGTAGTCTGTGGTCTTGATATCAGAAGAGGGCTCAATCGCGACGAGAGCAATGCACCTGTCTTGGAAAGATATGGTCGAGATCAAACATACTACAACCGTCGTGATGGGCACATATTTGATTTTCCCTCATCGCCCAACTAGTATACAGTATCTCAAACCTAGAACGTGGGTATCATGACCGCTTTTGCGAAAAACCTGCAAACTATGCACCCACAGTTCCCAAAACGCCGCGCTATGCAGATAGTTGACAAAAACCAACAGTGAAAGTGTCCCCCGCCCTTATCAGGTATACACATATAAACACGAATCTTGCGCCCATACTGAAGGGAGTCCTAGTCAGACAGCTCAATAGCATCGTTTTCCGTACCTCCAGGCTGCTGCGCACACTCCGTACCCTCTTCCTCCTCTTCTTCTCCAGAGTACTCCTCTCCTTCGTCTTCGGAGTAATACTCCTCCTCTTCCTCAATCTGCTCTTCCCCTTCCTCGTCAAACTCTTCATGTTCGTCATACTCGGCCCCGCCCTCATCCTCCCCATCAGCATCATCTTGGATATCAATTGCGCCCTCGGCCTCATTTTCGAACGACTGCTGTTGCTGTGTGGGATAGTACGACTGCTGCGTCGGGATCGGCGACGACAAAAAATTCGGGGGATTGGGGACATCCTTGAATTGGACGACATCAGGCGACGCCTGACTACTTGCCGGCGATCGCCCCGAGAACTGCGCACGATACGCCCTTATAGCCTCCGGCTGCCCGTACAGATGCTGCGGCACAAAGCGGCTCTGACGCGCCCAGTAAGCTGGTTTGTCGCTTGAAAATGGTGTGCCGGTGCTGTGTGCGAAGCCAACGTCTGGTGTTGACTGGCGCGAGGCAAAGGGTGGTGGCTGGGCGAGTGTCTCGCGGGCACGTTGGATAATTTGGTTAGTAGTGGAGGCGTTGAAGCGGCTCGTGGTTGATGCATTGAAGGTAGACATGCGCACGCTGTTGAAGTCGACGGAGCGAGAGGGTGTGTGGCCCGAGCTGTGGCCGTTCTTAGACATGGATTCTTTGATTGCGCGGAAGCGGGCGATGCGCTCTTCGTCAGTGGAGGGAGGGGGAGGGATTTTGCGGACAATTGTCGTTGGTTGCTGGGCTGTGGACGAGGTGGAAGTGCGGGCGCGCTTGTTGTCTGCTTTGGGAACGTCTTCTTCGTCGGACGAGTCGAGGTTGCGTTTCCGAAGCTTGTTCGGGTCGATCCCAGAGGCTCGCAATCTGAAGTAGTCTGTCTCTGTCCGATCGACGGTTCCTCGCCTTTCGTTGAGATGTGCCCGAGCTTCGTGGTAGGACTGTGAAAAAGCGCGAGTCGACTGGGTAAAAGCTTCGCCATTCCGCCGAGCTGGTTGTGAGGTTTGCTGGCTGGTTCGCTGGCTTTGTGTACGTCTAGGAGCACCGCTGCTGAGGCCGTTGGCGCGGGCAGCAACAGGCCGGTCAACAGGGGCCATGCTTTCAACGGCTCGTAGGTCTGAAGCTGGTGGACTAGCTGCTGAGCTCGCTGCCGAGCTTTTTGCAGCTTCAATCTCAGCCTTCAATTTCCGCCGACGTTCTCGAAGATGACGTGCCTCAGCCAGCCGTCTCTTCTTGTGCACATGCTGCGCCCATCGGTAGAAAGCGGCTCGAGCAAGGTTTAGACGTTTCCGTTGCCACATCTCATCGGCCATCGCGTCATCCTGCGCCTGCCGTTCCTTCCGAAGCGCTGCTTTCGTATCTTTAACCAAGGCTTCCACCATGTTCGCAAGGTATTGCTTCATTAAGCCCTCCCTCGGATCCTCCAACAAGTTGAAAGTAAGCGTTGTGAGTGCTTGCCTCCGTTGTTCCTCTGCTTGCCGTGCCTCTTCTTGCTGAGCCCGAAGCTGTTCCCTCTCTTTCTCTTCTTGAAGTCGTCTTTGCTCTTCGGCTGCGCGTGCTTTCGCCTGCTCCTCCTGGATTTTCCGCTGTTGCTCCTCCTCAGCCCGCTGCCGTCGTTCCTCCGCAGCCCGTCGTTGTTCTTCCTGTACTCTGCGTTGCTCTTTTTCTCGGGCCTTGCGTTGTTCCTCCTCGAATGCTTTACGTTTTTCGTCTTCACTAGGCGGCGAAATGGATGTCCCGGCAGGCCCCGAAAAGGCCAGTCCTGCGGTGGGTGTGCCGGACCGGATTGGCGCAGCCGATGGAGCACCGGATGTTGCCAACCCAGTGAACCCATTAGTCGGAGCCGAGGATGTTGCGGGTTCATTGGAAGTGTTCGCAAAATCCGGCAGCTTGAATCTAGCAAAGGCATTTGAAGGCGCTGATGAGGTCGAGAATATGGATGTGGCAGGCACAGAAGTCTCTGCACCATGTGCGGTTGTACGTGCACCAAGACCTCTCTGACCTGCCGGAAATCCAAAAGGATTCGCGTTTGCAGATGGTAAGAAGGCATTCGCTTTTGCAGATAAACCTGAAGATGCAGTGGTTGCAGGCACTGGAAACCCGCTCGAAGATGTTGGAGATCCGGATGTTGGTGCTGTTACTTGGCCACTCCCGTTGAGTTTGGTTGCGGCGGCAGCGAAAGGATTCGCTGGCGCAGATGCCGATGAAGGCGCATCGTTGGGCGGCGTAGCGAATTTGACGCTGTTCTTCTTTGCATCGAACAGGCCAGGCTGAATGCTAGACGAAAAGAGCTTAGAAGGCTGTGTAGACGAATGCGCAGCAGCAGCTAGTGCAAATGGGTTTGAGGGGTTCGGAGGGGCAAATGAGTCTGGGACGAACAATGAATCCTCATCGTTTTCGGAGATCGGCTCTAGCAAACCTTTAGATTGTGCCTCCAACATGTTGTAGCCGAGCAGAACTGCGGCCAGATTACGACCGCCCCGTTTGAACTCAACATACTTCTGCGAGAAAAAGTGTTTCTTTCCAAACGGATCCTTTCGCATCGTGATGGTTTCCGGTCGCAGATATGTAACGCCTTGGGGATTGATCTCGAATTCGCCGCCGTAGGCTTGGCAGAATGTGCGAACTTGCTCCTCACCATCGAAGCCCAATAGTTCGGCAAGCTTTTCCAAGGTCCAGTCGTCAACCTTTTGTTTGTGCACCATGTAGGCTTTGACCATTGCTTCTAGAGTATCTGATCGAACAGACATGAAACGGGTAGCAGCCGCACAGGCCATAAGGTACGAAACCTGGCTCGACCTGACAAGTCTCCAGAAAGTGGCGAAGTTCTTTGTGTCGTGGGCAGCTCGGACAAGAAACTGCGCGGTCCGAACACGAGGATGCCGACGGACCTCTTCGCGATGTTCGCGCTCTTTCAGACCGAGAATGATGTTGTACGCGTGGATCTCGGCAACGCGCGATGCTTCGAGCGGAGACGGTGTCACTCCATCTTCGGGCACATACACCTTTATCTTGTCCCAGAGCTGTGTAATTTGATAGCAAGAGGCCGAGAGCTGTTCCCAATCAGTATGTCGGTCGTAGTCACCTGACTTGCTCTTCGCCATCTGATGCATGCTGAGCAAATGGAAGCGTATGCACATCTCATAACATCCAAGAAATGGTTCGGTGTCTTCTCGTCTGCGGTAGTTCTTGTTTATTTCCACTCGCACAGCCCGCGACCGATCCCATATCCACCCGTTGAGGAATTCAAACGAGTCTCCTTTTAATCGTTCGATCATGGTTGTCATGGATTTCTGAACCGTATTAGCCCGGATCGGTCAAGACTTTGCAAGCGACCTACATGTAGGGCCGCTGGAGTGCGAAGATCGCTCATGAGGGTAAGATCTTCTCCAGCAGATGACCGGTGATGTGCCGCGATCATGCGCGCTTCGTCGATGATCCGTTGATTGCGAGGGCCATGGGCTGTGTCCTCCGTATATTCGGGGCCGGCCACATCGTTTTGGACGATTCGTCGCACTCTTTCCAGTTCCGGACACATATCTTCGCAAAGACCGTGCTTGTCAACGCTCGACTTCATGTCCATCTGTCCGTCAGGATCCAGTTGGCCTTTGGCGATCTGCTCTCGCTTCTTGAACGCTTGCGCATGTTTGAGCTATGGCCGTTAGCATAGATTGCCGACGGGGAAGGGTTCGCTTTACATATGCATATCGTTTTTCATATTGGCGCAGTCCGTAAGGTGTGGAGTTTAAGGGGTCCCCGCTCTCCTGCGCGTGCTTGGGGGAATATGGGATTCCGTCGTAGCCATCGTGCTCAGGTGTTGCCCTGTGAAGATGATTAGAATTCATAGCGGGGTGAGCCAATGACCTCCTCCTTGTCCTTCAGGTGCGGTATCGCATTACCAGTTGCTCCTCCATCGTCTTCCGCACCAGCGTCGCGCGCAACTTTGGCCCACCCCGCCGCTTGATGTGATCTTACAACAAGGCGTGAGAGCTTACTCTTGTACATTCCTTTTCCCGCCTGCATTGTTACCCCTTCCTCGGCCTCGTATGCCTGCGCTGCTGTTGTTTCCGCGACCGTTGCCTCGTCTGGCGACAGTGCCTCCCGTGAGCGCGTCCAACCCATTCGTTTGATTCGGCGTTCGTCCTTCATTACTCGGTGATCCGCGACCTCGATTTACGCCTCGGAATCCACCGCTACCTCGACCTCGGCCGCGACCTCCAGTCATTGTCGCAAGGTCGTGTTTTCAATTGCTCATGCGCGGATGGTGTGCGTAACGCGAGGGTGGATTCTAGGGAACGCGAAATGTGTCAGTGGAAGTTGCCCAAAGCAGCGCACGTAAGGAGTCGACTATGGCGCGTTGCGCTGCTGCTTGGGCGAAGCGTCAATGAAGAGACAAAGCGCGGTCTTGAGGTGATGCACATCGTTGGTAAAAGGGTCTGTGCACATGATCCCTGCAAGTATATGCACCACGCGATATCTCACCGGAGAATACCTCAACCAAGGACCAGGCACTGTGAATACACTCGAGATTTGTGCGCGATTTGCACGCTCGTCTTACAGCGGATTTTTCAAGGATCGGTCACCGAAGCAAGCTACATCATTCATGCGCAGATGAAGCCAATGAGCGCATAGCAGGCAGACAAAGGACTTACAAAGCGATCACCATCACGTTGCTATCCAACCCAAAAGTCATCGTTTTTGTCATGTAACGTACCGAAATATTTGGTGGTGGCCCCAGGGGCTCATTTCTACTATATGTACAATCCACATGCAGTGCCCAGGTAAACACACTTCAACACCTGTTATACAAAATGAGATTGATGGAGCCTTCCCTCCTCGCTACACATTCCTTCGATTACGTGGTCCTGTGGCCTTTTGGTCCGTATTACGTCCACCTGAGGATTGCCTGTGTTTCTGATGTCGTGGCGTCGTGGCGGCGTAAACGGGTATAATGCGCTGAAAACGATGGTACCAAATGGCTCTGGAAGAATGCCGAAGCAAGGCTGCGATACAAAGGAGCGTATGGCAGCCGAGACAAACAAGAAGCTATCGTGATAGAATGAAGGATAAGGAAATCAAAATGGGAGGGTGGAAGAGGCTGAAGCTCGCGACGGCAGTGCTTACTGAACGTTTTGCGGTGTAAGGTTGTCTAAAGTTTCGCTGGGTAGATCGGCGGTGCGTCGTCCTAAGAAATGCCCACAGCGGGACACCTAGTATTGGTTGCCCCAGCCCGTTATGAGAGGCAAACCATGTGTAGGAAGGCCATGAACAGGCAGATGGTGCATGGGTAGGCCATACATGGACTGGCTATTGCTTGGCAGGTGTGTTTCGGATGCAGCAGCAAGCGCGACGTCGTGCGGTACTACTGGTCCGCAAGTGGCGAAGTTGTTGGGTCCATTCATAGGAAAGGGAGCCTGTGCCAGTGAAGGGTAGACATATGGAAGCCCTGTGGGAGATTGTGCTATTATACCAGTTGCGGATGGGTGGTAGCCGAAACCGGGATACGCTCGGGAAGGGTCTGACTCATACAACTGAAGACGCCCCATCGAATGGTCAACGTCCGACGCCTTGGTCGTGTCCGCTTTGGGAGTGGTGGTCTGGTAGAGAGGTTGACTTGAAGTCACTTCTGAGACATGCGAGGGTTCGTTGGGTATAACCTCTGGAAACATCTTGACGTCTTCAGTGTGTCTGAAATTCGAACCGAAGGACGACAATGTGGAGCTGGGTTCGGCAACTTCTTCGTCTACTTCTGTATTATTACCATCATCATCGCACATCGACACATCGTCTTCGTACAAGTCATTTTTTCTTGGTCGATATGATGGACGCGATGGACGCGATGGATTTGATGGGTTTAATTGACGTAAGGGACGTGGACGTTTGCGCGCAAGGTCACGTTCGGGTCGAGGAGTAGCTTGCCAAAACACCTGCTTCCCGCAGCCAGGATCCTCGTTTCCAGAGCTTTCGTACAGATCATACTGAGCAATATAGTCTTCGTGAGACCTGGCAACGTCGAACAAGCTGAATTATAATTAGTCTTTGGTGTTTGCTGGGTGGTGGTCAATTGATTACCTGGGAAGTATGACTTCTAGAGCGCGCTTCTTCATGGCTTCGTTATACCTCGCGCCCCTGGAAGACGAGAAGTGCTCTGTGTCTTTTGAGGAAACGAGGTAAGTGGCATCGGTTTCGAGCTTGCTTATCCAGGAAGGATATTTCCGCTTGCCAGCCTCCTCGTCGATGCGACGGTGAATCATCATCATGTCGACAGCTAGAGGTACCAGGTCTGCTGAAAGTGAGCAAGTGGCAGCATGTATTCCGCAGGCAAGACTTACGCTGTAGTTTGAGGTGCGAAGGCTCAACATATGGTACGGCAGTCGGCCACCAGGGGGGTTTGATGCTTTTCTTTCTATCTAAGCGGCCGTCGGAGTCGTCATTGTACTCGTACCGCTGGTAGGGTCCGTACTTCTTTTGACGTCTAGGCTCTAGTCTCTTCACCCACGCGGTTACTACGTCGCGCATCGGCTTCATGGTCAGCTCACGAAACCGCGCCGCGTAGAAGGCCTGCAGCGACTCGACGTCCCCGATACTGAATGTCTCGGGAGGCCGAACCTTGGCAGTGGGTTCATGTGCTTCGTCAGCATCCTGGGCGTCGTTTATGTCGTTGTCATCTTGGTTGCGAGTGCGCCGTCTCTTCAGAGCGTGCGATTTCTTTGACGAAGCTGCCAAGGACGGATTATGTGCTGCCTCTGCGGTACCTGATTAGCTTCTGTGACTGAGGCATGGAACTTGTTGCCATCAGCTCACCTGTCGCTCGTGGAGCGGCAACATCCTCATGCGTGAACAAGTGCTCGAAACCTTGAATGGGTGCGAAGACGGGTTCCTCGCGGCCGTTGACCGTTAGATAGCCCAAGGCTATGCGCGACTTGAGCGGCGTATCATCTTCCTCGACAGCGCGAGACTTTGGTTCACGCTTCGGTTTCTGCTTGACCGATCAGCAAAGCGGGCGGATGGCGGATGGCGGATGGCAGATGGCAGATGACATGTGATGACGTGCGCTACCGTAAGCTCGAACCGAAGCACTACACGTCCTGAAGGTCGCTTGTCGTTAAACGGACTGTGGGAAACTCACGGGCGGCACATAATCCGAATTCTGCACGAGCGAGAATAGGTCCATGTTGAAATGCTCGTCTGTGTTTGCTTCGTTCGGTGTGTGACAGGAGAAAGGCTCGCTTCTGTACTGCTCCATGTTTCCTTTTGCCATGGCGTCGGCACCTCACCTGGCCGAACTGCAGGGCGACAATGGGCGAGCAAACTGCGCTGTGAGCTTCACCGAGACTCGGCTCGATACAGACTGCCTAACCGTTCAGCAAGTTACAGCGTTGCGTCGTGTCGACGGGGCCGACTGACAGTGACTATCCACGGCTTCAGGGTCAGAATCTTCAGTTCCGGTGGTCTCAAAGTCCAAGTATAGCGAGCGAGAGTCCAGTAACCAGCAGCGGCGAGTCAAGAAGACCAAGCATCCATGGAAGCCCCAGGAGAACGAGAGGTACGCAAAACAGGGTCGTGGGTTGCAAAGGCCGACTGTAGCACAGCGATGACGCCGTCAGCAGTGTCTGTATAGCTCAGGAATACAGAGTAGAACCTTGAGGGGCGGCGGGGGCTATCCGCCTTAAAGAACGTTGCTATCGACCGGGCAGCTTGTCTTCGGCTCTGTACCTGGACTAGACCAAGCTGCGCTCACCGTTTGCTGTCATTTCCTCTAATCTCGTCGCATAGGCATCTAGGGAAGCAGCATCTCCAGCCCAGCCCAGCCCTTCCAGATGTGCCCCTGTACATGGGAGAACACAGGGGCCCCATGGGCGGTGTTCTGCTGGCCAGTACAGGCGCGCCATGGCAGCCGTTGGACAGTGCCTGAACGGGCCGTGGCTGTCTTATTGATCGCTGCACCAGGGAGGCAGCCAACTTCCCCGATTGGCGCAGCCACCCCTGACCCCGCAACGTCGTGCGTTCTCACTAACGAGACGTATGCAGAGCGATGGGCGGCAGGGATCTTTCCGACACGCCTGCTCCGAGATTCTTTGCATCGGGAAGGGCCGAGAGCCAGCGTGGGGCAGTGACGATGGGATTGTTGCGAGTCAGATCCACAGGGAAAGAGCATCTTGCTTGAACAGCGGCTTCCACAACTCCAGTGTCTCGCGCCCTCTTTCGTTCTGCGCCTCCGCCTCCGCCTCCACCTTCGTGGCCATCTGCCGGCATCCAGCTGTCACCCAGAAAAAGAAAAACAAGTAGACGCGGCACGCGGCAATCCTCCCAACACCTGACACTCTCCCGGCAGCAATGCAGCGAGCCACTTCCACCAATAACCACCACACAGATACCCACTCTCACTGCAACCCCCATCCCACGTGGACTGCACAAGCACACGACTGTTGCAACTCACACAGCATAATGAACAACTCCGCAGTACCCTGCCAGGTGTCGCTCATCTGCTTCTCATCTGCATGTATCCAATTCGTGCACACACCACAGACCCACAAGAAGGAACGGCCCTTCGCTCCGCCGCCTTCACCCAAATGCCCGGTCTTCGGCATCGTGATCGAACCCGGCGATGAGCATACAAGCGGGCATTATTTTCACGCAAGATACACTCCAATAGAGACCCTAGTCCCAGACCTCAACGAATTACTACCGCTTCTGCAAGGATCGGGTACGCAGAGGCGGATCCCCGCTGCAATGCAGCAAACACTGACCGGGATGCTAACTCAACGCGGGTAGGCCCGCGTCCTTCCTCTGCACCATGTGCACCAATCCCCTTGCAGATCCCTTTCACTGTCCGTTTCTGCAGCGGCCGTACGTGAGAATGAACTGATTCTCGCTCATCGCATCTCCAATCTGACAATCTGGCAGGACGCATCGCTTCGATTCGATCGATCTCCGCGAACCGCATGGCAACCATGCATGGGCTTATCGATCGGGACCCCCCTCCCGAAACTCTTGCGCGTCTGCTCTGAAGCTATTCCAAGCATACCACGGTCCATTGTGCAAATGGCTCCAAGACGTCGGGGCACGACAGAAAATCGCAATCTGACAGGAGACACTGTATGCATATCTGCCGCGCATAGACAGTGTTTCTGGGGATACGTACCACTCATTTGGTACTTCTGCAGTGGCAGGCAAGCCACCCATCACTTCACGGCCAACATCTCCTGCTCGTTAACTCTTATTCGTCCGCATGCACCCACCCCACACACTTCCCTAAACTCTCTGCCAAGACTTCTGCGCGCTCGTGTAGAACTCAAACGGCACCTGGCGGCCCGGCGGTGAACATGAGACAGCACTGTACAACAGAAGCCTTCTCCCCGGGTGGCACAGGTGGGGAACGGCACAGGGACACACGCATCACGGGAACTAATCAGGGCCATACACTTGACCAATTTGATGTCCGCTTTCCGTCACACAAATAGGTCAGCAAGGGTATATACAATCGCGGTTCCGCCCGTCTTCCCTGAACGAAAATTTCTTTCCGCGGGCCACTCAGTCGATCCCCCAAACCGGCCCTTGATCCCCGCAACACATGACTCAAGCCTGCGTAACGTCCAGTGAGCTGAGGAGGTTTGCTTCCCTGACGAGCTCGTAGAAGAGACCCTTGCTCCTCACGAGAGCCGCAGGGGTGTCGAATTCCGCAACCTTTCCGTGGTCGAGCACAATGATGCGGTCGCTGTCCAGAATGGTGTTGATGCGGTGCGCAATCGTGACGATAGTCCGGTTGCGGAACATGGAACTGCGCAGAGTGGCCTGCAGCATGGCGTCTGTCTCGACGTCGACAGCGGCCTGCAGCGTGAATGTCAGCAAGTATGCTTAATGATGGCACTATAGCCCGCGGCTCGCCAGTGGCGAGGGCCGCGAATGAGTATGGGAAAGTGAACATCCGTACCGTGGCTTCGTCCAAGACGAGGATGTTGCTTGGTGCAAGTAAGGCGCGCGCCAATGAGACAAGTTGGCGTTGGCCGGCACTCAGATTGGAACCACCCTCATTGATCTGAGCATCCAATCTGCCGGGCATGCTGGCAACGTGGTCCTTGAGACGTGCATGTTCTGTGATACGCGTTAGCTGCGGGGACTATCAATTTCGAGGCTACGTGCATACCTAGAACGCTCCACAGCTCTGTGTCGTCGTGCACATGGCCTGGATCGAGGTTATCTCGCACGGTGCCTTCAAACAGCGCCGCATCTTGTGGGATGATGGCCAGACGCCGCCGCAGATCCAGTAGGCCTATGGTACTTGTGTTCAAGTTGTCAATACTGACATTGCCCTCCACGGGCTCTATGATGCGGAAGAGCGCCATCGTGAGGGAGCTCTTGCCCGCGCCTGTGCGACCAACGACACCGACCTTTTCATGAGGCTTGATGTCAAGGTTGATGTTCTTCAATACGAGATCAAGACCTGGTCGGTATCTGGTACTGTAGTTGTTAAAGGACACCGCACCGCGCGACGGCCAGCTAATGGGTGGCCTGTTCTTGGAGATGATTTCAGGCGCCTCGCTCGGCAGAGCCGCATACTCGAGGACACGCTCCACGCTCACAATGTTAGTCTCTACCTCGACCGTCTGTCGCACGATCCAGTTTAAGCTCTGCGTGATCTGCAGGGCATACGACATGGCGAGGCCTACTGCACCGGGAGACAAGTTGCTATGGCTCGCAACAGAAATAATTGCGAAGCCAGCAGAAGCCAAGATGATGATTGAGCCAATGAATTCGAGGCGCACCGCGAGCCATCTGTTTGCACTGATGGACGGGAAGTACGCTCTCAGATTGGCGTCTACGCGCCACTCGTTCTCGAGCTCGAAGCGCTTCTGCTGGTGGTAGGCGCGGATGGTGCTCATACCACTAAGTGACTCCTGGAAGTGTGCATAGATGGGGCTGCGGCTGATGCTGTCAAGACGCTTGAGCTCTCGGGAGGTCCGGAGATAGTATCTTTGGATGTACAGATATAGCGCGCCAAGCGGGAAGATGAGCGCTATAAAGACGGGAGTAGTAACGGAAACGATAACGAGGGTGAAGCCGGCTGCGTGCAGTTAGTCAAATGTCGCACAAGCAATGCACATGGCAGGGAATATCAATACCTCTTGCCGAATTAACAAACAGCATGTTGAAAGTCCGGCTACCAAACGTTAGCTACCACTCAAGATCGATCCTAGGCAGGCCCACGACTTACGCTAAGACTTCGTCGACTCGATAGACATCGCTGCAGTTGTGTTAGCCAGATGTCGCTGAGAGTCCTTCCCAGAAATGGACCCGATCTTATTAATCACTAACTGCGGAAGCTAGTTGAAAGGAGGCTTACCTAGAGAAGCGGTTCAGGATCCTCCCAGCAGGCGTTGTCTCGAAGAAGTTCATTGGCGAGCGGAAGATCGCAAAGGCCATTCGCTCGTGCAGCTTGCGACTAGCCTGTAAAGATGGCGTCAGTCAAACACGGCGCTCGCATGCGTTGCCATGCAGATCTTGCGGGGCATCATCCCACACAACCAGACTTACCTCGATAGAGCAGAAAATCCAGAGAATGAGCGTTTGGACGACGCTGAGTGCTGCAGATCCCACGCCAAAAGCGAAGTAAATGCCGATGTACTTGCCCACATGGGGGTTTCCGCCGTACCGTTGGTTGATTTCAGACCAGTTCTTGAGCCATACGCTCCCGCCTGCATGTACATTAGCCTACTTCCCACATCGAGGAGAGATGGGAAAGATGAAGATGTGAGCAACAGGGGTGCACTCGCTAAACATACCTACAGAGGCGGTCTGCGCCCCAACAAGCAGCACCAGATAGAAGGCGACGGCAACAAGATTGCTAACCTTAGCGTACTCCGCGTAAACAGACCACTTGACCTTTCCTTGCTCTGAGAACTCTTTTTCTTGCTTGCTCTTCATATTGCCGCCTTCCTCGTCCGTGAGCTTGCCTCTGGGTCCCCTGAAACTGGCAGTGCTCGCGCGTCGTAAGGTTTGGAAACTAGACTTGCGGGCCGTGCCGTTGCCGGTACGGAGGGGTGCCAAATGGGTATTCTCTTGCGCGGCTTCCGCCTCGTCCTGGTCCTGGTCATCAGAGATGGGGCTGCCTCCGCCGTAAACGGTTTCCTCTTCGCTGACGACGCTCTCGGACGCGCGACTGTCTGATTCATGTTGGTCCTCATTCTGTGATGTCCTAATCAAGTTTGCAATTTCGCCCTTCATAGCCATGAGCTGATCATACGTTCCCTTTTCAAGGATCTTTCCTTCGCGTAATAGCACGATCAGGTTCGACTCCATGAGCACAGGAATAGAGTTTGTCGCTAAAATCCTTGTCTTCCCGGAGAGCAGACCCTTCGGGCCGAGCACGTTGTCAATAAGGTGCCGACCGACATGCTGATCAACCGCCGACAGGCAATCATCTAGCAGATAAATATCTGCACGAGCGTAAACGGCGCGGGCCAGGGTCAGACGAGCCTTCTGGCCTCCCGAAAGGGAAATACCGCGCTCGCCAACCTCTGTTTGATCACCGTCAGGGAGCGTGGCGAAGTCGTCGCGGAGAGCGCACGCGTTGACTGTCTGCTCATAAAATTGAGCGTCCCATCGGTGGCCGAATACAATGTTCTCGCGGACTGATGCATTCATGACCCAGGCTTGCTGCGGCACGTACGCGGTTTTGCCACGCACCACTACTTCGCCTCGAGTCTTCCACAGATCGCCAAGGATCGATGACAGAAGCGAGGACTTTCCAGCGCCTACGCGGCCGACAATGCAAGCGAGCTCGCCCTTGTGGGCAGAAAAGTTGATGTCCTGCAAAGCGAGGCGGTTTTCGTGGCGATCCCAGGTGAAGCTTGCCTCTCGAACGCGAACTGACTCCTCGCCATTCTCTTCGACCGCTTTCTCCCGAAGAACAGCATCTTCCTGGAGTTCCTCAGCGGTCAGGAAGCTGGTAATACGTCCGACGGCTACACTAGCCTCCACAATAGCAGTAATCACCATCGGAAGGATCGCTAGGGGGAATGTAAGAAGGTTGAACAGGGTAAGGGCTGGGAAAACGATCTCGGTTGTCAGAGGCTTGTGCTGGGTGAGAACGAACACGCCGAACGTGGAGCACGATACCAGAAACGGTGTGGTAGACCAAGTAAAGTTTGAGAAAGCTTGTGTGGCTCCGATCTTCCTTAGAGTCTTGAGCTCTTGGTCGTTACGGATGACGTTCAGGCGGTTGATGAATGCGGTTGTCCAAGCATATAGCTTGATAGACTTCATGTTGTTGAGAATCTCTGTCATGAGCCTTGTACGTGCGTCCTTGTTCTTCATCTGCTCCTTCTGCAGTGTCTTCATAAGTCGCGCGATGTATCCATTGATTGGAATCATGATGATCATGGCTCCGACACCGGCAAACATGCTCCACCCAACCAACTGATACAAGGAAAGCATGCAGAGAACGATCTGGAAAGGTGCGGACCACAGTTGCTGGCCGTACTGTGCAAGGTCCTGGAGGCGCTGGCTGTCAACTGCCATGTAGTTCACGATGTCACCCGTAGTCTTCGATGCTCTCCCTTCGTTCGACAGGCGCGTGGATTTCGAGTAGATGGCAGCGGTCAGTGATGACTTGATGCGCATGCCGGTCTCAAACGAGCGCTGGAAGTATTGATGCAAACACGCTGTCTGTGACATCGAAACGACGAACATGGCGATGGCGATCGCTGCTCCTCGCGCAACTGGCTGCGGGCTATCGGTTTGATACGACTGCACGAAGCTGATAAGAAGCCTTAAAAGTTGAGGTTGGGCGAAGTTGAGCGCGTCACTGAGGGTCTTGATAGCGCCACCACGGAAATAGGGCCCTGAAAATGCGCGGAACATTGCGATCCACAAGGATGGATGCTTCTTTTCCAGCTCGTAAGCCCAGGCTTCCTCGAACGCATCGGCAGACGCTCTTGTTGTGTCTCGCTTGCGCAGGTTCCAAAGATCGTCCTGGGTCAGGAACGTCTTATACCCTCGCTTCATCATAGGCGTCATCCAGCCAAATGTCAGAACCGAAAAGACGTCAGAGTACTCGTACGGGCATTCGTCATCGTCTCCAAGCGCATCGTAGTCGCTTAATCGTTTCTGGATTCCCCACTCCAGAAAGAATTCGATTGCCGCCAATCCAACACTGGTGGCGAACACTGCAAAATAAGCTACATGTTCGCGATGAATGTTTTGAGAGACCAATGATCGGAGCTTGACCGCATATGCAATCAGCAAGAAGAGCCAATAGAACAGCACCACACCGTTCGCATTGCGCGACCGCCAGTGCTCAGTATACTGAACGTAAAAGATAACGCCGAGCGAAACGAGATTGAGGATAGTGGCCCAGAAACGGAAGTCGCCGGCCCAGATGCCCTTGTAGTATTCGATCTGCAAGGCTGCTTGCAGGGCAGTCGTGACGAAGAGCGCGATTATCGTGATCTGCCATAATCATGATCAGTCCAACATTCCTCCAGCCTCAAAGCTATTGGAGGTTTCGTACTAATTTGGCATAAAAGTGCCAGTTCTTCTTCACCGGCTGCGCGGTGCACTTCTTGAGCAGATACCACGTCGCACCCGCTCCACCCAAGATGCCCGCCGACGCAACCGTCGCTATCCACACGTCGAGGAAACATGGCGTGAAATCATATCGATCGCGACTTATGGGTCCCCATCCCTCGCTATTGCCGCACAAGGGCTGGCGACCGTGGCTCGCTGCCTCGAGATAGCCGTTCGCGAGCGGAGACGGGGGCTGCAGAGGGATTTGCAGATAGCTCATTGATTGATTCGGGGTCGCGAATGCCGTACTCTGGGGATTGCAGAGTCTGGGCACAGAATTCGAGAGGCGCGGTCGGAACAATGACGGATGAGAGTAAATCGATGGACTTTTAGTCGGCGGTCCTAGCTCCCGATGATGCAGCTGCTGCCTGCTTACAAAGAACCGATAGCGGGGAATCTTAGCTCCGAACCTCTACTCCACTTCCTTGCCATCCATTACTTTAGTGATGGAGTGATACTATCTTAGGTATAGAACCACATCATACTAACGGTAGACCCACAAGGGTGATTAGCCGTATGTGCGAACGTCGCATGCTTGCGTTACGATTGCGTGCAATTGCCGCGGCCAGTTTTTGCCCGAAATATTTCGTACTTCGTATTTCCGATTCGACTTTATGTCCGAGAAGCACAGCTGTCACGTGTACGTTGAGTCTCCTGCGCATGAGAACGCTATGGCTGCTAGCTTTTTGAACTGCAAAGGGTGTACTTTCGAACATCCAAATCGAAGAAGAACATGCCACCCGCTCCTGGCATTTAGACGACAGAAATACCAAGCAGTGCGTACTAAGCTATGGCAGAATTCACCTTAACATTGTGTGCACACAATCGTGCTCGGCAATACAAATGAATGAGTTCCCAAAGGCTCTACTTGTATGCATGGCTTTTACAAGAACAAATACGATACTCAACCACATGAAGCCCAGCACATCCATATAAAGAACCTCAAAGTTCATACGTCGCGAAGCCTTGCCATGGATCAAACCCATCATCAATTTCTCCAGCGCGCAAAGAGCCAAAGCTTCCATCGATCTCGATCTCTGGACGTCCTTCACTAGTCAGGTGATTGTGAGCTCCTCCGCAACCCCTGCCCTCATGATGCAGGACCCCAAACACGAAAACAGGCGCCTCCAAGACTCTAAGAGTCATACCAGGTACGCAAAATAGGGGTGCAGACGAAATCTGACACTATGATAATTGGCGCCATACAGAACGGGCACTATGCAGACGCCGCTTCTTGAGACTGCAAGGTCTCCCAGCGCCAGTGCCAGACTTCGAGATCTCACTATTCTGTCATCACTCAGATGCAATCCAAACGGCTTCCTCCATGCACAACGTTCGTCCCCCAAATTCCCATACAGCCACTGATATCCTCTTGCTAAAGCTGCCGCAGGTCCCACCAATGTACCCAGACAGCTCGATGATAGGTTGCCCTCGATACTGTTTGCCCTTTCCGAGACTCCTTCCGTTCAGCCTGACGCTTCCGGGCAAGGAACAGGGTTTGAAGTTGACCCTTAAGGCAGAGCTGAGCAGCTATACCGAGAAAGTTTATTAGCAGTGGGCGCTGGGCACGTATCTGTATCATATGCTGCGGCAGGGGATCTGGTAAGAGCATAAACAGGAGGGTTTGAGGTAGAGGTGCTTATCTGAGGTTAGGAAGTTACTGACCGATGGGTTGGGATGCGTACTGTAGTGTGCATTCCCTGGCGTTATACTACGAGCTCTGTTTCCAGCCGTGCCTAGGTGGCATACCAGTCACATTCTGCCATCGGGAAGGAGATTTGGGCTGGAATAGCATCCATGCTAGTGTTTAAAACTATCCTTCGATTTAGGTTCAGCTACCACTCAGGAGCAAGACCCACATATTTTATGTGATCCTTCTTAGCGAACCTTACAACCCCCAAAGCTCTCTACCATCTTGTCAAACGCTGCCTACCAAAACACCTTCCGATCCTTCGACTCCATCCCAAGCTCTTCAAACAACGCATTTGTATTCTCCTTTCTAAACACGCGTTCAACATCCTTCACGCGCCCAACCCGTAGCATCGCCTCAATCGCTGGCTCGTGCCGTGACGTCCGCTCAGCGTTCCGATAGCGATGAATACGATACACCGAGGGAGCTTGGTTCGGATGTAGTGTGTACAGCGCTTCGAAGAAATCGCTGCGTGTGCCGTTGCGGATGACGGTGCGGATGAGCGAGGAGGGAAAGGGGCCAAAAGGGGAGTGAGGGGCGGACGATCGATACTTGCTGGAAGCTCGATGGCGGCCGTGGAGTCGGTGTTCATCCTCGGCGTGATGTATATCCCTATGACGATGACCACTCCCATAATGATGCCTACCTTCGTAAAGATCGCTATCATCAGATCGATGTCTAGTCTCCAAACGTCGATGCTCCACACCAACGCCACGCAGCATACCACCACCTCCAGAGTACAGAGCAGAGCGGCCCACGCGTGGTATGCGTGGAAGTCGTTCCTTGTCGAGCTCATCAAACCGGTCTTCGTCAAAGCGCTGATCGTAGTCATACCTAGAAGCTGGTTGTTGATTGGTCCGACCTCGATATTCGGTACCAAGCACATCTTGACGGTCACCCACATGCAGCTTGGATTGCAGCTCATGCGCGACGCCTTCATCATCGAAATCCTGCTGCATGCTTCGAGCGAATTGCTCGTCGTCCTCAACCGTCTGGGCTGCTAGCCGCCGAGTTGAAGACTTTGCCCGTCGTTGTGGCCAATCCTGGAATGGCGCAAGAGTCTCACCATGCTCAGCCGCCCAATCTTGCGAACGGTGTTCAGGCACTGAATCATAGGTATCGTAAATATGAGCGTGGTTCGGCCGCAGAGTGTAGAGATCCGGATCCAAGGCGTTGAAACTCGACGGACGGTCATCTGATTCAAATGGCTTATTCATCTGCTCTTGCAGTGAATGTGCATCGTGAGAAGTGCTCTCTCGTACCGGCAATGGTTTGCGTCCTTGTATGTCTTGTCGAGGACTACGGCGAGGAGAATCGGCGCGTACGGGAAGTTCCTCCGGATGTAATGGCTGTTGTGGACGTAACCGATGGCCGACAGACCTCAGAATCGAACGCAATCGCCGGGGCGGCCTATGATCGTCGACATTGTTCTCTTCAGGAGCAGAATAGCCACGGTTGGTGAGGTGTGGCGAAATAGGTTGCCAAAAGCCCGGCCCCGATCCAGGTGGTAGCATAGGGTCATTGTAGTACTCTGCCGCAGGATCTGTAGCAACTCTGTAGTCAGCCGAACTTGGACGGTAAAATTCATGTTGCGTCGACATATTTCGATGGTCTCGAGGAGGCATATGGTCGTGGGAGCTTACATCTACGCACGAAGCGTGCTGCTGTGATCCGGACTGAGCATTCCGTCGAGGACGCCACTCATCTGAGGACATTGGAGGAACAAAGTCATTGAAGAGCCCCTGTCCAGGCCGGTCACCTGGCAAAGGCGAACGGTATCGAGATCCATCATCACACTCGACTTCGTTGTCGAATTGAACATTGCGTTGACGTCCCACGTTAGCCAGCGTGTTCAAGTTGGTAAGCGTCTCACCCACAGCCCGGTCAAAGTCATCGTGCACGCCCTCACGAAGTTTGTAGTCCAGGTGTTGGCGGAGCATGCGATGCTCTTCTGGATTCAGACTGTTTAGATAACGGGTAGGCACTGGGTGAACGGCGAACATAGTGCGACCAGAAAAATTCAGGACAATCTCGTCGAAGTTCGAAGCTGCCTTGATGGCTGCTTCATTTGTGTAACGGCCCCAGCATGTCCAGAGATCTTCGTTGTGAGACATGGTTGCTTATGCTAGCAGACCTTGGTGGCTGGTCAAGGCTTGCAAAAGTTTGATCCGTAGGTAGAAGGCGGGTTGGTGGCGTTTCGACCGAACCTTGAAGGTGTTGAGCAATCGGACAATTAGAAGGGAACTTTAAAGCTAGAATGATTGGTTTCCTAGTGTGTCTGATGCTCGAAGTCGCCTGGCCAGGGCCTTCTTTCACTAGAGGAGGAAAGGCTGTCCTTGCTCTGTGAGTTGATGGTTGAACCCCTCGCTTGTTGAGCGGCTTATAGCGCCAATCGTACACTCATCTGCCACTCGGGGTGAATTGATGTGCAGTCTGGCATTCTCTTTCACTGGTCGGTCCTACGACATCTTGTGTTGGTGCATGGCTAGACCCTTTCCGGTCTCAGAAAACGGTTTCCTTTTCCATCTCTTGACACAGGTGCCAGTACAAGGCAACTTTGTGTATGCATATTGCTTCAGATGAAGATCACCCAGATGAAAGTCGACCTGGTGAGGTTCGGTGGAGAACATAAACAAGGAGACGATTCCGCATGCCCTTACCATGATGCTTAAATCTCTGGTGGCGTCGTGCCAGCTACTTCGCTTAGCTTCTGGTACCAATGGTTCCTTTCCTCGGAGGACAATGCTCCTACGCAATGCGTCGTGAAATTTGACTGCGTCACTACGACATCAATGAATAGTTCGTACAATGCAACTCCTCGTGGAAACTCGTCCAGATAAGAAGTTTTGCGAATCTGTGCTGACCCGACAGGTAGCCTGATCGCGATATGCGTCACAGGTACGGGCTGAGCATATTAGTCTGATAGCCAGGAGCGAAGCGCTAAGGCGTTTGTACTCACCTTTTCAATCACCCGAACACTGTCAGCTTTCATCCCTTTATGTTTTGGATCCTTGGCCGACTTGACTTTGCCCCACAAAACATAGTTGTCAAGTAAGATCACCTGCATAGACTGCCATGGACCGCGATTGTTGTGTTTGAAGGCAAGTACGCCCTGATATATGATGCGACGGGCTGGTGCGGAAAGCTCGAGAGGGTCTAGCAGACTCGTATCGACCGTATGTATCCTCCGATGCAGACTTTGCATTTCTTCTTGGCTCATAGACTTCTCGGTAAGATCGGAACATTGTGCTTGCAGCCTTTGAAGAGTCTCAAGCGTCGCCTTGATGCGTGATTGTTCTTTGATTGGGACGGGTGTTGTGCTCTCATCCAACCATCGAGCTATACTCTGTAGTCTCGTGATGTAGGTGTCAAGCTGTACGATAGGTAACACAAGATAATCTTCCCAATTTTTACCAAAGTATGTTAGGCTTAGACCGAGGCTCTCAACGCAAGGAGCGAACTTCTTATCCCGCGTTCGAGTAAGTCGAAGCGCATACAGAGCGTGAGGATAACGCCGTGAGTATTCTTTGAGTACCCGGTATGTTTTACTGGCCCACGTGATGAATACACGAGGATCGCAAATAGAGTACGCGTTCTGTGCAGATCTCTCTTTGACAACGTCGAGAATGTGCTCCTGATGCAACGGCATAAGCTGTCTGGCCAAAACAATTGCTTCCATATGCTTTTCCAAGACCGGCCATTCTTTGACGACAAGTCCATAGAATATATTAGTGAATTTTCCTAATCGTTCGATGTACTTCTCTTCGTCCAACAATATCGAAGCCCAAATCTTGCCAGGATGGGTTTCTCCTTCCGAAGTGGGAGAGGCAATATCCTTGTAATCAGTGCCGTAGAAAGACAGATTGGAAGGCTTCTTGACCAAGAGTGGCAGAGGCTTGCGAATGACTTGGTTATTAGGCGGAGAGGTGTTGTCCCCTAAGCCTGGGTCGGTGAGCGATAGAGACGACGTAGTCGACAATGGCGCGAATATCTGATCCCATGAAGAGACCTTCTTCAACTCACAAGTCGAACTGGATTTGGCTGGCGCTAGAAAGGACTGAGCACTACGACGTGGTGGAAGCGGAGGTGGCTTTTCGTCTTCTTCGTTTTCATCTGTCGCGTCGAGCGAACGTTGCGACGAGGTTGCCCCTGAATCTCGCACATCTGAAGAGCCTTGAATCTCTTCAGGTTCTTCGCTCAATGGTGCTACAAGGGCAGTAATTGAGGTTGTGCTTTCTGTCATCGCTAAGCTGGACTGCTCTTGTGAAGAATTCATCGACTCAGCCTCCGTGACTATTACTGAAGGCTGTCTAGACGTAGATGCGGGAGGCATGAAAGGTAACATGCTCTTTTCAAGATCATCTAGTATGTCTGCATGAGCTTCTCCACCCTCATTCTCGTAGGGGGGTGGCTCGTCGTTGTTGTTCGATTCGATAGCGTCATCAAGTCGTAACAGGAGAGACCTCATATCAGCCGCTGCCGTGTCGTCCACCTGTTGGTCATCGACTTGTTTATCTGTATTTTTGTACAGATCAATGACATCGTCCTTCTTCTCGTTTATAGAGCTCTCTGTAAGTGCCCTTGCCATAGCCCTTCGATAGGCTTTGGAGTTGACGACCTCGTCGTCAAAGGTGAACTCGGCGTCCCCAAATATCGTCTGCGAGTCGTCGATAGTATCCTTGTCCAGCACTGATTCTGGCACTTTAATGTTTGGATGCTTTTGCCTCAAGGTGGTCGACCGCTTCGCGATCTGATCTAATTTTACGCTGTTGTCTCCAAGTAAGCGGTGCATGTCGGAGAGAGACTCCATTTGCAAGCCCTGAATAAGCAATCCAAGGGCAGATTGCTGCCCTCGTATTTGCTGCAGCAACTCTTTGAAATTGGCCTCCTTGAGGAGGAAGCGCGCTCGGTCACGCTTCCGCAAGTCGTTCACATCAACTTTCCGAGCCAAATCACGCACTTCTTCGTCTAGACATTGGTAGACCACCCAGCACCCCGTAAGCGCCTGATCAAGAGTGTTGCGAAGCTCTGGCTTGTTTTGCAAGGTGGTGCCCTGTAGGAGACTTTGAATTTGAGACAATGATGCGGCAACAACCATGGACTCCGTGTAGATAGCTGTTATGAGTATGGCTGCTTGGTCGAAGCGCTCACGCAAATCATACAGTTGCTTTGCTGCTTCTATGCACTGTGGTATCGCGGCGATCTGCCGATGTTAGCAAGACTGAAATAAGTTGTGGCCAAGGATGGCGCTGCAGAAGCCAGGACGCACCACGCCAATAGCACTGGACACCGGATCCATTTTGAACTGAGCTTGGGTTCAAGAGAGAAATGCGATGCGCATCGTCCGGGCCGGAGGGCTGTGAAAAGCACAGTGACGACACGCGGGGGAAAGAGGTGCGACATGCGCAGGCTGGAATTCGGCCCCCACAACCGCGCGCTAAGCTCGTCTCAAAACCTGACGCGTTTGCGCTAATACCGAATCTGGGCGCCGCCAAAAGTTGGGCACGTGTCACACGTGACAATGCCACTTTGTTCAGTGAATACAGACCTTACAAGCGACGAGCAATGGTAAATCAGACGGGCGCAATTCGGATGGGAAGCACCCTCCTAGGTCGCACTCCCGAGAAATACGGGCAGATGATAAATACACAATGCTGGAGCTGACATTGAAACCTGGACTCGATGCCCAGGTGTGATGGACGTCTGGTGACCAGGGAACTCAGTTTTCTTTGACTTCGCAACATCGTCTATTGATATAGGAGAATATATACCGTGGATATACATGCTCTGGTCCGTTGACTTATTGATTGTCTCGAGATCTCTCTTATGAAGAGCCGAATGTGAATGCAGGAACATTGATATCGGTTGCCACCCAGGTAATACCTCCATCGCTAGTGGACAGTTCTCCCGTGACACCCTGGCCCTTACCCAGGGTCTGGTCGTAGTTAGGATCCGCGCTGCTCAATACGATCTTCGTATCTGTCCACGTGTGTGCGGCTACCGTTCCGCAGGTGTCCTCTGCACACTCAACCGCACTGCCCCAGCCTTGCGCCTGTCCAGAGCTTGTTGAGAGCTCTGCAACCTGGTTCCCGTTGATGGATACTAGCTGTGTGTAGTTGCCACTTGACTTGTCGAACTTGTCTGACGTCTACATTAGGCACTGCGCTGACGAAACAGCAGGATTCCAGGGCTTGCTTACAGTGCATAGTAATTTGATCGCCTTCAGTCGCGTCGGTTCCATCCGTCTGGACCGGCATCTGCGAATTGTCGCCCGTCTTCACCAGCGTATATGCGTAGATGGACCAGTTTTTTGAGTTCCAGTTGTCGGCAATAGACTGTATCAAATCACCAGACGAAGTACCCATACCAACCCAGAGAGAAAGGTCGTTGGCTTGGTCAGCAGGAACGGCAGGCAAAGTCAAAGTCGAGGTTGCCTCAATAATGTAGGCACCGCTGCCAACGGGACCGGTTGAGAAGGCAGGTCCCATCGCAGCACTCGCGGTCGATGTGAGCGAAGCCGCTACGAGGGCGAGGAGGGAACGGTGAGAAGGCATGGTGACGATTCGATATGAGAAGCGAGATTATTGAGTAATTTGTGAACGCAGTTCTAATGGGACGATGGTGCTCTCTAGATTGCGGTTTCGCACACCTTTGTACTCCCACCAGCAATGCTCATCTCCCTGGACGTTTGATCATCAGAGTAGGGTTGCACTCCACCAACGGCAACGATGTACTCATTCATCGAAGAACCCATCCTTTCTTGAAAACACGGGACCAACTTCATCTATTCCGCGCAGTTGGACAATGCGTCTACCCACCAAGCTTATCAATTCTCGGAAGCGGCACCGCGAACGGCCCCCGTTTCTTGCGTGGACATATTATTTTCCGATGACCCCTGTTTCGGATTGCTGGGATAGCGGGCGACGGTGAAACGACGTTTCGAAACTGGCGTGGGTAGCTGCGGAACGGTTCATGCGGCCCATGATGACGTGACTTCGGTTCCATCTCACCGGGGCTTCCGAAAACCTTCAAGAATGCAGCATACCACCATGTTTCGCAACCCTTCCGCTACCGTTATAATCGGTTCATGTTCCAAGCGTAGGCTTGCAACCCAACTTGAACCGGATCTTTCAATTGTGCTTTAAAGCTCTTTTCTAGATTTTTCATCACGCTTCCGACCTCACTGTATCTGGCTTATGGCCCTCCTAATAGGTTTTATCAAAGCTTCGAAAATCATATGCATACCTAGTCAGGAGCCTTTTGCAACAGTATACAGATGATACGTAACCGGTACGACTCTATCACTCTGTCGGTGATTTCTGCTGCGGATCGCATCTTAGCAGATGTTGATTCTGTTCAGATACAATTCAGCAGCCTCAAGCACCGATGCCCGAGCTAGTCACTGATACCCACGAGAGTTCATTGTTCGTCGGCTGGTCGTATTCATCAACAGGCAGCCAGATCCCATTGCCAGACCGTAAGCTGCTGGCGCAGCTGCTGAGGACCAGAAGCTAGGTCTTCTGTCCGATGCACGAGTGGGTTAATTTAGATGCAGGTCACTGGCTGTAATTAGAGAGGTGACAAGACAGGCCTGTCGCTTCTGGTGGAGCTGGCGCAGGAATTGCCGCTTCAAAGGCTCCTCGCAATTCTCCCATAGTCACCAACTCTCCGACCTTCGTGAGTGACCATTAAGCAGTCTCATGCATCTGCCTACTTAAACCTGGAAGAAAAATGAGATAATACTAAAAGGTGCTTCTTCCAGAGACCTTTCCGACATGATACTTGCACCGCTACAGAAAGGGTTGAGGCACGTGGAGTTGGAGAAAGAGATAAAGCTGTTATCCGCTTATCTTCCGCAGGCTGTAAGTGAAGAGCATTTGGTCGAGTTACAAATGTGTGGTAATTCGGAGATCCAGTCAAGCATAGCGCAAAGTCTATGGCGGAAACAGATACGGAGGAAAGAAGCCTGGAAACAGGCCATTCGAAATGATGTCAAGGCAGTCATGCGACACGAGCATAACTTCTTATGTGATTACATTTCTGGTTCCCAAATTCCAATACATGCGCGGTAATGAAAAGTAACTGGAAATTCATACCACTAAGCCTTCACGCTATTTGCTCATACATAGATGTAGCAGAACTGTCCATCCATACCTCCGATGCTGTCTAAGAGGTCCCATGTGTTAGTCCGGTTCGCAGTCCAGTTGAGGTCCACATAGTCGTCCTGTGCTGGCGTCTCTGGAAGTACATTCATCCGCTTCTCAGGGTCTTGCATTTGCCAGATCCACCAAATTCTGTCTACCATGCCGTGGTGGAACCAGAACAAAGGGTCACCGGGCGAGCTGTAGAAGTCCTAGAAAGAGTCAGCATAGCCTCTGGCGCTAAAACATCGCTACTTGAATGTCTGTGGTAGGAGGTATGAAGGAGCGAGGTTTTCTTACACCACCAGGATCGCCGCCTATAGTGTAGTGCCCAGACATGTGCACCCCCCAGTCGTTCTTCTCTGGTATGCCTAGCATGTTTTGTTGGAACAAGTCGATAGTGTTGGCCTGCGTGATCAAATTGTACGTATAGTTTGCATAGAGCATTGCGGATGCCTAATGTAGTGCGTATGTCAGCGTGGGCGAACAAGTGAAATTAGTGCGGGGGAACTTTTGCATACATAATGGTTGACATCGCGTCGAAGGCAGCGCGGATTGTGCCCATAGCCATCCTTCTGGGGGTTGGAAGGAATGTCGGGCATCATCTTGCTGATAGGTCCCAGGCTCACGGTCATACTGACATAAAAATTAGATAGAGGAGAGTCTTCGAAGCCATCTTACTTACTTAGCAAAAGGCCCGTCCTTAACACAACCTCCGCCTAAGTCCGAAGGAATCACGTCGTAAGGTGGTTTGAAACCCGCACCATGGATCATAACTCCCGGATAGTCTGATTTCGCTCCATTACCTCCCATACTGGACATGTTGCCATTAAAAATGGGTGAATTAATAGGATCAGCGGCAGTGCGACCCCAGTTCCAGTACTTGGTATAGACGTTAGCACATTCAACCCACTCATGATTCAAGTATCACGTACTGGTTGATACCCCGTATAGCCACACTCTTCTCGAAGTGCCTTCTCGTAAGCCCAGACGTAGACACGATGAGCTGGGAAAAGATGAGGCTTGACCACATCATTAGCCATCACTTCAACATAATGTTCCTTTCAAAAGATGTACCGTTGAGTGTAAATGCATCGCTTGGGTTTCGTGGGTAAGAACGAAGTCGTCGTATCGGTTCATAACGCCGGGGTACTTCGTCTTATCCGCTTTCGGTGGCTTGGATTGTAGACAGAGTACGGCGCGAATGTACTCTTCGCGTTGGGGAATTGTCAGATCATGCCTTATCAGGTCAGACCATCGACAAGACCAACAGAGGCTTCTTACCATTCCTGTCGCTTGGCAGCTTTTTCGAGAGTGCAACCATTGCTATTGGGCTTCTTCGCGAGGTAAGCCTCGAACTTTGCCAAAGCTGCTTCCTCAAGTTTGTCGACGTCATCAAGAGGATATGGAAATCCGTCCGATCGACTGAAATAGTCAAGGTTAGTATACTTTCGCACTGGGTCGAAAATGAACAGTACCGATTGAGAGTGAACGAAACAGTTCCGGTAGGCCCGGCCCAAACCCTGGCTAAGAGGGAGGAGAGCAATGCGAAGCGCACGGTAGCCACCATGTTTTTCGATTTGGTAGAAGATGAGGGTTATTGCTACCAATTTCTGAAGATGCTCGCTCGGGCTGTCGTTCTCTTAAGTAATGCATGTGCTGTGGTATTATCGTGTGCCTCGAGTGTATCTGCACCGAAGATTGTTCGAAACTGCCGTATCCATACTTGGTAGTAGTACGTGTACATCGTAATATCTCAAGGCTGGGTCCAGTGCTCAAAGCTCTTAGTGCACCGCGTTCAATGCCGGGTGAAGTCGAGTATCCAATAGAGTACAACGGGGTGTTGGTGTGGGGTAAGATGCCATATGAGATCGTATGGGGATAACAGAAAGACGATTGAAATTTGGTGGCCGATAAAATATGGGAATTGGGGATGCACGCTAAGCCAATCATGACAATGCTATAAGTTGGGTTGAGTTCATTGATGTCGGCATATCGTTGACCATGTCAGATGGCTTGAGCCACCAAGTTGACTCAAATTCACAACCGCGAGTTCAACAACAACGTACAATTCCATCAATGTTTCGAAGAGATGGCAACATGGCGTGTTCCATGTCCACTGCAACAAAATAACATGCCCTTTAGGTTAGCGACCAGATAGAATCGATAAGGCACCGGGAAAGATATCTAGTAGATCCTGACCGCGACTGAGCGCAAGTTTAGTTCAATCAAGGACTCCTAGAAACCCGGATATCGAAGGTATTCAAGCAGTGGACGTGATTTGGCTCCAGTTCCAACACGTCTTCGACAGCTACGGCATTACACCCTCCCAGGAAGTACGGGTGCGTAGCGCGGATTTTCCAGCCTGTGGTTAGCTCAAACCCTTCTCAGGAACCTCAAAGGGGTGCTTTCCATAGTTTCTGCGCTGAATCTGCTATGGTTTACTGAGAACTTCCCTTCGCGCGGTGAAAGAGGCCCTTAAAAGTCCTATATCCATGTAAGGGGATTGGCTGTTACCCTTGTAACGATTTGCCGCTGAGTATCCGTACTTCCTGGGAGGGTGTAGAAGATACCGTGGAGGTCTCAGTGAAGCGCCCGGTCGTTTCTAGATCGAATGAAACGGACGGCTGAAAGGCTTCGTTGATTTCAGTCTCTATCATCGGAAAGAAGATGGAGAAAGGAATGCTGGCGTGGGGCTAGTGGGGCGATCTTACCCGGCAGGCCTTATGTAAGCATGTGCTTCACCCTTCCGAGGTCTGCCGTCACTCCTACAAGTTCTTCGCATGCATCAATCGATGAATACATCTCGCTAGCCCGACGAAGCTAAATGTCGAACTAGAAACGCATGCGCCTATTCGAAGAGCTGCCACGCATTGTTGATGGTATGGTCAACAGTTCTGCATCATGCTAAATGTCCATGCCTAGCCCGGCTCATATGTGCCTCGTAAAGAGCGTACTGATTTGCTACTTGTCTTCATTCCATCGTATATGCGCGTTCCCAGTAGCTCTTATTGTGGATTGTCTTAAAGTCCATCTGTAATAGTAGTCCATGGCAGGTACCTTTCGTCGCGTCGCGCCGGAGCCTCGGGCTATCTCTCCACGTTCTCCATTATTCCTCGGTCGCATGATCGACCGCCCGATGGAACTTTCCGCTTTCGCCATCAACACCGACTACCCCGCAAACTAGGTTGATTGATTACCTTACGAGCAGGGGCGCGGGAATTATGATAGGTGGAATGCAAGTCATTGCGGCGATGAACACATGCAGCACCATTTAGTGACGATGGAGCACAAGAAGCCGCGGAAACGTACAAATTCAAGAGCAAGCAGGTACAACATCTACAGCTCCACGGTAATCTCTCGCCTCGGTCATGTATGCAGAGTCGCTGCTCTTGCTTGGATGCTTGACGCTCACGGCTACAGCCAAAAGCGTCAAATCCCCGACTCCGCCAATGGGATGGAATACCTACAATGCTTACAATTGTAACCCTTCCGAACAGAAGGTCAAATTGAATGCGCAGGGTCTCATCGATCTTGGACTCAACAAGCTCGGCTATAACATCGTCACGCCGGATTGCGGCTGGAATGCTCGGTCGCGGGATAGCACGAATAAGTTGCAGTGGAACGCGACTTTGTTCCCCTCGGGCGGAAAAGCACTTGGTGACTACTTGCACGGGCTGGGCTTGAAATTTGGCCTGTACTCAGGCGCTGGATACCTCCAGTGCGGCTCGACGGATATTCCGGGTTCCCTTGGTAAGTACTAGACACAAGAAGTGTCGGTGGTTATTGACGTTGGCATAGGTTATGAGGACGTAGATGCTCAGTCGTTTAGTTCGTGGGGTGGCGATTCATTGAAGTGAGCATGCCTTAGGTTTGATCAGCGTAACTATCTGACTCTTGCGAGATACGATAATTGCTATGCGACATCGAAGACCATCATGGTCGACTCTGACTCAGCAGAAGCGAAGTCGCCTACGCGTTTCCAGAAGATGGCCACGAGTCTAGAGGCAGTAGATCGATCGTTCCAGTACTTCATATGCCAGTGGGGCATCGGAGAGAATGTGGGAAATTGGTAAACCTCTTCAGCACGAAATCCTTGTTATCGGAGCACTGACCTTCAATAGGGCATCGAAGATTGGTAATACATGGCGTATGAGCAACGATATATATAACGCATGGCGTTCCATATGGCGCATTACGAACCAGGTAGTGCCTTATTGGAGAGATACCAGGCAAGGTGCTTTCCCTGACATGGGTACGCAATGCCCGGGTACGAAGCCGATCTGTCTTAGACATGAACACTTCGTACCATCTCCGCTTTTATGACTTAGCTGACTTCGTACCTGCGCGTCTAGACATGTTGCTTGTCGGTTTGAATGTGCTCTCCGCCGAAGAAGAGCGCTTCCATTTTGGCATGTGGGCGATCAACAAATCACCTTTAATGCTCGGCGGTATTCTTGACAGTAAGCTGTCGAAAACATCGCTCGCCATCATCTCCAACAAAGAAGTCATCGCCATCAACCAAGACTCCCTCGGGAAACAGGCACAGCTCGTACGCCGCTACACTGTAGAAGAATGGGACATCTGGTCCGGTGAGCTCTCTGTTTCGCGAAAGGTCATTGGTATCGCGAACTGGAGGAACCAGTCTCAGACTGTTGTCGTAGATCTTGCGAGTCTAGGAGTCTCATCCGCCATAGTGCGCGATGTGTGGGCCGCTAAGGATGTCGGCTCGCTCTCCGGAACGCAGAGCGTCAATCTTGCAGCACACGAGCTGAAGCTGTGGGTTCTTTCCAACGTCACTACCGCTAGTACGCCCTCTTCTACATACTACCAAGCAGCGTCAGCAACATTGGCTGGGGGGACCTCAGTCACCACATGCCCTTCCGGCAAGTGCCTTCCTGCTGGCAAGAAAGTGGGTAACATCGGATCGGGAGCCACTGTCACTTTCAATTCTGTCGCCGCTAAGAAGACAAAGTTGCTCGTAGGCGTGGACTTCATCAACTACGACTATGCTTTCACGACAGCTTGGGACTGGGGTTCTAACACCAGGAATATGACCGTCGCAGTTAACGGTGGCTCGCCCAAGAGGTGGGCATTCCCTCTGTCGGGAGAAGACTGGTATGAGACTGGTCGGCTTAATGTTGAGGTTGATGGGCTCAAGGTTGGTTCGTCGAATCAGATTGTGTTTGCTAATGTTGATACTGCGTGGGCGCCGGACCTAGTCGGTATCGAAGTCTTCGGGTAAACTAGCAACCGCGTAGACACGGTCACGAAGCCCCCAGTCAATATGCACCATTCCATTGGAACTGTGGTATTTGAAAAATATGTCTACAGTTGCTAAGCGGTATCTTTACCTAAACGACGCCTGAACCTCTACCAAGAACTCCCCTAAGCCGACTTCTGCCAAAGCACCAAGCCAATAACATCGCCGAGTCCTGCTTTCTTAAACCATTACGTCTAGAATGGCGATGGGTTCGAGATCTTGTGCAACGCAGTACCTGTGCTACTCCAAGCCCTCTCGATCCTCCTGTATCGCTGGGCTATCCTGTCTCTCCTCTGCTGAGTAAGGCTACGATCACGCTGAGCCCGAGTGTTGAGGGCAGAGATGTCGCGAAGCTTTGTCGTGATCTCAGTCGAGAGGTTGTTCAGGCGTGTTCTCATGTAGCTGGTAATCCAGGCCTCCCACTTGTCATCGAGCTTCTGGTCCTTCCAGGCTTCACCTGGAGCATCTCTGTACTTATTGTTGTTCTTCTTGATTGCCCAGTAGTCTTGGGTGCTTGACTGCTAGTTGTTAGTTGTAGTCAATGAGGGTTCGAAGAAATTACTTACCATAAAACCACCTGTAGATTCCATCCTGGTGAGACGGTCGCTAATACGCTCGGCAACTTTTTCGAAACTGTCGCGGATATCGGCGTGGTTCATGTACTTGACAAGTCAGTCGATATTTTCCTGCGGAGATCAAGAAGTCTTACCTTAGCGAGGAGGATGCATTCTCTTAGCGCATCGACTTTACCCCAGTAATCCAGGTTGTTCCACGTCGTGCGGCCAATGCAGGAACCCGCGTTTGCTGAGAAGATGGACTCTTTCTTACGGTTAATGCCATGAGGCAAGAGCGCCAGTTCTTTTGTGTATTGATTCGTGCCAGGATACACCTCAAGCAAGTAGTCCATAGCTGTCTTGCCCCCGGTGCCTTTACGATCGTCCCAAAAGTCGCCCATGTACCTCTCAGCACGGACGGTCGTGAATTTACCAATTTGACCAGTGTTTGTATTCCGTGACCACCACGTCGTTGGCAGTCCGGATGCTGGAAGATGGACGTTGAGATATTCAAAGAACTGCTGGACAATTTGTGCATCCATGACGTGTTCGGTATCCCATCTCTCGCCGTTAACAAGACCGGCTCCCTGGGCAGCAGGATACCCGACTACCCTGAGATTGTAATCATCATCACAAGGATCGGGATCGCGGGTACCGTAAGCCTTCATGCCGACTGTTTGGTAGCGTCCTACACGAATGGCATCTCCACCAGTGGGATGTGTCGGAAATTCCATGTAGATTCTGCCAGCGTCCAGTGTCTTCCTATCACGTTTTTGAAGGCTCTGCGGTGTCTTGTAAGTGGAAGCAGTCAAGATGTAGGACTCGTAGATTCTTACTAGGATTTCTACTGTGAGATCTTCCTCTCGCTTGACACCCTTCTTTCCTTTGGTCTTCGTTCCCTTGCTCTTGCTGCCCTTCGCACCTTTCTTCGGCTTGCAGCTACCGTAAGGGTCCTTGGCAGACTTGGTCTTCGAAGCAGACTTCGACACACTCTTGGACTTGGTCGGGTTCAGCTTCGCTTTGGAAGTCACCTTAGGCTTCGCAGACTTGGTTTTGCTACCCGTCTTCTTCTTCTTCTTTGGTGTAGTCTTCTTCTTGGGCGTAGTCTTGGTAGGCTTACGAGACGTCCTGCTGCTACCACTTCTTCCTTTTCTCTTCACTAGTTCTGCAACAGGGACCAGGAACTCAGTGCCAGTATTTCCGTGAGGTAGATAATCACCAGCTAAAGAAGTAGTGTTGTGATCGTCGTCAATGATCAAAGCTGTGTTAATGTTCTCGGTTGGTGCAGCTGCAACTCCCATCCGGTACGCCAGAAGGCACACCGAAAGAACGCTCGCCGTGTTAAGACGCATCTTGGGCACCAGCCACTAGACTAAAAATGATGATAAGAGTTTAACCAATGAGTGAATGTAAGTAGTGGCAAAAAGAATGGACGCCTTTTTAGGCAAGAAACGAAAGTTACGACACAGTTAAGCGATAATCTTCCATGGCTGCCACGGGGGGCATCTCTTTATGTATCCAGGCTGTCGGACATCGTATAGTGCAGTTTCCTTAGCCTGAAAATCTGTGGTGCGATGAAATAACATCCGATGGCGAGTGCACTACGACCACCACAAGGCGCGCCGCCCAGCGGAGAATCCTTCTTGATTGGAAAATCCGGGTGCAGCGGTTCCCATAATCAAGCAATGGGTAGGAACAGGGTTAGCCTCCTCCTGCCTTCGGCATTCGTGGGTGTCGGTACTTGGCCCCATAAAGCGGTACCAATTAACATTTCCACCCCCAAGTTCTGGGGCTGCAGCGAAGTCCGGAGTGGGTGTCTGATGTGCGACTCATTGCAGGGACAGGGGCTCGTATTTGGGGTATGGGGGCCGGGAACGCTTCGCACATTTCTCTTGCACATTGCGAGAAGAGCAAGCGCTCCTCATGCTAGTGAATTGCGGTTCGACGCTTTGTTGCAGTGAAAAATGCTATGGACCCGTTGTTGATGAGCGCGCTTCGCTGAATTCCACGATGTCCTCCACTGCCTGCCTCTGGAGCATTTGGGTGGACAGCTACCCAGGTATGAAGTCCTGAGACTATTCTCGGAACTCGCGTTGATGTTCGGATCCGATCGGGATCGGTCGCGTTCCAACGTATCGGAATTGCAAACGCGTTGGTGCGACATCGACGCTGGGTTTAGATGCTGACGTAGCCTTGGGTGCCTCGTTCGCCTAACAGCCCCGCCGCTACGGACATTACCCTTACGCGCCCCCTGTCAACTCTAATTTGGCATACTCGAACGCGCCAGTACACCTTTGGCCTATCTTTGACGTCGCCGCTCAAGCTTGAAAGGAAACGGGCATAAAACAAAGACACCGCGACTAATTGGACGCTGCATATACCGGACCCATGGCAAACCTGGAGGCGCTTCCAAGTGAACTTCTGGCTCGGATTATTTCGTTCTCCGACAGGAATTCACTTGCACAGTTCAGACTCACGAGTAAGAGATTAGAAGAAATTGCAGTTGCAAAGCTGTTCGAAAGAGTTACGCTTTATGCTCATTGGGCAAAAGAGAGCGATGACGAGGAGGAAGAGAAGGCAGACTGCGATCACAATCACGGAATTGATACCGAAGATACCGAAGAAGTCAATCGAAGAGACACTTTCAAGAGAAATGATCAAGCAGTGGAACAAGACGAAGCAGGCGACTTCACAGCTGGGTCAGACCTAGAGCAAGATCAAAGAAACGTAGTCGAAAGGTCTAATCGAGCAATGCAACAAGACGAAGAGGATGGGTTTGTAGCTGGCTCAGACATAGACGAAGATGACCTACCTGAAACTGGAATGGATGGCGACTTGGAACTTAGACCACGTATTCGTGATGAGGGCTCCAGACAGGAGCAATCGACAGACGAGATTGATTTGTTTGCAGAAAAAACAAACCAGCTGTCCCCTCACCCCGACCCTTTTAGCGGACGACTTGATGACTTCCAACTGTACGAGGAGCAATGCCGGCAGAAGTGGGAAGCAAGCAGGCCTCAGTGGGCCCGTGAAGATTTCCCCGGCCCCTCTGACTACGATGCCACTGTGTTCAGAAACATTATGGAGAATGATCGACTGAAGAAATACGCAAAGGAAGTGCAAGTGTACACTTGCGAGACGCACTGTGTGAGCAGGAACATCACATTGCAGGTCAGATTAAGCTAATGGTTGTGACAGGACCATCACCCTAGGACTAGAGCCGACTTGTATCGTGAATCATGGCCAAGGCCGAATTTCCACCCTGTCTATAAAGAATGCGTCGAACGGCTTGCTGAGTTTCCAAGTTTGTGTGGATTGACAGTGCATTTCGATCGCCATGGAGCTAGATCAGATGATGATGAGGTTTTCCAAGATGCGGATTTCCAACATAAGTGGTTAGAACACATTGTGCAGTCAACCAACAACAACATAAGCAATATCGCCGTTCGCCACTATGAGAACCCACAAGATGAAGAAGGTGCGGAAACCCATACGCCGCATTTCTTGCATAAAGTCGCAACAGCTTCCTCATTGCGACTAAGTGTGAAGCACGAGGAGATGCATCCAGGTTCGGGTACAACATATCGCGTAAGTTGCCCTACTGTAAAACATCTTGAAAATCATCCTGACTTGTCAAGGATGGCCGTATACACCCCTTCTGGAAGACTTTCCCAGCCCAATTACTCCAACCAGCCAGCGATACCCTCACAACCCTCGTCCTGTACTCCGACCTGCCCCTCGGGTGGTTTCCGAAACTCGACCTTCGAGCTGTGCACCTCCCAAAACTGTCATCGCTCACACTCGGCCACCATGTTTTGCACCACGATCACCAAGTAAACTGGATCATATCGCACCGTGACACACTACGCGAACTGATCCTCGACCGATGCTCCGTACTCTACCAGATTGGCTGCAGCATCCACAACTGGCTAGACGATGATGGTTATCCCAGGAACGTCGACCAATTTGGAGAGTACGGATACTCAGCTGATCCCAATGATGAAGACCCTGCGGAGTTCGAGCGTGAGCTCCTTTTGAAGTCCAATGATGTCCGCTGGCATACCGTGTTCTCCCGCTTCGCATCCTCTCTTCTCAACCTGCGAGAGTTCCGCTTCGGAAGCTCGACGGAGTGGGATTTCAATACCACGACTCGCCATTTTCGCGCTGGCGCGGTTACTCACATGCCTATCATTCCCTGGGAAGACGAGCACAATATCAAAAGTGGGCTGTTTGAGGAGAGATATGTCATCTGGGACGATTGGCAGAACGAGTACCGCTCGAAGTGGTTCGAAAAGGATTCGCGTGGAAGAAACAAGTTTGGGGACGGGTGGCAGGATGAGTGGCTGGCAAGGTTGGAGGATTATCCCTGGTGTGGGAAGGAAGATGGAGATGCACTGCAGGCATTACTACAGGCTGTTGAGGGTCGATAAGGTGAGGGACAAACGTAGGACGAACAAATTGAACAGGTAGTTTATCATAGCGTAAGCATCCTTGAGATCTTTTCGGAGATGCCTCATGTATCCTATGATGCATCCTTAAGGCCGCGGAAGTAAAACGTGAATGCTCACAACGCCCAATCAGATCACAAGGATCAGGCTAATATAAACCGTCCTGTACGTGAATGTCGAGAACGATGCTGCCGCACATGACGCGATTCGCTGCGAGTTTCACTACGCTCCTTTCGCTTTCGCGGCTCTCCCTTCTCGGCGAGTCATGGAAATTGTTCGAAGGGCAAATTGATCTGCTCAGTGATGTGCTCTAGGATGGCTAAGATCTTCTCGTCCTCGAATCTTCTACCTATTAGTTGCAGACTGACGGGGAGCCCGTCGAATTCTTCCGGATCCCACAATTCCCGGTTGTATGTGTCGTGTTCACTGAGCGATTTGGGGTCCCCCACCCACTTGTCTATCTGCTTATCCACCTTCGTTACAGGAAACGCAACGCTAGGATAGTCGAGCAGGTTCCATTGCGAAGTATACCACCAGTACTTCGCTGTGTTGTGCTTGGGTGCCACACCTGGCCCGACAGGGCAAAGTACAGCGTCTACGCCTAGCTCGTTCCAATGCAACGCGTACTCCTTGCGATATGCCTCGCGCTCCTCTAGCCAGTATGTCACTTCGCCGACATCGAGCTTCTTGACGCACGCATTTTGCGTGATGATCCATTCGGATAGCGGTCTCCAGGGCTCACCTGAAGAATTGATGGCTTCACCGTCTGCTTCGCCGCCATCGGTGAAGTAGAGTGATGCGATGATGGCCCAGGCTTCTTCGTGTAGATAGGGTTTGAAATCCACGATTTCGATGCCTTGCTCTTGGAGGCGGTCTGCCACCGTCTTCAGAGCTCGGGTTATTGGCGGGTGGGGCCTTACAATGCGGTCGTCCCATAGCACGCCGATTCTCAATGGGCGGTCTTTTGGAAGTACAAAACTTCGCCAGGGAAATGGTAGTAGGGCAGGTTCAGTCAGCCATGGCTGCGAATCTATGACTGTCTTCATGAACAGCTTGAGACCCGATAAAGACACCGACATGGGACCCAGGACAGATTCGACGGTATCAGCACCAGCCATTATGTAACCCCAGCCATCCGTCGGTATCCGGAAAGCCGTCGGTTTGATACCATACACGCCGCAATTCGCGGCCGGGCTGCGTATCGAGCCGCCCACATCAGAGCCAATTCCAAGGCATGAGCCGTGAAGAGCAAGTAGGGCTCCTTCTCCGCCTGAACTGCCACCAGCAGAGAGGTTGCTATTATACGGGTTGTTTGTGACACCGTATAGATTTGAGTCGGTTTCGAGATGCATCATCGTTTGTGGTATAGTAGTCCGGCAGTGAAACACAGCACCGGCTTTGCGTAGGACCTGCAGGATGTGTGCATCCTCTTTCGGAACATTGTCCCAGTGGGAAATGTAACCGGTAGTGCAACGTAGACCTTCGAACCCTACATGCTCTTTGACACTAATCGGGAGGCCGTGCAGAGGGCCTATGGGTTCTTGGTGTTCTTGGAAGTACGCGTCGAGTTCTTTCGCCCGCTCCAAGGCTTGCGTTGCTAGAAGTTCGGTGAGACAGTTGACAAGGCCCTGTGCGACAGCAGCTCGTTGTAGATAGGCAGTGGTGACATGAAGCGCGGACAGCTGGCCAGTGGAAAGCAATGAGAGAAGTTGCTCGGGGGGCAAGTCGGTGATGGATACAACTTGGGGATGCAGGAGCTTTTGTGGAATCGACAAGACATTCTTAGGCAGCTCTGTTGGTATTTTGGGTGCTGGTGGATGAAGCGTGCTGATAGTCGAATCACGATATACCTGGGCTTCCTCGGCTACTTCTTTCCATGGTCGCTCCGGCTTCGCTTTGGGGGCCATCTTGACCGATCAACGGTCCCGAGCAAATTTCGAGGTGGTGTAGATCTGGGATACTGCAACGTGGATTGCGCGTGCGGTGCTCAGCTCTGCCTTTATAGCAACCTCGCAGGAGCTGTCAACCCACCAGGGCAATAATCCGAACAGTCATGGTGAGGGGCGCGACGCATGGCGGGCCGAGATGCAGCTGCACGAGAGCGATGCGGGTCGTGCTGATTGGATCGCGCGGTGAGGCTGTTGCCAAATTTCATGAGTCGCTATCGCATTCGTTTTCGCTTGCAAGCGGGAGGAACTGCTTTTGAGTAGTGGCAGAAATGGCAGGGATCACGATGACGGTGACAAACGTGGCAGCCACTGTGGCGGCGGCCGCTATCGATAGGGGCCGCGTCCAAAGTTTGTCGCAGAAAAAAAAAGCAATCGTCGAGGGAGACTATCACACTCGCGCTTCTCCCGCTCTCTTTGTCTGCAATCGGTGTGCTAGAGGACTTTCACTCGCTGGTCCTTCCTTCCGCTATAGGTAGATAGCCAATGAAGTCATTGTTTCTTTCACGTCATCTTTCGACCCCGTCGCGCCTGCCTTCGCTTCATCTGCAGCGTGCCTTCTCACCTCAACCACAGCTTTCGACCCTAACCTCCTCCGTAACTCTTTCCCCTCTCAATCAACCACGCCACATCTACACACTCTTCGGAGCAATGCCACCTCCACCCAAACGTCGAGGCGGCGGTCGCGGCGGCCGTGGTGGAAAGCGACCCGGGTCGCCATACACGGTACGAAACATGAGCGACGGGCGGCCACCGCGCGCCACACAGGAGCAGGGGCAGGAGCCTCATGCGCACGCGCGTGCGGCACCTACAGCAGATACGCAACCTCGCCTTATCGCGACGGAAGGTCAAAAACCCTTCTCAGACATGAAGGACACTCTGTACGTAGCTTGGGAGACACCCTACAGTCGAGAAGCCAGAGCTCGAGCCTGTTGGCCTCTACGTTACCTGTTTTGGGGTGACGTAGAGTACTCGGACTCTTGGTATGCGCACATCCCCTTCTCCGCCCTGAATGTCATGAGAGATTTGTTGCTGACTTGAATAGTCACCCTGCCCTATTAGAAGGAGTAGACGCGATGGGCTTCAAGTTCATGTCTCCAGTACAGGAGAAGGTATTCAGCGAACTGCCATCGCTTTCATCTGATTGCTTAGTTCAGGCCAAGACTGGAACCGGCAAGACGGCGGCCTTCCTGCTTCCGGCTATACAGAATCTTCTATCTGGCAATATGCCGCGTCGTGGCGGTGTTGGCATCCTCGTCATTTGCCCTACGCGTGAACTCGCTCTGCAAATCGCCAAAGAGTGCCAGGATATAACTTCGCGTCTACCGCAAAAGCTTGACTGCCACACCGCCTTCGGTGGCACTCAGCGTGCTTCGAGCTTGAAGCGCTTCCTGAGCGGCAACCCGAGTATTCTGGTGGCCACTCCAGGTCGTCTTGACGATATTCTAGGCGAGGAGGAAGTTCGGGAGAGATTCGAAGGTCTCAAGACGCTTGTACTGGACGAAGCTGACCGTATGCTGGACGCTGGTTTTGCGCCCGCGATCCATAAGATTCTGAAACGGCTACCTCCCAAGAGCAATGGCTGGCAGGGCATGTGCTTTTCGGCGACTCTGCCGGAACGCGTGAACGATGTGGTGAAATGTGTGCTGTTCCCTGGCTATACCTCGCTCTCAACCATCGACCCCAACGAAGCCCCGACAGTTGCTCGTGTTCCCCAGTTTTCTGTGTTGTTGAACTCGGTCAAGCAAACCTTCCCAGCTCTCCTAGCGGTTCTGCAGAAGGAGTACGAGTCCAACCCGGATGATTTCAAGGTCGTCGTTTTCGGGACCACCGCCAACGGCGTAGGTATGCTCTACGACCTCTGCAAACTGGCCCTACCTCAATTCAGGACGTTCGAGCTACATAGCCGTATGAGTCAAAACTCTCGGACCCGGACCACCGGCGAGTTCAAGGAAGCGCCCCGTGGCATTTTGATTGCCTCTGATGTGGTAAGTACAACGTTGCGTGTTGCCCGAGGCTATACATACTAAGAATCATAGGTCGGGCGCGGCATGGACTTCCCCAACGTCAGTCTAGTAGTCCAACTTGGTCTCCCCATGGATACAGAACAGTATGTTCATCGAGTCGGACGCACAGCACGAGCTGGTCGGGATGGCAGAGCGGTCATCATATTGTTCTCCAACGAAAGCTTCTTCATCAACACCAATCCCACTCTGCCTATAAAGCCCTACCCAACAGACATCGTGGCCGAGCTGCCCAAGTACCAGGCACTGGTTGACAAATCGTTCCCCCGGGTCGACGAAGTTGCTAAGGCGAAAGCTTACCAAGCCTTCCTCGGATACAACAAAACGTACCTCAAGAAGTTGAAGTTGCAGCCGAAAGAACTCGTGCAGCTTGCCAATGACTACGCGTACGCAATGGGGTGCCCCGAGCCTCCAATGATCGAGAAGAAGGTCGTGGGCAAGATGGGATTGAAAGGAGTACCTGGGCTAAGAATCGGCACGAGGGAGAGAGATTGATGTGGTGTTGAGACAAATATCGTTGGTGCTTGAGATCGCGATCTTGAGAAATTGATATTGGATTGGACGTTTGGAGCTTTTGATAGGGAAGGGTGAGGTTCTAGCTTCAATACCACGTTACTCGTGGGGCCGGATGAGGGACACAGCACACCTTGTTGGTTCACTTCCACTTTTCGGCTTTGATGAGACGCGCTGAGAAGCGCGTCTCGTATCAACTGGAAGTGATTGGATCGCGTATGTCGCAACACCCACGGAAGAGTCCGCAGTGCCTTCGGCGCAACGGTGACATGATCCGATCTCTAGCCGCCGTTGATCATCGCAAATCTCGGCTTTTGATGCGGCGTTCAGCCACGGTTCGATCACCGCCCGGTTTCGGGAAGTTCAAAGTGGTACGAGGCAAGGGATGGTGACGAATGTGCCGAAGGTCAATTACACTTCCCAAAAATCAAATCAAAGTTCCCTCATACTCATTCTCATGGATGAATCTCGACTGCGAGCCTTTGCGAACTATCAGCATCGGTTCACCATTCTCTTCTGCAGTGTTCCAGAACAGCTTGTCGCATGTCGTAAAAAGGTCACGATGCACATAGAGGCCGGCCTCGACGCTCAAAGAAGATGTCAATGAGTGAATTGCGGATGGTTACACGAGACAGCCACGTTTCTGTTCTGCCTGTCGGTAACGCCGTTAAAAGTATCTGTACAACTGTTCACCTGTTTACCCATACTAGCGGTACCTGAAGTACAGACACAGGCACTGCTGTACATCCCTTCCTTTCACCTGAATTGATCAAGACTCACATCGCCAAGGGTATTGGCTGCCCGCCGGGACACTGGTTGACCTGAACATCCGCGACCTTGGCCCTGGACCTGCGCAAGCGAGAGTCAACTGTGTGTGTGTGTACAGAGTCAAGGTGACAAAGGCCTTGCATCCTCAACTACGTTCTATATTCGGCAAGCGAGCTTGATGGCGAAACACAGCCACACACGAAAACTTTGTGGCCAAGTTGCTGCGTGTATCACATATTTGGCGGTAGCTTAACCCTCGACATGTCTTCTTAGCTTTCTCCTGAGTACTCTAGCGTCAGGTCGAAGCGGCTATCGTGTGATTCTCCTCAGCGCCGTGGTGTCTTCTCTAACCTAAACAACTCAATCGTGATGGCCATGGTCTCGGGATACTGCGTTGTTGCGTTCGAAGTTGCTCAGCCGCCTCATGATTGCCAGACATCCAATCTCCTCTGTAATTACCATCTGATCGGCCATGATACTTAACCCGCTCAATCGGACATTTATGCACCCATCATCGAGCAATCACATTCGCTTCATCAGCTCTTTCGACCATTCGCTTCATTCTCTACTTACCAGCGCCATGAGGATTCCTACTGTGTTGGCGGCTCTCGCAGTTGCCCCGGTTATTTCTGCTCAGAGTGTCACTTCGGCAGCGACGAGTGTTTCGACTGTCTTTTCCACAGAGACCGGTCTTCCGTGCTCTACACTCAGAGGACCGACCCCTTTCGTTATTTTCGGTATCACGACCAGCTTCCAATTCACCTACACCGTGACGCAGAACAACACCCTCCCCCCGACCACACTCCACTCGGCAAACACTGTCACCGTTACGCGCAACTCGACCACGGTGACGAGTCTCGTGACAACAACCGCCACTGCCACTGTCACGAGCACGAGTACGCCTGCTGCAGTCACTGTCTCGCCGGTAAGCAGAGCCCTGGTACACAATGAATACTTCATTGGCAAGATGAACTGATGGCTATCAAAACATCATGGACCATTTGAAGTATCTAGTGCCGTTTCCCAATTTTTTACAATCTGTTGATTAATCGTTTCTCCGTCTAGTCGCCCGGTTGGCTTCCACTTCAGGGTGCGCAGGCTGTTGCGTCAGCTACACCTCTTCCGCGCATCGCCCGTGGTCAGCTCCAGGGCCAATCGACGCCTTTCGATCTCTTCAAGCGCGAAGAGCCCATCACCAGGCAGATTGGATGGATTGCAGACCCCAACACTGGGGATCGAGTGCCACTTGAGCAGACCTGGTACACTCTCGCCATCTTCTGCCCCATCCGTATCACACAAAGCCTTGAGTACCATGTCACGGACCCAGAAGTTACCACCACTCAGCAAGCCACTGGTACGGCTGTTGCTACTACCACTGTTACCACAACTACGTCCATGCTTGTGTCGGCGGCAACGCCAACCTTCTGGGCTGCTTGCCAAGCTAATAACATTGGTAATTTTTGCAAGCAATGTTTTATCACGCATAAGAGCTAACCCAAGAACAGTGAACCACATCGACTACGACAACAACGGCCTTCCCATGTACTTCGATGGCGTCTACTTCAGGCGCGGAAGCGGCAACAACACGGATATCAACGAAATTGGCGTAGATGCCACAGACCCAGTAGACTGTTGCATCAAGTGCCAGTCTGCAGTAAGTCGTACCTCTGTTCCACTCAAGAGCTCAGCTAATTCTCACACCCCCGTTCCAGGCCGAAGGTTGCTCCGAAGCCTTCTTCGTCCCCGGCGAAGGCAAATGCCAGATGCGCCTCCGCCGCACCATCTCTCCCGTCCAGTCTGGCCTTCCTCTGCCTTCCGAATTCCCCACCGGAACCGCCACGGGTGCCATCGCTGCTTCGACCGGCGGCGTCAACATCAATGCTGTCTGCCCCGGCGGTTCTCTGAGCGACTACGTGGGTGTGATTCGCGGCCGCGAGAGCTTCAAGCGCGAGCTCGCGTGGAGCTTCACCAATGGGCCATGTGGCCGTCTGAGCGTGAACACAGTGCCCCAGGATTTTCCGGGCAATGTGACGACCCCGAGCGAGACGGCAGTGGGTGTGCTACCGGTGTCGACGCCGTTCAAGAGGGCTGTCAAGCTTCTGTCTTAAGCTTCCGAACGGGTAGAATTTCTACTTCTCTCTAGACGGAGGGGGATGTTGTAGGTGTTCTTGTCTTCTTCTTTCCATCGAACCTCTAGGGCTGTTTCACTGGTTAGTTTAGTTTGAGTTGCCCATGTCGCTCTTTTAGCAATCCCGGGCTGAGTTTGGATTTGGGTCTGATCGGGCGTTGGGTTTGGTTTTGGCTTCGCTGTAGAACTTTGCGGTCTCTCGCCGAGGCCCGCGCGAATAAAGCGTCTCTTTACGAATCCTCCTGTTCCCGAAGACTGGATTTGAGTGAGCCATAGTGAGGTCTGACACAGGGACTTGAAGGAATGAGAGGAGATTGTGGAATGCTTCATGTGACTGACTGCGAGAGACAGGATGGAGTCGACGTCTAGGACAATTCGTGCCCCTATGTCTAGAAGGCCTCGAGGCCGATCATGGAGAGGAGCATGTCCGGTCATGTTACCTCTTTGAACACATGCATGGACAATTATCTGTCTCATGTTATGCGACAGATGCGCCAACCAAAGACTTTGTTTTGTCGACATGGGTCGACGAAATCATGTGACAAGTAAACATCAACATCACAGTGCATCGTCACAACTGCTGGTCGTGATGACATGTTGTGGGGCCACACCTCACATGTATCTGTCGGAAAACGGACCACGGCATCAGGCGAGGTGGTGACACCATCGTAAATGCTCCAACGGGGCCCCGCAGTGTAACCACGGTGACAGGTCATAGAGAAGGGCAGCGGAAGGTCTCCGTGAAGCAGCTCGCGAGGACGCGGAAGGGCGGCTCACAGATGTTGCTTGGATGTTAGTTTAGAAACAAGCGGGCTCGCTCAACGGACACGGAGATGGGTTGGAGCCGAGCAGGTGGGCAGGGCGAAGTGGGCGCTGCTGGCGTGGATGCGGGACCAGATGAGGTACGAGGATGCGGTACCGAGCGTCGTCGTGTTCTTGCCCCTCGCATGAGCTAGATTGCGTCTGCGGGCGCCACAGACAGTCTCTTTGCGCGAGGTTCCGCGGCAGTCGATGTCTGGTCGCCTCGGTGGTGCATTGGACCTCATCTCGTCGACGGCGTGCACAGAGCAGGGCTTTTGCCCAACTGTCGTGTCCCAGGGCGATCGCGATGCGTTCGAGCGATTGCCGATAGCGCGCTTCGGTTCACGCAGCGCCGGCTGAAGGCCTCCAAGGTGGATCCCCTGCAGGCGACGTGCGTGGAGAGGCTTGGTTGGTGGAGCGCTGAGGGGTGCAGGCATGGTGCCTGGCAGGCCGGGCGCAGTTTCAGCGACGCCGTGGTTCGCGGCCAGATGCACGCGTCGATAGGCTGCAGAGCGCCGGCGTCTGGCACAGGCGATCGAGTCGCAGACAGCGCGGAGGGCCTGCGAGGATGCTCCCCGGCGCTGCTTGTCCACGTCGCGCCTGATTGGGCCGCGCTCCCTTGCGCCTTCCTTGCGTTTGCGGCCAAGGACAGAGCACTCTGCTGTTCCAAGGTCCCTCGCCCGCAACCAACCAGTCCAGACTCCGATCCTCTTTGTGCCCTGGCCTCACCACCTCCTCCACCGCCGCCGCAATCGCCCTTTGCTTCCTCTCCACGCCCGCGCACCGAAGCAGCCGCTCCGCCGTCTGCAGTCTCGGCCACGACAACCGTTTGCCAGCCCACTTGCTAGCTGCGTCGATCGCACATTCCGTCACCGTTGCTTGTTAGCGCCTTGCAAGCGAGCGCTCCGCTGCCTCATCCAGGCGCCGCACTGGTAAGAAGCCCTGCCTGCCCGAGCACCTCCTTTCTAATCCACACCGCCAGCAACACCGTGCCAGAGCCTCAACGTCTTCTCGCCTTACCCGTGACTGCCCTCTCCCTGCCCGTCTGCGACACTCTTCTCGGCCGCCGTCACCGCAATCTCCCACAACACCACACCCGCCGGGGCTGCCCCATCACCCGAACGGTCCCAATCTGAGAAGCTACACGCGATTTCACGCGTCATAGCGCCCCACGACTATATACAAGCCTAGAACAGGCCGTCGACGCCGTGTTCATCATGGCTGCTACGCGTCGACACGCTTCACTGCAGATTTTTCAGGACTCCATCCACCCACAGGACCATCACGAGGTCGCAGCCTTCGACCCGCAGTACCTGGACGCATTCCCACCCGTCACCGACGTGTCAAACCACTCCCACACCCTACTGGCACCGCCGCAGGCCTTCGCACAGGATCGCTCACCGCGAAAGACACGCCACGTCTCTAGCTCTCCTCCACCCAGCGCCCTTGCCGAAAGGGACCTCAACTCAGTATCTCTACCACCACCCCGAGAGCCGCAATTCGAGACCGACGCGCCCATGAAGAAGGCTCCTAGGCCATATGGCGGTCAGGCTCACGTCATGGCCCCCAATCCAAACTTCTTTGCCAGCTTCCCAGGCCACATGGACAAAGAGAACGTATACGCGTTGCCGGAAACATCACTACCCAAGCTCGCTGCCTCAGAGCCGCCAGTCAAGTCTGTGAACAAGAGGCCACTCGGGGACGCAGCCCAACCCCGAGACCGAAGCAAGAAGCCGAAGATACGGGAAGCACGCTTGGTAGAGGAAGATGGCCCACTCCCTGGACCCGACGAGATGCCTGCAGTGGACGATGATGGACTGAAGCCGCCGTACAGCTATGCACAGCTCATCGGAATGGCCATTCTGCGCGCGCCCAAACGTCAATTGACACTCGCCCAGATCTACAAGTGGATCTCAGACACATTTGCCTTCTATCGCAACTCGCAGGACACCGGTTGGCAAAACAGCATCCGTCACAATCTGTCCCTCAGCAAGAGCTTCAATAAGATGGAGCGTCCCAAGGACGACCCAGGAAAAGGCCACTACTGGGTCATCAACGAGGGCTTCGAGAAGCAGTACCACAAGGTCAGGACGACTCGCAGGCCAACTAACCCAGACGGGTTTACTCCGGTCTACCCTAACGAGATGGCACGCCCAACGACGTCAGCGTCCGCGAGCTTTCCTCCCTTGAGCTCGAGCAAAGGCTTTGACTCCAGCAAATTCCCCGAGGAGACGGAGCTGTCCTCCGACGCCACGATTCCTTGCTCGGATCCCGCTGCACACGACGGCCATGATCCCGCTACCATGCTTCCGCCGCGTCGGCTACCGTCGTCGCCGCCTCCAGCCGATATTCGTTCGTCGCCACCAGCACCTGTCTCGCGGTCCTTACGCGACGACACACCACCCCGCGCGCCACGCTTTCCTCCCAGCAGCCGTTCTGGTGGACGAAAGCGCAAGTTTGGTGACAGCGGATATTACTCCTCGATTGAGTCCTCCGCGATCAAGCTTGGACCTGCACAGACCTCCGAAGCCGATCTCGATCGCCCTTCTATCAAGCGAGGCCGGGCCGAAGAGGAGATTGCGCGCATCCGTGGATCATCGTACGATTCACCGACCAAACTGAGGCCTCACGTGAAACAGCCCAGTGGTCACTCGCTTATCTCGTCGCCATCGCGCCCAACCGGCAAGGTCGTCGACCCACTGACGCCCGCTATTGTCTTCAAACGACCGGCCCTCCCTCCGGCATCTGCGTCGCCTAATACCAACCTTCGCAATCACAGAAACAAGATGCGTGAGCTCGTAGGTGGGTCTCCGGACAAGAGCCTTGCCACCTGGGTTGACACGTCCTTCTTGGACTTTAAGTCATGGAGCCCGGCTGTCAACGTGCCAAACGAGGAGAACGTCAACCTAGTTGGCCATGGTTTCGAGAGCACCTTTGACATCTTCGGTGATTTTGACTACCAGGAGAGCCCTCTCAAGAAGAGCGCCAAACGTCCGCGTCTTGAACGTGCTGCCACATCCACTGGCGCTCTGGCTGACATAACGGGCACAAAATCCAACTTCAATCTCACCAAGTCTCCTACACCCAACTGGAAGCTCTCATCTGCGTTCCTCAACATCCCTAATCTCTCTCCTACACGCGGTGCCTCCCCACTTAAGGCGCCGTTGCTGAAGCCTCCGACCTCTACTCCTCTGCCAGACTTCAACTTCCCTACCCTTGATCAGGAGAACGCCCATACGGGCTTCACTCCACTGAAGTCCCTTGGTGGGATGTCCGAGGCACCGAACGAAGAAGAGGACTTCTCCCATCTCTTGCATAGTGACGAGTCTGAGCCTGGCATCGACCTCTTGCAAGGCTTCGCAAAGATTGGCGCAAGGGTCTCCTCGTCTGCGGTTGCTCCCAATGGTTCGCCCCAGAAGAAGGCAGCAACAAGACCCGGTCTTGCTCGCAGCGCCACCACGAGGTTCTAGATGATGATACTCTGCTTCTGGGTACCCCTCTGTCAGGCATTCTTTCCCACAAACTCTTTTTCTACTCACCTCTACGCCATGTCCTGACCTCCATCGCGGCTTGAGCTCCGAAGTTGTAGGCCTGAAATGGCCTCCCTAGGAGCAACAACAGCCAGTTGGAAGTCCGGACTGACCCGAGGCGGGGTGAAGAAGTATGGGGGATCGCTTGCTTGATTCTTCTGCTTATGGCTCACCTTTGGTGGATGAATGTCCGCCTACCTTTACTACCCTGTTGTCTTCTACCCAACCTCTCCTCTATCGACATGCTCCTTCAACATCTTATCCGCTGGACAACATGACCCTTGAATACGTCTTGTAACGATGTCACGACCAACGATACCCATGATTATACCGAGTTATCCGGCTGGTCCTTCTATACCTCTATGTCCTTAATGCGTTATTGTCCTAATGAGAGGTGTCTTACGGGGATGGACCACCAGCGAGCGAATTGTCTATACATGCGAGCGAGTTAATTTTGTTTCAAGTTTGTAAATGGCGTTCGGAATGTTTGTCTGTTCTTTGCCGTTCTTTTCTGGTTCCCGATTTGCAGAGCTTTCGCGTTACCTTCCCTTGGTACGATCATGAGGAATGGTTTGGATCCTTACGAGAGGATTGGAAGCTCACGACTCGATGTGGTGGAGGTGTCTGTCGTTGAAACCGTAGTCCTTGCATAGCTACTTTGGGAAACGGATGGATGGTTTGCGTTCTTTAGCTTGCTTGTTTGCTTGCTTGCTTGTTGCCTTGAGGTTCAGAATGATACGATTTTACTACTTCCATCATGCGTCCTCTTACGAAAGTTACATGTCTCGCCTTTAAGAATAATTTATTCATGGCGAAATACCGATTTCGCACTCGCGCTTGGGTGGAAGGTGAAAGCTCTCACGACGGAGTTTTATTGTAATCATTGTGGTAATCGTCTTGACATCGTCCATGCGGTTCCATCGTAGAGAAGAGCTCTCCACAAGTCATCATGACCCTTCATACATATCGTCGAGCTACGCCCACTCCAGCTTGAGGCATAGCGCTCTAAGCCGAACTATCACCTCGAGGCTCCATCTCTATCTACCCATATCACTCCCCCATTCTTAGCATGCTCCTCTTCCACACCATCCGCCTAGTACAGCACGCCCTTAGTACTCCTGACCTCACCTTCCCACTGCTTCACGACGGTGGTGGCCTGCCGTATGGCGACGGCAAGCGCCTTGAAGGCTGACTCGGCGCGATGGTGGTCGTTGTCGCCGCGGAGACAGTCCACATGCAGCGTGGTGCCCGAGGCCTGCGCGAAGGATTGCAGGCAGTGCGGTATCATTTCTGCCGCCTTGTCAGCCCCTCAGTCCCTTTACCACCACTCTACACCACTGAAGTGAAGGACTCGCTCTACTCACCGGTACTCAGATCCCCAATCTTCTCTCTCCTCAGCCCCAACTCCGTCACGCAGAATGGGCGATTTGAGAGATCTATGACCGCTCGGGACAGCGCTTCGTCCAGCGGCGCATACGCGTATCCGAACCGTGCGAGCCCCGTGCTCCCCTTCAACGCGTCCTTGAACGCCGCGCCCAGCGCCAGACAAGTATCCTCGGCGGTGTGGTGATCGTCGATGTGCAAATCGCCCTTGCAGCGCAGGCGGAGGGACCAGCCGGCGTGTTTAGACATAGCGTGTAGCATGTGGTCGAGGAAGCCGATGCCGGTGTCCACGCTTATCGCCTGGGATGTGCTCTTTTGTGATGCGTGATCCTTGTCGATCCCATTTTGTGCCTGCTTGTCGATATTGTCCCAGAAGGGCGTGGACTCAAAGGGGAGGAGCTCGCCGCCATCGAGGTTGAGGGTGACTTGGATCTTGGTCTCGTTGGTGTCGCGGTTGATGGTTGCGGTGCGGGCCATCTTTGCTATGTCCCCGTTTGTGGTGATGAAGAGAAAGAAGGAGAAATATACACGTGGGTGTGATTGGCGTTGTGGTGTTGCAATTGGGTTTCTAAGAATTGCTCATGACAACAAGTGAAAGAAACCGCGGGGTCTCGCCCGCCCAAAAAAGTTCCCCACCATTACGCCGGTCGGCCTTGGCAAGCGCAGGGCTGAGAAATGCTCGTCGCATCTGTGGTGTGGCGCATCGACCAACCAGCTTCTAGCTCCAAATTTTTCTGATATCGATAAAAACGCAAGACGACAACACGACAGCAGAGTAAATTCCAAGGAGAATAGAAAGAGAGAAACTCGGAGAAAGAGATAGCACGAAGACAACATGGCATCCAAACCCATCATCCAGGGCCAGGAGTTTCCCGTTGTGACGCCGACGTCGATCAAAGACATCGACGAGATTCCGGTCACAGTTGATGAGGACCGTGTGCGCGTGGTACGTCTCGATTTTTATGATAGCAGAAGCAAGAGTCATGATGGGTTAGAGACTAATGGCAGTACAGTTGCCGGGAGCTCAGAAGAATGCTGCGTCGTTTCAATTCGATGGCGAGGACCACACGCTGGGCAATGCGCTGCGGTATATCATTATGAAGAAGTAAGTTTCGACGGCCCGATTTGTCTCTGAGTCTCGAAAAGGACTGGTAGGAGGGTTGGTTCTGAGGTGAGAGCTTTGCTGACGATGATACAGTCCTGATGTAGAGTTCTGCGGCTACTCGATTCCGCATCCGTCCGAGGCGAAGATGAATATCCGCATTCAAAGCTACGGTACGTTGTCTCCATGTTCTTCAGTCTGACTCATGTGCAAATGCCGGATTGGACTGACGCGGTGGAACAGACGACGTGGACGTCTGTGACATTCTGGAGAAGGGCCTGCAGGATCTCATGGATATGTGCGATGTAGTCACGGAGAAATTCACCATTGCCAGAGAGGAGTTCCGCAGCAACCAGATGCAGTCGTAATTCGCCTTAGATTGCACATAAGACATGATCAGAAGTTGTGAGCACGGGATTTGTGGTGGTCACTAGAAGTAAGCATTGCATGGCGTTTCACGATATCACGGCACCCTGTTGGCGTTCATAGGAAAGGAAATGGTATTGTCTGTTATATACACGTCCCTGATGTCCTCCCTTGCCAACCGTTCCACTTTAAGCGTTGCGGCCCTATCACAGTCAGCCCGTTACATCCACAACACACTAGCGTTTAACATACCTCCAAGAATCCGTTGATGAAGTTGCTCGGCAACCGCGCCTTGGGCTCCTCCTCTGTGCGGAAGTACTTGAGTACGTGTGAGAGCTGCTTCCAGTAGTTGAGTGTTTCCTGTTGCCGCGTCAATATCACGTTCCGCGCTGCGCCTGCACTCTGAAGTGGTGGGTTGTACCTGGTACTCCTGGTGGCTGTTGAAGAGCAGCACATCGACTGTCCTGAGCTGGTTCACGTATCGGTGTCGCTCGAACTCCTGGCGCATCTTGGTCCGGAGCTGGGAAATGGGCATGCTAAGCGTGTACATGTTTTGGATTTCCGGGGCCTGGAACCGCGATTAGCGTCTGTCCTTCCCTGCCCCTCTTCTATATTGACTGCGCTGGGATGACAGTGTAAAGCATTCTTCCGAAGGCGTGTAGAAGCCACGTACCGATCGCAGCCAGTCCCGGTAGCTGTGCAGCACTCTCTTCTTCGCATCCGTCCAATTCACCGCTGCGGCCTCGTTAGCGTTCCGGAAGTCCCAATGGTGTTATACGGCGGGTAACTGACACGAGCGCGTGCGCTGGGCGAGGTACGTAGGATTAATGGTCATGGTGGCGGGCGTAATCGAGCTGTTGCTGGTTGTCGGAGCTCGTCTGCAGTGAAGTGACGATGCGGAGCGCGGATCGCCAAGCGTTCCGCTAGCGCCATCCGACATAAAGTTACTGAAGAGCAGCGACGCTCAACGCACGACACAGCACACGATAGACGCTTTCCCGCCCTCTCAAACATCACCACAGCGTCCAAGTTCCAGATCACCAGATCTCAACCATGCCGCCCGTTCGCACCGCTCGCGCCTCCAAAAAGGCTCCCCCGGAAGGCTTCGACGACATCGAAGACACGCTCCTCGAGTTCGCCGCTGCCATGAAAGACGCCGAAAACGCCTCGCACGAAGGCAAGAAGAAATATGAAATGACGTGGCCCATCTTCCAAATCACGCATCAGCGCTCCCGCTACATCTACGACCTGTACTACGAGAAGGAGGCTATCGACAGGAAGTTGTACGACTGGCTACTCAAGAATGGATATGCAGACCCGAATTTGATTGCCAAGTGGAAGAAGCAAGGGTATGAGAAGGTAAGTCGCTGCCATTCGGATGCTGCCATTTCAATGTGATTTGGTGCTGACTTCCAACAGCTTTGCTGCACAAGGTGCATTCAGACCAAGGAGACCAATTTCCGGTCGACGTGTATCTGTCGCGTGCCGAAGGAGCAGTTGAAGGAGGGGCAGGAGATTCAGTGTGTGAACTGCGGATGTCGGGGTTGCGCGTCGAGCGACTGAGCGACGTGTTGCGAAGGGAGAAAGATTGATTTGAGTACACAATACCGACATCAGACGAGCAAGGCTATGTTAGACATCCCGCCGCACAGTCAGGCCATGTACCGTGAGTGGGCAGCGAGGGGAAGTAAGAAGACGACTATTCAGCGAGCAGTCAATATTTGATACCCGGGGCGCGAGTAGGACTGGCGTTACAAGATTTTAGGCGGACTTTGTTGGGTAAAAGCAATATCAGGAGGGTTCATGCAGGAATTCTTTCAGGGAACGCACGAGGCAGATGGTCTGTCACCAGATATCAGATGCATAGCTCATGTTAACAATGTTTACAGACCCACAAATATAGACACCAGAAGTTAAAGATTACAGCCCGCAAGGGCCTTCTCAAAGTCTATCCCCAAGTCTTTTCCAACACCGCGCTTCAGTCGCTTATTCATGGGGAATCAAATGTACATCATACAAGAAACGAAGCAAAACAGACCAGAACTAGAAAGACACACCCTCCGCCGTCACAGGAGGCGCAAGCACGCCCTTAGGCACTGGTGTTGTCGCCCTACCTTCGCCTTCCACTTCCACCAGCGTATCCGCGCTCTCATCCCTCTTCGGCCGCGGGCGCGAAAAGCTCTTACTCCTATCTAGGCCACCCTTTTCGGGTATCGATGGCAGCGGCTTGTCAGGCATGTCCGGCGCCATCGCTGCGTCCCAACTCATGATACTATCCCTGTCATCCGGGTACACACTGCTCGCCGCTGTCTTCGGCCTAGGTCTAGGTCGAGAGAAAGAGGTTGATCTCTGTAGTGTCCCCTTTTCGTCCCACTCCGTGCTCTCTTGCGACGAGCGCGGATGCTCCGCTGAATCGCGGTCCGGGTTCTCCGTCACTATCGAGCCTTCCATCGAGACGTGGCGTTCGTTGGCCTGGCCTGTGATGCGCTTCTCGAGCTTGTTGCGGCCTTTTAGCGTGCTCTTGCGCTTGAGTCGAAAGGGGGATGCACCGTCGATTGGGGATTCGATGCTCTCAGCGTCGTTGGAAAGTGAGTGCGCATGCTTGAAGCGCGACGCAGCGGTCTCGAAAGGCCGCGTCTCGTACTCGTCCTTCTCGGTCCAGGGGTTGGCGTAGAAGTCGGCGGGTGTCATCTTATTGGCCGGCTGTCCATAGCCGGCTGGTGCGATAACCGCTGGGCCCGGGCCGTTCATAGCCATCTCGTGCTCGCCGTGGTCCTCATTGTAGGGCGAGTTGTGAACGGGTGGAGGATAAGTGTTCATATTGTTGACACCAGCTTGGTCAACCTGCACAGTGCTGGTGTTGCCTCCAAAGTACGTGCTCTGGTATGTGCTTGGTCCTGAGCTGTCGGACGAAATGGATTTGGCGTCACCCTCTTTGTAGCTTCCAGCATTTGGCCTTCTGCGCTTATAGTAAAATATGCCGAGGAGGATCAGAGCGGCGCCTGCGAGTGGTGCACAAGCTACACCGACTTTAGCGCCTGTTGAGAAGCTGGTTGAAGTAGACTCGGGTGCTGATGAAGCTGTGGCGTCTGCCGCCGCCGCGCTGACTGTGGGTGAGGGGAGCAGAGTGCTTGCCATGGACGGTGGTAGTCGGGTATCGAAAACGATGCCCTCGGTGGCTGCTTGGCCTGCTGGTGCTCCTACGCCGAGGGTCGGGTCTGGGGAGCTCCAGTCGATGGTTGGAACGGGGGATGATGAAGAAGCGTCCGTGACAGTTGCTTTGCCTGATTTCTCTGCCGCAGAAGCTGTCTTGGTAGCTTTCGAAGTCGACTCCTCTTCGCTTGATGTATTGGTCGGGATTTCCTCGTTAACGTCCTTGACTTTGACAACCTCATCGGTATTGGATGCGGAAGTTGATGCGCTCATTCTAGTCTTCGTCGCCTTTGTGCTTGTTTCAGCCTCTTCGGTCTCGATGTTGTCCACCTTCACGGCCTCATCTGTAGCCGTGGCAGTTGCTGAAGCCGTAACCGAAGCCGTCACATTGCTCTTCGTCCTCGAGCTGCTTGCCTCCGTGGCCTGCGTATTTCCTACAGTCGCCTCCGAAGTTGCACTCGCTTCACTTGTAGTCTTTGGTAGATCTGTCGCCATATGGTTGATTTGAAACATCGGCGCGTATAGATCCATCGTCGCGACTGTCTCCCCGTTCATAGTCATCGGCACCTGAAAGCCATCCAAATTACTGCCCGACAGCCCACTGCATGTCATGGCATCGAAGCTCGTCTGCGTAGCCACCTGGTGGCAAGTCTGGAATCCGCCATTCGCACCACACGTGTATCCGGTGGGACAGCACCCAATTGCTGTCTCGCCCGCTGCCAGGGGAAATTGGAAGTTTCCTGTGACCTGGGGCGGCGCAGCTGTTTGACCTATTGATGTCGAGATCGCCGTGCATGCGCTGTAGTGGCCTTGCGGACATGTCAGGCCTGGCGAATAGAAACCGAGACCGGCGAGTTTGAGTTTGGCTGCAGAAGGATAAGCTGTTGCGCGCGGCCAGCATCCTGTGTCGTCGGCTGCAGAGGCGGTTTTGTCATCGACTGGGTTACATGATTGTCCGAGGACAGCCTGCGAGCCGGCAAGGGCGGCGCGCGAGCAGTATGGTGGCGGGACGAAGACAGTAGTGAGAGGTCCGAGATTGACACGGGTAGGTTGTGGGATGGGCTCAGCCTGGCGGCGCCAGTCATAAGGCGAGAGTCTCATTTTGTTGAAGATATGTGATTGTTCAGTGTGTGATGGTTTGTCGCGCGGTACTACCTGTTCGATTTGGCTCCAGGCATAACAGTATGAAAGAACGTAAGGACTATATTAGTCAAAGTAACAGAGCCAAATGCTCAAATGTTCAAGAGAGAGTGGTGTGAAACGACAGTGTACCGAAGGACTCAATAGCAAAAGAATGAACGCTATCAAAGCCCAGCACTGCGCATAAGAAAGAATGTCGAAAAGAGGGAAAAGAACGACGAACGCGTTGAAACAGTTGCTAAGAGAAACAGAAACGGCAGAACGCGGACGCGGATGCGAGGTGCCGTGAGTTTTGTAGAGAGCATGCGCCTCCGCCTTGAAACTTCGGACTACGGACATTGCGATTGGGCCAGGTGAGAGCACTGTAGGGCCGATCAGCACCAGGGACATTCAGGTGGGATTGGGACCTCATTGGGTTATTTTGGGGGTGCCGGTGGGAAAATGGGGTATCGTGTGCGCAGCTGGGCGTGTTTGTTGTGATGATGCTAGGTGGTGGCGTTGACGGACACGCAGACAAGAGCATGGCGAGACCTGCGCCGACAACTCAAGTGCATAGCAAGTAGTAACAAGTATCGATAAATCTAAGACCTTCTGCTCCTGATTCGATGATTACTCCTGTCGTATCGCTTCGGAAGATGGTTTCGTGCTGTCGTTCATGAGAGTGCGAAGTATCATGAAGTTGAACCGAAGGAGCATACCACTGGGCACCTGTCAGTTACATGACGAACCCCTGCCAAAAGTGAGATGTTTAATTGTCCGGATATGGACGCAGGTGCTGTGTGATTGGATCGACGTTCCGATGATCGATGCTAGTACGAGCTAGTGGGGGCGCAATGCTGATGGCCTTGGAACGACTTCGCGAGTGCCACCCACGGATGCTGCGCGAGACCAACGCGGGAGGTATACGAACTTCGAGCATGGTGTTCGAAGCGGTGCAAGATTGTTGCGTCTCTCGAAGTTGGTCTGCAATCTGCTGCTGGTGGCGGAAGTAGTACATGTGCGTGCATCGCCGTGTACGGACATTCGGAAGAACCGGTGCTCTCGTATGTCCCTGAGTACCTAGACGACGCTGGTAAGCCAAAAGTCCGCTCGCACTGTTTGTTTCTACGGGGGGAACCCGCCTGCGCCGCCGAGGATATCCGTCCGCGGGGCGAAGTTCCTTCGACTCGGGACATTCCCTACGAAAAGGCAAGCGTGCACGTGGCTCGCACGAAACCTTGGAAGGTTCCTTACTGGACGTTGAGCCGGAAGCGTAGCTGATTGATGGCGAAATGCTTCATAGTGAGTCGTAGTGAACATGGGACCGAAGAAAACTCGCGAACGATTTTGTGTTCGCCTTCACAGCTGCCGTGCTGTCAAGGGAAGTCACAGCTGTCTATATAAATGCAGCATCGACACAAGTATCGAATTCTGTGCTTCCACCAGATTTGCGGGTTTATCTTTGCGCTGTTAAGCTACATGTGTGTCTCCGAGGGTTGTGTGGTAACGGTATGGACCCACGACGCGTGATGATGCTTGTATCCCACTTTGTGCACGATTGGGTTCAACAGCACCTTTTTATCGCACATCACATCAGTTTTCCGAGGACGCAACAGGCAAGCCCTCGATCTGGCAGTTATGGAAGTGCTTCTGCTATCCAGAAGCTTAGACGAATTCTGGCCTGTCGAGGAATGTACATGGGGCTCACCGGAAACGGCAACCCTGATATCACACTCGCAGGCCGATCCTTTGCTTGATGCTTTCGTGCATGCATTTTCAAGCCTAGAGACTTCTCCATTGCAGCTGTTTTCATAGTTCGTGGGGGAGAATCAAGACCGTGTTCGCGGCTGGCTGATCTGGGAGCTTGCCTCGCTTAGTGTTCTACAAATAGAAAAGGGGTCCGATTGGGTTGCGGCATCTAGAAATCGATAGTCGAAGGTGCAATAACGATGGGAAAGAAGACCAGAGTCATGCGGTACGTCTTCACGCGCCATAAGACTGACTGCTGACGGTTCGAGACGCGAGCCATGCCGTTGGTGGGCAGACCAGTCCGGCGGGGCTGATCATGCAAGTCATGGACGAAGGATGAAAGCGGTCGTGGGGGCGTGGATTGACAAAGGCAGCTGGAGACTTAAGTACGTCCACAGCCGCTGCGACTGTCAGCACAATCACCCACACCGCAGCTACAACCATGACGCTGAAGTATCTTTCATCCGAGAAGGACGCGCTCCTGCCAGTCGCCGCCGTGCCACCAGCCTCAGAGGCAGACGAGCGTGCCAACGCCAAATTCGAATCGTCGCTCTTCTACCTCTGCGTCGCAACGCTACTCTTGCTCTTCGGCTCTCTCTACTACAGAAACTCGCTCCCACCGTCGAGTCCGTTCGCATCCACGTTGCAGCAGCTGAATGCAGGCATGCTGTCTTCGCTCTGGGCAGCGCTCCCTGCACCCGCGCTGCTCTTCGTCTCGGCCAAGTTTTTCGTCGAGCCGTCCAAAGTCACCATGGTCCGGTACTGGATATACCTGCTCTACATTGTGGGTGTAGCGGTCGGCGCATTGGTGTTTGGAAGCCAAGCGAGCGCCATGGAGTGCGACCTGGCGATGCATTGAGCGTCGACATTGGCGTTGGCGAGCGGCGCTTCAGGCTAGCGCATCCATGGGCAAGCGCCGATAAGCGGAGAGATATTCTGGAGGCTGGCATGACTCTCGAAAGCTTCGATGCGTAGGGCGTGCAGGTGCAATTGAGTGACTCACGTCGTCGGTGAGGTTATAAGACGTCAGGTAGGCATGGCTCCAAGCTTCTCTACTGCAATCGAGCTGACGCTGCTGCAGCCAACAATGGCCCTCGCCCGCCCCAGTCCCCGCTGGCTTACCCGCTCGCGAGCTTTCACCGCCCAGGTGCGAAGTTATTCGGCGCCCGGCGATGGCACCATTCCGGCCTCCAAGAAGAAGTACATACCTACCTCCGGCACCTACCCGCTAGGCTTCAAGGCTGGCAGCGCCCACGTCGGTGTCAAGCCCTCCAACACACGCTTCGATGACCTCGCTCTCATTGCATCCGATACACCATGCGCGGCCGCAGCCGTCTTCACGACGAACAAATTTCAGGCAGCCCCTGTGACAGTGAGCAGGGACATGCTGAGCAAGAGGAAGGGTGATGGTATTAGGGCTGTTGTGGTCAACTCCGGATGTGCAAATGCTGTGACGGGCAAAGGTGGCATACAAGATGCACTGAGGATGGGCCACGAGACAGACAAGCAGTTCATTGAGGACAGCAATGGAGAGGATGACGGACAGGGCAGCCGAAGCATCATCATGAGCACTGGAGTCATTGGCCAGCGGTTGCCTATTGACAAAATCGTCGCTAAGCTACCGGATGCGTACTACAGGCTGGGCGACACACACGAACACTGGTTAGGCGCCGCCAAAGCCATATGCACCACAGATACCTTTCCCAAGCTGGTCTCCAAGACTTTCACTCTTCCGAGCAGTCAAGAAGAATACCACCTTGCGGGCATGACCAAGGGCGCCGGCATGATCCACCCCAACATGGCCACGCTGCTTGGCATCATCTGCACCGATGCGCCTGTCGCAGCACCGCTACTTCAAGGTGCCCTGAAAGAAGCCATCACCAAGTCGTTCAACAGCATCTCCATCGATGGCGACACTTCTACTAACGATACTGTTGCTATCCTCGCAAATGGTGCGGCTGGAGGACAGGAGATCACCTCATCTTCATCGAAAGACTTTGAAGCTTTCAGCGCGACACTTACAGACTTTGCGATCGACCTCGCAAAGCTAGTAGTCCGCGACGGCGAAGGCGCGACCAAGTTCGTCACAATTCGTGTGACAAACGCGAAGACCTACGAAGAAGCGAAGCAAGTGGGCAATTCCATTGCACGCTCCCCGCTCGTGAAGACGGCGTTGTACGGCAAGGACGCCAACTGGGGCCGCATCTTGTGCGCTACAGGCTACGCGGGTGTAGATTCTATCATTCCCGAGCAGACCAGCGTGAGCTTCATTCCTACCGATGGTAGTGAAGAGTTGAAGCTGTTGGTAAAGGGCGAGCCAGAGCAGGTTGACGAGGAGCGTGCGGCGAAGATACTGGAGGCTGAGGATCTGGAGATCTTGGTTAGGCTGAGCGAGAAGTACGATGCTGAGGCTACGGTTTGGACTTGTGACTTTTCGCATGAGTATGTCACGATAAATGGCGACTACAGGACTTGAAGCACGTGTAACGGGGATAATTGAACTACAAGTCATCAGCGCGTCTGCTAAATGGTCACTAGAGCTCCTACTCTTGTTGTCATCTTCAATATCTCACGAGTACCTCGCCCTCCGCTTGTGTGCGCTCTGTAATCCGCGTTGTGGAACCGGACGAACGAGGTAGCGAAAGTGTCATCTAACACATGCATTCAGACGCGTCCAGATAAGGAAATGTGACATCCAAGCAGGTTTTGCTCTTTGTTCCACCCCTGTCACTCTGTCACTTTTTCGCTCGGCAGTCGGGCTTTGGCCTGCGAACATGACTAACTGACAAATGACAAAGAGTCTCTAACGCGTACATCTCAGCACGGTCCGAGAGTCCGATGCTTTGATAACGCTCGCAATGTACGCAATGGCGATATCCACAGGCAAACGAAGGAGACTTACATATAAGAAGTCCTTTTGCTCTGCAAGGGGAGAAGTCAGAAAAATAAGTCACCTTTCCAACCCTACAACCACTTCCGCAACCAACAAACCCATCAATATTAATATCACGACAACCTGAAACTACACATCCTCAAACCATAATTCAAGGAAACAGAGTCGACATGGCAGCCCGCGCTATTCTTATAACCGGCGCAACCGGCAAACAAGGCTCCTCCGTCGTCAACGCGCTCCTCCGCTCTAACGCCGACTTCGAGATTCTTGCGCTGACCCGCAACGCCTCCTCTCCCTCAGCACAATCCTTAGCCCGCAAATCCCCCCTCATCAAGCTCGTCACCGGAAATCTCGACGACCCGTCTTCTATCTTCGCCTCTGCTCGCTCAGTGACCAAGTCTCCGATCTGGGGTGTCTTCTCCGTGCAGACCCCCTTCGGCGGAAAAGCCAACACCAAGACCGAAGAGCGCCAGGGCAAGGCACTCGTTGATGCGAGTCTCGCGAATGGCGTAAGCCACTTTGTATACTCGTCCGTTGACCGCGGCGGTGATGCGAAGAGCGCAAAGGACCCTACCAACGTTCCGCATTTCATCTCCAAACACAATGTAGAGCAGCACCTCTTCGCCAAGGCAAAGGGCAGCGACATGACGTGGACTGTGCTACGGCCGGTGGCGTTTATGGAGAACCTCGTCCCGGGATTCTTGGGCAAGGTGTTCAATACGGATTGGAAGATGGTGCTGCGGCCGGAGCAGAAGTTGCAGTTGATCGCTACTGTAAGTTTTACCGTTACCTTATTCTCTATCATGTTATCGGGGGAATGAAGCTAATATTATGCCAAATAGAGCGACATCGGTTTCTTTGCAGCACAATCTTTCCTCCAGCCCTCTTCCAACCTTTACGCTAACGCCACACTCTCCATTGGTGGCGACGAGCTCACCTTCGCTGAGTACGCCAAGATCTACGAGGAGAAGACGGGCGAGAAGTTGCCTACGACATTCCGTCTTATTGTTAAGATCATCAATTTGTTGGTCAAGGAGATGGGCAACATGTTCGTGTGGTTCAGGGAGACGGGCTACGGCGCAGATATTCCGGAACTGAGGAGTGTGCATCCGCAAATTAAGAGCTTTGGGGAGTGGTTGGAGAAGGAGAGTGCGTGGAAGAAAGGCGGCGAGAAGGCGTGATTGAGAGCTACGATTTTGAAGCTTTGACTTTGTCCTCGTTGTATGATACCTGACCCCAGACATCTGGCACGAATAATAGAGTTCTTTTTTTGTCTTTGATTTGCGACTTCGAGACGTCGGTGTTCCTTTCGGAGGTTCACAGGGTGTTTAGATGTCAGTCCGAGAGCGAGCGTAGATAACCCAACAGCTCATATCGAAGGTCCTGTAGGTTCAATGCCCTGGCCAGTACTGGGTCCATCTCCGCAGCATAACCGGACTCCTGACGTACTACCGGTCAAAGAACGGTGTTATTGGGTATACACATGTCAGCCACATGGATGGTACACCTAAGATATTGATATAGCCGCATGCAATGGTTATGGTATACATGCCTTCTATCGATCATCCTTCTTTTCAGCCCACTCAACCCACCGCTTGACAACCTCATCCACGCCCTTTACCCCCTCTTTTGTCGCCTCCACCTCAAACCATTCCCTATGATCCTTCCCACACGCATCGCACTTCTTCATCACTCGTTGACTAGCGAGTTCAATATGAATCAAGCGCTCCACACGATGCGCATGCGGTACCTTTCTCACGCCCTCTGAAACCCGTCGCGAAGGATCCGAAGGACGCTGGTTAATGTACGATGGACGCCGCGAACCAGCTGGCGATGCTTGTGGTGATGGCGACGGCGTCGAGGGCACGTATGGGTAGTATCGCACAAGTGAGAGGCTATAGCCGCATTGGCGTGTCCACTCGTGCATGCGGCGGGTCACGTTGTTTGCGCGACCGATCTTGAGAAGGATGGTGTTCTTCTCTTCCGTGTCGTTGGCGGATGTTTCGCCTGGTCGTTGTCGCACAGCATCTGGACGCGGACGCTGCGGTCGACGCACAGAGTACTGTCGGAGCACGTCTGAAGTGCGCCGGCCTTGCTCGGGACGTGTTGGCGGAGCGAGTAGGCTTGATGCTGTAGACGATGGAGCGGGCCCCATGGTCTCGGGAGTGAGCCAAAAGATGTAGATGTACCCTTCTTCGTCATGATCAGAGATCGGCTTCGATAGCTCGGTAAGGAGCGTCGATGTTGTCTGCGGAGATACTGATTTAGGGATATATGAAAGAAGCTTCGAGGTCTCCGATGGCCGTGAGGTCTTGTTGATCGGTCGAGCAGGTTTGTCGCCCAATGGCTTTCGTTCAGGCACGTTATCGGTAGCTGGACGTGGCGCCGAGCTAGGAATTGAGGTATTGCTAGGTCGACCTTGGTATGTTCGCGGTGGTCCTTGTGGTCGCGGAGCTTCAGTCATAGGCAGAGCTACTGGCTGTTCTTGTGTCCTTCTCTTATGTCTCACTACCTCCACATAGTCCTCATCTGCGGCGCCGCAGCACAGTGATGCCCAGAAACCCTGCTTCTTCGGTTGTGGTCTAGCCTCTAATCGTTGGCCTGCTCGGCGTCTCCTCTCTGCCATAACGTCGCTCGGAACCGACATCAGAGGCCCTTGAACTTGTTCCCAAGTGGGCGGCCTATTGATTCTTCGTGGTGGTCTACTTGCGGGGCCCTCTGGCCTACTCTGCCTGCGTCTTCGCTCTGGTGCGGGTGCCGACTCCACCAAATCGAGCACTACAAGGCGTGCCACTAATGTGTCTATACTGTTCCTTTCTTGCAGAGGATACAGTTGCGTGTCCTGCGCACCTGGTCCTGTAGCGTCCGCAGCTACGAGATGCTCTGCCTGATCCTTATGCTGCCAGCAAAAGAACGCTGCTGCACCTGTCTCCTCGTCGTCATCATCACTTATGACTGACGCGACCGCCAGTACGCCGTTATTCCGGGATGAGTCTTTAGCATCGATCGCACGTCTACACGGCCGTCCTGACTTTGTAATGCCTTTGCATGTTGTGGCGGGATTTCTCGAGTCCGATCGAGGGATCAAAGATTCGGGGGTTCGTCCGCTAAAGAGCGCCATTGGCGTGAAATTGATTGAGCACCTAGAAAGATTTGGTCTAAGGCGATATCAGTAGTGATTTATGCGAGTCTTGCGAATGAAAAGGAGCGGTGTGAAATGTCACAGCACAACTTCACGGCGGCATGGCAAAAGTATAGACAGAGCGCCAGTGAGGCGAATGAAGATATGACCTGCATTGTGAGGCTATGTAGGCGCTTAAGCAGGTTGCTGTCATGTCGTGGAGTGAAAAGAAATGGCGGGGTGAGTCCAGTCCAAATCGCGTGGCAGGCGCGTGGCTCAGCTGTGGCGGTGCTGGTCGCGCCCGGACACAAAAACCTTGCTAGAACAGCGAAATAGCACAGCCCACAACGACCTCATAACGACACCGTCGTTTCGAGGGAAGGAATACAAAAAATGCATCGGCCGGGAATCGAACCCGGGGCTAGCCGAATCTATTAATCAGGTGGAATTCCTGATCAATGGCAACGGCTAATTTTACCACTAAACCACCGATGCTGTTGGTGATTTGATGAAGAATGTTTATGTAATGCAATATGTATACTGAAAAATTGATAGCGAATACTAGAGAATATAATTCTGTAGTCACCCATCAAAAAATCACCATGCTATCGTGCGTTGACTATTAGGGAGGAAAAGTGCAATGTTTGATTATCAAATCAAAATTTCAGTATTCAAAAACAGATCTTGTGAGGTGATGGTCTAGATCTCGCTTGGGTACGAACATTTCGGTGAGAGCTAATCCCGCCGAACCAATCACAAGATATATCCTAGCGCTTGGCCTCAGCCCAAGTTTCATGTATTTATTGGTGGCCGAGACTCATCTCAAAATACGAACCGCATTTCGCGAAAACGGAGATTACGATTCGACTAGCTGTCCCCGGCGCGGCGCAAGCTCATTCGTCCGCGCCATTCAGATGCTGTTACGCCATGGTACATAGAACTATACATAACGGCAATACTGCAAAACTCTTTACATGTTATGGCTGGTATAACAACAGCTACGCAGTACACTTTAAAAACAGGCGCTCTCGAACCATGACCATGAAGACGAAGAAAACGCATAATCAGATCAGCGTGCTGCCCGACGTGTCCCATACCTTACGATCAGCTAGACAGTATGTTGACGTGAATATTTATAGCAGTGCAAAGGAAGAAGGATAATTGCCCGACGACAAGTTTATGCTGGAGCCGACTGGCAAGGTCCCAAATCAGGTCAATTGGTGGTTAAGGCTTTCCACTCCTGAGGGAAGCATAGCGACAGGCCAAGGGGTGACGGGAATTAGTCGTGCGCAACTCGAATTCCCGGCAATGGGATTAATCAAGTGATCGAACACTATCGAAAGGGTGCCTCGTTGCCCTGTTGGCCCACTTCCCGGCTTCCTTCCATCGTCTACTCGCGCAACGTCTCCTGCGGAATTTGTCAGAGCTATTTGTGATCTGCTTCGCGTTCACATGGTTGAACGTGGCGGACGTTTTTCTGGGTGGCGAAGATGGCTTCTATACGCAGCATGTCTGGTACTCAGCTTCTCCATCCCCACCTTAGACCCGACGTTCTCAGTCGTTCAATGGTTTTTCGATATGGGACGCTTCGATTGCCACGTAAGCCCACATACTAAGCATTTTCCCGGTGAATGTTCCGGGCTGACGCCGCTCATAGCGTGAACATCCTTCCAATTCCAATCGACGAAGTTTCCATGTTGTGGGCTCTTTTCTTTACACTTCATAGCGTCACGACTATTGACTACTCGAGCCGTCAAATCGTTTTGTAAGTTTCATCTACTCACTGCCATGGGTGCTTAACACTTTCTGAGAAGGTACGCTTATGAGCAAATAGCCGCTTTGTTCACTATTTAATTTGTTGTTCGATCCCACTCTGCGTGTGGGGAGAATTATCAGATATTTATTATGGCGGTGACTTGTGGCATGAGAAGATATTCTTATGGCTTCCTTCAAGCCTTACGATAGGGGTGATGGTAAGTGCTTTGGTCTCACACGCTTTCCCGGTGGAGACTACGGGACTCCCGGCTCAGAGCGGTGGTAAAAATGATATCGAGACCGGGTCAGCGAAAGACCTTGGTGCAGCATGGGCGTCAAAAATAAGCTATACGTCCACTTGGATATATGTGTGGATGAAGGGCTTGTACTGAGAAGAACGAGCTTTTTGAGGCAGCCGAAGCAACACATTGGCCACGAGCAGCATATTCTTAGTATGTCTCGCTCATGTTAGATAGTTACAAGGCTGCCTGCTTTGCCGCCGTGTACCGCTCAGAAGATGAGAGTTGCGTTTCACGATAGTCGGATTGCACCAGACGGAAACTACCTGGGTAGGCCCGACAAGTGGGTCAAGGAATTCTCGCCGGACTACGAAGTACACGAAGTTGGAGATCCGACTCCGGAATTCATTCCGACGCCAATGTACATTTCGGAACGCAATGTCTATCACAACCTTCAAATAAACCTTGTAGTGCCAGTGGCTACTTAATTTTATCGCAGTTGCCGTCATAACAGTCATTCGTGCTACATCTTGTTGATCATCACCAAATCTGAGACATGCTCAGATCTGACTCACGCGACGAGCTATAAGGCTTTGCTCCCCTCGCCCCAACACTACTTCAAATTATCTCATGCAATGCTCAACCCACAGCTGGAAGTTTCGCTACTCAAGCCTGAAGAGGCAGAGCAGTATATGCGCATACGGCACGAGGTTTTCAGACCTACTATGAACAAAATTTTCTACTCTCGCGGCGAGCCATCACAGAAGACGCTCGACCGAGTGACAGAGGAGACTAGGGATGGAATCATTAACAAGGGAATCTTCTATCTCAAGTGCACGGATAGGTCAACCGGAGAGATGATTGGAGGAGCACGCTGGCGGTACGCTAAGCCTAAAGAGGAGGGTGCACGAGAAAGGACATGGGACGAAGTTGAAGCTGGCTTTACGATCCCTGAGCCATATGACGAATCCAACCCGGGGCTCATTCGAAATCTTCACCGTCTCCTCAATACGAATAAGCGCGCGATACTTGGCAACAGACCATATTACACACTGGTCACCTGTGTTGTCCTTCCACAGCATGAAAGGCGAGGCGCTGGAAGTATGCTGGTGCAGTGGGGGTGTGAAAGGGCAGACGAGGCTGGTGTGGAGGCATATCTCGAAGCGAGTCTCGTTGGTGCCCCAATGTATGCGAGACATGGCTTCAAACCTGTGAAGCAGATCGAACTAGATACGAAGAAATTCGGTGCGGAGGAGAACGAACAATTTATTGTGAGTGCATCGCTATGTTGCTCGCCACAACCATTACGGATCAAGCTCACCAAGTCATAGTTGATGCTTAGACCTGCGAAAGCCGATGGAACGCCATGAAAAACCACGCGATGTGCTGAATTACCGTTCGCAGACTGGCCATATAGTGGAATCATCAAGCTTGTAGTCTTCAAGCTCAATATCTTTTGGAAGCTCGTCCTCCCACCAGTCCATGTTCTCTTCCGTCGCCAGACTTCGGACGTGCAATTTTCCAGGACCAGCTGCACTCGCATCCTGCTGATCGCATGGATTCTTCCACTTTGTCCAATAATCCAATGGTGCGCCCCCAGCAGGAGATATCGCCTGTATTTGATAGACGACGTTTTTCTTGTTGCCCACTTTATTGCCCCTTTGCAACGCAGGAAGCTCTCCATTAAACCAGATGCCCATCTTGTTTACAACGTCGCAAGCAACACTTGTTGGAGTGACGTTGTTGTCCATGACCATAGCATAGATGTCACATAGCGATGCCCACGCTATCGACATATTGCTGAAGTACGTTCTCCTATCTTCCTTATTTTGCATGATTTCTCGCAGTGGATTGGATTTGATCATCCTGTTGTCGTAGTAACCTCCAGGCCAGACATCCTGCGCCCATTAATATGTCTACAGTACAAGTGTCCTCGCTATGTAGTGAGACCTACCCAGATTGTCTTCATTCCGTTATTCTTGGCATACCAACGGGCCTTCTCCGTGAGCTTAAACGTGTAAAAGAGACAGGTTGATGGCGCTGGTCTTCTATCTTTCGGTGCGTTGTCGATAAACCATTGCACGGAATAATCCTCGATGCTGGCACATTTAGTACGCTTATCCCGCAGGACTTCTTGCATTGGCGCAGCGGGCATAGAAACAACTGTGATGATAAAAATGCATAACGCAGCGACAAACTTCATGGTTGCAAACGAGCGAACATGTGTAGGGGTGATGAGAAAGTGGTGGGGGGGTCGCTTTATTAGGTCGGTTGGGGCGCAGCAAGTGCTGCTGTGGGATCTGAAACGGCCCCCAACCGCGCCTCAATGACAGAAATAAGTCTAGATCAACCCGCAGAACGAAGACCAGTCTAACAACCCCGCGCTTGGCGGACCTCATCACTGTCAGCAATGCGATGTTTTGCGGTAAAGATTGGATTAGGGAGAGAGCCTGGAACGAGGCTGAAGCACGACCAAGACTGGCGCAATAACCTTGGTCAAGACTCATCTCACACCCGTACGCTAGAGTGCAAATTTATAAAATAGCTTACGTGCAGTATTATGGCTAGGGTTTTCACTCGATTGGTAAGGGACGACTTAGAAGTCGAACGCCCACTAGGGCCTCCTATAATAATCACAAACCTCTCGTAATCGTACACTGTTCTACGACTTGTGGTTTCCAGGCCCAAAGTAGCCACTTAATTGCTATAAATTTTCCTGTAACGACCCTTGCCTCTCATACCTCGCATACTAATTGTGCGTTATATCTTGATCTACTCTGGGCATCCGCTGGAAACGAGCCCCTGAGACATTGGAAAGCCACCACGTTAAGGGCTTGACGAAAAATGAAAAGATTCTAGATTGATGGAAACCTTTGACTTTGAGACGTAGGAGTTATGGCAAGCGAGTAAAGCCTTAATTAGTGAGAAAAATATAGACGGAAAGCATATATACCCGACTATATACTGTGATTTTGATTAGATTTATGACGGCGGGAGCGGAACCCTAGCCTAAAGAATTACGTATGAGGCTACAATATCGACTGATTTAGTAAGATCGCATTATCGTCTCTTTCTCTACGCCACTTTAATGATAGCATCACTAGAGGATATACAAGTGGAGCAATGTGCTCCACGTGCTTACAGTCGACAACAACGATATTAGCAGCTTGGTTAAGGTTCCGAAAGAACATGATGTAACCACTGTCTTGTGCACGTTTGCATTTTTAGGGATCTCACGAAAAGTATCACAAATGAACCGACCAAAGCCTTGGTAGCTGCATCGTTAATGGTTAGACTTATTCCCACCGATTATGGTATCGACTTTCCAAGAGAGTGACACTCCTTCGAGACACATGAATAGGCGTGATGGATTAGGGGGTGTCTATGTCGAGACCTCAAAGTACTCCTACCCTCTAAGTCTGCTTTAATTACTTGGATAAGCTTGCAAAGACCCACCTCAGGGTGGTTAGTCGTAATGATCGACATGCTTCTCGATTATGTTGGTGCTTGTCGCATCAGATTATACCCAGCCCCTAACGCTTTCGCTATCAATTTGAGAGCATAGTGGCAGCCATGGCGATGAGAAGGTACGTATTCACACGAGTTCAACGTAGCCAGGTTCTTAGTAGCTGCCATTGATCTGGTCCTTTTGTCAAGGGTTCTTCAGAATTCCATAAACAAAATGACATGCAAGAAGTTTGGGAAGCTAGCGTGGGGGACCAAGGATACTCTCAGGGCATGCGTGAATGTCAGTTACTGATAGACTAGTTCAAATGAAAACTTATTGTGCCGAACGTATGATCATCGTCTACTACACATGCCCGCACCGTGCATGTACAATTGCCATCGTCAAGAGCGCCTAACCATCGACTTCCCTCTGGCTTTCGAGGTAAGTGAGGTACATGATATACGAGAGTATCTGTAAGGTGTACTTCATTCCTCTTTAGGCAGCCCCGGTAGCTCAGCGTATCCTTGCGGGACGTGCTAACACACTGTGCTCCACGATGACCGCCTGTCAATATCCGTGGAAGAGCTCACCATTCACAATCGATACTCGAAGAGACTCCACAGAGGGACAAATGTAAGAGGCCGATGACAACAACGAAGATCACCCGGCCTAGACGGCGGTGGACCAAACGGATCGTTCTGTATGACTATAAAGCTCTGGATGCTCCAGATCCTTGGGAACCTTACCTGGCCAAGCTTCTGCATGCGTTTATTTTGTTCTATGATTCACCTCGCATCTCACATGAGTTCGAATGACCATTTGCTTGCCTTGTGTTTTACGTAAGAGCTAGGCGATAGATATCCTCACGGAGCTTTGTACCCTGACCGAGGAAGCATGTTTATGTGCCAAGGTGATACATTGCTGATCTGCATGTCGTCGGAAGCGAAGTAAGGTACACGTCAGCCCGTACTAGGAGAACATGTCTATTGTGCCCGGCGGTCCGGCGCATTCCCCTTCCTGGAGGTTCCGCGTACCTAGCTTGGCTTGCATCTTGTTTATCCGCATCGTCATGGACATGCGCACTCTCATCTACCACATGTCCTTATGCAGACAACAAAACATAGATGCATGTGTTCCTCGTGTCTTCGCTTCTCCACAAAGTTTTGACAGAGTCTTGGCCACACCAATCCCCAACACACCTCTCGTCCGCATTTACCCCGCAAACAACACAACTCTGACCCTGCGCAATTTACTAAAGGGCCATTTCGTGCGTAATGAATACCCCGCGGGTGGAGTTCCTGCTGCATCTCCTCGTCACGCGCATCGGGTCGTTACGCAAAACTGGAGTAAACCCGGGGGATCGACGCAGGGGTGTGGGTGGTTTAGATGAAGTCTCCGGGGCGGCCCTGACAGGACCTGCATGCGCGACGAGCGCACCGAGGTTCGAGTTCACATGCGATGGCTTCGTGGTAGCTTCAATGGTGGACAATTGGTGTTTGGGCGAAGGAGGCAAACGGGTCGGTCGAAGTGACGAGGTTGTCGGAGGAGAGCACGGATGGGGAAGCTGTGATGCTTCGAGGGGAGATGGACAGGTATAAAGAGAGTAAGAGGTGCCGTCTTTGGAGTGGTACCTCACTGTAAAAATTCGAATTAAACATTAGGTTCAATCAATTCTTCAACATGCACTTCTCCCTCTCAGCCGTCGCTCTTCTCGTCGCCGGCGTCACTGCGGTAGACATTTCGGGTGCACCTGCTTGCGCTGTTAGTCAATTCTTTTCACTTGCGCCTCCGACATACCTGGCGACTTTCGAACTCGAAGCTGGTCCTTCTTGCTAACACTTACTGCGACAGCAAACCTGTCTTACGGACAACCAAGGCCTCTCCTCTTGCGACCCGAACGCTACGGAGTACACCTGCTTCTGTGCCGATACCGCCTTCTACAGCGCTGTCCAGCAGTGTGTCCTAGCTGGCTGCAGCTTGACGGATGCTGTCGGTACGTATCGAACATGAGTTTCTTATCCTTGAAGGGATACTGACAATGATACAGCTACCTTGACCTGGTACAACACGGTGTGCCCCATGTAGATGATGGTGGAATGAGATGGCGCATGTGGGCAGCACTTGGAAAGGCGAGGAGGAGGAGTCGGACGAAATGGGATTGTTGATGGACAGGAATATCGGCGTCAACCGACCTGATTAGCTATCCCTATTGCCATAGTCGCTGTTCTTCCAATGTGAAAAGTGTCATGACCGTCCACATCGCCGTTGCTACCGTAATGAGAATAGTGGAGAGTCGTCAAATCATGTTCCGCGCTCGGGTCATCGGGAGTCGCGGCTCTCGGCCGGGCAGTAACCGCCCGGCCCATCGCGCAAAATCGTGGTCGGTATATAAACGCCAGGACGCCCCGTGCACTGCTCAATCGCTCTCTTTCGAGGTTTCCGTGGTCGTTCTCACCAACAGATCCCTATCTTCGGGGCTCATGTTGTCGATCTTTTCCACGAGTAGTTTCTTCAGGAAAGTATTCTCTCGCTTCAGTCCTTCAACTTCTCCTTCTAGTCTTTTATTCTTCTCTTGCATGTCACGAGTCTGTTCCATCATCTGCTGTTCACGTTGCTTCTTCTTCTGCCGGAAACGCGCCGACGCGGCCTGGTTGCGCTTACGCTTATCCTCTTCGACATCGGCAATGAGGGGATCCTCGCTGGGGGCCGACGACGCGTTGCTATCCGGATAGGGCGTGGGGAAAGCAGTGCCATTGTACTGTGGCTGCAGAGGGGATATAGGCGCTAGACCATCGACCCGTGGCGCACCATGGTCATGATACTGCGGAAACGCGTGACCGTTCATGGAGCGGTCAAGTGGAGGGTATAGCGGGCCTTGGTCTCGGCATCAGCGTGGAGCTTCGCATCAAGCGCAAGTTGCTAAGTTCGTGGGGTAAGGGCAACTCCATCGTGGGGGATGTGTCGAGTTGTGGCATCTTGTGCCCGGCGGTCACGTGCGATTGCGAATAATCAAGCGAGATGACGCGATAGCAGAGCTCGAACCCCGGGTTGCACGACGCAGAGCCTGGAGGAACCGTGGATGGCCTCTTGGGCGCTGACGACATGCGCTTTTGATTGATCCGAGACGGTACTGGACGGGGAAAAAGAGGAGGGATGAAAGAAGACGTCGACATACCTGTCAGAGCCTCGCTGTCGGGTTCAGGGCGCGGCGGGTAGTTGAAAGCGACTGAGGTGAGCAAGTCATCGGTGGGTGACAGCCTCGAATGCGCATGCAGGGCGGTATGAGGATAGTAATCCTGGCCGTGATACCACCCTCGATCCATTATGTCGGGGTCGATGGGCGTCGCGAATTCGTCAAGTCCAAACGAACTCGGACGCGCAGATTTGGCGGTGAAAGTCGGCGCTCCAGGCGTTTGCAGAGAGTACATGTGCGGCATACCCATCCATCAGTATTGTCGCGGACATGCGGCACGCGTGGTGTGGATATATGGCGGTGATTGCTTGGTGGTGGAGCTGATGGTGGAGTTGGTTCGCAGGGTCGAGCGGTCCGGTTGCAATGGGACGGTGCGAGCTGTCGAGCGTGAGCGTGCAGGAGGGATGCTCTGCCTATAAAACCGCACGCAATTCACGACGGAATTTCGCACGCCAAACAATGCTCGTGTTCCCCACACCTGGTGCAGTGGGCCTGTTCGTCCCTGTTCGTCCCGTCAGCGCCTCGGGAAGTGGACCGTGGACCATGTCGCCACCTGCTGTGTATGCTCGCTGCGTCGTTGCCATCGCGAGCCTACCTGCGAGTCTGCGCGTATACATGCGCGCTAGCAGCGCTCTCTATGCGCAACAATATATCTCGTGCCCTCCTCTACCTCCCTTCAAGAAGCTGACAAGCTCCTCGAGACGTGATGCTGCGACCCCCACGCCGTCTTAGCGCTACGTGAAGCCCTGGGATCGGGTGCATTTCCCATGGCATGCCTCCATTCACAGATACGCATCTGCGCCATTCACGTCGCCCACCGCTAATTTTCAGCCTGATCGCACGATGCGTTTCCCTCCTAAGAGCAGCCGGGAGGCGCTCTGTGCGACAGCGTCTTGTTCGTCGTCGAAGCCTTGTCACGGCAGGACTACACCCGGTAGCTTGAGCTTCAGCACGTCACCCTACGGAAGTACGAGATACAGCCCAGTAAACGATAGAAGCATATCGCATGTCATCTGAGTGTCGCACGCCGTCAGGTGCCTTGACCATCCCCGGCCCTGCAGGCGCATTTCATGTTGGCATGCTAATGCCCACAGGACGGCTGGAGCTGGTCTTTGCTCGATAAAGCGCAATAGCTGCTACACCCAGATGGACTCCACTGTGAAAATTCTTTGAGGCGACGTCAATAGCTACTGCCTCCTTGTACGTTCTGAGGCAGGCACGCAGGGACCCACCCAAGCACGCCATTTCGCAAGTTGCATCGTGCCGTACCATCTACTTCTGAGCCCATCGCCAACATATCTCCGGATACAAAGAAAGAGACATGGATCAATCCAGCTGTGGTGGAATACACTATATCTGACATTGTGAATACACTGCGGCTTCCTGGCTGCTGTCGTAATAGTAATGTTGGTCTGTCACAACATAGACCAGAGTAAGACAATTGGTAAGACATTGTTCACGAACGATGCATACCTCAACGCCTATAGAAAAGCGACATGTTCTTCCGAGCAGTCGCAATCCAAAACAAGTACGAACAATCATTCACTCCCAACTGACTTCACCACGATATAAGATGGAAACGGTTACGACTTATTACGCTACGCTTGGGGTGACCCCAAACGCCGAACTTCCAGTCATTCGCGCGGCGTACAAAGCGCTGGCACTTTCTCATCATCCAGACAAGACAGTCCATCTGTCCGCAGAAGATAGGTCTGCGCACTCCGCCCTCTTCCGCGAAATCCAGGAGGCTTTCGACATCCTTGGTAATCCTTCTCTGAAGATTGCTTACGACCGCGAGTTGCAGCGTCATGGTGGTCGTGTGGACGTCAAGTCTTCCACATTTCACCGTCCTTCAGCACCCTCGCGCCGACGCAACACCATCCGTATCACCTCTCCAGAAGAGAAGCGCGCGTTGAAGGCCAAGATCGAACAAGATCTTGCATTTCTTCGAGAACAGAGGGCCAAGCGCGACATTGAAGACTCTCAAATGGATATCTGCGGATTGAAGTTCGTGCTTCAGACGTGGACAGAGATGGCAGCAGAGTATGATAGTGACACTCTTAGCCACGGTTATCTACGTGCCCACTGCGCTGTACAGATGCAAGTCTACCAAGCAAAGATCGCAAAGCGCGAGCGTGAGCATGAAGACTGGCTTGAAGGTATGTCGCGTCCGAAGACTCCCGGCAACCCTGGATTCACGCCTACGCGTCCTCCTCCTTCGCGTTCAACGACTTCGACTCCATCTAGGCTACGTACTGCTACGACCCCATCGAAGCCAACGACTGGCACCAATCCAAAGGACTTTGCCGCCGCTGCCCGGTCCGTACCTCCTACCCGCGCTGAAGAAAAGGCACGTAAAGAGGCTGCCAAACAATCCCAGCTGGATGCCAAAGCTGCCGCTGTGCGCGCAGGAAAGGAAAAGTACCAGGCACAGCTAGAGGAGCAGGCTTCTCAAGAATCTGCCCGTAAAGCTAGTGCGCGTGCTAAAGCTGGTGCCCCTGCTCTAGGTAAATGGGGTGCTGGCGGTCAGGCGAACGCTAATCACACCCCTCCTCACACTACTCGGGAAGGTAGCGGTGCTGCAAAGCCTAGCTATAATAAGCCGTGCTCCACCTGCGGTCAAGCTCACGCTTCGCTTGCGGAGATTCGCAAGTGCGTCAAAAAGCATGCTGACCAGGTGAAAGATGAGTCTTTCTTCCAGACTATTTGATGACCTTCAAAGCTTGCATACCAGTGTCCCATTTGTTTGCTTCTCCTGTATTCTAACTCGTGAGGACAACCGCATAACCCATTCAATTAGCTCTAATACAATTATCGTAATCTATTGATCCTCGTAACGGACTCTTTCGCGCTCGGTAGGAGCATATCAAGGTCAACTTCAATAGTCATCGAAACGTGAACACCTATCTTGAACGTTTGTTTGATTCCGTATGCCAGGTTCTTTCGTTAAAAAGCACAGACAAACTCCGAGCTGGACATGACATTGACTCTGATTGGACAGAGATAGCCGAAGATGTCTCGTGGATCATTCGATTCATCAGAATTGGCAACGCATCTTGGCCTTGCTACGTGCTTCACATGCATTGGTTATTTTCTTCACCGACTTGGACGGCTAGCTGAGAACCCGAGATGAAGAACGAATGCAGGTTTAACCGGCAAGTACGTTGCGCCGGTACCGAAAGAATTTGTAGAAAGATCAAGCCAGGTTCACCCAGCAGGTCTGGTAGTATTATCGCGGCTACTTGTGGTAGTTGATTTGCTTGTCGTCTTTGTGGAAGAGGGAAGGAAAAGGGATATGGAGCACGATGGTGGAACCATGGGTCTGAGCACGAGTGCAGAGGCAGAGCTCATTATGAGGCATGGAAGAACAATCGCTGTAACCGCTGTAACCGCTGTACAAGGCCACAGTTCAGTGTCAAAGGAAGTGTAGTGCCAGTGGTATATGTCGACGGATGCGGTGCGTGAACTCAGCTCTGCTCTGTGAACATATAGCTAATGCTGTAATCGCCAACACAATCAAGTACAGTTGAGCTACGAGATCACGTCACTGGTGTGACCACGCAAAGGTAAATGAGGCAGACCCAAACCATTCCATGCAGTCTATCGGCATTGCATGACTTCTTCGCAGCATTGCCAGGTATAACAACCGCATCATGTTTCCAGAAAACCAAAATAATATTTTCGTCACATTGAACATCACTCGCCCGTTGTTTCGCCTCCCGAGCTCTGCCCTGTGAGATTTACGGCTCATAGAAACGAGACTGTTGGAGGTATACAGAAGTAAAGTGATATAGATGGAAATATTGCTACCTAACTTGAACAAGATGATAAATCATGCATAGCTATCACATTGCCGCACAAACTTCAAAAAGTCATGAGCGTTCCATATGTCGCTAGTCGAGCGACTAAGCTCTCCAACATATGGCGACAATGTTGAAGTCACAACAGCTGCTAGTCATTACCACGAAAAGGGCCCGCGAACGGGACCGTTTAGCTTTTCTTCACAACCAGCTCTTCACATCCTTCTCGTCCTCACTTGACAAAGACTCCGTCTCCAAGTCCTTCTCCTTCTCCTCCAGCCTCTTCAACGCCTCCTTCTCCTCATCCTTCGTCTTCTGTTTCTCCACTTTCTCTTTACGAGCCCTCACCAACGCACCCTCCAACGTCATCAACTTACTCACCACCCACTTTACCGGCTCCTTCCAGATCCTAATCTTCCACAACCCCTTCGGCACCTTCTCCCCCGGCGCAACCATGACAACCGTGCACTTCACATTCTCCTTGCCATCGACGGAGCGTACCGTAGCCTCCACATAACCCTTCTTCAAATACACATCTACCAACTCCTGGTAGGAAGTAGTGGACTGAATGTGCCACTTCTTGCGCTTAGTGCTGGCCTCGCGATTAGCGGTGAAGGGCGCTTTGGTACCGCGGTGGAAGAGATTGCGGCAGGTCTGGATGTAGAAACCTGTGTCGACAGGGGCGGCGCCAGGTGTAAGCGAGGACATTATAGAATTGACATGCGTTTTGTTGATCGACTTGATGGGGTGAGGATGGAAGTAGACGTGCAGTTGGTTGGGGCCGCGGTTCTTGGAGTCGGGCTTGGACATGTTGTTGAGGGCGGGAAGGGCACTGGGAACTGGCGGAATGGGGAGTGGGCCGGGAATCTTGAAGCTGTTAGCTTGGCGATTTACTAGAGGACGAGGTCGGAAGTTGGGTGCTGCATTGCTCATCTTGCAGGAATATAAGGAGTCTAAGCTTTTCACGAGGCAATAAGATAGGAATGGCTTACCATGCTTGGTTGATGATCGGGCCATGCACCTGGTCGGGATGATGGTGGGTAATAGAACATGAACATGGGTCCGACGACTATCGTGAGGCCAGGGAACGAGGTTTATATGTAGGTGCGGGGGTTTGCTAGGCTTTTTCTAGTGTGAGTGGTGGAAGAGAAAATGGTCTTCAGTGTTGGGGTTTCGAATAAGGTGGAGATAGGGGCTCCTGCTCTCTGGTGGTTGAGTACATATAGCTGGTTCGAGCGGGTCTGATGCGCTCAACATTTTGCTTGTGGCTTATCACCTCGCAATGCCGGGTTTGGTCAGATGAGAGGTTTTGGATATCATTGATGGAGTCTTGACTCCTCGATAATAATATTGGCACCCGGTCCTGGGCGTGCTCAGATTCCTGACAAGTTACCCTCTTTTGTCGAATTGGCGGTCAAGCCTTTGGTTAGTGCTAGACAGTACTAACCAGGCTACGATTGTACATCGCCTCGTCGTATCCACAATTGAGATCGTCTTAATATTGCAAACTCTCCGAATTGAAGCCGAAGCCGGATATCCAACGCTTTGCCGCCCGCCATTGATCATCTCCTAATTCACACCCGCCAGCCCTGGCAAATCCCTCATCTCCTTCTGCACTTCCCATACCAATCCTAGAAAATCCCTCTTCTCTGCCTCGCTCGCGAACTCGATCCGTGCACCAGTTACCATCTTCTTCTTATCAACACCCTCACCCCTGCTCTTTCCCTCCGCGATGACGCTATCTTTCCTGCCATTGCCCTTGCCCTCCAACGGCACCCGCAGCCCTTTCACCTTCACTTCGCGACCGCCATCGTCTTTGACACGGATAGGCGTGTTGGCGGAATTGAGATAGAATGCCAAGTAGCCGTTGCGGAACTGCGGACTGAAGTGGATAAGAGCAATGACGGCGAGGGTGTCGTTGTCCTCCCAAATGCGCAGGTTCTCCATGCCGCACATTTGCTCGGCGTAGGAGAAAGCGCCGGAGAGACCTTCGTGGATACGCAGGGTTTTGGAGGTGCGGTATGTAGCGAGGAGAGTGCGGCCCATGAGTTCGTTCTGGAAAAGTGCGGCGCCTGATACTCTGTTAGCATTACATTGGGATTCCTAGAAAGGCAGGATTTACTATGTGCGGACTCGAAAATGTAGTTGATCCATGTTGTCTTCGCGGTCCGAAGCACACGCTGCCCGTACTTCACATCGTGGAATTTGAGCTCGCATGGTACGGTGACGGAGACCTTCTCGGGACTGAAATAGCTCGAGTACGGGACGTACATCTCGCCGTCCACCATCTTGAGCTCTAGCCTAACGGTGTTGTCATCGCTGAACACCCATATTGAAGTCATCATGCGGATGTCGTGTTTTGCGTCTGCCATCGCCTCGCGCTTGCGCACCACCGCTATGCGACACTCCAGGCAAGCCTCCACCATTTCGACATCATGGGATCCCTCGTCAGCCGACACTTTCTGCGCATATTCGACAGTGGTGCCGCGGCTGGGAAAAAGTCAGTTCGGCGACACAGAATAGGAAATGATTGACGTGATTGTGGTAGCGGAATACGAAATTGTGGCTTACACGTCGCATAGAATAGCCGCGTTCCGGAACGCCACTTTCTCGAATTGTTCTTTCTGAACCAATGTCATGGAGCTTCGATGCAATTGCTTGATTTCTGATCGTGCAGACTGGGTTTGTTGACCGAGGCTTAGCCCTGACATCAAAGAGGCAGTTTCAGCACCAGCATCGGTATCAGGCAGAGGGGGAAGTGTCATAGCAGGTGGTGGGAGCATTGGCGAGAGCACCCCAGAGTCTGGTCTGGAGCGCGCCTCTCGATTTGCTACCGATTTGGCGAAGCTGGGTGCTTTCGTGGAAGGTTGCCGTGACAAATAAGCATATCGGAGTGGTGTCTTGGATTCGTGGCTGAAATCTTCTTCTGAAGACGCTACACTACCAGAATACCGTGACCCAGGTCCACCGACACTGAACTCTGAGATGCGCTTGCGAGTCGCCTGTGGTGAAGGTAGCGTAGATCTAGGCGGCGAGGAAGGTGCGGATAGCTCTGGGGAACCAAAAGAGGGCGGTGGAGATTGCGGACGGCTGATCTTTGAGCTCTGCCGTGTAGGGAAGAAGTCTGTCGCTGAATAGCGATCTTGGGAAATCTGGGATGGTTGGAGTGGCACGGTGCCTGGCGAGCTGGCCATGGTATTCGGCGTTGGTGGAAAGTGCGACCGACTCGCAATATCTTTGACGATGCGATTGGCTTCATCTAGTTGCTGGCTGAGGGTACGTGTTCGGTGCTGAATACTGTCCACTTGCTCAGCAATCGGGTTGACGACGCTTTCAAGTTGGGTTATTGATTTGCTATGCTAGTCAGTAAAGGTTTGCGCCTGTCAGATATGACGCCATTGGCATACCTCTGCAATGCACGCATGGTGAGGGTGATGGTATTTGCGTGCATTTGGAGAAGATATCGCAGATTCTGTAGGTTACCACCGTCTGTGGTCCACATCATTGTCTTGTATTGGGTAAGTACCATGTCGCTCCATGATCTCTCGACGGCAAATCCGCCCGAGTTGCGAGTTTTCTTGACGACCTGGTACTGGTCCAGCAGAGACTCCAGATCGTGGACTGCTCGCGAACACGAATTGACGATGGTGGCCAGTCCATGCTGGGTCCTGGCATCTGCTTGCTTCAGCAGGCTGTCGTCGGAGTCGGCGAAGAAAGCCTCGGCGAGCAGCTTCAGGGCTTTGGCGAGGGCATTGATCTCAAGCTCGACGTCCTGGAACTCGACGGGTGCGTGGGTCCGGCCCGCAGTGAAGGCACGCCCTACCTTCCAGGCTGTCTGGGACAGCAACAAGATGTCCCCGATGCTGGGGACCGTCATCCTGGTGACCGGCGCTGCATGGGCGGACCTCGGCGGGACACGTGCAAGGTCGACAGGGGTCGGGCGCTACGGTCTGGGGAACGATGGGTCGTTCGGAGAGTCTGGGGAGCAACGAAGACGATCAAATGGCCGGAGGGGCGCGATATACGTAGGTGAAAGGTGCGTGGGGGACATGGAGGTGGCAGCTGTCAAAAGCGCACGGAGCTTCGCCTGGGAGCCTTGGGGCGTGGGAGGCTTCTACGCTTCTGCAGGGCTGGTCTTCGGTCCATTCTGACGGTCAGGGTGCTCTTGACCGATGCTTGAGGTCGCGCTCGTCTGCTGCGCTGGAGAGCGGGCCGAGATATTGGACGAGGGCAGGCCAGCAACACGTGGGGTGGGGAGGGGGCCGTTATTGGTCTTCGCGGAGGCCTCTTAGCGGCGGCCGTCTGCAGTGCTCAGGCGCAGCATACCAACGAGCATGGTAGTCCTATTTGGGCGCACTTTGGGCCGCGCAGCGAGTGCGCCTACACACGCATACGGGCCGGGCTAACACGTAGTTCACGGCTCTAGCACAAGCCACATGCCGCGCGGCTGGGCCTGCACCATCCATTAAATTTCATGCAAGAATGTACATGTTCGCAGCGTGCTCCACGTGTGGACTGCTGCTGCGCGTGCAGACGAGAGAGGAGAACCCCACAGCTGAACCATCCGACAAGGCCCCAGGCCCGCCTCCCATCTATACATGCCCTCCCCATCCATCATGCCCCATGATGCCAGTTGCGCCGGATGATCATCGTACGGTAATATACAGCGGGCGACGCAGCGCCCTCGGACCCCAACACAGCTATGCCAATTCGTGACGGTTACGCAGTTACGCAAGAGGGGAGAAGAGTCTGTGTTGCCGTCAGCCTTCACCGCCATCTAGCCACCGAGGGCCAGCAGCCCGGGACGGCACTCACCGGATGAGCGACGGCTTCGGCTCGCTGCGAGAGTATCCGAGATACAGGATCAACGGGAGGTAGCCGTAGTGGATCGCGACGCGGGAGACGTCGATGATGCGGGCGATGCGCTCCTGGGCAATGGTCAGTCTTGCTTGGGCATTGTTGGACGCGTGGAAGCGCGCACCTTGGATTCCTCTGAGAGCTGGAACATGGTGGCTGGATTGGGGACAACGGCAACCGACGTAGACAGGCTGGCGTTGGTGATGTTGTGTGATGGAGTCTCCTGTTGATGGACGGTGAAAGGCATCCAATGCAAACATGAAAGTTTCGCGGAGCTTGCGCACGTGCCGCCGCGTCTGCCAAGCCGCTACTTGCGGAGAGCTTCAATTTTCGAGCTCGACGGCAACAACAGACCGCCGCCACCAACGTCCTGCGCAGACGTATCACATAAATCATCAGTACTTTTCGCGTGATCAACAGGCTACAGCTGGAAGATTCTCATAATGGCAGGCCCTGCCGCGCGTCACTGGTATGCATCGCATCTTCAGTAACCTCGCCCGTACTTGCTAACACTAGCCAGGGAGCAGAATAAGGAAGCCACTGTCTACGTTGGCAATATCCACGAAGACGTCACCCAGCAGCTTCTGACAGAGCTTATGAATCACCATGGCCGCGTGCGCACTATCAATATGCCCGTCGACCGCGTCAACGGCAAGCACCAAGGTTTCGGCTTCGTCGAGTTCGCGACCGAGACCGACGCCGACTACGTTATTTCGATCCTCAACGGCACGCGCCTTTTCAACTCAGCGATACGCATGAACAAGGCTTCTGCAGACAAAGCGAAGAGCGTAGAGGTCGGCGCCGAGTTGTTCATCGGCAACCTGGATCCCATGGTGGACGAGAGATCGCTATACGACACCTTTCTACGTTTCGGACAGCTCGTTAGCGCTCCCAAGATTGCGCGCGACGAGTTCAACATGTCCAAGGGCTACGGCTTCGTCTCGTACGCCGACTTCGAAGCCTCGGACGCAGCCATTGCGAACATGCATGGCCAGTACGTGATGAGCAAGCAAATATCCGTGCAATACGCGTATAAGAAGGACGGACAGGGCGCGCGTCATGGAGACGAGGCAGAACGTCTGCTTGCGAAACAGGCAAAGGCGCACGGTGTAGCACCCGCTGTGCAACCTCTTCCCGCCCATCTCTTCCAGGCTCCTCCACCACAGACTCCCGCAGGACCCCGCGGCGTTCCCGGCGCACCCAATGGACCATCAGGATACGGAGGACCACCTCCCCGCGCCCCGCCGCAAGCTCCACCCTCTCTTCCACCGCTGCCTTCAGGGCTGCCGGCAAGGCCCCCAAGTGGCGCTCCACCTGCGAATTTCTACCCTCCGCCCCCTGGGTTCCCTGGTGGTCCTCCTCCACCAGGCTTCGCACAGCCTCCGCCGGGTTTTGGAAGATGATTGTACAACTTCTAAGCATGCATGGAACGGCGTTATGGATTTTGACTAGATAAGATACCCAATCAGAAGAGTTGTTTCAATCTCGATATTCACATGCTTGACTTTTGTGAGTTCTTGGAAGTGTGGAGCCATGCCAAGAATGCTATGCGAGGAACAGTTGACGGCATGTCACTAGTCGGGAATGAACTGCACGCGAGTCAGTTCGCTAACGGAAAACGGTTATTTTAGGGGTTACACGTGGAGCAACGCATTAGTATGGACTGACGCGGGGAATGCTGTACACAGTACGCTGAAGACTCGTGCGTACGTATAATGCATGCAAACTGCGGGTGACACCGCAACACATTTCGGTAAGCATATATGGCTAACTCCGAAGAGTCACTGGTCAATACCAATCAAAACGCTCTTGACAGAAGGTAACAAGGTCGCTCAAATTACTAAAATAGTCCCAGTGCGGACCAGATGGCTTCAACTTACCAAGCCAAGTCGGCCAGCCTCTCCGATCCATACGGCACACTCGGCGCCTTCCACTCCGTCTCGGCGCCCGCAATCTGCGCCACTGGCTTCAGAATTGACAACATCTTCCCATCAAAAGCACTCTCGGAGAAAGACTGGAACCAGCAGCTGTCTTCGTTTAGGTAGTTCCCAAGGACCTTCTTCCACCCCTTCCATACCGTGACGAGAATATCTAGCACATGATGTGATCCACGCATACTCTGCCACTGGAACCTCTCTTGGCATTCTTGCACGATGGAAACGGGGTACAACCCCACGTCTTGCCTCAGCGCGTACGCATCCACGCCCGTCAAGCTCGCATGAACAGAGTAGCTCCCACCTTTGATGGCGCGATCGCGCAGGGCGATCAGTGTTCCCAATGCGCCCAAGACACCAGTCGACATATCAGAAATAGGCAAACTAGGCAAGACAGCCTCATTTGCAGGTAGGTTCTGCGTCAGTTCCAGCGCCTTGCCAGTCACATACGCGGAACCCGCCGCAGCATCGGCAATTTGCTGCCACCCTGGACGCTCGCGATATAGTCCCTCACGTCCATAGCAGTTCTCGGATACGTAGACGATGCCCTTGTCGCGTTTACCTGCCATCTCGAGCATTTCCTCGAGCCCGAGGCCAAATTTCTTCATCTTGCCGAGGCGGAAACCCTGCACGAAGACGTCGGCGTCCGAGAGGAGCTGAAGCAATTGCGCACGATCTTCGGGCTTGCGGAGGTCCACGGTTGTGGTGCGTTTACCAGCGTTGAGAGTGAGCTGCAAGATGTTGATGTCTGTGAGGTGCGGCGGGTTAAGTCTGATGACGTCCGCACCGAGAGATGTGAGGATAGTGCCGATTTGCGGTCCGGCGATAACGCGGGTCATCTCGATGACCTTCACACCAGCCAGAGGTCTGAGATCTCCAGCTGTGAGTGGAGGGAACGCCACCGGAGCTGTAGGTACAGCATGCGTCTGCTGCTCGACATCCACAAGCGGATGTTCCGCCAGACTCTTCCCCATGCTGCTCTCGTTCCACTGCTTCGGGCTGAAGCACACCGAGCCACAAAAACCGTTCATGAGGTTATTCATTTCGAGCTCGGCAGGCAGAAATCTCTTGGTATGCCCTGCGATCATCGCAGCAGCCTCCTCGTTGGAGCCAACTTTGGTAGCTGGATCAAGCCCGATAGACCGAAGCACAGGCTCTGCGTTCATACTGCCGTGCAGCGAGTACCACGTCTCAGGGTCTCTAGTCGGATACAGCCCCGTTGCGCGATATTTGAGCGGCGTGTCCACCCATCCGCGTTCCCAGTCCGGAAGCACCTTCTTCAACTCGCCTTTTCCAGCTAGCGTCAGGACATCCTCGCCGCCCAGGTAAGCGGCCGCGACGGCGCCGAACCACAGCGCTGTGTGCGTGGTGTTCACAGTGATGCTACGGTTTAGGTCTTGTGCGCCACGGAGCGAGAGGATCTCATCTGCGACGACGCCGCACATAGCATGGAGGGCTGCTGCTACGGATGTGGCTTTGATAGGACCGGGGATCACGGGGAAGTCCTCTCCCGTGAACCTGACTTTGGAGAGGAAAGCTTCATCTTTGGTGAAGGTGGGGGTTTGGGAGGCGAGGAGGTGGAAGATGCGAGCTGTATCTTTGGGAACTGGTGTGAAGGTCGTGTCGGTGTAGGTTCCTGGGCCATAGATGTCTGGTATACGGTTTGACGAAGACATGTTGGAGGCAAAGGAAAAGAGTTGATCAGGATGCTATGGTCTTGGAAAGGGTAAAATCGATAAACCATTACTGAGGATCACAAATTCGCCGTCGAAGCCTCGCTTTAGTATCTCGATCTCTCGCCTTACGAAAAGACATCTTCACCAAAAACTTCGCGCAACGTCATCCATCAATCTCGGCGGACTAAAAATGAAGCTCGGCACGATCAGTAAAATCGCCTCGGGATGAACCGAGCGCCCCACCGTGTCCTCCACGTTACCAGAACTACCGGAACACCGTTGCCTCGTACGAGGACAACATTTACAGACCGTTTTTTGGAATCCATGCAGGTACAATGTCGCGGCCAATGAGTGGCCGCGAATGCCACGACCTGCCACGTTTCCGCGGCCCGACTCCGAGAGCTTCGCACCGGCCGATCTCCACCGACCACGTAGCTACGAGAAATCCCCGACAGGGTGATCTCATCGGAAAGAACTTCGTGCGAGGCTGTCGCAAAGTTGTTGTTGTTGTGGGTATAATACGCAAGTAGCTTGGGGCGTATATAGAGATGGGTAAGCCATGGAAACAATGCCATCTAGAAGAGCATTTCCTTTTGTATCAGCACTGCCTCATTTCGAGGATCCTTACCTTGGATAATTTCCTACACAACTCTGTAATCGAGATATGCCACATGCTACATCCTCTGATCGGGAGATCAGGAATGTTGCCATCATAGGTTGTGGCTCAATCGGTGCCTCGTGGGCAGCTCTCTTCCTTGCCCAGGACCTGACTGTCACTGTTTACGACATAAATCCTTCGACTGAAATATTCCTTCGCACGATCGTATCGACCGCCCTCCCTACTCTCAAATCGTTGGGCCTTCTCAAGAACTCCTCGGCAAAGGCGGACGACATCGCCTTCACGACCAACCTGCAGGAAGCACTTAGCAACGCCGACTTTGTGCAGGAAAATGGACCCGAGAGACTGGAGTTCAAGCAAAATCTATTCACAGATATTGCGAGACACGTTGCAGAAGATGTTATTATCGCAACCAGCTCAAGTGGATTGCTGTGCTCCGACATCCAAGAGGGCATGCCCACGGAATCGAAACCAGAGCGCTGCGTTGTCGGCCATCCATTCAACCCTCCGCACCTCATTCCTCTGGTCGAAGTTGTGGGCGGTCGGTTCACGTCAAGATCCACCATCAACAGGTCCCTCGGATTCTACGAGAACGTGGGAAGGAAGCCAATCTATTTGCAGAAAGAAGTCCCGGGCCATATCGCAAATCGTTTGCAGGCGGCAATTTTCCGTGAAATATTTCACATTGTTCGGAACGACATATGCACTGTGAAGGACATTGATGATGCCATGGCATTTGGGCCTGGACTGAGATGGGGCGTTATGGGTCCCAGCACACTGATGCATCTGGCTGGTGGCGAGGGTGGAGTCGAGCACATGGCAAATCATCTACTGCAGCCGTTGACGACGTGGTGGGCCCAAGATCATCCGGTGGTAGACGACGAGCTGAAGAATAAGTGGGTGGCTGGTACGCTGGACGCTGTCAACGGCCGGAACTATATCGACTTATCTAGGCGAAGGGACGACGAGATAGTGCAGCTCCTGAACTTTCGGAAAGAAAAGGGAACCGAGTTCGAAACGGAGACTGAAACCAAAAAGTTGTTCATCCTCGACACCAATCTATCACAGCTCCCAAACGCTTGTGGCCGCATACAAAGCTGTAATACGAATGGTTCAGACTTGCACACTATCGTCGACAATATGGCCGCTCTCCCGGACGGCATCGCCATTGACAGCGATCGCGAGTACATGTACTGGACGAACATGGGCACATCCCTCAGCGGCAACTCCGGCTCCATTGAACGTGCACGACTCGATGGCTCTCATCGTGAGGTCATTGTGGCCCCAGGCACACCCGGCGTGCATACTCCGAAACAGATCACTTTTGCACCTCTCAGCCGCAAAATCTACTGGTGCGACCGTGAAGGGATGAAAGTTTGCCGCAGCAACCTTGACGGCACGGCCATCGAGATCCTAGTCGATACCGCATCTTCGGAAGAAGCTCATCCACAGTGCCGCTGGTGCGTCGGCATCACAGTCGACGAAACGCGTGGCTTCTTCTACTGGAGCCAGAAAGGTGCGCCCAAGGGCAAGATGGGTCGCATATTCCGCGCTCGGATAGACGAACCGGCCGATTGCGAGATGGTATTTGGCGAGCTACCGGAGCCGATTGATCTTGAGATTGATGAGGAGAATGCGACGTTGTACTGGACGGATCGGGGAGACCCGCCCACTGGTAACTCACTGAACCGGTCGAGGCTAGATGGCCCGAGGAGGGAAAGAGAAGTGCTGGCTACCAGACTACATGAAGCGATCGGGTTGGCGCTAGACAAGGAAAATGGCGTATGTTATGTGACGGATCTCGCGGGTGGAGTGTACGAAGTCAATGTTGAGACGAGGGAGAAGAAAGTTATGTTTTCTGAGCTTGGTGATCTGACGGGGGTGGCGCTTGCCTAAAGGCGGGGTTGGAAAGCAGCTACGCAGTGCGGACGGCTGCTGTTTCCAGATGTCGTCAGCTTCCTTAGACCTCAATAGCATGTGAATGACTGTTATTCTTATACGGCCGTATGGGCCTACCTCGATATTGCGGACGCCTAAAACTTGCTAGGGACAGGAGGATCCGAGATCCTCGGTAAATCGTGATTTTGGACATCAAAAGATTTTCGACCACGGCTTCTCTGTATACATCTCTTGTTTGGAGTACGCAGGCAACCTCAACCAAACAGTTACAACAACTTTAATACAATATGGCGAACGTCGCCTTGCTGCACAGCTTCCTGTCGAACCGGTCCGCGAGATCTGCTCGCATCTAATCGAAGCTTGACTCGGCTCATACACTTGCAAGCTGCATGGCGTTTGTGCGATGCGTCTTGATTTACTGCATGATCTGCTTGAAATCCTTGCACAACTTCTGCGAAGCGGCTTTCTCTACGCTCATTTTTGATCTGACCTGTGCCCAGGAGCCCGCATCTCGCTCAGCAACTGCACCACATAGTGTCAATCATGCATTGCGTATCCCAATCGTTGATACAACGAGAAATATCGATTACATTATATTACTTAAGAGATTTGCTCGAATCAGTCACTACGGAGTGACTTTGACTATCTTCGCAACACTCGGGGTACCAGCCGAATTGAGTGCGAACAAAAACCAAAATCCGGGAACAGCCACACCAGGATCACTAGGAATTGTTACTGTATATGAGGTTCCGCTGCCTGCGGGTGTGAGAGGGATGCGCCGTTGGTCAGTATCCACGGTATGAGTAGCCGAGCCGATCCGAACCAAAGCGAACCGCGTTACGGCTGAGTTTGTGGTGATGCCGAGTGAAGCACCGAGCCTCACAGTCGTTGCTACAGTATTGATGACCGGCCGTGCCTTGCGTGAACCATCAGCATTTAGAAGGTATGGAGGAACGAAGATCTCGGCGTCAAAGTGGTTTACACCGCAACCGCCACACAAGCCACCTCCTCCTTGGAGTATGGTTGCATCGGGCAGAAGCAACGCAGTCGAGTGATACGTTCGAGGAATCGACATAGGATTCAATTGGGTCCATGTGTTTGTCGCAGGATTGAACAATTCCGGAGTCAAATGCGCTGTTGTGTCCGTGAACGGCTTGACGAAACTTTGCCCACCAGTCACGAAGACTGTGCCATCTGGAAGGGCGACGCCATTCGCAAAGCCTCGTGCAAATGCCATGTTTGGAACTTTTGTCACTTGAGGGTTCTGCTTTGTAGCCCCAAGAGTGATGACGTAGGCGTTCGAGCGAGCCGTGTCGTCCTCGTAGTTCGCTGAGCCGCCGGCGGTCAGGATCTTACCGGCAGGGGCATCGTACATCACAGCGTTGCCGCACATTGCATCGCCATCATCTGCTCGGTTACCTGCGGCAGTGACGCTACCCGCACCGTTGGTGTCGTACCAGTTCATCCCTTTCGAAGGGCCCGCTTGGAAGCTGCAAGTCAAGATCGGGTCAGCAACGTTCTGCATCAAGTCGGGTTATTGGGTGACTTACACAGTCCCGGTCTTCCATGCAAACAACCACCCATGATTGTCCGAGCGATAAGGTCCCTTTGTGTCCTGAGTCTGCATTGGTGAGACTAATGCGCCCGACTGCAGCGTCCAGGTATTCGCGCTGGGACTATATATCTCGCCGTTCTTATTGCCGACTGCGCCACTCCAGCTACCACCAATATTAAATATGCGACCGTCTCCGACTGTAACGGTAGACTGATACCCTCGTCCTATATTCATGTCCGGCCCAGCAGTCCACGCATCGGTTGCAGAATCATAAATGCTAGTCTTCGCGGCATTACTACCGCCACTCACGACGATGCGACCGTTGAAGTCTATCGAGATTCCAGGGCAGAACATGTCGTGATTTGTATTGGTCACAACGCGTGGGGTTGACTCTCCGGTGGCCGGGTCGTAGATGGCAGTTTGGGTGAAACCATTCGAGCCGCCGAAGTTGTCACGTTCGAAAGATGACCAAACCAATACCTTACCGTTTGGCAGCATGGCAACCGCCGCTGGTACGAGAGGAAAGTCGACCGTATTCACCCAGAGACCGTTCGACGCTGCAGGAGCAGCAGGAATGACTTCAGTTTCGCCGCTGACGAGATTGATCTCCCTCGCTGTAGTCCATTGTCCACGGTTACCGGCTTCTGTAAGAGCATTCAATCTGAAGTAACGAGCCGTCGCATCGAAAAGAGTAATCTTCTCATCCTCGGTGTCTACCCACATGCCAGTCGCGACCTGTGTCCACGTGTTGCCGTCGTTACTCACTTGAATACTGTATTGCCCAATACGTCCGTTTCCCGGGGCGCCTCGAGGTAGATAGCTCAATCCTTCAACAGTGATCTGAGTGCCAGCATCGATTTGAAACCAGTGCGGTAGTGGCGCTATGGTCCCGCCGTTGTACCTCGTATGCCATAGGGTGGCAGGGTTGCCGTCTATCGCGTTTTGTGCAGGGGAGTTCTCACTGACTGTTTCCTGACTATCGGCTGAAACAGTCCATGCTGTCCTAGAAATGTAGTCATAGGTTACCTCGTGGTAGACGTTGATTTCTGCCGCCGAAGTCCACTGCAGTCCGGCTTGTTGTGCCTCCGTTGTTGCGGTGATCCGAACGTATCTAGCTGCTCTGCTAATGAACGTCGTCTTCTTCACAATGTCATCGTTGATATATGTTCCGGTCGCTGCGAGATTCCAATTCGCTCCATCGGTGCTCACTTCGATTTTGTGACCGCCGATCCGTCCATTGGCGCTGCCATCCTGGCGAGGAAGATATCCGACGGCGTGGATGTTGTAGGTGTTCTTCATATCAACTATGATCCAGTTCGGGAGTGCATCGGCAGTGGGGTTGAATTGCGAATGCCAGAAGGTATTCAGATTAGCATCGATAGCCTTTTGGGGTTCATTGCCCTGATTGAAAGAGTCGGCCGTTGCAGTCCATACGGTCCTCAGGATAGGTGCCGAGACCGATGCAACGGTCCGGATAAGTAAGCATACTGAAAGGAGCGACAAGAAAGCAGACATAGTGAATGTGAGTCAGCGCAAGCGAAAGCAAATGTCGCATATCCGCAACCATTTACTACTGCTTCTACCGACACTATTATATAGTTCTCCTGGCGTTTTACTCAGGTTCACGCTGCGCCGCCAAAACACTCCGGATTTCGTATGCGGCCAGCTGATCGCGGCCTAGATCGTATCCAAGCATCCCGCCTTGTAATCTCACTTCAGCTCACCCGTTGCCTCTTCCCAGGGACATGCTCACACCGCAAAGTCACAGCTCGATATCGCCCCACCCGCTTCTCGAAAATCCAATCGCCCGGATAGCAACGTCCGACGTACACGCCTATACCACGGGGCGCACGTCCCGATCTGCACATGCTGCAGAATCAATATATCGTGCATGTCCGCGTCGTAAAGTTAGTGTTGGGAACGAGTGGCTTGAAGCATGGTGAACGTCACTAGGTAGAGGAACCCGAATGTGGCGTTCTGTCATGCGTCCGGTAGGCGTACGAGACCCTGCGATTGGCTGTGTGGCCGTGCGATCGTTTAGGTAGGCGAACGATGAGATTGAAGTGCGGAAGAGGACATCTAAACATGGAAGGTCTGGATAGCGTCCGTACCTTCTAAGGATACTAAGTATGGTAGTGCAGACCTAAGGACACCGAGTCCGGGTGGTAATGACAATCGTTGGTTGCATAGCGTAACCGAACTCAATAGTGCGCAACGGTGTGCTTCAAACTACACGTCTGTATACAGCCAGCACGATAGCATGCACGTGCTCATCGAATCTGGCGTACATGTGCGTCTGTTTTGCAGTCGCGTGCAGCGATCGCCGTATACGAGAATCCTCCAGGGTGTGGTGTGCCGGATACGAGAATCAAGCACTGGGGGTCTCTGCACATCGTGCAGCAGAACCTAAACCTCACCGGCATAATGTGAAAGTTGAGACAACATGTCGGTGAAAATGCAAGACGCAGCTCATCGTTATCTTGGCGCGTGATAGATAAGCTTCTGCTGGAACAGGTATACGAAGACGAATGACTTGGTTCGGAAGCTACGGCAGGAACGAAATGTCAGATTCGACGCTCTTAATACAAGGCGAAATCACACCACTTGCTTCTTAGCAGCTAATGATGTAGGCAGAAATTTGTGGCAGGATGTAAGTCGCAGTGACCGGCCTAGACATTGAGAAGGGGTACCTGGATGAGCGCTGGTCTGACATCGCCTACTGACTCGAACAGTGCTACCCTACCGCTTGTTGAGAGCATTCTCTTACGAATATGACGGATTATCATGAAATGTTTCCACATGCCTTAACCTGAAGGATTGGGCTCGGGAAAAGCTTGTTGACTTCGTGTGCTTACTGCTCACTCACATCCCTGTCCTGCCAAACAGTGAGGACTTGACGGTCTTACAAAAGATAAGGCCCATCCATCAATTTGCCTGCAAGAAATCACACGCTCTAGCAAGCTATGGTCGCCTGATCAAACGATGTTCGAGTCTAGAGCAGGCGCAAGAGCTTTGCGTCAGCATGTGGCCCCGCAGCTGAAAATCCGCATCGACGAAATGATCTGCGCGACGTCTAATTGATCGATTTCTTCTTTCTTAGCTGAGCGGCTGATGCAGGTTTAGAAGTTACCTGTATCACGTTGTCGAATCAAGAAACACTGAAGTGTACTACCACAACGTAGGCGCTAAGCTGAAGTCGGATGGTTTCACGTGAGTAATAGTCGTCCACAGGTAGCGCTATCATGGCGTTGGAACATTCATACCATTACACACTATAAGCTCTAGGACACACTAAAATGCCTGGCAATTATTTCATAAAAAATTTCGCCTCTCAAGTCGCTTCGTGAGCTCCGACATGTACCAAAAGGGTGACACAGTGGATGCAGCCGTGCAAATGCCACTGGAGCAACAGTACTCGCGTCGATTCCAGCATAAATCTTTCTTGATCTGCAAGCTCCGATAACTGCATTGATACGAAGAAATCTAGTTCAACCTGGTAGTGTTTTCAAGCCGCCCCCGGCCCTTAGTCCATGTCGTCTATCGTCACACTGGGGATAGTATCGTCATCTAGCTCATTGGCCGCTCCAAAAGGTTCCAGATCCGGCATATCTTCGTCACTTTCGTCATCATAATCTTCGGTGTCGCGCTTGTTGACACTCTCCTCATCTTCACCTTCTTCGTCATTACCGTCGTCCCAATCGTCGTCCTCGTCGTCGCTCTCACCCGGATCGTCTTCATAAAGGGAGGGCAGACTTTTGGTTGTCTTGGACGTCAAATCGACAATGTAACAGGCGACACCGCAGCTGAAAAGCAACTCTGACCACACCGGCTTGACCTTCTTCGAAAAGATAGACGCTGGGGTATTGACTTCGTCTCGACAGTGAAGGAATATCTCGCGTAAGTCCTCAAGCTCTTCTGATACGTCGGGAATGTGTTTAGCCCAGGGAATGATAGCTAGATCCGGGGAGACAACCTCAAGGCGCTGAAGCTTCTTTGGAAGATCTTGTGGCATAACCTTGTGCTCGGATTCTAGATTAGCGAAGAGGAACGCTTGCGGAATTTTGAGCCATTCCATGTTTGTGAAGCTGTTCATTGACGAGCCCATGTTCTTGCATCGCATAACTATGAAGTCCCATTCATCAGCCTCTTCTAGCGGATCCAAGTCAATTTCTAGAACTTTGAGTGTAGAATGGAGACTAGACAGCTGATCCACAAGCAGCTGAACGTCAAATGTGGGGTTATGAAGAATACAATAATTCTCATGTTCGAGCTTGACCTTGAGAGTGGAAAGCTTATGGCACCCGAGTGCGTCGATAAGATCACGGAAGCTGACTTGCACATCGGTGATGCAGTCCTTGTCCAATAGGTACACCGACAACCCAATGCATAGTTCCGATAACTGCGCAGTCCCTCGAAATGTATTGGGACCGTTCAACTGTAAAAGAGTTTGAACAGTGATGGACGTGATATTGAGGACATTCAGACTGTCGAAAGCAACGGAGCGTAAGAATGTCAGGTCTGACGTACACAACTCCTGAAGCGTCGTCTGCAAGGTAGCAGTGAGGATAGCTGGTAGGGAGCATGTTCCGAAGAAGGCCGGATTGGGGTCTGCAACTCCGCATCCACGGTGAAGCTCCTTGACGGTATATTGTAGTTTCGTAAGGTTAGGGAGAACGCAGAGCAGGAGGCCTGCGTAGGCTGATTCAACGTTGTTTCCAAGCGAAGCCGACCACGGATGGCCTTCTCCATAGCCTAGCTTGTGAAGTTGTACAGCGCACAGATCTCGGAGCGCGGGAAGGTCGAGATTTTTCTTGGGGTATTCATCTTGGTAGAGCCGACCAACATTGCGCCGGACCACCGAGAACCGGAGGCTCTTCACGTGCGGTGCGAGCTCAGGACGTTCAAGTAACGTGCGCAAAAGCTGAACTGCAGAATTGACGGTAGGGTGGCACCCGCAAGCATTGGGAAGCTCAGCGTTTGCGTAAAGCTGCTCTTGGGCAACAGGTAAAAGCTTCTTAGACACCAAGCACAGGTTGCGAAGATGTACCTAACGGACAGATTAGCAAAAGCAGACGAGCACTGCAGCGCCGTGAGCAGATTTCGAAAGTCATATGATGCTGCATCCTCGGTAGCGCAGCCGTAGAAAGTGTTTAATTTGCGATGACGCGCTCGAAGCAAGTCCACTTACCAGATCAGAAGCGGTTTCAGCACGCAAGTGACCGGCTATCTGCAGCAGAAGCTCGGGCGGAAGCCGGTAGATGGCCGGCGCCTGCGGCTGCGCCATGTTTTTGTTGGCGAGAGAGGGGCGCGTTGGGGGCGATGAGGCTGTAAGCTGGTGGCTGTGGAGAATTGTGGCCCGCTTGTTGCCAACTGCTGGTCTTTGACGTAATCAGCCGCGTGCTCACGTGACACACGTTGACCGCCGATTCCCGCAAAGCCGTAGAGGTACGTTCTCGTACGATTTCACCTCGCACATCGCTCTCTGTACTTGCGCTAAATTGACTTGCTGAACTCGCCCGACGCGCCAGGATCAGGGCTTATAAGCACTGAGAACGTGTTCGGTGCTCCGCCATGCCTCAAGCGTCACTGTTGCCTGTTGGCCTTGACCGGTCACGATTTCTTAAGTCACGAGAATTCCGTGCCAGCGCGTTCTTACCGCGTTGCTTGAGCTATTGAATATTTTCACGCCTCTTGACCCTTTCAACAGCCTAAAACACACAATTACAATCATGGCGAATGATTCAAGCTTTCTAACTCAGACGCTCCAGTCTATCACCGTTACCAAGAAGCGCGAGCAGGACAAACGCAGAAAAGCCTTCGAAGCCGGCAAAGCCAGATTACTGCAAGATGTTGATGCTTCCGACAATCAGTCCGCTAAGCTCGAGGCCCTCCTCTCGGGATTCAAAGACCTCTCTTTCAGCAACAAAGGCGTCTGGTATTTCGACAAGGACCAGGAGAAATCAGTCCAGAACATGAACCGCTACTTGGAACAGTCGAAACACGATCCTTCAGTATCAACGGATATGCTCCATCGTTTTGAGACGAAGATACGTGAAAAGCTTAATCAGGAGAGCGAGCGCTTCCATTTTGCGAATCTTTACTATCGTCTTCTTACAGAGTGGACATCCACCGACGGCAAGCCTATTGCTGCATCAGAATGTAGCCAGGAAGAACTCGATGGCTCGTTTGAGCATGTCCAAAGGTACAGTCTGCAGAACCTCAAGGACAAATTCAGTAGTGTTGTGTTCACTCCCTCGGAGACGGACGAGGTCGAGATTGACAACTACCTCGGCTCATTATTCGACGACGATCACGCCGAAAACATCCTAGGTCGCCTGCGTGCGAACGTGGCACGCTTTGCTGTCGAGCTTAAGCAGCGTGCAAATCCATTTAATCCATCTATCCTAAAGCAATGCATTCGAGCGCTGCTAACGAACGATCTTCTCAACGATGATGCGAAGGCGACCTTGTCAGATTTCTCGACAAACGGAGTGGTACTTGTCGAGATTGCAGATGTTTTGAACCTCCGGTTTTCTGATCTGGACAACTGGTCATGGGAGGCAGATGATGGAATGTACTACGAGCCGCGAAAACAAGCCAATGGAAAATATCGCATCATGTTGGATCAAGATATCCTGCAGGCTATCTTCTTGCATTACATTGCAGTGTCTTGGAGTGAACATCTCAAACAACAATTTACGAGTCTAGCGTACGACGACACGTTTTGGAAAACGGCAAACAAACCCTCACGATTGGAAGAGTCGCGCCGAGCGTATTTCACCAGCAAGTGCCAACGTTCGAATCAGGGTGTCGCAGGTGCGCAATTGGAAACCTTCCGTCAAACGTTCCTCCTCTCTGCTTTGCCCTCGTCGCTCGAACATGGATCTGATCCCTATGGAGGAGATCCTGAGTCAAACGGTAAAGAGAAGAGCGGTTTGGCCATTCGACAGCTTCTTCTTCAGCAAGTTGCGACAAATGTCATTATCCAACGCGCGCTTCATGGAAGCGTTGCCGTCGTTCAATCCGATTTGCAATGGTATGCGACTGGCCTTCCCCATTCCACACTGTTTGCTGTGCTTCGCTTTTGGGGCATTCCCGAGGGTTGGATCTCGTTCTTCAAGAAGTTCGCCGAGGCACCCTTGCGAATGGACCCAACTCCTGGTCAAAACGTGCGAACGCGAAAGCGGGGTATACCCATTACCGACGCCTTCGAGAAATTGTTCGGCGAGAGTGTTTTGTGGTGCATGGATGTCGCTGTGAACCGTCTCTGCAGCACTACTCTGATCCGTTTCCACGACGACCTCTGGCTGTGTGGTGAACCTTCGGTGTGTGCCAATGCCTGGGAGACCATTCAGGATTTCGTCAAAACCCTCGGATTGGATATCAACATGAAGAAGACGGGATCCGTGTATATTTCGGATAGTAACAAGGACTTGATTGTTGCCTCGAAGTTACCGAAGGGACCGGTTTGCATGGGAATGCTGCAGCTTTCGGAGTCAGCTGACTGGACATTAGACCTGAAGCAGGTTTCCGCACATGTACGTCAGCTCCAAAAACAACTTGGAGAAAGCCGAAGCATTATTGGATGGGTCCAGATCTGGAATGCCTGTGTTGCCAAATTCTTCAAGAATGCGTTTGGTAAACCAGCCAATTGTTTCGGACAAGGACATGTTATTGCCATACTAGACACATTTGCCGAGATGCAGCGCGATCTCTTCGAAGAGCATAACGGCAGCGTTACCGAGTACTTGCGCGAACAAATTCGCCAACGTTTCGATGTGAAAGACATACCGGACTCTTTCTTTTTTGCACTCGAAGAACTTGGAGGACTTGGTTTGCAGAGTCCATTTGTCCCATTCTACGTCCTCAAGGATCAGTTGATGAAGGACCCGTTGCACCGTATTACGCAATTCCTCAAAGCTGAGAAAGCGAAATACAAGGACCTTCAGGAGTCATTTGAGTTGCTCTCGGAAATGGTAAGCGAAACAGTAGTGTAACTTGGCTGTGCCAAAAAAACCCACGTCAACGGTTCGGTCACTTCAGTATGCGCGTTGAAACGAGCTAGCCTACGATAGAACCTTAGACTGTTGCTGTAGTACTGCATTCCTTGACTTGACTTAGACTAACTCTGTACCTTAGGACCGACAACGTCGCTTCGATTCCAGCTTTCACAGCTCGCGACAAACTGGCCTCCCAAACGAGCCGTTCTTCCCCTTTGAGGAGTACACTGCCCATCGCGAGACATATTCCTACGAGCTGAAGCTTGCCTACGAGGATCTGATGCGCGAGCCCGTTGAAAACGACATCCAGCTGTCCAACGATGTCGCACCGTGGTTTGAAGAGCTTGGTCACTCACACAAGATGGGTTGGAGCAGTCTACTCAGCGAGGACAAGTGGATAATGCACCTGTATGCTGAGGAGCTGAAGCGTAGATTTGGCGCGCTGAGCATCGTGGACCGCAATTTGTTGCCTAGTGGCGTGATGCAGATGCTAAAGAAGAAAAAGGTCGTCTGGCAGTTGATTATCTGGGACTAGATGACAAGTAGTGTAGGGCTTGAGGCGTCTAAGCTCATAGTACCAGTATCGAATGAATGACACCAGAGACATTGCAGAGGAAAGATACGGCCTAAACAGTGTTATGATATGCGTCATCGTGGCGGAACTAATAGGCGATTCTGGAAACATACCTCAGCACTCCGAGATAGAGCATGATTCGGACTGATACATCCCGAGCTCTTCTAATGGCCCCTGGATGTAGCAGTTTCGCTCAAACTCTAATCGGTCCGCAGCATGCTCATTGCGAAAGCGTTGAGCAAAAGAAGGGGAATATGACTCCTGTGATGAATTGTCAGCAGCCTCGGCTCCGGTGCCGCTTGAGATAAGAATGACGACCGTCAAGTGCTGATTATGCGTCACCTGAGGCAACTTTCACCTTACTGACATAAACGGCTATGTCCGCAAGCCAACCCCGTGCCATAATAAAGCCCTTATCTCTAGTACAGACGCCTAGCCTCCATTAGCCTGCTATACCTCAACCTGTGTATCACGTTGAATTCCTCAACTGCAGTCAACTCACCAAGCCTACTATGAGCGCTAACTTAATAGCACTTATGTATGTCCCTCCATATAGCTTGATGACAGATCTGACTGGGTGTAGCTCCAAGCGTAATACGGAACAGTCACTCTTCCTTCGACTACCTGGCGAGTTGCGCAATAAGATTTACGCCCACGTCCTCGCAGGTATGGAATACCGCGTCGAGAACTACAACGGCCTTTGCGGCAAGGTCAGCTGGAAGAAAGCAAACTACTATAACGAGAACAAAGACAGCTACAAAGTCAAAAAGTATCGGCTGGCCATGGTCCGCACGTGCCGTCAGATCCATGAGGAAACCAAGACTATCCACGCCGGACTCAGCACATTTCACTTTACCGTCGCCTGGATGATGGTGAATTGGACGATCCCGCAAGGAACAACCTCAGTCGTTGTCCACGATACACTACCATTTGATAACGCTTTGCGGCCCCTTGGCACGAGCATGTCAAGTATCAGAGATTTTGCAGCGGCGTATGTTTTCTGGGGTGATGCGACTACAGTCACAGCTCTTCGCCTGCAAATGGTGTGTCGGCTTCCTCACCATCTACGCAATGTCGGACGTGACGACTTGAGGAGCATAGCGACGCCGTGCGTTCAACAGTGGGTGCAGGGAGTGCGTGAGGAGGTTGGCGCTGTCAAGGCTGGGGTGATTGTCACTGCTAGGCTTACCTATCGGAGTGAGGAGCTCTTCACTCTCTAGTACAAGACTCAAGCTGTTTGCGGTTCCAAAAGAATTGCCTTCTTTATTTTCTATGGGATCACTCGTCCGAAAGTCATCCAGCTCATGTATTGACCACTGCGGGCTACCTAGGTATCGTGGCACATACGTGTGGTTGCGCAATATATTCGCAAGGTATGGCGGGTAGTCCTTCTCCATGATCTCTTAATCAACAGCTGTTAATTAGCGTATGGTAATCTTTTGGTTGGAAAAGAAGCATTCAAGTTGCTTTCAAATGGTCTCGTGACAATCAGTGAGCTCTTCCACCACATCATTATTGAACTTGTTCAGCACGTTCTCATTCCCTTTATTAACAGCTCGTCCAGACGTTCTTGTGTGCAACAAAGCTTCGTCTTGACTAAAAGGTTCCTCATTTTGAGCATAGAGTTCAAGTGTCGCACATCTCATCTATACGCGGTCGCCTCCCACATGTTCTTCGCCAGTACCAAGGTCACTTCAACGACGGCATCTTGGCACGCATCTTGAGAATCGAAATGTGCACATCTCTGGCCAGCATGAGCAATTTTCTTCTGCGCCTTCTCACTATACACCCAAAACTCTAGTCCTCGACGCACGCATCGGGCGCAACGATCACCTCCAAATAACTGTACACCAGCGGTTGTCTTCATGATACAGGTCGTGTGGTTCAGAAAGGCGCGTGCTACATTGTTCTCCTTCTCATAATCTGCCTTCGACACATACCACCACTGTCCAATAGCGTGTGGACGCACTCAGCAATTGATCTGAAGCTTAGGCGGGCCCTTGTGGGTGAGTTTTCGACGCATGTAAAGAACAATACCGGTATCGATTGAAACGCCCTCCTCATTCATTGCATTCACTTCTGGCGTCCATGTTATCGTTCGGCTCGGCGCAAGATGTCTTGCACGCCACTATCTGAGACTGCAGCTGGGCGTTGTTCAGGACGTTCTCTTGGAGTTGTACTTCGAGGTCCTCGATGTTGTCTTGAAGCTCGCGCTCCTTTGATCTCTCTTCCCGCTGGAATTGTCCGACTGCAGCAACGATCGCTTCAATGAATGGATCTTGATGAGTAGCGTTGTCTCGAGTATATTTGATACGCTTCGCAGGATCAGGCTCTCTATGAGAATGCGATTTACGCTTGATACCAGGCTGGTCTTGGATCGAGCGCAAGGATGCGTGCTGGCGGTCTGGAGTATGTACAACCCCTGTGGTTCGAGATGGGGGGGGTTTCTTGGTTCGGCAGGCACCAACCGGCGACCCCATCTCCTTCACCCTTCCTCATGGCATACTTGCCTACCGCGCCCTGTGGTTTTGCCAATGCTGTATCCATAGGTACCATAGGTAGATTACGTGACCCTTCGCAGATCGTGTTATTGAACAAAAGCGCAATCAAGGTTTCGAAACTTATCGCAAAACAGCTCGTAGGGATCTAAAACTTCGACAGGGTTGAAGTGGTATCTAAGTCAGAAGGCGGGGTGGACACGCTGTTGAGCAATTCCATAGAACATGTGTTCGCATGTAAGATGCCCCGAAGGAGTAAGGTTCTATTTGTGGAGACGTGACCCTATAGCATATCCTGTTGGCTCAACAGTACAATATTGATCATTTTTCGTTCTGCAATTGGATCCCAACTTAATTTTTCCAATCGCTACTGTCCCGACAGTACTGTCCAGTGCCGCCATAGATGGGGTAATTCCATGTTTGTAGACGTGTATCATCTGATTGCGAAGGCTAGCCCAAGCAGTAGGGTTGTGCGGTACCAAGTGCGTTCTCAGGTTACGCGTGACGGTGGCATCGAGAAAGATGTCACGAAGTCGATAGTGGACTCAGACATGCGAAGTGTAGATGGAATTGTCTGGATAGTTGGTACCAGTGAGATAGTTAGATACTTCGGCTGTTTCCGCCGAAGGGAATTGGCCGTCGCTGGGCTATTGCTCATTTCGCCGCGGATCTCCAGATGTATTCGCAGCTGCGTTTCCCAGATCAAGGCACATATAGAGGTGGCTTGTTTGCTTGTGCAGCACAATCGAGAACGCACGCGGACCTTTCTAAAGTCGAAGTTTGACTACACTGCAATCTTTGACATCTACCGCATATCTCGTGCACATCAACTCATCATCTCATCATCTCATCATCGCACCTTTTCCCGCTCTAATGCTTATGTCCCTCTGCTCCACAATTATACCCAAACGCCCTCCTGACGCGCCTCGCCTCGACCATCCAGTCCTTGAGTTTAGCCTCGCCTCTTTTCACAGTCTGATCGCTCGTCTCATACCCTCCCGAGTTCGTCTTCCCCTCAACGATCAAATTCAACCACGCCGCCAACCTCACCCCTGCCTTCGCAATCTGCTGTTGAATAACCGGAATAGCAGCATCATAATACTCACCCTCCAACTCCTTCCCCTCAACCGCCTCCTGCCCCAGCGGGATCACCGCCGTGCAAACATATGAATTCGCATCCTGGGCCCAGACCATGGCGCTAGCCACAGGATCCTTGATATCAATGCCGTTCAGCCATGCGGAACTCGCGTTTGCATATTTTCCGGATTGGATCTCCGCAACAAGTTCTTCAGACCAAGTGCGAGCGTCCGAGAGAGAGTACCCGCCGATGAGTTTCTCAGGCATGTTAGAGTCCCAGATGTGGTGCAGGTTGGTGGTTACCCCATCGAAGGTGACATTAATCCCGTTCCCGCCGATCTCAAGATTCTCGACATGGAGTGGTTGGTGGATATCGCCCAGGAAATGAATCACCCATTTCAGCGCCTTCTGCCGCTCTGCGATGGAGATGTTAGACGGCGTGATACGGTTGGTGTAATTCGCGATCGCGGAAACAATACATCCTTCCTCAGGGCAGTCGCGTTCAAAGTCAACGTCACAAGAGGCGGGCGGGTCGTCTAGTGCATCGATGTAGTGCAAAGGCGCAGAGAAGGCGCCTTCGGTGGTGTAGCGGTAGGAGTCGGCCCATGTAGCTACGTTGGCGAGGTAGGTATCGGAGGAGTCGTTTAGGAGTGTTTTGGCAAAGGAGGCGGTTTTGTTGGAAATGAAGGATTGGGCGATGAAGGCTACGGTGTCGTGGCCGAGGGTACCCCATGCGATTGTAGGAGCTATCAAGGGAAGGAGGGAGAGGAGGGTTGCCTTAGGGAGGGCCATGATTGGTGTGAAGCCTGCGTGATGACCTAGGAGTGGAATTGAGGAAACTCCCAGAACATTGGATCTAGGAACATGAGTTGGTATATGTATGATTACAAGGCTGAATCCAGGACTCGGTCTTCCCCGTCAATTATCGTTCCCAATTGCCACAGCGTGCCGGAGACCCTCCACAAGAGGCGCGATGAAGCGGCGAGTTAGCCCGAATAGGCAGGCATTTTACCGAGAGCCGGGTTATCGCCTCAATGGAGTAGGTCCCTGGAGCTGTTGATTGGACCATCATCCTGAAACAACGCTGGGAGCGGAAATGGCTATAGCCACAGATAGGCACCAATCGTGAATGCGAAGTGTACTAGCATGCTATTTACAGCGATGTCTCGTCTGCACGTGGCTCTATGAAAAAGAAGATAGGGTATCATCATTATGCGCTTCGTAGTCTATTGTTTTCGTGACGCTAAAGTCCATGCCATCCATCATGATGCGTCTATTGTGGTGCGGGTATGGGTTCCGGTTCAACATCGGTGCCATCGACGGGCTGACCTGTCAGGTCTGTAAGGTCCTCCTCCGTAGGCTCTGGAGGCGGAGGTGGGCCTTCAAAGAGACGGATCCACCAGGCAGGTGGATCAAGGGGGCTGTGATTGTTGTGTAGCGGCGGGTATACATCGTTGAAGAAGTACCAGACTGCACAAAATTAGCGGAAGCTTCCATATAGGTATGAAGACGACCGTACTATGACCCACGACAATGCCGCACATCTCGTCCTTGGGCACCGTCCCGTGCATGATCAGCGAAAAGCACAGGAGCACCCAAGGCAGATACGGCGCCTTGAAGATGAATATGCCCAAGAAGCTGAGTTGGGTGTCGGGATTCTTGCGACTCCAGATATAAACCAGTGTGCTGGAAAGAGCCGAGCCGAGGAAGGCCATGGAGAACAACGGAGCCATGCATAGCAGCAGCGTCGAAGCGAAAGTAAGAAGCCATGAGAAGTGGGCTGGCGATCGACCAGACGACTCCTCGAGGAGGCGCGAGTACCGCTGGAGGAAGAAGATGTGGTACAGAAGATCGAGGCTGAAGGGGCCGAAGTAGAAGAATGTCGTTATGAGCCGCCAGTACTGCGTGAGGGTCAGCGTGCGCTTGATTGTCTGCATATGGGGTGGACAAACCTGACTTCTCACGAAGACGGTGCGGAAGCTGTAGAACAGCTGGAAGGGTGACACGATGTGGCATTGTACCAGCAAGCTCGCGCTCAAAGCAGCCGTCATCCACCATCGTGTGCACACCGGCATCTCGTAGAACCATTGCTCGAGCGGGAACTGGCCGACCATACCGCCGCCGGCGAGTGCGTCCGCCATTGTGAGGGCGGGATGTTGTAGGTATTCGGGAAGCGCAAGGAGATTCCACGGGTCGCGTGGGGAGCGGGGTTGAGATGTAGAGCAAAGGATTTCTGCTCTGTATTGATACCCGCGGGAGAAAGGACAGCTGGCGGTGGGCAGACAAGTTGACAGAGTAGGCGCACCTACATCTGTATATGCAGCTCGGCAACCGTGAATGATGCTACGTAACTAACAACTCCGATCCATGGATTGCGCTACTGGTGCGCCACATCTGACACATGCGCCACACCACTCACTAAACTGGATCCGAGCTCCCAACCACACACCCAGCCACCTTCGTTCTCGAGTCCCTCGAATCCCTCCACGCCGCAGGAATGTGATACTATGCGCAATTGCCACAGAACCACTCGCCCCAGCTCCATCATTCTTGACGTCTCCATACTGTATCTCTGAAAGCGCCCAGCTGCGATCAATTGCGCGCCGTTTGCGAAAACTGACGCGACTTCCTCGCGTCGTACGTTTGCCGCGTTTCCCAGCAACCGGCGCGTGTGCCTTTCTCCCACCGTTTGTCACGGCTTCGAAATTGAAACATACGACCCGAATCCGCCGAATAACGCGCAATGCCACCGAAAGGCCTCATCAGGAAGAATACGGCGCGCCCGTCACGCCCCATTGGGGGTTCACAAGGAAGCGCACGGAAGAAGAATACAGCACACAAGACTGGAACTCCACGGAGGTCGTCTGGTGCCGCGCGCGGTATGCGATACCATGCATTGTTTACGCATAGCTTTATTCATTAAACTGCAGTTGGCGATCCTGGCCCCGCACCAAAACAGAAGCGACGATACAAGCCTGGCACCGTTGCGCTGAAGGAGATTCGCAAGTACCAGAAATCCACCGAACTTCTGTTGATGAAGGCGCCCTTCCAGCGGTTGGTCAGTGCTTCTTCCTTGAGCATCGTGCGAATGGTATCCTAACAGGCGCATATAGGTTCGAGAAATTTGCCAGAACGTGACGACTGAAGAGGGCCCCAACAGATGGCAGAGTCAGGCAGTCGCAGCCCTGCAGGAAGCTACCGAAGCTTTTCTGGTTAGCTTGTTCCACGACGCGAATCTATGTGCCATCCACGCCAAGCGTGTTACAATTCAACAGAAGGACATTCAGCTTGCGAGACGGCTGCGCGCAGCATGGGGCATCCCAGTTTGAGGAGCGAACTCAGTATTGCGTTTATGCAATTTTAGGTTTTGGCAGGAAAGAGCGTTGAGCATTCTTGAAATCGATCGTTGGCTGCACCGCGACAGCAACTGATACACTAGGGCACCACGGAGGACAGCTCTTCCGGCGTTCAGCGGCGCAAAAGTGGTGTCGATGATGACATGTTGTCTTTTATTAGGGCTGTTTGTTATACCCATCAGAGGTTTGAATTCCTGAACTTGCCGATCGACTAGTAATCGAAGATATTTCCACATGCAGTCTGCTAAAGCATGCCACGTCCTTTGCAATTCCGCCGTCACGGTTCGAGCTCTACACCTGGTCCATTCCTTTCAGCACGTCGATGTTTCTACAACGAGCACTGTCCAAGTGGTCACTACTTCGGTACAGCACCTTGACTACAGTCGTATACTTTCAACCCAAGAACACGCAGCGGTACGCCTTCATTTCCTAGGAACCAATCGCCAAACACCGTGCCATACCCACGACTACCCACAACTACGTTGCCTTTGACGCTCGCACAATCGACTGGAAACGCTTTATCCTTCTCGAGGCGCGATCACACAAAATCCCAACAATCAGTACCCGAATCCACAATGCATATCACTGCGCTCCTGACCTTATACCTTGCTGCCACAGCTTCTGCATGTAAGTCCACCGTTGTACCTCAGCCCGAAACCCTGCATCCTCTCCCACATGTCGTACGAACTACTGATCCATTCCCGCCTAAGGCAAAAGGACACGAGACGACAACAACACCGAATGAACCAGCGTTTGCAATGTGCCTACGACTGGCTGCTTTCGCACGCTGCTGTCGCCAGATGAATACCCGGAGCGAATGTCTTTGTTCAGGTGTATGACTAGGCAAGGTTTTAGCGGATGGCTTCTGCAGACCTGCCGCGTACTTGTCATTGGGAATCGAAGTTAAAGATCTGCCGCAGCGTTTCTTTGTGTGAAGAGATTCCTGGATACATCACGGGATAGCTCTTTCCACGGAATGTCAGCGATAACACTGAGAAAAGTACTCGAGCTAGGAGTTCCCGTTGCAATTCATGTTGCACACATCGAATGAGGGGTATAATTCAATGATGGAACCTTCTGTGTGCTTTCCCGCTTGGGTAAATGCCCGCAGCACACGCCATCAATATCAATATTTTGTCACGTCCCCCGCGTATTCACTGCCGTTTGCTCCAAATACTCCTTTCGTGTCGCTTTCGTGCCGTCATCTATGAACCTCGCAAGCCATCAGCTATACTCAGATTCAGCGCGTACTATCTGCTTTGCAAGGAAACGAACATACCTTCAAGCATCCAACAGGATACTCAGTGCTTGCAGTCGCTACCCGCGACACCGGTCCGAAGCCAGCAGCAATAGTTGAACTTGGTCATCTTCTCGGCAATGCTATGAGCGACACAGTCCTGTTTCTCCGCGTCCCAGGTGCCATGGACGTGGGCCTCGCAGCAGTACTGGGACTGGTCGACAACGTTGTGGCCGCCTGCCCAGCACTTGCAAGCCGACGTAGTGGAGGTGAAGAGAATGAAGGTGAAGAGAAGCATCATGATAGCTAGAGTGCGCATCTTGCTCGTGTAGAGATGAGAAACGATGGCCTGTCGTCGAGGGTTCGAGATCAGGTAAGGTTATTGAATGGGTGGGTTGTTAAGAATGTGTTGAGAGAGGTTCCGGACAAGATGGTGGGGTGAGAGATTTCTTATTGCTATGATACCTTCCGTTTGCGCGCCTTGCGGGTTACCGCCGTCTCCAGTACTAGGTCATACGCCGTTCCAAGCCGTCACCTATGCTGCACGTGAGCATTTACTCATTTACTTTCCCCTCCTAGCGTAACATACCTTTAGCATCCATGAGGACACCTGCAGTCGCTCCAGCCACCGACACGCTTGCATCACTGCGAGAACCCCGACATGTCGTTCTTGATAGAGTGGCGATGCAGTCGACATCCTCGAGGTTGAAGGCGCCGTGGGTCAGCTTGCAGAAGCGCCCCGTCAAGGCCTTTTTGAAGCTGGCGTCTCCAGAACACGAGCACTTGCAAGCCATGGTTGTGGAAGTCAGGAGGGTGAAAAGAAGGTAGAGATCGTCGAGTAGCGCACCCTGTACGAGTATAGATGGAGGGAGCTTGATAGAGTCATTGTGGAGGAACAGTGCAAGATGTAGATTTGAAAAGATATATCTCGAGTTTCTCGAGTGGTACAGAGACCTGACAATGTGGAGAGCAGATTTATAAGCCTATCGTACCTTCCGTTTGTGCGCAGAGGGCTCGTGAGTTGAGGCCTCCCGGACCTTGAGAACTGGCCTGCAAACACTTTCAACCAATACTATTCACATTCTCCCAAGTCCATTCCGCCCACCGCCTACCCTAGACGGAGTAACCGCCTTCACACGTTGTGTCCACGGCTTTGTCTCTTGCCGAGATCCACGACCTGTCCTTGCCCCACTACAACACGCCATCTTCAAGCTGTTGGCTCTACTAGAAATCAGCAAATGTAGGTTTTTGTCTTATTTCTGGTGGCAAGGGTTACGTTGTCGCACCTGAAAGAACAATGACAGTCGCTCTTGGCGTTGAGCCTTCCTACTCGGCAATAGGTAGCGAAGTACATCACAGTCTCAGAGATGCTGGATGCGAGATAATCCTGCTTTTCGGCATCCCAAGTACCGTGCTGGTCCACGCAACAGTATTTGCTCCTCTCCACCACGTTTTTGCCGTCTTTGAAACATTTGCAAGCTAGCGTGGTAGAACTGAGGATGAACAGAGCTAGGATAGCTCTGTAACGCGTGTTTCACGTGCGGAGACTCGTTAGCACTCCTGGGGTAGGAGTTTCAGCAAATGAAAGTATCACGTAGATGGTAGGGCCAAGGAGTTGGATAGTGAGGGTCTCATAGCAGAAATAGGTCACGGAATTAGAAGGTTAATATACCTTCGGGGTGCGGCCGGCAACGGAGCCTGCTGCCACATGATTCCGAAGCATTACACCGCCCGTCCTTGGCCAAATAAACGGCATTGGATCAGTTGATGATTTGATTGCTACCTTAGTGGCAGGTGGTGGATCCCCTTTGCAGGTAATTGAAAAGTCGCATGACCTCCTCTTACAATCTCCGTCCCCGTACTTCCCAGACCGAGTGTCAAGCTTTTCAGCTCCCAGGTCATGACGCCAGTATAAAGCCCATAGCACGCGATCCTCAAGGTCTCAGCTACTCCGCCTGCCAATCAATTAGTGAGTGCACTTATTGCACTACCGGACCACTCGACTTACCTTTATGTCGTTGTTGTCGTTGCAGCCGAAAGAGCAGTGGCAGTCGCTCTTCGTGCCGAACTCGTGGCAACAGTTCCAGAAGTAGCGCAGGTTCTCCGAGATACTGTTTGCGTAGCAGTCTCCCAATTTGTCATCGAAGCGACCGTGGCCGCTATCCTCACAGCAGAACTTGGTGGTCTGGACGATGTTCTTGTCGTCGCGTCGACATGTACATGCCGAGATTGGGGACGCGAGACGAAGGGCAAGAAGGAAGAAGCAAATCGCTAGGTAGCGCATCTTGATTGTCTTGTGCGGGTGGAGGATACTAGTGGGAGCTTCCGAATTAAAGGAGAAGTTGAGAGTGTGATGAGATGATACGTCACAAAGGTGGCATTTTCAGGATTGCTAGACGCCCATTCCTTTTCGGCAGGCGCGATGGGGCTCCAGCTTCATCTTGAGTTCTCGTGGTCAAGTGGGCGAAGGTAAGAAAATGGGACGATACGGATGCGGCATGACTGGACGATAGAAAAGAACAAGTCCTTCGACAACGTAATCATGCAGCGAGTAAATCTCCAGATCTCTGCAGTCAGTCGTTGGCCAATATGGAGACAGCTGGCCATACCGACAGACCTACCAGATCACTCGATGGAATGCCTGTAGAATGGATCGTAAAATAAACTTAGCCACCACGACCGAGATCGTGTGATTGTAGTGTCTCGACGTCAAGGGTACGGTCGGAAAGACACAACGAATACTTTTCTTCTTTCGATCGTTGTAATACTAGGCCGGCGTGTATCTCTGTTATTGGCTCCCTCCGTTCGTTTCGTGTGAATACGCTGGAACTATGTGTACGTCCACGCAGGAGACGTGCGGGGAACTACAGTCGCGGTCGTACATCAATATCTGCTACCAGCGTTCTCCAGGACACATTTCCGTCCCCGACTGCCTTCACTTTCCTCCGGCTGGTCTGCTCTTCCCACTCTCCCAGATCGTCTCGGCTATATCATTGCACTATCAGTTTCTAGTATTCAAATCCTTTCTGACCGGTCCTCACTTGCAAGCGTCGCTTCACGACGAAGCCAGCTGCACGCCGATGCTCTTGTTCCGTCTCCTCTTCCTCATCTGCACCACCGCAGCTTGCAAATGCTTTCGATACAAGACCAAGCCATTCGGCCCATCGAAGGACCCAACCGAGGCTGCCTGCCACGAGGCACATGGAAAAATGAGATACTTCCCTAACGGCGACTTCGACTGCAATGCACACACAATGTCGAACAAATTACGTAAGTTCGCGATCTGGTGCAGTGTCTATGGGAATTGCTCGGATTGTGGTTGTCCCAGCGGGTGTAGCAACAAGTGCGCAAAAGACATGACCAATCCTGGAGCTATTCTTGATGATGGATCAAAGGAGAACGAAGGTGCAGATTGGGTGACCAAGGATGGCAATTCCATGAGCCGAGAGACCGACGAGGAAGGCGATGAAGGTATGTTCTTCAGGATTGGCCGGTTGGGTTGCGTAGTGACTGACTGAACCGAACAGAACTGAATAATTGGTGCGCTGCGAGTGAATGTTACACTCGTCCAGTCACACGGCATGGCCGTGCAAGTGGGCAGTAAGTCTTCGTGCCTGCAGCGTTATGTGGATTCAAGCGGCCGTTGCGCCGCAGTGACGTTGATTCTTTAGCGGACATCATCACTAGGGGAAAGTTTGGACCATCCAATGTAAAGACAAAATGAGAAAGGGGCACTCAACGACATCTTGTGTCCGATGAGAAACCCCGTTTCTAAGGTTCTTTCCCGTTTCGCGCCATACGCGTCAAAGCACGTGCTGCTGGTGACGTCACGCGTTTGTAACAGACACCACTTCACACTTGGCAGCCTTCTCACCATCGCCTTCGCTCCTCCTTCAGACGCAAGCAGTCATCTTGTATTCGGTGTTTCCAAGCGCAAAAGATTCCGGGACAAGATTTTAACATGCACTGATAGAGGTCAAAATAAAGCTCGAAGCGAAAAGTGGTGTTGACCCGTGGATCGCAAAGCTCAACAACGCCCAGTGCATCCCACAAGGAACATGTACTCTGCCTTTCTGATGCGTCTAGTTTTCTCTCTCACTCCCACCGCCGGTTCATTAGCTACCAAAGTTCAATCTTGATACAAACGATGTGTGCGCATCAGTCACAGACGTTTCCCAGCCGGGGGAATGCTCGTCTCCTTTCAATGTCAGCTTACTGTCTGTACCTGTTCCATATAAACAAGCACCTGCGTCGTCTGCTTCCGCTTGACCGACCATGTTATGTTGCAAATCTATGCATCAACTCTGCGGTCAGCATGTGGCTGCAGGTGGTTAATCGTACCCGCAAGCGACATTCTGCGTCTTCTGTCGAGATCCGGTGTGGCTTGACATATGAGCATCGATAAAACTTAGATTTGACGTCTAATATTCGTGCAGAGCTGCGCATCTGCCTTATCTCGATACCGAATGCATTGCGAGACCTTTCCCCAGGCCCTAAATGCTATACAGCATCTACACCGATGACAGTCCAACCCAGGTAGCGGGGGGTATCCATCCAGGAAACTCTCTTCTCGGCGCATGTGCGGTACAACGAACAAGCATCAAGGAAAACACTAGAATCTGCTCATGTGGCGCGATTGGCTGGTCCTGCCCGGCTGAAAGGTCTTTGATTGATCTACCGGCATGGCGAGAACAGCCCAAGATACAGGGGACTGTAAGACGTGCATCACCACACTATGGAAAGATTGGAGGTACAGAAGCTCTGAAGTTGCGAAATTTGTTTAAAAAGAGACGCTTGGGGCTACGAGAAGCCACGTTGGTCGTCAACCTGCTCCCTGAGCCGACTTGCAATGGCTACCTTACTGTCCCTTGTATTTGGCTTTGCCTGCTTGGCACTACATGGTCTGTCTTCGGCGGCTCCACCAGATATCAACAACAAGACTTACGAATACATCGTTGTTGGTTCTGGCCCTGGAGGTGGGCCACTCGCAGCGAACCTTGCAAAAGCAGGGCATTCCGTGCTCCTCCTTGAAGCTGGAGATGATCAGACGGAGAACTTGAACGTTTCGCAATGGGTCAATTTCAATGCCGCTGGCAATGATCCCGCGACGAGATGGGACTTTTTCGTCAAGCACTCGAACGACGCAGCGCGAGAGGCTCGGTACCTCCATCGCACGTGGAGGAGGACAGACGGCGGTTTCTATGTCGGTATTGACCCGCCCACCGGCGCGAAGCCACTTGGTATTTACTATCCTCGCGCTGGGACACTTGGAGGCTGTGCAATGCATAATGGATGTCTAACGATGGTCAGACCTCCCGAATTCAGACATAAATCGGCACTGACTTCCTGATGCAGAACCCTGATGACGTTGACTGGAATGGTATTGCGGAAACTACTGGCGACGAGTCATGGTCAGCAGAGAATATGCGCAAATACCTCGTCAAACTCGAGAAAGCACACTACAACAGCTCCTACGTACACGGTCACAATGGCTGGCTTGACACAACTATGCTAGATTCAGGATACGCAGGTTTCGAGGACGCGAGAGAGCTGATTACCCTCGCTGCCCAGGCCGCAGGCTACAAGGCATCCGACACCATCAGCCTACTAACGCGTGACATGAACGGCAACCAGACAAACCGCGACAATCTTGTTGGGCCATTTGGCGGCGTCAGCCACATCAATCCGAACGGCCGCCGCTCTTCCCCAGGATACTACGTACGAGACACTGTTGCCAAAAACAAGTACCCACTAACCCTCTCGCTCGATACCCTCGCCACAAAAGTTATCTTCAAGAGCACTGGCACCGCTCCTCGAAAGAAGGCTGCTGGCATCGAATACCTCCAAGGAAAATCTCTCTATTCTGCTGACCCTCGCTCTAACGCAAATGCCACCGGTAGAGCCGGCAAGGTCTACGCCTCCCGCGAGGTAATCATCTCAGGCGGCGCCTTCAACAGCCCACAACTGCTCCTCTTATCCGGCATCGGCCCCCGCAAACAATTAGAGAAATTCAGAATACCCGTCATCGCCGACCTTCCCGGCGTAGGCCAACAGCTCGCCGACAACTACGAAGCTGGCATCCTGTCCCTCGCCAACCGCGCTGTCAATGTCGGCCAGAACATCTTCCCAAACTTCTTTAAGAGCAGCGTCGGCAAGATCCGTGATATTTACATGTGGTGCGGGAATTTTGCTTTCGAGGGGTTCTGGCCCGGCTTCCCCAACATCCCGGAGAAGAATTTCACTGGAGATTATGGCCCAAAGGAGTACGAATGCGCACTCGTGCACATGAACCCGAGAAGCCAAGCTGGAACCATCGAGCTACAGTCGACGAATCCGCGAGATGTTCCTGTCATCAATCTGAATTTCTTTAAGGATGGTGCTGACGAGGATCTAACGGCCATATATGAGGGTGTAGAGTGGGTAAGATCGTGGCTGTCGAAGGTCAATGCGTCTGAGCCGACCTCACTTGCGCCATTCGAAGAGAAGCACCCCTGTGATGGCACCATTGGGAAGCAGAATTGCACGGCGGCCGCGCAGAAGATGTATATCAAGGAGCAAGCGTACAGTCATCATGCTTCCAGTAGCGCTCGTATAGGCGCGGATGATGATCGGTATGCGGTTTTGGATAGTGAGTTCAAGGTGCGAAAAGTGACTGGATTGAGGGTTGTAGATGCGAGTTCGTTCCCGAAGGTGCCTGGTGGTAAGTTCTCCTCCCAAGAGCGTTCGTTGAGAATACTGGAGCTGATCTTTAACAGGTTTCCCGGTGCTTCCTACGATGATGATTAGCGAGAAGGCTACGGACGTGATCTTGCAAGGCTTGGCTGACGAGCAGTCGAAAGCACAGTAGTTCGAGGTCTTTAAGTCGGAGAGAATATCGCATGAACGGTACATCCATGTTGACGACCAGGTCAAAAGTATATTTGTGTATCGTGCATCAATCGTAGTATGCTCTCAGCATCTAACGCGCCTTGTCATGGCAGTGAAATCTTTGTCTTTCCTCCGCCGGCTTCCCATCGTAGCCTTCCACATCTGCAAGCCCAATGTTCTTCAACCCATCAAGTCATTCATTTGCCTCCACTGTAGCCCCACATGCTCTCGCGATGCTAATCACCGTTTAGTTGTTGTTGTTGCCCTTGTTTGCCTTGGTGTTGCCCGTCTGTGCTCCGCCAGCGGTGTTTCCAGCAGTCGAGTCTCCAGCGGTCGCGTCTCCGGCAGTCTGGTCTCCAGCAGTTGCTGTGCCATTGGCAGCATTCGCCGAATTGTCGACTATCGCGCATCCGGCGGCTTGGTTCGCAGTTCCAGCAGCATTCGCGTTTCCATTGGCGTTGGCATTTCCAGTCGCATCATTCCCGGCGTTTCCAGCATCCGCAGCATTCGCGTTTCCAGCATTCGCAGCATCCGCGTTGACATTTCCAGCATCCGCAGCATTCGCGTTGGCATTTCCAGCATCCGCAGCATCCGCGGCATTTCCAGCATTGTCATTCCCAGCATTGTCATTTCCAGCATCCGCAGCGTTTCCAGCATTGTCATTTCCAGCATCCGCAGCGTTTCCAGCATTCGCGTTTCCAGCATCTGCGGCGTTTCCAGCATCCGCAGCATTTGCGTTTCCAGCATTCGCAGCATTCGCGTTGGCATTCCCAGCATCTGCAGCATCCGCGTTTCCAACATCCGCAGCATTCGCGTTGGCATTTCCAGCATCTGCAGCATCTGCAGCATTCGCGTTCGCAGCGTTGGCGTTTCCAGCATTCGCGTTGGCATTTCCAGCATCTGCAGCATCTGCAGCATCCGCGTTTCCATCATCCGCAGCATTCGCGTTCGCAGCGTTGGCGTTTCCAGCATTCGCAGCATTCGAGTTTCCATTAGCGTCTGCTGCGTTATTGTTGGCATTCACATCTGCTACATCGTCGCCAGCTGCATTGGTGTCAGGCTGCGCTCGGTAAATCCCGTCGAATAAACTCACCAGCACCACCTGCTGCTCCAGCATTGCCTGCTCCGCCAGCTGCATTACCTCCTGCGGCGTTGTTGGCTCCTAGTGGTGTCAGGCTGCACTCGGTAGATCCCGTCGAATAAACTTACCAGCACCACCTGCTGCTCCAGCATTGCCTGCTCCGCCAGCTCCGGCGCCACCGGCTCCGGCACCGTTGCCTTTTCCTTTCCCGCGTGTTGCCAAGGAGACATCGACGGAGCGAGCTGCGTTGACGTACCGGGCCACGTTCGAGGAGCCGCCCTAGACATGATCCATTAGCACGGCGTAAGATGGGATATAGGTTGAACGAACTTACGACATATCGGCGAGCTACATCTGTATTATCGAAATCGACTTGCTCAGTCAAGGCAGGCTGGGCAGCCAACAGACCAAATACGAAAGCCTGGGTAGCGGTGGAGAAACGCATGATGAAGATAGTTTAAAAGAATACTGATCAAGTTTATGCGGCTGTCCGGCAGTAAGGCGCGTAATAAGAATTACAGATTGTGAAGTAAAAAGAAGAGGACTGAACAGACACCTTGACCAGAAGGCAATGGAGGGAAACAATGTGGTGTGGTGTAGGATAAATTCTGACCTGAGGGAAGCTGGGCCTCTTTATGTATTCGTCCTGCCGCTGCTCAATGTTGGACTCACATCGCAATATTGCAACCTCATACGGGGCGGCGCCTGTTTCGTTCGTTCATTACGCAACGAAATTCCCATCTCCGACATTGTAGTGCTCACTCTGATGTCGCCGTCCGCATGCCGCAAACATGTCATGTCTTGGAGGGATGTGCCCAGCGAATCACAGAATCCTGAGGCGTTGATCCGTAGCAGCCTGATCCACGAGGTCTCTCTGGGATGCCTCCGCGAGCGACTGTGTCAGTCGATGGCCAAGATTCTGGGGGTTTTACGTCGATTCAGGAAGCCTCCACAAAGAACAGACCGAATGACCCAACCAGGCAGTCGGAGGTCTGCTCCGAAACCCGCAAGGTACAAGAAGTGCGGACCAAGCGAGCGACAGCGCATTTGACAGCTCCGAAACAGACGTTGGTGTTACGGCGGTCGAACAGCAACTGTGGGGTTAGCCTCAGGACAGTTTTGTGGGGTGCAGCCGATCACTGAGGTTTCTGTAACAACAACGGTCGCGAACACGCCAAGAATAGATGGTGCGCGAGAATAATGCCCTAATCTGTGGGTATTGCGCAAGTCTCGGAGAATGGACAGTCGGTAGGGTCCCGTGAAGATCGGGGTTGCCCAGAGCAGTGGGGCGCTTGTCCTACTACAGGCGTGACAGATTCCGAAAGTTTCTGCCCGGAATGAACGTGTTCGTTGCCTGCCTGCGCGCGTCTCATTACGCGTCAACCATTCGGGTATTGAGCGAGCCATTTCTTGTGTTCGTGTGGAGGGGTTTCTGTGACTAACAGGATTTGTGGAGTGGATGGGGGATTCCAACAGGTGCGCGCTCTCCTCAGGGACCTACCGACACTATACCGGTTGTTGGAAGGCGCACTCTAAAAACGCGACTTTTTGCTCGTCATTATGGTGGATCCCTAAGGGCTAAAAGAACAGAGAGGCAGTTGCGAAGAATTGAATGCTATATACTCCCATGGGTATTTAACCACTCCACAGCGTCGGTCCCGGCATAGCATAGCTAGTGATAGTGGTGTATGGGTTCATCAAGATGCCAGGGTCGTTCGACTTATAGAGCGCCGTGCCAGCAGTACCAGCAGGAAGCGTCTTGGTTCCCGAACCCGTAACAGCAATGTTGAAGCATTGAGGGTAGTTCTGTGCGCCGTTTGGAGAGTTGGCTCCGTGCAGGCTGTTAAGTCGTTAGCAAAGGCATTCCTGCATGTTGCTCGATTTCACTTGCGCAATAATCTCATGTCTAAAGACATAATTGCCAGCCTTAAGACTCGACGGCACAGTCAAGGTCCACTTTCCCGCCTGGTTTACCAACTTTTGGCTCGCCCACACCTGGCTCGAGTAATCGATGCCTTCAGCCTGGATCTTGACCCACTGCAGATTCGTCTTGACCACCTTGGAGCAGTCGCCATTGCACGCAGCGACGTATGCCAAGATAGGGCCGTATGGGTGCGGCCACGCGTCGGGGCCCCAAGAGAAAGTCAGGCTGCCGCCGGCCTTGACAGAGGCGGTGATGGCACCGGGCGCCGAGTTCTTGTGACAATTGATGTCGGCGGTGCCGTAGGCGTCAGGAGCGACGAAGCCGCTGTCGAGATTTTCTGCATACCACGCGGCTATGTTGGGGAAGGAACCGGTGTTGACTTTTTGGTAGTAGTAGTCCACTGAGAAGAGTTAGCACTACTTCCCACCGAGACATCTTGATAGATGATGCTTGGAGTGCAAAGATTCTTTGAAAAAGACGTACGTAAGAAACCCTGGTTGTACTGTCCATCAGTCGTGAAGTTGTTAACGAAACCATGTCCCATCACCGTAGCGGCGAAGCCCGCAACGACCGCAAGAGTTGCCTTCATAGTGTCGGTATGTCAAAGATCGGTTCTCGTTTCTATCGATCGCCTAAACGTCCATTATCGCCACGCCTTTATACATCTTTAATTACCTCGACCCAGGAGGCTCCAGTGCGTTTACTGGCGGCTTTTATGAAACTTAAACTTCCCTTCCCTACCTCTGTGACCTAGCCAAACCTACACGCCTAGGCTACATCAGCTCCTTCGCAATGTGCATGTATATGAGTTTGGTGCGAAAGTGCGGCTGCAGGCTTTCGTCAGTTGGTGGGATTTTGTGGGGTGTCGCATGGTGTTGGTCGCTAGGATGTGCAAGCCGGCACTTAATTAATCTACTAGACGCACTTAATATAACGACGGGACTCGCGACCAGATGTTAGATTTGAGTACGTGCTATTTTCCCCGCTAGGACGGGAAGCGGAACGGAGTGTGGTTCTCCTTGTTCTTGAGGGTTGGAAGGCGTTGGCGTTTTGTGAGTTACATCGCTGATCGCATACCGGTGTGTCGAAGGGGTTCTTGTTCAGCACTCGAGAGCGACTGGAGCGGGAGAAACACCAAGGAAGTTGCGGTGTTAAAGCTCAACGTCAGACATGATGGGTTGGGCACATTTCTACTACTGGTACGTGTCGTTTCGTTACTTGCGATTGGGATGTGAACAGTATGTAAAACCTCGAGATACTCATCTACATTGCGGAAACAAACATGGCTTCGCGCAAATTCTGAGCATTAGATAAAACATCGACTCATGAAAGGAACATCTCCAGGCAAACATGGTTACGCCTTCCTGTCGTATGTTACCCACCTCGAAAACCGAGTCCTGACACCGAGCAATGCAACAAACATGTCTTTGGGCCACGCACTGCCCCAAAAGTTAGCCGGATGCATGCATAATCAAGCACTCTTGCCCAGCCCACCCACACCTCCAAGCGCACCCGGCCCCTTTGACCCCTTCTGAAACTCCTTCATCTTTTCTCTCACAGCCGTCTTGATGTCAAATCCCTGCATCAAGCTTCCTCTCCGCCTTCTATCTTCAATCTCCTGTTTAACCTCCCTCACGATCTCATCAATCTCTGCTTCCGGATCGTCGGCGATGCCAAGTGTGGGCGCTCTCCTTACGCTAGAAGCATCGCTGCTCACGCTCAATGCCGATTGTTGGCGCTTTAGATCCGCCTCGACTTCCTCCTTTGCCACCTTTTCGATGTTGTCGCTGGAGGAGTTGGGCTGACGGGCGGCTTGCATCTTCTGCAGGTGATGCCGAATGGGAAGAGTGCGAGAGAAAGCGGCGAAGGAGGCAGCGACGCCGATGAGAGTGTAGAAGTAGACGCGCGACCAGACGAGCATAGTGCCGCTAAAAGAGAGAAGAATGAATGGAGCTACAGTATAGGCGAAGACCACTTGGGTGAGGAGCCACGTGAAGGCATCGTAGTATCTCTTCGAGGGTAGAGGTTGTTTGCCGTCCGGCGTCATGAATAGTGGGCGTATCAGTCGACGGGCATCTATGGGTTCTGTTAGCAGCTTTCCCGATCAACAATTGATTGCATTAATGGTGTACGCACTCTTTGCGATAGTCTGCAACAACGAGGCAAGCACAAAGGAGAGGTAGTATCCGGGGAAGAAGCCATGCCAGAAAGCGCTGGTGACGAAAGTTGCCAGTGTGGCTCGGAACCCGGGCTTCTTGCCCTTGGGTGTAACACGTAGGTACATGTAGTTGCGCAGCCAGTTGTTGGTATTGATGTTCCAGCCTCCAAGGAATGCTCGCGTGTTTTGGGCGAGTTCCACCTCCATGGGCTTGATGTTCGTCAGACGGTCCCACCTCGCTCGACCTGTCGCAGGATCGATGCCATTGTATCCGATACCAGCCAGGATGCATCCACCTTCAGAGAGGCTCCAGACACCATAATACTTCATTCGGGTAGTGAGGCCCAGCATGTACAGAAGCCAGATACGTCGCAGGAAGCCATATTTGAGAAAGTCGTCTGATAGGTATAAATCCACTGGGTACCATGATGAGAATTTCAGAAAGGCGAAGATCCAAAGAGTACCAATAACGCCTTTGATAGTAGCCGGGGTACCGCTGCGAGGAATTTTACGCTTCTTGCGGGTCGGTGGTGCTTTCGAAGGATCGACTCCTGGTGGAAGGGTAAACATGGTCGTACTGATGTAGCGGCTGTAATCGCTGTAGTCGAAGGCGGGTCCAGCCATTAACGCGGGGAAGAACAAAAAGTATCCGGTGTAGTCCAGCAGGCTTGGGATAGTCCGGATAGCGTGCTCTTTCTGGAAGTCAGTGAGCTCAGAGTCCGGAAACCGACCATCCTGAACATTCCAGCAGAAGGCAGTTAGTTTCATGACCATGACCATCTGAGCACCGGTTATATCGGTGGCTGAAGGGTCGTTCGTTCTTTGGCGTGCGATGTGACTAACAGACATATGCCCCATCAGGAAGACGAAGCCGATCCATGGCATGAAAGGGGAGTCGATTTTTGCAGCGATGAAGTAAGCACCATAGGCGCTTATTGCCAGCGTCAGAAGACCGTCCCATAGATCAAAGAGACCAACTAGATAGAAGAGAGACACCCTTGATAAATTAGCTTGACAATAGTTAAAGAGGAAAAGAATGTTTACACTATTATGAACAGGTTCTTCTGCCATGGTGCTTTGTCGGGTATGCGCTTGAGTACTGCAGCCAGTGGGAAGGATAGATAGAACGTGAAGACAAGTTTTACTGGAAGAGATCAGCAACCCCTCGGTATAAAGTTCTAAGCTACTCACACTCGTCTGCAGAAGTCCCAAGGGAGCTGCCAACATATTCAAAAGCTGTGTTGCCAGATGTTAGCCACTGGACATCTTTCGATCGCAAGTTCACACATACGCGCATTGATGTATGGTAGCATCTTGAGGGTTGGGGCTAATGCAGGTGAGAGCCAATGACGCAATGTAGGGCTGAGGGAAGAGAGGTGAGAGGACTACGACGGGAAATTATATGGCAAAGACTCGCATCATCTCAGCTATAGGATTGCCAGGTGGTGTCTCGAAGCGTCGATACAAGGACAAGTAAAAGTGCTGAGCAAGACGCCCGTGGTTGTGCCAGGTGTGACGTCTGCGCACATGGCGAGCGAAATCAGACGGGCACCTTTCCGTAAGCGGTGCTAGCGCAGTCCGTGGGCGGTCAGGGCCCGTTCACTGGCAGAATTTCAGGCCGTTGCCTGTCGCAAAACATCACGCGCGCAAGCACACGCGAATTTATCGTTCGCGGAGGAGTCAGTCGCCGGCGTCATGGCCTCCACGTACAATCTCGAGCCGCACCCCACGGCCAAGGTCGTTCTACACACGACAACCGGCGACCTCGAGCTCGAGCTCTTCGCGAAACAGACGCCCGTGACGTCCCGGAACTTCCTCCAGTTATGCCTCGACGGCTACTACGACAACACCGTCTTCCATCGTCTCGTAAAAGACTTCATCATACAGGGAGGAGATCCGACAGGCACCGGTCATGGCGGCGAAAGTAGTTACGATGGCGAGCCCTTTGCCGATGAGTTTCATAGCCGGCTCAAGTTCAATCGAAGAGGCTTGCTGGGCATGGCAAACACGGGAAAGAAAGATGACAATGGCAGTCAGTTCTTCTTCACGTTGGCCAATACGCCGGAGCTGCAGGGACAGAACACAATGTTCGGAAGAGTAGCTGGTGATACCATCTACAACCTCATGAAGATGGCCGAGTCAGAGATTGCAGAAGGAAGCGAGGACAGACCCATGTATCCCACGAGAATAACGAGCGCCGAGATCATCATCAATCCGTTTGACGACATGGTGAAGAAAGTGCAGGTTGCTCAGAGGACGGAACCAGATGCCAAGAAACCCAAGAAGACGAAGCGGAAAGCTGGGAAGAATTTGATGAGTTTCGGCGGTGACGAGGGTGAAGAGGCAGATTCAGCACCTGTGGCGAAGAAAACAAAGTACAATACGAAGCTAGTCAGCGCAGGCGCGCAGATACCGTCGGCCCTAGACGACACGCCTATGCCCAAGGCGCACAAAGAAGAGAAATCTATACCGATCCGCAAGCCACGGAAGTCTCCATCCCGATCACCCTCCCCCAAACCCGCATTCAAACCAGCGCATGCCTCACATCATCGACGAGAGGAGCCATCTCCTCCACCTGAGGAACTCTCATCAGAAGCGGACAAGCAGTCAAAGCTCGATCGCGTCAATGCTCAGATCGCGGAACTCAAGGCCTCAATGAAGAGAAACACGGGCGCCCAACGGGCAGAACCTACGAAAAAGAAGTCTCTCCTCGAGTCGATGGTACCCACCAGCACAGCGAAAGGCCGGAAAAGGGGCGCTGCAAGCAGTGCGGCTTCGGAGAAGACTACGCTCGACATCTTGTCCAAGTTCAAGTCTAAGCTCGAATCTGCCGCACCCGTGGATGCCAAGATGAAAACACCTGAAATACCTGAGGCGAATGCAGAGTCTGCTCCTGTTGCGAACGGTAGTAAAGCTGCAGACGAGGAGGAGGTTCCCTGTGATCTCCACTTCGTCGTAGGCTGCCAGTCCTGCACAGCTTGGGACAAACAAGGCGAGGAAGAATCAGATGATGATACCGGCTGGATGAACCACTCCTTGAGCTTTGCCAAAGATCGCTTGGGTAAAGATCTGGAGTGGAAGAGAAAGAACGAGGAGGAATTGTTGGTCATTGATCCGCTTGAAAAGGCAAAGGAATTTAAGGTGGACCGAAAAGGAAAGCGAGACTGGGACGACGGAAAAGGCAAGCGGAAGATGAAGATCTAATGAAACTAGTGCGAGGCATCCAAAACATCTCCCTGCGCAAACGCGCGACAATTTGCGCAATTCCTCATTGCTAGTCTACTGTTTCGCTGACTTTCGTCGCGAATCTGGTAAAAGCTCGTTGTTCGATATGTTGAATGCCAATCCTAGGCTACAGGAACTTGTACCTCCAGCATTAGAAAATGCCTGGCATGTGATTGACGTAGAAGGTGTCACGGGCACAGGCGAGCGGCCGCAGGGAGGCTCGACCAGTGAGCGCGCCTGCACTTCTGTAGTGGGGTCAACCACTTCAGCCTGCTGCTCAACACCCCAGCAAGCACTCTATCTTGCATCATCAGAGAACATCGCGTCACGATAAGCGTATCCTCTCGTTACATCATTCATACTATTCTCTCCACTTCCGTTACCATTATCTCAATCACCAACGTTGAAATTTCGCTACCTGTTATCAGTCTACCTGGGTAGCATGCTTCGTTGCCTATACGAGCAAACCGGTCAAGCTTGACGGGTCCTGCGCGTGGTCTAGCGAGGCTGCGCCCGAACACCCGGTCTGTCTCGCCAGCATCCACCGGTATTGCGACCAAAAAGGCAGATTCCATCTCAGCTCGAACGTGGTACATGGCCGTCTGTTCCCTGTCGTTAAACGCCCGTTCACTCTTACCACATTCGTCCGCTGTCTACACCAGATACACATATTCACGGCGCAAGTTTTAGCACTTTGGTTGCATGTCACTCACTAAACAGAGCTGGCCTACTACGGGTCGCACCCATCCAGCATGGCACCACGCCTCAACTTCCTCACAGGCTTCTTTGGATGGCAGCCCACCAAGCTGAGCAGATGCAATGAAAAAGCAACGAGGGCTTGGATGTGGGCCATCCATTTGATCTTGGTCATACCAACAGCCATGGCAGCGTTCGCCGCTCGGAACAACTACCTCTTGGTCCAACGATATCCGCAATTGGCACGATATCCTTATCATCCAAAAACCGAGTTGGCTTTTTTTATGACGTACATTGGGGTATGTAACGTGCACATGAAGCAGCACACTGGAGCAGATTTATCAGTGGACGTGATTACCATGTGAAATGTCACTGACAGATGCCAGTGTATTGTCATTTTTCCTTGGGTGTTCCTCGCCTCTCTTCTCCTCAGGAAGTGGTACGGGTCATGGACTCTAATCTACGGCATCATCAACTTGGGCCTCGCCATCACCATAGCCATGGGTGTAAGTATGCAGGCCCAATTTCTACCGGCCACCTCGGACGGCTGCAAAGGGGGTCAAGCCGTCGATTGGCAAGTAGAAATCACCGGATATCCTAGTATCTTCACGCTCGCTGCGACACTCGATAGTAAAGATGCGAGTAAGGCCGAGGCTATTTGTAAGAACCTAGTCGGCGGCTGGACAATAGCGACGACCGTTGTGTAAGTTCACCATTTCGCAATCTTCTTTCAGTCAGCATAGCACAAACACAGATATCCTTTTTTCAGTAGCATGTATAACTGACCACGAATGCACAGCTTCTTCCAGTTGCTCCTCGCCTATATTAGCGTCTTCTTTGACGAGCGCGAGTACAGCCTTCTAAATCCCATGCGCCCGGCTGTTTGGATCCTGGTCATCTTCGTGGGTCCTGCACTCCTGGTTCATGACATTATCTTTCCACGAATACGTCTCTGGCTCAGCTACACGAAGAAAGTTGTCGCCGAGCTCCGCAGTACGAAAGACCTTCGGATACCATCACAGACGCAGTTCAAGCCGCAATACCGAAATTTTGAAGTACCGAAGACGAGACTGACGAATGTCCTCTCCATCGAACACGTGTTGCTGAACGTGGTCGATTACTTACATCACGAAGATGTCGTGAACATGAGCTTGGCATGTCGGGCTGTAAGGGAAGTTGTATACCCGCCAAACGATCTCGACTATCGCGTTCCAAAATTAACGAGACACTGTGAGTAAACTATGTTGCCTCACGTTGCCTGTGCCACTAGCCCAAATAGTCGATGTTGGACTACCTGCTGATCTCATGTCGCAGGCTGCAGCATCACCGAGCAATCCAAATGTCTCTACTGCAACAATAAAGTCTGCGGCTCCTGTCAACGCAACCCTCTCTGGCCCGGCCTATCCGGCCGCCGCCATGTAACCGAATGCGTCCCCTATTGCGAGCCATGCTACTACAAGTCCTTCGCGCGACATCCGCGCGGCTACAAGAAGCCATGCAAGTGCTACAGCACAGACCGCAGCAACGAATTTCAGGATGTCTGTCGCTCTTGCATGACCAAAGACGTAACTACGCTGCAGGCTGCGCGGCATAGGCGGTATCAGCAGGAGGCAAGAGATATCGCGCACAGGGAGGGTGTGAAGTGTGGTAGTTGTAAGAATGTGCTGAAGGATGGGATGAGGTGGTGGAAATGTGGGAAGTGTGGGGGCGAGTGTAGGAATAAGATACATCCAGGTTTTGTGAAGAGAAGGAAGGAGAAGGATGTCGAGAAGGGCGACACAGGGATTGGGGAAATGGACACAGATGCATCATTGTGGAAGAAGTGGGGTAATGTGTTGTGAGTTGTTTAATGAGGTCGAGGAGCGCAAGCTGATATCTCATGCAGTCTGCCTGGGCGGTGAACCGGAGCGTACATGCGATGAGCTCACATCATGGTTGGTGTTCGTGGATCCGTGTAGAAAAGACCCCCGTGCAGTGGCATCTCATGTTCTGAGTAATAATCTGAGGGCTAATGATAACCAACGTCCAGCGTGCTTCCCGGAACCGTTCCGGTGCATATGCAGGAATTGAGAAGATCCTTGCAACTGGTTACACGAATATTGTGATTCACTACTCTCCCATACATCCAGTAAGTACGTGGAGATACCGCTGCAGCAACACTCGCTCTGTAACCTATGGGATTTCACTGAGCGTAAGTTCGCGAAACAGGAACAATCCAATAGCGAGAGTCATTGGCGTAATGCGCAATCCGATGCTGGTAGTGAGTCAAGCCTTATCTCTGCGCGTTCGAAATTTTGGACAGAGTTCGTATCGCTGCCTTTCCTATCGGATCTCTTCCCAGGAGGCAGCATGGTATCACAGCGTCTAAGGCCCGTTTCTGACTCATTTATGCCGTTTCGGATTGTTGCCAGTTGTGTCAAAGCAGTGTGGGTGTCGTATGGTCGTGCTAATGGTGCGAACAATCTGCTCAAGGCTGGTACCATTGGCATTCTTTCTTGTTTGCCCTTCTTCCTGCAACCTGCTTTACTTTTGCAAAACGGCTTTCACAAGAATCGTTTCTTGACCGCTCTACTGCTCACATTCTCATCTCGAACTCGAGCCGTTCCACCAGCAGGGGTACGCAACCAGCTGCATGTCCGCACGTCACACAACGCCACCTCAATATGCGAAGAACGCATCGCACCCACAATCAGTGAGTCTACATGCAACTTGTGAACCAACGAATTCTTCACCTTACTGCCGGCCCCACTAATCGCGTTCTATTACGGCGCGAAAAGCGCGGTTGCGCGGCGTCATGTGAGTGGGGGTGGGCGTTGCTGGGAAACGGCGATTTCTCACCTTCACCTGCGTTCACACAAGGAAAGAGGGAGAGCGGACTATAAATTTTCGATCCGCACGCGAGCTGAACGATTGATCACTTGCCTTCCACAACTCGACACAGCTTAACTACTACGACTGCTTTTGGACAACAGCTTTGCTGCCTAACTATCCCACGTCTACTCTCAACATTCACACTTGGAGCTGTAAGTCTCTCCTCTCTATTTTCTTGATGGGCTTGATGGACTCGCTTGAGTGGCAGCCTGATCCGGATGCACATGAGCATAGTTGGACACGACGGGCTCTATCTAGAGCACACCTCCCCTCAAGATGCTACATGAGCAGCATATTAACATTCAGGCAGCAACATCATGCCTATCAATTGGCAAGACCCCGAGATCAAAGACCGTATCCTTGCCTCCATCATTGCCTCATTTGGCACTGCGGTACGTCGTACTGAACACCACCCCAGCACTCCGCCCAATTGACCCCTCCCAGATCAACTGCAAAGAAGTCGCCCGCATCTTCGGTCCCGAAGCCACATACGACGCTATCGAGAACTTCCTGCGAAAGCCCAAGAAGAAGGCCAAGGAGCTCATGGTCGAGGCGACCGCCCGCGGAAACGTGGCGCCTACTCGTGGGGCTAACAGCCCAGCGAAGCAGCAGCGCGCGCCGAGGACACCGAAGAAGAGCGATGGTGAGGTTTCCTGCCTTGTATTTATTAGATGCAGGCTAATGCTGAGTTTCAAAGGTGTCAAGACCGGTCGCGTGACCAAAGGCACTCCGAAGAAGAATACCGGATCGCCCATCAAGAAGGAGATGTTGGCTGAGGATGAGTACATGTTCGGTGGCGGTGCTGTGCATACTCCACGGGGCGACTACGAGATGGACGACGAACTTGACAACGAGATCTAGGCTCCTCGACGGTCCGCGCGTGCTTTGCTTTGGTCGCAACAGTGCCGTGCTGCATTTTAGGCTGGACATCATTGTAAGGTACAGGCATTCTTTGAATGTGTACGGTTACCTGTTACGGATTTTAGGGCTTCATGACTGGTAGATGCGCTGCGGATTCCCACCGCTTACGCAGCGTCGCCTGCTGTCAATGAAGAACTCGACAGCGTAGTGGGCAAGGCGGAAAGCTAATATGAACCTGACATCCACTGGTGCTTACTCTGCATGTGATGTTCAAAGGTCATTGGTAGCTGATCGAAGTTCGAAGTTCATCAAACATGGTATCGGCTTTTGCATACTCTAGGTGTATGATGCGATTATCAAGCCTGAGATACATGCGTAGGGTAGAGCTGTCTCCCTCTCGACCACGTCTGTTCCGTCGCAGCCTTCAGCAAAGTATCCGCGCTCCACTCGCAATCGAGGACTACAAAATCAGCCCGCATCCCTTTCCCCAACGTGCCCGTCCACGTCTCTGCAAAGCGTGAATGAGCCGCACCTGTTGTTGCGGCATGGAAGGCTTGTGTCATTGTCAATGCTTGATGGGGAGTCGTCTTTGCGTTCATCTCAGGCCGCGTCGCCGATCTCCTTGTTGTTGCGTTGTACAAATTCGGTAATGGGAGATGTAGCGCAGTCGGAGCATCTGTGCCTAATGCGACACATGCGCCGCCATCAAGGAACTCCTTGTAAGCAAATGCGCGCTCGAATGTTTTCGCACCGACCAGCTTTTGGTAGTCTATTAGGATCGCTGGATCGGAGTGGACTGGTTGTACGGATGCAGTGATTCCAAGCTCCCCTAACCGCTTCGCATCTTCTTCAGAAGTAAGCTCAAGATGTTCGATGCGGTGCCTGCCGCTGGGACTGTTAGATTTAGCAATCGCGTTGATGGCTTGAGTGACAGCTGCATCTCCGATCGCGTGGATCGCTACCTGGAGTCCAGCCTGCGTTGCTTGGTATACAACTTCGTCCATTGCGTCTGAAGGCCATAACGGCTCGACCATGTCCACATGTCCAGTATATGGGTGACTTAACGCGGCAGTGCATCCATCGACGACTCCATCGCAAATGAGCTTGATACCAACGATGCAGAATTCAGGGGATGCCGACGGAGACCACTCTCTCATCTGTGCAATTGCCACGTCGACTTTGTCGGAGAGTCTACCTCCACTTCCCGGAGGCGTAATCAGCCAGTGCGCGGCAACATGTATGGGCAGTGCTCCATTCCTCTCCCGGTACAACTTCAACGCGTCCCAAGCGTTGTCATCCATGGCCATATCGATAGCTCCCGTGTACCCTGCAGCGATGTACGCTTGGAAGGTCTTGTCTAGCGCGCCTTGTTTCTCTTCTGTTGTGTAATGCGCGTTTAGGAAAGACCACACAATATCGACCTGCCCGGCCTCTGCGAAAAGCCCACTCGGTCGTCCACTGTCATCGCAAACGACGTGATGCGGGCCAAGATCCGTTGCATTATCTAGAGGTAGCTCTCTCAGTGCGGCGGTGTTGACCCAAGATGAATGCAGATCCAGCGCTTCCACGTAGATCGGTCGTGGATCCAGGTCATCTAGCATTGTTGCTAAGGCTTGTCGACCTGTGCTACGCTGCTGCCATCCGCGGCACAGTATACGTGGTAATTCGGGATTGGTCTTAGCATGGTTTGAAATGGCGGTGCGTACTTCTTCGAGCGACGCACAATTGGTCAGGTCGAGCTTTTGACGGGATAAGCCGAAGAAGAGAAGATGAGTGTGCGCGTCAATGAGGCCCGGTACTACGAGCTGTTGCTTGAGGTCGGTTGCTTCCGCTCCAGAGTTGAGGAGACCTTGAACAATAGCATCGTCTTCTGTACCAACGTGGAGGATCTTCCCGTCCTGAATTGCCATGCAGCTTGAGAATTCCATCTCGTGCTGCCGCGCGCTCGAGTTTGCGAATACACGTGCGTTGGTGAAGATCTTGGTAGACATTCTGCTTATTATCTTTCAGACATGCAGTAATCGTAGGTAGTTACGTTGATTTGATGTTGCTGTTGTTGAGGTAGAGGGTGCTGGGGGAGATGTCGCTTGGTGACTGCTATCCGCCGGATTGCAGACGAGAAGGCAGGACGAAGAAAGGGCAAATGCAGTTTCCGATTAAATCTCAATAGTGTGTCAGCAACCTTGGAACTCTCTACCGCACGTGCCTCGATATCTGCGTTCAGATGAACCGTCCTTGCGTTTTCACAAGGAAGCAGCTGTCTAACCGCATTGAGAAGGTCCAGCCGTGACGCTGCGATGCCCGGCAAGCGCTAGTGACTTTACCGCGCAATGCACCCGGGAACTACTCCACAGCTATCTCAATCTTGTCGCAGCCTCCCCCGCATACCGTGGAATGCATCCGTCCGAGCCAACGAGGGCCACGCAGCCCAGGCCGGTCTATCGGAAACCTTATCAATTCGATGAAGATTGACCTCAAATCGCACCTCGCCCTTATCTTGCAATGCTGCATAGGAGGAAGTCGGCGCGATAGACGCGGTAGATGTTGTGTATAAGGGGTCCGAGGGCCCCGACATGACCCCTAGGGCCCACCGAGTTTGCTTCCTCGCCCAGAATGCAGCCAGTCTCGGTACCGCAGGATGATGACTCGTCGGCATGGCCGCCGGGTACTGTCACCCTCGAAGGTTCGCTCCATCATTCGAAACATACAGCTCACGACCAAGTGTACTGACTTCGGATGTACAGAACTTCGTCATGCCGCAGATGGGGCTGAAGGTTTCGAAGTCGTACTTGTACCGGCACCTTCGAATGATCCAAATGATCCGCTGGTATGCTCATCCACTACTGCTCCAGTCAATCCGCAGCATTGCCTGACTCTCTATAGAACTGGCTAGGCCGAGAGAAGAACCTTAATTTTGGTTTGACGCTTCTTTACTCTCTTTTGGTGTTCGCACTGTAAGTTTGTTTTCGAGACTTTTGTACATGGTTAGTATTTGAAGTTGACGAACTGCTCGCTAGAATCTCTGCAATCACCCCAACGTGGGCACCGATGAATATCGAACTCGGCTTCAGTTATGAGACGCTCCAAAACAGCTATGCGACAGGCACAGCAGCACTCGGTGTCGGGGCGCTGCTTTTCATCCCATTCGCTCTCAAGTATGGCAGGCGACCGATCTACATCCTCAGTTCCCTTGGACAGGTCGCAGTCGCAATCTGGGCTGCGAAGATGACCTCAACCGCAGACCTATACCTCATCCAAGTGTTCAACTGCTTGTTTGGTTCATTGGCTGAAGTCATTGTACAAATGACTATTGCTGATGTATTTTTTGTTCATCAGCGAGGCTTGATGAATAACCTCTACATCTGCACGATGACCATCGGTACGTCAATGTCAGCGTTGGTCTCTGGGTATATCACAGTCGGCCAGGGCTGGCGGTGGGTATGGTGGTGGACGGCCATCTGTATGGGTACCTGTCTTACCCTTTTCGCGTTCTTCTACGAGGAGACCAAGTTTGTTCCACCTATTGACGGTTTCACCGGAGCTCCTCATCCATCTGTTCACTCGGCCAACAAAGCGACGATGAATCCGGATGTCAAACCTGGTGACGACCAGCTCAAGCCTATCGAATCTATTGTAACGGTAATCATTCCTCCACGGAAAACCTACATCCAGCGTTTGAAGCCATGGTACACGACATCCGGAGGTTTTAGAAAGCTCGCGCATCACAGCTATCAACCGCTTCTTGTCCAGTGCACAATCCCAGCCGTATTGTACGTTGCTCTTCTGTACGGTCTTGTCACCGCCGCTTTGCAGGTTTCCGTCACTCTGGTCGCCACATACATGCCGGCCCCACCGTATAACTTCAACGCTGCAGCAGTGGGACTGATGAGCCTCCCACCTCTCATTGGTAATGTTATAGGTACAGCACTGAGTGCACCGTTCAGCGATCGCATCATTCTCTACCTTGCTCGCAGGAGCAAAGGAGTGTACGAACCCGAGATGCGACTCTGGTTGCTGCTCGTGTTTGCTCCTGTGTTCCCTGCCGCATTGCTCCTTACTGGCTACGCGCTTGATAAAGGCATGAGTTGGCCAGTTGTTGCTGTCGGTCTCGGCCTCTTAGGGTTTGCCATGCCACCGATCGCTAGTGTTGCACTGACCTATCTTACGGACGCGTATACCGATGTGAGTATCTTCCACAACCTCCCACTTTCGGTACACTGACAAGATGCCATAGATCATTGCTGATGCTGTTATTGGAGTGACTTTTACTCGCAACATTATGGCCACTATCTTTGTTCTCGTACTCACACCCTGGGTTGAACGAGTCCAACTGCACAATGTTATGCTCACCTTCGCGATGATAACACTGCCAGTCCTCGTAGGTGGTACTGTTGCTTTGATTGTGTATGGCAAGAGTCTACGAAGCTGGACGAAGGACAGATATCGTTGCTATGCAGCGAGGCAGATGGACACAAGGACCTAACGTCGCTGTACTGGTCTTCACGTATGATTGAGAACAGAATGTGAACCTGGCCAAAGGTCAGGGATGTCTCGATACATATGCAATTGATCGGAATTCATCATTGCGCACCAAGTTATCACATTGAAAGGCCGCCCGTTTCCTTTCACCATTCCGAGAGGCTACTTGACTATGTGTTGATGATGATTACGAGTGGACTGTATCGATCAGAAGTGATAGAAAAATCATTCGAAGAAGGGAAGAAAATAGCATGAGAGGTTGCTATCTAACCGAACAAGAAGAGGGCTTTCCGGAGTGGAGCGCTGAGGTGGCGCAGCACGGCGTCGCACATCATCTCGCTTAGTGAAAAGCGGAACGCGATGGATTGCGTTGCACTGCACTCTGTGGGCGAGACGAGAGATGGATGACATTTCACTGCAATCCTTAGCGCGGACGAGGTCTCAAGGGGCTGTGCTTGCACAACATGTTGCTTAAAGAAGTGATCCTTGTTGTCTGACCCACCACATTCGGGTATGACAAAATATTTACCGTGCTGGATAGTTGTTGGGAGTTCGAAGGAGCTCCGTTGTACCTTGCGTTAGCGCCAACTTCAGCTGCGGACGACGCAACCCTAATATTATATTACTAAGAAAGATCTTGAGGTTAAGCTGTTACCTATAGTATAAAGCTTTCTGTAAAATTTTAAGCAGATAATATTATGCTATTATGGTGTGGGCAAAAGCAAATCAACTTGGTGTTCTCGCCAAAGGCTACTCGATAGAAATGAGCTCCTTCAAATCGTTGCGTTTTCTGGCTCTCTATCTAAAGAATGTTCTTTGTGACTGGGATGATTTACAGATGTTCCACTGTGCCAGAAATCGCAAGATCGAACCTGAGGTTCGTCGATGCTCAAAATCAATGTGAGTGGTCACAAAACGAGAAGAAGAATAGTATGAATTATAATCGCGATAAGATATTCTCACTATGCATCCTATTTCATCGATAACAGAGAATAGGTTTATCATTCGTAATCATCAAGTCATTATACATAGCCAAGGGTATCGGAGCATCCTCCCGTTCTGGGCTAGAACTCTCGATTCGCTCTCTCGCATGTGCTTTGAGGACAGACATTCTGCCTAACTTCGTCACTCGCATCACTGTAAAGACCTAGCAGCAGTCCCGATGCCAGCCTCCCGCAACACTCGGTACCCTGTGAGAAGAAGTGACAAGAGCATATAATAGGCTCTAGGACGATACGGAGGTTGAGAGCCTGAAATAGTGAGTGGTGTGGACTCTAATTGATACGGAGGTAAAGCTTACCTACTCGAGCGTAGTGCGAATAGTCTGAGTGCATGATGGTAAGCTCTTTATCAAATGTGCCTTCAAGGCATCGGGACGCGAAAAGCCGTCGTCACAGCATGGACAGACGCTGATTTCCTTCTTATGTACATATTTCTTGTGGCGATAGAAGCTTTGGCGATGAGCAAAAGTTGCCTTGCATTGATCACAAGGGATCTTACTGCCGGTGGCGGGCGCGCTGGGATCTGTCGTTGAGTGATTGAGCCGATATGGTCCATCAAAGAGGGGTGGTCCAATGTTATGTAATTCAGGATCTGTGAGCCGGCGTTTTGGCTGTGCTCCTGGCCCGTTAGATGAAAAGCCTTGAGGATCTTGAATGCATGATGACGCTGATTGGGCGGAAGTCTGAGCTATCGGAGAGAAAGCTGGCAGTATATTTCGGAGTCTTCGCTTGGGAGAGTTCTCGTGACTGAGGTCGTCCCCATTGATGGACGCAAGGGTTCGACACCCGAAACCTGCATCAGGAAATATCCGATTGACCTCTTCTGGTGTTGGGCACGGTGATGGACTACTGATGTTCGATTCCATATCCAAGTCGGAACCTGACTCAGAATATGAGCCAGCACTGTCGGAGAATTCTCCGTTTGGTATCCCATCAGTGGACTCGCTATCATCAGGGCAGAAGTGACTAGGAAGTATATTTGTGTCTGTGAAGTCCATGACGATAGATGGCGCTCGTACGCGGTGGCCACTAGTCAGACACCTTCTTAGAGGGTATAGACCAAGCACAACAGATATTGTCCGCCAAGGAGTAGGTCGCGAGAGAGCTTTCCTGCGCGAACTCGGTCAATGATGTTCAAAGACAGAGCATTAAACGATAGAAGCCTTACCCGAAACGAGAGAGTGCTGAACGACGACAAGCGTGGGATTGAAGCTTGGAACGAGATTGAGTGTTATAAGCTCCAAGTCCTCTCCCTGGTAGTCGGTGACAGATGGACACAGACCAACTTGCCAATGAGCATACGTTCTGGAAGCCATCCATCATCAATACGAAGACGAGCAAGCACCACTTGAAAGAGGTTGCGTGAAGCCATCAGGGACGAATGGAGCAATCTCAGCTGCACTCAAGGCCCCTGTACACTGTGTACCTCTCAGAGACCCAGTTTCCCGCGATGGATGCCACCATCGTTGAGCTAGCGTTTCGAGACTGCATGTCAAGATTGCGGTATCGGTAAAGACTCCTGAGATATTCTTGACGATGGCTTCATAAGACAAAGTTCTATAGGCCAAAGCCGCATTGGAGATGTATTCTTAGTGTCAGCTGGTTGCTTTTGCTCGTTCTACCGGCCCGAGTCGGTATGGCTTTGCTTCGGCTTCATCCGACAGAGAGCCATGGCCCCGATGGCTGCACCGAGGGCAGCTCAGTGGTCCTCGATAGCAGATTCAATACCATTGGCCAGAGGAAAAGGCTTGAGCGGTTTCGGGTTTTGGTTGTCGGGTGGGTGGTAAAGATGTGATCGACCGTGGCCCTAAACCCTTTCACCCACCAACCAATCAGGGTTAGCCTGGGGAAACCATCGTTTAAGGCCGCTCGAACAAGATTCGTGACGTAGAGCCATCGCAGAACGCTGGTAGTTCGATTGGGGCAAGTGCTTACAGTGCATTAACCCCCCGTGTGTGTTCTCGGATTTCGGCTCGATGCGCTCTATAATCTTGGGTTCCCCTATGACGACGACGTGGAGGGTGTCTCGAGTGGTAGCTTTCTTTGGAAAACCGTCGTTGAGCATAACCTAATGCATTGGCCATGCCAAAAAGTACCCCAACGGTGGTCTTGGTTTTCGACGAAGTCATAACAGCTATAGCGTTCCTGGCCGGAAGGGGGTATCTTCCGTTGCTGGTGATCAGAGCCAAGCGTTCTCGCTGCGCTTACGTCAGGCGAACCCAGCAGCAGGACGTAGACGAGATAACCCTCGGTGAGGGAGAACTGACTCTGTTAGCGAAGAGTGGCCAAGGGCGAGAGATCGTTGAGCGAACCTCAAGACATCGTGTAGGGCATCGCATCGTTGCGAGCGAAGCCAGCAAGGTTCTCCGGTACGAAGGTATGGTGTTAAGAATGCACCTAGACTAGAAGCAGTCGAGTATGCTAGCTCGGTATGAGGCAGTCGCCATGGTCCGATAGTATTGTTATCTTACTTCGTGAGAAAGGAAAGTGGCCAGAGGCCTTTAAAAGATATTCGAAGGACCAAAGTGACTGCTTCATGGAGGTAGAAAGCTTACGACGGTCCACGGATTATGGCCGGGCTCTCGCAGGTGTAATAAAGTCTTGAGGCCAAACTCTCGCTCACCGGAAACAACCTGGCTGAGCCGTCTCACCACATCAGCTAAGTTCTCAGCAAGAGGCACAAGGCTGTGTTATCGATGTGGAACCCTAGGTCCCGAGGCTAGCTTCTACTTATATTTGCTTGAACGCGAAAAAGAAACAATAAGAGGCGGGATGAGTGGCGGTCGTAAGGGAGACGGGTCTCGGCGAATAAGCTCATCATCTCGCACATGTTCTCTTTTTGAGAAGTTCTCGACACCATCTTTGACGAAGCTAGATGAGGCTGAGCCGAGATAGATGAATCTTCGGCAAGATGTTCTCAGCCTTGTCATCGACCAACACTTAATTGAAACGTAGAGAAAAACGTGAGCATCGGGGCGTCTCGTGGATGAGACGCTTAACAGTAGCCCCATATATCTATGAATTACCCAAGCGTTCTGTACATAGAAGCTTGGAAAGTAGCGCTGGTGAACAGGTGTTGCCAAGGTGGTGAGCTGCGGCTAACAGACCCGCCGAGGAGGCATCCAATCACAAACCCAATGCAGCGCCGTGGCTGTGATCACTCATGTTGCTCCTCCCGGAGTTGGATGGTCATGCGCAATAAACGCACACGCTGCCATATCTGCCTCGAAGCGGCCGAGATACGAGCAGGCGTTCTTGCCCTCGCAGTAAGAGGTGGAAGCGCAGAGTCAGCACCCAAACCTCGTAGGAAAGATTGTTCCATAGTAAATGAATTGTACTGGTATCTGAGATCAAGGTCAAGAAAATATCGACATCTCGCGACTGCATCTGCGCGAGGCCTTAGCGCGCTGATCCTGGATCACACGGGATTTCATTTTCCGCGTTCATGGATCTTCTGATGCCTCCTTAGGTCATTCTTTCGAGTGAAAGCTTTGCCACACTCCTCGCATTCGTTCAGCCTGATCCCTTTGTGGCTTCTCACATGGTCTTCTAAGATGAGCTTTCGTGTAAAGGATTTCCCGCATAGAGGACAGGTATGCGTTGCCTTTGTCTTCTTGATATGCGTTGAATTGAAGCGCTCTGCAAGATCACTGATCTCAGGGTGGAAAGAGCGAGTATGCCTGCATGTTTGTAAGCGCAAGTAACAGGTGGTATGAGATAGGCAACCTCACTTCTCCAGGTCTTTGTGGTTGGAAAATCCCTCCGCGCCAAGACAATCGGGAACGTCGCACTGGAAAGGACGATCATGTATGTTGACGTGACGCTTCTTGGACTTGGCATCCTTGAAACCTTCGGAAAAGTACATACAAGTGATCTTCGTGCACTTGTACGGTCTCTCATTGTCGTAGAAGTTTTTGAAAGTCTCCAATTCTGAACCTTTAAGTTTGGACACCGTCTCCTCCATTAGTTTCCGGTTACGGTTGAGCGCTTCCTCAAGACCCTTAATGCTGATCTTGTGCCGAGCTTCAAACCCTTTCTTCTGGAAGGTGTAGATATGGCTGGTCAAAGATACCAGATCTTCGTAGAAATCTTGTTCCTCGAAGCTCTTGCAAGTTTGGCGACATTCAGCCACGATTTTCTCGGATTCATGGAAGTTCTCCTCATGATACTGATCCATGAAGCTGTCGATCGCGAGAGATAACCCCCTGATAAGCTCTTCCGCTTTTGTGTAGTCCTCCAAGAGGTCCTTACCAAATTTGACGAACGCATTAACATGCTGGAACCATTTTGCAACCGCGTAATCTTGGAATGCGAATTGGCCCTCAAGCATCATTTGCCGAAGCTCCTGCTTCTCAATCGGATCCTTGATCTGGAAACATGGAAATGTGAGGTACTGAAGGCACAACGTGGCAAGTTCACATTCTACTGATGGCTGGTGGATGTCTTCAGTAGCTTTTGTGAGGTAGCTGCGAAGTTAGCACATCTTATGAACAAGCAGAAGTGGTACTCACTATCTTGCTGTGCTATGCACCAACGAGACCCGATTTCCAGATACCGTCACCAGAGAGCCACAGATGTCGTGAATATGGTTCCGAAGGCGACGGTCATCATACTCTATACTACGGCTGTCCACGTCGATAGAAAGAGCTACTTGTATTTCCCGCCACGTCAGCTGTCGTTGAGCGCAGACCATCCAGCCCAATAGTTTCTTCGCTTTCGGCCATTCAACGACGAATGTTCGTTTAATCCGCCTCACGATTCTTTCGTAACTGCGACAAGTCAGGATCTTGCAACCAGAGATCGCACGAAGGGAGAAGGACTCTTTCTACTTACGCTTCTTTCAGACTTTCTGGGAAGTTGTTTTCACTGATAGCGTCTAACAAATCCCCTCGGGTTGGCTGTTGGGAAAGGTTTTCCATGACCAGCTTAGCATACAAAAACATACCTAATGATGTCAGTCCATCGAATGTTTTCCTGCGATAGCGTATGTACCCTTGGCCCGTGCTACAGTCAGGTTGCGGAGGTATTCCTTCGCCTCATCATCAAACGGTTCGTTCTTGGCTGCGATACAGTCCACCCAGATTCGAACGTAACTGTGAATATCGTGTCGATTGTCTGCTTCAGACATGGAAACGATGTTAGGTACAATCTTAGCGACCGATGAGCTGTGTAGGGCTCTCTTTATGTCCACATAATCCCGGCTGACAACCATTACACGGAGTTTACCTGGGTCACTGGTGTCACATTGAGTGACGATTTCGATAAGAAACTCCAGCAGTTGCTTGCGCTCGATCTGTTCACATTCGTCCAAGCCATCGATGATGATGAATATCTTCTTTGGTATTGAGCAAAAATCCTCGAACAGCTTCTTGGCTAGTTGTAGAGATCGTAGTACTGGCTCGCCACTTCCGGTTCGCTTCGTGTGACAGGGTGGTAGCATATCAGGGTACTGGCTCAACAACTGGTGTATCAGTCCTTTCAGAACGCCGACAGCAGTGTTGCATCCTTGACCTTCGTAGTGGCAGTAAAAGTAGCTTGTAATGTACGTGGTCTTTGATTTGCAAGCATCGATGAGACTCGAAGCCAGTATGGTTTTCCCTATCGACCTTCAGTTTTCGGTTGAAACAGAGTTGGGTGCAAGAGCTATCCTTACCAGCGCCAGGCATGCCTGTCAGCCAGACTATAGGTGTAGCTGGATCTTGACGTTGTATATCAGTACTGGAGCAGTCCTGATCAATAGTGGTCATCATTCTTACTGTCTGCGTCCATCCAATCTTTGATGTTGTCATTTTTCATGATCCATTTCCCAGTGTCTTTGTACTTTTCACGAATTCCTGTGAACTTCGAATGATCTTCTTCTTGTATCGATCCGACTGCAAACCACTCCTTCACTGCTACCAACTTCTTAGTTCGTTCTTCGACAACCAATTCCTCGAGCTTAGCTTTCGTCTCCCCCATGTCTTCACGATAGACACGATATTGTGAAATCGTTGCGCGACGTTCCACCAGGTCCTTGTGTCGAGAAAGGCTCTTCTTGATCCCACCGAACTTTGTATCAAAGTCTTTCCACATGGCGCGAAAGAACTTTTTCCATCCTGTACACGGCACAATCAGATATAAAAAAAGGTAAGGGTCGCCTCAACTTACGACTTCCGGAAAAGAACCGCATAGCTTGCTGATGGAACTCGAGAATGTCGATGTATATCAACTCAAGAGCTTGAATCATGTATGGGTTCTCCTTGAACAACTTCTCGTACTCTTGCAGCAGGGGCAATTGTTCTCCTATCTCACAGTAGGCTTCCAAAAGAGTTTCGAATGAGTCGGTAACAGTGCTGGCAGTCTGGAATTTATCATGTCAGTGTTTGGTCTACGAAGGCTTTCGTGAAACATACCAGAAGAAGGAACTTGATCGGTCCCCATACGAAGGCGACCATATCAGATACGTTTAGAAAAATCTCAATGGTCTTAGAGAACTGATCCATGGCTTCCAAAAAAGATTGGATTCGGCCAAGGTTAACCATAGACTTAGTCTGTTCTTGTTCATATTGAATGCGCAAGATCTCGCGACATAATTCCTCATAGGTCGTGCTTCGGAATGCAGTAAGATCAGTGCCCGTTAATCGTGCTTTGAACTTGCGAACTGCCGCGTCCAATGCGTCACTTCCTGTCGCATTTATGGGCTGTCCAACTAGTGTTGACTGCTGGGAAATCACTCCTGTGGATGTACGGCTAATCTGGCTATTGGGGTAGGAAGACGTGGGAGTGTTGCCATGCATGGTGGTGATCGTGGATATGGACACGGTACTTTATATGCGCTGAGCGCTAGATGGTGATTATGGGGAAGGACACAACACGATGAAGCGCGACAAGACGAGGGCAAGACGATGCTTGCTCAACGAGGCTGAGGGACCGGTCAATATCCTGTTCTGTGGCGCGTTGCATGCACAGCTCAGCCACTGCCTTGGTGCTGCCGATTGGGCACCACGAACCGCTCCAGTGGTGAGGCTGATCCGAAGACACATCCGCCATAACTAGAAGAAAGCCCCGAGCGACTCACTGAGAGTTCACCGCAAAGGCATAGATAGTGCGGAACGCCCATCCCTCGAAGTCAAGGTCCAGCGGGAAATGGGTACGCCAAGACTTTTAGCGCGCAAACTAAACCTCCGTCGTCATGTCTCTAAAGCGTTTGCTAAACCCTGACGACGGCACGAACGAATATGAAGGCCCTCGTCCGTTACAAGGCTGGGACGACTATGGAGTTCCGACCGAGTAAGTCTCCCGTCGTATGTCTGATGCGCACGCCAACGATGTTACAGAGCCATACCGGTATTGCAAGAGACTTCCTGGGATAATTGTGTCGCCGACATCTTTCCTCTGGATAGCCTGCCAGATATTCTCGGGCAAGATCAATTAGATTGTTACAATCAGCAAGATGATTTTAATGTCGATGCGAAAAGATCCCTTCTCTTCGTGGAAGAGCAAGTTCAACGATGGGCTGAAGACAATGTCTCCTCTCAACCCACTTCGTCGCCTGCTTCCCAAGGTAGCGACGAGGAGAAAATATGCTACGGATTGGTACGAATTACAAGTCTAATCAAGGCACTCTACTAACTGTACCAGATTTCGCGGGCTCCAGTCAAACTCGTAGGCGATATGTCTGTCGTGGATTCGAGGTTGGGATCGGGAGGGGGTCATCCTATCCCGGGTCACTTTCAGATGGTGATCAACAGACCTGAAGACCGATACATGATAGGGTTTCCAGATGGCACGCTCCTCGGAGAAGCTAATGCTCTATTAGAAGAAGCCCTTCACAGGATGGAGGAGCAAAGGTATCATGTTGACCTGGAGGTGTTCGCTCCAATAAGACCAATTCGAGAAACTATCTCTAGGGCTACAAAGGAGAAAGAGGCTGTTGTCAGAGTCAACATGAATATCTACGGTCCCCGTACCGTTGCACGTGATATTGGTGCAATTCTTTCCGCGAAGAAGATATATCTCCAACGGCCTGATTATGTTAAGCCAGGATTGGCTTACGATAACCCTCATATTCTAAAGCTTGGAAACGTTCAACAGCCCTTCAATGGTCAGGAGGTTGAGCTACATACAGAGAAACAGCCTGAAAGCGAAGTCGCAAAGGCCGAGGCCTTTCAAAAGACTATCAATACCATCTACTCTTCGCTCACACGTGGCCAAAATCTTACCGGCCTGGAGGGCGATGATCGCCTTAGGACTCAGCTCTTGCCCCATCAGAAGCAAGCACTGGACTTCATGTCGCAGCGAGAGAATGGCCCAATACCCGAGAATTTCCGACTCTGGATGCCCAGCGAACAAGACGGGACACCGTGTCACCGCCACGTCATAACAAACAATACATCCCTGTCCGAATATCCAGAAACTGGAGGCGGAATCCTCGCTGACGAGATGGGGATGGGTAAAAGCTTGAGCATTCTATCTTTGATGTTGCGCACTCTTGGCGAAGGTCACAAGTGGGCATCTGAACACGACAATACACTAGGTAACGGCCCTAACCATTATAAGCCGCGTCGACGCTCACGAGCCACGTTGATTATTGCCTCCTCGGACCTCATGATCAACGAATGGTTCCAAGAAATGAAGATCCATTTCAGAGAAGAGATCTATGGTGCTCTTCGAACCATCAAATATCACGGCACAAACCGTGAGTCAAACCTCGAAGCCTTATGTGAGTCTGATATTGTTGTTACTACGTATCATACCCTCTATGTGGATTCCTCCCGAGGCAAGCATCCATTGCGCAACATTGAATGGTACAGACTGGTCCTCGATGAGGCGCACATCATCCGCCGGCTCTCAACAGTGTTTTATCGTACGGTTGCCGAGCTGAAAGCTCGCTCTCGGTGGTGTTTAACAGGCACTCCAATACAGAATCGGTTAGAAGACATCGGTTCCTTGTTCGCTTTTATCCGTATCATTCCGTTCAACAACCCATCGAACTTTCGGAAGTACATCTGTCTGCCTTTTGATGAAGGCGGCAAACGCCGCGATCTTGCGATTGAACGATTCACTCGACTGCTTGATTCCCTCTGTTTGAGAAGAACGAAGGATTTGCTACATTTGCCTGAACAGCATGCTCGAGTGCGCAAGCTCGAGTTTTCACCTGAAGAGAGGATGCAATACGAACAGACGAAGAAGATTATGCTCCGGGCTGCGAAGAACCAGGTAGGGGGGTTCGACCAGAAAAGCACGCTCGGCCTGTTCCAAGTCCAACTACAGTTGCGGATCTTGTGCAATCACGGCACGTATCAGCAGCCTTTCTCGTGGAACAGAAGGAAGATGCACTTGTTGGACGAAAGAGAAGCCATGGAAGCGTCACTTGGAAGGGATGGCGAGGTCACTTGCTCAGCTTGCAAGCAGACCATGCCACTGATTGGAGCCGGCTCGATGTTCCGACGTTTTGACGAGCATTGCCGCCATGTTCTCTGTTCCGAATGCATGGAGGAGAGTATGCCGGATGTACAACCGGGCATTGCCACAAGCTGTCCTTTATGTTCATCCCTTTGGAAGATGAATGCCCGTTCCGCTAATAGCACACATTCTCACGAAGATGACAAGTACTTCCGTGCTCAAGGCAGATCATCTAAGATAGAATCATTGATGATGGATGTGCAGGTCGATATCTGGTCGTCGAAGAGGTAGGCATCTCAACCATTGTCCGTAGCCTAGTGGAGCCGTCAATGCTGATTCTGAGACTATAGCATCATATTTTCTTGCTGGACTCATACTCTGGACCTCATCGGAATATATTTACGTCAAGCTAACATCAACTTTCGACGAATCGACGGCGAATGCCCTACTGCTAAGCGCGAAAAGATCCTCGATGAATTTGCCCACAATCCCCAACTACGCGTTTTGATCATGACCACAGGAACAGGGGCTGTGGGGTACGATTATTCTAATCTCCCTTTACCGCCAGAAACTAATGTCTTCAGACTGAATCTCGCTACAGCGAACCGTGTCTTCTTGGTCGAACCCCAATGGAACCCTAGCGTAGAGAACCAAGCCATCGCACGAGCGCTCCGCTTAGGACAAGCACAAACAGTCCAAGTGACCCGATATGTTGTGAACCGTACAGTTGAACAAGTGAGTTAAAGTATTGCCTTCGTTGATGGTGTTTGCTGATTGCGTAGGATATGCGTTCACTTCAAGATAAAAAGTTGAAGATGGCTGACATGGCCTGGGAATGACCTACTCTTCTCGTCTGCTACTAGCTTGTCGCTTTCGGAAATTATTATACCCAGTTTTGTCGAACAATAACTCGTCTATCGTTCTTCTACTGCCAACAATCCGGCGTTCGCTTGTTTTGGTCACGTTGCGTACACCTGACAGGCACACGCGATTTACACTCGAAGCAATTGAGCTTCCAATATTCATTCGATTTCTCTATGTCATACAGTTGCGTGATTGTGGCAGAGGCTTCGAGATACTATGTCCTGATTAATTCGTCCCGATTTGGTTAGCGCACCTTCTGGTGCACCCTCCCAAACATCTATCTCACCTGAAGTTTACGCGTGAAGAACTAATTGCGTCCACCACGGCGGAACTGCGGAGCCCATCGTGGGTGCGATCGAATCCGCAAACTTGGCGCGAAACCGAACAGTTTGGAACAGCCGCGCGACCTGGTATGGCAGCAATCTATCGGCAACCGGCAAACACCCTCGAAGCGCCAGCTGGGCAATTCGTTGCTGACCGACAAGCAGAGTAAACAAATAAGTGCACTTGTTCATAAGCGCATCCCAGGCCGGTGATGATCAGGTTCCCAGCTATCAAGATGTTTGAGGTGCGCGACGTGCTCGGCAAAGGTAAAGGAATCTTCGCGACTCAACCCATCCTCAAGGGCACTTGCATACTGTCCGAAATCCCCATCCTCACTGTACCTGCATCGCCTTCTCTGCAAGACATAGAGAATCTCTGCCTCCAAGTCGCGAATCTTCCAGACGAGCAGCGGCAAGCCTTTGAAGCACTGTCCAGTTGTCATCCTTATGACAGCGTTTTCACCCAATATCTGAATATCGTGCGTACCAACTCTTTCAGCGTACGAGATGGGGCAGGTGGCATTTGTCTCAATGCGAGTCGCATCAACCACGCTTGCAATTCCAATGCGCAGCACACCTGGAACGACAGCTTGGGCAAGGTCACTGTATACGCGCTCAGGGATGTCGCCGAGAACGAAGAGATTACGACCAATTACATGGGGCGCGGGCGTACACGTCAAGAGCGGCAAGCGTATCTCCAGAAGATATACAAGTTTGACTGCGCTTGTGAGCTGTGCTCTCTTCCAGCAGCGTTAAACGAAGCCGCCGATCAAAAGATACTGCGAGCTCGTAAGCTCTGGTCGTACTTTCAGATGGGGGACGGACACACCCGCCACTTGGCCAATCCCCTGCAACGTCTAAGGCGGTTAGAAGAGGTAGCTCGGCATTGGGCTGAGTTGGGTTCCAGTACCCAAATACACGATACTAATCTGGAAGCTGCCGCGTTGGCCCTTTCACATAGCGACGTTGCTCGTGGCAACATCTTCTTCGGGAGAGCATATGCCTCTTACGTCCTTGCACATGGCGACAACGACCCGACGGCGCGAGATCTCCGAGCCCGTTCAGAAGTCCTCACGAGATCTGCTTGTTACGGCCAGTCAACGAGATGGCAGACTAGCAGAGACGATGTCCCTCGCGACGACATCCCAGGCCTTCTTGAAACGTGGTTATGGAAGAAGGAGGAAGATCTGCCAAAGACCAGTCTTTTCGCAGATCTCCAGGACCGCAGTACTTTCCTCGGTATCGGTGGCTTGCCCACTGAGGGACGGTTTGATCTGGAATACCATCAGGACGCATCCACCGGTCAATCCAACCCCAAGCGCCACTGGTGCTTCATGGGAGAGATTAAGGACAAGGTGACTTTAAAAGGACAATTGCAGCTTATGGTCAAAGATATCGACGACCATGTCACGGGCATTTTCTTCCACGATCGTAATAAGGGCGCAAAGGTCTCACAATTCTTTAACAAGAACGAAACAGTGGTGGTCTTGTATGCGCAGCGCGGAGAGTCTGACGTAAGACCTGTTGTGAAGGTTAGAGGTACCAGCGTCATCAAGGTGAGAAGATGCAGCATCATTGCCCCCTCAGCCGCCAACTAAACTTAACATACTACAGAGCTTTCCTTTCCCAATCAACAGCCTTCTGGTACTACACGATCAACTACGCGAATTCGCAACGCCGCATAGCAATTTTCGGACGTGTCACGGCTGCGCCATGGAAGGCTCACTGTTCCAGAAGTGTAGCGGATGCGGGTTATTCTGGTACTGCAACAGCGTAAGACCATCACACACAGTTCCTCAAGAGTTAACTACTAACATTTAATTATCACAGATTTGCCAGATGACCGGGTGGAAGGACAAAAATCACAAGATCGATTGTAAGATGCTGAAGAATGCTGATGTGCGTGTTCTGTTCACATTCAAGTGGCATGATTTCAAGGTTCCTGTCCGCTTCCCGCTCTCTTCGCTAGACGACAAGGTTGAGAGACTTGCCGACAAGGCTGGAAATATGGCTGTTTAGCTATCATGGCGCCGGGTCGACAGCTCGGTAACGCGCCTTGGGCCAGCATCGCGTTATACGATATTATGGCACAATAACAAGGGACCACGAAGCGAACAAGAATGAACGGTCCAGAGGGGATGAGCTCTTCCATGCGCGTTCAGTAGAAACGTCAATATTCAGCGAGGTTCTGATCTCACCGGCAGCCTGCAAGTATCTCATGGATTACTAGGCTTTGCGAGGTTAAGTTGAATTTCTAAGCTTAACGTGCTTAACCACCTCCAAGATCTACACCTTCCTTGAACTTAACGGTGAGCATCGGTTGCGATACACACCGGTTGTTAAATCCCACGATAAATTTTAACATTAGTTGAACTCGTTGTTGGCGCCAGAGGTTGTAGTGTTAGGTTGATCGTCTACCTTCCATATACGCTTCCGATCTCACCGGTCGTCCAATTACCCTACGCCTTGTCATTGGCCCAGAACACGCACTTGAGCGGGTACTCACACTGTGTAACAAGCAGCATTCTCTCCAACAGCTCCGTCTCTCGTAGTCTCTCGAGTCTGATCGCGTGTCCGTTCGACCTCCTCGTCGACACGACAGATTGCACCAAGTTGCAGCATCATCGATCAGAACTCCAATTGTGCGCCAGAACATCAGAGGTAGAATGCCCTAGTGATGTATTCTGGGATTTCCAATCCCTATACCTTGTGTAGCCTTACCATTCCGGCCTATACCACTCCAAGCTCCTCCGTGCTGAGAATGGCAGTGTTGGGGGCCAACAATTATCGAGCATCCAAGCACACAATTCTTTGAGTTCTCAGCAAGACTCGTTGTCAGAGCGCTGCACGTGGCGATACCAAGTGAGGCCATTGAGCATCGATAAGCTTTGATTGGAGACTAATCGATGTAATCCGAACTGACCGTGATGCCGTATCTTGTGTACACAATCCCACATGGTATATGAATTCATCTACTTCCTCAGCGCCCGACCGGCGATGTCTTTCCGATACTGCATGCCATCGAAGTGTATGCAGTCGACGCCCTGGTACGCCTTTGTGACAGCCTCTTCTAAGGTCGCTGCTGTCGCTGTAGAAGCAATGACACGACCGCCTGCAGTCTTGAGCGTACCGTCTGTGAGTGAGGTTCCGGCGTGGAAAAGGACGACATCTGTGCAACATTAGTACCACTTCTTCACTAAAAAAAGGTACATGGTCGGAAAAGGGAGGGTACATACCGCCCGGTACCTGATCCAGCGTCATGACCGTCCCCTTCGCGTAATTTCCCGGATACCCACCCGCAGCCACCACAACCGTAGCGGCAGACCTATCTCCTACCTTAACATCCACCTCTGACAATCTCCCCTCTGCACACGCAACCATGACCTCCGCAAGATCACTCTCCATGAGCGCTAGCAGACTCTGTGTTTCCGGGTCTCCAAACCGGACATTATATTCTAGCACCTTCGGGCCCTGCTTCGTCATCATCAAGCCCGTAAACAGCACACCCTTGAAAGTATATCCTTCCTTCTTCATGCCGTCGACAGTTGGTTGTAGTATATCCTTGTGCACGGCATCGATGACCTCGGGTGGTGCGATGCGCGTGGGTGCGTAAGTGCCCATGCCACCTGTGTTAGGACCCGTGTCACCATCTCCGATTCTCTTGTGGTCCTGCGCAGGCGGTAGCGACTTAATCGTCGAGCCATCCGAGAAAGTAAGGATAGACAACTCATCGCCCTCGAGAAATTCCTCAATAACGACCTCGTCGCCCGCAGTGCCGAATTCCCTGTCTAGCATGATATCCTTGAGCGCCGCATGTGCTTCCTCCTTAGTCTGTGGGATGATAACGCCCTTGCCGGCTGCGAGACCCGATGCCTTGATGACCACGTTATGCGATATCGAGTCCAAGTACGCCTTCGCCTTCTCATAGTCACCGAAGTTCTCGTACGCCGCGGTGGGAATGTTGTTCCTCTTCATAAAATCTTTGCTGAACGTCTTGCTCCCCTCCATCCTCGCTGCAGCCTCGCTCGGCCCGAAGAACCGCACGCTCTTGTCGCCATGCTTCTCGAAGTAGTCCACGATACCGGCGACGAGTGGGGCCTCAGGGCCAGGAACGAGGAGGTTGATGTTCTTTTCTTTTGCGAACTGGACGAGGGCGGGGAAGTCTTCTTGCTTGATTGACGAGACGTTTGTGGTTTTGGAGGAGGATGCGGTGCCGCCGTTACCGGGGACAACGTAGATGTGCTCAATGCGAGGGGACTGAGAGAGTTTCCAGGCGATGGCGTGTTCGCGGCCGCCATTTCCAACAAGGAGGACGCGGAGTTTGTCGGTCATGTTGTGTTTCGTTGAAGGAGTGGAAGGTTGGAAATATGGTGATATGTTTGTGTACCTTCATGTGGGCGATATTTTTTTCTTGAGGGTCCAGTACGAGTGCCCCGCCGTGGGGTAACTCGCAGGCTTGCAGGGATTAGGCGGCATGAGGTCATTGCAGATCCATCTCAGGTACACGAGGAACCTCCGTGCTTGGATCGCCGTTGCGGCAATTGATACCTAGTGGCTGTCTGCTAGACGCTATCTAGGGAGTACATTGGACTTTTGGTCGCGTGCAGCCATGCAGCTGCCTCTATCAAGCTAAGAATCCGCTGGCGCTGTACCTTGATCTTATTGGCCAGCACCACAGGAAAAATCGTGACAGCCGAAGGTACTGCATTCCTCCCCCACCAAAAGAATTTCGAGTATGGATGTTCTAAGAAACTGGGACCATGCTCAAGAGTAATGCCTGATCGTTGGTGTCCGGGCTGACAAGATGCTCGAGGTGGGAGACGAGGATACCACCGCCATGAAAGCCGATTCTGTGCCAGTATCAATCCGTCAACAGGTTTCGACTGCGCCTTCTGAGCGATCGATATGGACATCTGTGCAGGACGAGACAACCTTCCGGCAAGCAGCTGTCGACTTAGCCTTGACCACAAGCGAGTGTCCCTGGGATGCAGACATTGGCCTACCACCACTCCCAGGAGCACCCCACATTGGCGACTACATCGATGTTCCCCAGCCACAGCCTGAGCGCGAGGATAAATACATCTTGTCGGAACAAATCGAACATCGGCTAGCTAATGACTTTGCGCTAATCGCCGCGTCAAGAGAGGCGGTCTTCAGCGTTACAGCAGCATGCGTAGAGGAGCACGCAGATACTGGCGGTCATCTCAAAGGCCTAAAGCTTTGGCTAGCAGCGAATGAAGGCGTCAGTGAAGAGTTGAAAGATAGCTTGACAGATATATGGGATTGTCTGTCACACTCCACATCTGAAGCCGAGACGCTCGGAAAAGTCTTTGCGAAAATTGTCTATCTCAACAGACTCCGCATTTATCAACGCGTGCGGAAAGCAGTCGGGCATCCGCCCATTTTCCGGGAAAAAGGCAGAACAAGGACCAATCCGGATGACAAGTTATCTCGAGCGTTCTCGCGAATGCTCAAGTCGCACACAAAGGGCAGCTCTCAACGCCTAACCGCGCAGGGTCATGAACTTGTCAGGCGTGGGATCGCTCTGAACGTAAATTTGTTGGCCCTGCTTGAGAGTCTGAGTGTCGACGAGATAGAGCATGGCTCCGACGATGTGTTGGGACAGCTAGAGGGCATTTCCAAGGAATGTTTTAATGTCACCACAGACGGTGGAAGAGTGTCTTTCAAGCACCTGCTCGTTGAAAGCGGTCTTGATGCTCGCATCTGGTTGAAAAGCAAATACGTTGGCGAAGTCGACAAGATCGGTGTTTATTGGCGTATCACAATGTCGCTGTTCAAAATCCACGGCCATATTTCTCGAGGAAGACCTCAGGCTCTTCCGCCTCTCAAACTCGAAATTGAAGGCGTACGACCATACGTGTCTGTGATCAAGGAACCCTCTATACAAGGCCGTCCAATGCCATGCTACGTGCATGCAGAAATTCAACTCATCACACATCTCGTACAGCAAGACGCAAGAGCAGATCTCAATTCTTCATCCACGCAACCGACAGTCTCACGCCGACCTCGGATCATAGGCGCTTCGAAGAGTGCCTGCTTCCTCTGTTTCCTCTTCTTGAACTGTTACCAAGGCCCAAAAGCACCTGCTACACATGGTAGACTGTACGACCAATGGACAGTACCTGATCTGTTCGAGTACACAGCCACCCATTCAGACCATCTACGTCAAACCCTCAGGCTCATGCACATTGCAATGGTCAGGCTGCGGGAGGACTATTGTCTGAAAAAGCCGAGAGATCACCCGATGACGAGTCGAGTGGATATTGACCGATTGTCTTTGTTCACCACGACCTCGGAGCCAGACACTTATCCGCGAAGCGTCGGAATGGAATCGCAAGATGAGGCAGGACTCATTGGCAGGGCATCTTCAGGATACATTAGACATGAGGTACTCGAAGGGCCCTGTATAAGCATTGGAGCGTTTCGAGAAGCCGAAAGTTGCCCAGCAGACAACATCAAACAAGAAGAGAATGACCGAACACCCCACGAAGGGCAGCTCCATGGCCTGCGAGCCCTTTTCGAAAAATTGCGTATCAAAATGGGCATTTGAGGTTCGATAACGGAAGGACCAGTCAATAAGAAGAGCTGTATGCAAATGCTGCGCTAAACCCCGTCAACGGCCCTACGGACTTTCGGTGGAAGTCGCAGCATCGCTTATGCGATGTCAAGGATTACTGTACCCGATCTTACCTGCTCACAGCAGGATCTCGGGCACACGCCTTTGTTGCTCTGTCCGTTCCCACTCTCCCGATTCTGATTGAGGCATGCCGCATGCCGATTTAGCTCCCAATGGAATATCGCAAGCGCAACTCCAAGGCGGAAACTTGATCGATCCGAGATAAAGTAGTTGTCAGAACCCCCTGTGTACGTGTATTAGTCTCTGCTTTTTGCTCAGCGGCGAAAACTCGATTTATTGTGCGGTGATGAGCAGGTCTGATGTTCAACAATGCGCACATGATGTATATTGCGTCGTCGCGAGGACCGTATAATACTTCATGCGAGGGTGCATTGTCTGACTTCAAAAGTATCTCGTACTACAACCCTACGTACTCAACTCCGCACTCTCCACCTACAACCTCGCTCTTCCCCCTTTAACCTTCTCTAACTCCCCTACACCGAATCGCTCATACGTCCCCTTACCGCCCCCCATCCACATCAATACATCCTTTTCTCCACCTATCACCTTCTGCCCAAACGCCCCCAGATCAATCCCCTCCGCCTTCAACGGTCCCTTATTCTGCTTCTCGTTGTCTGTTCTACTACTCTGTCCCACAACTCTCAAAAATACCGGTACCGCCTCTTTCACCAGCTTTTCCCTCGCATACGCCAGAAACGCCGTCCAATCGAACGTATCTATCGTGGCACTATCACTGAGAAGAAGTGCAGCGCACCCCGCTCGCCCATCATGGTTAGGCACAGTAACGCCATACACCGTTGCTTCTGCGACACCCGGATACTTCCCCAAGACCTCAGCGACCTGTGCCGTAGACACATTTTCCGATTTCCAACGGAACGTATCGCCTAGCCTATCGAGGAAGAACCACCTCCCATCGCCATCACGGCGTAGCGAGTCTCCACTGCGGTAGTACAAATCCCCTTTACTCAGCACATTGCGCTCGAATTTCTTCGCGTTGGCGGCGGGATTGCCGACGTAGCCCGCGAATGCGGACTCAGATGGGACTTTGACTAAGATCTCGCCGCCCTCGTCATACGAGTTGCGGTGTGCGAATCCACTTTTCGGATCGCGCAGGACAGAACCAGACTCTGGGTCTACGGGGACGGGGACGTATACATCGCGAAGAGTGTAGCGCAGGAGTGCGCCGTGGCGCCCAACGCAATCCTGAGTGTAGGGGTTCAGCGACCAGTTTACCATGCCTAGGACGCCTTCTGTGGAATTGAAAAATTCGATTACTTCGGGGACGTCGAAGCGTTTTTTGAAGCGGCTCCAGACGTCGGGACGCATGCCGTTGCCGTACATTGCTTTCAGCCGCGGATGATTTCTCTCGAGCGGATGAGGTGGCGCATTTAGTAAATACCGTGCTGCCTCGCCCACGTATACAAAGACCGTCGCTTCCGAGTCGTGAATGTCGTCCCAGTGTGTGCTTACGCTGAACTTGCGGCCAACGGCTACGCTGATGCCCAAAGTGAGCGCGGACATCGTGGACAGACCGCCTGTGCCGTGGAAGAGAGGCATGCTGCAATACCAACGGTCGGCGGTTGTTTGACCGAAGGGTGGACTGGATGGGCCGCCGCGTTCGTGGTAGCGAGACGTGAGAAATGGTGCTGCTTTGGGGAGACCGGTTGTGCCGGAGGTGTAGAGGAGGCACGTTGGGCTCGTTCCCTTTACACTTGCTCGATATGTATCGTCTGGTACGTCGACTTTTGTACAATATAAATCGACCAAATATTGGTCTGTCACAACCACGCCTTCAACTTGCAGTTCTTCCTTTAGCTTCCCACCCACCTCTTGAAACCTTGCGTGCACCTCCTTGTCGCTGTCCACGAGCAAAAGTTTCGCCTCGCTAATTCTAACACAGTGCACCAAAGCGTCGCCTTTTAGGTTGTAGTTCAGTAACGCAGGCGCGCACCCGATGCACAGCAGGCCCAGCCAGATGATGGGGAAGTCCACGCTATTCACCAGGTAGACTCCCACTAAATCACCAGGCTTTACACCTTTGGACAGGAAGAACTGTGCCCACTGGGCAGCCCGGTCGTGTACTTGCTGCCACGTGTAGGTTCCGGTGCGCGACCATATACACATCTCGTTGGAATGTTTGGTCACGTGGGGTGTGAAGGCGTACCAGACAGACAGGCGATTCTGTCTCACTAGGGAAAATTAGTGGGTAGTGACATTGGTCTTGAGTAATGAAAGGTACCTAGATCCGCATAGTACTTCGATGCTTGTCCCATTCTCCGTTTGATTCGTAAATCCTGCGCGATGTGGTACTTTGCATCGAGATACGCTGCGAGCGCCGAGACGCCGGCAAGGGATGCTGCAGCTGCGGCTGCCATGTTTGAGGAATGAGAGAATTATGGAATCAATACACGATCACCCGGGACATTATTGATGCATGGCCTAAGATGCAGTTCTAATTATGCGATGTTGTGGTAATCGAGCTAAGTAGGAGCCTCGGAGGGCCGAGGTCCAGAACAAGGCGTGCAAGGGCACACAAGCGGGGTACGTCAATTCCCCATACGGGGTTTTCGAGTCGAATCAAACTGGCTGAATTTGAAGTCGTACCTGTTGAGCTGGTACAAAGTATGACTAGCTCTCTATGCTGCTCGTACGTAGGACCTTGCGTACAATGAAAATCGCCAACGCGCCAGGGTATCGGTGTTCCATATCCACGTACAACCAACGAACGCCCGTAATTAATGCCGCTATGTTGAACTCTCCTTTTTCTCCTTCTTTGCCATCTTCTCCTGCTTCTTCCTCTGCTCTTTCTCCTTCTTCTTTTGTTCTTTCTCCAACCACGAGCTGTCATCCTTTTGGGTCTCCTTCGCTAACGTCGTGTCGGTTTTCCCTCCTGCCATTATATTGGCAAGGAAGTCCTCGGGGCTTTGTTTAGCCTCCTTCACTGGTTTCGGATGCTCCTGCTTCGATTCCTTGTTTTTCTTGTGCTTCTTTGTCGAGGTCATGTCGGGATTCCTGTCGGCGGTGTTTTGGGCCTGAGTATAAACCTTCGTCTCGACTGGCTTCCCAAGTTCCACGCCATTTTGAGTCTGAACTTTGCCTTCGTCAGCATCCTTCAGATCTAACCTGTCTGCAAGAAGTGCTTCTTCAGCGACAAGCTCTCCCAGCTTGGCTGCCGCGTCCGCGTCGCCTTTGCCTGCCTGTTTTCTTTTGATCCGAATATCGTTGCTGAGGATACGTCTGAGCTCTGTAATTGCTTCCTCGTCACCCCTATATGCCTGTCTCCGAAGCTCTGCTCGCTTTTGATCTCGTTCCTTCTGTTGCTGTGCCAAAAACTCTTGCTTCCTCTGTATGGCCGTTCGTAGCGCATCGTTGCTTCTGGTCAGAGCATCCTGCGCTGCATTGACTGCGCCCTGCGACTTATTCCTACCCACCCCGCTACCAAGCCACTCGTTTTCGTAGCCCCAGCCTGTCAAATAGACACCCTGGAAGAACCTCTGCACCCCGTCCTTTGTCATCTCCATCTCCTTCTCGTCATAGTAATTGAGCTTTATGTGGTTCATGTGAACAAGCTTGCTGAGCTCCTCTTGTGCATGCGCGTTTTCCACTAAGATGGGCTCGCGATAATCGATCATTTGCTTGGCCCATAGCTGGTTCATCCACTTCTCAGCTGTGAGGAACCCCTCCACCGGGTCCGAGAGTACCACTGCGGCGACATAGGCTTCAAACACATCCGCCGTGATCTTGTTCCAGACTTTGCCCGGTTTGAGATGTGATGCATGCTTCAGGCGATCGGGAAAGCCGTAACCAGTGGAGAACTTTGATAATGTGTCGTTCCTGACCAGCTGTTCGCGAAAGTGTGCTTGTGACGGGATGTCCAAATGTGGCAAGCGATACGCGATCAGCCGTGTAGCCATCACTTCAAGATAAGCATCTCCGATAAACTCGAGGCGTTCGTATGTGAGATCGTCGGTGGAAGTAACCCCCTTGGCCTTGGCTTTAGATTCGTAAACGGAAGCATGAGTGAACACTTGCTCCTGCAGCGAGGGTTCGAGGATAGGCGGCAGTGGTGGCAGGGATATCGCGTCTTCCATCTTCTGCTCAATGTATGCAGGAATCATAATATATTTGCCCTCGACCGGTCGTTCCTTGTCCAGTACTTTCATCTGTTGGGCATGCTTCCTACTGCTTCGAGCGGACAACAGTCGTCGCATTTCCCCAGCACAGCGCAGTATGTCCTTATCACCGTCAGAAGTCAGCTCATCTGCTTCGACCTTTGCCAGAAGCGCGATCAAGCCCGCGTCCACCTCTTGCTTGGCTAGCTTGCACGGCTCGCATTTCGAAGGGTCAGGCAGTCTGTCGATGTGCTCGAAGTACGCCGTTTCGCCCCTGCGGTCTCTGCTCTTAAATGGGCCGCTCTGCGGTGACGGGTGGCCATTGTTTTGGTACTGGTAGGCATTGTTCGGTCCGCGGGGAGCGAGGTTGGGGCTGAGGTTTTCGGAGCGAGCATGCTTCTGGACGTGGCCGCTACTGTAGTGGTCGAAGCCGCCTGAAGTACCCATTAGCAAGGCGTCGTAGAGCAAGTCGAAGCAGCGAGCTGATCAAGCTTGGTATGAAGACTATGAACAAACGTACCTCCACGCTTCTGCACGCCAAACCCAGACATAGCGCAAGGCAAATATACTGATTTGCGAGGTTGAATCTGAGTTGCGACAACTCGAATGCGGGCGCCCGCTAGAAAAGTGGCTGGTCCAAGCGCACACGCCAAGCTTCCCGCTCACCACCTCCGAGATCTTCTCCGCATCGCGTCGCTTCCCGATACCATTCACCCCCCAAAATGGCCGTCCCACCCGTGTCGCGCGCTCGCGTGTTGGATTTGATGAAGGTTGTTACTCCTCCGTAGATCTAGATCGCTCCTCTGACGCGCAATAGGTCCAATGCAAGGTCTTCTCCACAACCTTCAACCCGGAGCGCCTCCGTGTCGGCAGCCGCATCCTCCACCAGCGTCTCAAAGGTCACTCAGTCGCATCCTACTACCCGCCGCGGATAGGTGCAATCTCTCAATTGCGGAAGTTGTACCCGAATTTCAATATTTTGGATGAGCAGGAGGAAGATTGGTTGGAGCATTTGAATGTTGCGCGATCTAGGGGCAAGGCGCCGCCGAAGAAGAAGAGAACTGCTGCTGGTAAGTGGGGTAACAGTGAAGAAGAGTCTGAGAGGGAGGAAAGTTGTTTGAGGGCAATGCTGACTGTGAGGCAGAATCGAAGAAGTTCACTAAGAGGAGGTAGGCGGATGAGGTTGTGCTGTAGAATTATTGGGAGAGTGGGAGGTATTGTACATTGGCTGTATCATGAAGCATCAGGGATGGCGTTTGGGGTCATAGTACGTATCGATAGGTGTATATCATGGCAAAGTTCCCGACTAAAAATACACTGCCTGGTGCTTCAAGTTGTGAATCTTGAGAACGATCTAAAATCGAATTCTATAGAACTACCACTCAAACGGAATTTCCACCGGACATGGTTGCAAGAACTGATGACCGTCGCAGTGGCATCAGTTGAGCTCCAAGCACAGACAACGCATATCCCAAAGATGTAGCAAGTTCTCAGTTACTAAATTCGTGTTAGCGTAAATCGAACGGAAAAATCGCATCACAAAGCTGGCAAGGTGGATGCAGGAAACGAGCATGTGTAGCATACCTAGAGATTATGAAAAGAATAATTTTCTCGAACCGGCGAGACCTGACTCATTCCTAGTTAAGATGTCGCCATAAGGCACTGTCACATTGACGGTCCGCTTTCTCTCTTCGCTGTAACGTCAAGTGCGCGAACATCAGATGGTGCTCCAATTTTTCGGGAGGAAGAGTGTCGTCAGGTGGCGGATTGAGTTGATTTAAGACTGCTTGCACAAGTCTTCCTTCTTCAGGTGTAATTCCATCCGAGCTAGTGGAGGAGCAGGGTAAAGACCGCTGAATTCAATTAATTAGCCAAACTGATTGTAGTCTTGCTTAGCTTTCATGAAAAGATGGCTAAGCATATCAGGCTGACCGGGGTGTGGGCCCGGCATAGGTTGATAGCCTTGGTGCAGTGCTTGTGCGTGTGCGTTGTGATGATTGACGACGCTCCACGCGGAGTCCTGTGTACGCTGTTGTCCGAAAAGCTCCCCTAAGTGATAGTTGCCGTCCCATGGGGACAGAAGAATCTACCTGGTCTGAAGTAGTACTGTCGTTGTCGTTACTCTGAGCTGCGGCCTGGCTGGCTTCAACGCGTGCCTGAAACAGTGCAATCAGCAAATGCCCGTCACGAGTTTGGTGCTCCAAGCTGGAACAGACTTACAGCTAGTTCTTGAATTTTGGCTACGGTTTCAATGCGTGTGTTGGCTGTGCTGCTCGGAGGCGGTTCGCAGAAGATCCACAGGCCATACACTTGATCCCCTTGCATGATGATGTACTCGTCCGTAAATTCTAAGCCATCGGGGCCTGTGATCTCCATGTAGAAATTGTCCATGCTGCGGCGATTCAAAATAACGACACCATAACGCTCCACCCCAGTCGCAAAGGGCACCAGTCCACAGATGAAGAGACTACCTTCAACCCCGACCTTCTCCCATTGTTGTGTCTCGAGACTAAAAGCGTATAGGACGGCGTATGGAGCAACATAGTGTATCGAAGTAACATCGGGGTAGTGGCGGCGGATTACAGAGAGGTTGAGCTCTTCATTGGAGCGCCCAGGCGGTGGTGGTGGTGGGTAGTCGATGTTTTGGGGAGCATCAGTCTCGTAGTCTGACGGCTGCGGCAGGGCATTCGTTTGTGATTGGTGCGCGCGCGATCTGCCTTTGTTCGGACCCATGGCGAGCGAAAGATAGAAGATTGTTGTTTCGTGTGTTCGGACGCGCAGTGTTGTTGAGCGGGGAACTCGGTACCCTGGAAATAGCGAACTGCACCACCACCACAGGCGCGTCCGAGAGCTTGGGCCAGGTGGCTCAACATCGAGCACTGCCACGCCGTCGTCATCGTAGGCGAGATTCTTACTATGTCATAGAGCGATCTAGATGACAGGGTCCATCCGGGCATTCACATCTTTTGACACGCGACAAAGTTTCAGCACCATGGACAGACCGTAACATCCTTTTGTGACCTTTGCCAAGTACGACCTGCCTCTGACCTGCCCCCCACCATGCCTTCAGACTCCGGCTCAGTCTCTTCGGAGCGTCTCGACGCGAGCATCCCTGGAGCCTTCCCTGAGGGCAACCTTAGTCAGACGCATATATCTACAACGCACCAGAGCCTCACGCAAGCTCTATACGCGCGCAGGGCCGAGTACACGCGACCACGCCATGTGCGCATCAAAGTGGGGTCCTGGAACGTGGCGGGCCTGAAGGGCGTGGAACAAGACATCGCTGCATGGTTCGTAGACGGAAAAGGCATCGAACAGTCGTTAGCCGGTCTCGGTATCAGTGAACCCGATGCGAAAGATGCTTCGGCCAAAGAGAGTATATCGGATCAAGAAGCACGACGAACGTCCCTTGCGCCTACGGTACCTATCCACGACACAGCAGCTGTTCCAAGCAACGAAGAAGTCGGACTATACGTCTTGGGATTGCAAGAGGTGGTCGACATTTCATCTGCCACGGAGGCATTGCGGCCGTATACTGATCCCAGTGTTGCCAACAAATGGAAAACGAGCATTGCTACGGCTCTACCTAATGGTTACCGGCTCGTGGCAGAACAGCAACTGATTGGCTTGTTGCTCCTCGTGTATGCTTCTCCAGAAGTACACCCGCATATCAAGTCAGTCAGCACGACTAGCGTTGGCACGGGTCTCATGGGATATATGGGGAACAAGGGCGCCGTGACGGCCAGAATTGTATTAGGCGAGACCACTAGACTTGTCTTCGTAAATTCACATCTTTCTGCGGGTGCAGACAAGACCTCACTCGAGCGGAGGAATTGGGATGCCAGCCAGATTACAAGTCGCACTCGGTTCGACCCCATCACCGACGCCATGGACCTGAATCAGGGACACGGAGAGGGAATAGGCGACGAAGACTTTGCATTCTGGTTCGGTGATCTCAACTACCGCTTGGAAGGAATGCCAGGAGAAGATGTGCGACGCCTGCTCACCGTACATACCCGGTCGTATGATCAAGATACAGCAGAGGACGCGAAGGATAACGCCTCCACGTCTGGAGATTCCGGTTATAGTTCAAAACGAGACTCAGAGGACGCTATACCGCTTCCGCCGGAATTAGATCCTTCAAGCCTTCATACGACAATCAAATCTTTGCTTCCTCACGATGAGCTTCGGCAGCAGCAAAAGGCTGGCAAAGCATTCCATGATGGTTGGGAGGAGGGACCCATACGATTTCTCCCAACGTACAAGTATGATGTGGGTAAGGTTGGCGTCTTCGATTCCAGTGAAAAAAGACGCGGTCCAAGTTGGTGCGATCGTATCTTATATCGAACGAGAGCATCCCGACATCAATACAGCCTCAAAGCTAAGGAATTAGAGGCTGCTCGGAAGAAAGATGAAGAAATGAAAGCGAAAGGACTTGATCATGCGGCAGATGACGAAGATGTTCTATACGACTACGATCCAGACACCGATGGAGATAAGAACGACAGCTACGACGAATACGACGAGCAAGAAGATCCTGAACCCGAAATTGTACCTACGAAGGCAGGTTTCTCCGACGAGTTCGTTCTTGAGACGTACTCGTCGCATATGCGAGTGATCTCATCGGATCATAAACCTTTGGAGGCTGTGTTCTCATTGAAGTATGACGCAGTAATACCTGAGCTGAAGACCGGAATACACCAAGAAGTTGCCCGAGAGCTTGACCGGCAAGAGAATGAAGGCAGGCCATCTGTAACTTTAGTAGTCGATCGCTCCACCGGGGTCGCGACTCCCGAAAATAAAGACACAACCGAAAGCAGCTTCGACGGGGTCGATTTTGGCGACGTTGCATTTGGGAAGTCGAAGCGTCGGAACATCACCATTGCGAATACCGGCAGGGTGCCAGCTACTTTTGGTTTCACCGATCGGCCTGTTGACAAAAGCCAGCCAGAAGGGGTATTTCCACCCTGGCTAAGAGTTCGATTTGATCGGGAGCCAGACGGCCCTGCAAATTCATCTTCCAATGGTTTAGTCGAGGAATACACCCTTGAAGCGGGCGACGTCTGCAGTGCCGAGTTGAAACTTAAAGTCGATAGTCCAGACATGGTGCGTCTTCTCAACGAAGGCACCTCGTGCTTAGACGAAGTCCTGGTTCTACGGGTCAATGATGGACGGGATCATTTCCTTCCCCTACGAGCGCATTGGGTGCCATCAACTCTCACACGCACGGTCGACAAGCTCATCAAGATACCCGAAGGCGGCATCCGTAAGCTGCAGCACCAGAAGCCGGATTGCGAAGGGGTGAGGTGGTCGGTACCTCGGGAGATATTTCGGCTGACGGAAGTGTTAGAAGACATGACGGAACGCACGCTCGCCGAATGGGACATGACTGGCCATGAAGTGGATCAGGAGAACGCTCCTTGGCAGCATAACGCTGCGTGGCCCTTCGTTAGCCAAGTCAAGGAAGAGGAAGACGAGGAAGTCGTAGCAGGCATCATCGAAGCGCTCGACTGTGACGAGCCTTTTGAGCGAGCTTTCCCTGCCACCATGCGGCCGAAGACGAGGCTGGAGTATGTCGCAGAAACCCTTCTCCTCTTCCTTCGAAGCCTGCAAGACGGCGTCATTACTAAGAGCCTCTGGGAAAAACTTGAAGAAGGTATAGCCACACGCGAGAAGTCGAAACAGCAACTTGACCGCGACGACGAGAAGATGTGGGCACTCGAGATTCTTGCTACCGCACCAAACCACAACGCCACCTTCCTTTTACTCATATCCGTGCTGCAAAATATTACGAATCAGATCGCGGAAGCAGGAAAATCCGATCCATCTACTCCGCGAGCGAGCACGGACCTTCCTGCTTCTCCTAGGGCTTCTGTTAGGAGAAGGACGTTGAGTAAGATTCCTGATATTGCGTTGCGGCAACTGATCCATCGGAACTATGCGACGGTGATTGCGGATGTGGTTTTCAGAGGAACGAGCGCGGAGAAGATGCGGGAGAAGGATCGAGCGGTGAGGAAGGAGAGGATGATCAAGGTTGTGGAGCTGTTTCTGAAGAACGAGGATGACGGGACAGCTTGATGGGGATGGACTTGTTAATCGCTTGACCATCAATGAGATACTCCCAAACCGAACTATCACTGTGTTTTTATGCGTACTTATGAGCGGGTTGTGAGATTTACGTTGTCTTTGAGGCCGGTATCGCCTCGACTTCGAACTCTTCTTTAGACATTTTCCTGATCCCATACGCGCCTTAGGTTCGCTTCGCTGTAAGTAAAGCCTACAAAGTTGAGGTCTTGCTGGGCTTCATCTCAATCAGATGACCCACTCATCTCCTGATCAAAAAAGACACGGTCGAGCTCGTACGATTTCCAAAAATGCGGCTATCGGGACTCGAACCCGAATCTGAAGCAAACTCGCTGTGATAGACGATGGGAAGCTTCAATTCTGAACCCTTAAACTATAGCCGCAACCTTCCGAGATCGATGAGCATTTTCGCCTCCTGACACATATATATGCCCAAGTTTGAGCGATGAAGATGACGGGGCCATCAATATACCTCAAGAGAAAGGACAGCTGTCATCTTCGGCTGTACAGTGCATGTGGGGCGCTGGATGATAAAGAATGGAGGACTTACCCCTCACGTCGGCAACATGACGTACCGCTCTAGCTGGGCAACACGAACGCAAGTGACTTTCGATGTAGTAACAGGACAGGAAAAGCATTGATTCTAATGGGCGTATTGGCATCCACACCAAGATTATTTGAGAACATGTTCAAACAAAGCAAGGACGTTGAGGATGCTGAGGAAATTTTCTTCTTACCCTGGTCCCGTGACTTTAGTGCAGGGAGCCGATCACGAGCTGCTGTACGACCGATAGTACTAACGAACATCAACGATACCTAGGTAAAGCCGATGTATTGGCGATATATCCCGCGTTCGTAACGCTCGTGATCGTAAAACGGTTTTCTGGCATGTTGGAAGGGTTGACCAGAGTGGCTCAAACCTTGGAAGGACAAGTATTCCAAGGTTCTCTTGATCTAAAATTATGTACAGGAAGTCTACGACTTATTACCCAACTCCTCCTTCCCTCTCCCATACCTTTCATGCTCATCAACAAGTGTAGCACTCGTATCCACCCTACCAACACTAACCCTAAACCTCTTCCACTCAACCTCTTCCCCTTCATGGGAGATCCCCTTCTTGACGTCCTTACTTTTCCCTTTATCACCGATTGTATCCTCCGTCACAAAGCTCCCCAAGCTTTTCTTTTCCCTAACCACACGCTCCGTAACAGTTAGCTCATTCAACCTCTCCCTGTCTCTCGTAATCGGGATCTCCTTCTCAAGATCAACCCAGCACCCCTCATCCTGCGCATCAAATGCCCTTCTCTGCAACTGGAAAACCCCATCTTGGACCCAGCGTTCGATACGAGGTGCAAGAGCCTCTCTGAACCTCGAGATAAAAATACAGAATCGTAGAACGAAGATGTTTAGGAACGTGACAGTCGCAGCGATAGTGGTCAAGAAAATAAGAGCGAAGACGTTGACGTTGGCAAAGCCACCCGCCTTTCGCATCTTCAGACTCTGACAGAGCGTCTTATCCCCCGCACTCGTCGGCTCATCGCGGTAAGTGTCGCCTTCCGCGTCGAAAACTTTGGGTCCGATGACAGACGCGCTGAGGAGCGTTTGGTAGCCTGTCCAGACGAAGGCTTCCCAGGCAGTGATTTCGCGGATCCATTGGTTGTCTGGCAAGCCGGGGGAGATGCCGACCATGACGGTTTTGCTAGCGCGGAGGCTGCCGAGTTGCGGGCCTCGGTTCATGTCCGTTACACGGGTGATGGATTGGAGGAGTCGAAGGATGGAGATTTGAATGGGTGTGGCGTCGGGATAGACGGTATTGGAGGTGTCGGGGCGGGACTGGGACCGAGGGGAGTGCAGAAGTCTTCTTTGCCGGCGCGGGGGTAGCAGAACTGGAACTGGTGAGGTTAGATAGGATCTTGGGAAGGGAGTGCTTGCGGTGGAGGCTAACTTGTTGGGCGCAGCCGACTACCCCAGCGTAGTGATCGGACCAGTAGCGCGCTTTGTCTTTTCCGTTTGACTGTTCTCGCATTTCAACACGATGCGCTGCGAAGAGTGGGTCATCAACGGGTTGCTCGTATACAACGGCGTTGGCAAACACTGCGATGAGGGCAACGTCTACGTCGGTACGATTCATCTCAAGCAGGGGTATGATAAAACCACTGACCGAGTCGCTATGAATGTAGGACATCATGGCACTGTATAGGACGTTCAGTCAGCAGCATGTGCGTACGTGGAGTAAGAACTGCTTACGTGGTATAGTAGGACATCTGATGTTCGACTAGTATAGACTCTAGATTGAAGGTGACCTCAGGATGCTGATACGCAGGTACACCTTTCCACGAACCATATTCAAGTGTCCATCGCTCAGCAGGGTTTCCACGATTCAGATACTCCGCAGATCTTTTGAAGATATGACCTTCTCGAGGCAGGACATTGCAGGTCGTTCTTCGACGAAACTTGACGGTGTCCTTCTCCGCGACGTTGAGCCCAAAATGTGTTCTCATGTCCAGGACACCTGAGTCCATGGCGATCGCAGATGAACCGTCGCCACTGCACATCGTTTCGTTCCAAGGGCATGAGACAGGCTCCACACCAAACGAAATGTTGGCCCGATGGAAAGTGTTTCGACATACTGCAGGGAGCGAGGAGATGTTCTGGTAGCAGTTGGTTGCGTAGGACTGGATTGAGTCGCCATGTGTAGCAAGTACGCTAACACCCTGCTGCCCCCCTGAGAAGACCTTTGTATTGTTGATACGGCCGCAAAACGGACTATCAACCAGCACCTCGATGTTGGAATTGTCGACAGCGAAACTCGTGGAGATTCCTCCAGAAATTGATCCAACCGTAAACAACAGAGCAAAAGCCAACATTGGCAACGACCGAAGCAGGGAATATCGGACTTTCGCTCTCCATGCCCAGGATATCTTGAGAGAATCTGCCAGAAACGCCGTTGGTGTTGGCATTGTCCGGAGTAGCACTTGCTGCTGCCAGAATAGGCCTTTTGAGGCCGCTCCATGTGCGCGCGCTTGATGCAGCACAAAAGTGAGCAAGCTCCACAGCTGCGCAGTTGCCACTGAAGCCAGTATAGTGAGGACTGCAACGATGAGCGTGCCTGTTTGTGCGTCCACAGTGTAAGTTTGGCCCATGATCGACCCCTTGCTCCAGTCGACCCAATATCCTCGTTTCACGAAGCGATCATCGAGTTCAGCCATTGTAATGGAAGGCAAAAAAGGCAATGTGTGTCTGTCTAAAGATGCGAAGACCGAGACCTTGCCATTCCAAGGAGAAGCCGTCAGTTCTTATGGTTGCAGCTGACGAGGGCCTCCACGTCTGTAAAGATTGCGGAGCAAGAGATGTATTTTTGATGTTCTGCATGGGTCATGACAGAGGCGACGAATGGCAAACTCGTCGAGAACACATTGTACTACAGGGTATTTCAGTCAATGAAGATCTATGGCGAGTCTTGGAGAGCGTCCAATTGGCCGAATTGTACCCTAATTTGCACAAATCCCTGCACTCAATGCACACGCGGAGATATAAGAGTGATCCCGAAAAGGGTCGCTCCCGGAGCTAAAATTGGGGCACTCTGTGCATGCTGACCACCGAACCGAGCCGCTGGCGTCCGCATCCAGGTATAATTATCCGGCGGCTAAGCCGATGAGCGAAAAGCCCGTATACAAATAATGGGCCTTGGTCTGCGCTTCTAAAGATATATATTCAGAATACGGCTGACGGAACCTGATGCGCGGTGTATGCTCTTATTTCGCATTTGTATATACCTGATCATGCTTCTAGCTGCAGTGTATTACGAACGGTGCAGCATTGCTTCCTTGTCATGAAAAGAGTGACATGGCGATGCCTGGGTGCAGCTACAGTACGTAGCCGATCAACGGAAGCTGCGCAGGGCATCTGATTCGTCCGTCAAACACAAAGCATAAGATCCACATGACTATCAGTAGCTTTCAGAACCATACTCAAATCAATGCCGGATCCGCCCCCGGATTACGCTCGTGGTTCAAGACTCTTCCCGGTACTATTCGATTGGCCCGTACCAAGGTCCGATACATGTATGGATGGCTGATAGGCACATGGAGACATATTCATGTCGTTGTCACTGATGAGTGAGCCCGCCGCTTATGAATATCTTCATCGGTATCACGTAAACATGTACATCTAGGCACCTAGTCAAGGTGTGTCTGTACTCAGGAATCAATATCACCGTCTAGCTTGCGAAGCCTACTCTATTCGAAGAGGAACCCTTGATGCCCGCCACGCAACAACACGGCAGAGACTGGGGGCGAGGTCAAAGTCTGCCGATCGCGCGTTGACTGGGTGCAGCCATCTCTCCCTCGTCGAGTCAGGGACTTCAGACCGTAGGTCTAGATAATCTCTATTGATGAGCTGGTGATCTCTTCTCTTTTTTTCTGAACTACGGTCAGCGTCTATTTGTGAGAGACTTGTGAGGGTAACTCAGTACACAGAAGATCAGCCATTGCTTTCTGTTGTTTCAGCAGCTTTACAATGTCTTTTCAGCATCATCTGCTTTCCACTTCACTATTCATGTATATATATTTTTTAAGTTCAGACAGATCCTGATGGTAGAGCAATCTTTGAGCGTAACGCGTCCTGTCTGCGAACGCTCTCACGCGACTTCTGCCTTGCTCCGTCATATTTGAGACAAGCCTTCCGTACAGCGATCAGAAGCTTGGCAAGCCGCTGCTATTTATCGTCAAGTAGCTTTATATCCTTGGCTTGCTTAGACTCGACGGAGTGGGGCGATCGTGAACATGACAAGTTGACGGTTAGATAAACGAGACTGGACTGCGGGCAGACGTGACCTAGAAGGGTTCGCGCCAGCAAAGCAGCCATGCGAGCGCATTTGGTATGCTGATAGGTGAGCGACCAAGTTGCGCTGGGAATGGTAGCAAACAACGTGAATGGCTTGCGTGCGTCTAAGGACGCGTGCCTACTGGACCGCGTCAAATGCGTTAAACCGTGCGTGGAAACGGCTGTAGAAGGCGCGACCCTCACATGAATGCGCTGCATAGTCACTGGATGATGACTCGGACTTGAAATGTAGGAGTCTCAAAGAGAACTGTGTATAGTGGTGAGGAGTGCAAGTTTTCAGACCGTTGCAGCATGGTTCATCTTACCTGAGTCCATTACCACCCGAACCGTGCGTCATCTGGCGACACCAGACCCACCAAAGCTCACGCACATCAACACCGCCCGCTGCACCTCCCCGCACTGCACTCACCCGACTCCCGCCTATCATGTCTTCCAAAATAGATAAGACAATCCAGCGCCAGCAGCAAAAGTATCCTCCCCCCCCAAATTTGCTCAACCGTCCACTGACACCCCGCAGAATCGCAGAAGGCCAGTACTACGAAGCCCACCAGCAGCTCCGTGTCATCGCCGCGCGTTACGTCAAGATTTCCAACTGGGAAGCCGCCACCGACATCCTCTTCCGGGGTGCACAGTCCCTTCTGCAAGCCGGGCAAGGCGGCTCTGGTGGCGACCTGTGTATATTCCTGCTCGAGGTATTCCACAAGAGCGAGACGAAGCCCGATGCCGGAAGCAAGGGGAAGCTGCTGAGCTTGCTGAGGGCTTTCCCGAAGAATGAGCCTACACGGAAGAAATTTGTGAACGAGATGGTGGGGTGGAGCGCGAAATGGGGAGAGTATCCTGCGGGGGATCCAGAAATTCATCATGTGGCGGGGACGCTGTACGCTGAGGGTGCGCGCTTATATCGATCATGCAGGAACATATACTAATAATGTACACAGACCTAGAGCCTTACGACGCAGAACGCCACCTCATCCTCGGCATCAAAGACTCCCCCGAAGCCCTCGCCGGCTTAGAATACTCCTGGTACACCTCCGACGACTCGCACACCGCGCCCCTCTACGCCGCCCGTGGCACCCTCCCCTATCTCCTCGCCGGAAACCTGCGCGCCGCAAACAAGTACTTCCTCCTCTTCACTTCCTACCTCTCGACACAGCCCTCGCTCGGTACGCAAGAAGTCTCCACGAAGTCCTCAGACATGCGAGTCTACCCTTCCTTACCGCTGTTGAATTTCCTCGGATTGTTGTTGTTGGCGGTGGAACGGGGCGACCCGAGCTTGTTCAGGCAGCTGAAGAGCCACTACGCGAGCCATTTGAAAGACGTGAGTTGGGGTGAGGCGCTGGATACTATCGCGGAGATGTACTTTGGGATTAAAATTCCAAGGCAAGGCAACCCGATGTTCGATATGCTGGGCAGCATGTTCGGTGGTGGAATGGGTGGTGGAGCCTCTAAGGCGAAGAAGCCACCTGTTGCGGGCTTGGATTGAGAGGGTGTGCAGTTTGGTCATGAGTTACGATAGCATGAGACACGGCTTGAATGCGGAGAATGGATGGTGTGTTTGTCGGCTATATACCCTAGCCGGTCTGGATGCTTTGGCATACTTGTATAAAGATGTTTCAAGTTTCACAAAATGCACGCACACTTTGATGTGAAGGAATTTCGTGGTTCTTTTGTCTAAACTAAGAATGCGGTATGATCAACCACTTGAAGCGAACGTCAATCTTCTTCAGATCTCCATCAACACGCTACTGTCGGATGGTCTTCGATTTGAAGCGGACGTCATACTTGTCCTCCAGGATCTTCATCAACGGCCTGCAGATCTCAGGATCCATAGGCGCCAACACACCCTTCTTGGAGATAGTGCCGTCAAGCACCTGCTGCACAGCAATCGCGCACGGAACACCGACCAACTTAGCCATAGACGAGTAGCCCTTGGGGTCACCGTAGTCGACAAGTGTTTCAGTGCGAACGTCCTTGCTACCGTCCTTATTCTCGATCTCAAACCTGTGCTGCAGCATGACCATGTCGCGCTCGCCCTCCTCATACTGCATCTTCTGCTCTAGCGTCGCGCAGAGAGTGTCGAGCGGGTTGCCACGGGGCGTGATCTTCTCGTCAGAGAAGAGGCCGATCCAGCGGAAGCCGTCCAAGATCCGGTCCTTCTCTTCGGTGGAGGCGAACTTGGCGCGCGAGCTGATGGCCCAGACGATATCCTCCTCTTTATCGCCCTTGGCGCCGACAATCTTGGACGTGGCCTCCTTCCAGGAGATGTTCGATCCCTTCTTGAGGAAGTCCTTCTCGTCCTCGACAAGGAAGCCAATGTCAACGAGTGTCTTGATGTATTCGGGGAAACCGCCGTACCGCAGGGTACCACGGACGATGGTCTGCGCCTCAGGAATCTTGTAGCGCTCCTTGTAGGGTGTAGAGTCACGGTTGGGGTACGCAACAAAGGCGAAACCGGGATAGATGAAGTAGGGCTTGGCTTCTGCCATCAGCTCAGGGCCCTCGACCTCCTTGACCTTGCCGTCTTGCCACCACTTGGCCTGGTTGCGCAGGGCAAGCAGAACACCGCGAGAGCTCCACGAAAACTTGTATCCGAGCGGGTTATCCGAAGCCTCGGGCGCGGGGAGACCACCGCAGTATGACTTGAAGGAGAGGATCTTGCCCCCAGCCTTATGGACGTCGTCGATGGTGATGACGGCGGAGAGATGGTCAACACCGGGGTCGACACCAATCTCGTTGAAAACGGTGATGCCAGCCTCCTTGCACTGAGCATCGAGCTCTTCCATTGCGGGCGATACGTAAGAGGTTGTGACGACATTCTTCTTCTTGCGGATGGCTGACTTGATGACGGTTGCATGGTAGGTGTATGGGATCAAGCTTATGACGACGTCGACCTTAGCGACCTCTGCGTCAAGAGCCTCAGCGTTGTCGACATCAAGCTGAAGGCGTTAGCTGAGGGCTCGCAAATCACTTGCGGGCATTCCTACGCTGATGGCAGTAGCATTGTTGATGCCCTTGGCCAAAGCTTGTGCCTTCTCTAGTGTCCTGCAGGCAACTGTGACTTTGACGCCAGAGTTTCCCAGGATCTCAGCGGTTGGGCGCGTGCTTCAATTTGTTAGAGTACATGGTGCGGGTCTTCCGAGAGTTAATCCTTACACGAAGCCAGCACCGAGCAGGAGGACGGAGCTGACATTCATTAGTCGTGGCGTTCGATTTGTGATTCAACAATTGCACTCACTGGTTGCTGGTCGCACCCCCACCAAGCACTTGCTGCAACTTGTCTGCGCGTAATCAGCTGTTGCCTTCTCATTCTCGTTCTCGAAAATGAACCTACTTGTAACGGCCTCCATGTTGTGTGTCTGAAAATTGCAATTTGCACAATGTAGAAAGATATAGTGTGAAGTCCTCTCGGAATCGGAGTGTTGAAAAATGGTACGGAGCGTCATCGGAGCTCTTGCATTGCCCCGCACGCCACTGCACAGGACAACGGCAGGGATGCGTGGAAGCTAAGATGCGGCTCAAATCACGTGCTCGGCTATTGCCGCTGGAGCTCTGGAGAACATCGAACTCCGGTTTCATACACCATTCGCATCAACTTGAACTCCCGACACTCCGAATTCAGTCCTGGATCAAAGTCGCAATAACGCAGTCTCCTTCACAGGAAGCGACATTTTGGAGTCTTCATTGGCACTGGTCGCGCACCCCTAGAGCGCGCGCCGCGCTAGGCATCTGCCATTATGCCTTCCGCAGTGGATCAGAGGGACGACCTATGGCTGGCTATCAAGCAGGTGAATACATTTTCACGTGACGATGCATGCTCCCTACTGACGGTGATTAGATATCTCAGTCAAGCTCAGACTCTGACTACATCGAGCAACTTGTTCCGATTATGAAAGATGCAAGACACACTAACCAGCTTCTGCAAGCCTTTGACCAATACTCGAACGATAGAGAATCCGAGATCGAGCGAATTTGTAGTGCAAATCACCAGGAGTTCATTGGCTCTGTTGACTCGCTTCTGAAGGTTCGATCCGGCACTGTGGACATCACCGATGAGATTCTCGAGCTCCAGGCATCTATCCAGGAGAGTGCCGACAAGCTACATGCCCAGAAGCAAGCTCTAAAGGAGTCGCGTAACGTGCGACAAAACATCAACGAGGCGAACGCGGCGCTCAACGATTGTTTAGAGGTCCTGCGGCTTGCTAACCAAGTCTACGAGCTTTTGAAAGAAAAGAATTACTATGCTGCATTGCGTGCGTTGGACGAATTGCAAACCATCCATTTGAAAGGCATCAGTCGCTACAGTCTCGCCGGTCTGATTGACAAGAGCGTGCCTGTGGCGCGAGAGCAGATACGTGAAGCTGTCAAGGCTGACCTGAGCACCTGGCTGTATCGCGTTCGCGAATCATCACAGTTCTTGGGCGAAGTGTCATTCTACTACACTGATGTACGACGCACGCGGAACCAAGAACGATCTGAGGCAGACTCACGGTTCTCCAAGTTTAAATTGAACTCTGCAATTGAACTCGTCGCTGACGAGACTGACGAATTCGATGTCCTCAATAATGAAGAAGCTGGGAATGAGACCGACTTCACGCCCTTGTTCGAAGCTATGCATATATATGATACATTAGGAAAACGAGAGCAGTTCAAAGCCGAGTATGCCGAGGACAGAAAGCTGCAGAAAGACTTGATCCTTCCACAGACGCTGAGCTTGCTTGATGAGGAGTGCGGCGAGCTCAGTAGCTTGTTAGAGAGTATCGCGGGCTTTGCGATCATCGAAAAGGCTACCGCAGCCAAGACAATCAACCTACGATCACAGGCCGATATCGACGAGCTCTGGGATGCAATGTGTGCTAGAGCTATTGAGCTGATCACGAAAGCGTTACCACAAGTCAGCAACGACGAGCTTCTTCTGAGAATCAAAGGCCGCGTTGCCCTGTTCATGTTAACCATGGAGGTTTGTGCAACCCGTATATTTAATCTACATTGCTGACAGTAACCTAGAAATGGGGCTACTCCGTTTCGACCATGAATGACCTCCTACTCACGCTCTTCTCCAAATATTCAGAACTTCTCAAGAGCCGCTTCAGTGAAGACTTTACTGAAATTGTCACGACGGATGATTACATGCCGATGACGCTCAACAGCATCGAAGAGTACGACAAGGTTGTGACTGTCAGCTGGTACACTCCAGAAAAGGAGCGCGAGGAACTCACGTACGCCCGCTATGTTCTTCCCACGACACTACATACTGACCACGCCTCAGCTTCCCCTGCGTCCTGCCTTTCTCTCAGATGTATCCCCTCTGCTGCATCGATGTTAGGAACTTCCTCAACCAGATCTACCTCTTCTCAGATGACTACTTCCAAAAGTCTTCCATCATCGACGAAACGCTTCGGACCTCTCTCGATGACCTTCTCTGCAACGAGGTTTGCCAGTCCCTTGTTGACCGTCTTGCGTCTCAATACCCCGGCCAGATTGTCCAAATCCTCACCAACGTGGAGCACTTTGAAACAGCGTGCCACGAGCTCGAAGCGCTCCTCTTTGAAGCGCGATCATCGCCCGCAGCTACCGGGCCCATCACTTTACAAGCCACCGAAAAATTCAAGACCGCGAAGAAGCAGGCGAGTGATCGTATCTTCGAGGTCGTGAACAGTAAGATTGACCAGTTGGTTGAGACAGCGGAGTACGAATGGATGGCTACCAAGCCGGCGAGTGAGCCAAGTGACTACATGAAGGAGATGACGAGGTGGCTCAGCGACATCTCAAACTCCGTCCTCCTCGCTCTCCCAGAAGAAGTCAAAGGTTTCGTTTACTTTGACGCGCTCTCCCACGCCAAAGATGCTATACTCGCGCTCCCTTTGGATGAGACCGTCAAACGCATCACGCCCGCGGCTGTCAGCGCTCTCGCCATGGACACGCGGTACCTCGCTAACTTTGTGGAGGGCCTCGGCGACCCACTGTTACTAGATAACTTAGATGAGCTGACGCAGACGGTGCAGCTCATGGGCGCGGAAGATCACATGGAGTACTTCGACGTTGCGCAGAGAAACAAGAAGTACGGGAAGGTGGATGCGATGAAGGGACAGATGTTGATTGCCAAGGTGCAGGAGGGAGCAACGATTGCGAGTCAGAGCCCGACGAAGCCGCCGGAAAGGGAGCGGTTTGGGACGCTGGGAAGTCGATTCAGGTTTGGTTAGCGTGTATGATGGATGAGCGTGGTGTTCGGAGTTCGGTGTTTATGTCAGTTGAATAATTCATGCCATTGCTGTCATCGTCGTATAAACAAAACGTCGTCGAACACGTAAATTTGGGTTTGTGCAGAACCCGTCTGGGGTATCATTTCGTACGCTTGGCTGGCAGTGGGTGATGTCCGTAGATCAATCAGCCGCTGGACAGCGCCTTCAGAGACATGCCACGTCCCTTATCGCAAAGACACCGCTCGCATCATCTCATCATCGTCCGCTCAGATCTTCCTGATACTCTCACCCTCGAACATCCACCGATCCGCTTCCAAACTCGCCACCTTTCTCTCCAAGCTCGAATTCAGCGCGACCTTGATCTCCTCCAAGAACGCTACACACTCGTCAGCATGCTCCACCCACATACTATCCACCCCCTCAAACGTCCACTTGCAGTACCCTTCCACCTCAATGCCCTCCTCCGTCTCCTCCAACATGGCAATCCTAGCCTCCGCATCCCAGTATCCCCATCCGTCCCACTCCCACATATCGCTATCTCCCAATGACAGACGTGAAAGCGACTCGCACAGGTCATTCGCTCCTTTCCGCACTACATCTCCTCCTCTTCCTGTTCAAAGCGCCGTGTAAACCACGGACATAGAGGGGATAAAAAATCGGGGGATACTCACCTGCCTGGTCCCAATGACAGTTGGTCTTCCCATACAGGGCGATCATCTGGTCTTCCTGCTCTTTCTCCTCCTGCTCCGGATTGACGGGGGCCTCGACGCCCATCTTCATGGCGGTGGACGGCGCCATGATCTTATAGTTGCCGGCGGCGTCGCGCTCTACGAGGTCGTCGTCGCGGTTGTTGGTATCATCGGGGGAGATGTGGACGGCGGCGGACTTGGAGGCATTGGTCGTGCGGGAATTGGTGCGCGACGGGTGGGAAGACGTGCCCGTTGAGTTAGAGGTGAAGAGGGGGCGCCGGGGGCACCAATGGGGTGGGGTGGGCGGATGGGACGGCGGTGGTCCATTCTGGATATTTTGGGGTTTGCAAGGGAGTTTCGGTGTTCTGAGGCAGCGCGTGGCGGAGCCACGCAGAGTAGGGTGCTGTCGTGGACGGTGTTACGAGTTGTTTGGGTCTTTGTAGTTTTGGTTGCTATGGCACGCCGTAACGCGGAGGTTTTGCGGGGAAGGACCTCTGGGAGCTTGGGCCTCCGTCGCTTCCTAGACGATGCGACAATATCAGAACGAAATAGTAAATTGACTGTTTAAGCAAGGCGAATCCTTTCTTCTATACCATTTGCATTGAAGAGTATACTCTCTTCGCTTCCACGGATCCAGTCATTGAGGCTAACAATAGCTTGATTTCGACTGTTCGCTCCTTTGTCGCCATCGACCTCATGCACCGACAATGGCGCAACAAGAGCCAGATGCACAAGAAGGGCAAAAAGCCCACGGCATTGCACATCCAGCTCATTTAGCTGAAGTTCTTCCTCCGAGGCCACCCAAATCCGCACATCCACACCCAGACGACGTTAAGGACGACCAGGAACGGACATCGCCTCCTCGAAAGAGGCCACGAACGCAGGCCATCCCACGCGTCGCGCTATCACTGCCTATACCTTCTACACAACCTTCCGCTCTAAGTCCCAATATCTCCACCAACGACTGGGCACCCTCGCCAGCCATCTCACGCTTCCCCATCCAGCCTCTGAACCAGTTTCGAGGCGCCTCGGCCAGCATCAAGCGCCCCCAAGAAGTCGCCCACTTCTCCTATGATGACGACCACCAATACAAAGAAGATGAGTCCAGTGTGAATTACTACTGCACTCCTCAAATGGGGGCCGATCTGAAGGAAGGCTTTGGCACATTCCGGCACTATGAAGACAAGACGGATCCGCACCTAGACAGCCTGCTATGTGCTCTAGCCAGCAGGGAAAGGATAACGGGCTCACAAGAGCAGGCAGATTTTGTTACATGGCGAGGGATGATGACGAAGATCATGACGGCGCCTTTCGATATGTTCGCCGAGTTTTCCATGTTCGCGACCTTTCACGATGGCACCATCTACATTGAGGAAGACTTCCCTGCGCGCGCTGCGCAACGCGCACAAGAAGCATCGCGGCCACCACCCAAGTGGCAAGATCCGAAAATGCCTGATCACAAAATGATGACATACTGGGGCTATAAATTCGAGACATTGGCACTCATCCCTACACCTCCCTCCGAAACCCCAAGAGATGTCATCGATGCCCGACCAGATGCCCCAGTCTCAAACTACGCCCAGCACTGCAGTATTGTCCGCACATCTTTTGGTCCACACTTCCTTCTTCTCGGCGGCGAAGTCGATGGCCTCTCCGCACCCAAGCCCGCCTCCCCAACGACCCCATCCCCTGGATTGAGCTCAAAACCGCCGAAGCTCTCCCCCCCAACCCTTCCAACCGCGACATCCTCAAATTTGAGCGCAAGCTCCTAAAGTTCTGGGCACAGTCGTTTCTCCTCGGCGTGCCGAAGATAATCATCGGCTGGAGGAACAAGCAGGGTATCTTGACGGGGGTGCAGGAGCTGGAGACGAATAAGATTCCGGGGATGGTGAGAAGGGGAACGCACTGCTGGGATGGGAATACGTGTATCAATTTTGCGGCGGCGTTGTTGGGGTGGTTAAAGGGCGTTGTAACGGAGGAGGGGAAGGTGTATAGGCTAAGCCTAGGGAAGAAGACAGGTGTTGTCGAGTTGAGGGAAACTAAGGAAGCCACAGGAGGTATCGTGAGCAAGGCCTTCGAAGAGTGGAGAAAAGAGCTAAAGGGAACAAGTGGTGATGAGAAGTAGGAAGGCGGAGTAGTGGATGGGAAGGTATAGGAAGCCACGATAGCAAATGCTCTCATAGGAAGCCTAGACGACACGATGGTCAGTGTCATCTTAACCGTGACCAAAATATCACCAGTCTCACGAACACCCTTGCGAAGACTTAGAGACAGGCAAGCGGCTTCCAGCACGCGAACGACGCCGTTCGGACGATATTGACAACGTAAATGTGACTGGAGGCGCTCACCCACCCCCTATCGCGCTGTCTCTTCTCCTGGCATGGCACGACATATAATATTGGCATAGTGTCGCTTGAAAGTTTGTCGCTGGTACGTGTAGCGTTTATCTCGACGCATATGTGATGCGCTATGTTTAGTACGTAGGCACTCTTGCGACATGAACTAGGGAACACCTGTGAGGGCTTCTTTATCGGACTTATAAGTTTAGTGACTTTTCCTTACGCTTGAACGATGACGCACATGTTGGCATGCTTTGCGGACTTGTGATGAAGTGGATTTCGACATTGTTGTGTCCTCCACTCACCCCGTCTCTATCGGCGATTCACGGTTATACACTCTTTCAAGTGTACCCCCTTTAAGCACTTAGAAGCATCGACGTGTCAAACTACTGTCTACCTGATTTTAATTATTTGCAATATTCCAAAAAGGAAGCCTAGCTCGTTGGTTTATGCTGGCTCTATTGTACCCCAGGTTTTGAAACCACCGATCGCGATCTTTACATCACCAAAGCCTAGCACAGTTCCTATGCGTGGGCCTGCCTAAATTTGTTACATGATTTGCCTAATGCTCGTAGCGTCGAAATCAAACTTACATCGACTCGTATGGGGCACCTGATTGTGAAATCTTGGTGCCAACCTCAGCCTAGTATGAGCAGGTAGCTGACTGAGCCTCTTAACCAGACTGGCCGTTATACACTCCACTGCGGCCACAGCACGAGATTGAGGTATTTTGAATCGATACACCGGCTCCGGCTCAATGGGACACGGTGCATACGTTTGTCGTACCGGATCCTTGGATTTCTTCCTTAAATGCATTTTCAGTACCTTATTAGACCCGGAACGTTTGTATCCACTTGTTGTCACTAGTACGGCTCTAGATTTGAGTCTCTTGGTCCACTCCCAACCCTTCGCCCACGGCTACAGTCGAGACGAGGCTACATTCCTCAAAAAAGATATTGATTCGACGCATGTAACTGCTGATTATGCTGCCTCGTCTCTCCCGGGCAGGTAATCGTCAACCACTCAGCATCAGCATTCGGTGTCACACTGGGCGAGCAACCTATCTTAGCTTTTGTGATACTGGTGGGTGCAGAAGGTAAGCTAACCAGCAATTCTAAAGCACTATTGGCAACGGCGAACGGCGTCTTCCAGGTTAGGCACTCGTATGAAAGCCTCTGACCCTAACAACCACCATCACCTCCCCTGCTGGAATCGTACTAGGTATCTTCTCAAGCACTTACATCATGGACTGTTAGAGTCTCAAAGCTAGCGGCCTGTACTATTCGATCTTCTCTCCTTCTTTGTAGTGCGCAAATGCTGCTATGTTCATCGTGGCAATTTTTCTTTTGCGGGCTGATGAAGCTGACGAGAGGATAGAAAGCAGCACCTCGAACTCCAATGTGGATGAATTTTAGTTGGTATCGTCTTCAACGCCCTTGGACCCATGCTCATAGGCGAGGGCGGTTGATAACTGCCCATGCTGTTCAGTGCAGCAGGGAGCGGTATATGTCTTATTATCGAGGCAGCAATCGTAGCTATGTACTCTCTGAAGAAGCCGCGCGAACAAACCTGCCGTAGTAGCAGGTGTGGCAATGTATGTCCCCTTCTCCTTCAGGTTGCGTGGTAATGGTCGCTGATCTGTAGACAGGTCCTACCTCTTCCCCACAGTATACAGCATGGGCGTTGATGTCGCCGATGTGATCTTTTACTCCGAGCTCATTACCTCCTTTGCTTCTCTATACCTCCTCTCCTCTGTTTCTCCATCTCCGATGCGTGGCTACATGTCTTAGCTCTTCATTCTCGGGATTTTTTTGTAGACAAGCTGGTGCCTGTTGTGATTGAGTGCACATCATCTAGTGTAACAAGCGTAATAACAACCTTGACTCCAACTATGCGCGCCAGTTCCTCAAGCGTATACCTTTTGCTTTGGGCAAGAAATATCAGGAACATCAGTTATCGATAAGGTCTCCCTCTCTTAGCACATACGGTGACAGTCAGATCAAGACTTACAAAGTAGAAGAACATTTGCCAAGCGGTTAGATAATGATCAATACTAGACAAGATCTCCACCAAGCATTCGCAAACGTTGTAGTGGTAGTTTGCAAGTACACAAGATCTATGAGCGCGGGGGTGGCCATGCTAAGGCAGACACCCCTCACGCGGACATGGTTGGGGAGATAGAGAAGCAGATAATGGGAGAGGTAGAAAGGGCGAGGAAAGCCAATGGTGCCGAGCACACGGACAGTTTGAAGGAGTGAGCTCGAATACCGGTCAAGGTATGTTGCATGGATAATGTTGGTCAAGCTGGATGCTGTCAATAAAGCATAAGAAAAAGTGCCAGTACCTCAAGATGATCCTCCGATCGTAGGATTGGGCAATCTCTGTTCACACAATGATTATGGATCATGTAGACAGTCAAGACGAAACTTGATTCACTATATGTGGGTATCAAGAAATCAAACTGAGACTACCCTCACGGAAACTTTGCTGTTATACAAGAGGTCCTGGAAAAAGGGAAAAGGTATTATACAATTGAGAACTTTTTGAGAAAACTGTCTAGGAAGGATACAATCCAGATCGCTGAGTCTTTACAGGCAGTCGTGGACTTCCTTCTCTTCTCTTACTCTCTCCCCTCTCTTCCTCCCAAAATCCACCAACCCACGCCCACCCACAGTCTCGCCACAACTCCCCAGCACCACACCCCCATCAGCGCCCACCATGTCGCGCGAAACACGAAGAACACCGGCGCCACCCTCCACGCCCAATACTGCCTGAAATTCAGGCCTACCGCGAAGCGCACCTCGACGTAGTCTAGCAGAGGGCGGAGCTGGTTTGGGTCGGGGTCGCAGGCCCGGTAGGTCGTCAAGAGGGCGAGAAATTGCGGGCGGAGACAGTCGAGGGCCCGGAGGCAGCGGTGGAAGAAGTTTTGTAGGCGGAGGAGGACGGCGATGTAGACGGCGACAGGGTCGAAGTGGGGCATTGGCTATAAACGATTAGCAATCTAGAAAGCTTGAAAGACATGGACGAGAAGAAATGACCATGAATCGACAGCCAAACAAGGACTTGCCCAAGTAGTAACAGTGGCCTATAGCAGCTCTCTGATATGGTGATACTTACGGCTGTGACGGAGAAGTCAGGAGACAGTGATTCGATCTATGACGACAATTAGCAAGCTTGGTAAGATTCTCAGCCCTAAGATCATATTTTCGTAGAAGCCAGCTATGACACCTTAACTTATGCTGTAGCAGCTGCAACATGGAACTGCCGCCACGTTGAGTACGAGAACGGCATACGGTATGCCGACCTGGACCTGAACTACAGCAGACTACGTGACCGACATGATGTATTGAGCCCAAACCGATTGCATACATACCTTCAGGAGCACGAAGTAGGAGCAATTTTAGAGCCAGAAGTCTCGACGGAGACGTCAGCGTTGGAGCCGGTGAAGTAGCCGTTTCCGTGAATATGGGCAGCAAGGGCAGAAGCGCGTGCAGACGGTGACGGGCTTGGTGATAGACGAGGTAGGCTCTGAGGTGGTGTAGGTGGTGGCTCAGTGTTGGCGTTAGCAGAGCCTGTGCTGGAACTGCTGTGTGCGATGTACGGTGTGTGGTGTGCGGTGTGTGGGGAGAAAGGCAGAGACACTGGCAAACGCGAACGAGCTAAGGAGGTTGTACCAGGGCATCAACAACACGCCTTGTGCGGATAGTAACAAACGTGAAATGAAGCCGAGTGGGTAGGCCTCGGCTACAAAAATTGCGCAGCCCTGTGTTACAATGTAAGTAGAAGCGAAGTCCTCAATGCCAAAGTCCATCACAACGAAAATGCCGAAGAAAATCACGTATGCCTTGGGACATCAATCAAAGACTGCAAGAACACACAAAAAGGCCTAAAGCCGGGACCCCTTGAATAGTATCACAGTGCTACCAAGCCGCTACTCCAAGCGCCAGACCAAAACTCCCTCACCCATCCCAAAACTAAGCCTCCTCATCCAAGCCAAACGTCGCCCCGATGTAGTCAACGAGGGCCTTCTCGAACTTCTTGCGACCGGAAGCGACCATGCGGGTGAGATCGAGGAGGTGCTTGAAGGCAGTGACTTTTCCGTGCTCGTCGACGGTGACTTCGCCCCTGGAGACAGCGGCCGGATTGATCGGACTAGTCTTGGTGGACTGGTCAGTGTAACGGAACATAGTATCGAGTACAAAACGTACCTCGAGGTTCATACATCGGGCCATGAGGTGCCCGGCCGGAATCTTGAAGGTCACACCCTTCAGAATGAGCGCAAGATCGCCCTGCACGCGCACACACTAGGATGCTGTTAGTATGCTTGATCGTTCCATGGCGCATATTTACCTACATAGGGAGTCTTGAACTTGAGCGGCTTAGGCGGGTTCTTGAGGAAGGCAACGCTGACCTCCATCAAGTTGACCTTGTTGAAGCCGGATTCAATGAGCGGCTTCGCCTGGTGCTCAAATTTGAGCCAGTCGCGCAAGAGTAGACTGGCTTCGTGCATGAGGGCCTGATAGTCCGCCTGCTTGAGGATAGTGGGCTCGATGGAGTCAGAAACCTCGTTGACCACCTCCCGAACGCGGTTTGTGGTCGTGTTGCAATCGTACATCGGCAGGAGAGTCAGCCAGCAGTTGGCGAGAGTGGTGATATCTTCGATGGCGTTCTCGATCGGGTCGGAGTCCGACATGATGATGTGAATTGATGTGATCGAGAAAACGGGCTTCGATGAGTGCGGCGACTGCGAGAGTGTGTTGTGAGTGGGGGGCAATGTGCGACTAGTCGTGGGATTGGTAAAATACAAACGATTGAGTGAGTCGACTAGGTAGCAACACATTCACAGTCCGTGCACAATAGCTTGAAGCGGGAGCACTGAAGGCGGCCCTGAAAGGGCATCGAGGTGTGCCAGGCTCCATTTTCGGTCAGGACAGCTTCTTGAATAAACAACTGTTCTATCGAACGGCTTATCATCCCATCGACGTAGGCATGTACCTTGGGAGATACCTTTGGTGGGTCTGAGTCTACATGTGAGCTTTACCTGCTATCGTGGGTTCACCTGTTGCTTGACACGCCGGCATCAAGAGCAGCGCCAGCGCGATATTCATCTGTCCAGCCCCCCGAATTGGCCACGATGCTGGAACGACAACAGACAAGAAGTGGGCCTCTTCAGAGAACAAAGGAGCCTTCAGGTACACCGCTAATGGTTTTGCGCTCCTGTCTGACTGGCACGCGTTGGGCGCCAGAGCGACTTCCACCCTCGTCCTGCTTAGGCGATCCGAGAGCGGCACCAGAGCAAGATGCTGAAAACTGACGGCGACAAAGAACAGAACCCCTGAGCAATCGTAGCCAGCAGCATGCTGACACCAGTGTTCCAGTTTGCGTACCTTCTTTGCTGCCGCCAAACGCACCTGCCCGCGCCCGCAGACCAAAGGAGCAGCACCCGAACAGCGACGCTTGACCCAAGCGCTGTGAACAACAGACGATGCTATGTTCCTGAAAGCTGAACTTCCTTGGGCGCCATTTGCTGAAAATCGCTAGGTGACTACTACCTCCAGTTGATTGTGCACTGCAGACGGCGATGCTGCCTCCTCGTCTCCTCTCCAAACAGACAGCGACCGCACGAGTCACATACCTATCGTAACGAGACGACCGCACATCGAGGGGCACAGGTTGTTGTTCGCCGGCATCTGGCATTCGATCACCCAGCATAAGTGGCGCCTAACAGACCACCCAACCCCGCCGAGTCGAGCACCTAGCTCCAGCTCCAGCTCATTCCAGCAGCACAACCGACAAATATCACATTATATGACCATATGAGCGCAGTGCATTGACATCATACCTGCAACTCGAAAGAGCGCCGTCTGTTTGCGCGCTAGCTGTGATGCAACCCGCTCCGGGCCCTTGGAACTGAGCACAAAAAGAGCACACCACACCACCACGACCTTCGCATCAATGGTGAAGATACCCATGAGATAGAGCAACCTCGAATTGACTGACTCTGATCGTAGGCTGTCACTTTCCGCGTCTTGGCCCCGTGTTGACCGCCTCGATGGGTCCCCAGAACCAACATCAGCCGCCACCACCGCAACCAAAATCCCGAAGTGACAAAACGTATCGCGCATCCGAAGCCGCCGTTGTTAGGAATACCTGGAGAGAATTTGGGGTTGGTACGGTCCATTTGGCGGCTTTCGGGAAGGCTGAACGCTGTGCCACTAGCATCATGTGCCATTTTGTTCAGGGTACGACTCCAGACCCGACAAAAGCGCCCGGCAGCAGAACAAGATGGTTAAGAAGTGTATACTGAGAGGTTCCCTGCTCGTACAAACTCTTACGATAGGATGCATGCGCTGTTGGAGGGGGACTGCCCAGCTGAACACCGGACGCGGCTGTCGCTCGGAGGGCTCAGATGGCTTACGTAAGGATAGGGGCAGCGGTTTCGCCATGTAATAAAATGTTCGGAATGGATAGCCTGGAGTTGTTGGACATTGGCGTTGGCGATTCTGATGATGGATCGGGGTGTTTGGTAGCTGTGCAGAGCCGTGGGTAGGTAGACTTTGCCAGGCTATGACAGCTGTCGTGCAGAACATGGCTCCATGCTTCCCAAATCGAAGTGCACCTTCCCCGCGCATTGTGGAGATAGTCGTGGCGATGTGTGCCATGTTGATGTGCGAGGAAGCATTACTGGCATGTGCTCGGATGTCTCTTACTATGGCAGTCGCTCTCCACGCCCCATCACCCGTGCCCTCTTACTTCAGACGAGATGGGCGCCAGAGAGGAGCCGATGGGTGTATAGAAGGTGTCAATTGGGCTGCTAACCTCGTGACTTCTTACGCTCCACTCGTAACAGAGTCTGCGGCCTGCTTCGCGGGCTGTGTGCCTCTCAGCGAACCCGTCCGCTGCGAGGCACGTCCTCGTATAACACGTATCCTGAGCACTCGCAGCTTGAGGCGGGCGTACCGGGGCGTCTCTGGTGCTTCTTCTGGACAAGCAAGGAATGTTCTACTTGGGAGAATCGTGCCTGCCTTGCGAGTGCTGGCCGCACCTTCCCCGGCTCTGCTACACTGGTGCTTCTCGGGCAGCTCATGCATATGCTTCACGAAGTTTTGGTGCCGGCCAGGCCGCTCTACAAGCTCTTCGCACCTCGGCCAGCTTCCTCGGGCCTCTCTGCAGCTCGATACCACGGGCTTTCACACCCTATGCCTGTGGCCCGGGCTCCATGCACCCGTGCTCCTGCGTTATCGGCCTGGCCTCACCGCTCGGTCTCGTTATCCAGAGGCTTCCATTCTGCCCTCCTCGGCGCTCCAATCAACGCCTCCTGATCTGGAGGGCCGCCTGACCGCCCCACAGGTTCTTGCGGTACCTTCCACCGAGGACGCCCACTTTACCCCTTTCGGTGGGCTGGAGAGCCACTAGTCGAGTGAGCGGAGAATGCCGTGCTGGCTACTGGAGAGAACACTGAAGGCGTCGGCCATGTTGCAATGGACCTGCACAACCACCAGAGCGCATGCCCGGGCCTGCAAATCGCTGAGGAGAGACAACTCGACGAGGGCTTTCGAATGGTACAGCTCCCGTGAAGAGATTCCTCCTGGGTGCGGAGATAGGGCCGGGAGAGGGTGGAGGCTTCCTTCAACTCTTCCCTCGAGCACGCCTCACCTCACGCAACGCTCACCGAAGGCTGTGAGCGCAAGGACCATCATCGTAGACAGGGTTGGAGGACACCGGCGCAGTGGTTCGCCAAGGAAGGCTTCCCCCCGGAGGTCTATAAGGACCTGACTTCTTCGCTCCTCGACACTTTTTCTTCCTTCCCCCGACACCCACTTTCAGTCATCCAAGCTCTTTCGTCCCGTCTTTGGTCTGAACTTGGCCTTTGCCGACCACCCTTGACCATCATCCATCCTCTTGTACACTTGTACCCTTGTACATCTTTCGACAACATCTCCATCATGTCGCCCAATCACACTCCCCCTCCCTCTTCCTCAACTCGCGGTCCTTCTTCCAGCCCCTTCGCTGGCACGGACCCCACTCTGTACACGCCAGAAGCTGTCCGAAAGGGCGGTCGCTCGGCAGGTCAGGAGTCCAAGGCCAATGGCAAGAAGCCAGTTGTCGAGGTTCCCACAATCCGTCACACTGCCTATCATGGCCTGAATCCACAACCTCATCAACTGCCCGTCTTCGTGAACGAGATCGACACTTCGAGCCGTGGCTTCATATCTCGTTACGTTCTTGTTCAGCTGATCCCGGACGGCAACCGCGACATCGAGGCTGGAACGGACCATGAGACCGAGCTTGCCAAAGTCCAGGACAAGATGAAGGAAGTATGTATTGTTGACTTCCCTCCCTGTTTCTTGTTACTGACCCCACTAGTACGCTGTGTTCGACATGTGCGTTCCCATCTACAGCCGTGGAGTCTATCTCCGTTTCGACAACCTGCAAGACGCCGGAGCTGGCAAGCTCATACTTGAGCAGCACTTGTTCCGTTGCTGTTATGTTGACAACTATACCTTTGCCATCGCCAAGTCTCAGGACACTGCCGCCATCGATGAGTTCGAGGGCCAGATCCGTGTTGAAGTCCACGCAGCTCCAGTCGTCGATGGACTCCAACTTCTATTCACCTTGAACGACCTCAAGGGGATGCACGATGACCTCGAGGCCGCTCTGTCGCGTTTCGGACCTATTCGCGACTTCGTGCATACTTCCACCGACCAGGGCAGCATGGTCTTCGTCTTTCGCTTTGAGTTCTACTCCGTCGAGGTTGCCAACCGCGCTCGGGCGAGCCTCCTTGAACACACGCTGAACCGGATGGACCAGCACGTAAGTGTTCTCTTCTCATCATTTGCTTCGTTCTGTGCTAACCTTTGCCAGGGCCTTTGGTCATGGAACGTCTTTCGCGCGGAGAACTGGACCGGCCCGCGTCCTTCTAACTCCCCTCATCGTCGGTTGCCTCGTATCGACGACAAGGGCAGGTTCATGGAGTTTCGCCATGCTCCCATCGTCAACGCACCATCAATTCCCCCTCGCGACGAGCGTGAACCTGGCTTCGGCCACAATAAGGTGAACCGGGAGAAGATCGTGCAGGGCTCCGATGTTCGAACGACCATCATGCTCCGAAACATCCCCAACAAACTCGACTGGGTAAGTTGATCACCACTCCATCTTGGCTTTGCTGACTTGTTCAGATGTCGCTTAAGACTCTCCTGGATCGCGTGTGCTTCGGTACTTACGACTTCATCTACTTGCGCATCGACTTCAAGTCCGGTCACAACGTTGGATACGCGTTCATAAACTTCGTCGACATGACCGGCATGATCGCCATGCTTGACAAGGTTGAGCACCGCGGATGGCCAGGCTACCGCTCATCCAAGAATGCCGAGTTGTCATACGCGACTATCCAAGGTCGCGAGGCTCTTGTCCAGAAGTTCCGCAACTCCTCGGTTATGCAGCAGACTCCCTATTGCCGCCCACGCCTCTTCATCACCAAGGAAGAAGCTTTCATCAACCAGAACATCCGCAAGACAGGTGTCGAACTCAAGTTCCCCGATCCCGATAACTGGTCCAAGTTCCAGCGCTCCATTGACAGTGCTCGTACCGTGGGTCTCTTCCCGCCGACCGGAGTTGTCCACCAGACTGTCGACCGAGCTCACCTGAGTAACTTTGATCGCGGCACGCCTCGTGACATGGTCTTCATGAACAACCAGTATGGGCCCCCGCCGACATTCAAGGGCTTCTCGGAGCATTCCAAGCGCTTGATCGAGCAGCTGTTCCATGCTCAGTTCGGACTTGCCCAATCTGGTCAAGTCGCGTTTGAACATATCCCGCTGCGACTCGCCCAGCAGCTCCTGGCCGACAATGGCTCACCTGCATTCATGGGCCGTGCTACCGACCCTGGAGTCATTGGCCGTCCGACTGCGCCCCAAGCTTATGTCGCTACTCCCACCATTCCGATGTACGCTCCCTATGCCGGTCCATCCTACTCAGGCCATGACCAGTTCAACGGCGTCGGCTACTACCAGAATGGCGACGAGCTCGGTGACTTCGAGTAGTTTGCCAACTTGCTCCGGTCTACCGCCTCATCTTCTCGGCACATATACCAACAGTGTATATTGATTCCGAAATATACTCCATTCGGCCACAGTACCATTTCGACCATTTCGACCATTTCCTTTGTCTTTCTTTACTCAGTTACGACGCCTCAGGGTGATATATGTCATCTCGAGCATGGCACCCACGACCTCATCGACTGGTTGTCTCGTGTTTTTCTTTGTTGTTGCTGCCTTTTCAGACACTCGTCGTGTAGCAAAGCATACCTGGTTGTACATCATGTCATAAAGATGTGAAACTGACGATTGATGGAATGCATGGACGGGGTCTGGTGTTTTCTTCTCTTCTTCTTCAACTCATTTCTGTCTTTGTCTGTTTCGAATTCCTCCCTCGTCGCGATGCGACTCATGGCGGGCATTGCCTTTGTCATTTGATGGATGGATCTGACAGACTGTTTTCGAATATGGTCGGCCGAACATGGATGGTCATGAAATGGTCTCATAAAATTTATCAAAGGCTTTTCATGCCACCAACTTCTCATTTGCCCGCTTGCATGTTGTGGTGGTTGCTCGTGCATGATATTGATATGACAGCCATAGATGGCGCTGTTGAGGGAGCACTCTGGTGGCATGGTGTTTGCGTTGCGACCCCACGCATCTTCCTGCTGATCGAGAAGCTGCAGGATCTCATCCAAATAGACCTGGTTGCGAATAAAGACGGGTTATGCTCAAAGTATGGTGCAATTTCCGACGCAATTAGGGCAATTCGCCAGAAAGGCGAATGTCGTGTTTGGTAGGACCAAGAGAAAGGTGTAATGGCCTTCGTCAATGATGACGATTCTTAGCCTGCGGCAGTCGAGTTGGGGTGACAGGCTGGCATCCCCGAGATAATATAGCGATTTGGTTTAGGTAGCAGCGCCTAGAGAAGGTGCTCCGGAGGTCCATGAGATCCTTGGGTGCTCTAAACGGGCCAGAAAACGCAAGCACGGCCTGTCATAGACCACCACGGTAGGACTTTCTGGTGCTGGGCCTGCTGATTTCGGCGGGTCGGCTCTATGATGGCTGTATTCGCGAGCTGTGCTGTTCATCTTTGCGCTACTGGCATTGCCCGATCCTTGCTATCGTACCGGATTTAACATGCAAGTGCTGAATTCATCTCATCCAAGGGCAGAGCTGGTTTTTAAGCGCAGACTTTGACAAATGAATTTTGAATGTACCGGAGCAGTTAGACGCGGCTTGTCTCTACATGCTGCCTTCGGTAACATTGCAATAGCGCCACGAGACGCGCAGAAAGCAATGAGGTCCCGGTAATACTCCAGATCGTTTCCAATGGGCAACTAAACGGTCAAATCACGGTCATGGCTGTCCATGTGCTCTCCTGTTCTTGCCTATTGCGCGTGCGGCTCCAAGGCTGGCGTTGAGCAAAAAAGTAAATGCTGCAAAAAAGATGTTGCCTGTTTCGGTCGAGGCAGTTGTCGTAATCGAACCGGAGACTTGTTGATTCATCTGTACACAGTTAGCACTTGCTCACCAAAGTGCCAGAGGCCCCTGTGCGCCACGACTGCGCACAGTGACTTAACACATCAGAACTTCGCAGCTCAATAATATATATAGTTGCTTGAAAAGGTCATAAGGTGCAGATTGGCGGGTCAAAGGCCACAAACAACGAACCTCTCACCTGGCAAAAGCGAGCTTTCAGCTGTGACCGTTCACCAATTCCCCGTCGTCTACGCTGACGTGCTGCTCCGATCGATGGCGGGGTACGATAGAAAGGCAAAAGGTCAAAAAAGGAAAAAGAAGTTGTTCGGATTCGAACCATGGACTTGTCTGTACACAGTTAGCTATGTTCATCAGAGTGCCAGAGGCCCCTATGCGTCGCGACTACGCACAGTGACTTAACACATCAGAACTCTCCAATTCTAAAATATATATAGTTACCTTGTCAAGGTTGTAGATAGATATGGTGGCCGTAAAATCGCGGTGCCAAACCACAAGAGAAGAAACCGCTCACCAGGTGAATGGCCTTTGGTGCTGTGCCTTCGAAAGCTGTAGCGTGTTGGAATGCATTCCGTCCCGGAAGCGGTGTACTCCTGATACTGCGAAAATACTTCTCGATAATTGCGAACTACGGTGCCTCGTGCATGCCTCTTGCAGTTGATGTGTAGTAGTGGGAAGGGCTCTCAGGCCATAATTTGAGACGGTGCAGGTGCGACATTCGTTGAAAGACTCGCTTCAGCATTCCCAAAGATTGCAAATCCAATGCAAAGCGCAAGGTGGTTGCAGGGCCGCGGTAATATTCATGGCACCTTTCAGTAATTAAACAGTCAGCTGTCGGCTTCGACCTTTTAGGGTTTGTACCCCTCTTGCTGATGTGCTTGAGCGACGCATGGTGGCGTGCACCAAAAAGACGTAAAAAATTGCAAAAAAAGATGTCGCCCGAAGGCTGTTGTTGTAATCGAACTCGGGACTGATCTATACACAGTTAGCACTGTTCACCAATGTGCCAGAGGACTCACTATGCGCCGCGACTGCGCACAGTGTGACTTAACACATCAGAACCTTCTGATTCTTTAATATATATACCCACCCAGTAAAGACCATAAGAATATATGGTGGCCGTGAAAGCGCGGCGAGGAGCCGAAAAAAAGGTAATGAACCAGCCAGCTACCAGGCATGGCCGTTCACCATTTACCCCTCACCTTGGCTAAGGTGGAGTAATGGTGTGCAGCAAAAAGGCAAAGGCTGCAAAAAAGAAGTTGCCTGTTTCGGTCGAGGCGGTTGTCGTATTCGAACCGGAGACTTGTTTATCTGTACACAGTTAGAACTATTCACCAAGTGCCAGAGGCCCCTGTGCGCCACGACTACGCACAGTGACTTAACACATCACAACTTCCTAATTGTTTAATATAAATACCCTCTCAATATAGATTACCAGATCTTTGTGGGGGAATATGGTGGTGGTGAAGGGTCCGGGTGGTTACCTGAGAGACGCACAATCGAAATCGAGCGGAAGGGGGTGCCTCAACCCCTCACTAATTGAACACCACACCGAAGAGATGGCATGCGATGGCCGCAACGGGGAGAGCGCCTACAAACGGGGGATGTCCGTAGCACCGAAGAAAGAGAGCCAGGCAATGCTAGGAGTGCGAGTGCGTAAAATGGCCATTGCCCTTACCAAAGGATATAGCAAGCATCGTTTTCTAGCAAAGGAAGGTGTCCTGATAGCATTGCGTCGACATCTTGAACGGAAGGCAAGAATCATCAAGATTGGCGAGAGATCTTATAGGCATGGCATGAACGACCGAGCCTTGAACAGCCGTTACTTATCTTCTGCGATCCACGGAATGCTCCGATTTAAATGGTTCTACGGGCGCGCTACCTCGTAGTGCTCCTTGTTCTGGCGAATGACAATTCTTTACTTTCGGCTATGTTGCGTTTCCGAAGGGCTACTGCAAACGAGCATCGCATCGTACGCGCAGCAGCTTCAGTGATCTTGACCAATTGGCATACTCGGCGTTGCATCATGTGTATCTACAGCGTGTGTATGAGCGCAGACCCAAGCCCTAATACGATGTGTAGCACGGAAGTGTTTGCACCTCGGTAGTCCGAGACGCAGTACTGCGGGAAATTCCCAAGTTCGCCCAGGACACACGCACACTGCAAGTCACCAACAAGCTACAATATAGCGAGGAGCTCGAGTGACACCGGCGCTACCATAGGATGGGCTGTACTAGAACTCATCTCGTCTGCTCTTATGGCGTCCCCAAAATTGAACGACTGACAGCATAGCGTGATTGTAGACGCGGCATGTCACGCTATAGGTAGCGATCAAAGAACCTGATGGTAATCAGGATATTTTTAATATGTTTGATTGCACTTGCTTCGTGAAGCAGCAGGCATCAGACGTATTGAATTTGTGGCATAGCAAGCGCGATCACGGCACTGTGGACCACCCCAGCAGGTGCGATCAACGCACGGTTGACTTGATGATGTGTATATGGATGAAGTAGCGCCTACAGCATCAGGGAGGGCGCAGATGTACGCAGGCACTTCTACCCCTTTAAAAGTCGTATTGCTGGGCTTACGTGCATCCAAAGGCCTATGAGCAGGGGGACTATGGCGGGGGGCAGGCCAAACGTTCAGTCCTTCGAGCTGGCATGTCTACCAGCGGGCTGCAGGCAATCGCCGCATCTAGGAATCTTGAGTAGAGTAGGCCTGCGCGGCACTGTAGCAACATTTAGGAAGGTAGCAGTTCGTTTGACGTAGGCCGTATCATCCCGTCTTTGGTTGCAGCGCCAGGCTGCTCGTGGTGCCATTTGCGGTGGGCGTGCGGGTTGTTGGTTGCAGGCGGTCGCGCTCCTCTCTCACTCCACCGCCTCGTCGTTCCAGAACATCCCCCACCACCATGCTCGCCGGCCTATCTCGCAACACCAAGCAGGTCGCAAAGGGGCAATTCGACACGGCGGAGATTATTTGAGGCCTTGCGGTGCGTCGCAGCATACTTTTGTCTCCATATTCGACATAGCCGGTGAGATACAGGCGGAGGGGGATCGGGCAGGCCGGCGCCAACCTCAACACCACACTCGGGGGCTACTTTACCAACACCAAGGAGGTAGAATAGGGGTAATTCGATGCGGCGGAGATTATTTGAGGCCTTGAGGTGCGTCGCAGCTTATTTTTGTTTCTAATTTCGACGTAGTGGGCGAGATACAGGCGGAAGGGGGTCGAGCAGACCGGCGCCGACTTCAACACCACGCTCGGCGGCTACTTCCACAACACCAGAGGGCCGCGAAGGGATAACTGCGCCTGCCCGAGATTATTCGAGGCCTTGCAATGCTCCGCATCGACTTTTCTCCTCTGAACCCGACGTTGCGGGCGAGATGTGGGCAGCGGGGCATCCGCAGGGCGAGCCGACACCAACCAACAAGTTCCCCTACCAGAACCTCCACAACAAGGAACTGCAAGGGGACAAGTCGGCATGGAGGGCATTATTTGAGACCTTG